CAAGGGAGCCAAGAAGGCAGGTGCTGCGGCTCGTGATGTCGAGGAGCTTGAGGATCGTGATCTGGAAGAGCTCGAGGCCCGTCACCACAAGGGAGCTACTGCAAAGGGCGCAAAGAAGGCAGGTGCTGTGGCTCGTGATGTTGAAGAGCTCGAGGCTCGTCACCACAAGGGAGCCAAGAAGGCAGGCGCTGCGGCTCGTGACGTTGAGGAGCTCGAGGCAAGACATCACAAGGGTGCAACCACTGCCGCTACGTAAGTAGTTATCTCCTTTGTCTACGGAAATATAGAAAGTGCTAATTTATCACAGTGGTGCTGCAAAGGGCGCAGGTGCCGGTGGATTGGCTGCCTTGTTCGGAGGTGCCAAGGCAGGAGCTGCTTAAGCTTAATTAGAGAGCTACATAAAATACACACATCCACTTCTCTTCTTCCTAAGACAATGTAAAATCATTTCTTCGATCTGTTGATTCTTGAATTACTATGTGCATCAATTGCTATGCCTCATACAAAATGCCAGACGAAACATTGCTCGTAAATTCGCCTGGAAAGCGGCTGCTAAGTTCTAACTCGGTACTCGTCCGTGAAACCGCGTGCGCGTTGTCGTTGCGACCCTCGCTTGGGCCCCTTTCGCTAAGCGAGTCCGCGTCCCCTGGCCCCTGAAACACGGAGACCCTGAACTTGTTACAGAAATGACGTGCATTCCGCGAAAATTGATGCGAATTCGATTCTGCTATTGTATCCATCCTACAATGTCTTCTTCTGAGCCATGAAGAGTTGTCTATTTCTTTCAGGAAGTTGTCTTCCCTCGATGTTACTGGTCTTCCACACTCTTTTTCTGATTTCGATTACACACGCGTATACAGCTCTCTCTGACAGCTTCTTGCAAAGCATAACATCCCCAGACGCGGACTTCAATCCTGAGAATGGGACTCTGCTCTCTCCGATTTTGAGGCCCAGAGTTCCTGGCACGGCAGGACATTCAGCTGTCCAGCATCATTTCGTTGATTGGTTCAGCGATGAATTGCCAAGATGGAGGATGGAATGGTACAACTCGACCTCAACGACAGCGGCAGGTGCTGAAGTTCCAATTTCTAACCTTGTTTTCCAACGAGAACCGCCTTGGACGAAGACAGGACAAGCCAATTGGTTGACTCTGGCAGCACATTACGACAGTAAGAATGTGCCAGAAGGATTTGTTGGGGCGATGGATAGTGCTGTCCCTTGTGCCATATTGATGCATGTCGCACGGTCGATAGATCGCTATGTGACCCAAATGCATGATGAGATGGATGCATTGGGAGAAGGAGGAACAGTGCCAATGGATATGGGTATTCAGATAATGTTTCTTGACGGGAAGGACAGCTTTGATGGCGAGGCGCCGGCGTTATATGGGTCAAGGTACGCTCACATGCAACAAAGACGAGGCTTGTTCTAATGAAAATCGCCACAGGGCGCTCACCAAGAACTGGGAGATGAAGTCTAACCTCATGCCGTTGAGATACCCCAATGCTTTGAGCCAAGTCAGCATGTTTGTCTTACTCGACGTTCTGGGATCCGCAAACCCCACGATCCCCTCATACTTCCCAACAACACACTGGCTGCACAGAAATATAGCGAATCTCGAGACCCGAATGCGCAAGATTAACGTCCTCGAGTCGCGTCCGTCTTCGGCATTCATACCCCAGTCGAACGATATACTTCCACAATCCGAGCCAGTAGACGACTACGTGCCTTTCATGGAGCGAGGTGTGCCGTGTTTTCACCTGATGCCATCATCTTTACCCTCGAATCGGCACACAATTAATGACGACGGCGAGCACCTTGACATGCCCACTGTCAGAGACTGGGCGAAGATTGTTACAGGTCTTGTTATGGAATGGCTAGACATGATGGAAGTGTGGCCAGAGTAGGAGATACGATATATAGAATCGAATGTAGATATATGCTGTTTTTGTGTATATTCTGATTCCTTTCCATTTCTTTGTTGAAGTGTTCCGTGCTGATCATTAAAATCTGCTAAATATTTCTATTATCTCATTCTCCTAGAGTCGTTGTCCTTGAGAACAGATGCCCAATCGAAGTTAACCGAAGGCTGATTTTCCTACCTCATTTTTCATTCCGTTATCGTCAAGTTCCTCAAATTTACCTCTGACAAATCTAAATGCACGAAATCGCGCACTTCCACAACTATCGAGCAACACAAAATACTCCTAACTCTTGCGTGCATAATTTCGAGCATTGTCAATTACTCGGTGAGGCTTTCCAAGGTGTCAAAGTGTCTCAATACGTGTCAGCCGCTTGCGCTAGTCCGACTTGGGTTGCAGGTGGCTTTAATTGAATGCCCTCGAGTTCAGCTGACGTCTTCCTGAAATGTCCGTCATTGAGGCTCTTCCGCGCCAGGATTTTCTTAATATAGATTGTTTTTGAGAAAATGGTATCTTCGAATTTCTTGATTCGAGAGAAGTTGTTGTGTTGCTATCTCTGGATCCTGAAGTGATGCGTGTTCAACTGAGGTATACGGAGGCTGGCTTTAGCGCTTTTATAGAAAGTTTCTTTTGGATCTTGCATATTGTTGGCGTTTTTGTTAGGCGCGTACGAAGGCTGTGTCCGGTGATTGAAACAAGCCTTTTTGTCGTCCGTACTCGGTACTCAGCCGCACTTCTATGTCGAGTAGTTTTTAATGGAAGCGCCCCTCCTTCTTTTCGTCTGAAGTATTGAGAGACAGCACTGAGGGTTACTCAGAGGTGCCAAACTCTTGAGAATCCCAGCGAACGTCTCACTGGTTTTGATTGTCTTGATCCAGTATTATTTCTCTCGCTTTCGTCCCCGATTTCTGTGTTCGAGATGTCTTACAGTATATCCTCAGCTTCTCTTCCACGCAATCTCTACTAAATCTGTCAGACAACCAGCCCCAAGCGTACTACGGGGGAGGATATTCTCAGCCACAGCAACAGGTTCAAGGATACCCACCTCCAAATTATTATCCTCAATCACCACCAAACCAGAGTGCAAGACCACCTTCAGGGCTTCCACCCCTAGACTCCTACCATAATCCCCAAGCACCCGCCGGTCCACCCCCTCCAGGCTCCTACCAAAATCAACAACAACCATCTGGTCCTCCACAATCTGCATACCAATACCAAGCTCCTCGTCCACCAAATGGTCCTCCTCCGCCAACATCCTACCACACACCTACCCCTCCCCACGGCCCCCCATCCCCGCAGGGCTACCAAGAAGCTCCTCCGTCCTTCGATGCACCACACCAGCCTGTAACTCAGAGCCAACCCTATCAATCCGCTCCTTACTCCGGCGCTCCGCCAGAACATGACGCTTACCGTGGCCAACAACAATACCAACAGCATGCCTCACATGTACAGAACGGTTACCAAGCCCCTCCTCCATTGAATCATTATCAGACATATCCTCAATATCCCCAGCATAGCCAACAAACAGCTCCAATCTCACAACAACATGCTCCTCCAGCGAAAGAGGAGAAGAAGCGGGGAGCTGTCAGTTCGTTCATGCATAGCAAGAAAGGTAAAGTCATGATGGGACTTGGTGGGACATTGTTTGCTGGAGTCATTGGAGCTGAGGTACTCAGCGATATGAATGGTGGGGACAGTGATAGTGGTGGTGGCGGATGGTTCGGAGGAGATTCGGGGGGAGGTGGCTCGGGAGGAAACTCGCCGTCGGGGAACGGAGGTGGGTATGGAGGGAATGACGATTCGTATGGTGGAGGAGGAGATAGTGGTAATGGGTTTGGTGGAGGGGGGAATTCGCCATCTGGAAGTGGAGGCGGATATGGAGGAAATGACGATTCATATGGTGGTGGAGGATATGGAGGAGGAGATAGTGGTGGTAGTTACGCTGATGCGCAGGCAGCGCTGGATGCTCAGGCAGAGGAAAATGTTGCTCTTCAAGCTGGGTTTGATGATATGGATAGTGCTATCTTTTGATTTGATTTGGGGTTTTGATGTTTTCTTAGATGGTGTGTGGAGAATAGACTCCGACTTCGAAGCTCTAGTGTCAGAAAACTGAAAATTCATAACATATGAACATTGCAAAGGAACCAAAGTGAGGCAGAAGTCGAACGGCTCTGAAAAAAGGGGAGAAAGTGAAATGCGGGGTCCATAAGCGAGCCTGACGTATGCCAGCCTGAACTCCTGGCGTTGCCGTGGGGAGCTTCCTATCAGGGATCAGGAGCTCAAATAACCTGATCACAAACAAACACCACCTTCACCTCCCAACAACACTCCATACAAACCAAAACTCCATCTCCCAGCCTCAAAAACCTTCAAACCAACTCAAACTCCAATCCTCCAAACAAATACTCAAACATGGCCGACTCCCGCGACGCCGTCATCGACGAAACGCCCATCTCCCCCTCTCGACCAGATCACATCCGCCAGAACTCCCTCGAGAAACACCTGCAGCACCGTCCTGACCCGCAAGAGCTGAAGGACCGCCATATCCTGCTCGATACCAATGCCGCTCCGTACGTATAGCCTGTCCTCCCACATTACAAAAACCAACAGAGGTGAGAGAAGTGAGCTGACAGCGGGGTAAACACCAGCTCCCTACAATCCGCCGCTATGGAATTGGAGCGTCAACGCGCGAGCGACAGCTTGAAGAAGGGCCTTGAGCGTCGTCCGCAGAAGGAGGATTTGATTGAGCGTATGCTTTTCCTCCCCCTTCCCTCTTCTACCAACAATACCTAGCTAACCCCTCTCTCACCAGGCAATATCCTCCCCTCCTCATCCGCCGCACCAGCAATCCAGGGACAACAGCGCGAGTTGGAGAAACACATGCGAGCCGATTCGCTCAATGAGAAGATCGCGCATCGGCCGCAGAGAGAGGAGTTGATTAAAGAGGGGATTTTGACTGAGGAGCCCATTTCGAGCGAGGAGGCGGATAGGTTGTATGAGGAGAGGATTGAGGATGAGTATGCTAAGCGTGAGGGCGGTGCTTGAATACTGTTGAGTGGAGGAGTATTAGTACTGGGGATGGGACGGCTCGGGACATTTAGCATGCTTGGGATTGGAAGTGCAATAAGCAAGGATCGATTGATGGATGCTATGATGATACGATACGATACTTATGGTTTACGGTTTTGGGATGGGAAAGGTTTAAAATGTCATGAATTCGTTGATTTCATTATATTTCTATGAACGCTAAGTGTGATGCAAACACCTTCCATGCAAAACTCCAATGGTATACCTCCATGTTATCCAAAGAACAAGCGCCGCTGCTTCGGATCTCCGGGCACACCTTTGCTCCGATCATTGCTCGTTTTGACCTTCTTCGGAGCAGGAGTTGGCTCTCTCGATCGTAAGTCCGAAGTCTCCTGAACAGCATCTCGGATAGTCTGCCTCGAGAGACACAAGTCGATATGCTCGTTGAACTCCTTCTCGTTAGCAGCTTGAGGCCTGGAGCAGATCGGACAATCCCACCACTCCTCTTCTTCCTGGTTTTCTTGTTTCTTCGGATTTGGGACAATCTCCTTGCCATGATGTCTTCGTTTGTCGATTTCTTGGCTCAAACTTTCAAGCTCGTTCAATTCATCTTCACGTTCTTGTCGTTCTGCGTCTTCGAACAGTAGCTCTTCCGGTATAGCTTCCCATCCATCGTCATCTTCAAGGGTATCTGCTCTCCGCTTGGCTGTCGACGATGGACTGTCTGGTTCTCCGCTCTCATTAGGTCGTTTTTTGAATCCGAAAAATGCCATCGTATCCGGTTTCTTCATGCTGACCAAGTGAGTACACCGGAGGCCCATAAGTCGTAATCTCAGGCCTGGAAATTCCTGCTCTAGCTTCGATAACATTGGAACAGAATATTTGTATAGATCATCGGCCACATACACAGCCTTTGGCGGAATGACTTGTCGAGTAAATACTTCGTATGTATGTAGCTTGACCTTCAAGCACAATGTTCGGCCTTTGAATTGTGTTCGCACCATATCCTTTTCCAGTTCCTCGGCAGTAGCTCGAAGTTTATCTCGAAGTTCGACTGGATCTGACATATCACCAAATGTGCTTTCTGTGCCCACGCTCTTCCTTTCGTATTCCTCAGCAGGCTGAACCGTCGTTCGTCCTAGTCCAAGATAGCATGACATAAGAAAAGCAAATGCCTTTTCTCCGAATAGCTTTGACAAAAACTGTCTATAACCGTAGATATCGCCACAAGTCTTGACTCCTATAGCATCCAATTCTCTCTCGAAAACACGCCCAATGCCATTAACCTTCCTCGTAGGCAAATCTCGCATGAAAGCCATAATTTCACTCCTATCATTCGCAAGTCGAAACTGTCCATTCGGTTTGTTCTTATTCGAACAAATCTTCGCCAGCTTCGCATTCGCTGCGATGCCGGCAGATATCGTAATCTTCGTCTTCTCATGAACCTCTCTCCGAAGCTGTTCAATCGCCTCCTCCGGTCCAATCTCGTTCCTCTGGCAATATTCCGTGATATTCAAATACGCCTCATCGATACTCGCACTCTCAAACCTCGGATCGTAGTCCACAATAATCTCTCTAACCTCCTGTGCCTTCGCTGTATACTTGTCGAAATCTAACGGTATCTGAATAAGCTGCGGACACAGCTTCTTGGCCACAAACCCCGCCATCCCACTCCTACACCCGAACTTCCTCGCATGGTAGTTACACGTTGTCAAGACTCCCTTACCGACAGAGAACGGGACGTCTTTCAGCTCGGGGCGGTCCAGTTCCTCGACCGCGGCATAGAATGCATCGCAATCGATGTGCACAATCCATTGCGACAAGTCTCTTGTGAGCTCGAGTTCGGCGATATAGTCATCTGCTTTGCGACGATCGGATGCCAGGTCTAGCTTCTCGAGTTGTTTCTTCTTGGTGAGGATTCGATCGATTTTTTGGGTTAGGTTTTTGTCGCGACTTTCTTCGTTGTTGAAATACTTGGAGCCTTTGGAGGCGTTGTAGATGATTTCCGATACCTAGAGTAGGATTAGTATCTGCGAGACAGTGGGATAGGAGTGCGGAGATACCTTTTGCTGGTCGACATTGTCTTGTCCTGACTTGGTCAGAGAGGGGCCGAGAAGACTGTATTTCAAGGTATCATGCTCTTTGACAGCATGTTCGTCGATGGGCGTATCTGTCGCCATCTCGGGCTGAGTGGAGATACTTGGCTTCTCGTTGGTCATCTGCGGTCGAGAATGCAGCCATCTGAGCGGTGCTGCGGATGATAATGTTGTGTCGAGGACGAATGTTGAGGCTTGGAGAACGCGACTGAAGTCATCAAAACACGAACTTGGTACGATGCACGTGACTGCAATGTAAAATACTTCCCTGTCTAGCTAGTCACTGATCGCCAGTTACTCGTTATGAACATTTTCTCAATCTTTGATGGTTAGACAACGTCCGTTGCTAGTTATACATCTACAGTAATTTTGGTATCCTTAAACTCCAACAGACTTCACAATCCTATTCCCTTCCCAATCGCTAATATCGTGTCAATCCAAGCCAACGATGTCGTAACATATCAGAAACTCCATGCTTGCGTCGTAGGCTCATCTGAAGGCTCTGCCTTTTTCGTAATACAATACGTCTTGCCAGTCAGTCTCGGAATTCTTGCCGATCTTGGTACCCAACCACTCAATCTCATTCGATCCACCTTGGCCTCGAAGGGATTCATCTTCTTCAAAGGTGTCGTCTTTACCCATTCCTTCGCCCTGTCGATACTTTCTAAATTTTTTGCGGGCATTGTTACCCGCCGAGCAGCTTTTGAAGTGTTCGAAGCCGCAACGAAGGGATCTTCAAGTCCTCCGAGTGGCGAGATTTCCGAAGTCCGCTTGCGTTTTGATTCACGTGGCGCATCACCCCAAGGAACCGTGGTCTTGGCCGGCATAGTTGAGCGGCGGCCAGCTTTGGAGCCTGCGAATGGATCCTCCAGGTCGTCGAACGGAGAGTCTGAAGGTATCTTTCTCTTCGACTCGCGTGGTTTGGGTGATAAGTCTCGAAGACTTCCGAGTATCGGCGATTCTGGATATCCGCGAGCACAAGGCTCTTCTTCCTCTTCGACCATGACATCGTTCGAGACCATTTTCTCTCCACGGTCGGGTAATGACAGGCCTAGAAAGCTATTGTTTGGCTTTAGATGCAATCCCGTCCTAGTCGGAGTTGAGGCGGTGGACTTGGTGCCTTTATCTGTTAACCAAGGATTGGCTCTGCGTTCTTTGTACCCCTGACCGCTACCATAGCTACTCGCTCGGGAATTATCCGTGATCCAAGGAAGGGTCTTCCGCTTTTTAGACTTGTCGCTGCTACCATAGCTGCTAACCTGGGAATTAATTGGGACCCAAGGAAGGCTCTTCCGCTTTGTAGACTTGTCATCGCTTCTGCTGCTGCTGGCTTGAGATGCTCGACTCGGTGTGTCGACTCTGAGTTGGTGCTTAGCCATGATATCTTTGAGACTTGATGTAGTTTTTCTCGACTTAACACTGCTTCCTCCATTGGACGTGGAGTGGGACACTCGATTTGGTGTTTCGGCTATCTGCTTGGCTAAGTTGACTTGCTGGCTCGCGGTCTCGAAAAATGGTTTCTTCGACGTAGTTGCTTTCCGAGGTACCGCTGGCATATCATGTGCAACACCCTTCTGCATCGAGGAGCACTCCTTGGACGGAAATGTAACAACGTCGTCAAGAACCATGCCGCTCTCCTCAGTCTCGATCGATGCAATGATTTGACTAGCTCCCGGAGATGACAAGTTGACTGTATCCGGCTCTCCAAAGAATTTTCTCCTGAATTTCGCTACAGTCTCAGAATCCAAAGTCAGCAGTACAGCTTCTATATTCTGAGAAGAGACGATATCGTATCGGTATATAGCTTTCGAGACGTGCCGAGAGTAGAAATCAAGACCCGTTAGGCGTTCTGTGGCCACGGTCTCGTTTACGTGCTTACGGTGGTCGGAATTCATGACTCTGATAAAGTCGTCGCAGTGTGGGATGGTCGTTCCACGCTCCGTTTTCAGCCACTCGAGATAGACCAGGGCTTTGGTGAATTCGACTTCACTTCCATCATACTCAGGATATGTTTCTCTGAATTCGTCGTAAAACACAAGTGGGGGTGAGGACGTGGTGCTCATAATTCTGTTTGGTGCCACTTGAGAAAGATGTACATCTGCTGAAAGCGCTGGGAAGCTCGCATTATGCTCAGGAGACGGGCTTCTTAAATCCAAAACGACCTTAGAAGCAGAAAGCAGTGCGTCTGGTGCTTCAGCGATGGGTTGATGGGCAGTTGAAGTATCGCCAAGCGAACCTTCCACGTAGGTGCTGGAAATTCGTACTTCCGCATAAGCAGTAGGATTGACTGCGTGATTTCTCTTTTCCGGACTTGGTAGCAGTGGCGACCTAGATATCACAGGGTCAATTTTCCCTGCGTGAAGCTTCTCTAGAAAGCTATTTCTCCGTGCTCTTGCCATCTCTTTTGGTTTACCACGTCCAAAATCGGGCTTTAAAGGCTTCGACGACTTGGAGGACTTGTCCTCCAAGCTGACAAATTCCGGTGCGATCTCGACAGTATGAGAAGCTCCTAGAGAGCTTACACGTGGTGATAATTGCTTGGATCTTCGACCAGTAGCTGGAATTTGAACAATTGACGATGTCGACGGTTCTAGATCGGGGAGAGAACTCAAAGCGTCCATCGCTAAAGGTGTACAAGGAGGAAAGGTTGCAGGGATTACTAAATTAGAGGATGAGTCCGAAGAGGTCGGACGGGTGTTTGCTGTTGCAACTTTTGACATCTTAGGACTAAGAGGACAATTCTTCGTTGCATGTATATGAGCGAAAGGAGTCTTCTCGACCTGAATTTGTTCTCCTTTGAAAGGGCCAGTACATGGCAATTCTTGGGAGGTTTCGGGACCCTCATGCTGCTCTTGGCTTCCTTCAACCATGTCGCCAACGCCATACGGCACAGCCAGATCCAGCTCGTCTTCTTCAGCAGGGCTGCTTGACCGAATGTCGGCCAGTTGGAACCGTGGACGTACTGACTGAATTCTGGTGGGCGACTTGGTGTGTGTCTTCCGTTCCGCAGAGGGTAATTCCTGCTCCTCGAAGTCGGAACATGAGGCTTCAGCATTCTCACTCATGGGACTTGTATGAAATTCGTCTTCTTTACTGGCTTGAGAAATGGGTCCACGGATGCTTTGGGGCTCACCCAGATTTTCTAACTGGCATTTGGCTGCGGTTGGCAAGACTTCAAGTTCCCTTATGTCTCTGACAGGACTAGGCGACCATAAGAAAGACTCGTCACCAGACAACTCTTCATTGACACCTATGTTTTCAGGATTCGCCTCAGGATCGTCATATGGGCTTACTGGCCGTGCAGTCGCATCGGAGCCTAGACTGGAGTTGAAATTGGGTATCTGCGGAAGTATGGGGCTCTGCAAAGCCGCGCCATTAAGCTTGGACGGTGACGCAAGTTTTTGGTCGGCCTCTTCATGGATTTGCGATCGAGTTGAGATCAGCCTAGTTGATTGTCCTGATTCACCGTCCTCTTCGCTATCCTCTTCACTATCCTCTTCACTATATTCCTCGCTATCTTCATCTTCTGCGCCTTCCTCTTCCTCATCATTATTCTCGTCGTGCGGTTCTTCGATACTTGACTCCTGTTGACGCTTGAGGAAGACATCCATTTCTTGTTGCACTTGTGGAGGAAGTCTGGCATAGCTAATCCGGCCATCAGTCTGTGGGGTAAACCAACTGCCGTTTCCTTCCAAAAGGGCTTGCTGTGCCTTCGGAATTCGAACAAACTTTCGTGGTACCCGCTTCAGGCCTTCAAACGGATTTGAATCTTGGAAGGGATCAACAAAGAGAACAGAAGGGTTTGAATCGGCTCTCTCCGAAACGATAGGTTCAGTCAAAGCGTTTGCTTTCTCAGAAGCTTCTCGTCTCGCTCTCTGCAAAATTTCCTGGCTGTTTTCCTTTTCACTATCGTCCGATAAAGGAGGTTCGATTTCGGCGACTCTTGGCTTCTTGGCTTGGGGTTGACTAGACGGCCTGGAAAGATCAGAAAAGCTTGATTGGGTCGTAAATAGGGTTTCCTGCCTGTTGGCTCTAGTTTCGCGAGCTGTTATCATCTCTTTAGCCCGCCGTTCTGAAATTGGCCTGAGAATCGAATGTGAAGAAGAAGCTTTGGCGTCGAATGCTAAAGCTCCAGTTGAACGTCCCTCAACTCCCTCAGCTACAGGATTTGATGCCTTTCCTGCTGGGCGGGGCTTCTTTAGAAGCATTTCTAAAAGTTTCTCATTGGGCGCTTTAGAGACTTCTTTGGGCTTTCCTGACTCTTCTTGGTGATTTGGTATCTGAGTCGCCATTTGAGTCATCAGTTGTTGAGTTCCTAGCGGGTTAAGAGATAAGCCAAATCTAGCCGCGGGAGTGTCCTCCTGGGAATGGATAGAAGACGGCGAACAGGACACAACAGACTCCTGATCTTGTCGGTCATCTTGGAACGCTTGTGACACTCTTTCCACAATTCGCTGTAATGCTTGGTCTTGCATGATATCAATTGGCTTGCCAAAGGGAGCAGATCCTTCGGAACCTTTCAATTTAAAAGCTCTGACGAACAGACGAGGGCAGGCTGGTAATCCGGATTGCAATTTGAGGATCAAAGTCCTTGGTCAGCTGAGTTGCCCAAACGGAGGACATATTACAGGACATACTATATCATAGTCGCTGATGGCAATGACCGCACCCTTGAGCTCAAAGAAGCTGCGGCTGGAACTTTTTTTAAACGATTCCACGCAAGCAGGATCGAATTCTGCTTTGATGATTGTTTCTTCGTCACAGATCCCATGAACAGAATCGCTACCGAGCTGGGAGAAGTTAGCATTTCACGTTCGGAGTCTGAGGGGGGGAAATACGTACATCGATGATCTGAACAAGTCCAACCTTGGTGATAGGTATCTTTAAGGTGGGTTCATTAACGTTAAATTTATTGTTCTCTTGGAGCTTCAGCAACTCGGACTTCACCACCCGGGCAATCCATGGTCTCATCACACGAGACATCGCTGGGTACGTGTGACTTTCGTGTCAACGCGCTTCAACTTTAATGTAGACTCATGATTTGACGGAGGTGTTGTGGCGGACCTTGGAAGAATTACCGTCAATGATGATTCGTAGTCCAGTAAACTTTCGGTTGGTGAAGAGGTTTCGAAGATTTTTGATGGTGAATTTGTTTGCACCACAAAGGAGTGGTCGTCAGAGGTGGAAAATCCCGGCGACGCGGTACGCGTTCTTAGCGCAAGGCTGAAATTGATTTTTGTGCACTAAGCGCCACAGTCACCAGCCATACCCCCACACTTGTTCAGCCACATGCAGTGTGACGGCGGCCGTCTGGACCTGTAAGAGCAAGAAGGTACAATCACGAGTCCCGGAAGCTTTTTGACTCACAAAGTAACTCGAACATCGCCGTCGGCCGCCACTTGCCATATACAAATCTGCTTTGAATGCCCGACATATGTGCCGAACATGTTGAGAAGCTTTGCCACTAGTTAACAAGTCAGTCCAAGCCAACAAGCATTCCTACCTTGTCCATCACTACTTGAAGCCTGGCTAACCATCTCAAAGACCATGCAGCACATCCTCATTCCTACAATTCACATCAAACCATCCAAGTCGATGACATGATCTGCCACCACGACAGCCGGACTTGCGGCATCATAATCCGACCCAAATCCTAATCCCGCCTGCTGCATCATCGCAAGCAATAGCAAGCGCCATCGAAGCTCTGCTATTGCGGACAAAAACATCGCCAGCATGTCTACTCAAGATTCCTCCCAGACCTCTACAGGTCCCCCTCCGTTACTAGCCCTAGGCCTTCGTTCACGACGTGGGTCCTTAGCTTCCATTTCGGGGTCAACACCCATTGACAGGGAGCAACTGGCCCAGGCCCTTGACAAAATACACAATACTGCGAGCCACTCTGAGACTCTTACGACATTCAACGAATTTGCTTCGCCCCCACCTCCAGCTGCAAGCACAGAAAGTAAAGGGTTGGTCAACGATATTATGCCAAATGGACTCAGTGGGCTCTATAGTCGGTTTCGTGGTGCTGTTACTGGAGGCAAAGAGAAAAGCGGCCCGTCGTCCAATAAGGGAGATAATGATAGCATTGAAAATGGATCCACGAAGAGCCAAAGCGCAACCACTCCCACATCGAAAGGATCCATTGCACCAACTAGAGAGGATAGTGGTGTTACCGCAACCTCGCAGATCTCAGCGTCCTCTTCCCGCCTTCAGTCACCTACGGCTTCGTCGTTCCTTGGGCATTCTTCCGAGAGCCAGTCAATGATGAAGTCTTCAAAAGGCTCAATGGGTTCCACAGCAGCTACGACACCTGGCACAGCCAAGTCAGGAACCTCTTCTAAACCCTCCATGACCCCTATAACAAAAGCTACAATATCTACACCTACTACTGCCACAGTTGCCCCTATCAGCGTCACCGCTTTCAAAGAGGGCGACAATAATCGTTCAAATACAGAAATGTGTGTAGCAGAAGCCAGGACTTTGAGTCCTACCACAACTCACGACCAATCTAACACATTTGGATTTGGCGAACCTCAGCAAACCAGACGCCCAATGGTCGATGGATCTGCAATCGATGATTCTGAAGCTTCTGACGACGAAGCTGGCGATGAGGCTAGTATTGCGACCAACCCAGACTCTGCTCAAGATCGTGAGTATACTGGTGGCGACGGAAGTCTAGAGATCGGAAAAAAGAATGGAATAGCAAAGACCGCAACCTCCGCTTTGTCTTCCCTGCGAGACTCAACACGAGCTAGTAAACAAGATGGTCCCAAACGGCCAGCTGCAATTGAGCGCATCACACAGTCTCACCTACCAGGTTACCAGGCTTCAAGGGCATCTTCCACAGATCGCAGTACTGCCGAGACAAGCCCAGTAAACACTTCAGCACACAACAGCGTCCGACATGGATCTTTCTCAGTGGATGAAGGACCTCAGTATGGCTATATGGGTAAACGACGTATTCCAGGCACAATATCAACAGAAGGCGCCTCAGAAGTTGTTGGCGCACGCCTGGAGCAAATGAGAAAGCAAGTTTTGAGCAAGGAATTCTGGATGGCTGACGAAATATGCAAAGAATGTTTTCTTTGTGGCGACACCTTCACCGCGTTTCGAAGGAAGCATCATTGTCGAACTTGTGGCTGTATTTTTGATTCTAAATGTACCTCTATCATCTCAGGTCAGCGTTTTGGAGTACAGGGTTCTTTGAGAGTCTGTAAGACTTGCCTCGATATTATAAATCGCCGCCACGAGAGCAGTGGCTCCGACGATTCTGCTGATGACGAGTCCGCTCTTCCTACTTTCTTCCAGTCTCAGCAAGCAAAATACGAGTCGTCCACCAAGGCCGGGTCATCAGAACCAATCGAGCACGCTCAAGAAGGGGAAATCATAGGTGGAAGTGACCGCACCCGGCCATTGACAACACCAATGATGGCTATTCCAGCTGCGAGAAGAATTGGTGATTCCACTAATCGACGCTCAGCGGTCCTGGAGATTGATGCGCCACCGCAGTTAAGCCGTCCAAGCTCGTCAAGGTCCCTGAAAGCTCTGTCAACATCTGCTCGTCCTCCGTCGTCTGGTCACAAGCGACACCACTCAAAACACAATTTATTTGGCCGGTTCAAGTCTACCGCCGAAGAACGAGCGCCATTCCACAGGGGCTTGAAGGACGACCTTAACAAGAGGTCGCACTTACCTGCATTTCACGATGACAATATTATCGATCCTGATCTAGCCCCCTATATGTCAGATGAAGGCTCCAGTGCAGACGAGCATTTAAGCATCTTTTCAACCATGAACAGTGGCAGCGTTGCAAGTCCAGTCTTCGAGAATGATAGATCTGGGTTTGGGTCTTTGTTAAGTGCTGGCAAGAAACATAGGTCTAGGGCTGGGGAAAAGAGTGTCAGCGGGGTCAGCTTCACGAGCCGTGGGTTAGATGATGGCGGCAGCACAACAGTTGTCGGCTTTTCGCGACCAAACAGAAGGCGAAATATGAGTGCTGCCAGCAACAATTACAATCACTCTCGACCATCTCCACGACAACAAACGCCAGCATTTGGTGATCTAGATGAGCAGGTGGTAGATACAGAAGCATCTTCGGCTCCATCTAACAGTGGACCGTCGAGAATGACTCGGAGCGCATCTATGAGGGATGCTCGGGCACCCGCTATAGAATTGAACAATGCCAGCTTGCATCACGTACGACGCCTTCTGCATCAGCTTTTGGAAGACGCAAATATACCTAATGTTTCCTCTTGGGAAAAGGCACTCATACCAATCCTCCTTCAATGCACAGACGATGTGAATCCTGATGTTAGAGCTGGGGATGATATTGATATACGGCACTACGTCAAGCTGAAAAAAATACCTGGTGGCAAGCCTGGAGATACTTCTTACGTATCTGGCGTCGTCTTCACCAAAAACTTAGCGTTGAAAAGTATGCCACGGAGTATCTCGAATCCTCGCATTGTCATTATATCATTTGCCATCGAATATCAGAGGCACCAGCATCACTTCATGAGCTTGGAGCCCGTCATTGCTCAGGAGAAAGAATTTCTAAGGAATATGGTCAACCGTATTGCTTCTCTTCGACCACAGTTGTTGCTGGTGCAGAAAAATATCTCTGGTTTAGCTTTGCAATACCTAGCGGAAGCAAATATTGCTGTGGCTTACAACGTCAAGCAGTCAGTCATCGAAGCCGTTTCACGCTGCGCTCAGACCGAGATTATTTCATCCATTGATATGGTTGCTCTAAAGCCCGTCCATATAGGTAAGAGCGCAGGTTTTGATGTCAAGACATTCGTACACAGCGATATTCCGGGCAAAAAGAAGACGTATTTTTACCTTTCCGGCTGTCCCAAGGAGCTCGGCTGTACGATTGCACTACGTGGAGCCAGCATGGACATCTTGCACAAGATGAAGAGAATCACGGAGTTCATGGTCTACGTTGTCTACAATCTCAAGCTTGAGACTTGCCTTATGCGGGATGAGTTTGTTCTCATTCCTTCAGTAGCTGAAAACAGTGGGAACATTTCTCCAAATAGACTACAAGCAGCTCAGTCCAGGGTTGTGAGTCCGATGACTTCTAAGGACACTATTGCTGCCGCCAGCGACAAATTGACTGCAGTTGCTGAAGATGCCAGGAAACTGCGGGATGCCAGAAATCTGAATGATGGCCCGAAACCTGTTATCAGTACAAGACCAATCGCAATTGATGGCACCGCTGCCGTTCTCTCACAATCACCAGAAGATCAGAAGCCAGAGTCTCAAACAGAAGCAGCAAGATTGGTCTCTGCTCATGAATCTCACGCTCATGGTTCTCAAGAAGATCTTTTACCAGAAGATATACCTATGCCCACCTTCTATAGCGACATGGTGGCGAAGCATCGAACTAAGATTTTGTCAGCCTCGCCGTTTGTCAAATTTGTACAGCCATATTTGTTGATGACGGCTCGGGAACAAGAACGCAGACTTGTTTACTTGAGAAGACTACGAGACCTGGATACCTATGAAGAACAAACCGAGACAGAGAAGGCCAAGCCGCAGAAGTTCCAGCTCATTAAACCTGAAATGGTACATGAGACTGTCAAGAGAGCGCCTCGACAGATTATGGAAGTACTTCATGCAGTCCATGATGCCGAATATGATAAGGCTCTCCACGTTTACCAGACCCAAAAAAGACAATGGGAGAATTACATCCAAGGCAACCTCAATTTATTTGATCCATACGCACATCAAAACATCACAGTCTTATACACTGTCGTTTGTACGGCGACTACAATCCCTTGCGCCGGGCCCGATCTACTCGCTCTAGCATTCTACAACGAGCACGCTGAGTTTGAGCCGGATTGTACCTTGGGTCAATACGTGGAAGACTTATGCTTAAGTGTCAACACGGTCTGCACCTCGAATGGTTGCGAGCGCAAGATGTCTGAGCATCATCGAACGTACGTTCATGGGGAAGCACGCATCACCGTTTTCGTGGAGAAATCGCCTTGCAAAATCAAAGGATTACAAGATTCTATATTGATGTGGAGTTACTGCAAAATTTGTCAAAAAGAAACACAAGTCATGCCGATGTCAGAAAGTACGTGGAAATACTCTCTCGGGAAATACCTTGAATTGTCGTTCTGGAGTAGCGAGCTCCATCTTAGAGCAGGGTTTTGTCCACATGACATCCACCGCGACCATCTTCGATACTTCGGATTTCGGAACGTTGCAATTCGGGTGCATTATGATCCAATCGACCTCCTTGAGATCATTGTTCCACGCACTAGGGTGACTTGGAAAGTGGATAATGACCTGAGACTGAAGAACGACCTGTTCACAAAAATAGAGGAGCGGTGGAATCGCTTTATGGCGTCAGTTCATTCGAGAATCCAGGGAATCAATATTGACAGTGTTGCACCTGAGAAGGCCGAAGCTTGCAAAGCCGAGGTAGAAGGACTTGCCAAAAGGGCCCAAGAAGAGCACGCAGGGATGATTCGAAAACTCCAAGAGAAATACATGACCTCGAAATACTATGAGATCATTCCACTAAATCGAGCTGTAAGAGCAATGCAGGAAAAGGTGGCAGAATGGGACGATGCATTCTCGGATTTTGACACCAACTTCTTCCCGTCTGAGAAAGATATCAGAAAACTCGCTGCCTTGCAGCTCAAGAAAATGTTCATTGACCGCGACGATGCAGCTACCTCTATCTCAACAGAGCCGACAGACCTGACCTCTGACGTAGACGAAAAGTCACCCAGTGCATCACTAGAGTTGACCCGCAATAATTCCAATATTTCTGCAGAAGAAGCACGGGAAGTCTTGACATCTGTGGTAGAGGAGCAACTTGGTATTGCAAACCCTGCCACTTCAGAACCCCCTGTTCCAGAGATCCCACATGGTCCGCCTGAGGCCTCGGAGCTTGACCGCGAAGGCATCGATCACCTGGATCTGGCCTATGCCAAGAAGGAAGAAGAACCTGAGCCAACACCTACTGAAACCCCGTTTGCAACTGATTTGTCGTCTATCGCGACTCCATCCGAATCAGATGCTACATCATCGCAACTTGTAGAAACACCGCTAGAGTCTACGCTATCAGAGAAGATCGAGAAACTTCGTCGAGCAAATATGGCAAGCCCAGAACCGGGGTCTGTATCCGAAGTATCTGGTATTCCACGTCCATCCGAGCGCGGCACATCCAGACCGGGCGGTTCGGCATCATCACCTCCGCTAATCCGCACTCAGTCACAACCCGCGGGAACCATGCGTCGTATTCACCCAAGCTCCCGAACTCACTCAAGACAAGGTGACCACAAGGCAGTTGGTGAGGTTTTGACTCCTACTCTTGAAGGCCTGAAGCCCTCCGCCACTGAACCCATCGCGAAAGCGACCGACAAAAAGCTCGCAGAGAGATTCGGTTTGGGCTCCATGAAAGCTCGAAAGGGTCAGTCGTATATACCTCGATCCACGGGGTCCCATGCGAAGCGGAAAGACTCGAAGGTAACAACATTAGCCAAACACTTTGAGCAACTAAGTCGCGAGTTTGAGAAAGAGCGTCTCCGAGATAAGAAACAGCGCGCTGCTCGAGTGACGCAGTCACGAGGAGCGTTTCCTAAAGCATCCTCAAAGCCTATTGTTGAAGTTTACAAAGATGCCAATGAAGCAGTTGAAGAGCGTGGCCCAACTGACGAACAGTTGCAAGCCGCTCAGCCTACAAATACCAACACCGAGTCAATCAGCACTATCGAAGGTCTCGCCGAAATGAACAAGGATGATACAGCTGGCGACACTGCTCCTCACTCTCCAACGGATGGCGGTGTCACAGCAGATGAAACGGCTACCGAAACCGATGACAATCACAACAATGTTAGCCAGACAGGCTCGGACGATGATGGAGCAGGAAGTGACGCTGATCATTCGTTGCTTGATGATATTCCTGGTGTAGCAGAGATTGCTGAATCGTTGAGATCGTCAAAATTATCTACTGATACCCAGGAGGACATTCCCAAACACGAAAAGTCGAGTTTGATGAAAGTGTTGACAACCTTTTGGGCAGAACGTTCGGCCAGTGGTTGGACACCTCTGGACTATCCTACCAATGCTGGTGATCATATCTTTGCAGACATGGACGTCATTGTTCGAGAAGACGAGCCCAGCTCATTGATAGCCTTTGCTCTCCAGACACAGGACTATAAAGACAAATTGGCGGATATTCGAAACCAGGGCCAAGCTCACTCCAGGAAGGAACCCCGGCCAACCTCCAACCAGGGTGGACCTCCTGACATATGTGAAGATGGTATCGATCAAGCCGAAGTCGAAACGTCACTCCTTCGAGCAACTGGGACTCATTTAGCATACTCATTTGTTGATGGTTCAGCGCGAATGCAATGCAAGATTTTCTTCGCAGAGCAATTCGATGCTGTGCGACGAAAATGTGGAGTCGCAGATCGTATCGTAGAGTCATTGTCACGATGCCTGAAATGGGACTCCAAGGGAGGCAAGACCAAATCGGTGTTTTTGAAGACATTGGATGATAGGCTTGTCATCAAGTCGCTCTCTCCAATCGAGACGCAAGCCTTCTTAAAGTTCGCACCTGCATATTTCAACATCATGGCTGAAGCCCTCTTCCACGATCTGCCAACCGTCATTGCGAAGATGCTTGGTTTCTACCAGATCATTATCAAGAATCCCATCACTGGCACTGAAATCAAATGGGATGTGCTTGTTATGGAGAACTTGTTTTACGATCGTTCTCCCACTCGTATCTTCGATCTCAAGGGCTCGATGCGCAATCGCAAGATCCAGTCAACTGGAGAGCAGAACGAGGTCTTGCTTGATGAAAATATGGTGGAATTCATCTACGAGTCACCACTCTTTGCACGCGAGGTAGGCTCTCTCTTTCAACTTCCTCTAGTATTCACTAATACAGTTCTAGCATTCCAAGAAGCTGCTCAGAGCAGCTATCTTCAACGATACTCTCTTCCTCCAAAGGAACGATGTTATGGACTATTCATTGATGGTAGCAGTCGACGAAGCCAGAAAAGAGCTCGTAGTCGGCATCATCGACGTTGTGCGGACGTATACCTGGGTAAGATTCCTGTTCCCAATCACCCATTCTAAGACTGACATTTTCAAGGACAAAAAGCTCGAGTCCTGGATCAAAGATCGAGGATTCGCAGGCGGTGGACGGAACAAACCTACTGTCACTTCGCCCAAGGTATTATTCCCGTTCCCAACATGCGAGTTCCGTCTAACAGGGTACAGGAATACAAATCTCGATTCCGTGAAGCCATGAATAGATACATCCTCCAAGGTACGCCGTCGCTCCTTCCAAGGGCAGTAAAGTAATGCAAACTAACAGCCCCACAGCACCGAATAGCTGGCATCAATGGCAACAGGTCGAGACACGACCTCATGCTAGAATAGAAGCGAGACCAGAAAGCAGAGTCGATAATGAACAATAGAGTTCATTTCATGATGAATGATGACTACGACGATTACGAACATAGAAGAGCAGGAGCATTCAGCGGAGCGTAGGAGTTAGGATTGAGGGGGACCACCATAGTCTTTTAGTGCTTTGACGGAGCATAGGTAGTTGAATTACATTAAAAAGTCCTCTTTACCTCTCCGGGGTGACTATGCATTTCTCTCAGGTCTATTCTATTGACAAACTCCTAGTTCTTGAAGTCACTCATCCAATCCAATTCAGTGCCAAGTTCAAATAGTCCAAATAAAGAAGTCAGCTCCATCCCCGCCGAATGATTTGCCACCTCCAATCACTTCAAAGTTACAACTCCTGGCAATCTGTCGACCAGGGGGGAAGGTTGACGAGGTACAGCTGCTGGTGGTGGTGCTGCTGATGGTGCTGGTGTGGCTGCTGCTGCTGATCGAGCTCTCTCCTCGGAATCGGGCTCGTTATCTGCCTCTCCGCTTGCACTTCCAAGGGGGTTTGCTTGGTTCGGTCCTTTCTCACGACTCAGGCGCCAGAAGTAGCTGCATGCTACTCCGGTGACAACTCCAACAGCAAAAGAACCAATAGCTATTCCAATGATATTCCCTGTGCTGAGCTTCTGTGTTGAAGAAGCTGATGCGCTCGAGGCTTGGCAGGTTGATACAATTGTCGAAGTAGATTGTGCGGTCGTGATCGCATTTGCTAAACCGAATACGTTGCGATTGTAGTCGACGCTCAGGTAGATCTAGGAAAGGAAGACGCCACCCAATATGGGGAATGTGAATACCCCCCCATTGTCTATGACGGCTGATTGGATTCGAGATGAATTGATCACCGCGTACTTACCCTGAGCGTCATTTCCACGTTCCAAGCTAATGAGCTCGTAGTGTGGAATTGTTACTTGGTACCCGCCCTCGAGTTCCATGATCAGTTCATTCATGAGCGGCTCGTTCGAAAATGGGTATGTCTGCGAAATATAATTGTGCGACCCGTCGCTCGGCGGATTCGAAGGATGTTGAGTCACGTTGGCCCAGACTTGGTACATGGCGGGCGAGAATTGAAATCCGTTTTCGACGGGGTTGATACATGCTGGGACTATTGCTTCTCCATCAGTCATGAGCGAGTTGCTCTTTCCATCCGAAGTGGTAACGCGAACATCCTTCAGAAAGACTTGAAGAGGGCAAGGCTGGTCCAGGTATGAAGTCGCCATACTGAAGTTTGTAAACGTTCCGTTGGCCCGGTTGCTGTTATACCCTCCGAAGAATATCTCACCGTCTATAGGGTAGTCCATGCTTCTGCTGCCATAATAGACGCCGAACTCTGGAGATGGTATCTTGCCGGACTCCAAGAGGGAAGACAGTACGGATGAACTCTTCCCCAGGCCGAGACTGCTCCTGTTCGAACTCGTCGTGTCGCTCCATACTTCGAACGGGAAATTTTGATACAGTGTTGTCGGACCCAAATGTAACGACGCCGTATCCGTACTTCACGTAGGCATCGTCGGGAGCCGGATCGATGCTTGTAACACTCCAAGATTCGCTGGTTGCAGCTTCGAAACTTGTACCGTTTGTAGGATCGAAAACACCTCCTGAAGCCCCTATGCACTGTGATTGTGTTGACTGGCTACTTGACGTGCAATCGAGAGAGTTACGAATGCTGGTGTTATTGCGAGTGAAATCCAGGCGCAAGCCTATGGTCCTCATCAGCTGCTATTTGCATAACTCTGTCTTCATTTTACAACTCACCCTCAATCTGGTTTCTAAAATTGGCAGCAATAACTCGATTCAACGCTATCCCATCCCCAGAAAGCGTGTTGTTGTCTGGTTTCTGTTCGTCAAGGTAGCATGCAAAGTATGGAGTAACATACCTATCCTCAGAACCAAAGGGGGAATTGAGCAATCATTAGACTCAACAAAGGCAAAGATTTTCAACAATGTAATAAAAAACACGAAACGATGCATGTTTGTTTGTGCCGCTATATAGCGAATGCTCTTCGATGAGCATAGTTGTGGGCCCTTTCCTTGTATTTATACTTAGAGCTATATCATCGGCCGCTGCAGAGACATATTAAGATACGGAGGCCAATGGTTAATTGTCGATATGTCGATGAGGCGGAAATGCGCTGTATGCGTTGTGAGTGGAGATATGTGAAGACATCGGGCTGGGATGGCGGCGGGCGCTCCTCGCAAGGCACGGCCGAGAATACCTATCTCGAGTTCAGATCAAGTGGGAACACGCATAATGGCGGTAAATATTCGTGGTATCGTGGCCAGACATGAGAACGCCCTGTTATCTTTGATGCTCTCGCAGAAAACAGCCTCAAAGTACTGTAGTCTGGGAAACTTTTTAGCCCACTCAAACTCGACCACGACATAAGGCTTTTAAGCCTTGTCTAAGGTCAATTCGGTGTACCTTTATGTTCAAGCCCGACTTTGCTGTTTTCTCGAAACTTCGTAGAACTGCACGAGCTCGGCGTTGAGACAAACGCTTGGCGGAATGAGCTGTCGTGGTGTTCATTGGCCATGAACGCCTCTAATTACCACGATATTCACATGAACCACGGTGCTGTAGAAAGCAGCGGTTACAAAAACGCCCATATAAAATGATCTTTGAGGGCTGCGGACGAGAAATATTGAGGAAGATTTAATTTCGCTGTGCAGTCCGGATGTGGTTGAGCAATTGAGAAGTTGACTAAATACCCACCACACCTTCCATTCCAGCAGAATCTTGCACAATGAAGACCTATCAGGCCATGATATGGGTTTCGGAGGCATACGTAGATCTTGAGGTAAATCCAGAACAGAAGCCGAGGTGCCTCAGTCAACTCCCATCATCAATCATTTAAAAAATGCAAACACAGTCTTCTCATCAATCTATATCCCAGCTCAATCCCTCCTCCCATTACAGTCAAAATGAGGTTAAGAATGACAAGGGTGTGAGTGGGTATGGGAATTGGAAACCCCGAGGGCTGTGGAGTTTGGTGTTCGATTACTAGGAGATCATTATCCATATACCGATATTGTCTCATTCCAAATCATGGAATTCGGTCCCTTACCTTCACTGCTTTGCTGTTTTGATGGACCTTTTCAAAGCCTCTTCAAGTAAAGAGCTTAGTGGACAACTTCATCGAGACAGGCGCCTCGCCGATTTCATGGATTTTCGCGTCCAAGCAACTACTCGGAAGCATTCTTTCTCAAAATAGGACACTGATCCAGTGATTGCGTAAGGCTAGCTTTAGTGTCACTAATACGTACATTATTGCGTCCATGTTATTCGCCCTGGGAGTGTTTACCTGCAGAGCTGTGTTATCATGCTGCTGAGTGCACCGACAATTGAAATTTGCAGAGAGGGCCATGTCGCATCTTACGCAGGTCAAGGGAGGAATAAACAGGGGCAATAGAGGGTTTTTGTTCTCACGAGTCGAGGATTTCTGCATCTTCAAATCTCAAGCGTTACAAATATTGATCTTCAAAACACCCTCGCTTAATTACCCCTCAGATTACCTATCAAACACCACCACCAAAAGACCAAAAAAAAACCTCGATACAAGAAAACAAACAAATCCGAATCTTACCACTCAGAGTCCTTGAGGAAAAAAATGAAAAGACAAAAGCAACCAAAAAAGACAAAACGTCTAGGCACACAGATTTCTCTGTGTGCCTAACCGCCCAAGCGCGAAGCATTGTCCGATTCGAAATGGCGTGTTAGAGGCGGCGAAATGGCGATTTTTCTGGGGAGGGGACACCAACCCGGTCCTGTTAGGGGCCCGCGGCCCAACCGGATTGGATGGCAAGGGATTGCTTATTTAGATCTATCTATATTGTGGATTTAGCGAGGCGAGACGAGGCTGGGCTACGTAGCTCGGGGTAAGTGGAAGGTGATATGTGAGAGTGAAGGCGAGAGATGTATGTTGAGTTGTTTGATTTTTACTATGATGCTATTATTTTCGTTAAGCGTCTGCAATGTTGCTTTTATTGGTAAACTGTAGACTCACGTCTTAGTACGATTTATTTAGAATGATTATTGAGCAGATTATAGGAGGTTATGTGACGGAATAGCAGTGCTCTCAATCAGTATAGTTGAAACTTTGCTAGCCCATCAACCCTGATAGCAAAAGAGCCTTATATATGACTCTCGAATCATAACGGCGCTTTGTTAACCGTAAGATAGTATGCAAGCTACGATGTTCGCAGACATCGATCTTCAAATATGCCTTGTCATTTGTGAGCAAAGTCTCTTGTCAGTAAATCCAACCGCTTCAAAATCGTGCTCAACAAAATCGCCCTTTCTTGTGGTTTCCAAGGCATAGAATTAGAAACGCTCCAAAGTTTCTGGTGAATGTTCGTCTCGCAACTCATCAACTGATTCGAAAGCTGTACCCTATGACTTAAGCGAGGCTAGACAAGACTCCACTCTAGCATTCTTGAACTTTCCCTGAAACTATAAAATCCCCTCAAATACCTTCGAGTCTGACATCTGCGGCACAAGTTGGTACCTTACGTATCGTGCAGAATCATCGCAGTGATTTTTACATTCAAGAATATCGGAACTTAGAGTGGCTATGAGATTGGCTATGAAATAATTGTCCTCAGATTTATGCATGAGACCAAGCCCCGGGGGCTTAAAAGATTTGAACCCTTATACGAGGGTAGACCTCTGCTTTCTCCTCAGCTATCGTGTTACATATCGTCTCTTTTGCCAAGTGTAGAGCAAGCTAGCGACAATATTCCCCTCGACGGCAAATGAAGTATTGTACTAATTCACTTCCCCCATCAGCATCCTCAAGTCATCAAACAATGATAAGCCCACTCCCAACACCAACACTCGTTGTTCCGACTCCAAACAATTGCTGAGCGCAAAAATATGATGAAGTGAATGCGCTACCATTGTCCTCCTCGCTTAGCGAACTCGACCCCTTTTCATGATCCGAATAGCCTCACAATACCAACCCTCAAATCCGCCGCGCACAATACCTATGGCAGCGCTCCGACGCAACAATTGTAACGGCTTCTACCATATTTTCTATATAATCTCCCAGTCTCAGGCTTTTTCCGAACTTCTTTTTCTTCAGCAAATTGGCTCAGTACGATCAGACTCTGCTGTTTTCTTCAATCCACACAAAAACCAACTTGCGCCTTTTGGCATTCTATCTTCCATCAAGGGTTCGATTCCCTTCTTCAAATCAGACAACCACCACCACCACCACCACACCATCATGGCTCAACGACAGTCCCGCGCCGCCGCTCTCCCTCTCAACCAACGACCACGGACCCGAACCGTCGTCAGCGCCCTCGGCATCCCTCTCGTTGCGCTCCAACCGAACTACGCCGCGCCACCACGACCCCAAGCCCTGGCCGCGCCAGCATTCTCGGTCGACCTCAGCGTCTCGACCTTCGACCTCGGAGCTCGGGGCTACGCCAATGACGCGGAGCCAGGACACGTGGAGCACGTCTTTCGTGGGCGGACCACATTCATCACGAGGGCGGAGTGGGAGGATCCTGCGTTCCGAGCGGGACTCCGGAGGGCGGAGGACGAGATTAGGGCGAGGGAGAGGAGGGAGAGGTTGAGGCGGGCGAGGGAAGGGGGTAGGGGACGGAGGGCCAGACGGGCGGCGTTTAGGGGAGGGGAGAGGTTGAGAGTCAGGGGGAGGTTCGTTACGAGGTGGCAGTGGCAGGTAGATGTTTGGAACAATCAGTGAAATGGCGGGAGACGGGCCAGGCGGAGGAGGGAACGGTGTATGAATGGAATGATCTTGTCTTGGGGGCGCTTGCGCTCCGATCTTCCTGCAAGTTATCTCTTCTCGTGCTGTGAATGGTGACTTGGCTTGATTTTGTATTGAACATCCTAATCTTCTTCGATCAGACTTCGATCTTGGTTATTGAGGGTAACTTCTTGGCTATATTGAACAATAGGTAATACATCAAAACTCCTCCATGTACTGGATTATGATTGGCATGTACATAACTTGCGCTGAGAATGCCAAATGCCAGGCTCACTGCAAATCAAGCCTGAGCATTGATATAAGTGTGGTTCACTTGCCACACGAGAGTTCTATCACAAGTCTTCTCACTCACCACGAAGTATTTGAAAAGCTTCCTTGACCCGACTTTTGAGGGAACAAGAACCTTTTGAATAAGGACCCCAACTCCGAAAGCGAAACATGAAGCATGAAAAACGAGACATCTTCATAACAACTACTCTGGGACTGGACATTGCCATGGGTTGTTCAAGCTTCAATTCTAGCCAATGCAATAAAAGCAAGTATGCTTGAGTATTATCGAAAGTGTCGAAGTTCTTCATAGGATGTGTACTGGTTCTCATCTGCAGGGCTTCCGATCTGTTGGTCTGCCTCAGTGTTTGGAATTTGCAATATCATGTTGGTTCTCGCCTATGTCTTTTTCCTTGTAGCTGACTATCACAGATGTAGTGTCCGTAACCAGTGCGTTGGACCACTCCGGGAGTTCAAGAGCCATGCAGACGCCGAAACTTGCAGCTTGGCCAGCAAGGAATATAGCCCAACAGGGATCACTTCCAGCTGACACATGCGTCTGGTAGCCTTGAATATGGGGTTTGATGCTCCATTTCTCTGCCCAGAAAGAGGGCTGGACATTGAAGAAGTTGCGATTCCCAGCATGGGTCGTAGAATCGATAGATTTGACTTCGAGATTCTCAGCCAAGGCCTCAATTACATCCTGGATAGTGACATAGCCAACAAGCTGTCCGTTGACGCGACCAGCTAGCGAAGTGTTGGGGTAGATGTCTTCCGCGCTTCGCTCAATGCTGAGGTGTAGGGGGACGTCTGGCGCAACAACTTCCAGTGGGCCGATCCAAGCCTGAGTTGAATAGGTATTTGCAGGGGGAGTCTGAGTTGACGTATCGTAACTGAGTCGTGCCGACCCAATGCTTCGAATGTACCCATCTGGATGGACAGGGATCGTACCATAGAACTGGTCTACACATCGAAGTCCTAAAGCCTCTGGGATAGGCTTCATGGCAAATAGTAAAGACGGCAGCACTCCGTATATGCCATTTCGGTAACCAATTGAGTAGTTTTCTATGGCGGACTGTGGACTTCGGACGGGGATGGCACCAGCGTGTACTCCAGCCACAATATCTATCGCTCTCCCAAGTGGCAAACTATCTATGAGACCTTCATCTAAGAGCTCGAGAGCTACTGACATCCAGCCAAATGCCGAGAACGACAAGTCAACTGAAGTAACATGTTGCAACTTTGAAAAGTCCTTGCCACCTAACAAACTCGAGACTGCAAACAAGATTGATGCAGTGAGAACCCTGAAATTTGCGACTTCTTTCGTAAGCGGTTTTCCCTTATTTGCTCCTTGCATGCTCAAGAGAACAGCATCAATGTGTCTCTCATTAGCTATTCCCACGTAGCTATAGCAGTGAGCTAGATGGTCTCCAGAGTTGGTGAAGTGGAATGATGCTAATCTTCTAGCCTCGGAAGACGGCTTCTCAGGGTGCTTGGTCCATCTCGGGACTGATTGCAAGCCGACGTTTGCGTCTTTATGAACGACCTTCCAATCGAATGAAAGATTTTCAGTAACCCACCGCAGGACTTTGTCGAAGATTGTCTGAAATGGCTCTGGATGATGTCTCTCATCGACATGTGGTAGTCCGTTCAGAAATACAGATCCTATTGTCGTGAACCGGTAGTGGTGAAAGAAAACTGTTTCGCAATATGGAGAATTCTCGGACAACATCATGGTATCCGTAGGTGAAGTGCCTCCGAGGACTAGAATCACCCCTCTCGAGATTTGAGGCTCATCTCCATCACCACTCCAGCACGTAAGCTCTCCTACCATGTAACCAATCTCTCGGAGACACACTGCAACTCTCAGGACCAACGCACTTCGAGTGTGGTAGATTTTGACCTTTTCTTGTCCTAGCCATTGCAATAGACCACCGACCATGTAGCTCTCGAGTTTTCGACCTTCATATGCCGGTCTTTTATCTTTCGCCGGATTCATGACGCAGAATGGTAAGTTCGAGGCCCAGATGGCATTGTTGAACCTTTGCGTAAGAGAACGGCCAGCTCCTTCGTTCAAGATCTTCTCGTGATTGTCGTTGAGTTGAGCGTGAAGAGCCTCTCTGAGACCAGCCATTTCTTCCTCCCCTGGGAAGAGCTTTGGAGCAAGACATTGCATGAAGAGATGTACAGCCTGGCGGCCACCACATTCATGTGCAAGTGCGCAAATTGTCTGTCCCAACAATTGAGTCTCAAAGGTTCCTCCAAATGCGTGACGGGTATCGAGATCATCCAGGCGCACGATTCCATAGCTTGTAAGCACCTGACACGTAATTGGCTCAATTCGCATCCGCTTCACAAGTGTGTCGATGGTCTTTGTACCGCTTTTCTTTCGAACGTACGAGAAGAGGCGCTGGACACCAGAAAGACCTCCCAACCAGCCCCAAGCAGAAGTGGCCGCATTCAAGGCAGCAACGAGCTCAGCCGGACCGACTTGGATGGCGGAGAGTGTGCCATTTTCAGAGATCTTGATAACAGCAGTCATGATGAATGAATGGGATACTGTACGCCAAAGTGATTCGTGGGTGATGCATACATACAGACTTTGGATGATGAACTGGGGCGAAGTTTTCGCCCTGTGCGAGGTTTTCACCTCGAGCAGGCAGGAGCTACCGCAGCCTCGTGAAGATTTGGGAAAACCCAATGACGACTTGTCACATGTTGATCGACCTACTAGCATGCTATTACACGCTCAAAGTCTGACGCCCGAAACATGCTGGACCAAATGACTGTCAACCTGGGGCAGTGCAATACTTTTGCAAGTAGGAAGCTAGAATTCGCAAGCAACGTCCATTTCCCCAACAAACAATGATGCTGCGCACTTCGGAAAAAGCAAATATAGAGTGAGTATAACACTGTAGAGCTAGAGGTCTACCAAGACTTAGTGTAATTGGCAATAGCTGGTCAACACCCTCCGGCTCCGTGATGTGAATCTCGTACACGAGTTGATAATTGGGAGGGAATACATTACGATGTTGTGAACTCTTGCTGGATCGGCGCCTCGGTCCAATCCGTAAACTTTTGAGCTTAGCATTGCTGCTAAATATCTTCTCATCGACATCCATAAACTGTAAATGAATTCATTTTAGAGTGGGATATTATTGATGCCTGAGACATCGATTCTACCAGGTAGTGGTGCCTGAAGTCACGGGACACCGCGTTTGAGTCGACGCGCTTCTGACGAACGACCTCATCATCCCAACAAACTTCGGGTCGCGGCATCGACTTCGATGTTGCCACGCATTACGAAACCATCTGCGACGATAATATGTGGGTTCTAGACACCGAAGGCGATGCCTTCAAAGGTATGCAAAGCAAAGCGCGATTATATCCTCAAATACTAACCAGAATCAGGCAAGCGATTATGGCTCCGGCCTGGGAAGCGGTTCCTCATCGGTAGAACACAATCAGAAGGTATGCGATCGTGACAATGTTCAGGTCTCTGCTGACTTGGCAGATGGTCAATTTCTTGTAGTTGACAAGACTATATCGCGGAAACATTTGGTAGTTGAGGTGGACGAAGTTCCGCCTGCAGATTGCGTTGGTATCCCACGCTCCATCATATAACAAAACCTCACATTCTCAGGCAAATCCGAAGTTACGATCAAAGATAACACTCACGGATCTGAAGACGAAGATAGGCACATTAGTGAATGGTGAGCAAATTCGTGGCAGGGAATATGTGCTTGACCAGCCAGAGAATATTGTCACTATCGGAAAATACCCCTATCACTTCCGGTACGAGCTCTTTCTGTCATGAATATTCGGAACTAATGTTGTTCAAGTTTCAACTGGGTACCTGTTACACTCTCCTACACCTTAACGGCCAAAGAGTTGAAAGCAAACCCATGGACTGCGCTCTACGAACGACTCGGACCTCTCGATATCAAAGTTCTGCAAGACTTCCAAGCCGGTGTCACTACGCATGTTGTTGCGAAGAAGCGCAATACCTCGAAGGGACTACAGGCGTTGATCGGCGGAAAACATATCGTGCACAATGATTCGTTTGTCCAAGCTCTTGTAGCCGCTGCAACGCCTGGGGCAAGCGGGGCTGCTCCTCTGGAAGAAGATTTCGAGGCCAACTTTCCTGATCCTCTCGACTATCTCCCTCCCAAAGGCGAAGAACCAACTCAGCGGGAGCTGAGCGCTTATGCTCCCGATCCAGCCAGACAAGACATGTTTGAGGGGTACACATTTGTCTTCTACGAGAGACGTCAACATGACAATCTCTTCAAGCCCATCTCAGAAGGCGGAGGTAAAGTATCTTTGATGGAAGTCAAGCCTGAAAGTACAACAGTCGAAGATTTTGTCAGACATGTTAAAGGTTTGGCTGGTGAGAAGGGTTTAGGAGAATTTCAAGATGGCACTGAGGGAAAGGGTGTGATTGTGGTAAGATTCAACCCGGTCAAAGGAGAAGGCACAGAGTGGTTTGCAGAATTTGGCCGAAATGTTGCCCTTCATTTGGATCACCGTCTCATCGAGCAGAATGAGTTCTTAGATGCCATATTAGGTAATGATGCCAGCGTACTCAGAAAACCTCTTGAGGTAGAGATGTCTGGTGTTGTAGCTCCTCCTCCAACAGATGGTACGTAAATCTCTTATCTATCAACTGCTGTTACTAATCATTACAGTTACCAATGTCAGCTTCCAAGCTCCTCCTAGCTCTGCTCAAATGCAGAATGCTACTCAACTCAGTTCTATGGCGCCTCCATCACCACCACGAAGAGGCAGATCTCGTCGGACGGTCAAGAAAAACTTTGGGTTCGATGATGATGACTTCTCTGGCCCGATAGCAAGTTCGATACCCGAACCGCAGCCGGAATCTATGCCAGTGGATTCATCTGCAGCGGTGGAGTCGCAACCACACTCACAAGGCCTCTTCGTAACCCAAGATCCTAATATGGAAATCGACAGAGAAGAGTCTCCACCTAGAAGTCCCGGCAAGCGAAAGCGAGATCCGTCTCCTATTTTCGAAGATTCAGAAGAGGAAAATCTGTTAGATCAGCTTGCTCCTGCGGCAGCAGCTTTCAAGAAGCAAAAGCTTGCACGAGGAGAATCAATCGCCAGGCCTGCACCAGTAATCCCGAAGCCGGAACCACGCAAACCTCCCGCTCCCACAAAAGTCAAACAAGAAATCAACGTCGTTGAGATTGCTCGGCAAAAGCAAGAGGAAGCCAGAGCTCTGGCAGTAGCCGAGCGCGAATCACTCATGGAACAACTAGAAGGCATGGACGTCGATCAAATGCGCAACCTAGCAATCATCGAAGAAGTGCCCGTCGTCAGAAAACCACCACCAATCCGCACCTCTCGTGCAGACGAGAGTGATCGCTGGGACGACAAATGGAATGGCCGGAAAGACTTCAAACGCTTCAGACGTAGAGGTGCAACTGGCAATAGGAAAAACGAACGAGTCATAGTCCCCCTGGAAGAAGCTAAGAATAAAGACTTCGGTATCGGTGATGATTATTGGGGTGGTGAGATTGATAGCCAGAAGAAAAAGAAGAAGGGGAAAGAAACCCAAAGTCAAAATGAGAGTGGTGGTAGTGCACCGAAGAGTCGAGCAGCTAATCGAGCAAGACAGATCCTTGCTTCGGAAGCTGAAGAGGAGTTCGGTTCTCCTGAACCAGAACCTGAACCGGCGAACATCGCTTCGTCGTCAGATGTCGAGATTGTTCCTCCGCCAAAATCGAAGGCTAAAGCTGCTGCTACTACTACTACTAGGGGATCACGCTCCCAGAAATCGGTCACGAGTCAGGAGTCGACGACTCAGAGCAGGGGCAAGAGAGCTGCTGAATCGTCGGCGTCGAGTAGTAAACAGCCGCCCGCGAAGAAACAGAAACAGTTGTCTTTGATGAAGGGGAGGCAGCAGAGCGAGGACGAGGATGAGGATAGTGATGATGATTTGAAGTTTAAGTTTAGGCGGAAGAAATGAGCGGGAGTCACGTTGGGTGTATTTGGGAGTTTTCGGGATATGGTTGTATAGCTTTGCTGGGCATAAAAGTATACTGACTTGAGTTGGCATATCCGTCTGTCTTGTGAGTGGGAGTGAGTGGATGGGGTATCATGTCTGTCTATTGTCTACCTCTATACATAGATAGCAACCCCAGCTATTCTAATTCTTCTGGCTCTTCTAGCTGCCCTCTCTATCTCTACAACAAACAAAATAAGCACCGCTAACCTCTAAACTCCAAACTCCATTCCCATGCCCCATCCCCTCTTAACCTCCCCCAAATCAATCAATCAATCCATATCCTCCAACCCCCCTCCCCCAACCACATCCTCCTCCGTAACAGCAACCCCAACCAAACACCCCTCCAACATCCCCTCCCAATTAACCCACGGATGCACCTCCCCAAACAACCGCGTCCCATCCCGTCCCGCACACCTCAACAACTCCCCCTCGCCCCCCGGATGATACGGCAAATACGGCGTGATATTATACACCTTCCCCCCTAGCACCGTCCACGCATCGTTCCGCACCCTCTCTCCATCCACGCTGAAACTCGGCGGTTTGACAAACTTGCCGTTATGCAAGGAGAGTAATGAAGGCGGGACTTTCAGGTAAGGTGTTGAGAGTGGGAGACCGCGCAGGTTGGCGGTGGGCGAGGAGGAGAGGCGCGCCCAGTCTAGCGGGGAGTGGCCGGGTGTTAGGAGGACTTTTTTTCGGGGTTTGAGGGGGGGTTGGGTGTGTGTTGGGGGTGGGGAGAGGGTTGTTGTTGCTGTTTTGAGAGAGGGGGGGTTGCGGTTTGGGAGGGAGGAGGAGGAGGGTCGGGGGGGTGGGAGCATGAGGCCTGTGGTTGGGAGGGGATTTAGACGTGGTGGGCCTCTTGAGGAGGGAGCGGAGGCTCTTTGGGCGGAGTTTAGGGCGGGGAAGGAGGGTGGTGGGAGGGTGTTTTCTTGTTCTTCGTCTGAGGAGGAGGAGGAGTCATTGTTGTTGAGAGTGAATGTTGGAGGAGGAGGAGGAGGGGCGGCGTTGGAGATTGGTAGTGGGGGTGGTGGCATTGCTTTGCGGTCCGAGGCTTGCTTGTCGGTGTCTATTGTCATCGTCGTCGCGAGGACCGGAATCTTTTCCTCTTGGAGGAGAGGGATCATTTTCGGGGTCGAAGGGTCATCGTTGTTGTGTCGAGGAGCTGCCGGCGCATCGGCTTCCTTCTTCGTGGATATCTCTTGGATGGAGGGGCGGATGAGCCATGACAGGATGGACCATGAGGATGGCGGATGGCGGTAGCAGAGATAGGAAACGGAGGCCACGAGAATGGAGATGCCAAGTAGCATGATATGGAGACGTCGTTGTCGTTGATAACGCTTTTATATTTATTTGTTTGTTAATTTTGCTGGCTCGGATGCCGTCGAGATCGGCTATCAGAGCACAAGTCAACCCGCCGTGCTGACATTGGCAAGGAGAAGAGGCGCTTTTTTTCTCCGCAGAGCCAGGGCATCCTCGTCGCGTTTTGAACAGATGCAGGGGACCATAAAGGACGAGGGCAACAGAATGACGCGCTGGTCCCCGCTGCAGGGCGTCTGTATGGTCGCGGTGTTTGTCCGTCTGTTACCGCATGAATCTCATCTTGCCGTGCAGATAGAAAGAGGGGCACAAGCCAATGTTGTGACAACAAACGAACCATTTCATATGACCTGCACAAAGTATTATAGACCGACAGGACACGAGAGGAATTATCAGACGAAAATATAGAAAAGTAAATAAATCAGGATTTTTTGCACCCTTTCATCCTTTCTCGTCTTCTAATCCATCTATCTATCCATCCATCGTGAAACATATTAATGATCCTTTCTTTAATGTTCGGTCGGTTTTCGTGCTCTTGTTCTGGTCTGGCCTGGCCCTCGGTGATGGTCCCTTGGTAGCGAGCCCAAGATGCGTGCGGCACTTCTAGCAACCGTTTCGGCCTCGCGCTCCAAGAATCTCGAAAACAACAATCTCAACAACCTCAATGACTCCAATGTCGCCACCCCAACTCGACGACCGCCAACACGACCACCCGCTCGCTCGCCTCTGCAATCCAGAGACGGCAATGCCATGATGAGAGTGCCTCCGAAGGCACCTCTAGCATCCAAACCCGGGAACGCCAATTCGAAGATGCCCTTCGATAAGCAGCAGAGACCCATCATGCCCACCCTCTCTGCCTCCGCGAAAACCTCCAATCGAGCACCTTTGACACCTAGAGTAGCGGGCGCAACTCCTTCGTCTGCGACGACGACACCGCTTTCTCGACGTACCATACGTCCTGACAATAACACACCGATCACTGCGTCCAGGGAGGATATATATCTGAGCAACAATATCACGCCAAGATCAGGGTCACGGAAATCTCGTGTCGATTCTCCAAACAATGGAACAGCACTTGACTACGCATCTCCAAATGAGCCTCGAGTCGCTCAATCGGGCCCGGTTTACAATGGCGCATTGAATGTAAATGGGATTGATAAAGATATACCAAAACGACCAACCGTGTCATTCAGTCCTGCTCTATCTGAAGTCGGGACTTCAAGGGTCCAGAGCCAGAATGCTCCGCCGGAATCGAAGTTCTTCTTTGCAAGTGACGCAAAGACAGTCACACAACCATCCAGACCACCCCTCCAATCGAAAGCTTCCAGTTCGACTTTTTTGTATGCTAACGGAGAAGTCGCGCCTCTTACTCAAGCCTCGACTACACCTGCTGGATCTGTAGTAGGCGAGGAAAGGGCACAACCTAAGTTCTTTCATGCGAATGGCACACCAGACCTTCCACCAGCCAACTATCCACCCAGACCAAGTTCCGTTCTTTCCTCGTCCTCTCGAGCATCGCCTAGAGTTGGTACAGCAAGTCCTGGACCTATATCACCTCTACAACGACCAGCTTCTCCTTCCAAGTTGAATCAATATGCCTCGATATCATCCTTACGTTCCACCCCATCGTTACCATCACCCGTTTTGCCACGTCCACAACCGACTGGACGAGGGCAATCTGCGAATAGTATTGTAGCGAATCGAAGGACAAGTTTTGAGGGCCAGAGGATGACAAGTCATGGAAGATCTTCGAGTCTTGGATCGACAGATGTGAAAGTACTGCCGGCGAGGAAAATCTCAGGCGGTAGTCAAGTTGAGCTTTCTGCACCGAATTCGCCACCGAACCAGATTTTGAAGGGACTTCCAGTATCTACACCCGAAGAAGTTACGCAGGAGGAAGACAACGACGATACCAATTCAGGTCTAAGAAGTCCAATCAAGACTGGCAAGACTTTGGAGGAATTGAATGAATTGGCTGCGAATGCCCGGCGAGAAAGGAAGGTTCTGGACTTAGAGATCACAAATTCGTCACTGGAAGCTATAAACAGGACGTTGGAGCGAGAAATGAGGAAACAAACCGCCGAGCTGAGACGGTATAGGAGGTTGAGTCGATCAGGACGACTGTCAATCAATACAGTAGCATCATCACGAATATCGACCGATACCCTATCGATCATGGACGGTGAAGCAGGTACTATGCTCTCTGACATGAGCGAAGAAGAGGACGAGGACCCGGAGGACGAATCAGAATTTTCAGAGGAAGAATTCTCAGACGAAGCATCACTTAGTCCCAGTGCCATGGCCGAAAGCGATGCCCGCCACCGGAAACGAGACGAGAAACGCCTCCAATTGGATCTTTCAAAACATCAACAACTTTTAATCGACAGTCAGAAAATGAATCAGTCTCTCAAACGCTGTCTAGGCTGGACCGAAGTCCTCATAAACGAAGGCAAGAAAGCCCTCGAGTACCATGTCAAAGTCAGCGATGTGGAACTCGGCGGACGTGTTCTAGCACTCGACGAAATAGAGGAAAGACAACGTGAACAAGAGAATGAAGGCATGAGTGAAATCGGAGCACAAATGCTCCGAGAAGCTCGAGAGAGACAAGCAGCCGTAGCGAAGCAAATCAACGACGATTTAAATGCGGCTGCTGCTTGGGGCGGAGAAGGAAGAGATGATAGAGATAGTGGGATTGAACTCGATACTTCACAACGGGAGCAGTATGCCGAGTTGCAGTAATCGTAATCGAAAACGACACCACAACAACAAAACACCACTCCACAGAACGATACCACATTTTCCTATGTCCGGGCATATTTCGGCGGGGCGTTTTTAGGAGGGATACTTTCTTCGCATTCGTGGCGTTTGGTGCATGGAGATTACATCTATTCGTTCTTTGCGATTCTCACCACTCGACCTCGGTCGTTCGCTTTTTCTTTGTTTGTTGGGAATAGGAAGGAGGGAATCAAAGGGAAACAAGAAGAGCAAATTTCGTACTGTACTATTAACGATACCCCCTTGTGAAAAGCGAGGATTATTAGTGAGAAAGAAGAAAGGAAGGAAGGAAATTGGTACTAGGGCCTACACAGGCAGAAGAAGCGAGAGAAAGAAAGGGGAGAGAGATGATTTGGATAGTGATAGTGATAGTGATAGCGAGAATCGAGAAGATTAAGACATGATTTTAGACTTGAAAAGTGTCCCGAACCGAATAGCCGTTTAATCTTGAACTTTTCTAAATCGAGGTTAGTATAAATATTTATACAATAATATAAAAATTACGTGATATTACTTTAAAGTTATTAAAGTTTTTGTTTTCTATTACTAATTTATTAGCATTTAATTAATATTACTTACTTTAATATGCTAGTGCTGTTTATTTGCTATAGTTAGGTGCCTTGTAGATTACAGTGAGAGCTTGATTGCAGAGTGAGAGCTTGCAGAGTGAGAGCTTGCAGAGTGAGAGCTTGCAGAGTGAGAGTTTGAGCTTGAACTTCTGGCTTGACTTAGAGTAGGGTCTTTGGATTAGAGCTTTGATCTTAGTAGCACTGTGAGCTAGCACCGAATACTATACACTCTCACCTGGCATTCTCACCTGGTAAGAGTTGTAAGCATTACTCGTGGCCCTATTTTTTAACCGAGAACCACCAAAATTTAGTATACCTCACCTACTTCACCTATTAATTTTTATATATCAACAACCTTTAATTTAAAAGTTTTTCTTGTAAAGTTTGAGTTTTTTACATGTAGAATTCGAAAAATTAGACAGATTTTTTTGATTCGGGTTGCAGTAGTAAAAGTTCATGCTCTCAAAATAAGTATAATTTTAAGGACCAGACCCAGCTATAGCAAAAAAAAACTCCTAATAAACTATAGCTTTACCCTTGACTGTAATAACGTTTTTAATCTTGTAAGTGAGTTTTTTAGTGTAGTATTTGAAGTTTTTAGGGTTTATCCTATCCCACAATACTTAAATCTCTCGCTCCAAATCTCATACTCCTATTGTGCTCTCGCTTAAGTCGAAACCCCCCTATTTTTGAATGCAACGCAACCCAATAAAAAATAAGAATAATAAAAAAACGCTCTTTGCAGATTAACCTTCAATTGAAATACTATTCATTTATTATTTTTTTATTTTTTTTCTATTAAGTAAAGGTTGTAATGCGGGGTCTCAAAGTCAGTGAGTTATACCAAATTTTGGTGGTTCTCGGTTAAAAAATAGGGCCACGAGTAATGCTCACAACTCTTACTCACACTTAGCACTTTCACTTGTGCCTTTGAGCTTGAAGATCGAGTCTAAGGACTATGCATAAGGACTAAATCAAGTGGGAGTATTAATGTGAATTCATAGCATAGCAAGGTAAGCGGCGATAAGCATAGGAGGGGTAGTCTAGCCTAAGGCACAAAATGCTTCATAAAAATATGCCGACCTCGATTTAGGAAAAGTCAACCCTAATCTTCATCGCTCTCAATCATAAACCCTGATTTCCTAGCTTCGAAATAGAACTTTTCCTCCCCAATCTCAATTCTTCTTCTAGTGGCGGCCTGTAACCAGGTGGCCTAGCCCTTTCATTGAGGTAACTTTCAACAAGCTTACTCATATGATCTTGTTCAAGATCCGGCCCAGATGGTGTTTGGCCGCGAGGATTGACTTATATCAGTAGTATTGGCTCCATCGACTTCGAGAGTTAGAGGAATCGTAGAAAAAAATGTGGCCGAGTCGTGTTCGTAGGCGCGAAGTTTGCGGCTAGATTCGATATTTTTTATACTTTCGTCGACGTCTTTAATACTACGCTTTCTCTTATTACTAACATGTTTAATATTAAGTAATTTCACGGCGGCTATAGCAAAACATAGATCTACAGAGAACAGTTGAGCCGCGACAGTTTGCAACACTTTTAGGTGGATTCCTACGATATCGATAAATCTAACGCTATCGAGCTTCAAGAAGCTATTAACTCGATGTTTAAATAGTATCAGGATGCGATTAAGTGCTACGTGTATTTGCCAGATGTTTCGCGAAGATGGGAGTTACCAATGAAAGAATCCTATACTTCATCAAATGACTGGAAAGAAAGTCCATCTAGAAGGGACGGAAAGGGAATCCAAGAAGTCACGAAAGTTGCCGTATACACACTCTATTAAGAGACACATCAAAGCCGAGGCTATCAAGATCACCCTTCCAGTACGAAGCGTTGCGAACCAAAGATGATACTATTCGGCTACTGGTTCTGTGGCCGTTCGAGAATGAACAAGACGAATTGGATTACAGTTTGATCGAAGCAGTGCCAACAAGCATAACAAGTTACTTCCATCTTGAGTCTCTTCTCTAACCCGTCGAAATGATCCATGAGCACAAGATCCAACCACCTTAACCGCCGGCTTTCGAAAATCCGGACTCTGAGGTATGAAGATATCGAGGCTGATGTCGAGAGAGGAAGTTGTGGGAAGGGAATGACAGCGACCGTGATATCAAAGCTAAACGGTCGCAGCAGTGGATGAGTGTCTCAGGAAATATCTTGGTGGACGTTCCTCCGAGTTGGCAGCTAAGTTGTGTGCGGTATCAGCCCCTGTGCATTGTACGAGTCTCCGTTCTTCAAACCCACAATGGATTGGAACTGTTTGAGGCCTTGGTATGCAATTATGGCTGCCCATATCGTGGCGACAGTGCCCAAGATATTGAGTACGAATGAGCAAAGGGCTAGTAGGTCGCTGGGAGACATTGAAGATGCTGAGGTGAAGTCAGATCGGGTCACAGCTAACAGCTGTTGATGGTGGGCACTTACACATTGAGAGATCTGACTTTCGACGTGGGGAAAGTCATTGATCACAGCTGTGAATCGACTGGCCTACATCTATATGATGAATGGGATGAAGGTGAGTGCCGGCTTCATATGTTAATATCTTTCGATCACTGCACAACAAGTTCGTTGTTCCTCAACGAGGAGGCTCCAGAGAGAAAAGTACTATCCAACTTCAACAGCACTTCGAACCCACTCTTTGAGACACCTAATTCTCCTTAGACCAATTAAATGTAATAACCCTCCATATTCGTCGAATCAAAAAAGTACTATTTAGAAAATAGCCCAACTCATATATTCTCCGGCTAGCTCGTCGCATCTTAAGTTGAGGCGACAAACCAGACTTTGAAACCACGTCAAGCCAGAAGTCATCGGGAAGATAGTCCTTTTCTTCTCCGCGAAGGAGAGGCGACAGCCACGAGACGCTGATACGCTCGGCTGCGTAGTACTTTTGGTGATTGGCCGTGTGGTTACTCGAGTACAGCCCTCTTTTGTGGCCTAACCGCCAACACCGTCACCCTCACCCTAATGCATGCTGATAAAACGTTCATAGTACTTTTGTCAGACAGGGGCCAGGCCTATGCCTGATGAGGCTGAGCCCTCCATCTCACCTCCCACGCTCACATATCTCAGGTTGTCTACATATCAACCCATCTTTTCTCATCATCTTTCTCGTCGTCTTTCTCATCGTCTTTCTCATCATCGCAATAATGAATTCATCTTACGACACGTTGATAGAGGAGGCAGATGGGGGGTTACCATCTGGTGGCCAACCGACGTCGCAGCTATCCCCATCATTCCAGCCTCTCTACTCGGCTCAGGCTCCTGTCCTAAAGAACTTCAATAACAACAATCCACACAATCAGTTTACTCATCCCGTAATCGGAATTCCTATTTGCGCATACCCCGAAAATATCACGTCCTTGCAAATGGAAGGATCAGATACGATGATGCCAGTGTCGGGCCTGCACCAGTCGATGCAGGCAATGTTTGGGCCTCTAGTCGAGTCACAGCCTTCTCTTTCTTTAGATCAAACTCGCTTGATTGATGTCAATGACCAAGACTTGACTTGCGATCAAAATTCCGGCAGTGATCTGAACTTTCAGATGGGATTGTCTAATCCTTTAATGCAGATTGTGGAGCTTCCACAGCCACCGCAAGCATGGTCCGGGCCTTCAGCCCATCTTTTTGGGCAATTAAATACATCGCACCTGGATCAATCAACATTCGGCCTTTTGACCTTACCTCAGAATGCCTTAGGTCTTGGTGCAACACCGTCTTCTCTTGTGACTCCGCACCAACTAGAGGCAGAAAGCCATGCACAACAGTCTTTCGGAGCAGCTCAGCCTGCACCACGCAAGCGGGCGCCAAAAGCTTCAACTATGTCTGCAGAAAAGTGGGAGCCGGCCGAGTCCCGGATTCGACAGCTCTTTCTGGACGAGGAACGCAGTTACAAGGAAGTCATGGACATCGTCAACCAAGAGTTTGGGTTCACTGCTACGTAAGTCGTCGAATCTTCAATTCTGACTAGTATTTACTCTGTGAATAGAGAGCGCCAATATAAAGCAAAAGTTCTGCAAATGAAGCTCAAGAGAAATGTGGAGGCGAGTAAACGAAGAGTGATCGTGCGACATATTCAGCATCGAAAGCAAAGCTCAGGAAAAGTAACAAAGCTCGTCAGAGTTCAGGGCCATAGGAAATCAGAAGCCATTATTCAAAAATGGATGAAGGAGTACCCCGAATTGAATAGGCCCATTCATTGTATTCCCCCTTCGCGTAAGTCAGCGACCGAAGAGTAAGTTCTACTTACTAACGTCTGCAGCCCTCCCAAGTCAGATAAGCCTCCGCACAGGGTCTCATGTGGCATCGCCCAACCTTTCAATTTGCAGTTTTTCCAACCGAAATATTCGTTCAGCCGAGTCCCCATGGTTACACGCCGCCGTGGGAACCCCAGTCGAGCGACTCCTGAGCTGCGCCCAAGGATCCAACACCATGCTTAAGTCAGAGCAATGCGGTGCGATACTCAACGATTTCCAGCATATTTTGAGTTCTGGTAGCGACATATCCCAATGTCCGGAACATGATAGTTGGAGTTCGGTTGTCGAGGAAGATCTTATTAACATTCGGAATCGGATGAACATGACTAATGAGATTCGATTGGAAAATGGATACAAAGGTATGTCAATCCAGTAAAATTTAAGACAGGTTTACTGATTATCTGCTCAGATTCAAGCCAACTTGAGCCTCGTTCGCATCGCAATCTCCTCAGCGGCTCATCCAAGATCATCCGTGGGTTCGGGAGCAGGAGAACGCCTTACGGGAGAGTAACCGCAGTTTTCTGGCAAAACAAGTCTTCTTTACAGGACGATTCTGTTAAAGAGAACCAATCAACACAAAGTTCAATCGCCGCACAAATTGCAATACACCCAAATGGCGAGACTTCTTCCCCGTTTCGAATTGTTCTTGACTTGGATACACGTCTCAATCCATTAGCAAGAATCACTTACCAGGCAATGATCCCAAACAATTCCGAGATTTTCACCATCATAGAGCATGGCGAACTGAAAGATCTAACAAGAGCTCTGGAAAGTAGGATGGCTAGCCTGAGCGACCGGGATGAGAATGGCAGGTCACTTCTTAATGTAGGTTAAGCAGGCCGCGTTGATTTTCCTGCATTAGATCTTGGTTAACTTTGAATGACAGTACGCCATCACCTTTTCTCGAGTCAATATGCTCAAGTTCTTGCTCGAAACCGGTTTTGACCCTGATGCGATTGAACCTAATTATTGTGGCGACTTACTGTATGATGTTGTCTGCTCTCCTACTGTCCTGCTGTCCTGCTATGTCTATATGAGACGCTACATTACTAACACTAGTCAAACATAGACCTCTATCTCTGGTCAAAGCAAGGGTCACGGCCGAGACCTCAGACGAGTTCGAGCTCGATGCCAGATCCGAATGTTTTAGACTCATGCTTCAAGCTGACGCAGACATTCATGCAACATGTAATGAAGATATTAGCATCTTTGAATATATGCTTTGGGGGGAAACTTCAGTGAGCTCTAATGACTATCCAAGGGCCTTTTCGGTTCCCACTAACGTTCAAACGACTACTTTGAAATACGCCATTCGCCTTGGTGGACCCCTCGTCCATCCTCGCATGCTCATCTCAGATTCAGATACTAGACATGGTGGGGCAAAGTGTTCGCCCTTAATGATACTTGCGTCAGAAAGTGGCTATAGAGCTACTGATATACTTCATATCTTGGAGAAAGCAATCATTCTTCTGAAATGGGGAGTGGAGATCTCGTGCCGAGACCTCAACGGTAATACCGTTTTACACAGAGTTCTATGTTGTCATCGCCGGTACACAATATGTCATGGTCTAAGACCCTTCCTTGAACCAGGAGAGCTCTTGAAAATATTTATCGCGGCGGGAGCTGATATATACGCACTGAATAACGCAGGAAGGTCTGCGTCTAGGACTGCGAGGAACTTTGGTCGAGAGAAGGAGTGGTCGGAAGCACTCCAGTTTTGCGGTTTCGACCCGGAAGAGGTCATGGCTCAAACCATGCCGAAGTACAAACCATACATGGGGCCGCGTCATACCCCAACACTTACTTTCGGCGAGTACTGCAGAACTTGGGACGAAGAGAAATGGGCTGAGAAGATGAGTTGGGATCATGAGGCCGACAGTGGGAAGAACGAGGATGGGGCTTACGAGCCGGGGCTGAAAGAATACTATTGGGAGAAAGGGCAGCGGTGGGGAAGGAGAGAGCGGAAGCAGCGTAAAATGATCATGAAGAGGGAGGCCAAGGCACGGAGCAAAGCCGAAGCGGGCAGCTCCCATGCTATCGGAGGTGACTGCTGTTGCAATGAACACGATTTCCCCAAAGCTCCCGACAATATGGAGGACGAGGACGAGAGCGAAAATGAAGACTCAACTGACGACTTCACCGAATATTCAAGCGACTATCCACTCGAAACTTGGGGTTACAGCTCGGGTGACGATTCGGGCGATGACCTTGCAGGTGGTCATTATTACGAGCAGGAATGCCCTTCTGAGGCTAGAGACGACACGGACCACTCGATTGCCATGGATTCAGCAGAGCACATAACCTCAGCGAGCACTGCCTCTAAAGTAACGGACTACGGCAGCATCAACAATGATACTCAATGGCAACCAATGGATCCCCCGCTCTATGCAGATGAAGCACAGAGCAGAGCTGGTTCCTGGAGATATACCACCATGGAAGGAAGAAGGAATGAAGACGAGGCCAGTATGAATGGGGTAAACTTCTTTCAAAAAGTGGAGGCTCCTTTCGATGGCGCTTTTCAGACCGAGTTTGATGCTTTCATGACAGTTGATCAGAGCACCTTTCAATATGAAAGTTCACAATACTGAATGACATTGTTGTTCGACATGATGTAGAATATAAATAAGAAGTGGCTGAGCAAAAATATAATTTCCAGTGGCAAGTAGGGAGACACGCCACTTGATTGAAGCTATCAATGGTCAGGGCCGGGGGTTGTGTGTATACAGTGTTCTGGCTCAGCAGGGACATGGCGTAGACATAGGCCTGGGATCGATTCACTCCACACTCGAGTGGGATGCAGAACCAGTATAGTTTCTGCAGAACAGGGTGGGAGCAATACATTATGCTCAAACTGTGTTTAAACAGGTAAATGTGCATTGAGGTCTGTTTTATTATTAGGAAAAAGATTAAGATACCACGATTTCAGGTAGATAGGTTTTCGATACCACATTAAAGATTAGCCTACCATATAATATATTTACATTATTTTTAAGCGCAAGTTCAAACATGAGGCGGCTTGCAAATGCTAGAAAAGTGCCCTCTTCCTCCACAACTAGAGCAATGGTACGGCACCCACACCTTATCCTCCCCACCTCTTGCAGGGTCTACAAGCAACGGCTTTCTCTCAGACCATACACATCATCCTTCCCGAACCTCTCCCTTTTCGGCCTGTCATTAGTACTCGAGTGAAAGGAGTGGCACTTGGACGGTGGCAATAGTTAAAGTACTAAGATCTCATTAGGGGAGAGATATAAAGTGAAGTTAAGTGACGGTAAAATCGAGGTTGAGGCTCAAAATATCGAGCCTTGCTCCTCCCATGATATCCGAATCTTATTTTAAAAAGCTATGGTATTTTAATCTTTTCTGCCAAAAATCGTGGTATTGAAATCTTTTACCCTTTATTATTTTGTTAGTTAGTGCCGCATTTAGCTTACGCTAGCCAATCCCCAGACATTATGCTAAGCATGCGGCGCAGCTGCAAGAAGATTGTCACCTTTGGGTAGTTCCCCGCCAACAAATTCCGTATCATTGAGAAATGGCCAATAAGGCACTACTTGAAAGGGTTGCTTAAATGCGGTTGATTTTATCCGAAGAAGTAATCTAAGTGCGGTGCGCAGAAGATATATTTTTATAATTTTGCTATTGATTACTGTTTTGTTATGTGACAACAATTATTTGAATAGGCAACGTATGTACATTACTGAAAACTCGTGTATTGGAAGGGCACCGCCTGAAGTTGAATATAATTGTAAACAGCAATACTAATGACGAATTTGTCAAAGTAAATAGCAAAGGTTCCAAGACGCTTATTGCTACTTTAATCAACGTATCTAGTAGTATTGTGGAGGACTCGGAGCATGGGCCCGAGAACACTGGACTTTCTGTTCGTGCCAGCAATATAAACTCCGGATGCTCTGATTCTGTGAACGTTAAGACCCATACTACCAGCGTTCTTTGGCTATTTGACATCCTAGGAGATGGAGGTCGAACGCGGTATTGGTAAAGAAGAAAAAACACTGGAGTGTGAAGTGAACCTAGTTTTGATAGACTTATCGGCATTAGCCTTGAAAAGAAGCATGGTACTCGAAGTGGCAACAATAAAAGCGGTTTTGGAGAGTGGAGCTTTGAGACTAGATATTTTGCAGTCTTTCTTTTTTATTATAAATCAGTAGATATCATTTGAATATTATTTTCCTGTCCCTCGCCAACTTAGCCAATCTTCTTACTCTCAAGCTACACTATAAAGTACTCAATAAACTCCTTTTCCCCAAGCATTTCCTCCTTCAACTCTAATATTAGTTAATTAACTTCCAGAAAGTCATAGATCGGCTGTCACAATCACGTTCCTGGGACCCTGCGGTGTCCCAGGATACAGAGGGATCCTGGGAGTGCGTATCCCAGAGCACGTAGGGGCCCAGGGGACATGCGGAACCATTGGTTGTTTAATGGGGTAAACAACCAGACGGCTTATTGGATGGAGGAATGAGCGACCAGTGGGTCACGAGACTAGCGTCACGAGACTGCAAGCTTTGCTAGACAGCTAGCAAAGCGCGCGCGACATGCAAGATGTCTTGCACGTCTTGCATACCTTGCGAGTAGCGACTATATAGGACTGGCATTCCTGCCATTAGATAGGAGCTTTGTGCTCAACTTGATTAAGTTTTCCTAACTACAATATCATTGCCTTATCTTACTTCATTCACCATACCAACCCACGTGACCTTACCAGGGTAAGGAGAGAGTCGTGACATCGGCGTTAATCCGAGGTGGCCTCCAAATACGTTTCCGCCCCCTTTTTATTAGCTCTTTCTTTTCTTTATTTAAATAACTTCTTTACCGCTTTCGTAATAATATATTATTTAAATAATATATTTTTTTAAATAATTTTTATTATTTTTTTAATATATTTTTTTAAATAATTTTTATTATTTTTTTAATATATTTTTTTAAATAATAATTTCTGTTTTTAATTAATTAATTTTATTTATAAAATAAATAAAATAAAATAAATGAAAAATTTTTTTTAATTTTTTAATTTTTTTCGTTTTTAATTTAATTAAAATATATATTAAAAGTTCGGCTACGCTTATCCGTAAAGCAGAATAAAAAGTAGACTTCTTAATGTGCGTAGCCGTGACCCCCGTGGAGGAGCTGAGCACGATCTTGTCCAATTTAGATAAAAGTGCCATGCTTACCACGATTGCTCTCACAGTGGAAGTTCTACCGGTACCCCCTACGCCTCCTAGGTACAGCTTTACCTGATCTTCGACCATTGTGGTGGATTTGGCTCGATCGAAGTGGTACACTCCATTTATAACGATACCTACATACTGTACGTACAAGCACTCTCAATCTATCTACCATGCAAGCTCAAGCACCGCTAAACGTAATCCAACACGCGAAAAACAAAACCCCCAACCTTCATCTAGCTCTACGAACGAGGCACGTTCGGAGCATCAGCCGCCGTCTTCTCAGCCGCGTGTCCGACATCCGCACCCTTCTTATCTTTAGATTTCTTCTTTGTTTCTTTCTTTGCTGCTGCTTCGGCGACGAGTTGTTCGAAGGCCATGTAATCGCCTTCTTCTTCTGGGTTACGTTGCGCCTTTATTCTTGTTAGTTTCCCAACATAATATATGAAAGGGGATAAGGGGAGGGGGAACATACCTTCTGGAAAATCTCCCCGATAATAACTAAAGCCTGAGCACGCTCCAATCTCTTATGCAGCGAGACCTTCTTGTCGTTCAGAACCTCGTCACATACATCCCTCAACACGCTCTGGATCTCGAATTTACTGCCTCGCCACGCCGCCGTGAGGATCTTGCCTGTGACGCGACGTTCGTACTCGCTCTTCTTTTCATCAGTCCACTCTTCACCTCCTTTCTCTTCGGCTTTGGCCATCTCTTCCATGGTCATCTGGGCGTCGATTGCGGAGGATATTGTGTTCCAGGTCTCCTTGGCGAGGGTACCTTTATCCTTTAGTCGCGAGAAGAAACCGCCGATTCCGAGGAACTTTTGGGATTTGAGGAGGGCGGTGGCTTTTTGCATATAGGTTGTGCCAATGGCGTGTAGGATATCCAGACCAAAGCTTTCCATCTTCAGGTTCTCAACCTCCAACCGAGTCTTCTCTTGGAAAGCCTTTGTGACATCTGCCTCCTTGCCGGTTTCTGTCCATACCGAGATTCGATCCACGAGTTTCTTGGCCAGGGTATCAACTCTCTCTTGTCTAACTCTTGCTCGTTCCTTCTCGTACGCAGCTAACTCTTCCCGTTGAGCCTTCGACAAGCCACCCTTCTTCTTTTCCTTCTTCCTTAACTCCTTCTCCTCTTCTGTGAGTCCCGCAGCATTGAGCTGTGCGTCCTCTTCCGTCTTATCCATAATAGCTTGTCGTATCGGGATGCCCTGCCGTCTCGGTGTGCTCGTCCCGCTCGCCGAAGCAGAAGGCGTCGGACTCGAAGCTCCCTTCTCAGGCGCCAATGTACTCGCCGTCGAGAACTTCTCCGAATCCACCGTCTCCGCCACGCTCGGTGCCGGTACGCCTCCTCCAATATTAACCTTACTGCTACCCTCGCCGCTCACACTCGCAGCTTGTTCCTGCCTCGCCTTCTCCTCTGCCAGACTAGCTTTCTTGGCTTCTGCCTCCCCAGGAAATTCCTCCGCCCCTTCTCCCTCTTGCTCTTGCATCGTGATGTCCATCGTCTTGGTGAGGTCTTTCATGAGACTGATCTCTCCAATCAGGTCTACGAATGCCTCGCCGCCGAATATGGTGCCGAAGAACTCTGCTGGGTCCGCGAAACCTTCTGAAGGCAGGGCTTGGTCTTTGCCATATTTGTCGTAGGCTTTGCGGAGGTCGGTGTTGGAGAGGACTTGGTAGGCTTCACCGATCTCTTGGAAGCGTGCGTGGGCAGTTTCGTCGCCGGGGTTCTTGTCTGGGGAGAGGAGGTTAGCTGTGATGAAGGGGAGTAAGTCGCAGGTGAAGATCAAGCTGGCAGCATGCAAGGAAGGTCGTACCTGGATGCGTTACGATGGCGAGCTTTCGATAGGCCTTTTTTATATCTAATTCACTCGCATTCGGGCTCACCCCTAGAGCATCGTAATACGTTGTGTCGACGACCATCGCGCCGGTGGTTGATCGGACTGGCTTTTCGTATTATGAAGACCAAGAAAAGAAAATCGTTCCAGAAGCTCTTCTTGCGCAGGTTGCCTATCAACTAGCCAGTCCCAAAGTTGACGTTGAAAACGAGAAAAGGAGAGGAAAATGAATCGAGAGGCTGGCCTTGTGCAAGTTGCTGTAACCTAGACTGTGCCACTGTTGACGTTGAAGATGAGGCTGGGCTGGCTCGTGTTGTCGGAAACAATGACGAAGGCAAGGCTCGTCTCGTTTAATCGCATGGAGGGGCAATTTTACCTGCGCCCGGTGGAGACGACTACGAATCCGGGCAGAGAATGTTCATTCACGCAATAAAGTATAGTTGAATGGAATTATGTTCTGATTGTCTGTTACGCAGATGATCTAGACTCGGTGCGGAGGAAAATATGATGCAGAACCAACCAATGTCCCACTTCCATGTGGTACAATATGTCTACTACCTCTGAAAAGTTGAGACATGCATCAACTCACCGCACAATTCACAGAAGGATAATTCTTGTCTTTTATTTTTGCTCAACAAAAGCTAAAAAGCTCATTTTAGAATTCTAAGATTCTCAACCACTTTCTTGCCATTCAGTGCAAGGGATATCATTTCGCATTTATTTCACACCCGCAGCATGCATGCGCTGGAAGCAGCCCTTGTAAGCCTCGTGAACCTCGGGAACCTCGAAGTTGTATTCCTTGAGCTTCTTGATGAGCTTAGTGGTGTCGAGCTTGCAGTTGCTTCGGCCGGCCTTGATGACCTTGGCTTGCTCCTCCAATGTGAAGTTCTTCCAGGTGAAGTCTGGTCGGACGAATTCCTTAAAGAGGGACAGCACCTCGTTGTGGGAGATGGCACCTGGGTTAGTGAAGTTGTAGATGCCAGTATCCTTGTGCTCGGCCATGAGGATGGAGGCAGGGAGGAGATCGTGGAGGATGGTGTTGGAGTTGGGGATATCGACGACACGCTCGTACTTGGCGATCTTGGTGACGAAGTTACGGGAGTGGAGGTCGTCGCTGACTGGCATACGAAGTCTAAGGATCAAGCAGTTGCTGTAGTTTTTCATGATCTAGGTACCATTAGCTTCTGCAGTGCTGAATATGTTAGATTTGCTTACCTCCTCAACGTGTGCCTTGGTCTCGGAGTAGAAAGAACCATCAAAGTTGGCCTTGTCGGTCTCGAGGAAACCTGGGCCACCAATTGGGTGCTTGTCATCGTAGGCGTAGATGCATCCAGTAGCAAAGACAGTGATGTGGATTCCCTTCTCGTAGCAGCAATCGGCCAAGTTAATGGTACCGATAACGTTGTTTCTAATGGTCTCCTCCTTGTGATCCTCGCACCAATCGACATTGGGTCTGCCAGTGGAACCAGCAGCATTGAGGACGTGGGTGGGCTTGTATTTCTCGAGCTCAGCAATGACAGCTTCTCTGTTCTGCATGCGAACCGTGGTGGAATAGACCTTCTTTCCTGCAGAATTGTGAGCTGAGCTGCGGTGGTACTGGGTGGCGGGGGCATTTCTTACCCTGGCTCTCGAGGAGAGTCTTCAAGTGACCAGCAACCCATCCTTCACCACCCCATATGAGGAAGACGTTCTCAGAAGACATGATTGCGGTATGGAATTGTTATTGGGAGGTATTTGTGTGATGTGGAGGAAACGAAAGTGGTTGTCGGTGAGGACAATTAAATGTTGTGAAGAGAGGCGGTAGCGTGGGGATTTGTAAACCCCTCCAGAGTCCCCTTGCATCGCATACGAATCTCAGTCTAGCCTTTTTAGAGAGCTTACATGAACCGTTCGTGATACGAGGTAAATTATATTTCTATACGTCCTATAATTGTACTCATATAACCTAGATATATGTATACATCTAATTGTACTTCACCTTTCCAGACTTTTTGCTAGTCTTGAAGATTGTTATGAAGCTGTTCATGATCATGTAAATTGTGGGTTTTGACGATTGCCAGGTCACCGCCTTTCCAGCCTCAGGGGTCATAAGAGGGGAGCAACAGAGAGAACACCCGAGGTATGATTGGACGATTCGACCAGAGAAATATTGATATCAAATCGCTTTCATCCCAATCTGTTGAGGAACTTGAGGCGGACATATGAAGTAAAATGTCTGACTTCGTACAAATTATCCCAAAATAGAAATATACTTCGACTATCATCTTACATTAAATTACCTAGCACTTCTCCAACTTTTAGATCAGCAGCGATAATTCGCCACCGGCGCAGCTCCGAGGCACAAACACATGTGCATTCATGATTGATTGCTACAACTCACAATTGCAATTATTGAACAGAAAACTCGAATGAATACAACCACGAGCCTCAGCTGGACACCGGCAAGCCCCAATCCGAGTTTAATTTCACGTCTCCTATTTTCGAAAGTTATCCGAGAGGCGCAACGAGGCTTGGCGCATGCTTTTTCGGCGGACACATCTCGAAACGACGCTCTCTCCTGAACAAACCTCCCAGTGCTATTTCACGCGGCGCGCCTTCATAATTTTTTCACATCGACGACCTTTCACTCCATCTTGGATCTTCCAGGCCCTGATTCTTCGCTTATGAGTCGCTTCTCTTCTGCTGTGTAGCCTTTAATCACCTTCGTTTCTTCGCTCGTATTCCACAACGTCCTCAATCTCAGCCGCATTCACAAAACCTCGGCCAGGCCAGATACCCATCACATGATCCAAAACACTCATCATGCCCTCTGAAAACGAATCCGAGAACGCCATCCCTTTGCTCGACGTCGAGGCTCAGCGGGAAGGCGACATCAAGAGCTTCGATGCAGAGCCTTCCGTGCCGGCACTTCCCACACCAGCCAGCAATGCAGCGGTGCGGAAAAAGTTCCTGATCTGGACGGCTATCAATATGGCATCTACGATTGGGATTGTATTTACGAATAAGGCTATTTTCAACGATCCGAATTTCAAGATGATGCAGACTTCGTTTGCGTGTTTTCATTTTATATGTACTGGGCTGACGTTGTATGTTGGTAAGTCGAGCTATTTCGAGAGCCCCTGAAAAAATGGGTTGTTGCTAAAGAGAAGTCAGTTTCGAGACCGAGGATAGGAGCTTTTGTTCCTAAACGAGCTGGTATTGTCGAGATGCTGCCTGTACGTTGCCGTGCTTTACTACATCCATCCAATATCAAAATCACCTACCCCGTGATCTCCCCTTCCCCCAAACGAAAAGACTAACACACCCCAAGCTAGCCTTCTCAATGTGCCTCAACGTCGTCCTCCCCAACCTCTCCCTCGCCTTCAGCACCGTAACCGTCTACCAACTCTGTCGCGTCCTGCTCACCCCCATGACCGCCATCATAAACTTCGTCTTCTACCACGCCACCATCCCCGTCAACGCGGCTCTGGCCCTCATCCCGGTGTGCCTCGGCGTAGGAATAACATCCTACTACGACATCAAGCCCTCATCCGAGCCCACCACCGTAGAAAACACTTCCTTAACAGGAGTCATCTTTGCTCTATCCGGCGTCCTCGCTTCGTCCGCATACACGGTCCTCATCGGCGCCTACCACAAGAAACTCTCCATGTCGTCCTCCCAGCTCTTGTTGAACCAAGCCCCCATCTCGTCCGTGATGTTGATGTTCGCGATCCCGATCGTGGACAAGATCCCGGATCTGACGATCGTGCCCGAGTATCGGTGGGCCATGATCGTGATGAGCGGCGGCTTCGCGAGTTTGATCAATATCAGCCAGTTTTTTATCGTGGCGGGTAGTGGGCCGGTGAGTAGTACGGTGGTGGGGCATTTGAAGACGGTCAGTATTGTGGGGATTGGGTGGGCGGTGAGTGGGAAGAGTGTTACGGATATGAGTGCGTTGGGGGTTTTGATGACGATTGGGGGGATTGTTGTGTGAGTCTTCCTCTTCCCTTTCCCCCTTTGTTCCTGTTTGAGGAAGATACTAATGAGAGAATAGATACTCGTACATCATGTTGAACCGACCGAGAAAGTAGAGCGATGTAGTGAGAAGCTGACTGACTTGGAGTGTAAAAAGGGGTAGGTGGGCATAGAAGTCCTAAAGATTTAGGATAGAAAAACTCATTCATGTATGTTCATTTGTTACGATAGAGACGCGGATAATCTTTTTTGCATTATAATTATTCATGGTGTGTTTTCCTTTCTTGTGTACATAACTGAAGCTCATCGTTGGGAGAGCTGGCTATATAATGTAGCGCCTCCAAGCGCGAGAATGATACCTAACGCATCTTTTGCTGTGAGCATCCTTCCTTCGCTCATCCAGCCGTATGTGAGGATGATGATTGTTTTGACGCTACAATTTTAGCTAAGATCTGAATGTTTGAGGGGAAAGGCTTACTTTGAAGCGACGTTGAAAGTTAGCGCGCTCATTCGTCCGATGATCAGGAATTGGGAGAGGTTTAGAGCCGCTGCCGCAAGACCAGACAAAAACAAAGCGATGAGCGTGTCGTTCGGTATAATTGAGAAGTCCGGAACAGTGTCGAAGAACGGAACCAGAAAAGCCAGCAGTAAAACGGATATTGGGGCTTGGTTCAACAACAGCTGTGGACTTGAGACCGCGAAGTCCTTCATCTTCTTCCCGATCCACACTTGGTAGAATGCTGTAACTGTGAAAGCAGCAACTGCTATCGATACACCCAGCGCTGTGGTTCCGGTTGCTCCGGAATTTGTAAGAGCAACGCCAATACAGAGACTGGCTAAAGCACCGATTGTAGCCCCTGATATTGATTTTCCGAGGAAGAAGTATTGTAGGACTGCGACGCAGGGCGTAGTCATGATTTTGGCTAACCTGGTAGATTGTTAGCCCTGGGCAACTGAAACGATGGGTCTGTAGGCTCACTGGTAGAAGCCAATTGAATTGTATGCCAAACTCAAGTTTCCAAGAACGAGGAATCCTGCAAAGAAGGCGCAGAGAGGTATCATCTGCAGGAACGGGAGTCGTATTGGCACAAAGAGGTTGAAGGGCGACCTGCTCGCTACCCATAAGACGATCGATGTGCAAGTGAAATGCCACATGGCGAACAATATTTGCATGTTTTTGAGTTGCTTGTCTTTTAATATCCTGTTGGCACCGAGTCAGTCTGCCGTATTGACCTGTACTTGGGAGCAACGAACCAGTTGTTCAAAAAGACCAGTATAACTGTACTGGCAATATTCAGGCAGATGCAAAACCCGTCAATCACTTTCCCCCATGGCCCCTTTTGTGGTTTCCCTCCTTCCTTCGATGCTGGCGGAGAGGAATTTCTCCTCTCTTCCGCCAGCAATCCCATCTTGTTCATCTCAAGATCCTCATCGGGTGGAGTGTCGGCGACCATGACCACGGTTGGCTTTGGAATCTTGGCGTCGTCGAGGCTGACGATCGCATGCGACTTCGTAGATGTGTCCAACAGTTCTTTCCCAACGCTACGAATCCAAAGAAAGAGAGAAGCAAAAAACCAGATGCTATATCATGGTTCAACAAAAGGTAATAGAACACATCAGCAATTCAGCATTCCGTGAAGAATGCGATGCGATTCCTAGGAGATGGCTGCATGGCTACTTTTTGACATACAAACGAAATTGCTGCGCCCTGCATTAAGCTGACAGCAAGGCTGAAGATGCAGGAAAGGACCCTGAATAGCGCAACGGCTGTGATTGGTCTCAAATTCTGCTTGCTGATTGGCGAGAGCTGAACAGTCCGTCGGGGCAAACGAGCAATTCCAAGCAAATCTGAAGAATTATCACTGTGCCATTGAGTTGAAAAGAGGCATAATATTTTTGCATCAATAATTTCCTCCGATACTGTTTGCGTTACTCCGTAGGACGGACTTTACATACGTTTGGTGCCGAGAAATAAATTGTTTAGCTTTTGGGGTTCTAGTGCTGGCCCGCGGAGAGACTTTAATTCGACCCCGTTGGGACAACCGGCGGTGGAGCTTGACCGACCTTGAAAAAGAGGAGAGTGTACGAAGGATAAAAGCACAATATACTCCTCTCCATTCCCATCTGCCAATGCTCAACTCGATTTTCTGAGAGCTCCGTCGAGTTATACAGAATCGTTTGCAACCACCTTCGTGTCATTTCGTCTGAAATGAACTGTTTGTTTTTCGTCGCGACACCACAAATTTTGCTATAATTTCAAACCCAGCTTACTACTCCACCTTCGCAACATCACCACATTTTACGAACCCACCATTCACCTGCGACGTATCTCACCACATCCTTCTCTGCTCTACTTTCACAATGGGTCTTGCCAGTCAGCTGCTGTATTATTCGGTCCACCCGAATCAACTGAGATCCATCTTGCAATGGTATGCCTCAAGACCGCCGACTCCCCACACCATAGCTAATTGAAGTTTAGGAAATTATGGCACGACCCAGTTCACACGAGAAATCCAGACAAAGAGTCGCCTACTCTGCGAGAATGCTTCAAATACCTCAATCTGACCAGTCGGAGTTTCAGTTCGGTCATCCAAGAGCTCAACCCAGAACTTCTCGTCCCAGTCGCATTGTTTTACCTCATCCTGCGCGGCCTCGACACAATCGAAGATGATATGACAATACCTCTAGAGAACAAGGAGCCGCACCTGAGGAACTTTCAAAATATCCTAGAGCAAGATGGTTGGACGTACACTGAGAATGGTCCCAACGAAAAGGACAGGGAATTGCTTGTACATTTCGACGTCGTGGTCACAGAGTTCAAGTTGGTCAAGCCAGCATACAAAGCGATCATCAAGGATATCACGGACAAGATGGGCAATGGAATGGCGGACTATGCGAACAACGCGGAGCACAACGTCAATGGGGTCAACACAATCAAAGACTACGAGTTGTACTGTCATTATGTGGCAGGACTGGTTGGAGACGGTCTGACGAGATTATTCGTTGAGGCCAATCTTGCAAACCAAGCTCTTCTCAAGCGCCCAGAGCTCTCGGAATCCATGGGTCAATTCTTGCAAAAGACGAACATCATTCGTGATATCCGAGAAGATTTCGACGACAAGAGACGATTCTGGCCCAAGGAGATTTGGTCCAAGCACGTTACCAACTTTGAAGATCTTTTCGAGCCCAAGAACCTCCAAGTCGCGCTGAATTGCAGTTCGGAGATGGTCCTAAACTCTCTCAAGCACGCCGATGAATGTCTGTTCTACATGGCTGCCATCAAGGATCAGAGTGTGTTCAATTTCGTCGCAATCCCGCAGGCGATGGCTATCGCAACACTGGAGCTCGTTTTCCAGAACCCAGAGGTCTTCAAGAAGAATGTGAAGATCACCAAGGGCGATGCCTGTCAATTGATGATGGAGTCTTCACAGAATCTGAAAACAGTCAGCGAGATCTTCAAACGATACGTCCGAAGGATACACAAGAAGAACAATCCCAAGGATCCCAACTTCCTCGAGATCAGCATTGCTTGTGGAAAGGTATGTGTGATCTTGTAAGATTACGGTAGTGGTACTGATTTAGACAGGTCGAGCAATTCATCGAGTCCATCTTCCCAACACAAGATCCCAAAGCACTCGCTCTTCTTCACAAGGGCGAAATTGCCCCGGAAGACGCGAGGAAGAAGGCCGAGAGTGCCGAGGCAAACAAGGATGTCATGTACCTCATGCTCGCCGTTTTCGGTACTCTTTTAGTCATCTCTGCATTGATGGTACGTCCCTTCGCATCTATCACTTTCCACTCACTCACACAGATCAGATCGGAGCAGCCTACCTCGCCGGCGCCCGCTTCGACGTTGCAGTCAACGAACTCAAGAAAGGCAAGATCTTCCCCAAATTCGACAAAGGCAGCGAAGAGGCCCAAGGAATCGCACAGCAATACGACCATGGCGAACTATGATTGCTTTTCATCCTTTCGAACTGGTTTCATGTTTCTACTACTTAGGCCTTAATATTTTGGCCAACTCATAGGGTGAGTTAGGGCGCAACGTGGCGTGTGATTAGGTCGAGAGCATGCAATGCTGTATTATATGTCTGGCTAGGCGGATGATCAATATCTCGCTGAGTAATGCACATAATGAGTTTTATAACGTGTACTGACTTTCCTCTTGCCTCTTTTTCGTCCGTCCCCTTTTCCCTTTTTCTCTTTTTGGGGTTTGTGAAGTGTCAAGAGAACGAAAATAGCACGGATGTCAAATTGCAACTATTGTCTCTTCAATGACTGTTGGTTGTGCCGAAGATGTGCTGATATTGAAGTGCGATTGCCTGTGATGGGACGATGACCGTGTTTCCTATCCTCTGTTTGGTGGGGAGGAATGGTTGTTGGATTGCTTACATATGTATGAACGTATCCGGACTATGATATGTGGTCAAGTGGCTTTTGAAAGTAGAAAGACTAGTGTGTTTTTGGCTGTTGATGGAATTTTGAGAATGGATCGGTTTTTCGGGCTACAGTAGTTGTAACTCCGTTTATATTTGATGATTGGCAGCTAGCCTGTATTGTGCCAAGAACAAGGGGACTCTTGACTTGGGTTTTGGAGATATCTATCGTTCTTGAAGATGGCAAGTTCGATATAAATACACATCTTTGATAGATGATGATACGTTCTACACAGCGAGAAGCAAGTCTCATGGCTCGTTCCAAAGATATAATAGGTTGAGCAGAAAAGTACCTCTTTATGTTCGTTTCTCTTCCAATGGCCTGTGAACATGCATGGTTTAGTCGTCATCAAATCCAAGTCCAAGTCCACTTGTTCCAAACTCAATTTTCATTTTGTCATTTCCAACCAGAGTAGAAAGTGAACCAAGCCCGCGCTTACTTAAGCCGGCGTGAATAGCAAGCCCGACGGGGTCGAGCGGAAGCATTCCGTTCTCTCACAACCTTCTAGGAAATCTTGACTTGACACAACATCAAAGATTGTACTTCTGCGTACGGTACAGTCAAAAAATACATACACACATGTACTCAGTGCGAACTGTCCAGTCGTGCCGACCCATGTCGTTGCACAGCCTCGCCACCTTGCTTATGTACACCTGCATCACACAGCCTCACCCCGCCGAGCAGGACTCGCTATACAACATCACGATGCCACCACTGCCTTCGAGCGCAATCATTCCAATGTCTAGGCTCTGGCACTTCCTCTTAACGGTTTAAAAAATAATGGTCGTACCCTTTGGAGTCGGAGTAGGCGATTTCATCGCAGTTGGCTCTCTCATATCGAAGATATCAGTAGAACTTCAAAAGGTCAGTCTGCAGCCTCGTTTACGTTCTCTGCCGGCCTCTGATTCCTTCGATTTAGAATGGTGAAGCAGCTCCCGAATTTCAGTCTCTTCTTATCGAGCTCGAAGCTCTTGATCGGGCTCTCCGCCAGCTGCAAGACTTGCAGCCTTCTCAACATGAACTCCTACAACTCAACTCGATACGTGCCACCGCGCTCGCATGCGCACGACCCCTTCAAGACTTCCTGAACAAGATATCAAAGTTTGAACCAAGGTTGGGGACATTCGCTGTCAAGGATAATAGGTTTAAAGGCTTTCCACGGAGAATGCAATGGAGATTGCTTTTCAAGGACGATGTGGTGCAGTTGAGATCTATTCTGGGAAGCCACGTCAATACGATCAATTTACTGCTCATGACGCAGACAGTACGATCGATTACGATAGCTGAGAATGATCGTGCTGAGGCTGTCTCCGGATTGGAAAGGAAGATCATGTTACATCGTGGATTATTGGAAGATGTGAAGGGCAAAATGACGGATCTCAAGAAGCAACATTCTGAAGCGAATGTATTACTGCAAGGTCAGACGACCGTACTTCAGAGTCTTAAGACGACAAGTGACACAATCACTGCAAAGTTGGAAGACCACGATAGTAAACTGGAAGAAGTTCGTTCATCAACAGATGCTGCTGGACAGAAGGCGGCTTCCATCTTATCAACAACGACAGACATTCTTACCCTCATCACGTCTGGACTCTCGACGCTTCATTCTATTGCACTGCAACTGGCGAGGACATTCGAGCTTTGCACGAAATTCACTACCGAGATGAGGACAGCGATGGCGGAACTCCTGCAAAGGTTCTGGGTGCTGCAAACCGCACTCAATCGCATTGAACGAGCGATTCCCAAGCAGATCAGTCTTCCAACACTCCAATTCACGGATGCATTTGGGGATACCATGGCTTTACCCTACCAACTATGCCAGAAATGGTCAACTTTTCGGGAACTACTTCGCATTATGTATACCGATCGCCAAGGCTGGTTTCGAATCGATCTAGGCCAGTATCTGATAATGAATGCTCGAGGTGATCGGCTGATTAAAAAAAAGGCTTGGCAAAATATGGTCAAAGAGGGTGATCACCTGTCAATGTGTGTTGCCCTCGATGATCTCTTAGCTACCGAAGGCCATTGTCCGTTTCCTAGCTGCCAGGCTTTGTTAGACAATGCTGAAATTAGAAATGGGGGTAAAGTATGTCCTGAATGTGGTCGATGGGCATTGTCAACACCACCGCCAACGACGAAATCGGTGCATCAAAAGCTTCCCCTGTTGGACTACGAATACATTGAGCCGCATGATCTTCGCGAAGATCTGGACAATACTGAAGACGTGGAAATCTATCGACAAATATATGTTCAAGCCCGAGCCATCACCAAGGAAAATATAAAATCTGGAATCGACGCTGAGCAACGTGGTCGTGGCTCTGTTCCCTCTGAAAATACACGAACGATTCGTATAGTCTCGCCTCCCCGTGAGAAACCCGAGGAGAAGCCTATAAAGGGCATTCTTCGCCGACCTAGAGACAAGTTTCCTGAAGACCCGGCTCCCATTAGGGAGGGCGTTGCTCCATTGAAAGATGGGAAGAAAGATATACCACCAGACGCTCGGTGGACTAAGATCAGTCGGAAGCTTGTAAACCCTGCAGCTCTGGAGGCAGGGAAAGAAAGATTTGAGGCGAGGGATGACTTCGTCATTGTATTGAGAGTATTGTCGAGAGAAGAAATCCAGGCTTACGCAGATGTAACTCAGAGGATTAGAGGTTTGTCAAACCGTCACTTTCATGAGTGCGAATAGCTGACGAGGTCCAGCAACAAAGGGGTCTAGCGACAAAAAGCCCGCCACTCGTGCTAATGTAGGCGATCGAGATGAAAGACAACCTAGATCCTCGAGACATCGTCATAAGCAAGAGAGGCAACATCGCCAGTATCCAGAAAGGCAATACCGCTCTACCATCGATGATGCGAACTCAATTCGACTAGCACTTGAACAGAAGCAGAGCAGGTTATCTGTCCCTGTCCGACTGCCTGATTACATGCGAGACAGCCGCGCATCCACAACTTCTGCAACAAGACATGACTCCACAGGCTACAGAGCGGATGAGGATACCGATTACGATGGAATTCAATACACCAATCCATCAGACCTGGTGCGTGATGATTTGGAACGAACAGCAGAGCATTCAAACCATCCCCTACGAGCACGTCGCTCTGAAGTAAGTATCAGAACGAAGATTGTTACAGAAACGGGCCGGGATTCAAAAATTTGAGTAGGGACAGAGCGTACGGGGTAATTTTCGCCGACTTTTTTGCAGTGCTTTGTGGCTCGTTTTCTTAGCCACAGCTAAACTTGCGGTCTAACATTGGCCCGCCGCTCTTTTGCTATCCAAACTTCTAAACATGGCGAGTAGCTTCAGCGCCTTTCAGTGTAGTCTTTTGTCGATCGAAGATCGATTTTCAAGAGAACGTCTGCCTCTATGTCTTCCCTGCTGGAGTAGAGTTATCCTAGAAGAAACTCGAAAGGGGATTATACCGGCTAGAAATTAAGAATGACAGCCTCCTAGATCCACCAACATCGTGGTTACTGTTGTAGAGTCTACGGGATCTTGTAACAAAACGTTTAGTTTGGAATTACTTGAGAAAGCATAGATGTAGGCCACGATCTTTCACAATGTAACCCAATTCATATTTCGAACTTGCTTGGTCATTGTAATCCATTGCTAGGCGTCAAGCTCGTGGAACTGTTCATATTTCAAGTCAACGGATTTACCGTGATGGGTTTGGGGGTTTAGTCAGTTGCATCCGAGAGTTCTTTCCAAGTTCAGGTTGCCAATCATAAATTTCTTCTTACAGAGACTTTTGCTGTTTCGTTGGCTACTTGTAATGTTTTGTGAAAACCAGATTCACCACCAGCTGTCAAAAACTTCACAGATTATGACTGTGGGGGAGAACTCCTTGTTCAGTGACCAATGGTATAAATCATGGCTACCCTTTAGTTCAAAGGCTGACGCTTGATCATGAACCTTTGTCTGAGGTTTGAAAACTCTGTCTGTTGATAGGGAAGTTTGATTTGTGTATAAAAAAAGAACGTGTTTACTGTACCACTATAACGAGAAGTAAGCTGAGAGAATTGTCCTAGCTGCGGAGACAATGAAGTTGTTGTACAATTGTCAGGAAGATATTCTTGCCTGGCGAATAGTCACCCTGGTAGATTTCTGGGTAATCTCGACTCAACAGACAGAAGAATTGAGTAGAGTGAAGTCTGAAGAGGCTTCACATAGCATTATTCTGGGTCATTCACCAGATATGATTCTTACAATTTTCCTATGTGAGAGAGAGACTACGCTTATAAATCTAACTTTCCTGACCATCCCTTCCCTCCTTCTACAACCACACACGCTTTTCCGTCATCACTTCTCCTATCTACAATCTCACTTCAGCAACACAGATGCATTACTCTTCATTACTCTTCGGTCTTCCTCACCAAACCATACAATATTCAATATCTACCAGCGGCCAAGATGCAGCTCAAGCAGCTCACCAAGTTCACTCTTCATGCTCTGGTGCTCGCGCTCCTGTCACCTCTTCCAGTCATCGCACTCCCAACCGATGATGCTAGAAACGCCCTCTCTGCTATCATTGCTGCTCGTCAGGTTAACACTGATCCCGATGGACGTCTCTCTTGCATTATCACCCAGAACCCCAACGAATGCACAATCCGAGTGACTCAGTTCTCCTGCACATCAGGAAGTGTAGCTGGTAAGTTTCCTCACACGCCGAATAGCAAGGCCTTTGCGTGATTTCCAAACTCACATGGCTTCTGCATCGTGTCTCCCTTTTTATAGTGCTAACTCGTAGAACAGTTTTCGACCCAGTTTGTAACGAACTCGATAGTGGCGAATGGCAAATTGATTATGGAAGTAAGTCACTACAACCTTTTCTATCCTTTCTCCAATTGTCTAACCCCGATCGATAACGCAGGCCATTCAAGCATCGACTCTCAACTCAAATGGACAATTGAATTAGATATCAACTCCGACTGGACAATCCCACCAACTGGATATTATGCTGGACATCCAGTCGGTCAGCAATGGAACATCGACAACTTTCAATGGCCAGTCTTCCGGGCTGTCATTGTTGATAAGTACTGCTAGATCTTACCCTTCACTTGTTAGGTCTTGGTCGGGAAAGATAAAGTAAGTTAGCTGTCAATTCGATTTTCAATTACGGTGACTGACATGCAGTAGACTAAAGACCTGGTGGTCTTACAGAGGTCTTGAAAGGATCTGGGAAGATTGACAAAGGGGTGAAGATTGGCGAAGGTGACACTGACGCTCTGCATGGTGGAATTCGAGTGAGAGGTTTCTCGATAGGAATGTACGCATGGCCTTCTTCCAATGACAAACATCTGATTTATAACCCTTAGAAATGTGCTTCATATTTCCCGTCGTGTCTCAAAATTGTGATCGGTGAATTTAGCTGAAGTGAAAAAACCTCAAGAGATAACACAATACAGATCGGGACTCACCTCACCAAGAGGTGACTTTTCAATATTCACCGTTATCATGAGATTATGCTTTGAGAATTTGTTTGCATTCTGCACTAGAGAGCATGCAAACTAGTCTATGCACACGATCATCAGGAGTAGAAACGCTATGAAGTAAACCTTTCTACAAGCAGAAAGAACGCCACAAACACCATCTTTGCCCACCAATTGTGTATGTAAGAAGCACGAAACCCATTGCGATCCCAGTAATTATCCTCCAACGCAAGAAGACCAAGGAGCAGAAACACGCCAGACTGAGAATCTAACAACTATGGTTGCGGACAACGACGTTGTAGCCGTCAGAGTCGAACTCTTGCCCACCAGTCAAGTCGTTGTGTGTACATTGGAAGACCATGTCCCATGCATATGAGGCAAGGTAACCGCAGTTTGGCGAGATAGGATACATGTTCTTTACAGAAGTTTAGCTTGTGATATTGAAGTCGATAGCGAGGAAAGGAAACTTACATCGTTGCAGAGCCAGATACCGTCACCTCGGGAGCAGGTAAGCATGACACACCAGCGTGGGCCTCCGTCAACGTAGCAATCACCATCACCAAGAACGCTCAACTTGTTGATAGCATCATACAAGTAAGGGATCCAGGCTGGGCCCCAGTTCTGAGCATTGACGGGATAGCAGAGCATGTTGGTCTTTATACATAATGATTAGCTTTCGTTGTCAGCAAGAAGCATAAGTGGAAGTTACCTTGCTGCGAGGAACAAGCTCGACGTTGCTGTCACGAGCAGCCAGGTGGGTTGCGACCGAATCGGGGATGATGACATTGGCAACAACCTCAGGATACAACTCGGAGAATTGATCGTAGATTTCCTGAAACGCGTCAGCTTTGGTGATTAGGTGAGTCGTATGCATTAGTCTTACATCGGCAGTACCATTGAGTTCAACATAGACGCCATGGATGGGACCCTTGAATCTCAACACTCCGTTGTTTCCATCGTTGAAGACATCAACGGTGCGAGACACTGGGCCTGGTAGGCTGGCAGCGAGAACCTGGGGTTGACAGCCGTTAGCAGTTGCTCTTGTTGAGCGTGAAGCCATAGACTGTGGAGCCATTGACGTGTTAAAGAGCAGCTTACCATGGTGATCAAGGTGAGGAAGACCGCAAGGATCTTCATCATTGACTTTGTCATTGTTGACAATTGCAGAGAGTTCGTAGAGAACAATGAACAATCAATGAGTGCTTGCTTGGTAAGGGGAAGGTAGGAGGCAAGAGGTTATAAAGGATCGGAGTGATGAACTTTTGTGAATGAGGTGATTGTTGTGGGACGCGGAGGAAGACAAGCAGTCGAAGAGGGCTCAGAACCGCTAGCGTGCCCTGAGACGAAGCCCTAATCGGCAGAAAGAGAGGGAGGGCTCGAAAATAAGGAAGAAAGCACTAGCGTATGAGAATCACATTGACCGACACTGGAGCTATGTGAAGTGAGGCTATCGTTACTCCAAGAACACTCCACAAGAGCCAATTTCATCAATGGTTATCAAAGACAGCAAGCAATTGTACTCCTATCCTCCTTGGGATGCTTTCTCTCGATCCCAATGAAGCGAGCTTAATTTTGACTATGTTCATGCCAGACTTGTACTTGGGAACTTGTTGCTTGCCCCAGTTCATTTCTTGGTAATTTGGCTTGCAGACTTTCAACCAAGTTCAACGTGCAGGCACCAACGCGCTGAATCAAGCATTAAGTCAAAAGCAGCGAATTGGAACAAAGAGCAGACAGAACTAACGGGCACAAAGGAAAACCTAGTACACTTCGAAGAACATTCATGCAAATTCTCCTCCTCAACACAGCCACCGGCCTTCGAAACACGAATGTCAAATGGTCTCTTCCTCATTCCCTGACTGAACTTTCGGTAATTTCTCAGACTCTTCTTCATTTCTCCCCTCTCGAAGTCTTGTTATTCAACAACCCAGGGACAGTTTGAGGAAGAGATTGACAGCCTTCCGAATATCTACAAACTTCCTCCAGCAGTGAAAGGTCTATATTAATGATTAATACTCGCTGCTATGCTTTGGTTCTCTTGTTACACAGCAACAGCATCTTCGTTTGTGTTGGAATGGAGATGTAGCGGTGTTGTGGATAATACGAGATGGAGTACCCATAGCTGACCATGCCATCTCTGGCTGTTGGTGGCTCATAGCCGCCTATAACCCTAGTCGTTTCACACTAAATGCGAAGATACTCTGTTCGATTTATGGTCTTTCTTTTTTCGCAAGTGCATTCTATCTCCCGCTCCCTGGCTGGACTCAGGAGCAGACGTGTATTGTTTTCCACTGGTGTCTACTTCAGTCTCGTCTTCAGAGGGATAACCAAACAGGCTTGCCATATCTATATCGTCTAAGACACGGTCCTCGGTCTCTGATGATATTTTTGATCGATTCATCATGCCGCCATGGAAGTCGTGCTCATCAGCAGCTGAAATCAGTTCCTGCGTCCCGTCTTCATCTCTGTCCCAGTGGCTCAAATAATCCAAGTAGACATCCCCACGTCTCTTGCTCGAGCTTTCAAGATTGAAATACCCTGCCCAGTCTGGGTCATTCAACTCAGGGCTCGTATACTGGACCACAATATCCTTTCCCTTCTGTGGAAGGACTGTGAACAAGATACTCGGACGCCATGATACGGTATATTTTCTACCATGCCCAAGATAATCAGGAGCCCCGATCACGACTTCTATTTTCTCGAAAGGGCAGCCCAGCTTTTCGGCGCAAAGGTATCGTGCAAGACGTCGAACCGTGATGATATCGGCTTCGAGATGAGTGATATGATGGTGTCCATGGTTTACGTCAAGATACAATTTCACTGCTGTTAAGCTCGGAAACTCCGCAACAGTAGTGATGTAGGTAATGCTCTACGTTGGTATTAGGATTCTTCGACAAATACGGAGAATAGGATTCATAGATATACCGAGATAGATAGATCAGTAGTCAAAGAGACTATATTAGGACAGGCATCCGAGATGATGCTTAACTCTTTTGCAGTGTGCGGCCTGTGCAAACCGGCAGGAGGGAATGGATAACGTGGTCGATGGTAGCAAAGTCTCTTCAACGCTGGACCTTGCTGAGTAATAGCCTATTTGGATACATGAAGTGTCGCATTAACTAGATGCAATTCAACCAACCCCTTGATCTTCCACATAAATCGATCCAAAATCAGGGTGGCCTCTTGGATATCCTCTGCTCTACAGAAGTTCTCTATCTTTAGAGTCTTAAGTCTCGTGGGTAAGCCTCGCAGCTTCTCTACGAACCGAAGCATCTGTTCACCACGAAGTTCAAGGTGTTCGATTCGCGACTAGTTCTAAAAACTGTTTGGAATCAGGGTCCTATGCTTTGAGTGGCTCTCGTAAACAAGCTCTCGCACACGAGGAAGTTGGTTCCCTACTTCGACACATATGTCATGCGTTCCGTGTTCGAGTGAATCCATTGAATAAGTCGCTGACGGGTCGCGGAGATGCAGGATCTCGAGGTTGGGGCAACTCATCAAGACTTCTTTGATGCGTCCGGTTGACTCTCGCTCATTGTAGTCGATATTGAGCTCGATGAATCGGATACTTTTACATCCCGAAAGATCATCAAGAAGACTGAGACCATCTCGTGGAGAGGTCATGTAGGGTGTATCTCCAAGCTCAAGGTTCTCGATATAAATTGCACATTCGGGGTGGTTCGTCGAAAGACAGTCTAAGACTGTCTTTGGAATAGATTCTTCCCACGAAGACCAACTGTTAAAGATTAGTGGAGAGTTGCACGACTGTTATCGAAGTGGACGGAGAGGGGCAACAAACTGAACGATATCCAACTGCTTCATCTCTGCTAGCAATTTCTCCAAGAATTCCCAATCGAACCCCGAGCCCCTGATCGTCAAATCACGAGCAAAATCAACTATTCTTCGTCGAAGATTACTACGCAAGCCGTCCATTTCCGAACAAGTGTGCTTTCTCAGCTTTTCTGGGGTAATCACTGCAGTGCGGTGCAATATGGGTACCTCCAGATGAAAGAATTGTTTGCCGACGAGGCACATAACAGGCAAAGCCTTGGGGTCATTCAAGTGAACCTTTGAAGAGTGAGTAAATGCCACGCAACAATAAGAGTGGATAGAACGGGTACCTGCTTCAATATCATGAGCAGGATGTCGTCTGGCAACGAAGACAATCTGACAGCCATCTCGAGGTTCTTTCGAGGGAAGGGGGAACGACGTAGACTCGTAGGATCTTGACGTCTGATTCACTTATCAAAATATTGAACACTTCATAAAATTTGTTAGAAGTTTGGACATGTCGCGGAGTATTGCTCGGAGTCCAACGAGTCCAACAGTTGGCGCTGATTGTTGGCCTGGTTAGGCGACCGAGATGCTAAATCATCCAGATCAAAGGGATTTGCGGCTCAGAAAGGCAGCAATACGGACTGGGTCTCCAATTCAAGACTTCCGCTTTTGATCTGTAACCCCACAAGCACTAATTCCTCTCGAACCTTTCAACCAGGTCAACATGATTTCCAAGGCACTTGCCGCCGAAATTGATGGACCAATTACCAAAGCAAAACAAGGAAAATGTAACAATTACCTTGAAATTCTGCCTCAAGTCAAACACTAATTCTGTTGCGAAAAGAACACACATAAAGACATAATGCACAACTTCAAATTAGTTGAGAACTGATAGACGATCTTGAAGTATATATTATTGCAGTAAAAACAACCAGAATGGATGCCTATATTCTCTCCTCGCCAAACGCCAAGGGATACCGATTCCCATGCAATAAAACGTCTGAACAAAAGAAAACTAAATGCTAGATACTGCCGTCTTGGAATATCTATCTTCTCTCTACCAATAACACATGCATGGCAATGTAAGCCAAGACTATAAAGACACCGGCGAATATGCCCAAGCTGACCACATCTGGCCACAAGGCCTGAGTGTCGAAACCGAAGGAGCTCAAGATGGTGGCGCCGGGAACGGTAATATCGAGACCGTACTTCTTGTCTATTAAAGTGAGGAAAGTCACCTCGTTGACGATGAGAGCTTCGAAGCCGTAATGGAAAATTGACAAGGTTTGGAGCCACAAAGCAGATGCTGGGATAGCATCGTGATTGAGAAGCAAGCCTGCGAACAGCAAACTGAAGAGCATGACTAAGCTTCCGATCAGATTTGCTACACCATTATCCTTGCACACGATTCCAATGAATAGACAAATACCCGCAGCCGCCAGGTTGAAAAGCACGAGCACTAGGATAAACTTGAAGAAGTGTGGCCCATCTGCAACGAGTCCAGTCATTGGGTAAACGATGGAGCCCATGATGACAGGAGGAATGATGCGTAGAGGCACAATATCGAAGATTACCTTGGCGAGGAAGTACGTGATCGGAGAGTAGTAACCATTAGCCCTCTCACGGACGAACAACATACGCTCAGCGGCGAAGACCGTCAAACTTGAAAGTGTGCTGAAGCCGAAAAGCGCGAGGACGAAGAAGAACAATCCAAGACGATTCTGGAAGCCTGGAATATCGTCCGTAAGACCGTAAAAGAGGAAGCCTGATAGGACAGCCAGGAGGATAGCAATAGCATAATGCGTAAGCATCAGCATCGGGTTTCGATAGAGATTCCTCCACGTTCTTTGTGACAATATAGCGAATTGTCGAAGATAACCAATTCTTGCATAGCCTCTGCCCATAGTCCCACCATTGACATGTCCATTTCCTTGAGCATTTCCGTTTGCCTGACCATTTGCAGCTGAGGCACTGCTGATGGCAACGTGGATTTCATCGTGGATGTTGCTAGCGATGTCGGAGTACTCATAGGCCGCAATTAGAACGTCGAAATCGGTAGTTCCTACAGCTGCAGGAGGGAGATTATCGGGTTCTTCCAAGAGCTGCTCGGGAATGTGACCCGCGTTCTGCTTCTGTAGTTTCAGCCACTGTTGAGATGAAGTGGCGTTCGGATCAAATGGTGCTTCATCGGGTTGTGATCCTGGGGTATCGGCGCCAGACTTCTTCCGTGTGTACAATTCTCTCTCCTGTTTCGTTTTGACTGAGTCTCTACGTTTGCCCTTTGGCCGAAGTAGGGAGTTTCCACCAGGGCTAGTTGAAAGACCATCTTCAACACTGCCGCCAGATATACTAGCAATGGATTTAACAGCTCTGGTACTGCTAGGTCCAACACTAGAGGTATCGAGACCAGGTATTCCTTCGTCGATAGGCGTGGCGGGAGTACCAACGTGCATTGTCAAATCGACCAGATAGTCTGCAATGTTGAATCCTGGAGGACAAGTGTAGCCAATGTGTTCGAAATACTCCTGACATGATGCAAACTCGCCCGAGTAGACAGTTTTGCCCTTGGCTAAGAGTAGGAGGCGATCGAAGAGAGCAACAATGTTGGACCTTGGCTGATGGATCGTGAAGATGACAGTGCGTTTATACGTTTTTGCAAGGGTGACGAGACATTCAATAACGTTGTAGGCGTTATACGCATCGAGACCACTGGTAGGTTCATCCAAAAACAAGATGCTAGGACTCGTGACCAACTCACAGGCAATCCCAACTCTTCGCTTCTCGCCACCAGAAATACCACGACCCTTGCCTTCCTCAGATCCGATCAACGAATCCTTGATGGCAAAAATCCCTAATTGCTTCTCAACTTCATAGACCCGTTGCTCCTTAGCAGCCCGGCCCATGTCTCTGGGAAGTCGAAGAAGTGCACTAGTCATGATGGTTTCATGGACAGTGAGTGTTGGCAGCATGGTGTCTTCTTGGTCGACGAAACCAACTACATTCTTGTAATCGTTATCATTGACCTTCTCGCCATTTACATAGAAATCGCCTGAGACTGCCCCACGTTTGTTCTTACGTGCCAGAATATCGAGGAACGTCGTTTTACCAGCACCTGAAGCACCCATGATCGCCATGATCTCACCTGGATGAGCGACGCCGCGAACGTTGGTCAAGATTTGTTTCCCGTTCAAGTTGTACGAGACATTTTCGAAAAACAAAGATGCGGGTTTGTGATCAACCATGAGCTTCGTGCTTTCATCGTCAGAATCGTCCAAGTGAATGGGACCATATTTGAATTGTCGGCGGCCAAGATACCAGACCGTCAAGATGACCAAAACAACAAAGATAGAGGCTCCAGCAATGACACCAGCAATCAAAGGAGTATTAATCCTCTTTACAGGACGTTCGAAGCCAGGGACATCTGTTTCGTACAGACATTCTCCACCTTGGCAAGTCAAAAGAATCGAGTCGTCACCAAACATCATCTGGATTAGGTTGTCCATAGCAGGTTCCTTGAACTTGCAGTTGTTGACGCCACCCTCTTCCTGAAGACAGCTGAATGTAGCCGGGCCCTTGATCTCTTCGTCCAGGAAATCGGTGATATCGACGGAGCCACCCTCACCACAGAGCATCCGGTCCGGGATACATTTACATTCGACGTTCTCGCACCTGTATTTGGTGCTGTTCTGGTCGTAGGTGTTATCCGTGGTCGACTCGCAGGTGTTCAGAGAACAGTAGAAAGACTCTTTGTGCTCGACCCAGAACTCGAAAGCACATGTTTCGTTTCCTCCTTCCGCATTACAGGTGAAAGTGACTTGGGGCCGTCTGCCATCTAGAATATCGACGATCTTCTTGTTCGTGACGTCGCACATCTGGTGATTCTCGTGGACGACCTCTGCGTTTTGGTAACATACGCCACCCTCTCCTTCTGGCATCATGCGATTACAGCCCTTATTGTCTGTGCAGACATTGCAGTTGATTCCAGTCCAACCCGGCTCGCATTCGCAGTAGTCTCCTGTTCGCATCGGTCGGTCTTGTCCATCTGCAAGAGAGCCACATACTAGGGCATGTCAGTATAGTGGGATGTTTGGAGTTCGTGGCGAACGTACCTGGAGCAAAACAGTCGTCTCCTCCGAATCCTGGTGGACAATTACATTTCCCATTGAACTGATTACATTCGGAATATTGACCGCAGGTGAAAGCTGGAAGGAGACAATTGAAACTATTACAGGTGAGCGATGATCTGATGCAAGTCGGATGCTTTCAACCTACCATGGAGGGCAGTCGGCTGGTCTATCGTCAAGTAGAGCCAGCTGCGCCCGCATCATATCTACCGATGAGTAGTTGAAGGCAGATGCGCTCCATGACAGCGAAAGAGCCGCCACGGCCGCTGTCCCAAGAAGTCGCCGCATATCAATCGTTGTTCTTATTGTTGTTGTTGTTGCTAAGGATGAAGCTCCGTCGGCTAAATGGTGATGGAGTAGGAAGCTTCCAAGCGACGCCAAGTGAAGCTTGAGCTCGAGTGCTGGATGCCAGGTACAAGAGCTACAAAAAGAAAAGAAACGAAGATTATGAAGAAGAAGAGGTAACCAAAGGAGGCGTGAACGGATGTTCGAGATGTCAAAGTCGTTTAGATCATGCTGCAGATGCCTTGGCTCTTGACAGCGGGGGCCTACGAGTTCACTACTCCAGCCTCCTCATGATCCCATCTCGGATGCAACGTCGGCGAAAGACATCCCGCGCCGCTTACATAAGGCCCCCGGGTAACACTCAGACACATTCAGATGCACGACATTTCTTCAGTGCAACCCCTCATCGGACGAGGTCTCACTCGTATGATGGAAATAGAGACTGTGTACTCTATATTCAATTTTACGCCAGTTACGATAATAGCAACAAGAGGTCCGTGTTATAGTACCAAATATGTTAGCACAAACACCGACATTTACCCTATTACAGGGTGATTTAGAGTCTGTCAGCCTTGTCTACCGAGGCTATCCTCAAGATGGTCAAGATTGAGCCTTTCGATGTTGAGAAGGTCAGCAGAACATAATTTCGAGAATTACAATGCTGATAGAATATAGTGGATGGATAAGTATGAGGTTACTCCAGGGGTTCTCAACATCGCGGAGACCTGTGCAGCCTCAATCTCGATCGACGACCTTGTCAAGCTCTGCGAAGATCCGAACGTCCCCAAGCCTCTAAGCACATCTACGAAACTGACATATGGCCCGATTCGAGGATCACTAGCCCTGCGAGAGCGGTTAGCTTCTCTATACTCGGCCAGAGTCTCGACGCCTTTGCCGACAGACAACATCCTCATAACGCCAGGAGCAATAGCGGCCAACTTCCTCGTCTTTTACACCCTTATCGGACCCAGTGATCATGTCATCTGTGTACATCCTACATACCAGCAATTATATGATGTCCCGAAAAGTTTGGGTGCCGAAGTATCGCTATGGAAGCTTCGGAAGGAAAAGAAATACGTCCCAGACCTAGAGGATCTGAAAGAGCTCGTGAAGGACAATACAAAGATGATCATTATCAACAACCCCAACAATCCTACCGGAGCTACGATCCCAAAATCTGTGCTACAAGGCTTAGTTAAGTTTGCCCGGGAACGAGACATCATTGTTCTCTCCGATGAAGTCTACCGGCCACTATTCCACGGCATCTCACCTGTTGATGAAGACTTTCCCCCTTCACTGGTCTCCCTTGGTTACGCAAAGACAATCATCACAGGTTCAATGTCTAAGGCTTACTCCTTAGCCGGTATCAGGCTAGGCTGGATAGCTTCTCGAGACCCGGAAATCATAGAAGCTATCGCCACAGCTCGAGACTACACCACAATCTCGGTCTCGCAACTCGATGATCAAGTTGCTACATATGCTCTATCAGCATCCGTCCTGCACGCTCTCTTAGGTCGAAATATCCAGCTCGCAAAGACGAACTGTGCTTTGCTAGAGAGATTTATCGATCAATGGTCCGATGTCTGTTCTTGGGTAAAACCAAACGGAGGCACCACAGCGCTGGTTCGATTCGAGAAAGATGGAAAACCAGTTGAAGATGTACAGTTCTGCATCGATGTTATTGAGCAAACCAAAGTCATGTTCCTGCCCGCCTCGAAGTGTTTCGGGCAGGATTTCAAAGGCTACGTACGAATTGGCTTCGTCTGCGAGACCGAAGTCTTGAAAGAGGCCTTAAAGCAACTTAGTCTTTACGTTCGGAAGCACTTGATATAATATCAAATTGTATTGCAAACCCATTCATTCTTGCTCTCGTGATCTGTTTCATGTTTCATCCCATCCTTGAAGCTAGCTATCTCTAGCAATGGGTTCCCTGTACACTCATAACACACCACCAACCATGTTCCTCGCGCGCAATCTCCATAATGACATCAAGCCTCACAGCCCAAACCACCAATCCTCGACCGCAGCCCACAGTCCAACTTTACCTCTCATCAACGGCGCCTTGCAAATGTTGTGCACGCGCTCACATCCATTAGCTTCCCAGCCCTGCGCGCCGATGCCTTTGTTTCCTATCCAGAGCCCGAAGGTGGAATAGCATGGATACCGACATTTGTACTCTAATGCCTTTTCCATCGTCTTGCTTCCTATGAACAGTTTGCCTGCCTCGAAAGTCGCGGGGTTTGGTGAGGAGGTCGGCGGGACTTGCGCATGCGAGGAGTAAGGGAAGGGATTTGCTGAGAGCGATTGGGAGGAGAAGTGTGTGGCGAGACAATCGAGCTCTCCGGCTGTGCGGGAAGCGTAGAAGTAGCTGGCGTTGAGGGAGGAGAGGACGAGCGAGAGGAGAAGAGTTAGGTTTAGGAGGAGGATGAGCGTCGTTGCGTGGTTGATGATTGGGGGTTTGGACGTCAGGTTCGACGATGGAGGGGTTTGGGGCCTCATTTTGCTTGTGAAGACTTGCTCGAAAGACGTGACTTGGATGAAGATTGTCGTTGGTGAGGTCGGGGTTGGTTGTGTTGATGGAAAGTCGTCTTGGACACGATTTTCTGTTTGGTGGCGGAACCTCAAAGAATCTTCTGATAGCGTCGACGACGACTTTCGATCGAAAATATCATCTGAAAATCAGAATCCGATATAAAGAAGCGAACGACCAAACGTGCACTCAAGCAAACAACGAGCGACGAAGAAACATATGCAGACTGCTAAGCGTCGAACGTATCGACACTCAGAACACAACCATATTGTAAGATCCCTTTTTATGTCGTCACATTAATCTAAACTAACAAAGACAGAAAGAGCAACATGTGAAGGGAGTAATGCTGTAGTCTTATTATGCAAACTCGCACTTTCCTCTGTCTGCATAGACTTTCAAAGTTTCAAGTTCGTACTAATGATTCAAGTTTAGACTTTGAGAAACGCACTACTTGACTCGTAGTCGAACATTAAACGAAGCATACACAGAAATCAAGTTTTTGGAGGGAAGTGGAAGGATGGTGGTAGTTGATATGTTATGTGTTGTTCTAGGCTCGCTTGTGCTGGGTCAGGGGTCACTTGTTGGTGGGATGAACGGTATATTTTGGGTATAAGACTATGACGACGTCCTTGAGATGAGGCATTAACAGATTCGATGTCTCGTATACTTTCAAGACTACAATCTAAGTCGGTACTTTGAATCAGAAAGAGTACCTTTGCATCTAAAGACATTCCAGATTGAACAAAGTCTTCTCATCGAGCTCGTGTTGCTCAACTCAAGCTGATGGCAAGTGGCACTTTTCGAAGGATGAGGAATCTAATTGAATTCAAAACAGATACTCATCAAACTGAGGGAGTTGTTTGGATTGCCTACATACGTGAGCGCATTAGCAGTGTTGACTTGACTCCAAGAACAGTGTTGCACGTGACCGTGCAGAGCGAGTACCAAGTTTTGTTTCCGCAGTGCGCTCTGCTTCGCCTTGCAATATTGTTAGTTTATGCAAAATAGCTATACATTCGATTCCAAAAAAGTGTGACCTATCAGATTCAAGCTTTTGGCCACGCAAATGGAAGCTCTTGAAATCTAGCTTTCAGCTTAACATATCGACCGCGCGCGCTTCCACGTCCAAAATCGGTATATAAATCTTGAAAACCTAGGGCCAAAATGAGGAGTCAAGTGGCATCCGTAACTTGGTCGATCGCTCCCGTTCACTGTTCTGGATCTCGTAGTACCTGCCACAGCAGATTATGGTAACTCAAGTGTCACTCCCTACGTACCTACAAGTGTACAGATCGCAGCATGATAATCCATACCTGTGTAATTGATACACAGGATGAGATATCGAAACATGGGTTCTAGGTAGCCTAGATGGCGAATTCGATGGCTGGTTGGAAGGATGCACGGAGCCGTGCTTTGAGTGAGGCGGGTACTAGTTCATTCATTCATTGGCGTATCATATCTACAACAATATCAGCTTTTAGCTCTAGCACTGCCTCAAAGTTCAGGATACAGACTGAGTTTGATTGTCATCTTCCGACTTCCATTCCATTTCCTTGATCGGCCACTGAATCCACGACATGTGATTTTCATCCACCCGTCTATAGATCATCGACATCAAGTGGTCACCAAATCCTTCCAGCCACCACTTCGTATCCAGTCTTTTTGCAAGAACTGCGAAAAATGCAAGTATCACCAAAGCCTCCTGTCTCGATTGCTGTAACAAGTCTAGAAAATCCTCCGAGACACGGAATGGCCATCCGAACACATCGGCGGACTCGAGGGACGCTGGTGGAAGCATGACTACCACACCATAGCATTTGATGAGGTGAGAAATAGCGTCTGTACATGCATTTCTGGTAAAAAGATTCTCGGTTGTTTCACTGACATGAGCTGAGAATTCTCTGAGGTGATCAGGGCCAGGTATCCCTTCTGTAGATAGTTAGTCCTAGAAAGCAATTCGTCGAGAACCAACCTTAAACATCTAGCCGATAGGACCCTCATATAGGACCTTTTCAGCAATCCTAACGATTCCGTAACTTTGACGGCAAAGAACGATCCATTGTGCAACGCCTTCATCAAAGGTTGAGACCGAGTCAATGCGTGTGGTTGCAAAATTGTACAACGTCGTCATCGCCGAAAAGATGTAGATGGCTGACGCACTTTCATCTGAAAATGTCGATAGGGCGGGTGTGCCTTTCTGTAGTCCGGCATGGTGATGCAGCCTTGAGTGGGCTATGCATGCATCTTTCCTATGGGGGGAGGAATGAGCTAGATGAAGCGCAGCCACGGCGAGAATCCCGTGCATGACATAGTCATACTCGAATCCAAGTTTCGGCACGTTCGTGCTCCACAGAGTGTGCATTGTTACATCTTCCTTCAATGATATAGCTGTTGAAGTACAAAAATGGTGCAGCAATTCGAGATCAAAAAGATTTAGAAGTGGTGCAGGACTTGTAGCAAGCTTGGCGCTGTCAGAAATGATCCATACAAGGATGAGGCTGCTTACAGATACTGCTGGCAAGAGAGTTGGTTGACTAGGAGCATAATCGCAATTCAAAGAGTGCTTTATGCAGTTCTCGCACTCAGGTCTCTGTTCATCGCACTACAAAACTCAGTCAGCATCGATAATGTGATAGTTGAGGTAAAATTGACTTCAGATTGGACCTCGTCCTGGTCAAAACTGAAACAAGCAGATACGGAACAGGAAAACTTTGCAGCCTGAGATGGCTATTGATAGTAAACATCTTCGTACTTTTCTCTTTCTCTTCTTGCAAGTCGCACAGCCTGTCTTCGTCTTGCGATGAGGTCGTCGAGTATGCAATTTTTTTCTCCGAGTCTCGTCATGTGATATATTGCCATAATAGCTCATTCTCAACGGCTGAGAGGGGTAGCCTCATTTGTAGAGCTGGCAGAAGGGTTTCAAAAGTACAAGTCTCCACAGGATTTGGAGAATGATGAACAGTCGCCATGAGAAATGTTGTGCACACAGTAGTCGTCTGATCAAAGTCCGAGATACGAGCAGCAATGCGAACGAGTACGAAAGTCGACCTCGCGTCCAGGCGGTTTGTAGCGAGCACTTCGGCTATGCCCGTAAGCGCCAATTTCTTTATCTATTAGATAGCGCTCTTAATATAAGCGCGAGTCCATATCGATCCTGTAGCATGGAGACAGACCCAAGAAATCACACGCCGTGCGCAATGAGAGTCGCTATTGACTGCTCACTGGTGAGACTGCCCTGAAGCCTAGGCTACTGACAGATGGCACGGGACAATAAGGTCTCAAAAGTCCTTCATGGTTGCATTTCCTCCATGCTCATATGGTCAAGCGGGTCTCGCTATTGACCGCCAAGCCGGCCTCGTTATCGACTTCCCCAGACCAACTGCCAGGGCTGCTCGTCGATCGCAGGTCCCGAATTGAAAGACCCCTCGTTAAAAACGCCAAATACTTGAAGTGTGTAAGCATATCTTTCGCCTCGAATCTTGTCGGCATTGTTGGATGCGTCTTTGCTATCTCTTCCAGATATCCAGCTCGAGGCCTATAATTTCACTTGCTCTACCATTCAATTGCCGTTGCGTCATGGCCAATATTCAGCCTTACACCATTGCCGTTTCGCAAGCCAAGATCGACCGCCTGCACCAGAAGCTCGCCCTCACAGATTTCCCAGACGAAGTCGAAAATGTTGGCTGGGACCGTGGAGCTCCGCTCGCAGACGTCAAGCGCCTGACAGAGTACTGGCAAGAAAAGTATGACTGGCGAGCTACAGAAGCAAAGCTCAACGAGTTGCCAAACTACACCGCAGACATCCAAGCCGAAGGCTTCGAGACGCTGAAGATCCATTTCGTCCATCAGCCAAGTAAGGTCAAAGGAGCCATCCCTCTACTTTTTGTACACGGCTGGCCTGGTAGTTTCGATGAGGTCGTCAAAATCCTGCCTGAGCTTGTCGAGCCAAAGAACTCGGAGCATCCCGCATTTCACGTTGTCGCGCCCAGCATACCCGGCTACGGCTTCTCGGAGGGCTCTCGCAAGCCCGGGTTCCGTGTCAAGCAGACGGGCGAGATATGCCACAAGCTGATGCTCGCACTGGGCTATGATGAATACGTGAGCCAGGGTGGCGACATTGGCTGCTTCGTGACGAGGCAGATGGGTAAGCAGTATGCTCAGAGCATCAAGGCGAGCCACATCAACATGCCACGCCCGAACCCGCCCTCGCCACACGGAGATGTCGAGCTGTATATGCAGCACATGCAGACGCCGCTGACGGACAAGGAAAAGGAGGGCCTTAAGCGCTGGCAGTGGTTCACGAAAGAGGGCTCCGGGTACAACTTGCAGCACGGCACCAAGCCTCAGACCATTGGCTACTCTGTCACCGACAGCCCAGTCGGCCTCCTAGCATGGATATACGAGAAGCTGCACGACTGGACGGACTCGTACCCGTGGACCGAGGACGAGGTCCTGACGTGGGTTTCCATCTACTGGTTCTCCACGGCGGGACCTGCCGCCAGCCAGAGGATCTATTACGAAATGTATCATGACCCGGATAAGCCACGCGTGTCGAGCTTCGAATACATCCCGGACGTGTTGCTGGGAACTGCAAACTTCCCCATGGAGCTGTCGGTGACACCGAAGCTGTGGAACAAGACGCTGGGACCGCTGGTCCTGGCCAGCGAGTGGGGTAAGGTTAAGCAGTGGTTGCGATTTCAGAAACGGCCGACTAACGTTTTACGTACCTAGATAAGGGAGGACATTTCGCGGCGTATGAACGGCCCGATGCCATTATCCAGGATCTCAGAGACATGTTTGGCAAGAAGGGAGGAGCGTATGCTGTGGTGAAAGGCCAAACGGGATACTGAACGCGTCCTCTCGCGCGCACAATGTCGTAGGTAGATATTGCCGCCAAAATCACGTTTTTCACCGAGCCACAGCAGTTGACCCAAGTGTGAGCGGAAGAAACCACCGCGAGCAGCATTAGAGTCATCCCGTAGCTTGAAAACCGAGACACACTACCATTTCAGAAGGATTGACTGTGAATTAGATTGGTAAACGTGTAATTATGGTATTATATTACTCCTCATAGTATACAGAGTGTTTGTGATGAGGCTGCTTCCTGTAGAAGGACTGCGGCTTCTTGGGGTCCCAAAACTGGGAACCCCCAGCCCATTATTACTTAAGGATGCATACATGTTTGCAATGTTCAGTACGAAAAGCAGAAAGACGGAGCTTAGCATCAGACTTACGAAGGATGAAAAAGGCAAGGGAGCCAACACAGACAGGTAAACTCTGGTTGTCTTCTACAATACCCTTATGCTTACTTCGAGTGTAGAGGTTATTGTACATTCTACGAAAACTGTAAAGGGCCCCTTTATCAAAACAACTGGATGCTTTATTGTCAAGGAGTACTCACCAGCACCTTTGTCCATTTCGTCGACATCGGGAACGGTAAAGATAGTAGACAGCGGATAATAATCATTCGCAACCCGGAACAGACTATCGGGAAAGTGCCAGGCCGCCATGATCCCCAAGGAGGTGCCTCGGGAAAATGGCGGGTTCTCGCCAGCATCGGGCAGTCGATGATCGAGATGCGTTGGGTTTGTCAGAAGCCTCAACTAGTCCGCTTAATAAGTCTGCAGCCAGGGCTATGGCATTACGTGGGGTGGGACCCACTTTTTCTCGCTATTGCCTTCCAATCCAGAATTGGAACGAAACGCCTTATTTCTGGGCTCTTTTGTTTATCCTGACTAGCTTCTCACCACAACAAGTTCTAGCTTCTCTACGCTCATGGCCAGACAGTATATAAAAAACACAAATTCATCCCGACCTCACAATAATTTTCCAATCCTCGCCGACTTCTCACTATTCCCCAACGCTCACCTGTGCTTCCCGGCATCTAAATTTTCATTATCGTCATGACTTTCGATCCGAAGCAGATCAAAGGACTTTTCTTCGATATATATGCGACTCTGATCAGCTGGGAAGATGGGCTCTATACGCATCTTCTTCATTTGACCAAGCAGCCGGGCTCGCCGGAAATCCGTTCGAGACTTCTACGCATGAATGCCGCAATCGAGAAGGCAGTTGAACATGAGCACCCCGACTGGAAATATCCACTTATCCTCGAAGAGGTGTACGCGCGCATTGCCAAAGAACTTGGCCTACAGTTCGACCGAGATGAGCAGATTTCCTATGGACGCCAGATTGGTGATTGGCCTGCCTTCCCAGACACCGTGGCAGCGATGGAGATTCTTGCGAAACATTACAAGCTGTTCGTGCTGAGCAATGTCGACGAGGATTCCTTTGGGAGGACATGTGCTGGGCCATTGAAGGGCGTGCATTGGGATGGCATATATACAGCCGAGCAAATCGGGTCGTACAAACCTGATCCAAGAAACTATGAGTACGTCGTCGACCGCTTCCAAGAGATAGGTATTTCCAAAGGCGAAGTTGTTATGGTCGCTCAGAGTCTGGACATTGATCACGTAACTTGCACGGCTCTTGGGTTCAAGCCGGGAGTATGGATTGAGAGAAAGGGTGCTATAATGGGCGGAAATAGAAAAGAGCTTGAAGACCAAGGCTTGCTAGAGTTGGGAGCTGTTTACGCTTCATTGGGCGATTTCGCTACTGTTGTTGAAAAGGCTTTTGCGCATGAATAATCTCGGATAATTCGCTTCTCGAATGGCAATGGCAGCTAGATTGTGCTACGTGACGTAGTATTCTGTCCAAGCATTGGTATTTCAGTGCTACAGGTGAAGTTCCAAATCAGTAATAAAGTTTTCGTGTCGTAGTAGTTCACAATGAGATTTTTACTCTTCAGTCAGAAAGGATATATGCTATTTGCAAGTACTCTTTGTAGAGGGACAACACATTCGTTCATGAACAGTGTGCACTGACGAGAGAAACACGGAAAAAGGAAGCGGAAAAAGTTTAACTAATTTAAGTCTACAATAGATCTTGGTAATCTGAGACAAATTTCTCAATAGCTCTCACAAAAATGTCCAAGTGTTCAACTTTGGTCTCAAGGTTAAGCGCCACATATCCTCTGGTAGCGACGTAAAGGCCCTGTTCCAGCATGTAATGATAAAAGATGGCCTGCAAAATATCTTTATTTGCTCCAGCAAATGTAACGTTCATCAAGCTTCCGACACCACTTATATAGATCTTCGAAGCAGAAGCTACGGCTCCATTGGCTTGTTCGTTACGATCGCTGGTGTTTCTATGGCCGAGACGCTGCTTAAGCACGTCGGCGATGCGTTGTCGAAGTGTGTCGCCGAGATCGTTGAGACTCTTGACAGCCTCCCTATCGAAGATGTTACAACCTTCAATACCGCCAGCCATACTGATGGTGTTGTTATTGAATGTTCCCGAGTGTACAAGCTTCTTAGCACTAGGATCGAGCATCTCCATCACGGCGTGGCGCCCCCCAAAGGCGCCGAAACTGAATCCCCCTCCTGGCCATTTCCCCAATGTCGTGATATCCGGTTTGATACCCAATGTTGACTGCAGGCCACCATAAGCGAGCCTGGAGGTCATGACTTCGTCAAGTATGAATAGAGCACCGTGTTCGCTGGCGAGCTTCTGGAGGTGTTGCATGAAATCAGGTCTGCCAGGGATACAGCCTCCCGCACCCTGCATTCCTTCAACGATAATAGCCGCCAGTGAATTGGGTGGAAGGGCCTCAACGACAGCATCGGTTGCGAGAATGTCGTTGTATGGTGCTAGGACAAATTCATATTTCGGGTTCATGGTGTAACAAGGTGAGGCTTCTGGGAAGCTGATAGAGCTCCCGTGATACCCGCCAAGAAAACACAATATCTGCTCTTTGAGTCAGCAACAGCCACGAGACGGTAAATTCTAATTCATTGCTAAGTACTTACCTTTTGCTTTCCTGTATATGCTATTGCGGTTCCGATTGCCATGAGATTTGCTTCCGTGCCCGAGTTGCAGAAGCGAATCATGTCCATGCTATTTCCAAATCTTTCTACCAACATCTGTGCCAGCTTCCCTTCGTACTCATTTTTGCCTCCCAAGTTCCAACCTTTCTTCATGGCGCTATTTACTGCTGTCCAAATCCGCTCGCAGCTATGACCGTAGAGGCCAGCAGAATATTCGCTCAGAAAGTCAATGTAAGAATGTCCATCAACGGACCAGACAGTCGTTGCTTGGCCTCGAGCTATGACCATTGGAAAGGGAAGTGCGTGGAGGACCGATCGGGTGTTGGCACCGGGCATGTAAATTGCATCTTGTTTGAATTGTGCGAGGGAGAGAGCGTTGCGCTCCGTGTATCTGTGGCGAAATTCTTCTAATATAGACTGAGCATCGATTTTAGAAGTTTGGGGTGCAGAGCCCGGCGTGTCAGCCTTAACAAAAGTACTACAATCAGCCATGATGGTGAATTGAGGTCGGGACACTGCATCTATCATGCTGGCGGGCCCTCTTTTTATAACGCTGAATGGTCACATGCACGGGGTCTACCTATTCTGAAAGAAGTAGTCGATAGCGAGATTATGGCTATACGAATCCAGCTTCCGATCGATTGGAGGAATGCAAGGCTTGAAAGCAGCGCTTCTGTTACCCGCGTCGGATTACATTGCTCACTTTAGCAAAGTGGCAATTTTACACCAGATTTTATAGGCCCAAGTCTGGACTGCACTCCCAGGTGGAAAATTCAACACCATTTTTCAAACCGCTGTTGACTTTACGCATAAGTGTCTAAACTAAAAGTACATCTATCCCCATGTCTTGCTTGACCCTTTTCCAATTGACATGGATTTCTTCTTCCTTATGTCCGGTCTCAATGGCAGTGCAAGCTCTAATCTCCCAGATCCGTTCGATCAGAGCCTTGACCTTCACTCTGTTGCCCATACCAACCTTCGATGCGCTCTCAAATAATGTCATGAATTTGGACTTGTGCACATCCATGTAGGCCTCAACACCGGCGATGAACAAAGGCCATAGCGTGTAATTACCTCCGGAGATGTCAACAAAAGCTTCAATACAGTCGAAAACTTGAGACGCATAAATTGCCAATTTTCCCGGTACAGCTTCGTAAAACGTTTGATGATAATAAATAATGACTGCAGCTTTGAATGCTCGGAGATGCAAACGCCGAGACTCTGCATCATTGCATAAAGATGATAGTGTTCGTCCCTCCTGAAGCACTTCCGGGTCCGTGCTCCATTGCTGGACGTTATCATCTTCCATTAACATGCGACTCAGTTTCAGAGATGTAGAAGCTGCATGTGTAAATGACTCCATCTGTGAGCTGAATTGACAGTGTTTATTGATCTCGGAGATGCACTCTATCACAGAGGGTGAAGCTCCTAGAGTCCATCCAAAGAGAGGAGTATCAAGTAGAAGTTCCAAAGACGTCGCATCGTCCAGATTGTAGGTTGCGTCATCTAGGAAAGGATTCTCATGTGTCGAAGACAGACTTGTCTCGTATTTGACTCTCAGTAGATGAAAACTTTGCATAATGTACCAACCGTCTCCAGATTTGGTCAAAGTTGGGGAAGATCTATGCCGTCTAAGTAACTTCCAGGCGGCGGACAAGTGATATCGCCAAGTCTTAGAGTTTCCTTGGAACAGCTGTGGGTTAGTTCAGCGTTATCAAGGATATAATGCATAGGGCCTCGCAGCTTACCTCGATGAGCAAAAAGGTCATTATCGTCATCAGATGGTACAAGCAATCCGCGGTATCGTCAGTGAGACTACTTCGAAGCTCGGACATCGCACACGAATATAGATTCATCCCAACTGCTGACATGTCTGATTCTGCTCCACCCACGTTGCCAATACGCACCGCCGCTAGTGACATGAGCGCGTGCAACAGTTGGTTCTGGCCATCGTTAAAGCTCTTATACAAGGCAACACCTGGATACCTGGCCCAGGGGTTTTGAGAGGAGTGCACCGGAACAAGCAGGGGAACTACATGGTGAATGTAGTAATTCAACAGGAATGAGTTCTTTTCCACCAGTCGATTTTCGGCTCGTGGAGTCTTAAGAATACTCAAGGATGATATATCGGCGGGTATGTGATTGAATGTTACAAGATTCCTTGACAGGGAAGAGGCTTCTGGTAGAGAGCAATGATCGGGTGGAAGTTGCGCAAACACACTTTCAAAAGTTGTATATGTAACCGGAAACTCATCCAGCGAATCGAAAGTATCGACAGGATAGAGCTGGCCAACAATATCCAATTCATCGAACACGACTTCCTCTTCCTGTTGACGAAAAACCCAGAATGGAGATTGAGAAATTTCAGGCCTCGTCTCATGGCTGAAAGTAGCACCATTGCAGGCATCGATAAGGCTATCCACCGAAGAAGAAGACAGGACTGTACGATTCTTCCAGGTTTCCTCTTGCTCGCCATCAGCTTGATTGACTATGAATGCTTGAAGACAGATTCAAACTCACCAGGGCTAAGAAAGCGTCTACCATTGTGACGATAAGTTCTTTGATCACCAAGAACCCAAACCAGCTTCTGCTCATAAGCCGGACAGATTTTTCGACCCTTGAGGCAGGGTGTACAATGTGGTCTCGCCTCATCACACTATCACAGCCATTACTCATCAAACGGACGGCGAATTATAGCAATCTTACCTTAATTTTTCGAGACCGGCAGGTCCAGCAGCCCTAAAGATTTGTTCAATCTCTCCATTGGACGAATCAAACACGTGTTCAGAGGCCATACCGTGTAAGTCTTCTTGTATCCTGGGCACTTGCGTTGGGTGGAAACTGGCCTCAAGGTGCAGTTCATAGCGAACGAGATAGCACAGAGAAACCTTTACAGAATACTAACAACATCGCTCTCACTGCAGATATATTTTCGTGAATGCTTAGGATGGGATGACAGGAAGGACAGGGGGTGCATTAGCCTGTACAGAAGGGCGTGCGACTCCACTCTCCTCAGATTTCTGTAAGCTCGGCTGATAAGCTTGCCACATTAAAGGTGGATTCATAATTGGATCTTTAGCTCATGTCACAAAACCTCGCTATCGACTTCCTGCGAAGCCTCGCCATTGACTTCCTTCGAAAAACCTCGCCATCGACTTCCTCCCGAGAGAATTCGCTCCATCTTTAAATCTGCGGGCTCTAAGCTCGCCCGCTACTAGCGCAGAGATCACAGAGACGTTCAATTTCTTTCTGCATAATCGCTATTCCTCATCCATCATTCCTGTGATAGGCAAAAGGGTCCCCCTATCTCTCAGGTACCTGCTCCAAATGGCGGGATGGCGATTGAGGTTCACCTTGGCGACGCCATGCCGAACGGATTGCCTCACCTCTAGATCGTCTGTTGTACCGTGCAAGACTAATTGTACCTGGCCTTGGACAGCGTCCTTGATGGACGTAAGTCTGTCATATTCGAATTGAAATGGACCATCTGGATGCCCGCCGTGCACGTTCCCAATCGAAGGTGCAAGGAAGTCGATACCTGTGTTCATGAATTGAAGCGTAGTCCGTATATTTCCTAGAACACCTGTATCCTTGAGACCATCTTCTCCGCCTTCAATGCGACCTGCCTCTGCTTCGACGGCAATACCTCGGGCATGACAACACTCTGTCAACTCTTTGGTTTTCTTTAGATTGTCAACCAAATCGTAATGAGATATGTCGATCATGATGGAATCAAAAGGTAGTGACGCAGCATACTTGATTTGCTGCTCGTCCTGTTCATGGTCTAGATGTAAGGCTGCAGGTACCTTTGCTTGCATACATGCTTCAGCAGCCAAATGTACGAGAAGAGGCCATATTGGTGAAGTGCATGCGGAAAAAGCATCGCCATGGCTGGCGATTGTTTTGCTTCCGCAGCACATATAGCACTCAAGATTTGTTCCATATTGTACTACATTTGTATAAGCATCAGAAAGATCAGTACAGTCGTCTTTGCAAGGCACTTACGCAGACAATGGCAGGAACCCCATAGTTGCCTTCTGCTGCAGCTTTCAACATGCGTACACTTTTGTTCTTTGTAATATCCATTTCGAATGAGCCTGGAACTTGAGAGCAGAATTCAATCGAATCTATGGAACAGAGGAACGCCTTTTTTGTAGCCCAATCAAGTGCCACAGAAAAAGTGTTGCCCAAGCTTTATCATGTGAGAATTTGTCGAAGAAAATTGTAATCTAGCAGGGGCCTCAAATTAGTCTCAACTCGCTATTGAATTCCTGATGCCTGAGATAAGGATACCGTTTCATCAAAGTCTGACGTGCGAGATAACAGATTTAACGATCCGGGCCTATAAAGGCTCACAAAGTCCATGTCTAAGCTTGTTTCAATTTGTGTTGGGTATCATTCTTGTTTGACCATCGTTGATATCTTCGCTCGATTTACACCATATTTTTGCACTAATGGAAGAAGTCGAAGCGATCAAGACGCCAAAGAGTGCGCTGGACGTGGATGTTGTAACTGGGGAGCTTGTCGAACTTCATCCTGATGGCAATCATGCTGTGAGATCAAAACATGGCGACTACAAGCGAACCATATAATCAACCCAAATTCATGTATGAGCCTCTTTCATAGAGCTGATATTCGGCTCTTGTAATTAATTATCTATACCAGGTCATCACACTTGGATCTAATATCGGAAGTGGGCTTTTCATTGCCACTGGTAAAGGCATAGCAAACGGTGAGCTTTTATCATTTTCCTACCTTTCTCTCGACATAAATCTACCCGAGCTGCATGATGCATATGAAAGCGCTGACGAAGAAATGCGATAGCTGGACCACTTGGAGCAGTCATAGCTTATGGATTGGTGGCAAGCTGTGTTGCTGCTGTCCTTCAGGTATTGGGCGAGATGACCATTGCATTCCCTACTTCCGGTAACTTCATCGACTACGCAGATCGATTCGTCGACCCCTCGTTGGCTTTCGCTGCTGGCTTTGCCGAGTAGCTTGGTAATCACCATCTCCCGATATCATACTTTCTTCTTCACTAACCAAACAAGGGTGGTGCGCGGTACTTGGGTCTGAAGCCACATTCTTTAGTCTGATTATCAGTACGTGGAATTCGGCTTTTCCCGAGGTCGCTGGAGGTATGTAGGCTAAGGCGCTGGCTATGGGGGTGCTATCTGACTTCGTATAGTGACAATCTTCATCGTGGGTGCAATAGTCCTTTTCAGCTTGCCCAATCGGTGGTTCGCCTGGTTCGAATACTTCACTTCCATCCTCAAGGTCATTGCCATTACATTATTTCTCATTTTAGACTTCGCGATCATATTCGGAGCTGGTCCGAAGGGTAAAGTCTACCACGGTGAGACCTGGAACGCTGGACCAGTATTCAAGAATGGGTTCAATGTATGAATCTTGAGACTTGGAACATATTTTGGCTATATGAGTCTAACGCAACAACAGGGGTTCTCGACTTCCAGTTTACTGGCTTTATGGGCCATGTCCGATCAAGTTTTCATTACCATTATGGTTGGTGAGGCAGAAAGTCCTCGATATGCCATGTCGCGAGCGGCTAAGACCGTACCTGTCCGTGTCGCACTGCTTTACCTCATGACGATTACCTTCTCTTCTCTCCTGATCAGCCCTAACGACCCACGATTATTCGGAGGGTCTGCGATTACTCAGTCACCCTTTACAATAGCCCTCAAGGATGCCGGCATTCACGGTCTTGATCAATTCCTCAACGTTGTCATCTTGATAAGCTGCTTTGGTTTTGGCGCAGAAAGTGTCTACGTCGCGTCGAGAATTCTCAGGGCTCTGTCGCACCAACGCCTTATACCAGAGCTTATCGCAAGTGTAGACTCTCGTGGAAGACCAATCTGGTCGTTGATAATCACCGGTTCAATCTCAATTGCCTTGACGTATCTGAATTTCAGCAGTAAGCAGAGCCTAAATCTGCCAGTGTGTGGAAACAAATCACTAAGCATCGATTACAGGGACTGGAACTACAATTTTCAATTGGCTCGTTTCGATTACATCTTCGGCTTTCTTCACAGTGTGGATCATCATCTCCATCACTTCATTCCGTTTTCGAGCCGCCTTGAAAAAGCAGAAAGATCCATTGTTCAAAGAAGTATTCGCGTTCCGCACTTGTGCTTGGCCTCTACCCACCATCTGGCTACTGACCTGCAGTGTTTTTCTCCTTGTCTGTTGTATATACAGCGGATTATATCCTCTTGTAAGCTCCAACCAACGTCGATATTGTTCCAAAATGCTGACTGAAACCGAAGGGCTCTGACAAGGTGTCTGCGTACAACTTCTTCCAATATATGATTGGTGTTGTGATCGTGTTAGTTTTCTCTCTTGCCCATAAGGTGATCTACCGCACCAAGCTCCGAGCAGCTAGTGAGGTGGATCTGCGGAGTGGACGACGAACTTTGCAAGAGCCAGAAATCGCAATGCTGAAAAGATATTATGATCAGCCAGCATGGCGTAGAGCTCTCACCTATGTTAAGTTCTGGTAATTAATATCTTGCGATAGCTACAAGTGCGATGGATACATTATAATGGGTTCTATTTTTCTTTAATGATAAATCTGAACCCAGATTTCTTCGGTAGAGCGACTGTTTGATCAATTACGCACAGAATGCTGTGAGTTATGGTTAGCGCATGAATAGCTTGCGGAGATAGAGGTGGCAATACTTTAATGGAAGACCTGTTCTTGTCTTGACTGCGGTGGTTGAGCCCAAGTTGTTTCAGTGTCTTGAAAATTACAAACAATCTCAATAATTATCCGCCAAATTGGACATTTCTCGCATTTCGGCGAGGCTAAAGCCAAAACACAAGAATGATCTGGCATCTTCTCTAATCATGAGCCATGGATGATTTTCAAGCTACTAGCAAGAGCACAAATGAATTATGCCGACATCGTATTTGCACATGGCCAATAGTATAGTGCAATCAGGTAATTTGTCCCAGCTGCAGGACGAAGATGACATAAAATCTATCAAAGGGTCAGGGTCCAAGCTTTTCAGACGCCTAAGATCAGGCTCTACACCAAGCCGGGATTCTTTATTCCTCTGATCAGAAGCCTTTTATGTCGATTAGAGCTACCCAGACAGGTATAACCCGCTGCTGACGATATCACACGCGAGCTCATTGTCGAGTGTTCCTAGCAGTAATGTAAGTCAGAACACAGGGCGTACTTCTGCGAGGACTGCACGTTTTAAGATTTTCACCAATAAAGGTCGAACAGCAAGGTTTGGAGATTGTTACTAACTGCCACCTACTTTCCGTCTCATCTCGAGGTTCGCAGGCTACCCTGTGATATCGGACTGAGCTCAGTCGTTGGTAAGGCTATCTTTGCCGAGCAAACCACTATTTCATCTATGGCCTCAAGTGTGAACAAGTGGTTCCATGCGGGTGGTGGACGAACTTCCAAACGCTTTCTTACCTTCACTTTCTCCAGCTCACCATGCTATCTGACCTATATAAGTAAGTAGGTAGATTTCGAAAGCTTCAAGAGATCACGTGCTAAAGAAGCTTGTGGCTGGCTAATGACGTCCATGACTGCTACTCGGTCAAGAGTCTCAATATATCCTTCACTGAAGCATATGTTGGGATCTAAACCGGCCAATAGTCGAGGACTTGTAAGTACGTCTTTAAGGAGGATGTCTTCTCAATTCTATCACAAGGATACTCCGATGGAGGTCAAGGATGCCAAGGTCCGCACGCATATCTTCTTACCATCCTTTGCGGTGCCGATTAATAAATATCCAGGGCTTGCATCTCCTTACAACTTCAACTCCAAATGGCAAGAAAGTTCAAATCATGCTTGAGGAATTGAAGGAAACTTACGGGACTGAATGTGTGTACAAAAGGTTCTGGGACATTGTGAGAAGCTGATTCTTTTTCAGATACCCACACTCTCATCTCTATCCCAAACAACACACAGAAAGAAGATTGGTTCCTCCGTCTGAACCCAAATGGTGCGTATAGCCTATTGCTTAAAATTATAGTTACGATCTAAGAAAAAACAGGAAGAATTCCAATCCTTGTTGATAATACAAAATCTCCACCATTTCCAGTCATGGAAACTTCAGCCGTAATGCTGTACCTTCTCAAAGAGTTTGATCAGAAGGATACATTTGGATTCAAAGATGAGCTTGAGAGGAACCAGTGTCTTCAGTGGTTATTCTTTTGGCATGGCAGTGTAAGTGCCCTTCCACCAGCCTGGACAATGTTCTGATGTGACAGGGTCAACCAATTGAAGGTCAGCTAAACTGGTTTGGAAAACTTGCTTCCCAAAAGGATCAATGTAAGTTCACTTCACATCCACTGTCTTACGCAACTAAGGGTTATCATAGTTGCTATTGATCGTTTCAAGAAAGAAACGCTGCGCATCTTCGGAGTCCTCGAGCTTCAGTTGTCTGGAAAATATACTGATGAAGAAAGGGATTATCTCTCTGGTCGTGGGCGAGGAAAATATTCAGTAGCGGATATTGCGGCATGGCGTACGTATCCTGAATTGCCTTCATTCATTGCCTCTCTGACGTTTCAAAGCTTGGGTCTCAGGATACAACTTCTCGGGACAAATCAGTGAGGATGACATGAAGGAGTTTCCACATCTACTAATGTGGATAGAAAGGATTGGAGAGGTGAAGTCATATGATAACCCCGCATGAATTCTGTGCTAACACGCTATAGCGTTCCGCAGTCAAGAAAGGGATTGCCAAGTCCTGGGAAAATTGGTAAAAACAGGGCAAACAAACAACCAGTGTTGAAGGCCACTGATCTCACCTGATTTTGTGACTCAAGACAGATGCGTGATAGATCAAGATAGAACAACGACAATAGTGCTATTCTTCTATTCAGAGACAATTCTGTAAAGAGAGCACGTTTTGAGGATCCTGTTTGAGCAAGGAGGTGTTTGACACGTGACCAGACTACTGCTGCCAGTTGCCAAAAGCCAAAATTTTGATATTTAAGCTTCTTTCTGCGAATCCTCCTTCCAAAACAACACCTTCTCTGCCAACAAACTTTGTTGGTGATGGCAAACCTCTTTGAGCCCGGCGGCTCCTTCTATAGCGGTCGCGCTGGACGACGGGGCTGTGTTTGCCTGCGTGCTTGGATCGTTCTTGCCTCTCGTTCCCTCTTTGTTTCCTCTTGCTGTCAATTTTCAATCGATTGTCAATCTTCCAATCTGTCGCCACTTCTCTTTCCTCTCCCCATATCAGAACGCACATCTCCGGAGCCACTCTTTATCTTTCCTTTAGCAGCATCGCCTGGGAATTGGAATCGGCGTGGTCGACTGGCGAGAATTCTTTTTTGGTGAGTACCCATCTCCTTCAACCATCTCGTCCTGCACAACTTTATCATCTGCCCGTCATTACCAAAAGATTCCCTTGCACGCTTTGAACTTCAGTTTCGTTCACGAGAATAGATTCACAAACCACCTTGTCGAAGACTCAACCACACGATATCTTCTTGACCTGGCAGGCGTTGCATTTCACATTTCCAACATCCTTCGGAATCAGCGTTCGAGATCCAATTGCTGGCCATAAAGAGCCTTCCACAATTTTTTGTCGGACGACATTCAATTTGCCGTTGTCAAAGACTCAACTCCACTTGTCGAAGATTCAAAACATCGATATCTTTCCGACATTGTCACTACTGCACACCTTCACTCGAATATTTCTATCTCCAGTTTCTACAACACAAGCGTGCACGGCCATCATTCATCTCCTTAGTGTCATCTGCATAGCCGAGATATCGTCCGATTTTCAGGAAAGCTCAACTCTACAATATCTTTTTAGCTTCGCTTAAGTTACTATCTCGGCACGAAACCTCTCCTATTAGTACAGGCGAAGTTCGGTTAGGGGGGACACTCTTGCTTGCATATTCACGTCAACTTATCGCTTTGGCCACTTCAAATCGGATACAGACATTCTGATTTGCGGATCATCAGTCTTCTTCACCTTGAGAGCACTCGGGCATCAAACATCATCACGAATCCATATCACTAACACACATATTTCAGAATGATTGCAAACTTCATGATGCCTTCGATATCTTTGGCGTCGGACTTCGAGGAGTGGATGGCAGGGTGTGCGCTCTCATTCGGTGGCGTAAGTACCTCTAGTATTATATGGGCATCAGACGACATGCTAATGTTGAATACAGAAGAGACATAGTGGGGAGCCAATTCCGAACAGGGAATTCCTACCAGGGAATGCATGGAAGTTATTCGAGCAAGAGCCTCGACCAACCCCAGCTCCTGAGAGTCCAATCAGCCTCCGCCAGCCATTCATCAACCAATTAACCCCTCCAAAGGGCGACTTCTCATCTGGCTCTTCCACTCCAAGCGGCTCTCCACGAGCACGAAGCTCTTCTGGTTCCTCCTACAATTCTCAATATCCTATACCACCAGCCAAGGCCGACCCTCTCTTCGTTACTGAGTTCTTCGAAGTCTGCAAATCTCCCAAAGGTGGATATGGAGCGTTTGCAACCAAGGATATTGAAGTGGGGACGGTGATTATGTCCGAGGAGCCAGCATTCCGTGCAACATTCGGAGAGGTATTCTACATGTATGAAGGCTTGACGACGGAACAAAGAGTGGAGTATAGATCTCTTCATGGGTGGTCAGCATTAGCGCACAATAGAATTCTGTCGATCTTCAAGACCAATCGGTGAGTTACCGGTTCCCCTAGTTCGAGGAGATTTCTGGGCTCATTGTTGCAATTTAGTTTCGAACTTTCAGGAACCAGATGTGGAATCTTTCTCAAGTCTTCTCGATTCAACCATGCCTGCCATCCGCATGCTACCTGTACTTACAAATGGAATGAAGAGCTCGGTCAGATGGTGTTCACATCTATCAATCCAATGAAGGCGGGAGACGAGATCACTATTCAATACTGCGCAAATCCTGCAAAACTCTACGATAACTACGGGTTCTACTGTGATTGCCCTTCGTGCCCTGATCCAACAAAGACCGCAGCTCAAGACCGCAAGCGTCGACTAGGCTGGTGAATACTTCTCAGGACTACAGAAAGCTCCGACCCAAGACGTTGATCGACAGCTCGGTGACTGCAGAGCAGCGATTTGATATCTTTCCTTGAGGATACCAACCTCGGTTTTCTTAGCACATACACCACACACACATGACACACTTCGATTACTCTTACTCTACTATACGAATTTCTCGATTCACACAAACGCCGATAGCCTCGATCCGATCCTTCTACAAACACCTTATGAAGTTGTTCTCAGCGACTATCGCCTAATTTTGACATTTTCTAACTAATCACAGCGTCTCAACTTAATCTTTTACGACACCCGATGGAGGAGAGAGTTGGCGAGATAACTCCTCGAGGCACCATCTGAGCGGAACTTCTCTGACTGCACTGGACTACTTTAGCGATTCTTTCTTAATGCGATGAAATTTGCTTCGGTGATTATTTTTGGGTGTTTTTTCTTGAATATTAATAGGTTGCGTGCCTCACTTGACTAGAAGTCTCTGAATCAACGTGAAATTCTTGTGAATAAAGTCTTTGCTAGCCATTCCCATGCGCATCATCCATCAAAATCTTTTTCTTATTGTGTAACGGTAATTATGGCACCTCAACTAGAACCCATTCTACCACCGATGGGCTGCATCTTTTCTCGCCACGACGTGAATACAGACCATGAGCCAGACCAAAGATCCGGACAAGGATTTCAGAATGCTCCACCACCTCACTTCCAAGAAGCCATGCAGCAGCCGCAATACCGGGAAATCACATTTCGAGACTTGCAAGAGGGTCAAATCCAAGTACTAAGACCCAAGCGTCAAGCATCTATGTCACCAATTTTATCAACAAGAGAGTTGGGTCGAGAAGTAGAAGTAACAAGACAACAAAGAAGAACAAGAGCATTAGATCAACGACCTAGATCACCGCATCAACCACAATACTGCACTAACTGCGCACACTGCATTAACACACGGCGCTTCAACATAACTCCACCCCGCTGTCCCTACACCGGCGACGACATTAGATCCGAGCGCCAGATTGAGAGGGAGTATCGTCGCAGACATTCTGGGAAGGCTATTGAGGCAGCTGATGTCATTTATCGGAGAGCGGAGGTTAGGAGAGCGCTTCGGGACGAGATTAGGAGCGACGTGCATGGTGAAAGCAAGGAAGAGATGCCGGATGTGATTGAGGGCGGATTTAGTAGGAGGGGAGGTACGGGTGGGGTGAGAGAGATGACGAGGGAGGAGAGGAAGAGGGTGAAAAAGTGGATTGAGGGATGTAGGTGGGCGGGTTGCGCGGGGTTTGGGGACGGGGAGTGGGAGACGACTGAGAGTGAGGGCAGCACTCAATGTGATGCTTCTATTCCTGTTGTGTATGTCGAAATCGAGAGGGAGCGGAGACGGTAGTATTGAGACGCTGTATGAATATTGTGGTAGAGTAAATGACTGGGAAACTGTCCAGACTCTTTGTCGAAAAAAAAAATTGAAACAATTTTCAAGTACAATTCCATCGAAGTCTGTGATTCATCCCGAGATTCCTCTAGAATCAACTCCGGTCAAAGACTCATGTCTCAACAATCTTTGGATCTATATAATCAGCTCCCCATTACACAGAACAAACTTATGACAAGATCCGAACAACACCAGACAACAAATTCACACCATGTCTTTCATGTCAGACACCCCTCTTCCTTTGAGACCGACGCCCAGAAGACCATGTCCTCGGTGTCCGCATCGCCTTTCTGATTTAGCGTCGCATGTGGAGCCTGCTGAACTTTCGGCAGAGGAAGAGGTTAAGACGATAGAGGGTCATGCTACTTCGGAGAGTGAAGAGATACCGGCAACCACCAGCGAATTTGAGACATGGAGAGACTTGTTAGAAGAGCTGAAGGGGAAACGGGTCCCTGCCTGCGATGATGATCAGAATAACGGCAAACAACCAGCAACGGACGAGGCTCAGACCGATCCACCAATCTACAACGAGCGAAAGAAAGACATTCTCGTTGACATGAGTCTGGAGCATCTCGACGAGAAAGCTGAAGCCGCGGACAAAGATTCTTCAGGTGTTGCCGCCATAAAGAATAAAGATGTCCCCATCAGAAAAGGCATCTTGATCAGAGCAAGGACAAAATCTGATGGTCTGCAGAAGAAGAAGAGCGTCCGGTTTCACAAAGGATGTAAGGGAGATGACTCCTTCGAGGACGAGAGCAGAGGTTGGAGTCCTGTTCCTTGTGAGTACCATGTCGAAATGGATAAAGAGCCGGAGGGGAATGAGGAAGGTGAGAGGAAGCCCGTAGAGGAAGAAGAGGAAGAGAACAAAGCTTGAGATGAGATGAAGGGTAGTGTAAGATATTGTGCGTATTACCAACATTGGATCTCTTTAATGTGCGTCTGAAACGGGAAACTTTTGTTTGTAAGATGAGAGAGAATAGACGCAGGACTTCCAAGCAAGGAATCAACTTGAATATCATTACTTGTCTACACGTTTCACTTGAACATGCGAAAAATCCTCATCTCTCTCAAACCTTTTCCCACCGTCCTCTCCCTCATCATCCTCAAAATCAGAACCAAAATCAAACTCCTCATCCCCAATCTCCCCATCCCTCACCCCCTCAACAACCCCCGCCTTCCCCTTCACCCCAGGCAAATCCTTCTCACTCTTGTAGAGCCTCTCCTTCCACGCCGGCCGCCTATGCTCCCTCGACTTGAATCCCGTCTTATTCTCATCCTTCGCCTTCCCCTTAATCTTCGCACTCACATACTCGTGCTTGTTCTTCCACGTCCCGCCATATCGATAATCCCTGTGATCAGCGTCCCCGTCGGGCGTGCCGCCGCTGACGGACCGCCAGCATTTGCCGGGGCACACGAAGTGCCATTGCCGCGTGGCGTCGATTTGGCAGCGGATCAGGACGTTGCGCGGTTGCTGGCAGAGGGTGCAGGGTTTGCTGTGTGGTGAGGAGGTTGATCCGGTGGTTGTTACCGGTGTGGCTGAGGAAGGTTTCTCTGGCTGTGGCTGTGGCTGTGGCTGTGGCTGTGAATCTTCTCCAAGTTCAATAATTGATTCATTCATCATCAGAAGAGGGAGGCAACGTAAGTGAGGTGACTCAAACGAGGAATCACGTTGATAGTTCTCGCTTGAAATGCCAAGAGGAGATTAGATCGTGATTAGATCAAGGCATGGTCTAATTTAAGGTACCCCTGATTCACTACGTCATCGTTTGGCGATGGCTTTCTTGAACGCACTTATTGCTTGCCAAGGTTTTTTTATTTTCTGTTTCTTATTTAATAAATCCTCCAATACCTCATATTGATCCAAACTGTCTGGAATTTTGAAAGCACACTTCCGTCAAGTAAAAGAAAGATCAGATCACCTCGAAATCATACAAAATGGCAGCTTCAAGCTCAGTAAGTTATAACAATGGCGTGCAATGCGAGCCAGAATTAATGCAAGACACAGGCAGACGTCTTCGCATACCTCGTCGCTATCTTCATTCCTCCCTTGGCTGTGTTCCTCAAGACTGGATGTAATGCCGATTTCCTCATCAACATCTGCTTGACCATCCTCGGTTGGATTCCAGGTGTTATTCGTGAGTCTATGTTTCTAGACCAAAAGAATAAGTTTACCAACAGCATCCGCAGACGCCTGGTGGGTTATCTCGAAGCACGATCCTGCCAAATACACATAAGAGACAGGGAACCATGGAGGAGGATGCACGAAATTGTATGATAGGATAGGATGGAATGGGATGGATGGGAGTTTGTCGTTTGTTTGGGATATACCACATGTACATGTTTGCAGGCACAATCACACCGGAAATTCGTAATGGAATCGAGCACAAATCTTTTCAAAACCTCCTCAATCATATTCAAACCCATCCTTCCCCTCAACTTTCCCGTTCCCAGCACCTCCCTCTCAATTCCCACCAACGACCTGCCCACCAATCGTAACTGGCTTCACATCCGTATAATTCGGGATATCCGCCATAATATTCCCCGCGCTCGCAAAACACTCGTCCGCCGCCTCCTTGCTCTTGAACCACAGGTGACACACGGTCGAGTACCCGGTATCCGGGGCTGCTTTCACGACCTGCCATTTCGTGAGGCCGGTCGGCGTGAATTGCTTCTCGACGGTCGCCATGTGCGAGGTGAGGTAGTAGTTCATGTCGAATTTCTCGGTCGCGGGGTAGAGGAGGGTGACTACTATTTCTTGGGAGGCCATTTTGGCTTTGTTGTTCTATTTCCTCGATGTTAGACTAATTCAACGGTTACGGAATTGGGGAAAGGGATGACTTACTTCTGGAAGAATGGGTGAATGTAACAGAGGTTTCTTTTAGTGCTTGAGAAGGAAAAGCGATTTTAAATGATAGGAGTTGTTCTTCTTCATATACCTATTTCCCCTCACCCAGCGGGGTAGATACGTCAACGAATCGGGTATAATTTTCTCTCGGCGTTAACGTTATGCGACCAGCTTATTACTCCATTTTAGCTGTCCCTGAAGCTGCCGACCTGCGCCGAGGTTACATTTGAAACCGCCTACGGTCCACTACAGCTTGAGTTTCAAATGATTGGAGATATTGGTATGTTGCTCGTAAAAATGTGGCGAATGGAGGGAAGACCGATGGACACTGCGCTATTTGTATGCTTGTTTTTCAGCCATCCTTTTTGTCAGGAGCTCAAAGTGACTTTTGCAGAAGCGGAGTGATATATAATCTTCTAACTGGACGATGGTCCAGCTTCGAGTTGAGATTTCTTGTTGAATATCTATGGTACAGAGGTATGCTACATGGACTCCTATTTTTTACCAATTTACCCATGCCCATTTCCATGCAATATACAATCTATGCACCCAAAATTACAACAAGAAGGTCTGTCTATTAACACAAAAGCAGCTCTAGTCTACTTCTTATTTCTATCCGCTTGGAACTTCTCGTATTTCGCAACAAGCTCTTTTCTATTTCATGTATTAGTAATCGGCGTAGGAAAGAGAAGCGAAAGACTTACTGTAATTGACCCGGCGCAGGACTATAATGACTGAACTCCATCCCGAACTCTCCCTTCCCTTGAGTTGCGGCTCGGAGCTGAGAGCTAAAACCAAACATTGCGTTCAAGCTGCAGTCAGCTTGCAACGTGAAGTCTTCCGGTCCGATCTCGGTATCGTTGATAATCGCATTCCTTTTATTCAGCAATCCGACAATGTTACCCTGGAACTCGTTTGGTGCGGTTATAGTCGTCTTCATAAGCGGTTCGAGGACTTGCGGCTTAGCCTCCTTGAAAGCTTTGCGGAAGGCTTGTTGAGTTGCGTTCTTGAATGCCATTTCGGATGAATCGGTCATGTGGGTAGCTCCGTCGTTGATGACCATAAGAGCTCCCAAGACGGGATGTCCGATAAGTGGTCCTTTCTCGCAAGATGCGAGGAATCCCTTTTCGCAAGCAAACAAGTACTTTTCACTGATAGAACCTCCGGTGACTTCTTCTCTGAACTTGGATTGGGTATAGCCATTTGCGTCCGGTTCAAGAGGTTCCATGTATCCAACAACTCGGGCGAAATCACCAGCACCTCCAGTCTGCTTCTTGAGAGTGTGGTCGAATTTGACTGGTTGAGTGATAGTCTCTCGGTATGCGACTTGAGGCTTTCCAGTCTCGACTTCGACCTTGTATTCTCGACGCATACGTTCGATGTAGATATCAAGATGTAATTCTCCCATTCCCGAGATGATGGTCTCTTGACTTTCTGCGTCAACATGAACTCTGAAAGTGGGATCTTCACGTTGAAACCGGTTCATAGCCTTGCTGAAGTTGTTTCCATCCTTGGCTGTCTTCGGCTTGATAGATAACGAGATGACGGGGTCGGGAACGAACATAGATGTCATGGAGTAAGGCAGTCCACCATCCGTGAAAGTGTCACCGGAAGCACAGTCCACACCAAACACGGCACAGATTTCTCCAGCGCCAATGTCGGCAACGTCTTCCATTTCGTTAGAGTGCATTCGCACAATTCTTGGGATCTTGACTTTCTTGTCTGTCCTAGCATTGAAGACGTTCATTCCCTTCTTGAGTGTACCCTGATAGACTCGGATATAGGTCAATTGACCATAATTGCTTTCCTCAAGCTTGAATGCCAATCCGACGAAGGGTAATGAGTTGTATGAAACAAGCTTGACTGGAGCTTCTTCTCTCCTCTTATCCAAAGCCAAATTTTCGACCTCGGATGGATTTGGTAGGTAGTCGCATACGGCGTCCAACATCGGTTGAACTGACTTGTCCGCTAAAGCGCTTCCCATCATAACAGGTGTGAACTTCAGACTGATCGTAGCTCGTCGAATGGCAGCTTTCATTTGTTCTGGTGTTGGTGTTCTTTCGTCCAAAAAGATCTCAGCAATCTCATCATCGACATCAGCCAAAGTCTCAATAAGAACACCCCTCTTCTCCTCAGCAAACGCCTTGATATCTGCTGGAATTTCGTCCGACTCTCGGATTATTTCGCCCTTTGGCCCATCGTTATATATAGCCTTCATTCGAATGAGATCCACGACACCATTGAAAGTATCTTCAGACCCAATAGGAACTTGTAAAGCCGCAGCAGGAATTCGCAGTTTTTGGTTGATTTGTTCGACAGCCTTCCAAGGATTGGCACCCATTCGATCCATCTTATTCACAAAACTGATTCGAGGAATATTGTATCTCCTCATCTGCCTATCAACCGTAATCGTCTGACTTTGTACACCACTGACGGCGCAGAGAATCATAACTGCTCCGTCCAGGACTCGCAATGCTCGCTCGACCTCGATCGTGAAATCGATATGTCCAGGGGTATCAATCAAATTGATATGGTATGTTTCGTCTTTTCTGTTCTCCTTCTTTACCCAGTCGCAAAAAGTGGCCGCTGATTGAATGGTGATACCCTTTTCTCTTTCCAGCTCCATAGAGTCCATCTTTGCGCCCACGGCATCCTTTCCTCTAACTTCGTGAATGGAATTGATTCGTCCAGTATAGAAAAGAACTCGCTCTGTAGCTGTCGTTTTGCCACTGTCGATATGTGCCTATGTCTACATATCAGTCTCTCTCCACAACATATCGTCTGAGTTCGTCCCTACAGCAATACCGATATTCCGTAACCTTGATAGTCGCCCTCTTTCCGCTGAGTCTAGATTATCGATAATAGCCTCTTGAGTTAATGCGGATGGGTCTGCCGCAGCTTGTTTTAATCTATGAATACCATCATTAGCACTTTGTTCACAGGTCTTCCCTCCTCAACCACCAACAATAAAACCTCTCGACCTTCCATACTCCACAATCAAAGAAAATCAAAACTTACACAGCTTCCGCAGCCCCAGCCCTCAACAACCTCGTCTCAGAAAACCATCTCTTCCCATCCCCTCCTATTCTTCCTCTCCCAGCAACAGGAGTCCTAGAAGCATTTAAGCACAGGAACCTAGGCCTCGACGCACAACTCCGGAACGAGACTGCGGCTCGCACAGCTCCTCTTTGCGCCCTCATGATTGTTGACGCGATTGACACGGTTCGAAAAATAATCGTATCATCGATTTCTCGATGATCTTTTCGCGATGCAACTTTTTTGTGGGTCTCGAGGCTAGGCTGTTTTAAGCTTGGTCCCTTGTCTTCCATCTTCACGGTTTGGCGTTGTGAAATAATTCACATTCTATTGGAGAACCTCCTCACTGATTTCTTATCAAGATACTAGAGCTCCTGACAAGACTTACAGTCGTGTTTCCCGACTCATGTTAGATACCATCTGTCCCAATGTCTTCATGTCAAATTGTCAATACATTGGGCGACACGGGAAGCATCTTGTCTATGAACCATCAGTACCGAGATGTTGGTAATTTGTATAGCCGCTGCAACTTCATGCTTAAGGGGTATTAAACATATCCAACCAACATTTTTCAGTTTGCACACTTCGTCCGATTCCTTTATGCCCCTCTTTTCTGCTCCTTCAAAGTCATTCTTGTTCATTATACTGCTTTCCCGCTTTGAAGTTTTAAGTCACCATGGGCGGAGAAAAAATAAACCAGATGGTACAACTCGAATCGTTGTGCTTCAGAGTTGCTCTTGGAGCTCAATCACAGCCTTCTCTGCCAGAGAAAGCCAAACCGAGTGGTATCATAGCTGATCTATTGATACCGGGTCGTGTTCCACCAATCTCGAAAGCAGCAGTCGTCGTCCATAACGGAGAAATAGAGTGGGCAGGTGTCCAGTCTTCGATTCCCATCAAACACAAAGGACTCGATTTCATCCACGTACCAGTACTCATGCCAGGTCTATGGGATTGTCATGTTCACTACTTCGGCTCCCCGCCCAACGATAGCGGAGGAGGATATGAGCAGATACTAGGCCCGATAGCTCTATTTGGAGCTCGTACAGTTCGTGATCTCGAGAGGACGCTTCTAGCTAGTTTTACATCCGTACGCGAATTAGGTGGCTACGGCGGTGAGATTGCTGCTGGGGTGGAGGAAGGAAATTTCATCGGCCCGCACATTTATTCGAGCATTGCTCCTCTCAGCATCACTGCCGGCCATGGTGACATCCATCGCCTGCCCCTCAGAACTGTCCTCGACGGCTGTGCCCACGGACTCCCTTTTGCCGTAAGTGACGGTGTCCCAGAATGTATCAAAACGGTTCGTCAAATAATTCGCCGTGGTGCAAAGATTATAAAAGTCTGCGTGTCCGGGGGAGTTGTTAGCGTTCTTGACGATCCCGAAGATGCGGAATTTTCTCCAGAAGAATTGAAAGCTATAGTCGAGGAAGCGGGGAGATCTAAACGAGTCGTCGCAGCCCATGCTCACGGCAAAGAAGGCATTTTGAATGCAAGTTTAACTTCTTCCTTCTACGCTGCCTTCTGACAATTAATACAATTGTTAGGCACTCAACGCTGGCGTGAAGACGATCGAGCATGGAAGTTACTTGGACGAGGAATGCATTGCTTTGATGAAAAAGAAGAATGCCATTCTAGTCCCTACCGCATCCATTATCGAAGGCGGCTGGGCGTCGAGGGATTACTTTCCTCCCGAGACATACAAGAAATTCCATCAAATCTACAGTAGCTGGAAGGGAGCATATTCGTTAGCCATTGCAAGCGGCGTGAAAATTGCTCTGGGCACGGATCAAGCCAACAGTCAGGAAGGAACTTTCAACAGCCACGGAAGCAACGGTAAAGAAATCTATTTCGCAGTTCAGGCCGGAATGAGTCCTTTGGCTGCTATCGAAGCCTGCACCGCCACGGCTCCAGAGACTCTTGGAGAGCATATAGCGCCAAAATCGGGGCAGATCCTCGAGGGGTACGATGCCGATCTAATTGCTCTGTCGCAGAACCCGCTCAACGATGTGAGCGTCCTGTCTGATCCCGACAACGTGACTCATGTGTGGAAGATGGGAAACTGTTCAAATCGCCTTAGTTGTTGCGGGAGGGTTCTTCTCTTTGGTTTCCTGTTATCGGTCATCAAGACTCGTGTTCAGAAAGTACCTAGGTAGGTCGTTTCAGGGTCACATATCTCATTCACATGCAACATCTCTTTTTTTCATTCAACAGGATCAAGGTCTGAGACCTTGGGCGCCCAATGGTGGTATAGAAGTACGCCGAAGAGAAACCAGAAATACAGAATTGCTATCGAATAATAGCGTCGACAATATTCATATAAGAGGTTAGGTAGCGACAGGTAAGAGAGGAGAATGGTGAAAATGAAGACAAGTAAGCCGTTCTTACAGTTGCGTTGAGCCTACCCTGAGGTAGGTAACCTAGTCGAAGAAAGGGGTAGCGACGAAGCCACGTGACTCATGTTATATCTTTCACAACCAGCTTCTAAGCCTAGGTATGTCAGGTGGTCTGCAAAAGATGTTGAGGATGCAAGCCTATGTCAGCATCGCTGATTCGTTTCATTATAACCTCATCGTCGTTGGCAGATCGTGGTCTCGTATACATTTGGGGTGGCTCTGAGCATGAGTAGTGCCGTTACCCATTCAGAGAAGTACTGATATGTGCTAGGTATCAGCATCTATCAGCACGCTACTTTCAGCTCCGATTTTACTTCATCAATTGATGAAGAGCCTCATCTGCATTTCCGACGATACTTCTCAAATTTTCAACCCAGAACCCAGACGCATGCGACTCTTCATGGACAAAGCATACAGTGCAAGCCCATTCTACCTGCACGAAACGACCTGGACGTAGCATCTCTAGCGCCTGTTCTTAACAATCAAGAACGAGGATATATCATATTCCTCTCCTGACGTACCTGAACAGGTAGCTGCTTAAGTCCTTCTTCCCGGCTTCAATCTGCTGATATATTTATGACAGACCTCGAGCATATGGATCTAGGATGTAGCCGGCTTTTCCAACTCGCAAACACGAGTGCAGGACAGCAAAACTTCAGCAATATCACGACATCTCCAGGATCAGATCCGGAAGACGAGATGACCCGCTGCACACGAAGTCACATCCGGGCAAAGACTTCGCCGTCACTTCCTGCCTTTTTCAAATATAAGATCAACACAATGCCGGCCTTTGCATCGCCTTGGCAGGCACTTGATAAGCACTCCCCCTGTTTCCCCATAATTCGCCAGCTCGCTTGTGAGCTTTGCCTGAATCCGGTTGGTCGAGCATTGATGTTCGCGGCCGTTCCGTTGCCCTGCCCGTCAAATCGCTCGAAAAACCTTCCCGGCACTTTACAACGCCACTTTTCGAAGATCAACATAACAGCTTCCGCCAGCTCCTTCCCCATCTAGTTGGAGCACCAAGAGCTTTTGTTTCTCTCACTTATCTCAATCAAGTAGGTCCCTGGCTTGGCTTCCTTCAGATCTGCCTGCATCCAATCTATCTGATGACGATGATATGCGGAAACAACTATCCCTAGTGCTTGACTGGTTGAACCCCGCAGGCAAAGCTCCAAGCTCGGTGCCATATAAAAGAGCTATGCCTGTGCATTTCTTATCCGTGTGAAATATTTATATTTCGTTCCGTCTCGACTTTTTGGTTCTGTTCTGCATCTCGTTCTCAAGATGCGTGCTTTCACTTGTCTAAGTCTGCTTTTCGCAGCGTCGCTTTCTGATGCTCTGTCAAACCCCCACGAAAAGGCAGCAAAGTATGCGAAGAGATCTAATAAGCCAGCTTTGACCCGAGATGCACCTCGTACGCGGTCAACGTCGATGTTTCTGACGAACAGCACTGCTAGTAAGTCTGCCATATCTCAATACACAATTCTTTCGCTCATTGGTTTCCAGAATTCGCTGTAAATGGATCTGCCCTTCCCGAGGTAGACTTCAACATTGGAGAATCATATGCCGGAACTCTCTCAATTTCTTCGAATCCGACGGATATCAATGCATTATGGTTTTGGTTCTTCCCGTCAACGAACCCGGCAGCATCGAAAGAGATTACGATATGGCTCAATGGAGGTCCAGGATGCAGTTCTCTTGATGGTCTTTTCCAGGAAAATGGTAAACTTACCTGGGTAATTTGTTGATTCTGATTGCTAACAAATGATTCTTAGGTCCTTTTCTGTGGCAATCGGGCACTTATGCTCCATTCGCGAACCCGTATAGCTGGACGAATCTGACAAATGTTGTTTATATCGATCAGCCAGTCGGCACTGGCCTCTCCTCCACTGGGAATATCACTGTCAATAACGAGCACGACGTGGCGGAACAATTCAAAGGGTTCTGGAAGAACTTCATAACGACGTTCTCGATGCAAGGCTACAAAGTCTATATCACGGGAGAGTCGTACGCAGGACAATATATTCCTTACATTGCAAGCGGTATGCTCGATGAGAATGACACCACTTATTTCAATGTAAAAGGTGTTCAGATCAACGATCCATCAATCAACCACGACGCCGTTATGCTTCAAGGTAAGTTTTCCTTAAAGCGGAAAAGAACCAAAATCTGACAAATATAGCTCCTGTTGTACCTGCTCTTCAATACTTTCAGAGTGTCATTCGCTTGAACGATACTTATATGGCCAACATCACTGCTCGAGCAGACTCTTGTGGCTACACAGACTTCTTCAATAAATGGACGACTTCTTTCCCACCTCCAGGACCCATCCCAGCCGCCCCCAACTCTTCACTACCTGGTTGCGATCTGTATGATGACATCTACAACGCCATTTACTACGTTAATCCATGCTTCAACATCTACCATTTGACCGATTACTGCCCATACCTCTGGGACGAACTCGGATTCCCATCACTGGGAGCTGGACCAAACAACTACTTCAACCGCTCCGACGTCCAAGCCGTAATCCACGCACCGCCCACAAATTACTTCATCTGCGAGAGCCCGCCCAATCTCTTCCCTAACGGCGACCAGAGCGTCCCCTCAGCCTTAGGTCCCCTCCCCTCCGTCATCGAACGCACAAACAACACCATGATCGGCCACGGCCTCCTCGATTTCCTGCTCTTCGCAAACGGGTCCCTAATCACCATCCAGAACATGACATGGAACGGCGCCCAAGGATTCCAAACCGCTCCTTCCGCCACCGACAACTTCTTCGTCCCGTACCATCAATCTCTCGGCTACATCCTGAACGTAGCAAACAGCGCCTTGTCTGGGTTAGCGCCCGTTACCGACACAGCTGGCGCAGGATTCCAGGGAATGTGGCACACGGAGAGAGGATTGACGTTTGTTACTGTCAATTTGGCGGGCCATGAGATTCCGGAGTATACGCCTGGGGCGGCGTATAGACAGTTGGAGTTCTTGCTAGGGCGGATTGATAATTTGGGTGTGCTGGGCGATTATACGACACAGACGGGGAATTTTACGGGTGTGAGTGCGCCGCTGAGGAGGGGGTTGTGAGGAGGGAAAGGGGGTGAAATGAGATAATGTAAAAATTAGACATTTGGAGATGGATACATGGAGAGTATATATCAATCAATTTCTAATATCTAGACTGATAAGAAGCCTTTTCGTCTCCATGTTTACGCTGACAACTAACATTCTACCACCAAGGAATCTTCAGGACATAAAGATACCGGTCATATTACATCAGTATCTCTGAAACAACATATCTTACAATAGACCTACTCCCACTACTTCACAATCACTAAACCGTCCTGTCCCCTTCCCAAGAGAATGGTCACGTGCCACATGCCAATATCAGAAAACCTGCTGTAAAACCCGAGAGAAATGTTCATTCGACAGTGAGCGCCTCTCTGACAGACAGCACGCCTTACTTTGTACGATAGGATATCAAGAAGTAAAGCAGTCATCAACCCTCCTAAAAGCAGTTAGCCGAGCCGCACCTCGCTCTGTCGGCCGACGGGTATCGCTTCTCATTCGTGTGCTACCGTGGAACTCCTACTTCAGCGCTGAGTGTCTTTCAGCTTGCCCAACAATAAGATCATCATTGGACCATTCGATATCTGAATTGGTAAGATTGGTCGAAGGCGTTTTGATCGCAAATAACGGCTGACGGGTGATGGCTGTGTATATAAGAGCAAATATCCATCCAGCATAATCTTCATCAATCAGTCGAAGTATTGACTAGTAATCATGGATCTCAGCCAGCTACCAGATGATTTCTTCGTCACTCTCTCGCAGTTCACGAAAACGACTTATCGTGATGTATACCCCGTAGTCGATCCTACTTCTCCAGCACTTTCTCAGCAGGGAAAAGTGGTTATTATTACTGGAACCAGTCAAGGATTGGGTCGACATGTATGTCCTCCCTCGCAATATATTGTATGCATAACGATCGCTGATAGATCTAGGGATTCGCCCAAGCGTTCGCGAAAGCTGGGGTAAAAGCTCTTGTGCTCGTAGCAAGAAACGCAGATGGACTTGAAGCAGCAGCGCGGGAAGTGAAGGCTGTTAACCCGAAGATACAAGTCCTAACGCAAGCGATGGATATTCGGTCGGAAGATGAAGTCAAGAAGCTGTTCTCTAGGATCGAGTCGGAATTTGGAATGGCAGATGTGCTTGTGAATAATGCGGCGTCTGGAAAGTCTGCTTTGCCAGTGCGGGATGTTGATCCGAATGACTTTTGGTATGATTTTGTATGTAGTCCCGCTCTGACACTGATTCATACCACTGACATGTATCTCTAGGATGTAAATGTCAAAGGAACACTTCTCATGAGCCAAGGATTCCTCAAACTTGTCGGGAAGGAAAAGCCGGCAACCATCATCAATATTTCCAGTGCGGGTGGAATTGCCGTAATTCCTTCGACCTCAAGCTACTCGCTCTCGAAGCTTGTGCAAATCCAGATCCAAAGATTCATTGCAGCAGAAAACCCAAATATCACCGCGATCAGTATGCATCCCGGAACAGTGTTGACGCCTATTACCAAGCCTCAATTTGAGAAATTCTCGAAAGACACTTATGCATTGGCTGGCGACTGAGCCGGCCAAGTTCATGAACGGTAGATATATGGGGGCGAATTGGGCGGTCGACGAGTTGATAGAGAGGAAGGACGAGATAGTGTCGCAAGGCCTGTTGCTCCCTGAACTGCAGGGTAAATTCGGCAAGGCCCAGTTTGAAACATAGATCATATTCGACAGTGGAGGGTTAAATTTGCGTTATCCCAGCCTCAAGAGACTCGATGAAATACGTGCAAATGATCTCAGCAGATCGGAAGCTCGTAGTATGAGCGCCGCAAGTTTTCATATAAGAAATTCCTTAGCGTCCAAGCTGATTGTGCTGATTAGCATCTTTATTCGGGATTATTGAAAGCAGGTAGGACAAAAGAAGGAATAAAAGCGCAGAATTACTACATCTAAATAAGGGCGAAGATGATGTGCTTGCTTACCGTTCCATAGCAATCGCCCATGGGGTATTGCTGCGACCTTTGGCATGGACCTGTTTTTCAAGAATTTCCCGCATCGTCCAGAACTCTTCCATCAGTTGAAGAGAATTCAAAAGAGTGCCAGAGCTTTGTCCATTGGTAGTAGCGTCCAACATAATCGCACGGAAGTCATCCTTTTCGCTCTCAGCAGCCATGCAGCCCGCTACACAATACGGCCATGATACGCGCATCAATAGATGAGCAGGGAGATGTTTGATCTTGTCAAGTACTTTCGGGACACTTAGCCGTACTTTCGGTGTGAGGGGAGAGTTTCCTGAGACAACAATCGCTAAGTATACTAGTGCTGACAATGCATAGATTTCTGTGACCAAGTGACTTTCTTTATAGAACTTCGAGCTTGAGAGGTCTTTCGGGATCGTCTCCAACCCAAGATCTAGACGAGCTTCGATTTCCGATGCTCTTCTGTACAGCATGGGCACGTCCAAGCGGTCCTCAAGCCCTAATTTCCAGTGTTCGAGGTCAGAAGTCTGTCGGATTGTAATCATCGCCCAGTTTTTCACCCCCATGATCCTGTCCAAGCGAATTCTTTCGTCTTCCAAGTACGCTAAATATGGAAAAGGGTTTTCTTCGAGGGGTCTAGCACAATGCTTACACATCGAACAATGTCCGCCCAAACGTACGTAGTTGTGAAGAAATCTAGACCTGCTATCTCGTCTAGAAGGCGGTGTCCTCCAATGTTGTCGCTAGTACTTTCTGGAGGTGTCTTCTCATCAGCTGTTATGGGCGCGGCAGATGCTTCAGAGGAATTTATCAACTCCGTTCCTATAATAGAGAGCAGAGAACCAGCAGCGTTGAGGTGGATTTCCCAATCTCCTTTCCAGCCCTGATACAGCTTAGACTGGCGGAACACCTCGATCGAGCAAAGTTGCATAGTGCAAGCAAGGATCTCGACGCCAATAGCCAAATGCTCGGACCCCGAGACTGTTGGGAGATATTCCAATTGCTTCTGCAACTCGATGAGGGCAAGAGAGTGGTATCGATCCAGGTCTTCGTACAGGTTGTGTTCCTGGTCGATATTGTTCTCGGAACCGAAGCGAATCTGTTGTAATACACTGAATGCCAAAATAGTGTAATACGAAGGTTTGGAGCGTAAGATCAAAGCAAGAAGCCAGCCGCGTCCTCTCTCTGGCCCAGTAGGCTGGTAGAAGTAAAATTGCAGCGGAAAGGATCGTTCCAGATAGCTGATGATCAGGGACAACTCTTCCGCATTTTGTGCCGGATAAGCATTTGCTAAGAAAGTCCGAGGATACTCTTCTCTATCTTGGATAAGCTGATAGGCTTTGGGGTCTGATGAAAGAGCCGAATTGGCTTGTAACAATAACCCTGACGGAAATGAACTTTGTGAGACTTCAGGCCAGAGTTCTGAGAATGGAAGTGCAGTTGCTCTTCCCTCGTTTTGGTCATAGAGCGAACTAGGACCAGCCGCGTCCAGATTGAGCTGTGTCTTGTATGCCTCTGTGAGGTCTACGGTCTCATCTTGTTTGCCCGTTGTGGCTGGGACCACCGGTCGAATCTGTGAGGGACGACTTGCTTTCTTCGAGACTCGGAAGGCTCTCCTTGCTTTGAAGCTGTCACTGACTGCTCGTTGAATCTTGGCAATCTCCCTCTTCTGATCCTCTGTACTACACAGGAAATCTGGTTTCGGACCATAACCATGGCATGTGATATCTCGGAATGAACAAGGACCACAAACAGGACGAGCATCATCGCACTTCTTCTTGCGTAGTCGACAGGTCCAGCACCCAGTTCCACTACGAGAGGTGGCTATCAAAGCGATTAGATTCTCGGGGGCAAATACGCATATCGTCGAATGTGTTCAAGACAGTGAAATGGTAAGCTTCGGCCAAAGTATTGGCGCTTAAAGGGGATTTATTGATGTTTAAGTTGAAAAGGCTTTGTCCGTGGTTTTTGGGCGGCTGGAAGGGAGTAGCGCTGATAGGATTAGTGTGCAGGGAAAAAGACTACCTGGGTGCTCAGCACATTTAAATTGACGTAAGTAACATTCCGACATTTATAATTCAATGGAATCAAAGTGAATTCGAACAACAATGTTCTGCAGTAGCAATTGGGGGTTTGACTCGCCGGGAAGTAAGTTGTTTGTCAAGAAGAAGAAGATTTGTTTGTTTGTTGCAACTGTATTAGATTTAGCCCCACTTCCCAGCGCATCATCACCTCGCACTTAACACGACACCAGACACCTCCGACCACCATTGACTGACGAATTCCTTTCACAACGACGACAACGATTTAACATCTCCAAGAATCTCGGTCGCAATTTGGAGCGGTTATCAGCTCTATCCACGGACCACTAAATTCCCGACTGCTCGTCTCACAGCACAGCCCCGACCGTCCAGATCGCAATCCAGAGACCAACGCGCAACTTCTTCATTCGTCTTCATTCCCTCAGCGCAACCTTTGGTCACCTCGAATACGACTTTCTAGACATATTTCTTCGATAGCCCCGATCATACTGCCGTATCGTGCACAAAATTGCCACGGACAGGGCTGTTCAGCCTTGCAGATCGGATATTGCATTCCATGCATGGCAACAAGGAGGTCAAACAACATCCAAGTTGGAGCGTGCAAGATAAGGGAACAGTCAAAATGCTTATGGAGTCAGTATCCAGGATCGATGAAGGCAGTTGTACTATTGTCTTGCCGCCGATCATGACTACAGCGTCTACACCAGCAACCCCAGGTCCATCAACACCGACGACTGTCCGCACATTGCCCCTGGATCAGTCGAAGCTTGATCACCAGTTTGACGATATAGTGCCTCCAGACAGACCGAAGAGTACCCCATTCCCTTGCCAGGACCTGACGGGCAAGGTGCAATCTCTACAGCTGTCGAGCCATTCAGATAATTCGGATGAAGTCCTCACACCTGTTGCAGACGGAGAAAAGCCCACGAGTACGAATACCTCTCCTCTCACTGGCCTGCCGACAGAGATCCAGGAATCTATCCTCGACTATCTATGTGGCATTCGACTGCCCGCTTCGCCAAGAACAACATCTGCGGGGAAGTCGAAAGTCCTGAGAGGATGGGGAACGGCATTGCGACACTCGAGGCGGCGAGAAGTTTCAGAGCTAGCTCGGGTCAGCAAGCTGTGGAGGAAGCTTGTTCAAGAACGGTTGTATAGACATCTGAAGATCAAGGGAACGACGGATTCTGTCAATGCATCGGCAAAGTGGTTCGAGCTGCATCCACATCTTTGCGAGTTTGTGAGACACATTGAGATCTGGTTCCCGGTCTTTCAGCAAAAGAATCCCGCCTTTGATCGAACTCTGCGAATTCCCTCGACTACACCAGATCGTTCCAGTCTCGTTCAATCGCTCTCGACGCAGTTGCAAGACACAGCAACTCCCATCACGTACCAGGCCCCTTCAAACAACTGCACACTGGAGGAAGTCTTCATGTTTGTCCGATTGACATTCGCCAAGGCTAGCATTTTGACACTGGAAGGTGGTGAACGCAAGAAGCCGCCCATGGTCCAGCACTTCCAGCATCCCGAGCTTCGAGGACTGCCAGTGATTGAGTCTGTCGTAACACTCGTTTGCAAAGGGCAATGGAATCTTATCAGATCGAATGAGGATTTCCAGAATATAGCTACTGCTCTACCAAACTTGAATGAGTGGCATGGATCTTATGCAAAGCCAAAGTCTAAGAGCTATCTATCTATGGCTACTATTCTACCAAAACTTCCAAGACATCTTATACATCTTAACATATGCCTCGAAGCAGACTACCGCCGAGAGATCATCTGTCCTGATTTCTTCAAGAAGGTTGGAACACATGCACACTATTGTGTTGAGATGGCTAAGGCGATCCCGACACTGGAACATTTAGCGTACACCGGCAGAGTCTGCCACGCATTCTTCGAAGAAGCTGCAAAGTTGACCAACGCCCGAGAATCCCGACTTAAGAGTATAGATCTTATTGTGAAGAACTGCTGCCGGCCAACGTTCCTGTGGAACAATGGTTCAGGGATCACGGATATGGCATTCATCATGGCATTCGAGAGCTTGGTTGTTTCAGGTGTCAAGGCACTGGATAAGTTGGTTGCACTCGAGTTCTTGAGGATCCGTTTCATTGATCTAGGTAAGTCTCAGATACAGCCGGTCTCCGTACAATGCTAACAATCATAGACTCCCAAGTGCCATCTCTGAACCCATACTTCCAGCTGTTAAAAAATCAATGCACAGGTTTATGGAGCGAGACGATCATTGATACCCTCGCTAGAACTCGACCTGCAGCCAGCTTTATTGAGAAGCCTGAAAACCTGGATGACGTCGGATTCAAAGACGGCCAACTCCTCACCGCACCGTCGTTCTCGAAGACAAGACCATTGTCGATCAAAGTCTCAAGCTACATCAGCTTATCCGGTGGTATCACGATCACTTGAACATGCCTCATGGTCAACGGGTCGACAGAGAAACCATAAGAGAAATTTTGCTTTCGCAGTACAGCCAGCTAACTGTAGAAGTATCTGGGAGTGGAATTTGAAATTGAAAATTTGCATTTTTCAGCGAAGGAGTTGTTATTCGGCCTTTGCTGGTACTGGAACGGGAGCATAATTGAGCATAATCTGGCGTTCTCTTTCCATTGTGAAAAGTGCATGGGACACTAGGTTGGGCTGGAGCATAATGGAGCGACGATCTTTTTTGCTTGGTCGGGATGGAGGAGATGTGTCCATAGATGTTTTTCCCGTACCTAGTTGGCTTGCATGTAATTTACATGGCTTCCTGGTTCAACCCACCTCACCGTCTATCTGCATATCCCGATGTCCAGCACACTTACCTTCCCTTTTCCTTTCGCTTTGACTTTGACTTCTTTCTTTTTCCTCAACGGACGCTGCTCTGGCTTTGTGATCACAGGTGCAGTCCCGGCCTCGATGTCAGAACATATAATCCCTAGAATCCAAACATTGACGCCAAAGAACAGTAAACTGCTAACCCATAATCCCGGCACGAAGGTACTGTTCCCTAGAAACTCAAGCTGGTACCCTTGCTGCAGCCACAGCGCTTGCGTCAGGATCCAAAGACCAGCTGCGGAGAGACCGAGGTACGGGCGTGAGAGTAGGGTCGAGGTCGGTAGGTAGAAGGGCAGGAAGATTGTGTACCAGAGGAAATACTTTGTAGTATTAGTGAGTTGTGCCTGTTAGGGAGAATAGGAGGTAATACCTGGCTCGTGCACACTTTGTTGAAAGCCACAAAAGCAAAAGTCTGTGCTAGCATGGTGCTAGCTAGGTCTTTCTTGGCGAGGAGAATGGGGAGAGCGACGGCGGAGAGGAATAGTTGGGGGATGAAGGCTAGGGATTCGAGTTTGATGGCGGTCGGGGACGGGTCTGGGATCGAGGATGAGAGGTAGAGGAGCGTGTTGTAGGGGGAGAAGTTGTGGCGATGGTCGATGCGGGTTACGTGGTGGAGGTAGGTGTGTTGGAGGAATGGGTAGTCGTAACTGGGGCTTGTTAGTGCTTGTGTGGAGGGTAGAGAGGGAAGACTTACATGATGTACATGAGTGTGTTGAGGGAGAGGAATGTGAGGAGACTCGAGATTGTCAGGGTTATTCGAGGTCCGTTGATGAAGTTCTTCACCAGGCTGACGAGGTCTGAACCTTCACCCTCTTTCGCTGGCTTGCTTCGTCCCAACTGTTCATCATCTAGCCACCATATGATTGATGGAGCATAAATGAACGGGTAGATCTTGAAATGTACCCCGAATCCAAGCAGGAAGCCAGCAAGAACAATCTTCTTCTGAGTAATTGCCCATAGCAGCGCAACAACAATAACACCCAGCAAGCCCTCAGAACTGCCCCTCGTGCTAATGGTAGCTACCATGGGGTTCAACAACCAAATACTCGCAAACTTCAAGGCCCTCTCCATCGACATCTTATTCGAGCTTCTCAACACCATAATGATCAACCACCCAGCCACGATATCACCAACCGCAAACAAGACCTTGCCAAACGAAAACCACGTGCTTGACCATGTTGTTGGCAACAGCATCCACGCTAAAAGTGGCGTGTAGCGGTAAGTCTCACGGTCATATGGCGAGTGGCCGTGAGCAGTGAAGCGCGCTGCATCGGTGAAGACGTAGTAGTCGATATCTGTGTATTTCATGGGGGAATTGGCATCTTGCCAGAGCCCGTAGAAGAAGAGGCCTATTCTCAACGCGATGGCTGAGGAGAAGACCAGAAAGGGGCTTGAGAAGAATTTCGACATGTTTGCTAAAGAAAAAAACGCATTTGCAATCAAGTGAAGTATGTGGAATCTCGAAAACAAAGTACAATTGATTTGAAGTCTGGTTTGTTTTGGTATCTAGTCATCTGTTGATTCACTCCTTAAAAGTTCGGAGTCGGCTATTAGATTGTGGCCGGTATTTAAAGTTTATCCACCACATGTGGCTGACAATGATCCTTGTGCAACTCCACACAAATTCCACACCTCACAGATCCGTCGAGCCTCCTCGAGGTTTGACACGAGGAGTTGGGATTCGATGTCCGACGACCCGAAGAACATGCCAGGTGTAAAGAGACATCACGATGGTGCCGAAAAACCTAAGAATACCGATGCAGCAACTTCGCCCTTCATAGGTATGTTCGAGGTCTTCCGCAGCGAATTGGACGAGCACCACGATCGAAGAGAGCGTATCATCAAGGCCTCGAGGGATATCACGGCGGCAAGCAAGAAGATGTGAGTCTAGGCTGTATCAAATGGTTTGATATCCGCTAATTATGGATAGCATCTTCGCACTTCAAAGGTACACTATCACGTGCGCTCCTATCTTGTTCAATGGGTGCTAATCGAAGCAGAGTACGAACTTTGAACAAGGCTGTACCTCCCAAGATCGCTGCAGAAGTCCTCGAGAAGACTACAACCATGTCAACCCAGTTTATGGCCATTGTACCGGACCTCGTTGGCATCAATGCATGGCGATACCAAAGACAAATCTCGGGAGGCATTCAAGAGTACATGGAAGCGATCTCTTTCCAGCATTATCTTCAACACCAGAAGCTGACCACTCTTGAGGAGGCTTCAAAATTATTGCCTGAAGGTGTTAACTTGACTGGGGATGATTATATTCTGGGCATCTTCGACTTGGTCGGGGAACTGATGCGGTTTGGGATCACTACCATGGCTACGACCGGAAGTCTTCCAGGATCCAAGGAAGTAGAAGGTTCTGAGGAGAAGCGTGACCTCTTGATGGATTTGAGATTGCTTCGAACTAGTTTTGAGGCATTAGATACTACTTCGTGTGGGGGTACTGGTCTAGGCAAGGATGTGGAGAAGAAAATGGAGGTGATGAAGACTTGTGTCGAGAAGGTTGAGACAGCTGTGTACGGGATGATCATCCGCGGCCGGGAGAGACCAAAGGGCTGGGTTCCAGATCTGGCTGATGACAGAGCACCCGTTGAGAGCTATTGAGAGAAGAAGAAATAGTTTGTTACTGGGCAAATTGAATGTGGGGGTTTCTCCCTCGTATGCATTGTCATCAAATTCCCAACTACCCCACAGATCCCCTCAGCTGATGCTTGAGGTAATAAAACTTTCCGTGGATTTTGGGATAATTGGTACCTGAATGTCTCACTTCTCTCAAAATATTCAATGTTTGAAGTCCACGTGAGGCTCCTCCACCACCTGTCGGAAATACAAAATGAGACATCCGGTCATGCTAGACTGTAATTGGCTATTCCGCCCCTTGTCGTTAAGCCACAGACGTTCCCACTTGCGGTTGGCGGAGGTTACTTTCTGGGAAGCTGGAGCTTCGCCGACAATAAAATCATTGTCCTTCTGCAACACAATTCTTGGAAGGAAAATCGGTCGCAAAGATGTTACGATGGTATGTCCATGTGTGCGACACACAATCGGCAACAATTGTCTGAAAAGAACCAATGTTGACCAAAATGCAGGTATCAAAGGAAGCTGGCCTCGAGCCCGATCTTGACGCAGAGCATCACCACCGCAGTGCTCTTCGCAACAGGAGATACCATGGCACAGCAACTGGTTGAGAAGCGCGGGCTCAAGAACCACGATATTGCCCGTTCGGGACGAATGGCATTGTACGGTGGAGGTGAGCTTCTCGACCCAATTGATGTCATGCCAAGCTAATGTTTATTTCTCCCAGCTGTCTTCGGTCCAGCAGCAACAACCTGGTTCAAGTTCCTCCAGAACAAAGTCGTCCTCAAGAATAAGAATGTCGAGATCGTTGCAAGAGTAGCAGCCGACCAAACCATATTCGCCAGCACCAACTTGTTCTGCTTCCTCAGCAGTATGGCTATAATGGAGGGCACAAGTCCAAAGGATAAATTGGAGAAGAGCTACTGGACTGCTCTGAAGAGCAATTGGATGGTTTGGCCCTTCATTCAAGTGGTCAATTTCAAGTTTATTCCTCTGCATCATCGGGTTTTGGTCGTCAACGTCATTTCTTTGGGATGGAATTGCTATTTGAGCTGGATCAACAGTCAATAAGGAGCGGACCTGTAGATATGGGCATAGGACTTTCGTTGGGCACACACCTGCCACCTTCCTCTATGTTTTGCATTTCAGAGAATTGCGGTTGGGTCTAGACAGTATTGGCGTCTGGGCATTTTCATAAAAGACAACTGCTATTTTGCGAGTTTTTGCAAGCTTTGAGACATAGAATAAGACTCAAGCATCATACACCTTCTGCAATGTCGCTTCTATTCTGCTTATGTCTTTATCTAATTGTGAGCAATGATTTGGTTCCAAAGTATCGAGGAAAAACTATATTGTACTACCATACTTTCCATGGTAAATCTAGCATTGCTGGACATACAATCGATTTTTGAGTACATATATCTCAAACATTGGGCCCTGAGGAATCCTGGCAATGCACCTTTACGGCGGAAGGCGAGTACGTGTACCTATGTACTAGTTAGAAAGTCGGTGACAGCAAGTGTAAATGGAGACACGGCCACAACTCTACATGATTGACCAGAAGATTAGTCCTTGTAGAACTTAAAACATCAGCTCGAAACGCCCCTTAGACCCAGCTTTTAAGCATACCTAGGTAATGGACTGAAAAACAGTTTCCAGAAGTATTCACGTGACCCATTATCCATTGGTGCCTGAATCAGAATTATAGTTTGAGGCAGCCATTTCCGGCAAGCGCAATCCAGCCGCAAACCTTCAAGATTTTGAGGCAATCGCACTTGTTGTGGACAAATTTCTCCCTCAAATACCAAAACAACCAACAATCGCCAAACGACTACTTGCCTGGTGCAATAGTCGCGTATCTCTCATATTTCTGACAGATACGATTCTGATTTTCCATTCACTTCAATCCGGCTCTGACGAAAGGATTCGGGAGGCACGAGCTCTATTTAAGAGCACATCGACACGATTTGGCCTTCAACTTCCTACACCTTCCACCGTCCTTGACGATTCTAGTCCGATACCCCACACCTAATCACAATCATGGCAGCCGCAGTAGATTCACAGGTCGATCTCTCTACAATCCCCATCTCGCCGGAAGGCACGAATGGCCAGGACGAGAACAAGAACCCCAATGGTGATTCCGACGAGCAGATTACTGTCTTCCATGACAAGGATAACTTCAATGTTAAGCATCCGCTCATGAACAAGTGGACCCTATGGTTCACCAAGCCACCGTCTGGAAAGGTGAAGATATACCCCTCCTACTAAGTTGAATATCTACTTACCTTCTATACAGGGCGACAACTGGAATGATCTGTTGAAGGAGGTTATTACTTTCAACTCTGTCGAGGAATTCTGGGGTGTCTACGTATGTTCTTTATCTGCCAATCCTATGAATAGATACTAACCAAACAATAGAACAACATTGCTCCTGTCTCTGAACTCGCCCTCAAGTCCGATTACCACCTCTTCAAGCAAGGCGTCCGACCAGAGTGGGAGGATCCCCAAAACAAGCACGGCGGAAAGTGGTCCTACCAATTCAAGGAGAAGCGCAATGTCCCTATCGACGACCTCTGGCTCCACGTCATGCTATCAGCCATCGGCGAGACTCTCGAGGAGGAGGAAGACGGAGAACTCATGGGCGTCGTCGTTAATGTCCGAAAAGGCTTCTACCGTATCGGTGTCTGGACCCGAACCATCGGCAAGAGCATCCCAGGAGGCGGCGAGGCCGATGTTGCAGGGGGCAAGGGTCGCTCGTTGGAGAAGGGCAAGGAGATCTTGATGAACATCGGTCGCAAGTTCAAGGATGTGCTGAAGATTCCCGCTTCGGAGCAAGTCGAGTTCTCGGGCCACACGGAGAGTGCGCATAGTGGTAGCACGCGTGCGAAGGCCAAGTACACGGTCTAGATGCTTTCCTTGCTTTTCGTTCGGTTGTTCATTAGGCATTGCGATGATATTTCATGGGGCGGGTCAAAGCATGGTCTTATGCATTGTAGGCTCGTCTTGGCTATGGCTCTGGTTTCCTGCTTGAGAGAGCGAGAAAAACTTTATGGCGTTATGATCGTGCGGTGGTTGTGCTGGGAAAGGAAGTGTCTATAGATGGATGGAGGGAGAAAGAAAATAAAAGTCAATGAATACCCAGTGATGAAATGTCTATGTCTTCATGTGTTTCTCTCTCTCGATATATTTGTATTTGTGGTCGAGTGGTAGATGCGGTTCTTTTTTCTTGTCTAATCATATATACAAGTCTATAGCGTGTTATACACTCTACCTCTATCCCCTATCCTACAAATCCTTCTCATCCCCACTCATCTCATCCCCACTCATCTCATCCCTAAACAACTTCCTCACCAAAACCTTCTTATTAACCTTCCCCATAGCATTTCTCTCTATGCCTGACACAACCTTCATAACCTGCGGAATCTTATACCCCGCCAACCTGCCCTTCAACGCCCGTCTCATATCCAACGGTCCCCAAACCCCCTCCTTCCTGCCCCCCGTCACCGGATCCCTTAACACAATCACGCACCCGACTTTCTGGCCCCAGTTACCCGAGGAGACTGCTACAATGGCACATTCCAACACTTGCGGCAGAGAAAGTAATTCCCGCTCAACTTCGAGCGCGGATACTTTTTCGCCGCCAGATTTGATGATATCAGACGACAGACGGCCATGGATGAAATACATCGGCCCCTTCCCCGTCGTATCCGAGACCCCCTCCACGAACCTCCTCACCGCAACATCGCCCGTGCGAAACCAACGCCCTTTACCGTCCTCGCCCTCAATATGCTCTTTCTTCGTCGCAGCCTCGTTGCCCCAATACTCGGCAAATAATCCCGGACCGCGTAACTGGATCTCACCATCTCGTTCTTTTCCATTTGGGCCAATTTCCTCGCCGGGGAGGATGATGGAGTTGCTTTCGGATTCGTAGAGTCGGGCTTCGACGCCGGGGAGCGGCCAGCCGACGGAACCGTCGACGCGGGTGGAGAATGGGAGGCCGCACGAGAGGGCCATGCCGACTTCGGTCATGCCGTAGCGTTCGAGGAGGATGTTGCCGTTAGAGAGGGTTTCCCAGGCTTTTTTGGTGGGGGTCGGGAGCGCGGCGGAACCGGAGATGTTGAGGCGGAGGTGGGAGGGGGAGATGGCTTTTTGGGCAGCGGTTTGGGTGTGTGGGAGCAGGGTGGGGAACGTGGCGAGGAGGCGATTGTAGACTGTCGGCACGACGGTGAAGAATGTTATAGGTGAGGGAGAGGGAGAGGGTGAGGTGGAGTGGCCGTTTGTGAGGGTTGTGCCGTTGGTTTGAGAGTGGCCGTTGGTGGTGGGGAGGAAAGGGGCTGCGAAGCGGTTCCATACTGCGGTTGCATTGAACGGGAAGAGGAATTCGATGGTTGAGCCAGCGAAGAGGGGTGCGAAGATAGCGTTAATGGTGCCGTGGATGTGATGGAGTGGTAAGACGTGAAGGAGGTAGTCTGTTGGACGGTAATCCCATGCTGTTATTAAGGACTTGGCTTGTGCTGTCATTGCTGCTGTTGGCAACAAGACGCCTTTCTACAAAATTGTTAGTCAATTGGCCTCTGGAAGTCAAGTAAAATTCTTACAGGTCGATTCGTAGTCCCAGATGTATATAACATCATACCTCCAGCACCTTCTGTAGGTCCCTCGAGCTTAACCTCCTCATAGTCCCCACCACCAAGCTTCTTCTCCAGCTTAACATGCTTCGGACTTCCCTGCAACCCCTCTTTATAAACATCCAACGCCTGCTTCTCAAACTTGCTCGAGGACAATAGCATCGAAGCCTGGCTCTGATCCATGATATACTGCAACTCATGCGGAGGAAACGCCGGCGAAAGAGGCAACGCAATCGAATGCGTCCCCAAAATACTTAACAGCGTCACTACTCTCACAATCAATTACTCTCCTTACACTCCATAGATAGGTATATTTGATTCTGCGCACCTACATAGTCATAACTATTCTCGACCAAAAAAGCTATCCTCTCGCCCTGAATCCCATCACTCCTCCCGGACTCAACCAAGAGCCTCTCCTTCCGCTCCGCGACATCGCTCAGCAGCTCCCCGTACGTGAGGCTTCGGCCGCTGGCGGAATGCACCACGACGGTGGATTTGGGGTCGTGTGCTGCGATCGCCTCGAAGATTGGGAGGCGTGGTAATGTGGATGCCATTCTCAGACCTATTATTCTATTATGGCGTAATTGGGTTGAGATAAAAGAGCGTGTAAAGAGAGTAGTAGTCGTTCTCGCAAAGAGCATTGTGTAGAAGAAGAGAAAAAGCAGAAAGAAGAGAAGCTCGAATTAAATGTCCGAGAGAGAGTCGTGGATCGGCAAATTGTTGGTGCAGGGGACCATCTTACGGACTTTCTTCCAGGCACAGCAAAGCTACAGGGTCCGGCAGATCTGCTGGGTGTGGTTTGGTGGTTTGGCATAGAGGGGCGTTTGGCGGCTGCTGTGGGAAAAGGCCGGGGAGTGTTGGGATGCGATTCGGCCTTAGAAATATTTGCGATGCGGCGCTCGCTAGGGCTGAATTCTCAAGATCAGTCCTCATACTGCAGAATCTACAGCCTCGTCTGCAAGGTTTTGGATTAACGGCAACGACAACGACGACGACCGAATACTTCGAATTCGATTGTTGAGGTTGAGACCGACAACAGGAGAGAGAAAGGGAATAGACTTGATGCTCCGAACCTCCGTCTTCAGATTAGCTGTGACAAAGCGCTCACTCTCAACCACCACCCGCATCATGGCCTCCCAAACCCCCATGGAAGACATCATGCGCTCAAAGGTCCCCCTTTCCTTCCTCCCTCCCCACATCAAGCAGCCCATTCTAACTTACCATCTAGTTAACCGCAGCCCTCTCCCCAACAAAACTCGAAATCCACAACGACTCGCACAAACACGCGCACCACCAAGCGATGGCAAACTCGACCTCCGCAGAAACGCACTTCAGGGTCCTGATCACGAGCGAGGCGTTCAAGGGCAAGATGCAGCCGGCGAGGCATCGCATGGTGTATGCGTTGTTGAAGGAGGAGATGGCGCGGGAGGCTGGGATTCATGCGTTGCAGTTGAGGACGAAGACGGTGGAGGAGGATGAAAAGGCGCTGGTGAGGGAGAAGGAGGAAGAGGAAGGGAAGAAGGATGCTGGGGTCATGGTTGAGGGGAACTCTTAGGTATGCTGGGGTTGTGATATACAGGTGTAAGAGGGGAGAGGTACATATTGCGTTAACAGGTTATAGAGCCTGTTGTACTATAGGAAGTCATGAATGAATGACCAACGATACCCCAAAAACACAAAAGCGAGGAAGTCCTACCACTTGTCTTAACTCCTAACAATTCTTCAAAATCATATCGTCCGGAATTTCGACAAGACCTTGGTTGAAATTTACGCAAACCTCTCCAATCCGGCGAATTGCGCGTTTCGCGCAAATTGCGCAATACGCGCAACGAATGGAATTTATACAGGATCTGTCCTTTTCTATATACTTTCACACTACAACAAAATATCCCCCTCCATAACCACAACTAATCCTCCAAATTCGACCTCTATTTCAGGCCAATGATCCTTCTACCTCACCAAAGTCCAATATAGCCCCTTCGCAACGACACCTGCTTGTCTTAGAAGGCGCAAGATCAGCAACCTCAACGAGAATCACTTGACGCGATCATCAAGGAGGAACACTCTCCAAATCGAAATTCTTGAGCTAGAACATGGGCCTCAAGAAACGCCGCATATGATCCTCTTGCACTTGCTAGGAAATCGACGAAGATTAAAAGCAAGAACTTGAAGGACAGCTTGCGTTCGAGAATGTATCCGCTCTATCGAGCTTGTGTTTACCGCCCCAAATGCCCGAGTAGGAACTCGATTTACCTGAAGTATCTTCTGCGTCTACTGAGCGCTTTTTGTTGTCCGACTGTGTGGTGTCGACGAGGGAGCAGCAGGCGGAAGCAATGCTGAAGCTGCAAGGTAGAGGCTATCGAGGCGGATATGCATGACGGGGAGCCTGCCAGATGATCTCTTGCTCTAAAGTACGAATCGATGCTTCGGGTGCTAGATGCACCTTTCTTCATGACTTGGTCAACTTTGACGCAGGATTCGCGATGTCCATGGTGATGTTCTTTTAAGACCCTCTTCGAAGCTGGTTATCTTAGGACTATAGTTTGACTACGCAGGCCTAAGAGACAAAGAAGAATTGAAGTCTGTTTTTCATTTGAGAGAAAAAGCCCGCTTGAGAATCCGTGAAGGCAGGAACTCGTTGAAGGAAGGATGCCTAGGCCTGGTGAGGAAAGAGCTTGTGCTAAGCGAGATCCTTGGAGACATCATGTTAAACCGTAGAATCTGCGCCTTCGGTCTCTCATTATTTACTTTACTATACACTACCTGATAGAGATACCTTTACCATATGATATGCAGTGTCAGTTATATCACATTAGAACTACTGGATTAAATTAGTAGCTTTTATAAATACGAAGTAATAAGTCTCTAAAACGATGGTTCTGATATAACTTATAAAAAAATCCGGTATTCTTGGCGAGAAGAGAAGCTTTGATTGGTCAAGAAGCGAAACTTTTCACTTAATTATCAAAAAATTTCATAGGACCAAATAAGCAATTTTTCTGTCCAATGGCCGACTGGTGTAGTGGTTATCACGTCTGCTTTACACGCTTCGAACGGAGCTCATATCGCAGCAGGTCGCCGGTTCGATCCCGGCGTTGGTCAAAACCCTTGGATCTTGGGGCTCTTTTTAGTTTTGCTTTTGCTTAATCACCCTTCATATGTTACATTATATTATTAAATTAGAAGTGATCTGGTTCCTGTTTTTGGGCCTTGTTCATTGACATTCTTCGTTATCATGAATACAACTTTTGCATGTATTCACGAGCTATGACCGATCATATCTGCAGTACAGGCTTTGTAACAAATCCCGTTGACTCTGATGCACTGAGGCATTAGAAAAACTCACACAACATACCCGAGAATGTTGATGTACTATGCTTCGGCGGTGCAATCACGGCGAGAGTGTGCAGCAAAAACTGAAGACTCTTTAGAAAGTCGACTCACAATTGCAGTACTTTTTGTTTTGTGGTGCAATTCGACTATTTTTCCTATTGTATCACCGCCTAAGCAAACCTATTCCGAGCCAATACTAGACATGCAGTGCAACCTTGGTACTTGACACTATACTCTAGAACTCGCATATGAAACTTAAGTTATGATTACACTTCATTCAGAAACTCCATACAACCTGTTACATCTCTGACTCGAGTAGCAAAGGCTTCCTTTCATCCCACCTCTAGCGTATCGCTTAGCAGCGGGGCGCTATCTAATCACCGACCCGCAGCTTCCTTCCTTTTCCTCTTCTGTTTGCTTCATGGCTCACTCTTGCATAGCTGGACACGCGTCTTTGTCGCAGTTCCATATCTAGGGGAAGCTTTCCCACCTTTCGCTTGAAGCTTCCTTCACTTCAACAACCATGGATTTCAACGGCTCCAACCCATTTCCCGAGGGAGTCATCTCCTTCCTCGACACGGATCTCTACAAGCTGACTATGCAATGCGCCGTCTTGAAGTACTTTCCAGATGTGCAAGTCAGCTATGCTTTTAAGAATAGGACCCCGGAGAAGAAATTATCTAGAGCCGCATTTCAATGGTTGCAGATCCAAATCAATAGTGAGTCTTGCCAGCCTTGCGCACAGCGGCTTCTAACATTGCATAGAGCTTGGAAACATAGCCCTCTCGAATGATGAACTGCGATTTCTGCAGACGACATGCACGTATCTTAACAAAGCCTACCTCGAATTTCTAAAAGAATTCCGACTCAATCCTCGAGAGCAGGTCACAGCCTCGTTTGTCGCGATTAATGACACTGGAAGTGAAGATGACATTGGCGAAGTCGACCTTGTGATTAAGGGCAAATGGGTCGATACGATTCTCTACGAAATTCCGCTGCTCGCTTTGACTAGTGAGGCATATTTCAGGTTTATGGACACAGATTGGACATATGATGGTCAAGAGGAAAAGGCCTACGACAAGGGTATGCGGCTACTGGAAGCAGGCTGCATTGTCTCCGAGTTTGGCACACGGAGGAGAAGAGATTACCATACCCAAGCACTTGTCTTCCGAGGTCTTGTCAAAGCCAAGAAGGATGGTCAGAAGAAGGGCCTTCCAGGGCAGATCTCGGGAACGAGTAATGTTCACTTGGCTATGAGATTTGGCATTCCCCCAATTGGTACCGTGGCGCACGAGTGGTTCATGGGCGTCGCAGCTATCACCGGTGATTACGACAATGCGACAAGAAATGCACTCAGCTACTGGGTTGGTTGCTTCGGAGAAGGCGTTTTAGGCATTGCTTTAACAGACACATTTGGCACGCCTGTCTTCCTGAAGGCTTTTAACGAGCCGATCCAGAAAGTGACGGATGGAAAGCAAGATGGTGTAGCCACAGGAACTCTGGAAAGCGAAGAAAAGCCAAGAACATTCGCAGAGGTCTTCACTGGTGTGCGACAAGATTCAGGTGACCCAGCCAACTTCGTAAAGTTGATGCGGGAGTTCTACGACAAAGTTGGTATCAAGGAGAAGAAGACTATTGTCTTTTCAGATTCTCTCAATATTGATCTCTGCATCGAGTACAAGAAAATCTCCGATGAAGCTGGCTTCAATTGTACGTTTGGTGTTGGGACTTTTTTCACCAACGACTTCGTACACCAGACTACTGGCAAGAAGTCTGTTCCTCTAAATATCGTCATAAAATTGAGTTCGGCTGCTGGCAACCAAGCTATCAAGATCAGTGATAATATCGGGAAGAACACTGGTGATAGGGAAACTGTCGAGAAGGTCAAGATGCAACTGGGTTACGTTGAGGAGGATTGGAAGTTAGGTGATGAGGCCAAGCGATGGGGAACTGAAGAAGAAGCCGTTAAGATATGAATGTCACACATTAGGGGGCTAATGAGTGGATGAATTGCATGAAATGGCGTAATGATGGGAGGAGAGCATTATTACCACTGTGGAGTTGAGGCAATGATTTAGACGTTGGCATAGAATGGATATTTTGAGCCACAATCTTACAGCCACGGAAGTGAGCATTTCTATCAACTTTTCACGTCCCATAAAAGAATTTCTGCCGGACCCTGCAGCTGTTTCTGCAGTATCAATCAATCATGACGACTCGCTTTACGGTAGTAGCGTCGTCCCGAGGAACATTTCATACCCGGCACTACGGCTCACCCCGCCTAAGATTACCCAGCCAGCTTAGCTTCTTACCTATAGTAACTGTCTAAGTAAAATCTCATTTCTCATATATTCATATCACAGCTCCAACCCAACAAAATCTACTCTCCTCACATTTACTGAACCTCAAAATGGCACCCAACCCCTCCCACGGAACCATGAGTTTTGCTCTCCCACCTGATCTAATCACCTACCTCCAAAACCTCGACAAATTCATAGAAGACAAAATCACCCCCCTCCAAAACTCCAACGACAACAACCGCTTCTTCGACCACCGCCGAGAAAACTCCCGCACCGACTGGGCCGCCGGTGGTCTCCCCACTACTGAATGGGAAGACCTACTCTCCCAAGCCCGGCAACTCGCCGACGAAGCAGGATTCTACCGCTTCTGCCTCCCGTCCGAGTACGGCGGCCAGAACGGCGGCAATCTATGGATGGCGGTTATCAGGATGCATCTAGCGAAGAAGGGGCTGGGCTTGTTTAATGATTTGCAGAACGAGCATTCGGTCGTGGGCAATTTTCCGGATGTGTTGATGGTGCGGGAATTCGGGACGGAGGAGCAGAAAGAGATTTTTATTAGGGGGAGGCTGGAGGGGAAGGTCGGGTTTGCGTTTGGGTTGACGGAGCGGGGGCATGGGAGTGATGCTACGCATATGAGCACGTATGCGGAGAGGAAGAGGAAAGGGGAGCAGGAGGGGTGGTGTATTAATGGGGGGAAGATGTGGATTAGTGGGATGCATCGGGCGACGCATTGTATTGTTTTTGCGAGGACGGGTGGGAAGGCGGGGGATGCGTTGGGGATTACTGCTTTTTTTGTGCCGAGGGATGCGGATGGGTTTGAGGTGGAGAGTTATGAGTGGACGTTTAATATGCCGACTGATCATGCTAGTATGTTGAAAACGTTCGAGGATGAGTAAAAGATGCTGATGAGTATTCAGCATTGAGCTTTTCAGACGTTTGGATCCCGGATTCGGCTGTGCTGGGGAAAGTCGGATTTGGATTGCCTATTGCTCAGACTTTTGTGCATGAAAACAGGTTGAGGCAAGCAGCAAGCTCTCTCGGTGCAGCGATGTACTGTATTGAAGAGAGTGTCAAATATGCGAGGAAGAGGAAGCCGTTTGGCAAGGAACTTTCCAGCAACCAAGGAATACAATTTCCGCTCGTGGAGCTTGCGACTCAGGCTGAGATGTTGAGGCTGTTGATTTTGAGGACTGCTTCTGAGATGGACAAAATGACACAGAGAGAGATTGAAAGGGATTTGGGAGATAAAGTATCGATGTGCAACGTAAGAGCCATGGAACGAGGATAACGCAGTTGCTGACAGAGAAGTAGTATTGGGGAAATCGATTATGTACGCAAGCAGCTGACCGAGCAATGCAAGTCCATGGTATTTCAGTCAACATAATGTGAGCAGAACTTTACTGATAGACATCAGGTGGGATTGGCTATTCACGACATAAACCGTAAGTGGAACCATGACATCTTGTTCGCCGGGGCTAACATTCTCGCAGCTTCGAACATATATATAGACATCATCGTAAGTATCGTCTCTCAAACTAATCAAGATAATGCTAAACTCTTATAGGTCGATACCGCATTACTGAAGGCAGTGAAGAGATACAAATGAGGAAAATTGCAGCATATCTTTTTGGCTATGTCGGGCCAAGAAAAGCCGAACTTTCAAAGCTATAGAGCCATTTAGCGGAAACCTATTCCTTTTTTTATATAGCTAAAATTTGTAGAAGAAGATGTGCTCTTGTTGGATGCCGAGAATCGGAAGTCCATATCAGGGAAGCAGACGCGTCATCGCTCGATACAGGCGTAACGTTGTCTATGCATGCTTGAGACGGCACATCCACGACTTTAACATTTGTCGAATCATCAAAGATGGATTTTGTGCCATCAAGGTTTTAGATTTGGGTCAATGTTGCCATGATCCACATTTCCGTTGCGTACTAAATAGCACCTTTCGGACTGGAAATCAAATTCTCGGATCCGAGACCTCAATGTCGGACGCGAATGCAAAGATAGGACCCTATCAATTCGAGATATAAACTCCAAAATGGCCTGAGACTCTAATGCATTCCCTCCACCAGAATATTGGACTACTTACAACTTGCAAGGAGCAGCCATAGGAAGAGTCTTCTTCTCCAAACCATCCTGAACAAAACGATATTTTGGGGGACTTCATTCTCCAAAATGGCTCAACAACAACATCGTCCAGGACATCATGATCCCGAATTCACAACTAATCCGTTATGGGCGGCAGTGAATGAGTACACAATGTCTCATCTTCACCCATCATCACGACCCAACGGTGCTGTTTTGGACTCAACACTCGAAAGCATAAAATCAAACGGCACGCCATCAGGCTCCACGGGCACTGTGCAGAGCAAATTCCTTGAGCTGCAATGCCGCATCCTGAAAATCAAGCATGTGCTTGAAATTGGAACCCTTGGAGGCTACACATCAATCCGGATAGCAACCGAAAACCCTCGGTGTCATGTCACTAGTATCGAGGTATCCGAGAAACATGCTGCCGTTGCCAGAGAAAACATCACCAAGGCAGGAGTGGCTGATCGTGTCGAGGTTTTGGTGGGACCTGCACTTGAAATCTTGCCTACTTTGCTGGCTGATATTGAAGCTGGGAAAAGGGAGAGGTTTGGCTTGACATATATTGATGCGGATAAACTGAACAGTGTAAATTATTTTGATTTTGGAGTGAAGATGGGGTATTCTGGTGGGCTGGTAGTGGTTGATAACATGGTAAGTAGGGGAAATCTTGTTGTGGAAGATAAAAGAGATCATGAGCATGTCAAGGGGGGCAGATTGGTTGTTGAGACTGTAGGGAAGGATACCAGAGTCGATGCAGTGGTGATGCAAACTGTGGCGAAGAAGAATTATGATGGCTTCTTGTTTGCAGCAATCAAGTAGTTTGAGAGATCAAATTATTCTAGACGATGATGTATATTCTCACTTGAGATTTGAAATATGTGAATCTGGAGTTTCAAAAAGAGAGAATGAATCGTGGCTTGAGACATCAAGCGCTAGGTTACAGTACTGCACTAGGCCGCTTTAGATTGAGTTTGAAATGACCTCAACATCCGTTTTCCACACTGCAACACAACGACACAGCAACACTGATCGGAACGACATTTCTCTACCTCTGGCTCTACCTCTGGGATATCAAAATGTAATCCCCACTACGAGGCTTCAAATCGATTGGAACCGCAATCAGTATCGCCATACCCTAGCCGAATATCCTTCCTTCTCAGCCTCATTACGACGAGCACAGGGAAGGTCTAAGAACGCTGACTTCGCTCGTGCCCTGAGGAGCCATGAGAACAAAGGTCCCTCGAGCACCCAGCGTATCTGGAACTAAAAGTCGCGAATTCATGTCCACCAATGTCTTAGATGGAGGGGCATCAAATCTGTCTGTCATAAATCATTATCTTGTACAGGCATATTTACAGAATTATCTTCAATATCTACAACAAATTGAACATTTTAACTGCGTCCGTTCATACCTCTATACTGGACAGAGTCTACCATTTTGCGTGGGTAGTCCGGTCAACTGGCCGGTGATATACCAGTTCTCGGATCCAACACCGGTTGGAGTATAGAACAAACTCTTTGGGTCATATTGCTGCTTCAAGGCATACAGCCTGTCATAGTTGGTGCCATAGAAAGCTTGGAAGTGTCAGCACTGTATACGATCTGGATGGAAACCTTCTTACCTTGCTGGAAATTTGGCTCTGAAATATCAGCCTCGGACATATAAGCACCAGCATTTGGAGACACATCTCGCCACTTCTGCATCCAGTCGTATGTCAAAGTCTCGGAAGCCTCGACAATGGTCGTATCGTTTGCGGAGCTGTCCCAGAGAGTGGCAAGAATGGCATGCAGACAGGTCCCGCGCCACGCTGGGTTCACTGAGTTGTCAGAGTTGTCATTCTCTGCAGCAGCAATGTTGAAAGCGAGGAAAGAGCCGCCCAGCTCGACTGTGGTCTTGATGGCATCAAAAGTGGCGTTGAGCGAAGTATCATTTGCCCAATTCGATTTGGGAAAGAGTCGAGAAGCCGTTTTGATGTTCGTGATGCCTACAGTCTCAAGAGGGAAGTTCGCCCACCAAGCGTCATAGAAGTCGCTGTACTCGTTAATCACGGGAGTAATTGTGATTCCGAGAGCAGCAAGTCGATCAAACCAGGGCGCAACCAATGCTTCGACTTCGCTTACAGTTTTGTTCGGTGCAAAAAATGGTGCCATTCCAAATGAGTATGAGTCCGCACCAGTGAGTATTGTGCTGAAGTAAGCGTATATGCCGGCATCGGTGTACTCCACGAAGTAATCGAAATATGTTCTCACGCCCTCCCAAAATGTTGTTGAGGTCAAGTTGGTGCTGGTAGCGAAGCTGAAGGTCATCACCGTCACTGGGAGGACTGGATACACTCTCGCTGTCACTGAAACGACGACTCCGAAGGTACTGCCGCCACCTCCACGAAGACCCCAGAATAAGTCGGGGTTCTCCTCCAAACTGGCTGTCACGAATCTTCCATCTGGGGTTACGACCTCAATAGAGAGAACTTGGTCTGCGGCCATGCCATACAGTGAAGACAGCGGGGAATGTCCACCACCAGCAAGGAAGCCACCTCCAACACCAACCGTCTTATCATAGTCAGTATTAACTCAATTCTCAACGAATTTGATACTTACACGTCCTTCTCCACCAACAACAGTTACTCCAAGAGATTGCGCTGCGGTGTAGATCTCGAAGGCCCGGACACCAGCACCCATCTTAACGGCTTTTCCCGTATAAATGGTACTATTGTACTCTGGAATATAAGTGATATCTCTCAAGTGATGAGTCCCTGAAACTTGTCAGCTCTGCTCTTAAGCTTGATACATAGGCAGCGTACAGATTGAAAGTGCCCCTGCGCCTGCACTTTTTCCATTGAAGTCATGGCCAGTGTTTTTGACCACCAATCTGAGATTTGCATTGCGAGCAAAGTTCACAGCCAGCTGAATTTGAGCGACACTTGAGACGTTCACAGCATAGCTGGGGTAAGCACCTAGCGTGCAGTTGGCAGTTGGGTCATCAGTTGGCATGCATGTTCGTCCTTGGTAGAGAGGCCACATGATTGAGGTGGGGTCTTCCTCACTTGAAACTATCAGCATCCATTTTCGACTGAAGAAAAGACTCACACTCACTGCAGATAGCTGTCTGTCCAGTTGTTGGTAATTGTCGTACATAAGGCTGCATTCTCTTCAGAAGGCCAATCATTGTAGCAAGGTGCTGCAAGTGGTACAGTCTTGATCAAGCTTTGACCAAGCAGGAGGTCGAAAATATACCAGACCAGTGTTGAAGGATACGCTTGATCTCCAGGAAAGACTTTGCAGCCCAGCGATCTTGCGTCGATTGAAGTGGCATTGTCGTCAAATGCGAACAACGACGCATTTGCCAAATCAATACTGGTCAAATTTGCGACAACAGCATCGGTTAGCTGAAGAGTCTCAGGAGCGGATAGATCTTCATCTGAGACAATTGCTACAGCTGGGCTCAACGTCGATGCATTCACAGCTGCGGTGAACATTAGCGCAATGGTATAACCATTTTGGGTATGTTCGGATCCTAACCGACGGTCTGATTGTCGACAGTGATTGTCGACGATTGCGCAATGACCGAGGACACAGTGAGCAAGGAAGCTGCCACTCTTGCATATGATGAAACACCCATTGTTCTTAGCGAGATGAAATATCTGCAGTCAAAGAACTCTGCTGAAGTGTTCGCCAAGAGAAGGAAATGCTGGCGAGTTGGGATGAAGAACAAGAGAACTTAGACATCACACAGATTATATCTGCTCCTTCGATCGACATCCATTCTTCCTTAAATTGCAACGAATTCCTTCGGGAATGACTTGAGTAGTTGTTCAAGGTCTCCATGTTCAATATTGGCAATACTTCAAGGGTCTTTCTGTATACTATATTGCTAGTCGCATGTCAAAATAGACGATTCTCCTCCCAACTCCCTCGGCAACCCCAGCAAAGAGACGCTCAACCTATCAAAACGTTCGAGGACCGCTCATGGTCTTCCAAGAGCCAGTCTTCTCTGAGAAGATCCCAAGATTCCAGAAGTTCCGGAGTCTAATATTAGGGCCCACTATACTAGGGTAAGCCACTCGCGTAGCCTGTGGTAAGCATCCTGAGCCCCAGATTTGATATGAGCACAAAATTATTTTTAATTGCGATTGTGGGGCTTTCAGATTGCTCCGTTCTGCAAGTTGAAAATGTTTTACTTGTCTAGTCAAAGCTACAGCTTATGCTGTTTATGCTGTTCATGTAGAAACCGAGTCTGTCCTTGCTCTATGATTCGAACCTACTCGCTGAGAACGATCCTGCGAAGCACCTCAAGGGAGATTCTTGGAAAGTCTCCACCTTACGTGCGAGCTTCTTGAACGAGGAATTGAGCCGTTCGTACGTTATCGGGCCCGGATACCATGTCGTTTGCGTGGCAAGCTGCAAGGCACGGCCACGCGGTTTCTCGGGCATTTCCCTTAAAGCAGCTTTTTATGCCGCTTTGAACCAGACAGGAGCTGTTTTGTGTCTTCGTTGAAAGGCAGAAATGCGCAATTGTTCACGGTGTAAAGAGGGTGGACACATCGGAGCAGACATCTGTAGCGATCATAAAACTCGGAGACTAACCCTTTAAAGTATATTATGGGTCCAAAAACCAGATTTATATATGCAAAATATCCTATAGCAACGGCCCAACGACATATGATCTTCGTAACAGCTGTGTGCTCCGATGTGTCCACCCTCTTTACCAACTGAGGGGCGTTGCCGGAGATGCGTGTTCCAGATCTCAGATTGCGGGTTCTGAGCATATTTGGGTCAGGAAATTCCAATCGGACTCGGCATCTGCGTTGTGGTGACCACGTTTCTCTTCACAGCAATATTCACGCTTGAAAGCATATATTCAGGCTCTCTTCAAGTTTGATCCCGTCGAGACTTGGAGACTCCAAGGTGGAGAGTACGGTGTTCCTAGAGTCTCCAGTGAGCAAGTTTCTCGCACCTCTATCTCGCTTGCTGCGCTGCTCCCACCTCCCCACTCTTGTCTCAGAACGGGGCACCGATTTTGCGGATCTCCGCCGTCAAAAGAGATTTGGGCTTGTTAAAAGACGCCACAAACACCCCCAACAAAACTCTAAATCATCTCCAAGCGTACCCAAAGCCGGGAGTCCCTTCTGTGTTCGGTAGCATTCTGAACTTACCAGAGCGTCGGATTCCAGCCACTTGGCGACCCAGCGATAAGTCTGAAGATTGAGTTCTGATAAAGACCTAGGTATCGCCTGTAGAATTCATCTGACTCTGTTATAAATAGTATCCCCACCTAGAAGACGAGACTACGTGTAAGTGATCTTTTTCGTCGTATTCACATTTCCGAACGTCTGATAGCTCGATTTAATCCTATGACCCCAAATGTTCAGGAGCTCGATCCTGCCGATGTGGACGCCGCTCCTTGTTGGCAGCGGGTAGACGTTCCGCGAGTAGCGTTCTAGAAACAATATGGCGATATCTCGCGATTGGTTGGAGAGGTGGAAGGACTCTGAGTGGATCCGGGTTGTTCCTTGCATTGTCTCGCCTCCACTTGAGATTCACATAATCATGGAATCCATGGGGAAGTATAGGTCATGAAGTAGTCTTTATGTTGCCATTAAGTCTTTGCTTGACCCCGATTCCGAATGCTGAGAAGTAGCCTTTAAACTTCGATACACCCTTTCTGTAATACGTCCACACTCAGGAACAAAAATTTATTGCAAGGAAAATTGGAGGTAAAAAGGGGGGAGTCGAGACGATAAGCAGGTTTTGAAAGTACAGATCCATGCAATGCGCAGGAACTGCGCCGAGCCCCTTCGGAAGCCGGAAAGCACCTCTTTCAAGTAAATACTCCACTCTGGCCCACCTGCGAACAGAGGCTGCTTCACATCTGCATGCAAGTCTCTGGACCCATCATGGATCTGGGAAATCAGGCACCGCCTACCTTCTCAGATACCTCGGGGGATCAGTTCGATTGGTTTCATTCGATATTCTTGAACATGGGGTTGAGTTTCGCTTACTGATAGATGTTCGGATGGATTGTTGCTTGGACTTTGATGGATCCGCTGGAGGAATCATGATATATGGGGTGACTTGACTTGGAATTATTGAGCGTTGATCCCGTTGCTTACTTCTGAGAAGAGGTGGAGAAGATGACCACCAGTCCTCTTCAAGAGTTTGCCCTTTTCATTGTTGTTTTCTTTCCTCTGTTGGCACTTGTCGTGGTTTGTCTTCGAACATACAGTAGGATATCTACTGGTCAGTTTGGATGGGATGATGGGCTCATTATTGTTGCGATGGTCAGTTCTTTGCCAAGTCGATATGTGTATAAAACATCTTACTGAGGAGACTATAGGCTATGGCCATCGGAGAGAGTTATGTGACATGGATGTGTAAGTCTGGATGAAGCTTTTTTTTTGATACTCAATGACTGACAATCCCAGATATCAAGACCAATTTCGTTGGGATACATATCTACGATATACCAGCAGATGTTGACCCCGTCCCCGGTCTCAAGGTACTTGCTCCTCTTCGGATTTGTCAAACCATCGCCAACAAGACTAATCCTCCACACAGTACAATTATGCAGTCCAAGTACTCTACAACCCCGTGCTGGCGATCGTCAAAAATTCAATCCTCATGTTTCTCCTCCGCTTGACCGGAACCCGAAAAGCAGTCCGCTACACGATCCTGGGTCTCATCGCCGTCAACACGGCCCTCATGATAGCAATCTTCATAACAGTAATCTTCCAATGTCTCCCCATCGCCTACAACTGGGACACAACCATCAAAGGCGGCCACTGCGTAGCACAAGGTGCTTTCTACGTTGCTACAACCACCCTCACTTTATTCACCGATATCCTCGTCCTGGCACTACCATTCTGGATCGTCATGGGTCTGAAAATGGAACGCAAAACTAAGATTGCCGTTATCGGCATCTTCTTCCTTGGATTCATGCAAGTCTTCCTTCCCTCCAATCTCCCAGCAAAATCTAATCATGTCAGTGTCACGGTGATAGGTGTCATCCGAATGGTGCTCATAATTCAAGTATTCTTCCTCCCAGCAGGTCCCGACCCCACCTACACAATCGGTTTCTGCACCTCCGCCATCGAAATCAACGTCGCGATTATGACCGCCAGCGCCGCGGCCATGAAACCGCTTTTCAAGCGCTGGTTCCCGCGTTTCTTCTCCGCCTTGTCGAATAGTGGTCCCTATTCCGACGGCCCGTACGCAGGCGGGACTGGTCGTTACACGAGGAATGGGACGAATGGGACGAAGCATAAGAGTGTGCTGAAGGGGGGACATGGGGGGTTTGAGTTGAAGGGTATGAGGGGTGAGAGAGGGTTGACTGAGATTCAGAGCCAGAATAGGGATGGGAGCGAGGAGGAGATTATGACGTTTGATGGGATTGTGAAGACGACGAATGTGTCGGTTAAGTATGCGGAGAGGGATGTGGATAGTGTGAGGGCGGGGCAGCATAGTAGGAAGACGTCGGATTATGGGATGAGGACATCGGTGGAGAGTTTGTGAGCGCCGGTCGCTTGGGATGTAAGTTATGATACTAGGAACAATATATGAAGATTCACGTCCATGAGAGCTTTCGCTGCTTCCTCTCCCCTTTTCATAAGCGTGTCGTATTGTGAGGTCTGGTACACATCTCTGCCTTAAACAAGCACACGTATTATGAACAACCTAAGGGTAAGCCAGCAACTCCAATTCCTTCCACTCCTCACTACTCCCAAGCCTCCTCCTGACCGGCTCTAGCACACAATTCAAACTCCTCGCAACAGCCAATTTCAAATCCTCCTCACCCATCCTCCAACACCTAAAATCCTCCTCAATCTCGTCGTAACTCTTATAATGCTTCCTCACGCACTCCCCAAAACACCAAATCGCCACCTCAATTGTAAATAATGTTCCTTCCGGCGCATCTGCACTGACGAATGCATCATTCGCGAACTCATCTTTATGGTGCTCTAAACGAAGCTCGCTAAGGGGTATGAGTATAGTGCGCAGGATACCCAAGACGGCGTTGTCAGTCGAGTATCCACCATGGCTTTCTCCAATGGGTATCTCCATGATCTTGTCGGTGACTGTCCTTGCATCGTCCAGGAACTCGATTTTCGCACTGGCGGGGTCTGAAGAAGACATTTTGCCGCCTTTGAGACCGGGTGCCATGGCGTTCATTAGGTATTGGCGTTTTCTGTAGCCGAGCTGGGGAATGATTTTTGAGGCATGTTGGAAGATTGGACGCTAATTTTGGTGAGTGGAAGGCAATTTGTGGGAGGGGTGGAGGGAGGTTTACTTGATCTTCTCCTCCGAACTGAATGTCTGTGTCAAGATGGATGTCCGCGAGGTATTGGTGTACACAACATAGTAGTGGACTTAGGGTTTTAGTTCTGCCTTCTTCGTCCATAGTGTCTGGAGTATCTTGTTGTGTCATGAGGGAACAGCATCTGCTGAAGTCGGACACGAATGATTTGGTATATGCATAGGATGATTCTTGCACGAAGTGTATTCGGGATGTTTGGACGCCCAGGGATTGTAAAATGGCGGTGACGAGCAAGTGGTAGTATCTCCTGCGATGTTCTACAAGTTCCCGAGGTTGGGGATGAAGGTAATTGATCAAGAAACTGTAGATGTCGGCGTACAGAACAGTGACCTGCATTGACAGTCAGCAGAAATACTTCCCCGGGAGTGGATTACTGTACATCGAGTCCTGCTCTAAGAAAGTCAACAATCTTTGCCAAAGGAACAAGATATCCAATATGTGCTGACTTTCTCATTAGCAAGATCAATTCGTGAGCATGTTTTCCGCTCACGTTTCCCTGTTGGCGCGGTTCCTGTTTCTCGTTTAGCCAAGAGTCCATCTAAGGTGGGAGACTGTACCCCAGAATATCTTCGCTTTCTTCTTTGTTCTCAGGATTTCCTTGATGGCCTGTTTACCATCTTGATTCAGGAATTGTTGTCGCCGTACGAGGACATCGAACTTCTCCTCCACTGTCGATGATGCATTCATATTTTACAGACTGATTATCACCACGACGCAAATGTCGACATATACGAAAGCAGATATGAACCTCCTTGGAGACACTAGACTTAATCCCCAGAGCAGGCCGATGCAAGAAACAGCAAAGATTAACAATAAGAAACAGCAGGAAAGTGTTCTGATTTGTGCTCGAACAGTGACACAAGTTCGTGATTCTAGGGTCAGTCGCACGGGGAACATCCATCATATCTATGATACGTTCAGACATTGCCATGCTGTTGGGAACGAAACGCCATACTGCGACTGGATGCTGGACCATTGAGAAAAAGGAACAAGGTGGACCAAGACACTGTCACCGCAAGTACAGTACTCACGAGTGATCCGATTCGGTTCGGACCTGGCTTGGATCCTGGGGCCAGTAACATCTTGCATGATATGCTGAATGTTAGCCTCATGCTCGCGCGAACGCTGATGGTGATCCCGTACTCGATTGAGAATAAAGTAGAAAGGAACACGATCTCTTGGTGCCGAATCGTCGTCGAGAGATGAATTGACTTCTGCGAGGGCGATATGTCTCAGTAAAGCCTCGAGCTATCAATTTGACCGACAAAATTGTCGCCATGGAGTCTGCTCAGGGGAACTCCATCTGAGATCGTTCCTGCGGTGCCCCTGCTCAGGGCAGCAGAGTTGAATTCTAACCTCCAAGAGCTGACTCCAGCCATTGTTGGGAGTACATGCAGCCAGGAAGCAATCTCACTTGAACGTGCAGACGTCTAAAGCTGAACCTATCGGGGAGACAAAGTCTGATGTCGGTGAGCACTGGTCTCACTACGTGGACGTGGCGGCGAGTCACGGATACACCTAGCGGCCCGCTCCTTGTGGATGGATCCAGCTAGCCACTGACCCACTGTCCACTCAATAATGAAAGAATATGTACGAGACATGGAAACAATTGTTCCAGAGTGCGATAAGTAGGCATGCGTGCCCAAAGTCTGTTTGCTTTTCGCAGCCGCAAATCTAATCTCGCATTGTGGCGGTGAGACTTCTGATGCAGTTAGAGGATATGGCAACATCAGAAACTTTGAACGTGGATTAGCTTTCAAAACATACTCGCCAGAATGTCACAATGACTAGGAGTATGATTGGAAGACTGACCAGATTTGCACTATCAACCTCAACAAAACGCATGACAAGATTGAGGGAACCCGAATTGCTTTCTCTACCATATTCCAGGATGACAACATACCACACTCATCTCGAACACCCAGGGAGTTTCCAAATTTCCATACCATTCCCAACGATCAACACCTTCTGCTCTTGGGATTCATGAACATGATTATTCCGGGCTCTCAAAAATACCACATCTCCAATATCAGCGACAGAGGTGAACTCATCGCTCGGATTCTGGATGTTGACAATGCTCAAGTCACCGGCCGTACTAGTCGAGAGTTGGACATGCCACTCTTTAATCCTTTGATCATTGCTCGAGGACACAATTTTGACGATGTCCATCGATGGGCTGACTTCATCTATGGGGACAATGCAGAGTCCAGTGATGGCAGCTGCATGTGCTGATCTCAAGATGTAGCTCAATGGTTTCGTAACTGCAGCTTCACTGGGGAGCTGGTTTATGGAGTAAATCGAGACTCCTAAGGCATTGTCGTCTCCGCCAGTGACAACCAAGAACGCGTCAGTATACTTGACGAAGTCCAAAGACTTGATAGTGTTCTGGTGGATTTTCCGAGTTCCAAGGAAAGTAAACTCCGAGGGCGAGGATCCACAAATTGTCTTCGGTGGTGAGAGATCGATTCTCCATAAGCTGATGTTGCCATCGGTGGCTGCCGTTATGATGTGTACTTCTTTGGGGGAGACTCGAAGGTGTCGAATCTGCGTCAAGCAAGAGGATGTGTATATCCCCTTTGCCACCAAGCAAAATCTGTTCTGCTTGGAGTACGTGTAGGTTCGCATTGTCGAATCTGAATACGCTAAGCTGACCAACAAGTTATCACCATCAACATCAGAAACATCTAAACTCATAATTCTCAAGTCTCGGTCGGCGCTCTGATCAGGACAGGCTGCTTCACAAACAACTCCCAGACCGAATCCAGGAATACGTTCAATTGACCACAGGAAAAACTCTTCGTTCCCACCACTACTGAAAAGGTAGTTCAAGCCATGCCATTGTAGGTGCTGAATACCCGCGGAATGGTTCTGCATAATAGCATGACAGTGAAGCCGGTGCTCTAAAGGCTTACCATCATCGTCGTAGCTCCAGATGCGTATCGCTGTGTCTTCAGCACCAGTTGCCACATATTCCCCATTTGGGGAAACGGCGCATGCTTTGATCTCTCGACCGTGTCCGCTTCGCTTCACGATCGTGTGAGATGGAGCTTGCTGTGAATATATGTATAACTTCGATGCCTTACTATATGCGAAATGACCCCCAGAGGATTTTCGTAGTGGCGAATATGCATAGCTCCTGTGTGCACCTCCGCATTCAACACTCATGACCTCAAGTTGTTTGGTCTCGTTCCAGACGATGAAATTCTTTCCCTTGAATCCGTACAAAAGCAGCTCAGCACCGTCCAACCAAGCTGCCTCAACAATAGGACCAAATGGTAAGCTACCAACATGAACACAGCGAATAGCGCCATTATCGGATTTATCTATCGCGAAAATAGAATATACGCCATCACGTCCCGTTGTGAGGAAGTAGCTGGCCATGCTGTTTTCACTGGCTTGGTGTGGCAGAGGGATAATGGTGGTGATTGCGTCTTGGGTGGAAGTCATGCCTCTCCCCACTCCATGCAAGACAGCCCGATCTTCACGATCAAGGACTGCCAGTGAGCCAGTACGTGATCCAAGAACTAGTAAATCATCTATCCTCCCAGCAATTGTGACCATGAACTTCGGGGGAAGTGTGAACGTTGCGAAGAGGTGTATCAACCCTGTAGCGGTAGAACCAATGCTGAATAATGTTGCCATCCCAGTTCCCAAAGTAGTGACCAGCAATTCAAAGCCTTTCGTAGCTGGATTGAATATTTTGAACATATCTGCTACCTTGCCATTGACATTCCCGGCTTCCAGTAATATCGCACCACCGACATAGCAATAGATCTTGCCATTTGCTCCTGCTATATATGCCAAACCACATTCTGGAATGCCTTGAACAACAGAATATGATTTGAGGTCGTATTCGGCTGTTTTTGGAAGCTCTAATTCTTCCCATTGATGTGACACGCCAATCTTACTAAGTAAAACGCGTCCAAATGTGGTTGTAAGAAGTAGCTGGTTCTCAGAAATGAAGTCATATTTGTTGAAAGCATCTTTGACGATTTTCTTGGGTTTCTTCTTTTTGGGTGCCTCGTCATCTCCTAGCTCGACTTGGGGCGTGACGATCTCGATGGCCTCTGAGTCGAGCCCTTTGATAATGCTTTCGTCGACTGACGGGATGAGAGAAAGATGCTTGAGTATGTCTTCTTCAAGATCCCATGAGTTGCATTGAACATCGGTGTTCCCAGGAGAAGATATTCCGTAAGATGGTCCCAACTCATCATGGCACGAGGCTCGGGAAGACTCCTCTTCAAGAAGACTTACAGCACGTGAAGATATTTTGCCATCTGCTCCACCTGTAGCAAGAATGGCTGCCAATGGATTACAATAGTGTAGCGCTGTTGACCAAATATGCTTTCCACTGTGGAAAGCGAACGTGCTTACATGCATTAGCCTCAAAGTTTCCGAGGTATGATCGGCTTTGGGGTTTGAAGCGGTACAAGAGTCGATGTTCAAACTCCACTGCTGAGTCGATGAGTCCTCTCCAAAGGACAACAGGCTCACTAACGATGGACTCAGACATCCTTGATCCACGAGAAATTTAACCCGCCAGATTCTAGAAGCATGAGCCATGACTGTGGCGATGCACCTGTTTTCTGATTGAGCTTGATCATCACTATTTGGACCGAAACCCGTTTCCCGTACAAGACCTACTTGGTCATTCACTGTTCTAGTTGGGGAGTCTGTTGTAAGATCCCAAACCCGAATAGTTCGATCATCGCTGCAGCTCGCAAGCAATCGACCCCGACGCTTGCATGCAAGTGTCAAAGGCGGGGAGATGTTGACTCCAAAGATTGAGCCTTCGTGGCCTGTGAAGGTAAACAATACTTGGGTAGTTCCTGAGCTCGAACATGACCAGATAATGATTTCTCCAAAGACTGTCCCTGCAGCTACCAGGATCTCGCCAGAAGGTTCGGCCAAGATATGTGCCGAATACAAGATTGACCTCGACGGGGAAGCCACTGTCTCGAACTCGATGAATGATGAAGTCTTGTCGAGTGTTGCGCGAACAACAGTGTTATGAGCTGTAATGAGGAAACAACAGCCAGGAACGAGTGGAGAAAGAGCCGCATCAAGAATCCAGTCAGACGCTTCGGCAGCTGCCACGGCGATGCGAGTTAGACTTTGCGCGAGGATCTGTTCGAAGTCATGTGTCCTAAGCAGGGTCAAGAAAGACCCGCCCCAGATCAAGATATGTACATCATCGTCTTGGGCGTTCTTTGCAGCGATGATTCCATGAATAGCTTGGCCATCGAAGACTTTACACTGGCCCAACAGCTTGGAATTTTCTGCTTCGAATATCTTTAAGAATGATCCTTCTCCAGCTAAAAGGAGAAGTGGCCCATCTGGGCTTTGGTAGAACTCCAAAGCAGTGATGGGATTCAAGATATGATCATGCTACAAACTGTTAGCTTTAGCAAGGACTCATCAATATTTGTAGCAAACCTGAAGTGACATTGGCATGTTCTAAACGTTAACCAGTCTGCTTGGTGACTCAGATGCAATAAGTTGGCTTGATGGAACGCTCATTGCGCAATTTTATTCATTTCTTATTGACTTTCTGAGTGCTGATATTGGCGAACAAGTCTTGATATTGTAATAGGTTTGATGAATATCTTTGCACACGATTTGGGTTGGAGGTGTGAATTTTTGCCAAGCGAAAGCAGCCAAGAGAGGAAGGAGGGGCTAGCTCCTCGACTTACATAATCCCGCTCCGCCCCGTCCCGCTCTGCGAACTCCATTCCATCTCAGAATAGCTCTCCTGCAGTACTTAATCGTTGTCAGAAGCCAAAAACTAGTCGAGAAATGGGTGAAAAGGTTGCATATTGAACATCTTCCAATAGGACTTCTGCCGGGTGATAAGCCACAACTTTTCATGCAGGGTCTTACTGTCCCTGGCCCCAATGACGCAGCACCTTCTCGCCGAGGTAGAATTAACATGTGAGGAAACAACTTCCAATACCACATCGCGAAGGCAAGCTAGGCAACAGACACATCTTTCGACGCCGCGACCATGGACAGCAAATTGCATTGCTCGGCTAGATCCATCGCGCTGTTGTCTATTTTGCCAACGAGTCCTTGATCCTCTGACAGCCAATCCTTCATTACCCATCCTTCTCGATGGTAAACCCACATCGAAATCCCAACAGTTTGAAAAGCACATGCTTTCTGCCGCATCGCCCGCGATTTCAGAAAAGGCTACAAGATAACGAGATACCTTGATCGACCCTCGAACTGACATTTTCCCTAGAGGATAGAACCCTTTATTTCAAGCCATCATGATTGGGATTTCGAAGGCCGAATTCTACTTCATACGATCTTGTATTATTGGTCTCCACTACCTTGCTCCTCTATGCCTCTTATACTGTGCTTTTGTCGTTGCACTCTATGGCTTGAAGACGGCTGTCACGTCTCCAGTCCCTCTGGTGATTGAGAGCTTAGCAGTAGCAGAGTCTCTGTTCTTCCTCTTCGTCTACATTCCATACCGCTACTATCTCCAAAAAGACGCAATCCATCCGCCAGCTCCAACTCGCGAAGAACGAAGAGAGCTTTTTCGACGTTGCGATGAGAATATTCCGGACCCCGAGCTATACTTACAGAAGTGGTTCTTGGGTTGCGATTCAAGGGAGATCAAGCGCGAGAACTTCAAAGAATTTCTCCTGTGGGCTTTCTTCAACCGTGGCGGACCACCCGGGGATGACGATGAGGAGCTGGAAGAGTATGTTGTCGCGACAGAGAAATTACTTGGTCGGCCCATAGAGGCGGGCAGAGGCAAAGCAGTATGCTTGCGCCTGACACTGGATCGAGTAGAAATGCTTCATCGAAGCTTGACTTGGTATTGGGTAAGCTCCTGCATATTTTGATTAATCAATGCTAACATGAGCATTCCACTAGTGCGTCGGTTTCGTTGACTTCCTCACATACATGCGACTACTCTTCCATGGATTCCACTTTCATCGAACGAAGCTATCTCGATTCTTCTATTTATTCCCGTTTCGATTCCAGAGTCTCTTCACTACATATCGATCACCAGCAAAACATACCACATATTGGCATCGACCACATACATCAAAGACCAAGCTACCTGTAGTTTTCATACATGGGATCGGAATTGGTCTCTACCCCTATACCAAGTTCCTGAACGAGTTGAACTCCACTGCTGGGATCGAGTCATCTGATCCAAATGATCAAGTTGGGATTATTGCTATCGAAATTATGCCAGTGTCGTTTCGAATCTGCCATCACGCTTTGAGTCGTACCGAGATGTGTTCCGAGATTGATGAAATCCTTCTGAAACATTTTGACCCCGAGCAGAAGTTCGTCCTGGTGTCCCACTCATATGGCACAGTGATTACGACACATCTTCTCAAGACACCATCTATTGCGAAACGGATTGGACCCATTGTCTTAATCGATCCAGTATCGATATTGCTACACCTGCCAGATGTGGCATACAACTTCACTCGGAGACAACCTAAACGTGCAAACGAGCATCAATTGTACTATTTTGCGAGCATGGATATGGGTGTCAGCCATACCCTGAGCAGACATTTCTTCTGGAACGAGAATGTCTTGTGGAAGGAAGACTTCAAAGATCGGAGAGTGACTGTCAGCTTGGGTGGTCGAGATTTGATTGTCGATACCGAATCCGTGGGCACCTATCTTGCATTAGAGTCTGGAAATGGCCTGACGAATGAAAGTTCGAATGGCCATGCAAATGGGCACGCGAACGGAAACGGGACGCTCATCGATTTAGGTGAAGATGACGCAAATGATTCGACTGTTGAAATGGACGAAGAGAGTGTAGTCTCAGAAACAACCACCGACGAGGCCACTTGGAAGTCCCGTTCTTGGACTGGGAGTGGTATCGACATCCTCTGGTTTAAGAATCTTGATCATGCCCAGGTTTTCGACAAGGCTGCTACGAGAAAGATGCTTATTTCTGCGATTCGAACGTATTGTGAAGAGACATAGGACATCTACATTTGCTAAAATCACCAAATCACCACTCCAGCTTATTTACGAAGAGAGGAGATTCACGATTCACGATTCACAATTCACGGACATAGAAGGCCATTCTAGTTTTGCACGACCTGGTGAAGAAACGTCATCTGCAATCTGGTTCAACAATTCCACTTAATACGTCAGATTAATAGATTGAAAACCAGCAATCATAAGGCTTCAGAGACTTTTGGAAATTATTCCGAGCTCCTTAAAAGAGCCCAAACACGATCATATAGAAGATATGATCTGCCACATGTATCTCCTCTTCCAGTCAAGGTTTCAATTGTACCCTACATAAATGAGACTTTTATGTTTCCTGCAACCTCGCAATAGAGAACCAGGCGTTAGTCATGCATAGAACCTGACACAAAATGCATGACTATGAAGCGTATGCTTCATAGCGTTGTCTCCGACTTTTCATCCCAAAATTATGAGTGATGTTGGATACGGCAATGATATCCGTAATCATTTGAATGTTCGTCTGCCTTACTCACAACTGTCTTGCCGCTGGTGGCCGCAATTCATGAGAGACCTTGTCATTAGAACAAACATCGTGCATTCTCCAATTACTTCTGAAATCAGCGTTGGCTCGACGTCTATACAGGCCAATCGCCTTATTACCGGGTTTGCCTCCGCCGTTGAAGCTATTCATTTGGTGGGATTTCATGGTTCCCAAGACGAATCAAGTTGGAGAGCCGGCATGGGCTGAATATTGATGGCTGAAAAGTGCTGCAGTAGTGTGGAGAGCGCATGGAGGACAAGGCTGATGGAGGGGTCGAGGGACCAGCCTTGTTCACACATTTTACCGGACACACTCCGCAAAAGTGGACAACGCCTAGGATGACGAAGCCCGAGTGGTTTCCGTTTTTATTATGAGCCGGTTTGAGTTTGTTGCACAAGACCAGACAAGGCTAATCAGACCATTCCCCGATTATGTGATCGCCGACCGCTTCGGGTATGCAAAAGGTTTGCCACGAAAATCAATGCTTCGAGTGATGGAACGCGAACAAAGACACCACCATGTCAAAGGAAATAAAGGACGAATTAGAAATCAAGAAAGACAGTTCTAATGGGGAAATGACAAACTAGAAACCTTCATTGGTGCCATTTAGAGTTAGCCTGAATCACGCCATACGAGGCTGCGTGAAGGTGCGATGGACCGCCGATGGTGCAAGAAATCCACGGCATTATAAAAGAGATTTCTTGTTCGAGTATTCGGGTGACCTCTAAACAACTCCCTGCTGCCATCTCTCGCAACTTCAACTTTCACATCCAGATATCCCAAATAAAACTCCAAGATGGCTACTGAAGAGAGACCTGCCTCGTAAGTCAGTTTCTTGTGCGTGAAGCTACCCCGCCATGCTTTCAAAGCATGAAGGCATTTCGATTGTAGGGTAACATCAGGTTATTCTGCCTGTTGGAATGCATGCATTCCATCCTACGATATCAATGAGCCTCAACGGAAGTACTGTGTTCATGGCAGCCGTTCAAGTTCCCATTCAATGCACTGCTAGAAGCATTTGCTGATTTGTCTTTGTCCAGCCTCCGTCTGGGTTCCATTGCCCCCAACTTCAAGGCCGAGACCACCCAAGGTCCCATCGATTTCCACGAGTTCATTGGCGACAAGTGGGTTGTTCTCTTCTCCCACCCCGAGGATTACACTCCCGTCTGCACCACCGAGCTCGGTGCGTTCGCAAAGCTCGAGCCTGAGTTCACCAAGCGTGGGGTCAAGTTGATCGGTCTTTCTGCCAACACCATCGAGTCGCACGGAGGATGGATCAAGGATATCGATGAGATCTCGGGCAGCAAGTTGAGCTTCCCCATTATCGGCGACAAGCAGCGAAAGGTCGCATACGCCTATGACATGTGAGTATCTTCCCATTCTGCCAAATAGTAAATGGGGCCGAGCTGATGCCGTCTATCTAGGCTTGACCACCAAGACACCACCAACGTTGATTCCAAGGGCATTGCATTCACCATCCGCTCTGTCTTCATCATCGACCCCAAGAAGACCATCCGCCTCATCCTCTCTTACCCTGCCTCCACTGGCCGCAACACCGCTGAGGTTCTCCGTGTCGTCGACTCACTTCAGACGGGTGACAAGCACCGCATCACCACACCCATCAACTGGATCCCAGGCGATGATGTGATCGTTCACCCCAGTGTCAAGAACGAGGAGGCCAAGACTCTGTTCCCTGACTTCCGCATCGTCAAGCCATACCTTCGATTTACCCCTTTGCCCAAGGAGAAGACATCCGCGGCTGTGTAAGTTGATGTTTGGGATGGAAGGGAAGGAACGGGAACGACATGATAATGGCTGGGAATTATTGCAACTAGCGGCATGAATTTTTGCGGGATTGATGATGGGAGTAACCTTTTTGAGATGCAAAAGGAAACAAAACAAAGAAATAAAAATATATCCTACATTCAGCTAGTGTCCCAATCGTGCTATGTCCAATTAGGTGTCTCAAGTTGTCAATTACAGCTGAAAGTTATTTCAGAGGAATGCTACGAGAGGGACTAGAATCTATGTGTTTATTACTTCATGTACAAATCTCTATTAAGTCATTATAGATACAGTAGTACAAGTATCCTCACATCTCACAGACAGATCCGGAGACGGAATATCGCATCCCGAAAAAAAAAGAGTCGAGTCTGGACCCCTCCTCCATGCGCGCTTCGGCAGGTCCCAGAAACCCATGGTGCTACACGGCACAACATTCAATCAAGCTGAAGCAAAGGCCCGATCAAAATTATATATCCACAACCTACCCGCACCTCAATAAGATCCCGTATCAAAAAAACAACAAGACTCTTTCGTCATCATTTATTCCAGAAGGCCGTCTTCCATTTTTTTGTGGGCAGCGCCACGTGGGAATCGAGCGTTTCGGACGAACAGCGCATGCTAATTGGGTTGGGGCTCCTCGCTCGGACTGTCTGAGCACAGCGCAGGTAGTAGTAAGCCGCCCGGCAGTGAATGGGCAGACACTGATCTGATCGTGTGCAGGGCAGGCTAGAGAATTACAGAGACGGACGGGGTTGAATGGGTTGTTGAGAGAAGTGAGGTGTGTATTCGCAGGCTGTTTATTGTTTGAACGGACGGAACTGGATCAAAGAGCCGAGAAAACGACACTCCATCCATCCCCGCCGCGGCCACACACGACGGAGATTGTGAGATAGTATTGGGGGTTTGGGACCTGAATCAGGAAGGACAAGGAAGGGCTGGTCCTCTTCTGCGAGTCGCGCGCAACGGGAAATACGGTACACACATTGGGAAGAGGATTACAAGAGAGAGTTCTGCGGTGTTCAACTCGAGCCGTGGACAGGGCGTCAACCTCAAGAGATCATCTCGACACATACCTGGTCGCCGGGTGTGTGCAAGGGCCGATCGAGCCTAGGTAGGAGCCTAGCAGCCTAGCAAACGGAGACAGGCGCTTCAGACTGCCTAGACTAGTTCTTTGACAACGTCGAGCCTTCAACTTTTCAAGCCAGAGCGCGTCTGTGCGGGAGCGCGGGAGTGGATCTTCTCACCTCGAACCTTTCGCCTGACTTTGCCTCGTCGGCTCTCTCTTCTCACCCTGGCCCGTTAATTCTACAGCAATCGGCTACCAGAAAACGGGGAACACAGATCACAATTACGGAATAGACCTTGTCTTGGGAGCTGATCTGGTCGGCTACGGCTCCCTAGAGTCTGCTCGTATCCCTACCGTCACGGAGCAAAGTCTTGACTCGAGATAGTGCAGGTTCATTAGGTCTCCAGGTCGGTATCGGTACTCCGGTAAGCTACTCGACCTCTCTTCTCTTCTCTCTCCCTTTCATCCTATTCTCCTGGACAATAGTTCTATATGAGGCTCGCTACTGCTGGCGATGTCTTCAGAAGATTCCCATAGAGTTCCCCCCTCTGCTTCCTCTTTCCAAGCATGACTTATCATGACGGACAAGCTGACTCTGCGGCCACAAGGCTCGCTCGAGTCGAAGTTCTCAGACCACTCCGACTCAGCAGCCGAAGAGGAGGTTTCTCCGGAGCGCAAGGACTTCTTCACCGGCGTACGAAGGGGGATCAAGAAGTTAGGATCCATATCTGGGCCTCACAATAGACCATCGAACATCCAGGTGGGAGAACGGTCTTCCCCAGACCCAACACCAGGTTCTGCAGATTCGGAACGGGCTCGTCGAAAAAAGCATGCCCCCAGTACAAGCGATCTCAGCCGCGAGAAACCTTTACCTAAGACGCCCCTCTCGCCTCCCGTCGAGCTGCTGCTGCAGAACCCGTTCAGCCCGCCCGATACCCCGAAGCCTTTCGCCTCAATGTCTCGGCCGGCTGTAGGTGGTAGCCGCACGAGCACGATGGATTCTACGACCTCCATGACAGCCACGCAGATGTATGCCAGTGGGTACAAGCCTGCTTCGAGCACTTACTTGGCGGACATGAATAGTAGTCAAGGAAGCATTGCTAGCTCAAGACAGGAAGGAGAAGATGATACGAGGGACATTATGACGCCGCGGAGTAATGGTCCACCTTCTGCTGGGCCTTCTCCAGCTCAACCATCGCGGTCTGCGGGAGGAAATGTAGTTGGCACATCAAGTGGAGGGTCGTCTCAACATCTTTCAGGACTTATGTGCAATGTACATCGAACTACGGGACGAGAACCCCACCCATTGGTGGGAGCTACGACCACGATACTGGGAGATAAGTTATATGTATTTGGAGGACGGATATTATCAAGGACTCGACCTGCTCTGACGTCCGATTTATACGAACTGGATCTCATCAGAAGGCACTGGACCAAAATCGAGACAGGAGGAGATATACCCCCGCCAAGATACTTCCACAGTGTTTGTGCACTGGGAGACACCAAGCTAGTATGCTATGGTGGAATGTCTCCCGCGCCAACGCAAGGACAAGTCCAGCCCGTGGCAGCAGCTCAAAATGCCCAGGATGCTCAACCAGAAGTGGTTGTGATGTCAGACATCTATATATATGATGCGCCGACTAAGATGTGGTCTTTTATACCAACTCAGGATGACAAGACGCCGCAGGGCAGATATGCTCATTGTGCGACTCTTCTGCCATCATCTGCTACTTTCTCATCTACGAATGCAGCAGCGTCTGCTATTCAACATAACCCTGCAGGATCAAATCCCAATCAAGGTACACTAGGCGTGAATCTTGATGGGACTGGAGGTGCGGAAATGGTTGTGGTTGGAGGTCAGGATAGTGCGAATCATTACATTGAACAAATCAGCGTTTTCAACCTGAGGAGCTTGAAGTGGACAAGTACACAGCAGCTAGGAAAGAGCTGTGGTGCGTATCGAAGTGTGGTTGCACCATTGCCTAGTAGTATCTCTACTAGACTTGGTAGAACATCACCCACGAAACCAGATGTTGGAAATATCAGCCAAGATGCAAAGGAACCTGGGTACTCGATGTTGATTTATTCGAATTACAACTTCTTGGATGTCAAGCTGGAGTTGCAGATAAGGTCTTCAGATGGAACGTTGTCTGAGAAACCCATGCATGGGACGTTTTCACCGCCTGGGTTGAGATTTCCGAATGGTGGGGTTATCGATACGAATTTTGTTGTCAGCGGCACATACCTCACTTCATCGAAACAAGAATATGCTCTATGGGCTTTAGATCTGCGGACTCTGACATGGAGCCGCATAGATGCAGGAGGCAGTGTATTCAGTCAAGGGAGCTGGAATCGTGGTGTGTTGTGGAATCGGCGGAATACATTCGTTATTCTTGGAAACAGGAAACGAAGTCTAGTGGAAGATTATAACCACCGACGAATCAATTTCAGCAATGTTTGCATGGTTGAGTTGGAAGCGTTTGGTCTCTATGATAATCCGAGGAAAGCAACGCCGATGTCTGGTTTCGTCTCAGCTAGCTCGCCATATTCGGCTCCTGCGTTGAATATTGGGACGAAAGCGGGTTGGACTGCTGGGGGGAGGTCATTCTCGAAAGCGGCTGAGGAGCTGGGTCAGACTGCTTTAAGCTTGAGGGAATTGGCTGATATGGATATCCTATGTGTTGGTGGAGAGCGGATACCCGTCAACTCGAGAGTTGTGGCTCGAAGATGGGGGCCTTATTTCGTCCAACTTCTCCGTGAAGGAGCCGCAACACAAGATGGAAATGATGCCGCCACTCTTCGACCTGAAAATATCTTCAGACACAATCCGAGCCGAAACAGCAGTGTTACCATTACTCCCAGTATTGGTGGACAATCCTCGAACCTAAGCACTTCATCAACACTGAACAACACAGGCACCTCATCTCTCATGACCGGAGTCCAATCAGGAGACTACTCAATCCAAACCCAACCACCAGATTCCAGCACCCTATCGCCAACCTCCCGACCCCGAACCCTATACCTACCACACACCCACCTCACCCTCCAATCCCTCCTCCACTACCTCTACACTTCCTCTCTCCCTCCATCTACTTCTCCCCTCTGCACCCCTCAAATCCTCTGTTCTCTCCTCCAAATAGCACGCCCCTACAAAATCGACGGCCTCCTCGAAGCAGTCGTCGAACGCCTACACTCCGTCCTGGACTCCCGCAACGCAGCCGCCGTCTTCAACGCCTCCGCCATGGCCGCAGGCGGCGGTCGCTCCACCAGCGGAGCCGAAAACTGGCTCTCGGGCGATTTCAACGATATTCCCATCCGTGGAGTGAGTGGACCCCCAGTGTTGCAAATCGGGTCCATGGGCTCGGATATTTCTCTGCGCGGTCAGGGTCAGCAGCAACAGGGTTCCCAACCGCTACGCATCAACACCTCGTTCAACTCGACGGGGTCGTCAGCGCCGGATGAGGAGAGTATGTCCGCGACCTCGAGCGCGGCGTCGGAGTACAGCGAGAGCGAGATGGGGAGTAGTCTTGCGGGCGAGAGTAATGCGCGGGCAGGTAGCGGGGAGGTTTGGAAGGGGGATTTGAGCGCGGTGATTGGGTTGCAGAAGCGTGGGTTGAGGGGCTTGATGGAGGGGCGGAGGTTGAGGGAACGCGGGGCCAGTGTGGGGCAGAGTACTATGAGGGTTGGGTTGGGGATTGGTGGGGCTGGGTAGGGTGAGAGGGTTAAGACAGGAGGGAGAGTTTGTTGCATTTGTTTGGTGCTGGGCGGGTTATTGATGAGTTATGATTCATGCATGTTTGAGAGTTAGTTGGCTATCTTTCTACTTCTTCTTCTTCTTGTTGATGAATTTTGTGTTTGCTAGGGTGCATGCATAGCTAGGATAGGTATTCTTTTCATGGTTGTGTTTTTTGGCTGGATGGCGCTCTTTATGTCGTTGTGTTGTGCTTTTGTTGCATTGCTGAAGTCGGGGTGGGAATGAGAAATGAGATATTCCAATCAATCATGATCAAACTCTTGAATCCTTCCCTGGAGAGTGAAGTCCGGATCATAACTCCCTAGCAGTTTCTTGTGTGTTACCGTCCCTCGCCTCTAGCCCAGCCCCTTATTCTAAGCGAAGGGCAGCTGAGCAGACGGATTGCGTGTGCATATCTCGTATCCAGGCCTTTGAGGCGGTAGCACGGGCTCGATGAATCGGGTAATATTCTCGAAGGCAAGCTGATTGTCCCGAAGTCCTTCAATTGCTTGCTTTGATTCGACTTTTCGTCGATTTTCAAGCAAGTGTAAGTAGAATCTGGTGCAGCCTTTCTGTCGCTAGGCTTTGGGGCGTATGTAATTCCAAAACAAGATTTGGGAAGGAATTCTTTCTTGATAGGCGGCAGGTGATTCTCGTTGAAGTTGCTTACCGTGCGCGTTCTCAGGCAAGGGGCTAGGTGTCGTTGGAGGCACGGTATTGGACTTCGACGCGGTAGAGAAATCAGCGGCCTGCGATGGAGTGGCTGGACCTCGGTCTCTTAATTGATTTTCAGTCAGCCAAGAGATTAAGGTTTGTCTCCAGAACTCTCCTACGCTGTCCTTCAGCGTCAATTGTGACATCAACGACATATGCCGGCTTGCCGCTATGTATCGAGTTTTTTAATGCAAAGCATAAACCCGTACCATCCTCTAGCGATAGTGAAACCCTATCTTTTCGGAGTATTGTAGCCTTGGCAGCTGTGATTGAAGCAGTGGCACTCGGCACCGATAGCTCATTCGTACCAACGCATGCATCAATCCACAACTGTCCCGTTTCCCCGGATCTTCCAACACGGAAGATTAGTTTCGACGAAATGTGAGAGAACCTCAAGGTAGCAATTTCAGAACCAAACGAGAGGTATCTCAAACACGGTTCGTCCTCTTTGTCGATGTCCCAGGATACCACTGAACCGCCCCCACCTTCCGGGCGAAATCCAAGCTCTAATAAAGTCTGAGCTCTCAATATTAAAAGATCCGGTCTCCTTCTTAAGACATTGAGATTGACTAGTTCAGGCTGCTTGAAGAAGAACGTTTCCCTTCTGAAGATATCTTGGTTGGCTGCATTTGCCACAGCAACATCGTACACCAGTCCTCTCCGACGAGTATAGAACCTCACTTGGCCATCATCCCAATTACCCAACAACGACAAGCAAACCGTCTTCCAAACCGTTATCTCGGACCCATGTTTTGCACGCAGCATCTTCTTGCAGTTCAACGGCGCAATGACCAGCCTCTCCCCATTACGTTCAGCGCCCTTTGTCGCGATCAGTAACTCCATCCTCAGACCTCTGTTCGTCATCGTATGCGGCAATCGTCGCAAATCGAAACGCGACTTTTGCACATGTGCACAGTCTCCAAACCATTTCGGCGAGTGAGCCAAGAGCCCGCTTTCGTGGAACTCGCCCAGCGGTCCTTCCCACGCAAATATCGATTCGTCTTCGGACTTGCTCAGAATCTCTTGTTGGAGCCGAAGAAAGGCTTTGCTTCCCTCACCGTATAGTGTCGGCATGTTGACGCCGAAGAGCCCCATGAGACAGTACGCGATGTCTTCTTCCCGCGTGGTTTCTCTCCGCGCCATCCAGGACATCTTCTGCGCCACGCAGGCGAGCTCGTAGTTGAATAGGCGGTTGATGCCCGTGATTTTCTTTATCATCTCGGCGAGACTGGATTTGGTACCAATCTCAACCCAGTCGCGGTTGTAGAATTCCACACATTGCGGCGCGAGCAATTCCTGCAGCGTCCAGCCTCTCGTGAACCATTCACTGCGTCGGAATTCAGCATACACATTGGAGAGGTTGTCAATGGACGAGGTGACGTCGTAGAGATATGCGTAGCATACTTGGGCGCCCTCATACCACTTGAACATGGAATTGATGGCTTCGGAGAGCTCGGCACTGCTGCTTTTGTCTATACAGCAGGAGTCAATCCACTTCGTGATCATTAGCCACGTTGTACATACGTAGGGGATTTATTTCAATACTAACAACCCATTGAAAGCCATCTTTCGCAGCTTGAGCGCAACATCCGCGAAGCTTGCTCGCGCCGGATACTTCGTGCCAGGTGCCATTGCGCAGTTCTTGATATGTGACTTCGGAGTCTATCCACTACGTAGGTGAATAGTAAGTATTGCTTCAAGAGATGATTCGCTTGCAAGACTTTAAATGATGCAGATATGTTGCCGAAAAGTGGTGGATGTGAAAACGCGAGAGGATTTGAGACGGGGAGGGCTTATAAGGCAATGTATGCTTACTCGATGAGATAAAATAGCATAGAAAGGGATATGGCTTCCAATAAACTCCGAGAGCTCGAACGTCGAGGTTTCAATCAATCTCATGTTCACCTATCTCGATCACGTGGCTAGCCTTGTAGTTGGGTAGGTTCATCTGCTCCACTATGGTTCCTTTTTCTACTTGACCGTAATTAATCTGCAAAGGATGAGTCTGAGGAAGTGGAATTGACGAGAGAGTGAAGAGGTTGAGGATAATTAAGGTTTAGGAGCTGAAGAGGCACGGGATGTGGCTGAGGTGCAAGAGCGGGAGTACCTTGCAAAAGACAAGGGGCATCTCGCTGCCTAAAACAAGACCTACTCATCAAATAACAGACAGGAACTTGGAAATAAATGTTCTAAGAAGATTGAAAGACCGTTTGTCTCTCGAGACATACTGACTATATTGGAGCAGTACCGTAATCTTTTGAATGTTATATAATGTTGTTCCGGATCTAGAGCCTGTAGGATAACTAGTATAGTTCGGAAATGTACGTTTGACGAAGCTCGAGATAGAAGAGAGCTCACATCAATCCTATACCACTTTATGGTCATCTAATCCGTCTACTTTTGGGACTGAGCCCACACATATTGTCCAATAAACTCTAGAACAATCGTATCCTATATCCCAACGTTATCCTCTGAGACAGTATCTCAGCAATCTATACCCGATGTTTGGGCATGAGAACGTGGCATAAAGAAAATACTCGCTCAAAGCTCCCACGTATCGAATCTTCAGCCTCGTCCTCTACGAACCGAGTCCTGTTTGCCTCCCCCTGATGTCTGAATCGTCTTGATGCAGTAGTATTTCGATCCAAATTAGTCCAGCCTTTCCTTTCCTCTAGCCCTCACATAATCTCTCCCGCAAACTTACTTCTCGCCCGAATCCTCGGTCCATAAAACACCAACACCCACGGAACAGCCGTTAACAGCGCCGCCAACCCACCCAGCAAGCTCGCCGCGCCTTGAAACGTCAGTCCCTTAAACATCTGCACTGTGACCAGCGGGAACACTCCGCCCAGCATATTCCGACAGAAGCTCTGCGCCGCAAGAGCCGAGCTCGCGTAGCGATGATAGGTGTCGGCGAGGTAGTTAAAGGTCGCCAGGTAGATGGAATAGATGCCCATTGTCGCGCAGCCGACTGCTAACGCGGGCACGATCCAGGGGATGGAGGAGAATTGCGTCCAGCCGAACCAGAAGAGGCCGATGGGGAGGGCGGCGGATTCGATGCAGGCGAAGTAGAGACGGCCTTCGGGGGAAGTGAGGTGGAGGGCTCGGTGGAGACGGTTGGGGGCGTCTGGGTTCTTGGCTGCGGAGGTGGAGAGGTAGTGGGCTAGGATGCGGTCTTGGTAGATGGATATGATAGTCGAGAGCGTGGCGCCGACGATCATGGCTGCGAAGACGGCGTTGGCTTGTTCGAGGGTGAAGTGGTGGGATGTGGTGAAGACGAGTTCGACGGAGCCAAAGGTCAAGTAGAGGACTGCCCAGGCGAAAGCTACCCAGAGACTGAAGAAGAATACAACGGGTTCTGTGACGAGGAGATGAAAAGGTCTATAGACGGAGATCCCGATCATTTTCGTGATGCTTTCTCGTTCCTCATCGGACTTGACTTTCCATCTGATACGTTGGCTTTCAGTCCTTGTCTTCCCGTCTGAGGAAATAGACATGTCGAAACCAAGATATGCTGCTGCTTCCCGCTCTTCCATCCATTGATTTAGAGTCTGAGCCTTTCTGCTCAAGAGGATACTGCCTCGAGTCTCATGGAAAAACGCAGTGACCGCTGCGATCAAGATCCCAACCGTGATGACCTGAACCCAAAATACCCATCTCCAATTCGTATGCTGAGCAATGAACCCCGAAACCAGCGGCCCGAGCCCCGTCCCGACCAGTGCCGAACCAGAGAACAACGCCATGGGCGTATTCCTTCCTTCGGCATGGTACAGATCGCTCACCACCCCTCCAACCATAGTCGAGAAAACCGAACTTCCACAACCGACAAAGAACCTAGCAACCAACATGCCGGGATACGAGTGCGTGACCGCACAGCAGATCTGGCAAATGAGGTACAGGATACCGGCCCCGACGAAAACTGGATAGCGACCATTGATTTCGGAGAACGGGGCTAGGACCATTGGGGCAATTGCGAAGCCTGAACAGAATGTTGTGATACCTACCACAATTGCTGTCTCGCTAACGTGCCACTCTGCGGACATCTGTGCCGCTGCCGGGCTGTAAGATCCAGCTGTGTAAGCTGTTATACATGTTGCAATGCAGGAGAGCCAGATCATGAAACGCTTCCTTGACTCGGGCCATTGGAATGGCGATATGAACTTGTGAAGGTCTGGTTGCGGAGGTGGAGGTTCAGAAGTAGACTTGGTTGATATACTAGTCGAAGGAAATGGAAGAGGAGTTTCGAATGTCAAGTAGTGATAGATAATAGGTGACGAGTCGTCCAGAATATTTTCTTCTGGGTTCTGGATATATGAACCTGAGGTTGATGAGTCATTGTACTGTTTCTTATCTTCACCGCTGAACTGGATGTCGTTCTCGGAGAAACGGCCAAGATCGTCATCAGAAGGGAGGTCTATCTCGGGAGCTGCCATGACGGTAAATTCGACATATATACAACAGAACAAACAAGACAAAAGTTTGAACAGGCTTCAGAACATGAAGACAGAAGAGCTATGGCTCAAGACAGACAAGAGAAAGACAAGAACAATTTCGCACTTGCGAGCCGGAAATATCAGAGATGGGGAAGCACTAACACGGCACGTAGGGTAGGGATAAAACGAGTTACATTAGAGCTATCCACGGCTTTAATCATCGAGGGGCCATTCAATTTGTCACCGTAAACCTCGATGAGTATGGAGAGGCGATCCGTCCTTGGAGTCCCTGCGCCATTGGACTGCATGGTGCGGATTGGTACCGTTGTGGAAGAGATTTTATTCCCAAGTGGAGAAGCTTTATATCCGGACTATTATTCAGCTTCCCGAGATCTTCCCGACGCAAGGCGCTGGCCGAGATCGGGCAAGAAAAGATAGTTTCAGCCTTGTCTTGGCTATGTACTTTTCAAGCATCTGTTCTTGCAAGGAGCAGAGCTTCAGTGGAGCCGGGGCGGACATAACGCATTGACGGAAACATGATGTGAGTGCCAAATTTAAGACAATAACATCAAGTAAATGTCTGCCCAGGAAATATTCACCCGACCTGGAATAATGTTTTGTTGCCATGTCCAACATTCTCAAATACATCTCAAAATAAACCAGGAACAAGCATTATGAAGATGTGGGACATTCGCACAATCTTTGCTTCGATCTTTCACAACGAAGCCAACGCTGGGATCATCGCCTTGGTATCATAAACAACGCTGCATTCAACTCGTATCATCATCGACTGTCTTGTCGACCATTAATTCCGCCAAATTTGGACCGTCATCCTCGCCCTCTTCTCTCTCCAGACTCTCGATTCTCAGCGGCTGCGCTGCCATCTCGTCAAGGCCATTCGTCAGACTGCTACTAGGCCCGTCGTCTTGTTCATCATGACTATCTCCATTCTCAGCCCTCGAAGCTGCCAAGGCACCTTGAAGTATGGCCTCTCCTTGCTTGAAAGCTTCTAGCTCTGCTCCGATAGCACAAATCAGCAGATTCCATCCTCGACCTTCCGCTGTTTGTAATGTATCTGAAAGCCTCTGTATGACATTGCCCATCTTCTCGATTTGTGTTCGTAGCATATCAACATTGTTCGCATCATTTGACGACATTTGTGTTCGTAAATCGTCCTCGAACGCCATGACAACTTTAATACTTTCTTCCCATGTCTGCGCGCCTTCTTCGAGAGCGGATTTCTCCTTGTCGACCTCGTCTTCCCGGGCTGCCAGTAAGGTAATCTCTTTATTCCACCACTCCTTGGCCATGCCCAATGTTCTTCTATTGGCAGGTAATGCGTAAAATCCTTCTTCGTTGCCCATGACTATGGAGACACTAATCGGTGGTCTTTTGAGAAACTCCTTCGCTTCCGTTTCGACTTCTCGCAGAGCACCACGATAGCTACTCAGCCTTGCTTCTCTTCTATTGATACCTTCTCGTATCCTATCCCCGAGCCATCGATGCCTGGCCTTCATTTGTGCCAACCGATCTTCCATTTCTCTGATCTCGTTCTCAACTGCTCGCTCCTCTGTCCGCAGCTCAGCAATTTCCATCGCCTCTTCTCCACCACCTTCTCCTTCTCCTGAATCGTCTCCTCCTGCACCACTGTACCCGCTTAACTGATGTCTGTTCTCCTTGATCCTCTTCTCGTACCCGTCCGTTCTCGCAAGAACAACCTGTCTCTTCTCAATCTCTTCGGACAGTATCTCCATTTCCTCATTCTTGACTTGTACCAGGGCCCGCATATCCCTCAACAACGCTCTCCGCGCCCCTCTCAACCCCACAACCTTCCTCTTCGGTTGACGAACTGGCACAATTCCCCCTCCTTTCCCAGTATTACCGCTCCTAGCCAGACTTCTCGTCGTAGGCGTGCTTGAGCCAGCATCACTTCCACCCTCATGTGTCTCCCCACCTCCTCCACCAAAACCCATGATCAGGCCCGCGCTCTGTGCATCGAGTAACTCCTGAAGCTCATCCTGTATAGCTTTCTCCCTCCTCTCAAGCGCAAGCAAAGGATCAACCGGCGCACCTACCCTCGCCCTCCTCGAAGCCAGAATCCCCGATGTTGTGCCATGTACGCTCTCTCTTCCGTTCCCAGATTTCGTGCCCTGCGATGAGGAATTCGAAGGACTCCTCGGCGGAAGCAAGACCGTACTTGCAATCGGCGGAGGCGGCGCAGAGAATTGTATCCTCCTAGCCTTCGTCCTTGATGGTGAGGGACTTAGACTAGCGGTTGTACGCAGGTTCGCGCTGCTGTGTTCCGTGTCATCGTTCTGTGCGCGGTAGAAAGAGGGCGGTGGAGAGGGTGAGGCTGCTCGTTCGCTTTCGTCGTGGTAGGTGGATTGGAAGAGCGGTTCGGGGGAGACGGGAGAGAGGTCTCGCATCGATATCGATATCGCTTTGGGATCTGAGGACGAGGAGGCAGGTTCGCTGTCGAGGTATTGTGGTAGGAGGGGATTTTGGTCGTGTGAGGCAGGGCGGAAGAAGGATGAGCGGGACATGGTGTTACGAAGGCTTGGAGTAGTTTGTGGACCTTGCGTAACCTGCGAGTTGAAGACTGGTGTCCTATCTCATATACAGCATAATGTCAAGTTTCGTGAGTCAAAAGCTGAGGAATGCGAACTGTGAATGTTTTGAAAGTCGGTGGTTGCCGGATTAGGTAGCTCTGTTCACATGCTTATGAAGGGATGGTCATTTGGCAACGAAGCTCTTGTGACAAGACATTTGCATCAGGCGCCCAGTGTTAGACCCTGTATAGAGTTCGAAATGGGTGTAGTAGTCCCAGTAAAAGACTTTCAGGTGGTGTGGTGAGGCACAGCATGAAGCTTTCAAATTGTTTGAAGCTGAAGCTTGAGCATGGACGTTATTCACAAGCGTGGCACTGGCCAGGACATCGAAAAACAAATCTCAGTTTCTTCTTTTCTCACTGTCTTCGAAGTATCAAGACATTTATAAATGTGGTAGGTATTCCACATTTCTCGGCTTACCTACTTGACTACAGCTCCTTTCTAAGCTTTAAGTAAGTGTGCCGGAGTTCTTTGGTCCAAAAGTTGCGGGTCATGGTTCGGGCGACCGTCCTCCGTGTGAGAACAAGCGTTCTGATCATCTGAGAAGTATATAAAGTCTTCCAGCTTGAGTACATAACAAGTACCTTGTATGTCTTCTTGAAATCTCATTTCTGCTGCACATTTACACAGTAGCTCTAAGCCGTCTCTGTTAGCAACATCTGAATAGAAGACCAAGTATTCTCTGTGTTCATATTATATACAGAATCGACCTCACTTTGTCTGAAATTTCCCGCTCCGAGAAATTCTGTCCACTCTGAAATTAGACCAAACTCCATCGTCTTCCTCTATCGTTTCTCTAAGAACCATGGCTCCGTCAGCGACCTCCACGGGAAAGACAGACCGAGATGACCTAACATCTCGAGTCCTCCCAGAAATGGTCTTCAGCACCGGGGATTCTTCCTCCATGACCGCACCTCCAGAACCAGCACCCTCCCACCTCACACCCGCTCAGCGAGCCCAACTCAGATTCAGCGTCACAGGAAACGCCATGTACCTCCTCCCCCTTCCCCCACAAGCCCAACCAACTAACAATCCCCACAGCGTAACAGGAGGAGCCGGAACCCTCGGTTTCGAAGCCGCCAAAGCACTCTTGGAACACGGCCTCCAAAACCTCATGATCTTCGACGTCAACCCCACTCAAGCACAGCCCAAACTCGACGCTCTCAGCGCCGAGTTTCCGTCCTCCAAGATCCACGCCATGAAAGTAGACATCACTGACGACGTGGCCGTTTCCCACGCCGTGGAAAGTACTGCTGAGATACTCGGCTCGGTCGATATCCTGCTGTGTTTTGCGGGTGTGGTGGGTTGCTACCATGCGTTGGAGATGACGAGTCAGCAGTTTAGGAAGACGATTGATGTTAATACCACGGGGAACTTTTTGGTGGCTCAGGCCGCGGCAAAGCAGATGGTTAAGCAGGGGACTAGGGGAAGTATTACGTTTGTAGCGTCGATTTCGGGGCATATGGTTAATTATCCTCAACCGCAGGCAGCTTATAATGTGAGTAAAGCGGCCGTGTTGACGTTGAAGAATTGTTTGGCGACGGAGTGGGCTAGGTATGGAATTAGAGTTAACTCGATCTCTCCTGGGTATATGGATACGATTTTGAATGAAGGAGACGGGATTGAGAAGTCTAAGCAAATGTGGAAAGAGAGAAATCCGAGTGGGAGGTTGGGAGTACCCAGTGAGTTGACTGGAGCGGTAATTTTATTGTCTAGCAATGCGGGAACGTATATCAATGGTGTGTGCTTCTCCTTTCGATTCGTGTAGTCCTTCATTCAATAACACTGACTCTCGTTTTTTAGGTACCGATATTGTAAGACCTCCAAGTCCCTTCCTGTCTAAGACCTGATATATGAGGTCGTTCTGCTAACCTTTCACAGATTGTCGACGGAGGGCAAATAATCCATAGCTAAGAGTTATTTTGAAGGCAAAAGGTCTCGAGCCGCCACTCATCAGCGCGGATGATCCTTTAGCCATAGCTAATAGAGATACAATCTGATGAGAGAAGATCGTCTACGTGTGCGGCCGGGTATCATGTATGGCACAAGACTTCTCCACCTATCGAGAAATCAGTATGGATTACGCTAGGATATCAGAGATCGTTGGAGTCAAGCTTCCTCCAAAAAGTAGCGCGAGCTCAGATCCCTGAATATCTTCAACCAAAAAGGGAACTTTGAATTACCCATTTCTGCCATTTTCTCCACTGGTCTTCAGTCACAGAGACACCATCGTCATCCAGAAGGTCCCAGCCGTATTCCCAACATTCGCATTGTAGACTCGTCTCTGATTCCGTGCGTGGAGGATAATTTGCGAGAAGTGACTCTTCGGCAGTGAAGCCATGCTCGAAAGACAAGTCGTGATGCTCCTCCTCAAGGTCGCTATCATTGTCGTCATGGTTATCGTCAGCCTCTGTTTCTCCCGGCCCATCCGTATCGTGCTGATCGCTGGCAGATTCATGATCGCTGTCTTCGTGTTGCTGTGATGTAGTCTCATCTTCATCACTCTCTCCTATCTCGTTGGTAGCAAAATTACTAAGAACACTATCGTTATCGCTATCATTGTTCCCAGTCAGAGGATGTGGTTGGAATGCAGGGGCAAAATTCAACCCTCCCATAGGATGCGTTGTAGCACTAGTATTCAGATTATATCCGATACCTCTTATGTTTCAACGAATTAGCAAGTATTTCTAATCACACAGATATTCTCCCAGAGCTATTGTGTGAAACTTTGTCCGCCTTCATGCTCTAGCTTCTGCGATCGCACAGCATGAAGCTGTAGGAAGGGTCATTTAAAGACAAGTAAGGGACAGACGAACCGGAGACTAATCCATTTTAGATTGGGAAATGTGGATCGAATGAACTGAAGTACTTTTGTCCAATTCTTTTCATCTAGAGATTGCTTTAACGAGATGTGTCTTAGCCGAATCGATCGAAGGCCTTGGTGTCTTCGAAGCAACTCGATCAGTTCATCGCTGTCTAAAGTCCACATATGCAGTCCAATATGTTTGAGCTCACGGAAACGTACTTCGTGGAGCAGTAAGCGAAGGGGTGCTGAAGTACGATACCGAAATCCGATGTGCAGACATTGCAGGTTTATTGCTGCATTGAAGACAGTCTCAAATAGCTCGGACAATTCCGACATCCTCTCTTGCCGGTGGCTCCGTTCATCGACAAATTCCAACTCTAAGTATCTTAATCGTTTGGCGAAAGCGGTGATTGTCAACCGCAGAGGTTCTGTAATTACCAAAGGAAATTGAGGTTCCATGAATCGACTCGAAAACCGCGCCAGCTGCCGATTGTTGGTTTTCATTAACACAGAGCTAAGGGTTTTCGCCGCATGTTCGCAGGATACCGCCCAATCTTCAGCTCCGAATTCGTCGCTATACCTTGGATGTCTGTTCAGGAACCGCGCCCATCCAGTGTCAACCTTGTCTTGAACCCTCATCAATCTCACTTGCTGGAGATTTCTAAATTTCGCCAGTGCGGACTCAAGATAGGTTTCGTCCATGGAAGACTCGATAACTTCTCTCTGATCCACTGCTCTCAACATCGTCTCGATGATTGTATTGTGGTCTTCTGAAGTAAGTCGCGATTCTTGGCGCTGTTGATTTCTTCCTCTCTCAAGATTCTGGATTGATGCCGTTTGAACGGGCTCGCGGAACTCTCGTAGAAGCCTTTCAAATTGGACTCGGTCTAGCTTACATGTTACTGATGTCAGATAAAAAGTTATGCAGATATTTTACCCTGGCTATAAAAGCGTGGAATCTTGTAACTGAATTTCTTCACATTCAAGGCAAACAGGGGTCGTATTGCAATATTACGGAGTTTCTCAAAACCTTCCGAGGAGAAACGAATAGATATACGCACGAACAAGTGCTGTCGTCCAAGATCCAGAAACTTCCAGCATGTTCGACTCTGTGATTGTGTTAGAGCCTTGGAGTCAACATGTTGATATGGGATATCCATACAAAGTGATCAATCGAGGGTGCGTCATAGACAATCTGTGGTGGTATTGGAGCAAAACTCTCGACAGACAGACTGGCCCTGTGGTCTGGTTTCACCAACTCTCTGGAATGGGAACTCAAGCGATCCAGAATCATCATCAGAAATTCGTTACTGAGTTTGGTAATCGGAGAGAACTTCTTTTCGTATTTAAGTTTAATGCCACGGTTCAAAATGCTGAACTCAGCAAGAGTCTTTCGAGGTATTGAAGGGCAGGCACGGAGAAGGTGTTCTGGAATCGATGGTCGTGTTCTCGGATCTAGAGAGCAGATGAGAAAATTGGTACGTGGAGGAGTATGAGGTGGAAGGTTAGCTTCAGATAGATGCATAAGGATCCTGTAGAAGATATCATCTAATAGCTTCCTCCAATCGTACGGTACAAGATGCTTGAGCATTTTGCGCAAGACTTCTTTTGTGATTCCGTCATGATTGAATGTTGGTAGATCTTTAAGAAGTTCATGTTGGTTTTCATCCCCTATGTCTGGGTTGTCTGAATGTAAGTCCATGCCGGAAGTACTTTCACCTCGTTGGATGGCTCAGCTAGATCGACTCTTATGAAGCTTGAACAGTGGCCAGACCACAAGTATTCAGAAGAGAGTGAGATACAAGTCTCGGTTCCGGTGGAGCCAAGAACAAGTTAAGTGCCCCACGTTTGAGAGCCAGCCAGAGGTCCGAGATTCAAAGAGAGCGACGCACCAGAGCAGTGAGAACTGAGTACATCGAGCGGCACTGTATCGTATTGTGTCGATTCGGAGCAAACGAGGAAGTAGATCTGGTTTCCTCTACAGCCGGCCCTCTTCTCCGAGGTCCTGTTGACTGTTGGTCAAGGTAATCGATGCTCGGGCGTCAGGTTGCCGTTTGTCGAGGTTTTACCCGCATCCCAGCTAGGTGAGGAAAATTCTAAGAGATGCCAGCACACATCACTGCATCCTGGTCGACCGGAATCGATAGGACTGACGTGTTAATGCGTCCGGTAAGGAGGGTTGGTGCTACAGGAATGGAGAAGATCACTGAGGTGCCGTGGTCATTCGCTGGTTTCCATCTCTGGTGCAGGCCAGGTGTGTGTGATTGGGCATCTCGAGAATTTGGCGTAGAACAGGGGGCAAGTTTTGGGGACCGGGTACGGTCACGGGACCTGTTCAATCTGTGAATGGCTACATCAAGGTCTTCAAGGCGATGGCTGCACAGGGGGCCGCATGCGCGGGATGTCTTCCGTCTCGACCGTCTTCACCAAGGTTTAGCGAATCACGGCAATCTGTTGGCTACTTAGCCGCCGTGTGATATGCATCGAGGAAGATGGGGAGCAGAATGGTTATGTGCGTTATCGTGGCTAGACGGGAGAAGAACGCTTCATGCTGTTAGACGCACAAAATGGCGAAAGGTGATCGCATGCCGCTGCGCATGCTCGCCCATGATTGGTCGACGACGCGCCTGAAAATCCTCACCCCGATTAAATAGGGCTCCGGGAACGGGCCGCCGCTAACGTGCATTTGCCCAGAAGCCGTCTTACTGTGATCCTTCGCTCTTCAACCCGTCTGCTGCAGAGTCCGAGTGTTCTGTGCCGTAATTCTGCAACGGAACCCCCATGGATGTTATGCATAGTGCTGTTGCCGAATTGACGCAACTCTTCCCTTTAGTGATTATGCTGTGCTCGTCACATCTAGCTGGAAAGGTGGGGGTGATAATAGGATAGATATCAGCAAGAAATGCGGCATTTTGCTGAATGCTGCAGCGCCGGAAGCCTTTGCATAGAGAAAGACGTTGGGGAAGAAGGTGGCCGTGGTGCGACAGCATAACTTCCCCAGAATGCAAGAGAGTACCTGCAGTTCAACAGACCCAGCTTTTGTCACCCTTGTGAGCAAAATGCATGTCTAGACACTACGTCAGCATATTCGTCATGACCTTCAACCAGAACTTTGATACGCACTCTACTCTCAAGGAATTCGTACAATCCTGGGGCATCCCTAAAGCTAGACAAACCGTCCTCGGGGAGTGTTGTGCGGGAAGAGTAAAACCTGCCCAAACGCAGATATGGTTGGTCAGGTATAGACGGTACGATGCAGTGGGGAGGCAATGGTATTGCGCCACCAACAAATGCCTACAGTGACGATAAGCGGGCTGCCTCTGCCAGTCGCCGACGTATTTCTGTGCTGCTGATTTTGGAAGAAAAGTCGTCCACATTACTTCCGCTATTCTCGACATCCTCCGCGTCCAATACGTCAACCTCGAAGACTTCGAGAGCTTTCCAGCCTTTCTCGAGCCTCTTGTCATTGACAGCTTGGCCACCAGACCTAGTCTCACCAGACACTACAAGCGCAGTGATACTTTCATCCGTGATCGTAGGTCCGAATGGGTCCTGGATCTCCACACACTCAATGGTAATTGACGATGCCACTAGCTTCGTGTGAATTGCTCGACCATTGACAACAGGTTTATCAAACGACTGCGTAGACATTCCATCTTTGAGGTTTGAACGAGTGAAGAAAAGTACTGAGAGAAGGAAGTCGACTACATCTTCTTGGCGCTGTTTCCAGCTGTTCAAATACTCAGCATGTTTTTTGTTCTTCAGCAGTTCGTCGCCCGTGATACCAACGATTATTCTTCCCTCTGGTTGCGAAGAAGAGCCTCGTGGCTGAAGAAGTAAGGCGGTAGCCGTGAGTAACAGTTTATGTCCAGCATGAAGATGATCGAACGTACCACCAACGGCAATAACATGATGAGGAATTGATGTAACGAGACGATCTGGTGTGTCGAGTACAGGCTGTTTTTGCACTAGACTAACACCTCCACCAACAATTTCCATGTGACCTGAAAGCGGGGGGCTGTTTCGATTCGCTAGGTTTGTGTACTGTGCGAGTAATGCCTGCCCTTCTTCTCCGTCCACAGAATAAATAATATTCCAGTGTCGACGCGTATAAGCAAAGGTAGGAAGATCAATGATGGGCCCCGAGATGGATGGGTTGAAAGCAGTCTCAGAATTGTTCGCATATGTTTGCGAAAGATCATGGTCCAGCAGTAGAAGACGTACATCCACGGATCCAGGCGTGCTGGTCTCGACGTCGACACCCAGCTTTGCACACACAATACAAATGAGACTATACACTCCACCAAGTAGCTTCTGCGCCTCGACATAGATCTCAGAACGAGGAGTTTGGCCAGGTCGATGTAAAGCTGGACATGGTAGTACAACAAGCAATTCCGTAGCTGTCGAAATACTCTTGAGACTTGTGAGAGTAGCAGTGATTGCCGGTCGGTATGCCGCCGACAGGGATGCCGAGCTGACCGGTGACGGTGGAGGAGGCAGAAGAAGAAGAGAATGAGATCGATGAGACATATTTGATCAGAATGCAGTTGCAATGAAGTGGCTCGTTTTGGGTACCACGATCGTCAAGAGGGTATTGTTCTTAGGCAAGCAATTGAGATGTTGGACGCGTTGTATGGATGTTCACTTGCTCCCAAATACAGCGTCAGAAGAAGTCAATTTGTGCAGCAGATAGACTGATCAACACTGGAGTATAATCGAGTATCGAACTTGGAGTAGCAATAGTTTGTTGATAAGGAGTGAGAAAGGCAATGTGACGTGGGAGTAGAAAAGTATCCTAGCCGTAGCCGTAGCCTCGCGCTGGGAGTCTACGGTGACCGGGGGAAGTAGCGAGTGAAGTAACACCAACAAAGCAGCAATCCAAGCCATTTTGAGGTCAGCTCAATATCTCGTGCAATGCCGCCCTTCAACTTCCACCACCATTCGCACTCCCACACTGCTTCACAACCAGAAAATGCGCATCTCCCTCAGGGCACAGCTTCCGGTCTCCTGCAAGCTGCTCAGAACTTAGGCTCTTTTGGAGCCCCATCTGGGAACCTGAACGCGCTTTCCTCGCCCAACGCTGATCGAGTCACCACCGCGAGCACGTCGACCTCAAATACCAACGCTGGAGGCCACCTGGGAGCTCCATCTTCATTTCCTTTGCAACATTCCAATTCCACGGCGACTGCGCCATCTGCGGGCGGGCTCATGAATCAGTCACAGCTGTACGAGACGCCTAGACGTCGACATCCAGATGAACTTCATTTGACCTCAAATACAACGAATATGGCTTCTCAACGCGGCGCTTTGTCGCCCAGAGACTACACACCCGCCGGGCCCCGAATCAGCCTCGAGCAATCTACTCCTGAAACCTCACAATACCAGAATGCGGGGCAGCTCCCAGGCTCACTGCAACCTGGGCGACCAGGTCCTTTATCTGCCAATACCGCGCCAGTAGTACCGACAGTTCCTCTAGCTATGGCCCAAGAACAATATTCTAGTCCATCAAGATCTTCGGCTCTGGGACTTAGTCACAATTACACGCGATCAAGCCCAGCTGCTGGCTTTGACTCTCAGGGCTATGCTCCCTTCACTCCCACGACTCCCAGCGGCGATCAAGGCCATTTTGCTTCGCCAACAAACCAGAAGTATACCCCCCAAAATTCGCAGAGAACGGTTTCCAATACCCCACTTGGTCTTGCAGATATACGACCCCGTGCAGATTCTGGCTTATCTGACGGTTTGCCTGGTGCCAACCCCTATTCATACGATGGTGCGAATGCGGTTCCCACTAATAGTAACTACCTTGCGCCGTGGGCCATATACGCATTTGACTGGTGTAAATGGCCAGCTCAGAATCATGACGCAGGGAAAGTAGCAGTCGGAAGCTATCTTGAAGATGGGCATAATTTTGTGAGTGCCCCTCTCTTACCCCTCCATGTACTAGTACCTTTTGTGATTGCCACAGTCTCAGAATAAAAGCTCACTACTTCCAAGATCCAAATTCTAGATTCACATATCACTCCTACCCCACCCGAGTCCTATGTCCCAGGAGCGCCGAAATACGGACTTGAATTTGTAAAGATTGCCGAAGCTACACATTCGTATCCAGTAACGCGACTGTTATGGGAGCCGCCGTCCTCTCAGAAGCAGTCTACCGATCTGCTTGCTACATCTGGGGACCATCTCAGGCTATGGTCTTTGCCATCAGAAACACCAGTTGCATCACCTGGCAACTCAATAACACGATCTGCAAACCATGGGCGAGATGCGCCTGCAAGTAAGCTTACGCCATTGGCTTTACTGTCGAACTCAAAGACACCAGAGCATACCGCCCCTCTCACCTCTCTCGACTGGAACACTGTCTCCCCTAGTCTGATCATAACTTCGAGTATCGACACAACTTGTACCATCTGGGACATCCCAACATTGACTGCCAAGACCCAGCTAATTGCACATGACAAGGAGGTGTTCGATGTGCGATTCTGTGCTAACAGCGTTGATGTATTCGTCAGTTGCGGTGCAGATGGTAGTGTACGGATGTTTGATCTACGAAGCTTAGAACACAGCACTATCATCTATGAGCCTACAGCCAAGGATGATAAAGGTATGCTTACCACATGATTGATATTTCACCGCTAATACGTTCCAGATGGCAGTCCGGGAGGCAGAATAAGTCCTACACTGGCTCAACAGACTATGTCATATGCGCCCCCGCTATTACGATTGGCTGCATCGCCTCATGATACTCATCTGTTGGCAACATTCTCCCAAGACTCGAACGTAATACGCATACTTGATGTGAGACAACCTGGTCAGGCACTCCTTGAGCTTCGAGGCCATGCTGCAAATGTCAATTGCATAGAGTGGTCGCCATCACGAAGAGGGACGTTGGCATCTGGTGCAGATGACTCGCTGGTGCTTGTTTGGGATCTGCTCAACCAAAACAGTGCATTAAATACCGGGCAATCCATGAACGGAGCACCAGTACCAGACAACACTCGTGGACCAACTGCTAGCTGGCAATGTGACTACGAAGTAGGCAACCTGAGCTGGGCACCGCATTCAGCGCTGAATAATGATGGAGGAGAATGGTTGGGAGTCAGTGGCGGCCGTGGGGTATGTATAATTTCTCAAATTACATGACCTTGGCAGTCTGTATAGGAAGCCTTACTGACATTATAAATAGGTGTGGGCAGTCAAGCTTTGATGATAGTTCTTGAAGCGACAATAGATCGTGCTGAGCGATTAGCATTATGAAGCCAGGCGTTCGGGTAAATTGAGGATGCATCAATATTCGAGCAACTTGGGGGCAATATTCCCATCAGCTCGATGTAACATAGGGCAAAAGCATAGTCGAGGAAGGTTAATGAGACATTTGTCCAAGACGACTCTATCTGCATCAGCATCGTGGATTGGGAATAGATCAGGGTCTCGAATTGAATTCAAAATGAAATTCGCATATGTTCAATTATTTTTTTCATAATTTCGGTCGTTCTCCACCATCCAGTCTTATCACAGCCTTTCCCCATACTTTCCTCGAAGCAAGGTCTTTCATCGCTGGTACAACGCTCTCAAGTCCCACGTATTCCTCTTTTTCGTACACTGTTGGTCTAAGTAGACCTTGTTCACACATCTCATTTAAACCATCCCAGATCTTGGCTGTTTCTGCTGGATCTATTCTATCGGTCATGCCGAACCGCTGCCAAGGTCAGCAAGATTAAAAAAAAGAGTAGATATGGGCAACTCACATAGCCTATTACCTGGGCCTGCCGTAGTAAAACTCTGTTCATGGCTATCTTTTCAATATTCCCTTCTGTGCCTGCGAATCCTATGATTAGTATGCGGCCCCTTTGCTTGAGGCATTTCAAGCTTTTGTCCTGGAACAGTTAGTTTCAATTTCCCTACTCAAACCTGAAATTTTCAATCGCTCAATATCTCAGATCGATGTCACAGACTCGAAACTTCAAAAATACTCACAACAAGTCCCACAGGATCATAAACAACATCCACTCCTTCTCTACCCGTCAACTCTAAAACCCTCTCCCACCACTCATCTCCATCCTCGACATAATCAAGCCCCTCATCAGCACCAAACCTCTTCGCAACATCCACCTTCTCCTTCGATCCCGCCGTAGCAATAACTCTACAACCAACCGCTGTCGCGATCTGAACAGCCATCAACCCTAGCGCTCCCGCTGCCGCATGAACGAGCACAGTTTCCCCCTTCTTCAATTTACCACGGAGGACTAGCGCTCGGTAGCTCACTGGGGCAGTGGCTGCGAGGCCAGCGGCGGAGAGGAGTGAGAAAGTGGGTGGGATGTGGTGCAGAGAGGAGGGAGGGACGGAGATGTGGGATGCAAAGGAACCTTGGGCGTTGCCGAGTACGAGGTCTCCAGGGCGGAAAGGGGAGGATGGGGGAGAGGAGAGAACGGTGCCGGAGAATTCGAGGCCGAGGATGAAGGGTGGTTTGGTGAGGGTAAGGTTGTTTTGGTGTTTACCTCGGGCCTGGTGGGTGGTGAGTTGTTGACTTCGAATGGGCAAGATGTTGAGGGTAAATAATGTTGGTTGAAGTAACGTTTTGTGGACGAACATTGGGGTTATATTCAGTATGAGGAGCAAGGTGCATTTGTGAAGCAGACAGACATTGAGCCGAAAATTGGGGTATTTTAAATGAATAGCTAGCAACGGAAAGATCGACAAATAGACTTCACTCACATATAAGAGATCAACAAAATTTACTCCCGCCGCTGCTATCTTGACAAGTACTTCTCCTTCTCGAGGACGAGGCTGAGGAACCTCGGATATCTTATTTCATCATAATTCTGGAGAATGATCAACATATGAAAGCCAACTAGTGAACAAGATATCAGAGCATACTTCAACAAATTTTTCTATTAGAATTGCTTTCATATTCCTGACTTTAAGGTTGAAACCCAAACAGATCCTGAACATCTACTGGTCGAAAAGAGGGGCCGGGGTGCGGAAGTGAGGCTGCGATCACGTGTCACGCTAGCTGCGCGCGATCCCTATTTTGAGCTCCTGGCAAAGAACAAGGGCTGCCCTTCAAAGCACCACAACTACGCTCTCGAATTGCTCCCCATTCAGACCCCTCCTCAAGGACCTTCCCAAAGCTCAGCAGTGGTTGCCTAAAGCTTTTTGCGCCTACAAATACTTCTCCACGCCCACAATCCTCTACATTCCACGTCTCATCAAAAGTCAACACCATGTCAACTTCGAATCTGGTGAACGCTCATTTCGATGACAGCGAGGATGAGGACGATAATTTCAATCCGGCGCCTGCTGATATCTCGGACAACGAAGATGCCGGCGGATCAGATCACGACGACGATGCTGGCGCGCAGATTCGAAATGAGGCAGCCAAGAGACGAGTAGATGATGAATCAGACGATGAGATGAGCAACTCTAAGAGTAGACTTGTGGAAGAAGATGGCGATGAAGATGATGAAGATGCGGAAGGAGAGGGAGAGGATACCGCGCCAGGCGCACATGACGATGATGACGAGGAGGATGAGGATGATGAGGAGGAAGAGATCACAGTGAGTACAATCTTGCTCTTTGTTCCAGGCGCCGGAAGTCGCCTCTGGTGCCTAGAAGGTGGCATTGAAGCTGACATGAATTAGGGTCATCGCAGAAAGCGGAGACGTGAACGCCGAAATCAGTTCCTCGATGTCGAAGCCGAAGTCGACGAGGACGAAGACGAGAATGACGATGATGAGGATGAGCTCAATGAGATCAAGGACAATTTCATTGCTGATACGCATCCCGATGATCTGGCAGATTTGCCAGAAGGTGGAGAGAGAGATGATAGGCGGCACAGAGAATTGGATAGGAGACGTGAGATGGAGGCAAGTTTGGATGCCGAGAAACAAGCAGAGATTCTGCGACAAAGATATGCTCCCAAGAGTCGGATGGGTAGAGCTATGGGAGACTCTGCGGTGGTCCCAAAGCGACTTCTCCTTCCCTCAGTCGATGATCCAAGTATTTGGGCTGTGAGGTGTAAGGAAGGAAAAGAGAGAGAGGTTGTTTTCTCGATCATGAAGCGAATTGAGGAGAGAATGGGCACTAAAGAAGAGGTTGCAATTACTTCTGCTTTTGAGCGAGGAGGCACGACATCTACCATGAAGGGATTCGTCTATGTGGAAGCACAACGACAAGCCGATGTTATGGCTGCTTTGGATGGCATGATGAATGTTTACCCACGAACCAAGTGCTTGTTAGTCGAGATCAAGGAGATGCCGGATCTTTTGAGAGTCACAAAGACACCGTCTCTGGAGCCTGGAGCCTATGTCCGACTGAAGCGACCACCGAAATATGCAGGCGATCTTGCACAGGTTATTGACGTTGCCGACAGTGGATTGGAAGTCAGAGTCAGATATGTGCCTCGGCTGGATTATGGTCTACACGACGATGCGAATGCTCCTCAAGATGCTTTTGGTGCAAAGAGAAAGCGAGCAACGGCCGGCCCGAGACCTCCTCAACGGCTCTTCAGCGAAGTGGAAGCAAAGAAGCGACACGCCAAATACCTACAGGGACGTTCAGATACGAAGGTATGGAATTACATGGGTGATGACTATGTGAATGGTTTCATGGAGAAGGAGGTCAAGATTCAACAGTTGGCCACAAAAGATGTCAATCCAACATTAGAAGAAGTGACTAGATTTGCTTCTGGTGCTGAAGATGGCACCGAGAATCTGGATCTTAACGCTCTCGCGGCTAGTCTCAAAGCCAGCACCGCAAATGCATCGTACCTCCCAGGAGACATCATTGAGGTCTACGAAGGCGAGCAAAAGGGTGTTATGGGTAAAGCTGTATCGGTCCAAGGCGACATTGTTACCATGGCCGTTTCTGAGGGTGACCTTCGCGGACAAACCATCGAAGTTCCTGTGAAGGGTCTTCGAAAGCGATTCAAGGAGGGTGACCACGTCAAAGTCATTGGTGGTAGCAGATTCCGAGACGAAGTGGGCATGGTTGTCAAGATTTCTGATGACCGAGTTACTCTCTTGACCGATCAAGGCAATACCGAAGTCACAGTATTCAGCAAAGATTTGCGAGAGGCCAGCGATTCAGGTGGCAGTGGATCTTTGGGACAATATGAGTTGTGGGACCTGGTTCAATTGGACCCTTCGACTGTTGCTTGCGTTGTGAAGGTTGATCGAGAATCACTGGTTGTGCTTGACCAGAACAGCCAAACTCGAACGGTCTTGCCATCGCAAATCTCAAACAAGCTGGAGAAGCGAAAACATGCCGTTGCAACTGACAAGAACGGATCCGAGATTAGACTCGACGATGTTGTCAAGGAGCAAGGGGGTGAGAGCAGATCTGGCAAGATCATTCACATTCACAGAGCATATCTATTCTTGCGAAATGCTGCTCAAAGCGAAAATGCTGGTGTTTTTGTTACCCGAACTACGACGGTAGCAACTGTATCTGCCAAAGGCGGTCGTTTGGTCACAGCTACAGGACCTGATCTCAACTCAATGAACCCGGCGATGAAGCGAAATACTGGAACAAATGGCGATATGGCCCCACCAAAAACTTTTGGTAGGGACCGCTCCATTGGTCAAACTGTCACTATCCGAAAGGGTCCTTACAAGGGCTTGCTCGGTATTGTCAAGGAGACTACAGATACAAATGCTCGTGTTGAATTACATACGAAGAGCAAGACCGTCAACGTGCCAAAGGATGCTCTAGGATTCAAGGATCGTCTTACTGGACAGAGTATTGACCCGCTATCGAGAGGTGGCCATGGTGGGTCCAGAGGTGGTTCATATACTCCTCGTGGTGGGCGTGGAGGTTTGGGAAGTGCTACTCCCGGTGGATGGGATGGAGGCCGTACTCCAATGCCAGCTAGTGGAACCGAGAGGACTCCGGCATGGGGTACTTCAAGAAGTGAGTTTATTTGCTTCTTTGTTTGGCTCTTACTAATTAGATACTAGCACCTGCTGCTGGAGCAAATGGTGGCCGTACACCTGCTTGGAAAGCATCTGGTGATGGTGGAAGAACCCCAGGATGGGCAGCAGATGGTTCACGCACTGTTAATCCTTACGATGGTAGCCGAACAGCCTACGGAGCCGGAAACCGAACACCTGCCTGGTCATCAGGAGCCAAGACTCCCGCTTATGGTCTTCAACAACAACAAGATGGTTTCAACGCAGGCTCAAAGACTCCTGGCTATACTGGCAGTGGAGATGCCTGGGGCTCTGGAGCAAAGACACCAGCCTACCAACCACAAGCCGCCTCTAACGACAACTGGAACGCTCCCCCACCAGCCAACAATTGGGGATCAAATGCATACGATGCACCAACCCCAGGCGCTCACATGTCTGCTCCCACACCGGCTGCAATGAACGCCCCAACCCCAGGAGCCTACTCTGCACCCACGCCAGCACCATACAACGCGCCTACCCCCGCCGCGGCCCCAACTCCAGCTCCAGGATGGGGAGGCGGATGGGGAGCCCCTACTCCGCAAGCAATGGATGCCCCGACACCTGGTGCGCAGCAATACTATGCAGCACCAACCCCTGGCGCATACGGTATGCCCGAAACTCCAGCTGCGAATTGGCAAGATGACGGACCGAGGTATGTGGACTGAAGAGGGATGGATATGGTTGGAGGTTTAATTTCTTTCTTTCTTTCTACTTTGTCTTAAAACGGAATCAAAGGAGAGAAAGAAAAAGTGGCTTGTAAGTAAGGTATTTAGATTTCGCATGGATGGCGTTTAGCAAGCAAGCAAGCAATTTCAATGAAGAAGCAATCAATGCCTTTCTTTACACGTTTCACATTCCCTTTCTTACATTCCATTCCAACCCTTTTCTCTACACTCTCTTACCTATTTATGACTTCATGATTTTCACACCCCCACCCCACCCCTCAAGATTAACAACCACGGGCTCGCCGCCGCTCCGGGTAATGATCCAGGTTACGTCCGAGTCGGAGTCGTTGATCTCTTGGTGCTCGGTCCAGGCGGGGATTAGGGCGAAGTCGCCGGGGGAGAGGGGTTGTCTTTTTTTCCCCTTTCTTTCAGCTTCTTCGTTTGTTTGAGGGTTGTGGGTAGGAAAGAAGGAGGAGGGGAGAAAGGGAAGAGAGGGGAAGGAAGGATAGGGAAAAGGGCATATGTATGTACCGTTTCTTCCCACCTTCCGAGACGATGGAGCCGTGGCCCGAGGCGGCGTAGACGATGGTGTCTTGTTCGCCGTGGTGGTCTGGTGTTCCAGGTGTTGTTAGATGATGAGAGATATATAGAGTAAGTAAGGTAAGAAAGGGGAATGGAGAAGGGGAAAGGGGAGGGGAGGGAAGGGAGACATACGGACGGCGGAGGAGGTGTGTGGTTTTGCTAGCATTACTGTTGGGTTGTTTGTTAGTGTTGTGTTTGAATGAACGTATTGGGGGAAAATGGTTGTGGTGAGAGGGGGTTAGGGGAGAAAAGGGAATAGGGAGTGAGTAGCCGAGGGAGGTGTAACTTTGTGCGGGAATGCAAAAAGGAGGTTGTCTCTCGCGAGTGCAGGATTAAGCGGTGGTGTTGTGAGACGAGATGTTTGTTTGCCGATGTGTAACTTTACTTTACTGTACTGGACTCGAACTCCGAGTGCACTGGGAGAAGAATGCTTGTTTGCACTCTCAAGTGTAACTTTACTTTACTTCGTACTGCTGTACTCGAACTCCGAGTGCAAACATTACACCCTCCCTCCTCTCGAAGTAAAACTGCATGCAGACGGAGTAATCTTACCAATACAACAGACAACAACAAACAAGCGCTCCCGCAGGATACAACAGACAACAACAAGCGCTCCCGCAGTAACACCAAAAACACAAGTACAACCAACCCACCCTTCCCTCCTTACACAAGAATGGGAACTAAAAATATAGAACCCAACATACCAGAAGCACAAATCTTGTCCGACCTCCCCACAATAGCACCCATCCTCAGCATGCCCTCGGTCTGGCCGCCCGTGCCGGCGTCCAGCTCGCTGCTCTTCGTTACGTGGACGGGCGGCTGCATTATCATGGGGACCAGGTCTTTGATTATGGGGAGGAGGGAGGACATTTGAATATTGCGTTGATTTGATTTGATTTGATTTACAGAACCGCTGTATTATTGATTTTGAGTTTCGAGGAAGTAAGTAAGTAGTATTTATGATGACGCTACGTCACCACTAACCAGCCTACGAGCCATCGAACCAAATAAGAGGCGTTCGGTCACACATTGATCCCCGAATCCCAGAACCGCAGCTTTGGGATGCGGGTATGTCTCACATCGCAACATCACATCTTAATCATATATGAGGGTCCAATCCACAAAACAAACCAAAAAAAATCAAAGGCGCAAACACCAAAAAAAAAAAAAAGAGGATGCGATTCCCTGCCCATGGCCACGAGGTCCCACTGACCGTCCAGCGTTCCGTGCTCACGCTCTTGCAGATGGAAAGGTGGAGGTTGGTGGGCAGCCCGACCCGAGTCCCGGGCAACAACGCTCGACGGTCGACGGCCAGAAGAGGAGAGGGCTGGGCTGGGGGGGGGGTAGCGATGTCGGACGGGGAGGATGTGTGTGATGTGATGTGATGTGTTATGCAGCATGAAAAGAGAAGAGATGAAAAGTTTTTTTTTTTTTGCTTTCGATAGTGGGGATATTGTACATCTGGATGTCGTGGGATGATGGAGATTTGCAGATCAGGTGGTTGCAAATTGTCCATCGTACCTAGGGTCAGTGTCCTAATATCCTTGTAAGTACTTACTGTATCTTCGTCCCACGTTGGGCGACGTGAACAATGCTTTTTCTTCTGCGGTCTGTGCTGAGATTGAGATTGATTGCGGGATTGATTAACTTTTCTTCCTATTCCCCGGTACAGCAGCAATCCGGTAAGTGTAGAGTACAGTACTGTAGTGAGTGAGAATCTGAATTTCAACCCACTCTTTCACCTGCCTATCACGACCGAATTATATTGTAAACAATTCGCATCTTGCATCTTGCAGGGCCGTGACTTCTTGCTAAATCAACCAATCTACGCATTGCGCGGGCCCATCCAATGAGCGCGGTTGAGAATGATTGTTGCATTGAGTGATCGGCCGAGGCATTGAATTGCATTGCATGCGTGAGGAGGAGAGGAGGGACAGGGACGGATCAGGATCCAGAATTGTGATATGGTATGGGCTGGGCTGGGGCTGGGCTGGGCTGCTTCCTTCTCAGTGGCGGTCCCAGAGTCCCAGAATCTCGAGTCAAGCCGCTAGATCAGTGCATTGCATCGCTGAGTAGCCGACCCGTAACTGCCGCACGAACAAACCACCACCACCACACAACCACCTGCACCGCAATAGGAAGCTCCACCACGCGGGAAGAGGCACAAAACATACACCAGTCGTCAGCGTGAGAGCGATGGTACAGTACCAGTATTGTGCGTGCGTGCGTTCCTTCGTTCCTTCGTTCGTTCGTTTGTTTGTTTGTTTGTTTGTTTGTTCGTTATAAGACAGCGAGCGGTTCTTCTTTGCATCGTCCAGGACTCCACATTTTGGGGATCTGGATAGTGGGGTGGCGTCGTTGTTGAGTCGAGTGAGGGGCGTGACGGAGACTCACCCACACTGTTCCTACTCGAGGACGAGTACCAGATACCGGGAAGATACCAGATACCAGATACCACCCCGACATCACACACGACACGACACGAAACGAAACGAAACGAAACGGGATTCGAGATTCGCGATTGTGAAAGGAAGCCGTGCGTGCATGCAGATTTTAGGAGACAGCTCGGGTGGGGAACAGACTCGACACTAGGGCATTTCGTCGCCTCAAGCTTAAAGCTTAGATCTGGACTGGATTCTAAAACCGCGAGCTATCTATCTACTATCGATTACATCTAGCCGTCCAATATCGACGGGGTGGCCACTCTGTCGAGTCTCCACGCTCACTCCAGGTTCCATCTTTGGCCACGGCTTGGGACGACACCATGGCTTCTGCTTCTTCTTCTTCCAGTGAGGATCCCTATCCGATGGATAATGATTACGAGTGGCTGCATGGAAGAGTGGATGCGGGGATCGAGGACAGTATCAATTTGGTCGAATCCGTTCCCGTACAGATGCCCGCAATCGAGGAATTGCAACAGAGGAATCTTATCAACGTATCGAGAGAAGGAACTCCACTGCCCAGCTCACCATCATGTCCTTTGCCAGGTATGTGAAGGTATTTACTTCGCCGTCGGTTCTCGGCTGTCAAATCGATGTGTACTTCACTTGGGTCTTCAATTGTCTGACTGACCATCTTCACCTCCAGGTTCGGTCAAACCAGAGTCAAATAGACCAAGCTATCTTCTGGCCTTACCACTCGAGTTGATTGATCACATTCTCTCGTTCCTAAGTCCTCTCGATGTTGTCGCCACCTCCGCAACCTGTCGTCGTCTGGCTTCGTCGTCCAAGTCAGACCTAGTATGGCAACGCCACGTCCAAGAGAACGTACCAGGGGTAAAGCTCACTTCGCCGTCCCCGTGCAGCACGTTTCGAGAGCTCTACATGTCGCATGATCCGCATTGGTTCTTGACCAAGTACAAGATCTGGTTCAGCGACTACTTCTTGACGGGGAAAATCATAATTACCCGTTTCAATCCGAATGGTCGATCGGGTAATCCTGATACTCGCGGCTGTATTGAAGGATATCAACTGATCGCCGAACGGGATCCGCCTTCATTCGTCCCGTGGGAAATTGACGACGAGGTTCTCATCCATTCTTTCACTCCGGAATGTCGACTGCATAAGGATGTTCCTGTATTACAGCTCAATGCTCGACGGCCTCTGCCAAAGACTTCAGAGAATAGGTTTAATAGGAAGATTCGCATGGGCCTCAACGAGGCGCCAGATATCTCTGGAGTATTCTCGGAATTCTCGCTCACGAGCCCAGTGGTTCCGACTTCGAACATGGTTCTATGGCCACCATCTACGATTCCAGCTCGTCACCGAGTTAGGAATGCCAACCAGGAAAGCGTTGCGGGTGTAGACAGCAGACCAACGACGCGCTCACAGGTCAGTAATCAAGCTTTCAGGATTAGGAAGTGGATGGAGATGGGACCACGTTCGAGAAATCCAGGCATGCATATCGGAGAGGAAGTCTACACCTACGCAACCCTGGATCCGAAGCTCTACACGCCTACAGAAGAGAAACCTTTCCGGGGCATCTGGGTCGGGGATTACAGTGGTCATGGCTGCGAATTCCTTCTTATGAATCAACCGGATAACGAGACGCCTTTCGATGAAAGTAGCGTGGTTCGAGGAGAAGACGAGACGGTTGAGGAATGGGAAAGTAGGAAGCGAGAAGAGAGGATTTATAGGGGAAGCCTGGAAGCTATCAAACTGACTGGAGATCCAAATGTACCGAGGGGAGAGTACACTTTCATCGCGGACGATATCTCGAAGAAGGGATTAGTGAGGAAAGCAAACGATGCCCGGTTCAAGGGCGCGAGAATCGTACAGAGTAGGGGTCATATTGCCGTGAGGATGTTTAGGAATGGTAAGTCTCCTCCGGTCTCAATAGTGGTGAATCAGGCTGACTTTTCAAACAGACAAATACATCGAGAGTCAACTGATCATGATCTCACATGATAGATTGGCTCAGTACTGGGTTGGGTTCGGTCATATTAGCTTCTACGAACGAGTTGATCTGGACAAATTCATCGATCCTGCGAATGATCCTCTGCCAACGCCGAAGCCTGTCAATAAGTAGGGGAACCGCTGTTTGATATTAGGAATGGGGATGAAGATTTTGCTTCACACAGATATTTGCATAGCGATGGAGCTGCGTACATACATACATAATTTGCTGTCATTAGCATAGGTAGAATTGATACTTAATACTATATGGCTCAGTCTCTTGCCAGCAGACCAGATAAATGCGTGGTCATCTTCCACTCGTCAACAGATGTGAATGTCACATGCAGGGGTCACTTCGGCTACGTCACCGCCTTCGACGATCCCCGTCTGTACGCGGCAAAATAAAAATTACCTGCGCTGCGTCCGGAGTGACGTCTCCGCTACTCTTCCTTTCCTTCTTCTGTTGTTCATTCTTTCGCTACTTTCCGTCTGAATTTCTCAAATCCCCATTCTCTACCCAGCAGAGAAATTCCGAAACTCTTCCTGAATTCGAGTCCCTCCTCATTACCAACAAGGAGAGCACGCGAGCAAACTCGAGTTCGAGTACGAAGCAGAAAAGATGGCACACAATTACATCCTCCAAGTAACAGCCGGTTCCTCCTACGATATAAAACACCACCAAATCGTCCCCGTCAACCAACCTACCCCAATCACCATAACCAGCCCCCACCTCATCGCATCCCTCAACGTGCGAATCGCCGTACGTCCCTCTTTTCCCCTCCCTCCTCCCCCCCCTCTCCCTCTTCTTCCCTTCTTTCACTAACACCACAAAAGCAATACCGCGGCCTCCCCCCCACCTCCCCCGCCACCTCGCCCTACTTCACCCAACACCCTAAAGACCAATACAGCATCTCCTTCGCCTTCACCCTGAACGAGGACGTCAACGGCGATGATTTAGTGTTTGGCAATGATTTCGACCATCCGATCCGCGATCGACTCCCACCCGGGTTTGGGACCGCGTTTAAGATCGTGAAGTGGGTTGTTGATCCGGGGCTGGATGGCGATGTGTATGCCGATAAGCCGTATCTTTATGGGGCCGCGGGGAGTTCGGTTAATGCTTTGTGGGTTGGGGGAAAATCTGATGAGAAAGGAGAGAAAGAGGGAGAGGATGGAGGGGAGGAGAAAGTGTGGGAGGAGGGCGGGAGTGAAGAGGGGATGGAGGTTAGACACGAGAAGGGCGTCCCTGATAGCGAAGCGGGCAGGAAGAAGTGGTTTTTGGGCGAGGAGAATAGGAAGTCGTGGACGTGGGAGCAGGGACGGTGTTATGGGGTTGATTTCTTTAATCCTTATTTGGATTTTAATGGTATTTCCCTTTCCCATTCTTTCCCTTGCCCCCTTCCTTCCCGAAATCCGGAAATTAAGAAAGGAAAAAACACAGATTTCGCACTCCGCCTCCCAGGCTTCACCCTCCCGATCATGAAATACTGGGACGGACAAGGCCTCCGGTACGTTTTGCATCCCCCCATCCCCCCATCCCGCTGTCCCCTTTTCTTCCCCTTGTTTTCTGAAAATGCGAGATATTAGAAAAGAGCAGAAACGCTCACACACCCTAAGATATGTGCTCAAGAACCGCAAGACGGACGAGGTGCTGCTGGTCGTGCTGTTCACGCTGTATCTGAAGGAGGATGTGGGGGAGGATGGGGTCGTGAAGGATGGTGTTGAGGGTGGGAAGCCGATTGCGTTGTTGGGGGAGGGGGAGAGGGAGAGGCATCGACGGGCCATTTTTGGGACGGATGGGGAGGGCGAGGAGAGTAGTGGGGAGGAAGAGGAGGAGGATGAGAGGAGTGATGGGGATGAGGGGAAGGAGAAGAAGGTGGAGGTAGGGGGAAATGGGGATGATGATGTTGATTAGAGGGGTGTTTTGGGAGTATGGCTGGGATGGGATGGATGGGATGGGATGGTACTCAATTCTTGATTCTCGAGATACACGGATGGGACTTTATAACTGGATGGACGGATGGAAGGGGCAACAAGGCGTCTTACTGGCAGGAGGATAGAAATATTGTATGATAACAGACGACGGCACATAAAGCACATAGAGATCTCCATAGATGAGACGAGTATAGATGCATTGCAGGAATAGCTCTTTCTGAACCCACTGGAAAGGATTGCTTGCTATATCTCCATGCATGTATTTCTTCCAACTCAACATTGCACCTCAACCGAGTCTTCTCACATTTCATCATTTGGAAGCGTATGAATATGCACCAGAAAAGCTAACCAACCAACCTCCCCACTACCTATCTAGTCTTGTACTGTTAATACTGCAATCGACAATAGAAAACCTTGTTCCGCTCGTACAAAACTCACTGATAGGTCACTCTCACGGGGAATACGCAGGGCATGAAAACGAAATGGATGATCTCTGTTTTATTGACCTGAAGCTCAGAGACCTTCCTAGGTGATCGAGACCGCTTGATATCACTACCTCCATGCACAGTATTGCTCTTCTGACGACTTGTTTGACATTGACTAATGCTATTGCAATCTATCTTTTTCTGGAAAAGTATTCTCATGCTAGGCACTCGAATGTAGCGTGCTGGTTGAGAAATTAGAAGAAAAGTTATCACACTTGTTTGACAAAGTGGATATATGTTTTTGGAGGTGCTATATGATGGAAGTTTGATGTACAGGGACTTTTTGGACAATGAATATCATAGACACTTGAATGAAGATAAGACTTCTTACATCCAACAAATGGATATAACAAGAAGGACGCCTGTAAAACACTTACCTCATCCTCACGTGCATACCGGGTATTCCCGGCTCCGCTCTCGCACCTCGGTCTGAAGGATAACGAACGAACGAACGAGACAAGGTGGAGAAAAAAAGTGACAGCATAGCACAAGTCCAAATTTTGCAAAGAAAGATTCTGTCTGAAATTCCGGTTGCATTCCGAAACCTCTTGCTTGTCTGTCTGTATGATAGAGAGAAGAATGGCCCCCGCCTTCCGTTTCACCCCAAACCCAATTCGCCTATAACCAGAAAACCAGCACAACAAGTACACCCAAGAAACCTGCCTGATGATGAACGCCAAATACTCCTGCTCTATGCCATTTCACATATCCGTTCGGTTGATGGTCGAGGACGAGGACGAGGAATCATCGCTTCCGCTCGAACCAGCTGCTCGATCCTGCCAGGGCGACTGATTGATCCATCACCCACTCGCCGACCCCGAGGTATTTATCGATCCAGACCTGCACGTCTTTGTTCTCGGAAACGGAGTCCTTCTTGAAACTGGGTCTATGATTCCCAAAAACGGGAGGTTGTTAGCCAGTCCATCCTATTGAATTCCTTGGAACGACGACAATAGCGATTCTCCTCTAAGAAAGCGGTAGCCGTTTAATATGGAAAGGCCCGAGAAGGTCGGGATGAGGAGATTCGACTCACGTTAAACCGGTTGATCGTTTCATGCCGGCGAGGATGGTAGAGACTGTTCGGATCCGAATCAGCAGTTGTTCACGGAGATGGAGAGAAGTGGTGCCACGTACTCAGGACCGCGTCAAAGGCATAGTGAGCTACTTTTCCGAGCTTTCCCCAGAGACCGAGTGTTAGCAGATTGAGCCCAGTGTTTATGAATAACTTCGTAAATCATCAGGTTCCAGTCGAGTTGAACTTGCAACTAGGGACGGAGAGACTCACAACCATGTTCGCGGATTTCTGTTTGTATAGAGGTATATCCGGTGAGTTTGGAGATGTGCTAATTTCCAGGGACGGCTGTTGGTTGCTTTCCTTGTTGTTCAGAAAGTTTGGAGTTGATAAGGCGAAGCTGTCGAGGTCGAGTGACACTACGGTAACCCGATCAGCCGCAACACCTGGGTGCAGTCATGGTCTTTATGTTCAACCAAACATCAGCCACATCTGGCAGCCTGAGGCCCGGGATCCCGTCTCCAATCACCTGGGCGAGCTAGCCACGGTCTCACTCAACTGTTTCGCTGGTGGGGGATCGTCTTTTTCTTTTGTCTGCTGAATCGAATCTGCATTTCTCTCCTCAACAGCAGACCGCCAGCAAATTCCCTCACCGGTGAGTTTTTTTTTCTCGGTCCTTCTTCTTCTGCCTATATATATCAAGTGGGTGCATCAGCATTACCGCGATTTTTTCAATTGGAAGTCCAAACTGCTGTCGAACTTTCAAAAAGGTTGAACATCTCGCTGTCCGAACACCCCACTAAGATAAGAAGTTTGAATAGCAACCGCTGACCACAATCAACTTCACAGGTTTTTTTTTCACCACCACCTACGTATCTCACAGCCTCGTCGATCAGCATCTTTATAAACGACCTTCGCTTTTGATCTCCATCCACTCTTCCTCAACATGGCTACCGCAATGGATCACCTTTCCTCAGGTTCCGAGAGAATAGCTTGGCTATCAAACCTCAAGTAAGCAAACGAGCTTCTATACTTCTCCGCAAGTGCAATCGCATGTTCACTGCATGCTTTATCCTCATGGAGTCTGCCGGCGCAGCTTCCCGTTCACATCTCCTTGTGCGACGACTCTAGAAGCGTTTGCTAACCCGCCGAATTGTGTAGCACTGAGTTCAAGCCCACCAAGAACTACCGCCGTACTTCCATCATCTGCACGATCGGTCCCAAGACAAACTCCGTCGAAGCTCTGAACAAGCTCCGTACAGCTGGTCTCAATGTCGTCCGCATGAACTTCTCCCATGGCTCGTACGAGTACCACCAGTCTGTCATTGACAACACCCGCGAGGCTGAGAAGGTCCAGAAGGGACGTCAAGTTGCTATTGCTTTGGATACCAAGGGCCCAGAAATCCGAACTGGTAACACTACCGGCGATGCGGATCTCCCGATCAGTGCTGGTGATGAGATGAACATTACCACCGACGAGAAATACATCACTTCGTGTGACACCAAGAACATGTGAGTTCACGAGATTTCGGTCTAAAGTCATTACTTATACATGATCTAGGTATGTCGACTACAAGAACATCACCAAGGTTATCGAGCCAGGACGTACCATCTATGTTGATGATGGTGTTCTTGCTTTCGATGTTCTTTCCATTGACGACGAGAAGACCATCCGTGTCCGTGCCCGAAACAACGGCAAGATCTCCTCCAGAAAGGGTGTCAACCTCCCCAACACCGATGTCGATCTCCCAGCCCTTTCCGAGAAAGACAAGAAGGATCTCCGATTTGGTGTCAAGAACAATGTTGATATGGTCTTTGCCTCATTCATCCGAACTGGTCAGGACATCAAGCACATCCGTGAGGTTCTTGGTGAGGACGGAAAGCATATCCAGATCATTGCCAAGATTGAGAACAGACAAGGTCTTAACAACTTTGCCGATATCCTCAAGGAGACTGATGGTGTCATGGTTGCCCGTGGTGATTTGGGTATCGAGATTCCCGCTGCTGAGGTGTTTGCTGCACAAAAGAAGATGATTGCTATGTGTAACATCGCCGGCAAGCCAGTCATTTGCGCTACTCAAATGCTCGAGTCCATGATCTACAACCCTCGCCCAACCCGTGCTGAGATCAGCGATGTTGGAAACGCTGTCACTGATGGAGTCGACTCTGTCATGTTGTCAGGTGAGACTGCCAAGGGTAATTACCCCACCGAGGCCGTTAAGGAAATGCACGAGGTTTGCTTGAAGGCCGAGAACACCATTGCGTACGTTTCGCACTTCGAGGAGCTCTGCAACTTGGCCGAGCGCCCAGTCAGCATCGTCGAGTCAGTTGCCATGGCTGCTGTCCGTGCCTCCTTGGACATGAACGCTGGTGCCATCATCGTTCTCTCCACCAGCGGTGACAGCGCTCGTCTCCTCTCCAAGTACCGCCCTGTTTGCCCGATCTTTATGGTCACCCGAAATGCTTCCGCTTCTAGATACGGTCACTTGTATCGTGGAGTCTATCCCTTCTACTTCCCAGAGCAGAAGCCAGATTTCGACAAGGTCAACTGGCAAGAGGATGTCGACCGAAGAATCAAGTGGGGTATCTCTGAGGCCATGAAGCTCAAGGTTCTTTCTCAGGGTGAGACCGTTGTCGTTGTGCAAGGCTGGAAGGGAGGTATGGGTAACACCAACACGTAAGTCTCCATCTCCCCCGCTTAAAAAAATTCAAAATCACTAACATCCCATAGCCTCCGTGTCATCAAGGCCGAAGCAGACCTCGGCATCGCAAAACTCGAAGGCTAATTTTTTCATTCCGCGATGAGAATGGATTCTTGAATTTGCGCGTATTCCAGCTTAGCTTTTCACAGCACAGGATAGCAGTTCCTCGTTTACGAATGGATGCGGTCACGAAGTGCGGGTTGGGAAAATTCCGGGGTATGGCTCGGATGCTAAAGCAAGTCTATAGAGGAGAAAATACCAGTGCTTGTTTTGCACCTGATTTACCAAATACTGCCTTTGCCTTCATTTCCTGATTCCGGGTCCTCTAAAGTGACTCGTAGGTTTTACTCGGAGATATTCTGTCAAATCTACCATGCATTGCCAACGAGCAAAGAACGGTAAGCAAGCACTTACCCGCCGTCCCGTGAAAAAGCAAGTGAAAGGCTCAGCCATCCGAAGAGAATTGCCTCTGTATGCAGTGTCTTGAGACGTGTCAGACATTCACACCGTACCTTTGCCATGTGAGACTGGGTTTGATAGTGTTGAGTCATTGCTGGCAGAGTAGTATTTTGAGAGGTGATGCGTTGTATGTTGGGAGGCGAATGTAAAGTCTAGAGTTCAGATGGTCACGGATATTGCAGAGGAAGGGTTTAGGTATTATGATCTTCTTGATGCCCTTTTAATGATATCCCAGGGTGAGTATGTACTGCCAAATACGCAACACCACACTTCGCAATACCATGCATGAACGCCTCTCCATAAACTCCATCCATCCCATCCAATCATCCCTACAACGCCTTCAAGAACCCCTTAACCTCATCCTGTAAAATCCTCACAGCCCCTCTATCATGCCAAAAGTGCCCCGCCCCACCAACCTCCACGAACCGGAATCTACTCTCCTCCTTCCCACTCCCACTCCCATTCAGCCTCTTCGCCCAGGCCCGCAGTTTCTTGATACTAACAAACACATCATCATCCCCGAAAATAGCAAGCGTGGGATCAACAGTAAGCTTCACTTCATGTTCAGCGCACAGCTTCGCGCTGAACATCGTCGCCAACCCGTGTACGAAGCCTTGCAGGGGTGACACGAGGAGGTACGCTGTTTGGATATCTTGTCCTAGTGCTGGGATTGGTTTGCATTTCTCCACCTGCCTATCTTCTTCTTCTCCACCACCACCACCATCCGTTTCGTTCGAGAACACACTCTCACCACCAACACTCTTCTGCGAAGTCACAGAACCCTGCGTGTTTTGTCTCCGTGGCGAGAATCTCTTCTCGTAGCTGTCGTTCCGGTGGTGTTTCCCGATACTGCGTACGCGGTCGACGCTCTTCCGTACGATCTCCTCCGCTTCGACCGCGAAGGAGCTGCGGCTGCGGTGCGACTCGTGGCTTGCTCGTCTGAGATCCTCTTCTCCGCCCATGCGGACGCCGCCGCTGGATTTTCTGAGTTTGGGGGACGCGAGGGAGTCGGCGTAGAGGCTGCGGCCGCGGCGGTGGGTGGAGAGGAGAGAGGAGATTGTAGATTTTATGTAGAGGTTCTGGGATGCTGCGAGGGAGGAGGAGCGGAGGCGTATTTCTGCGTAGGCGGAGCCCGGAGAGGATGTTTGGAAGGGAGTGAGGAGGGAGGTGAGGATTGGTGGGAGGAGAGAGGTTATGAGAGCACCGTAGGAGTAGCCTGCTAGTAGAAGAACGGGTTTGGTGCTCGGCTCGGGCGTGGCTTCTCGGTCGAGGGCTATGGAGGGGAGATTTGGGTTGTGGTTCTCATTGTGGGGTTCTGAGGTTGTGAAATTTGGGAAGCTTCGTTTTCGGGTCGGTGAGACGATTTGTGAGGGTATGGGGCTCAAGTCTCGTAGTTCGGGGTCGGAGAGTGTGAAGTTTGGCATGTCGTGGGGGAGGGTTGGAGGAGAGAGTTGGTGTAGGTAGTAGACCATGAATCCAATGAAGGAGATGTAGTCCTGCTGTTCACTCTTCCCCTGCCATGATGTCCGCCCTTTCGAAGTGCCTGCTCCTCTGTAGCTTGTCAGTATCCATTCCAGACATTGTAAGATATATACCGCACCTGAAGTTGAATGTGCCAACCACAAAACCTTGCTTCAAGAGCAGAGTCGCAATCACATCCACCACAGGATCGTCCATACAACCTCCTAAAGGAGCATATGGATGTGCTACAATAGCAGCTTTCTTCTGCCATTCCTCAAGTTGCGATACTGATGTAGGAGCTAAGCATGTTGGGTGGTAGACCCGACATTGGAGCACCAGGTTATCTTGGATGGAGGGGATGGTGAAGGTTAAGGTCGGTGGTGGGAGCATGTTGCAGGTGGGCAATTTGACGCCCGAAAGATGATTTCTCTCATCTGGTAGAACAATGTCGATTTGTGACAAGCATGGTGTATCTTGCTTCGAGTGAGGCGATGTGTATTGCAGGGCGAGCTCAAAGGCGAGGCTATGTCATGGTCAAGGCCGGACAGGGCTTGGAGATGCCATGCTGAGCCCGGCAGATGAAACACTGTAAATTTAGGCGTCGGCAGTAAGATGTGACGCCGAACGTCAACATCTTTCTTTCTCTTATTCATTTACCTTTCTACACTATAAATTCTTCTAAATGCATCTCAAGTGAGCATTGAGGCAAGCCTTAGAATGTTTCGAGCCATGAATACAAGATCTTGTTCCTCCCATTGTTGGCCATCTTTCACTCCCAGCCCTCAGACCTCCTTGCCCGCATCACGAAGGCCCAATGATGTTTGAATGCCTCTGATTTGTTTCTTCAGTTCATGCCGAGTTCTAAAGGTGAGAAATATGACGAGGTATAAAGTTATGACAATGTGGCATATTAAGAGGAACAGAAGTCCAAGCAGGAGGAATATGGCCTATTGTTTAATCAGCTTCCCCTTTTGATGTTCGCAGTCGCGCCGTTGATTGGCTTGATTAGAGGATTTACTTACAAGTGGTTTCGGTACATTGGAGACAGTGTCAATGTTTCTGATTATCTTGTTTATGCAGGACGCAAAGTTATGTGTCGTGCCAGGAAGGCTGCTGAACTGTTGTTCGGCCATTCTTGAAAGTCCGTCGGTGGCAGAGCGATGTTGCCTTTTCAGTTGATATTCAGACAGACATTGAGTTCAAGGTTTGGTCACTATATAGCGTGCAATTTTATCTTTTCATTTGAATTTCGACCAAAAGTCTGGCTTCATGACGCTATACCGCGGCCACCGTCACGTTTAGGGCTGAGTTGTCTGATAGTGATCCCACTTCCCCAAAGTCTTCTCCCTTCTCGTCGTAGTCTTCTTCGGAATTCTCAAGCGTGACGTCGCCTGCCTCCAAGTCTTCTTTGAGTCTGCTTGCTTTTCTTGCTATAAAGTGCTGGTAGCAGATGCATATCATGCCAGCGAATAGAAACGCTTTCATCCAGATACAAAGGATCATTACAAGATATGTAAAGAGAATTCCTAAAGCAGATTAGGATACTTCTTATCTACACGTCAGGAATTGCGTACCAAGAAAGCACTTTCTTGTGCTTGGAAGAATGCGATTATGTTCAGTATGAAGTTGCTTTGGAGGCCCGTGTAGTATGGGTGGGATCGGATCGCTTCGAGGTCGAAGACATATTCTTGCCAGTCAGGAATCGTCTTGACACAGAAGGACATCATTGTTCTCGAATCTGAATATCGAATCTGTGTGCTTATAATTATTTGGCTTGGTGTTTAGTCTGCCCATCAAGGTTTGGACTGGAAGTTAGTTCCGGCCGACCATCATTTGGTAGCACGGTTCAGGCTAGTCGGTATCCCCATTGAACCTGGGACCTCCTGATCCTCAAACAGTCTACTAGTAAAAGCTCAATATTACTAGAAGTCTATGGAGGATTTTTCATGAAGCTGTCTGCTCTCCTCCCACCTACGACTAGAAAGAAGAAATCAATATCATTTTCACCTAGATCTTGTTCTTTTTTTCTATCGGGCCCCTTTTTCATACTTCTGACAATCTCCATCAATCGCCACTACTTAGGCCTTCGCAGCTGCCATCTCTCCATACCACTGTTCATGCCAATCCTTCTCGCCTCTGCATTTGCATAACAGCCCATATCCACATGATAGCAGAATCATTCTTACGGCTAGCCCAGTGAGACTGATGAACAACACGGCCCACTAAAGTGCCTGATTAGCTTTGGTCGCTTGGATCAGAATGTATCCAAGACTTGATGGATAAAAAGAAAAGTAAGAAACATACCCAGAACCTCCCTGCAGATGAATGAGGTTCAATTTCAACTACGCTCCTTGAAAGGATATCGTGTGTGCTGTTTTGAGTTGGCGTTGCTTGTACCACAATAGCCGCGAGAAGTCTTGCGATCGGTGCCATTTCTTTTTGAGTTTTGCAAGATTCTTCCAACTCGTCCAGTAATAGAAGCAGTGGAGGAATTGGAGTGTAGTCTGCTCGGGTAATAAATATCGGATTCGGATTTGAACTACTCTATCTTTTCTCGTCCAAATCAAAATCTCATAGGCCCGGTCATCTCCTTCCGCCAACGTGCTACATTGCGACAAAACCCTCTCCAATTAAGAATTGGATCTTGGAATGTTAGCCATGGCTAGTTGTTGAACAGGTTGGCGTTCCACTTCCCCCATCTCAGAGCCACCATTGCCTTGTACTCTTTCCGCGTCTACAGTGTTGCTTCTTGCCTTGGCTTTCTTCCTCTCCTTGATGCAGATTATAGTGATAGATACAGCGAAGAACAATAAGGCCAGACCTCCAAGCACAATCATTCCCTTATGACTTTGTCAGAACTGTGTGCATCGATGATGAACAAGGAGAGGAAAACTTGCAATTGCATCTGGAGTGATTGGTCCTTCGGACGCACATGAGGTCTCCAAAGGGAGACTCGAATTCGTGAAGTTGAATGACGATTCCATGGTTTGAAAAAGTTGGTGTTTGCTTGGGTGCTCGTATAGATATCCGAGTCAAAATTGAGATTTCTGTTTATTGCTGAGAGAGACAATGAAACAGGATGAAGGGTAAGTGTCTCAATTTATGTAGCTGGTCCATTGCAATCCAGACCGACCCTCTTAAGTCTGTCCAAATTAAAATCATCACGTGCGCGAATACTTCAAGATGAACTTCATGGCAACGAATGCATTTTCTTTCTATTCAAGGTAGTAGGTGGACCTAGAGTGATCTCTCATACATATTATTGCATCCTTTCTTGTAACATAACGTCGCCTGGAGAGTAAGCGTCAGCTCCAGAAGCGACTTGAGCCCAGCTTTAGCTTTGTGGCTCCTTGCCAATAGCGGAGGCAGACGCCGCTCCTTGAGATTCCGTGGTACTGGCATCTTGATTCGGCGGTTGTTCTTGCGTCGGGGGCTCTTCTTCCTTCGGTAGCGCTTCTTGCTCTGGTGGTCCTTCAACATATGGTCATGAATACTACAAGACAGCTGTTTATAAGTGTATAAAATAGCTCATCAACCAACATTGTCAGGTTACCCTGAATTCCTCGCTTGCAATTGCGGCAATTGCATCCCCAAATCATCTTCCCGATGATCGAGGAGATTATCCGTACCAGGTATGGTACCAAGGTAGCGACGATAGCTACTGAAATGAAGACGGTGATCGCTCCAATGACGATGTTCTGTAGCTGTTCCTATGATATGATTGCCAGCTTCTTTCTTCGCGGAGTATGGGGAGGGTTGTCATGCTTCGGTAAGATCGCCTTGTGTTCCTGGAGAGGTAGCTGGTGAGATCACTGTGTAGTAGGCGCTGTCGGGAAGGAACACTTGCATGGTGTTGATGTTGACCATTGTTGTTATTGCTATTATGGATTGTGTGTTGGACTGAGAAGGTAGTTTTGAATTGAGAGGAATTTGAGATTTTCTGTTCAATTCATATAGTAGTTAACGGTTTCTGTTAAGAGGAAACCATGAGAGAAGAGTTGTGAGTAGAGTTAATGATTTATGAAAGCTTGGGGTCTTGGTGCTTGTGATTTCGACTACCCCCTCTTCGCTCCCAGTCCATATCAAAACCCAAGTGGGAGCCACTTCCCATCCTTCTGACCTCACTCTAGACTATCGCATCTCTTATGACTCAATAAAAATCGTTCTCAATCTCTAACTCCTCTCCATCACACATGCGATAGTCGTATTCTCTCCCGAATGTCCGCCTGTATTCTGTACCTCACGCTCATGGCTCCTACTATGACTACGCTCGATGCTATCATACCCCAGATGATGATGTAGACCTAGTTTACGGTATTAGAGAGTAGTGCTATCATAACTAGGAAGAAAAACAGAAAGAAAGGAGCGACGAACCAGAGATGGAATATCGATCCCATGCCATGCGATGATAGGGGCGATGTGTGGTATTATGTTTGTCATTCTGACTTAGATTCTGTAGTGATTCTTTCTGTGCGATAGAGAGTTCTTGGCTTTATTTTGGCAGAGATAAGTGAGACATAGAAGTCTGAGGAGAAGAATTTGATTTTATACAGAAGTGATTGTGATTTGGACTGCAAGGCAGCCGAGCAGGCCAAGTTTAACATCCCCTAGCCCAATGACCCAGTAGCATTGCCTTCAAGAAAGCCCAACGTCCAATACAATCCTTCACATTCAGAGAGCGAACAACAACCGGAATCCAAGCATATGTGATGTGCTCCTCGGTGATATCCCAGCATTCCTTCATGCCCAGAAAGTCCCACGATCGTTGTACATTCACCGATCTGTCGGACCTGCTAGTGAAGCTCTCCTCTCTGCTCGTTTCTTCTTGACTTTCCTAGTCTTCCTCTCATCCAGAAAAATCCATGTCCCGAGACCGGCCCCCATCGCTACCAGGCACAACAAAAGCCCTATGATCAAATACCAATACTAACCCATCATCAGCATCTGTGTCCCTTCTTTGCTGGATATTCACGCCAGGGAAAGAACTTACCCAGGCTGTATCTCTCAGAGGAGATTTGTGCGCCGGAATACACCGCATGCTACAGTTATTGCAGTTGAGACTGTTATCGGTGACATTGAGGTTCGTGACGTCGACGGAAGCATTTTGGTTCAGGATTTCGGTCGCCTGGATGATGGCATCTGCGATCTCGTGTACCTCTTGATCGTCAGGGATGTTGTCCGTGGTATCATTGGAAGAGGTTTGATTTTGGATCCGATTCGCTTCGATTATGGCATCTGAGATGACCGTAACGGCGTGTTCATCAGGAGAGGGCTCTTCGGCGCTCATTGTGTGAGGATACGTATGCATGGGCCGGAGGTGATGCTAGAGGTGGAGGCGGGCGCAATGAAAGGATATCAATATCTTGCTTGCCAAAGGATATCGCGATCGTAGGCGGATATGATATGTTGTTTGATCACGAATGGGGATTTGATTCAAGCATTTGAGGAAGTTTCACAGGTGCGACAATTGTATTTATGTTTAAGTGTTGCATTGGGAAGTCGCGACTCTCTCCTACTGACTGCCCCCACCAAAATTCTCCAACTCGATATCCTCCGTGATTACGGGAAGATCATTGACCATATCTGAGAAAACTCCAGATCCAACTCCCACTTCTTCGTCGAAACTCCAAACGTCACTGTATGGATCCGTAGATGTGAAGGTGTAGTTTCTAGATGAGGATCTCCCACGTTTCCAAATGTGGTAGCCATTCCAAATGCAGATGACCACGAGGGCTAAAACCTATAAATCATTTAGTATGATAGAACTATGTTGAACAATGAATGCTACATACCAACATGACTCCTGTGACAATGAGAGGTTGTACTCCATTTCCGTCGACATTGATGATATCGATTTCGCTTAGCTGTTTCGCTGGTGCGATCACGATTGTGGTGTTGCTCATTGTGATCGATGTTGACTGTGACAACATTTGAGGGTTGCTCTGGTGGATATACATCTTGTATGATATGGAAGTGAATTTGGTGAAGTGGAATACATATTATTATAGGCAGTGAGCATTGCAATCTCGACTTGGTGTGCGAATTATTATAGCGAGCCCCTGAAATGTTGGTAGCGAGCGGAAGCTAAGCGAGTTCTGGCCAAAAGCTTTCTCAAGCTTGAGCTCATCAGTGCCGTGATGGGCAAAGAAACATGAATGTACTTTTCGGATTCAGATATGGCACATATACAGCGAATAGCGCGTTTTTTTTCAATGAATGGGCATGCATTGAACACTTTATTTGACAAGTATGCTCGACAGAATACCAAGAACGTTGACTTGAGTGGCTTCATTAAATAACACCAAGCAGACGAAGCTAATCAATATGAGGAATATTTGTGACCCAGGTAGATATATAGGCTTCTGGAGAAAGGAAGAACAGGCCTCGGAAATATTCCACCAGGAGAATCAACCGCGCTACAACGTAGCAGATAGCAACCACAAAGTCCAGTTTCTGTATTTGTCGCTGCATATCTCTTCCGCGGAGGTTGATAAATTCTCTGGCAAGAAAAGAAGCATATACAATTGCCCAAAGTGTGATCGAGATAGTGATGAAGATACTGGCATTCTGCCATAGTGTCTGTTCTATGGGCTTTGCGAATTCCAGGTCCCATCCTGCGACGTGAAAACCGCCAGACACTGCAGCTCCAAAAGCTAGACCATATATTGCTCTGTATTTGAATTTCTCGTCGTAAATATCGTTGGGAACATGCGTCCACTCAAAATGCTCCAACGATTGATTGCGCAATCTGTCTGGTAAGATCTCGCGAAAGGATTTAGTGCTCGAGCTGTTTTGCTTCGCGATCCAATCTTTGCAATACTTTTGTCGTTCGTGCTCTGGCAGATTGGGAGCAATACCACTGTAGTTGATTGGACTCAATGGTACCTCCACTCCTTTAGGCTTGTGTAGAAGGCATGGAAAAGTAAGTAAGGCACAAGTCTGGAAAGCGACAACAGCTACCTCGAGCTATGCTATCGGATGACCATCAAATATCCTGAGCAAAACTTGGAGTATGTTCCAGCAGCCTTGTAGAAATGTGAGAAGTTTGACAAAAACGCTGTCTTTGCTTTTGTCCATGATCTCGTCCTTGGTAACGTCTGGAAGGCGATGAATGTAACCTTTCTCTCTCATCTCGAACAAACATTCCCCAAAAAGGACTTGACGAAACTCTTCGATTCTGGTACTCGGAGGACAGCGATCTGGGCTCGGTTCAATTGTAATTGCACAGTCGTTTCCTGGATGCACAGCGTCCATTTCGACAACCACAGGAGGCTTCTGCTCATTCTCTGGCGCCAGTCTTGGAGAGCTCAAATGAATGGGTGAGTTTGAGACGCCGACAAAACCTCCCATATTCGCGAAAAATGAGTGGGAGACAGTCCATTCCACTCTGTCTACTTCCGCCAACTTCTTCATTTTCTCGTAATTATCATATGCAGCGAGGCGCTCTGCTATAGCCTTACTCAGGAGCAACTCCGGTGCAATGAGGGCAAAGAGTGTCCACTTCATATATATCCAGTGTGGTTTCAAGAACCCTGTAACTGTGTTCCAGATTGTTTCTTCTTGTGGGGGTCTCCGAAAGGTTCACGAGGAGGAATATTGAGATGTTGAATCGTGTACGTGCAGGCAAAAAGAGTGAACAGGCAATTCCAGAGGATGTCCAACGTTCCTCGAGTCTCGGGAGAATCCACAAAGTTGGTGACATTTTGCGGTATCGTACAGTTCGGCTCGAAGCTGTTGCGTGCTTGCACCTCACGAATGAAGACAAAGAGTATCATGGTATACATCATCATCGTTGGCGGATTACACATGAGAAGTCTAGAAGATAGCCTTTACTCATGGGACTATGAGCCAAGAAGAGAGTTATGTAATTGCAAGTGGCTCACGGCCACGAGGAGTTGAGGGCAGCATCGATGCAGTCTCCCGCAAGGAACTTTCGTTGCGCTACCGTGTGATAGGACCGTCCGACTTGCATACCCATACACCTCGCACTCTCTTGAAAGTTCTCTGTGCGATTCCGTCGGCCGTGTTGCGTCGGAATGCTCAGTCCAGATACTCACCGGTCCTCCAGTGTAGCTTGTTCCGAGTGAGAGCACGTTTCCCAAGGTCAGGATGGCTCTTCGAAAGTTTACTGTGCATTGCCGCATGGCTCTGCAGTGAATATGGCAGTTCCTTGGCTCTCCTTCCTCAACTACCCTCGGTGAGCGAGAATAGCTATGCAGAGATCATGCGATATTGATGTTAGCAAACAAATCTTTGGCACAAAGGAGAACTCGCAAACGATAGTAGCGAGCTATCACCTTTCCTCGCATACTTACCCACCTGAGAGGAAGGGGCAGAATTATAACGGGCTTTGATTCTAGGAAATAATTTCCCTATGTACTGTACCACCTCTACCAAAGACCTTCTCAAACCCCGAGAACGCCAAGCAAACAAATCCAAACCCTGCATCATCCATCATCACCACCAAACCCAGGCATCAACACTCCCTGAGCATTTCTCCCCACCCCAGCATCCACTCTCCTCACCACTCCATTACTCACAACCTTATTCCCCACTGTACTCTTCCCCACCAACCTCTCCGTATCACTCACCGTACTCCCATTACTAACCTCCACACTCCTAAAATACAACTCAACATCCGGCTCCATGCCCAGCGCTCCGGCTGCGCTCTTTCCCCCAAACCTCAAACTCTGCACTGTATTCCCGAAACTGAACGAATTGTTCCCATTATTGTTATCCAAGAACAAAAACGCCGTTCCATTCTGAGAATCCACTCTCGTTGTCCCAGCTAGAGTGAGCACCAGATCCGCAGATTGGGGGATCACGGCAAATGGTTGGAGACCGCTTGGGGCCACGCCTCGCCCGTTCGTATCCATGATCTTGGTACGTTGGATCGTGGCGTTGAATGTGGTTGTTCCGTTGGGGAGTTGTACGGCCGTGCTGTTTGCGAACATGGGGAAGGAGTATTCGCATGTATAGGGAGTTGCTGCTCCTAATGTTGCTACGTCTCGGCCTGTTGTCGTGATGAAGTTCGTTTGGATGTTGCCGCCTGCGAGGAAAGTTCCGTTATCTGTGTGTGAGAGTGTCTGTGACCAAGAACTGGTCACGGAGCTGTTCTGGGTTGTGAGTGTTGAAGACACTGAGAATTTTCGAGATACGGAAACAGTGTATTGTAATGTGTCGTTCGCTCCTGTTGAGTTTTTGGCAAGGGATTGGGAGACAGCAACTGTGGGATCGGAAGCCGATACTGTGGGCATGGAGCCCGTAGTAATAGAGTTCGCATCGTCCTGCCAGATGAATATCTTCCCTGTAACTAACCATGAACTGCCTACGGACTTTGACATTGTAGCTGAAGTGCTCCCGTTGTCATCCAAACCCACAACATTGATCGAAAAGGTGTGAGGATTTCCATCACACAACATTGGTAGCCAAGGGGAGATTTCCACCTCGGCCTCTTTGAGATCAAAAGCATCGATACCAACCATTGGGGACCAAAAGGCTGGGACGACACCTCCGGTAAAGATGATCGGGAAGGGCCACTGAACACCAGCCATTTGACCATCGATGTGCAACTGAACCTCTCTGAATGGAGAAAAGCCGAACAAGGTTCCGCCAGAAGCGTTGTAAGTCAAGACATCGGATTGGAGAGCATTGGACCACCAAAATTCTTCATTCCCTTGGCCAGTCGTGGACAATGTGACTATAGCACGATTGGCATTCCTAGGAAAATCGGAAATGGTATTCGTCGCATTGCTTGCAGGAAGAGAGAAATCGCTGGGTTGAGAGGCATTGATGCCGAGGCGGGCTGATATTGGGAGGATCATAGTGGCAGGAGACACAGCTTGTTTCGCTGTAAAGAAGGTTGCTGTTAATGTGGTATTGTATGCTCCTGTGAGCTAAATCAATCAGCAAGACGTTTTCAACATGGTTCCTGGAAATCATACGTTGGCAGTCGTTTGATTCGGCAGATCAAAAATGACTTTCTGTGGTGTCTTCCAGAAATACATCATGCTACACTCTTTGTCAACCTCTTACTCATAATCACTTCATGCCGTCTCCGACTCACTGTGACATGTCCTTGACATATTCCCAAGTAATACCATTCCTCTTCGGCTCCGCAGTTGAGGTTCGAAAAGCTTCAGTGTCACCAAAATACCTATAAGTTCCGATTAGAAAGAGCTTCCCAACCAGGATGGTAGGAAGAGAGTACATAATAGCCAATCGATCAAACTGCGTCCCTTTACTCGTAACCGAGAAGTTCATCATAACCGTATTACTATTTCCCATACAAGCAGGCGGGGTATAATTTCCTACACTTCCAAATTAGCATCTTCTAATCTTCCAATTTCAAATCCAAAGTTTGACTATGTGACGAAAATGGGAGCAACATACCAACAAAAGGCTTCCCAAAACTCTCCGCGAAAGAAAACTCCATCAACGTAACACTACACGCCTGCCCCGTCGTCCCATCCGCACTCGCCCCAACGGTCGACGTCGTTACATTATCCCCATCAAACACAAACCCTCCCGCTCCCAGCACCGGAGCATCCACCTGAAAGACCCTTTGTGGGGTCGCTGCTGCTGCGGTCGCCGAAATTGTCGATGAATCCGTTGTTATAGAAATGAAGCTCGCCGCCGAATTCGACTCTTGCCTTATTTCCAAGTCGCGCACAACATGGACATGCACCGCTTCTCCTTTCGCGATCGGATTCGTCCGAAAATACTTCTCCTCTCCCACTTCGCAGTCCTTCCAATATCCGTCCTTGGAAAACGACTCCAAGACCGCCAAAGCTATTGACCCAACTACAATAACCAGCAGCACCACCTGCACAATCCCCATGCCCGCTCTGTCATCCTCCTCCTCATCCTCATACCTCTGTCCCCACCACCTCTTCACATCGTCTCGAAAATCTAACCCTTCGTCGTCCATTCTCACCAAAAACCTCTGTAAATTACAGAAGAGAGACCAGCTGCCAAGATCGAGAGAGGAAAAAGAGAGAGGTCGTTCAAGATGTTTCCGTACTAATGTTTCGCGCACTAACCTGCAACGCACACGGTCAGACTCCCGTCGCAGATCAACCAAGCAACCACGCAGCGATCCGGGAGCTTATCTCGAGCTCTGCGTCGAGGATCTGTGCTTTGCGACTTGAGATCCAGGAGTTTAACTCTCAGGAAGAAAGCAGGGCCTCAAGTTGAGATAATGAGTATCACGTGCTTCTTATGAATCGTCGCTCAATGAGACGGATGCGATGTAGAGGATAGGACCATTTTGCCCACTTTGCTCTAAATTCACGGAATTCTCGCAGGTGGCCTTGTGCCCTGTTATCGATAGAGAAATAACAGGGCAAAGTAAGATACTAAACTTCTTTGCCCAAATTCTGGAAACAAATTGCACTCACACTCCTGAACCTCACTCTTGATCTTTCCACAATGACATGTCTTGTTACTGAAATCGTGGCAGTAGAACTCCTCCAGCCACACCTTTTTGATGCCGTTTCAATTTGAGGAATAATCGAACGATTTCAAGTGGATCACAGGAAGAGCTCTCACTGAGGATGGTAGATGTAGTAGTTTTAAGTAAGTAAAATTTTTCTCGAGATTTGATTACTTAGGAGATATTGATGTCAATACTATATACAAACTCTAGCAGCTTGAACCACACACAATCCACACAATCTATATAATCTACACAATCCGCGCAGTCCGCGCAGTCCGCGCAATTTGCGGAAGACGCGCAAATCAAGCAAAACAGCAAACCATCGGAATAATAGAAATGAATATGGAGTAGATACTCCAAAAACAAATGTGTTTGAGAGACTTTGGCAAAGTAAAAGAGCGATACGCAATTGATCAAGAGATGAAGATAGAGCAGACGAAGGTTTAACCAGTAACGTGGAGTGATTTCTAGGAGCTGGAGCTGAGATTTGATGAGCGAGGACCGACAAGGAAACGTCGATAATCAACGAAATTATAAATACAAGAGAAGACATCCAGAGGAGCGCGCTCGCGCATGATCCTGGTTCTTGCACTTAGCACATTTACCGAACTGACGAGACAAAAAAATTGATTGAATCCAACCGTATTCCCATTTCACTACCCAGACCAATTTATACAATCCTTCCTTCTCTTTCTTCCCCATCCCATATAAACTCATAAAGTCATGCCGCTCAGACACACCACACCGCTATGCATACAATGGGTATTCCTCTCATCCCCAATCCAAAATGCATACTTTTCCTAATCCAACCAACTCATCTGGATATAACCCCTAGCATGTGCTTGAACTATAACGTTGATTACAAAAGCAGCCAAGAACAGGAACGCAATAACCGAAGGCCCAACACTGTCATGGTATTTAATCGCTTTTCTTGACCTGATAGCTCTGCTTCTGATGACATATATAGCCATGCAATAGATCAAGGACGCAATGGCACTCAGGGTGAACATGCCCGAGCCGATCAGGGCGCCGACAGTTGGTTGATGGTCAAAATTTAGGAGGAGCGTCGCAGCAGAGGCGATAAACACTGAGATCTCAATCTGGGAAGAGTTAGTAATATGTACGAGGAGAGTGAACTAGGAAACTTACCCATGACAAATATGTTCGTTCAGCGGCGAAGTACACTTTTGGTTCTACCCTCACTGGAACGTGTATCTTCTTGCCTTTTGGTGCCTTGAACTTCTTGCTTGTAATCTTGCCATTGCCGAGTGCAGATATCATTCCATTCCTAGGTACAGGATTTGGTTTGCGCATAGAATCAACAGTGCGAATGATGTGTTGACCAGCCATTCTCGCATGCTTCTTCATCAGAAGAGGATAGTACATCCAACTACCAGAATGTCGTGCCTCCGCAATCTTATCTGACTCGTTGTCTTCATCGTCAGAGTCGTAAAGAGGTTCATCTTCATCATCCAGTGGTTGGGCAGCCATTTGTTCCTCGATGTCCAGTTCATTGCCTGGGGCACGATTTTCAATCTCCCGTGCTTCGCGAAGACGATTCAAATTCTCATCTGAACTACCCAAGGCAGTGCTAGATTGTGAACCTTCACCTTCTTCGACATATTGTTCGTCGTCGGAGTCCTCATCGTCCTCATCGTCATCACTCGTGCTGCTTTGCGCTGAATGGCCTGGTCGACGAATTCCAAAGTGTTGAGTAACAGGTTTTCGGATGTCGACATCCATCTGAGGCATCCAGAAGGGTAGTAAATTAATACGAGTAGGGAAGAGAGTAGCTGTGCCGTGAATGAACTTCGAAAATTTGGGGACCGCTTCTACCAAATGGCTAGCAATCAATTCTCGAACCCACTCTGGAGGCTCCTGACCTGCTTGTGTCTGCAGTTTGACCTCGAGAACAGCATATGGGAACCGCTCAATGTCCTCAGCAGGGAGTTGAGAGAAGGGATAGTCGATACCGATATCCATTCGTCTCCAGTTGTCACCCGAACGTTGTCTGCCATCAAGGTTATCCTCTCGCACCATTGTGAGTTCGGTATCCAAAGAAATTCGAACTCTTGCATCAGCTGGGAGCTGGAAAGCGGTACGATTGTAGAACGAGCGGCAGACTGGTTTATAACCTTTCTGGATGACCGAATACTGGATCTCCTTTGCAAGTCTCTCGTCCTCGTCGATTTGCTTGGCGGATTTCTTGCCGTCTTTCCTAGCTTTCTCGAAAAGTGCTTCAGGTAGAAGGTCGCCTTTTAGGTACGCATTCATATTCTTCTCCTTGATGTTAAAGCGAGCCTTCACAGACTTCTCTCCAGTCCAATCTTCACGATGCGTCTTGCGTTCAACGAAGATCGTCTCGGTATCGACATCACCGTACCAACGCATACGTATAGCCTCTGCACCCTCAGACTTCTTCAATCGACCCTCGTATAAATCCCACGTCTCGGGGTTATCATAATAGATGGAGGTAATGGCAGAGTCTTTTGGTTCGAATTCCTTGTTGGCATTGAAAACGAGGACTGGTAGATGCTAGAATTTGTTAGCAGACATCGCCCCTCAATTACAATGAACATACCTTCAAGATGATGAGCTTGACCTCAGTGATGTTGTCTGGATGCACCCAATACTTAGTAGTATTTCGAATGAAGTTGCCCTGGCTTCCACCGGCAGCACTGTCGCCCTTCACTGGGTTTCCTCTCGTCCTAACAATATCATACAGCTTGGACAGCTTGACAATATCTGCATCGTAGTTATCTTTGAAGAAAGGCTTGGCCTTTAGTCTCGTCGCGAAAACCGGTTTGAGCATCCATTTCGTTTGTTTCTACACCAGTCAATCCCAATTATTTGTACTGAATCAGGCTACTCACATCATGCTTCTTAATGATTTTCTGGAACCCAGTATAGTTCAACGACACGAACTTGGCAAGGTCATGCACATCTGCAATGATATCACTCAAATCCTCCTCCAACATCATGAACTCCTCCTCAGTCGGAGCATCATCGTTCTGCGCATTACCATCTCTGCCAACAGGTCCCCTATTGTCGAGTCTAGCAACCACATCCCCAACCTCCTTCTCACTGGCAGCAATCCGTCTCGAGATTTCAATCGCCTTAACCTTCTGCTTCGTATGCACCTTATCCAACTCCTGCTCTAGTCTGCCAATAAATTTACTCTCGTCGTCCTCCGTCCACTCCTTTCTCTTCCCCTTCGGATTCGATTTCGAGGGCGGCGTCGCCCAGTCCGTCTTCAGCTGCTGCTTAAGCTCGTCATAGGCGATATAGTACCATTGATACTCCTTAATCACGCTCGTGCGGAGCTGCTCGCCGAATTTCATGATGATCTGACCGGGGCCGAAGTCGTTCTTGCCAGGTTCGGACGTCTTCCAGTATCGTTGCTTCGTTCTGAGGTCTTGGACGATTAGCATTGGGTTCTCATGGCGTGCATCGCATACGAGGTTTAAGAAAACGAGAAAAACAACAAAGCGTGGTGAGGCTTCAAAGTTGTTGTTAATTGCAGTGAAATTGAAGAGGGGAATGGTAGAATGGGTTGAAATACCTGGCTGCAGATGTGGAAAATAATGAGGAAAGAACTCTTTGCTGGGAATCCCCGCCTGAAGTGATCACGAGAGTTTTGGTGGGGCGCGGCAAGCTTCAAGCTTCAGCTTCTTTTGCAAGGGCAAGCTTCCTTGTCATTTGTCCATTGGCCAATGAGAACCTCGAATTGCATCACATGTGAACGAAAACACGGCCTATCTTATCAGAAACCAGAGAAAAAGAATTTTTTACATTATACTGAGAAGAACGCATGCGGGCCTTGAATCAGGTAAATCTGAGCACACCTCTTTGTCTTGTGGATAATGACATGAGGTACAGCACAAATGATTATTCGATATACATTTATTCATGAATCAACTCCTATGTCTGTCATTATTTGCATTGTCCTCATCCCATCCATACATCCAACATTCAAAGTCATACAAAACGCCATGTATCAAGCCATTTCCTTAAGCAACACCAGTGACCCGACGAATTGCTCTTCTTGCGCCCTCGCCAACAACCATGATGCTACCCTCTTGCTCCAACATTCTAATGGTCTCTGCAAATTCATTACCTTCAACAGGCATACTACTCTGCTCGCCGAGCTGCTTGACCACCTCGCTGTACCGGGCTGCTTGACCTTGTCTTGTCATGTCATCCAACAGAGCCAAAACGGCAGTCTTGAGATCCTGCTTTCGTCTTCGCTCACTGGCACTGGTACCTTCAGTGAGCAAGCTCATATCGATCAAACCAGTTCTAGCATCTGTTGCAGCTTGCTTGAGCGCGGACTTGATCAATCTCACGGCTTCCTTGACATCATCTCTAGTGACAATTTCGGACAATCGCATCTTAGCATGAGCTTCGGCAAGACGGATCATGGATTCAAGTTGTCTAGTAGTCGCAGTGATACGTCGCTCGGCTGCACGAACATCTTCACCAAGTTTGCGCATCTCAACATATGAGGTGACAAGCTCTTCCGAAGCTTCTGAGCTGATTCGTGGCTGGCACTGTTGGCGAGCGTAGGAGATGTAGGATGTAAGAAACTCGATGGGCTGTTCCAAGGTTAGTACAATGCTAGATCATCCTTATTTGGAGACTTACTAGAATTTCTTGCGTTGATGCATTCTGTGGTTTATCGTCCAAATACATGCTCAACAAATGTCTGGCCATCCGGCGATCATTGGTCTCGTCGATACGATCCAGGATCAAGTACACTAAATCAAATCTGGAAAGCAAAGTTGGTGGGAGGTCGATGTTTTGCGGTACAGGTAGATTCGGGTTATACTTGCTGCCGATGGGATTGGCAGATGCAAGAATACTGGTTCGAGCATTCAAAGTTGTGATGATACCAGCCTTGGCGATAGAGACAGTCTGTTGTTCCATCACTTCGTGAAGGACGGACCTAGTTGCATCTGACATCTTGTCAAACTCATCAATGCAGCAAACACCGCCATCAGACAAGACCAGAGCACCAGATTCCAAAACGAGTTGACGAGTTTCAGGATCTCGAGTAACATAAGCAGTCAATCCGACTGCTGAAGAACCCTTTCCACTGGTATAGACACCACGAGGGGCGATCTTGTGGACGTATTGCAGAATCTGTGACTTTGCCGTGGAGGGGTCACCACAAAGCAAGATGTTGATATCACCTCTATACTTCGGACTTCCACCCTTTTCGAATGATTTGTTAGTACCACCGAAAAGTTGTAGTAAGATTCCCTTCTTGACATCGTCCATCTCGTAGATACTGGGAGCAAGAGAGCGGGAGAGGAGGTCGTAAATGTCCGGTCTAGCTGCAGTGGCCTTGATCTTCTCTTCTTCCTCTTCGCTAACCTTCCTCACTTCCTCAATATTGCTAGAAAGCTCCTCGGAGAGCTCCTGTTCAACCGTCGTAGTATCAATTCCCATGCGCTTCTTGTCTACTTTCTGAATATGCAAGACATCGATATAAGTCTTAAAGATACTCTTTTGAATTCGCTGTCTTGGATTGACGCGAACAGGACTGGCCTTGAAGATACCAGTGATTTCAACCCGGTCACCAGCTTTGCAAAGATCAACCAGCTCATCGTAAGCACACATTGAGACCGAATGAGGTGTTTGTCCAGGTGGAACCGAGTCAGGTGTCTCTTGGAGCTTGATGACTTGTTTGTCCATGAAGCCAGAACGGTTGTGCACAATCTGCATGGAGTTTGGAGACGCGCAGATGGGTCGAGGGCATTTGGTCGGCTCGGCGATCTTGCCACGGTCAATGTCGACCTTAACAGTATGATTGCAGACCTGGCATCGGAAGAAGGCGTCTTTCATGTCTGGGATAATTGGAGTAGTTCTGATGACGAGGCCTTTGATGGCTACAATCTTATCGACGTCTATTGATGTTAGCATGGTACATCCGCAGAAAGGGGTTTCTTACCAGAAGGGTTGAGCTCTCGCATGTTGACTGTACTATCAAGCCCAAATGGTCGGACTCGGTATGATCTCTTCTGAACTTCCTGGCACAAGTCTAGCTCGTTCGACTCCTGGCCCCGAGGGCTTTGTGCTTCTGGCTCCTCCCGATCAGAACTTGGAACTGGTGGCTCGGAGCTCATGACTCTGCTGCGCTGTGAAGCTTGTGCTGGAGTCTGAGATTGTCTCTGTCTGGCCATCTCCGCTTCTGCAAGTTCATACATCACATCCTTGATACCCTGATCCATAAGAGTGACAATATCTTGTGGATAGTCCTGTGCTTGTTGCCAAAGCTTCTTGGTAGGAGGGTAAGCCTTAAGATTGCGGAAGTCCAAGTTGAGACTGGTGATTCCAAGAGTCAACATATTCTGCATCATCTGGACATATTCCTTGGTCTCTGAGTCGGGATCCTCGCGAGTCTCCTCCTCAGACAATCCATCTCCCCACATACGGTATTTCCTGGTGAAATTTCGAAGGAACTCCTTAAAAACGGAGAGAGTATCATTGATTGAGACATTAGTTCCCCAAATACACAATGTAGAGTTGCCACCCATTGCCTGAGCATCGGATGTAGTAGGGTCCATGTTTGAGAAAGTTGGCGCTTCAGAAACATCACCAGGGACCTCTCGCACAACTCTGCCACTTTCATCCATGTAAATACGACGTCTGGAGTGAGGAGTGTTGATGTTCTCAGAGTTGATATCGCCACGTCTCGAGTTATTTATTGAAGATCCGGGTCCGGCTGAGCGGGATGATCGTACGAAAAGGCCACTACTGTCACTTCTAATATCAGGAAGTATTGATTGCTGACGAGGGGCGTCTGATCCATTAACTGAGCTTGAGGCATATCGAATGGGTGAAGATTCTAATCTTCGTATTAGTTTTGACAGACACGTAACGGCAGACGGTGAGCTTACCTCCAAGGAGGCCAGTTGTACTGGCTCGTGGTGTTCTCTCCCCATCCTGTGTCGTCTGGGTATTGGACATCTGTCTCAATGGAGAAGAGACATCTCGTTCTCGATTCATACGAGCAATTTCTGCTGGCGACGATCGATAGTTCATGGGTGACGATAAAGGAACATTTCGCCTGGGGGTACCATTGCTTTGCGACGATGCTGCTTCGTTTTGAAGCTGGGCAGCTGCTGGATCCAAATCAGGGGGACTGCTTGGAATTGCATTTCTTTGCGATGTTCGGCGGGGCGTTCCAGATTGGGAGCGGCGATGCGATGGAGACGACATCTTGCCTTTCTTCGTTGTTTTTGAGGTTGTTGAGAATCGAGTATATGATGAGGGGAAGTCAAGACTCGCGCTGAGAAAAACCAGAGGCCTTGACGAGGAGGGATATTGACGCGTCGCGACTTCTTCGCGTGAGCGCGTAGAGTGGATGCATTAGCGTGTTTCTGGCATGATAGGGGCTTCGCCCCTGAGATTTTCTAGCCAATCACAGTAATTGTGCCGAGCTTCCTGGGACAATTCCAATGTCCTTGACTTTTCTGTTTTCAAAGATCGTAGACTTCACTCTTTACGAGATGTTCGTACTGCAAACCGATTGGTGAGTGCTGTCACTCTTGATTGTTCGCGTGTCCTTGGTACTTTGAAACAAGTACAATCTCGATCATGTCAAGAAGTGCGGAATGGTGCCGTGATCTTTCTTGCTCAATCTTCCATATGTCCTGGGACATTAGAAGTATATTGTTGCCAAGGCTACCTGATCTTTCGACTACTGTCTCCGTTGCAGGCAGCTTCCATTATCACTCATCCCATTCTGAATTGTAACCTCAGCCTCAGTCTCCTCTTCTTTTCACTCCAAGTTGTCTTCTTCAATTCCTCGCTCATGTGGCAGTCGTGTTCCAATACGTTCCAAGTCGCAATCAACCAATGTTCGAAAGCATGGCGATATTCAACATAGGACAATACCGTAACTTCCGAAGCGGAAAATCATCGCCTGGCGCAAGATCGCTTTGTTGCGTGTTACGAGTTTTCGAAAGTAATATTTTCATTCTCTAGCTATTCGGTTCACAGCTTCTAGAGTTCTCGAGCAAATAGTAGCTAGACCGTTGGCAATCTGCCCTGCACCATATTAAAGACCTTTTATGCTTTATAAGTCGGCTCGCTGAAAACTTCAAGAAGAACCGAGCGTTGTTATTATCTTCTTCATGACTGGGACATTCCAAAGCATCTGCATGATATATATTATTAGGCGGTTCAAGCGATTCAGTCATTCTCTTTCCACTCAATTAACATGACATTTGTTGCGTAGTCCAATGTGAGCTCGTGATTCTCCCTCTTTCTCCATTTCGGGGCAGTGGAAGATATGAGCAGTACCGAGCTATCAACGACGAATGCGCTAATAACACGTTGCCATAAATCATATAGTGCGCGAATTGCTTTGCAGAAGCTTCAATGTTGGTGAGCTGCTGCCTGGTTGTCATTGGACGATGATGCTGACACATCACCCACTGGTACGATATCATTCAATTTGACTCGTTGGTGTTTTTCTAAATTATCCCTCCATTTCTTCTATTCTCTCAAATTTCTCCATGTCTCGAATCTCCTTCTCAAACGAAACGGAAGCCGTTTTCTCAAGTTTCTCGCTTCCAGCCTCACAGCCTCATTTCACGCCCACATGATCTCATTTAAGATCACCCCATCTACTCCAAAAGACTATATAAAGGAACTGCAGGCGACCTGCTAGGCTTTCAATACACAACGATTTGAAGACTCTCCCATGAACCATGTCAACAAAATCACCACACCGAGTTCAGATCGTGATTGGTGGAACATATTTCTCAGCCGCCTTGCTCTGCATCCTCAGCTTACAGTATATGGATCACCGGTCGCCAAACAGCCTGGTGACGTATCCAGCCTTGTAGAAATCTCATGTTCGGTGGCGTTATCTGTCCATAATTGACTCTTTCAGCTTGAGGTGATGTCTGATTGGGGCTGATGCGCGAAAACACGAGGCTGATTCTGGAGATGGACTGAGAAGTGGAATGCTTCAATGCGATAAATGTGCTGTTGGCATGTCTGCTCGGCCACGCGACTTTGATCTTATTTTCTTATATTCCCGTGTTGCGCCTTCAAGATGTTCAGCATGTAGAGGTCAATAAACAGAAGTCCACACACAACTTCATACTGATAAACGGATAATATTTTTAATGGCGACTGACGTAAGTTAGATCTAAACATTCGAGTCTTGGCTGATCAAGTTTCATAGCTCTGTGGACCAATGGCCACTTCTGGTCTGAATGAGCAAATGGGAGAATGCCGGTATATATCTGTGCTAACAGATATATACGACATCAACGATCCAGATACCGTGCTCAAGCATCTCTTAATTCAAGCTAGCCTAGAGGAAGGGACGCATTTCTATCCAAGATTTGGTACACGGACGGAGAAAATGGCTGCATGTGCGCCGATGAACTGCAAGCTAGGACACATACCAATGTCCCTCATGGCTTGGCGATATATTGGTAAGTATCGTCAGTAGCCAGGAAGAAAGTGTCTTGTTAATAGGCATACAGGAGATGGAACATCACTTAGTATTCAAGTCGCAGGCCGTGTGGATCTCGCGCGAATGCCTCACGGGCATCCACAAATATTTCACCCCACGTCCTCGAATGTCGTGAATCGGGTCCTGACAATTCAAAAATCTCCAGAGAGCCCACAGAACTTATGCCAAGTCCAAAAGTCCGAGTCCAAAGCGCCAAATCGATCCTCGGAGATCACAATTCGGCAGAATAGGATGCTCCCTTGGGCTATCTTTGTTGTCTCTTTCCTCTTGAGTCTCTTTGTTGGAGTTTTCTACACTGTGTCTCCCAGCCACCAACGCAGTATGGGTGATGCTTTCACACTTGCTGGCTGGGTTGCGAATATTGGTAGTCTGTCGTTGACTGCACTGGCTATGTCATCGGCATTGCACTTGCTCTTTCCAAATGAAAAGAAGAGGATATGTTCTGCCTTGCAGACTTAACTTGTCTCAATCTTCTATCGCTTATATGTGGTGTCGGATGTTCGTCCAGGGCCATATAATGTATCATAACACCGAACACCTAACACATGATCTGAAGCTGATCGATCTACTAAATGGGGGAATATACTGCATTATACGAGTTAACACGAGTCGGCGTGAGACAAAAAGGCCGAAAATGATGTACTGACGATGTCAAATATAGCCGAAGCTTGAAAACACAATCGTCTATCGACAGCTGACTCTTCAAATTTGACTTCGACAGCCACCTTTAGCTTCTAAAGTCTATCTAAGAGTTTGAAAGCGAACATCGGCAATCGCGACATGGATGGTGTATCCATATCTCCAGGTAAGACGAATCCTAGGTGAAAATGATACTTCATTAAAAGTTAAAAGAAGACACGGCTGCAATTTTTCCCATTACTATTTAGCATACACTCAGTCAAGGCTTTGTTCTCCTAAATGAGACTTCTCATCCCATTCCCATGTGCACTTCATAGGTAGATAATCAACAAAATTGTAAACCAATATTTAAGATGATGAGGAAACTAAGACGTGAAGTTTTGTCTTTGAGCATATGAGGATGAACATATTCGTTGAACAATAAGTGTCGAGAAATAAAGAGACAAGAGCATTGGATGTTGATGTTCTCGTGTGCCAAAAAGGGCCCCAACAATCAGCTCAGGGGCTTTTCTCGCTTATTTGGTCAGTGAGCCTGCTCAACTCGTGTGTATATCGCGACACCCTCGCTCCAAACTTCAAAAATATATTCAACGACGAGATCCAGTCGAGCACAACCAACTTCAAGTCCCAATATCCATCAGGATTATGTCCAAAAACACGAATCTCAACATGCCGCGATCAAAAGGAACCTTGACTGAATCCAATCGGGGTGCGCTCAGCGCGTCGAAGCCATCTTCCAACGCGGCGTTGATGGAGAAAAGCCTTCCAAACGAAGACGCGGGAAGCTTTCCAGCAAAAAACCACTCTGGTATGAAGAGGAAGAGGGAGGAGCGAGCTTTGGAGAAGAGTGTACCGATCTCTGGATCCAAAAAGAAAAGAGCACGAGACACGACAAAGATGAAGGAAGGAAGCCGCTTCGCAACTAAGGATAACAGCAAACTGCAAGCCTTACTTTCCGATCGAGGTCTGTCGACCAAGGGCACGAGAAAGGATTGGATAAAGCGGCTGGAAAGCTCTACTATGGACCACGCATCTCTCTCCACCAATAAGTTGGGCCAGATGATGCAACAACGAAAGATGCAAGCCGCTACGTCATACTCGAGGGCCAACAGGATCGAAAGACTGAAACTCAATGATGAATACTATCGTGACACTGGAAAACCTTACGACCTCTTGCTGGAGTACGCCAATCAAGATGAAACACTGGATGATCCAAACGCGAGGGAAAAGCTTTGTGGCATGCAGTATCTATACGAGCACGAGGAGGTTCTTGAAACGAAATGCGTCGAGAGGAAGATGGTGGGTTCCGGTCCTAAATCTGCCATGGTCAAATTTCTTGATACTGGGGTAGTTGAGTATGGAGACCTGTATGCTGAAAGTCTGCAAAAGATGTGCAAGGAACGTGGTATCCATTCAAGAACAAAATCACCAAGAAGAGTGCTCTTGTGAAGCTGCTTGACGATGCTGATGAAGCAAAAGTGACTTGATGGGGTGGGGTCTGATCGGCTATGATTGTGGATGGATGTTGCGTAAATACAAACTCGTGTATTATACTGCTAAATAAATTGTATGCTATTCGAATTCATCGAGTGTTCAATCCATATTGAGGTCACTGCGATTATGTGAAAATAACGCCTATTGAAAGTTAGGGAAATGTGTTGTATTCATCTTCCCCCTCGTAGCTCGCACTCCACGCGTTCAAGACCTTGTTCTCCTGAATTGATTTATGCACCCCACTCTAGCTTTCATAGCCGTGTTGAGATCTCATTCGTAGCGGCAGCTTGCTTGTTCACACCTGCTAACAGAATTGCCAGGTCACGGCCCGCCATTGCATATCTAAATACTTCATTAACCACATTCTAATTTGGGCGGGTCTAAGAGAATGTCTGAGAGACAGCAATTAAAGTTAAGACTCACCTCACGAGCGAGTACTTCTTTGCAAACCCTTCGAGGAGATCGGGCCTCGGTTCTAAGCCTCCTAAGCCCACGAAGACTTTCCTCCCGTTGACGCTAGCTTTCTCTGCCGCTGTCGCTATTTTTGCAACTGCAGAATGGAAGAGCTCAGAGTCATACTGACCCGGAATGCCCAATTCCATACTCAGATCCGCACAGCCGATTAGCATAGCGTCGATTCCAGGCGTTGCTGCAATATCTCTTGGGATTTCGTCAGTTTCACACATTCAGATGTGATCAACGGAACTTACTCAACATTCTCGACCCCTTCTTTGGTTTCAATCATGGGCATTATCATCACTTCCTCGTTTTCAACTTCAGCAATAGCAGCGTACGAGAGCTGAGTTGTGTATTGCGTCATGGCTGTAACCATTGTCACTGAACGATGCCCCTGCGATGATGTCAATAGGGCTACGGTTCGTGAAAACTAGCAGTCTTCTGTTGAAGTGGACATACCAGAGGAGGGAACTTGGACGCATTAACACACAACTTGGCTTGCTCAACATTGTTGACATGAGGTACAATGATTGCCTGAGCGCCAGAATCGAGGCACCGGGAAATCCATTCAGAGGAGCAAGTTGGAACAACAACCATAGGAGTTATACTTGAAACGACGTAGTCAGTTGCTTGCCGACTACTCCAGTGTTGCCGAACAGAATCACTGACCCCACATTCAAGCACGACACTGCAATATCCTTCATACTCTCGATACTCATGGCCATATGTTCAAGGTTCATTAGTACTCCTGAATAGCCTGCTCGCTTTGCAATTAATGGGATCTCGGTTGAGAATGCAACACGAAGTCCAAAGGAGTGTGCAAGCTTGTTCTCAAGCATGAGGTGCTTGACAACATTTGGACGGCAAACTTCGTGTGCCAGTGCGACTTGGTCAACATGAAGGGAAGACATCTTCGAGCCCGATGTTTGATTGTTGACGTTGAGATCGAAATATCCTGAAGCTAGTCTTTCGAGGATGGAAAGTTTGAAGTACGTCTATAGAGATTTTTGGGAAATATCAAAGTGCATTAAAATTATGCAGATAGCAAAACGGACTTTGATGGTCAAGTCCGCTTCGCCAAGCTTTTTGAGAGTGGAGTATCAATACTCACCCCTTATCTGTGGGCACATGGTGCAGCTAAACATCCACAAATCCTACGATAGATTTGACTCCCAGCTTTCGACAAGGATCATCCTATCAATGGTGGGTGAAATGGGTTCGTGAAGCTCTGATCTGCAGGTCTCCCATAGGTTGAAATAGCCGCCCGTATACAGCGAAGGCCACCAGGGGCCAAGATCTTAAAGACGCATGGAGCCAAGATACCATGCTCGCTAGAACAACATCAAGAATAGGGGATGCTTTCGAGATATCGGTATCGTTCCCAATATATCCCGTACTCCCCACGCGGACTCGACTTCTCGTTGCTCGTCGTTTCATTGCAACCGCTCTGTTGAGAAGCCAACATAAGACTTCACCATGGACAAAGACAAAAAGAACTATGAAGTCAATACCGCTCCATCAACCTCATCTTATGTGGGAGTTTCAGAAGCAATGCCACAGAAGGTGCCGCTTGGGAAGCAGATTCTGTATCATCTTTGGGATGCCGACCAACAATTGAAGAGCCCACAGGTAATCTAACGCCCTCCTTTGCATCTAGATGTTGCTTCTAACACGATAGTAGGAAAGAGCTCTAGTCCGAAAGCTCGATTTCGGAATTCTCATCTGTTCAACACTTCGTTGGGTGGGCAAGCCATGTTCCCTCTCTCGAAAATGTTTCCTAACGGGTCGACAGTCGATGAAATACATCGATCAAAGCAATCTCACAAATGCTTGTAAGTACTGTTTCCTCTCATCTCCACTTTTTGCCTAACTGTTCGATTAGAGATGTCAGCGGGATGAAGGAAGACTTGAACATTGAGGTAAATGAGTATACGTATATGTTAAGTAAGTACCCGTAAGATAACTACGGGATATGAAGCTGACTAGCATAGTGTGTTATACCATTGCTTTCGCTATCATGCAAATCCCATCAAACATGATCGCCCTCAAAGTCAGCTCCCGCATCTGCTTAGTTGTCTGCGAATTCGGCTGGACTGCCTTCACGTACGTCAAGTAATGATACACTTCATTGAATATGACTGACTAAGAGATACTTTAGCTTTGCTCAAGCTGCGGCGCAAAATAGCACCCACATGTATGCTTTCCGATTCATGATCGGCATTTTCGAGTTTGGATTCTCGCCAATCATCATCTTTCTCCTCGGATGTTGGTATACAAAAACAGAACTTGCAAAGCGAATAGCAATTTGGCACATCACTGGCTTCTTTGGTCAAGCTACTTCCGGATTTCTTCAAGCTGGAATCTACAGTTCATTGAATGGCCACCTAGGATTGGCAGGTTGGAGATGGATGTATATCAGTAAGGCCATCTCCTCCATATTCTACCAAGATTGGCATGTAGCAGAAGTATAATAATGCATTTTAGTATGTGGCTGTATGTCAGTGCCCGTCGCCGGGTCAGTCTGGTTCCTACTTCCAGACTACCCCCACAATACGAAAGCATGGTATCTCACCGAGGATGACAAACGGATTGCACTGGAGCGTGCTGCCAAACAGGGCAAAGCCGAGGTCACGGGTGTGATGGATTTGAAGCTCGTGAAACGCATGTTCGGGAGCTGGCGTTGGTGGGTCCTGGTTTTGATGTACATCTTTGTAAGTTGAGACTTTTCAACAAGCAATCATGCATGGAGACTGCTAACACTGGTAAGTACGGAAATTCATGCCAGGCTAATAATTACTTCGCGATTTATCTCAGTATGCCGATTAATCTTCCCAAATTTTGCTGACAAGTTATCATGCTGACGTGGAGCAATAAACAGAGGCAGAAGGCTACAGCGTAACTCAACGAAATGTAATTCCGGCGTGTGCAAACATCGTCTCGATGGTCACGGATTTCGCATGGGGATTTATGTCAGACTTGACTCAAAATCGAGCGTGGTGGATTACTGGTCCTCTTGTAAGCAAGCTCACACTATCTTGAATAACATTGCTGAAGCATGTCCATAGCTATTCACAACCGTCATTGGATCATCCACCTTGACCGCTTGGCCCGCGGCAGATGCGGCGAGAGTAGCTGCGTTCTTCTTCGTCTCAAGAGGCTACGTGACTGCTGTCACGTGGACTTGGGCAAATGAAATCAACGTTGGAAATGCTCAAGAACGTGCCTTGACAATCTCGAGCATGAATGGAATCTTCTATGCCACCAGTGAGTCCAAAAACAGATCAAGGATATCCAGAATGCTGAAGATCACAAGATTCCTTCCTGCCCATCCTTATATTTCCGCAAACGGAAGGACCTAAATTTCTAAAGGGGTTTCCTTCGATTCTCGCATTCGCTTTATTAGCAATCATTCTCGTTTGTAAGTTGCCTTTAGTCTTGGGAGTTAACGTAGTACAGCATCTAACAGTAGTGCAGTCTTGGCGGACTACCTCCATAAACGTCAACTCAAACAAGAAGTTGAAGCGGCCCTGGCTTCTCCTCCTTCCGAAGCTACTGATAGGGACGTGAGTAATGAGGGCTAAAGTGATATCTTGGTAAGATTTTAGACATCAGGGATGAGGAGCTGGAAAATTGTCCGCATCTGAACAACAGGGAAATGTCCGGTTGTGTGAGCAAATCACAAAAAAAGATTGGTTGAACCATTTTCTCGTGTTTTCTTTGATATGTGCATTGTTCAGTTGAACTCCTCCAAATCATTTTTGATCTGAGTTGCTGAGACACGTCCTTTCAGACAACATTAACCGCATGCGTGTCTAACCCGTAGCACTCCCCTTATATACCTACCTTTCACCAGCCTGCCAAATTGTTGTAACGTACTGTACACTTGTTGAAAAAATAAGTTGAGACGATAGATAGACAGAGATAAGATGATCATGATCATGATCAAGTTCAAGATTAGCAGCCTGGCGTGCTTTTGGTGTCCCAGGTTCGGCGATATCGGCGCCTGGTGTCCGCTTGGCTTCCTGTTGATATTGGACTCCCTCTTCAAGTTTCGACAACTTCATCTCAGAAAATCAACCGCAGAAGACTTCAATCCTTGAACGCGTCGAATATGGAAGGAAGATCCACCCCGCGTCGCGTCGCTGTACATATGCCAAAGAAAGATGTATTGACATTCGACATCTGGCATTTGGTTTTCAAAGAGGTAAGTAGTTCATCTTGCGCTTACACCCTCAAATTTCATCTTCAAATTCGGTAGACTGGCATAAGTTTACTGCACAGTAATTACTTGCGCATGATTGACTGACTGTGAGTGCTCAGATTTGGATCGAAGCTACAACTATAGGCAATTACTGGAAAACAGATTGTATTGAAGATGATCTGCGATTATGGCTCCAAAATCTGCGCACTGTCTCTAAAGATTTTAACAAAATTATAACGCCACATGTACACCACACGGTTCGAATATCTGAATCACATATAATTCGGGATGATCCAGAGAACATCTACCGGTTATTCAAGGTACGTGAAGCAGGTAAGAAAGATGTGGTTTTACTGACCTGGAATCAGGCCAATGTTTTGTTGTTCTCGAACAAGATCATTCTCACACCAAGCAGAAATGTTTTAGTCTTGTCAGAGATGGTTCAAATTGTCTCAGCCTCAAGAAAATTGGTCACTACCAGGTAGGTTCAAAGCAAGATGAATTTCACAAAGAGAAGAGCCTCAATCTAATTTGAACAGATGGGACTTGAAGGGGAATGACATAAATGCCATGTCTAGATGCATCTCCAACTCTCTTCAAGAGATAATGAAAAGAGCTGTCCACTGTTCTATCGACTACAGAGATAAGTGTTTTTACATCGAAGAAGTTGGCCAGAATGGAATCCCGATAGAACGAAAATCCTCCTATACCAATTCGCAGCTCGCGCAACAAATACTACCAAGTACATCAATTTCAGAGACGGGGGAGGAAGAATCTTCGACGATACAAACTCTCACGCTGAAAGATGCCTGTCTTAACTGGGAATCTGAAAGCAAGAAGATTCTCTACAATCCTATGTTCCAACGAATTTTGCCGATGACCGAGCTAAGGTTAACACGTTTTCCATAGGATGAGTGCACGGGATCGTACCGTGGCTTGTGGGACTTTTCACGACTACAAAGCTTAACTGTCGAGGGAAGCGATCTCTATTGCTTCTTGAAAACGATCCCTGCCGAGGACTTGAAGGATCTCTATACTTTCGAGATAGTTAGCGACGAACACAATTGGGACATTCAAGGCTCTAAAGCTCCTTTAGTGAAGCTCTTCGGCAAATTTGAACGACTTGAGAATCTAAAGTTCAATCATGAACGTTGGCAAGAGCTTCTACCGCCATCATCAATATGTCGTCTTGGTGCTAATCTCAAAAGGCTCGAACTGCGAGACATGACTTGGCAAGATGTGCCTCTAACGGTACAAGAGTTAGATCATATTCGAGTGCATTGCCCTGACTTACTCTTTCTCGCTGTGAACTGGGCATCTGATAGTGGCGAAGTACGTGTTTGTCAATTTCGTATCGTCTTGGATCGATCGCTCGCTTTATCATAACCTGAACGTGGCTAACTTAGTGTACTCTAGAAACAGAACTTTCTCGAAATTTTATGCCGTTTTGAGCATGTGTGTGAGCTTGTCTTAGTTACTAGCAACGGGGTGCAACTTTCGAATTCCAATCAGCGAAGCACTGATCCGGATGACGACGGCGCAACGATCATCTTTGACTTTATGCGCAAGAACAAATATGGGATCCCAATCACTTCATGCATGGTTGAAGTAGAGAGAGCTTTACATGTAAGGGCCACGGGAGAATATGAGGATGGCTTTATGTTGGATGGCATACGAGTTTTCAAATTTTCCGTCAGAGCGAGCGGGCATACCGAACGTTCAGGAGACGTGAGATTTGATACTTTCGCAGTCAGTGGAGATGGTGAGGACGGAGACAACTTGGCGAATGAAGAAGACTTGGATGAGGACATGGATGGTGTAGAGGGTGACGAGTCAGAAGCGGATGAAACTGAAGGTGATGAAGAGGACAGCGATGAAGAGGACGAGGACGCCGTAGACAGCATTAACTTCTAAATCGTCACTTCGGGGGTTTCGCGTTGTTCAGAGTATCAAAGCAACAACATAATATCATAGAGCCAAAGCGACTCTTGAGAACATGTACAGGGGCCCCACATAACTAGTGAAAATGAGCATCTTTGGAATGATGTCAATGCTACATCACAGTCATGTGGCTTAACAGGGCAACATAAAGGTGGTTAGCTAGAGATAAATAGAGTAAACTGTCTGTAATCTGTTGTGGTAGCTCCCGAAATGTAGAAGCATGACCCCAAGTAAATAGAATTGCTTTGCATTCTGCTGTGATTGAAGTTGAAGAGCTGAAGTCTTACAAGCCGGAATCTCAGCCGTCATTGCTTCTCATTCAATGCACGAAAACCACATTAGCATCAAGACAAATGATCACTCCCCTAATATTCGTACAAGGTATGCTCTCTAAGATTTAATTCTTCCATGTATTCTATCTTCCAATAATTTAGATTCCTTCCTGATGCCAAGTTCGAGTACCCCCAACCCTCTCCCTCAAAAAGACGGTACGTCATCACTTGCAAAAGTCTGGTCTACGAGGCTCCTCTGCTATTTAATTACCCCCTAGTTCTGCTGTGGTCTCTACTCCAGCAGCCCCTCCTTCTACTATGTCTGTGGCTTCAAGGTCGGTACCATCGTCGCTGAGATCTTCATCGTCTTGACCTTCGCCGGGAACTTCATCGTCGCTGTCATCGTCGCTGGGATGTTCCTCGTGGTCGATGAATTCGTCAATTCTTTTGCTTCCCGTAGTATATGTGTCACCTTTAAGATTTACATTACATGTAAAGCACCGTTCGCCCAACCAGTATCCTCTCTTCTCCAAGTATTGGCCGTCTCTCTGTACTTGCCAGCAGCCTTCTGCTTCTACCTGCCAGCATTGAAGAGAGTTCCCATACTTGCAAGATTTCAAATATGGTAGAAGAACCATGGCTTGGTCGTAGTCCGGATCCGTACTTCCTGCTTCCACTCCATTGGCCTCAAAACCGCCGACAACGTAGAGGTATATGGTGGTTGCAGTGTCGAAGCGTCCGATATTCTGCAAAAAGTGTTCGTGCTAAGTCCAAATATGTTAGCTTTACGTGTTCTCAAGGAGCATGTCACCAACATACCGTATCTTTAAGTTTAGGCAAATCTACACCTAGTGTATGCAAATTGGTACATGCCGTACGGATCCTTCTAAGTTCTTGCAAAGAAAGATGTACACCAGCATAGCTCCAGCCCCGAAGTGACAGATATACAAGACTCTGACCAAATTCGCAAATGAGTAGTGGCGGAAAGATTTCTTGCCAACGTTTGACTCTAAGCTTAAGCTTCTCTAATTGTTTATATTCACCAAGAAGCTTTCGAATTGCGGCTTGCAGATCGTTGAGGTTGTTTCCAAATAGAGTTGGGTAATTAGCAGCAGTAAGTCGAAGTCTGCGAAGTTTGGCTAAAGCCTCCAGCGACACCGTTAAGAAGAATTTGGTCAGAACGATCCCGTGTAGGCACAAATCCTGAAGGTCGGAAAAGTCCCAGATTTGTCCATAGTTCTCCGCCGTATGGTCCCAGTGATAGTTTTTCAAGTTAAGTTTAGACACCGCTGGTAGCTGTCTGAAGATCGGGCAGGCATGAGAAGTGATGAAAATAGGCATCATCCACACGCACCAGATATGGAGCTTCAGTACTGGAGCAATTGCCAGAGGGTCGAAGACAGAGGAATCGAGGCCAAGTTGTGGTGGATCTTCCAACTTTCGTGAGTCCTGATACAGAGTCTTACGCTTCATCAACTTCCCACTCAGGTCGGTTGCAATGAATCTGACTTGATGATTATCATAATCTTGTCCACCGGGGACTAGTGAGAACCTGCGTGATCTAACTTCGCAGCGTACTGTTCTTTTTAGGAACGCATGAAGACTGGCCTGGATACACATCAATGATACATCTGTATGTTGGATTCCAATGTTCCACCTGTGCGAGTCAGCTTTGCAAGATTATCCGCTGCGCTGCTTCCAGTAGCGTAGCACATACCATCCGGGTTATGGGAACGTACTGGACCTCGACCACATGTTTTCCCTTCGAAATAACATCTATAACTTCTGTCATATAAGACTCCTCGAGATGTGGCGCAAAGGAACTATGTTTTGCGTATTGTATCGTGTCGGCCTACACTCGTGTAAGCTCATTGACGAGAGATCTGTATTGACTTCGGTGTACCTTGAATTTTTCTTGGAGTGACATAGGGTCGTAGCGGACCAACTTGTCGTTTGTAAAGACTACCTTCTCATATACGAGTGTTGTGATCTTCTTGTTGAAGTATTTCGAGACCGTGCGAAGCTCCCTGAGCCACGTCTGGAAGAGCGGATCTTGCACCCACATCGTCTCACCGCCCTTGCTGTCCTCCTTGTACTCCCTGGCTTTTCCCCAAAGCTGGAGCAATGTTAGCGGTCTGCTTCTACTGCCAAAATTCATAGCATGTTAAGACATAGGCCCGAAGGCGTAAGAGCTACAATTTGCGCAAAATGGCGGGTAGGGCGCGGCACGGTTGGTACCAATCCGGAAATTGACCTGCTCCATGGGCCCCCTTAGGGTGGGTAGGCCGCGTCGTCTCTGACCATAGGTGGTTTTAAATTAAGGAGAAACCTCCAGGGTAGCCCCGGATAATCTAGCATGTGATTACACGTAATCAAAAAAGAGGGAAATTAAGGGGTTTGGCCAAAATCTATAAAAAGGGCTTACTTCTCCTGCTCATTCTTACTTCCTTTCTCTTCTTTAAGCTATAGTTGCTTCCTTTACTCATAGTCTAGCCAACTATACCTTAATTAGTGGTGTATAAGCTTATTGGACCCTTCTAAATACATATTTAAAGCTCTAGATTAGTCTCCAGCCTTGCTCAATCTTTTGAAAAAAGTAAAGGGACTGAAGCTTCCTTAGTTAAAACTTTCTAGAAGTTCTTACCTTCTAAAAGCGCTTTAATTCCTCAAATCCAACTCATCTCACATAATCCCCATGTGACTTAGAGTCATATAAGTGAGTGCTATTACCTCCATTTTTGCATTTTTATATTATTTAGTGAGTATAGCCAGGGCATTATGCTTTACATATGCTTTATAATATACACTCTTTCTTATAAGGGGGTATGTGGCAGAGTTTTAATTATACCACGTGAGGCCATGTCATGTGCTGGATGGCAGATGGTAACCTGGTGGGAGGTTAGGGTAAAAGCTTAAGAAGCTTAACCTTACCCTACCCGCCCACTAGGTGGGTAGAGGGCCCCTCTAACCAGCCATTAACCACCCGTGCCGCGCCCTAATAGCGGGGGAACTGGCGCGCTCACCTGGTCAATAACCATCGACCAAATGTCAAACGGTAGAAGTCCATTCTTAGTAGACGCACCAACAGTTACTATGTTGCTGATCATGGTGTGATTTTCTGCGTTCGTGTTCATTGTTGTTGCTGTTGAAATCTTCAAGAATTGGGTATGATTCGATGATAGTATTCATAGTATTCAGAGTTCTATATAAGTTTTAAACGAGCACTAGTGGACCATCTACGATTTCTGGTGCACTAGATAAGCGCTATAGGAGCTTTACGAAGTTAGCCTCCATTTGAACTAGTAGATTGGGTTATTTTGTAGGTGAATAGGCCCCATTCTTTTGAAAAGCTGTATTCCAAAATTGAGTCACAGTGTCTCCATATTCTCGAAATTAAGAAGAGCAAAAAGGTGAGACTACCAAGGTAGACGTAGAGCAGACCATGTACTAAGTGAGACGATTGTGAAGGCTGCATGAAGTAGTTGAGAGGAAAGTGAAGAACGATGCCTAAAAAGCCGCAACATGACGTCTCTAAGGCGCTAGGTTCAGTTTACCCTGATCTCAACATTTGCTCGAGGCGAAATCAGCACCATAATCACAGTAAGACAAATCTTATTGGTCAGAAACGTACCATCTCAAGTCTCATTATTGAGACGATAATCCCATACCACATCATCAATGGTCTAGGAATCGTCCGGTCATATTCTCAAAAAGGCTGACATTCTTTTACTCTTCATCATCATTGGGCTAGTACTATTTCCCTAGCTCATAGTCGCTTCCCGAGCTTTCTTCTTCTTCTCAGTCAGAGTCAAAATATGAGGAGCCTCCCTGTCCGTCGGTTTCTTCTCCATCTCCAAGTCTTGCCAGCTTCTTGTTGTATTCATGAACAAGTCGCAAGTTGAGTTTGCATCCAGGCTGTAAATGATTGCCGAAGAAACACTAGCAGTAGTTTGTCTTTGGTATCTGGGCACACTAAGACCAAGTAAGTCGTTGGCTGATGTGGAGTTGGAACTCGCAAATAGAGCTGTTTTGAAGAAAGAGAGGTGATCAGAGCTGATCATGGGCATAACAATGTTGCTGAAGATGAACAGGCGAGTCCCCCATACTAGAATTATATACCAAATAATTATCGATGTTAAAAGGATTCACATGTCCTGAACCCAGAAAATGACCGTCGCTGAGGGACAACCAAGAATAGTTTAAACGAGATTAAGCGATGAGGTAATAGGAGAGAATACTTCACGTGACCGTGTGACTGGATCGTTCACCAACGCAGCTTTCTCTTACACACACAGAGGTCCCTAGCTATGCGTTCAAGAACGTCGAAAACATGGCCACCTCGTCCATCGCCTCCTAACAAGCTCAGTATTCTCTTCCTCAACGCCATGTTTTCCCACGACTTTCAAGAACACCTCATCCAGAATCGATACCGATACAGAGTAGAACTCCAATCCCAATCCTGCCTTGTTTTCTTCCAGTAGCACAAAGATAGAAGCTACAGAAGTTTCCTCTTGCTCTTCTATCTCAAGCACTGTGCGGAGGTCGGAGGGTGAAGGTTTGGAGGGGATATTGAATCTCAGCTGTCCATTCCACAACTTCCTCTACATCTCACTGCCCTTAAATTTCCCTTCTACCCACTCTTTCAAATTCTCCATTTCATCCAGACCTGTGGTGGGCGCAGATTTAAGTACGAGATGGACGTGAAAGCCATATCCGTGTTTGGCGCGTAAGTGTTGTGTCGTTCCAAGATCGAGCATGTGCCTAGCCAGGATATCAACACGAGAGGCTAATGCGTCCGCGTCTTCCATTGAATGCGTGGTAAGGAGGATCGACCGATGAGGGACGAATCTTGAAAGTGTTGTCCACATGCTTCTCTTGGCGAGAGGATCCATACCCGAAGATGGCTCATCCAGCAATAATACATCGGGATTCCCTATCATTGCACTTCAGTAAATTGTCCACTAATGAACGAGACACTGTATCAATAAGTGCAATAGCCAGACCCAACTTCCTCTTGTTTCCACCTGACAGCTTGCTCGCCATTCTATCTCGGAAAGGTGCAAGACCAACAGCCTTTACAAGATTATCGACATTTTGCTCAATATCGCTAAGACCACGGATCCCTGCGTAGAAACAAAGATGTTCGAGAACCGTCATCTTGTCTAATGGATCATGCTGCGGACATACTCCCAGATGAGAACGAGCTGCATCTCTGTCCTTCGCTACTGGGGTATTCTCGACAAATATCTGCCCGTTTCCATGATCTGGCTTGATTTCTCCTCGAATCATGGAATTTGTGGTAGACTTTCCCGCTGTAGAATCATCAGCTCCTATTCACAATGACACATGGGATGTATCACGGAAACATACCTCCATTAGGACCTACGAGTGCAAAGACTTCTCCCCGTTTGATACCAAATGTTAGATCATCCACAACTTTCGTCTTACCACTAGCTCTCGTTTTGAGTGTCTTGCTAGTATGTAAGACTCTAAGACCATCATCCGATTTAGCCACGCGATTTATTTCGTCTGATACTTCAGGCTCTTTCGTGGACGTATCCTCAAAGTCAATTTCTACGGACCCCGCCCTGAAGCTAGGAAACGAGAATCCATGATCTGACCAGACTAAGATGCCGAACAGAGAAAGTGATTGGCATATCAGATAAATTATTGGTGCACCAAACAAGGGCAAGGGGCCAGGGGTTGTTGCCTTGACCGGTGGTGAGCCGCTGCAAAGAGCAGAGAACAGGTTCAGGCCAACAAAAATAGCTCTCAGAAGTTGTCCGATCGGTGTGATTATGCCGAGTGTGTAGTGTACCAACATAAATTCCCATTGTGTCTTGTCGGCAGGCTATCGGACAGTGATGGTCATGTATGCGCTCATGTACATCAAAAGCATGAAACTAGATTTATAATAAGAATTCGGAACTCTTAGAGAGGGAAGGTTGTACGTACGCTTGACCACCAGCTGAAAATGCAAAAGCAGACAGTTGGGATCGGGCCACCAGTGATATCACATATGATAACAGGATCGACGTGATGCCATACAAGAAGAGACACAAGAAGATTGTGCCTAGGGAGAACCAAGCGTGAGGAGCAGCAGTGGCGAATATTAGAGTGACTATAACACTGATAAAAAGAACAATCACTCCATCAAAGGTTAGATATGCGGACCTATTTTGTTTAGTATTTCCTTTGCCAGCCAATATTCGAGGCTGACTTACCATAAAGGTAGACTTCTAACGCCATTTGAATATTGCAAAGCCCGAACACCTCTTAAACTCTCAGCCGTGGGGTAAAGAGTGAAGAATGCGGGGTACGCAGCCAATCCTGAGTGTTTGGTGGCCATGGAAGATCAAACACAGCTAATCCAGCAAATCGTTACATCATAAAGGAAAAGAACGTGTATGAACATACCATACTGTGTAGCAATGGTCTGATTCGACAACAGCACATTCATAGCATTTTGGATGAAGATCGCAGCATAAACTCCAAGTACGCCTAAGTTGGATCTGTAGCTGTAAGTAGGAACAGAGCCTTGAGCGCCCAAAAAGATACCTCCAGGAACTATTGTAGAGTAGTTACTGTTAGTGAAATTAAGAAACTCATCAAGGCTGTTGACAACGTGTATGCCTTGAATGATAGCCGACTTGTTAATTCCTTGGGTGATATTCGGTAGGACTCGAGAGAAAAGCTCAAGTTTCTGGAGTGTTAGCGCACTTTGAGGTCCGATGACAATTTGTGGTGTCAGGCTCATCGACAAGGTCTCGATGTCTGAGACACTGATTTGGTCGGCGAAGTTACAGCCAGGATTTCGGAAATTCTTGATGAGCATCGAGACCAGACCCGCACCAGCAATTGGAATGACAATAGTTGCAAATGTCCCGACCCAACTTCGGCGCAAGACTGTGACTCGCTTCCTGAACAAGGTAAATATTTGTTGAAAGGCTCCGATACGATGCCCAGTCAAAAGAGCTGTTTCGTCGGTAGCATCAATATCTGTGGCAATCTTCTCATGGTGACCGTCATGCAATATTTCAATGTGTTCGACCTTATCAGTGCCAGAGTCATCCGAAGTATCGATTGCCATCTTCATGAACACTTCTTCTATTGTTGGGCCGGTGATTGGAAATTCTTGATCCCTTGAGACTTGTACGTTTTGATCCTCTCCAAGGCAGTTGCAGGATCCACAGCAATGAAAGATTCGTCTGCACCGTTCTTCCGTGATAGTTCTGCCAGATTGCCATTCGCATCGCCGTCCGTTCCTGGGGACACAAGAACTCGATATCCACTTCCAAGACGAGCTTTAAGCTCGGATGTAGATCCTTCTGCCTTCAGATGACCTTTCGTGATGATGGAGATATGATCTGCAAGATATTCTGCTTCATCCAAGAAATGAGTGGTGAGAATAAAGGTTCGGTGCCCTCGTTCCGCTAGGAGAATATCCCAAATGCGTCGCCAGGATGGTGGATCGAGACCCTCTGAGACTTCATCAAGGCAACAAACGCGACTACCGCCAATGAGCATCATGATTAGCTGCAGCTTACTTTTTTGCCCTCCCGATAATGTTCGTGCACGTGATTTTCTCTTCCCTTCCAAGCCACATTTCTTGATGAGCCCACAGACTTCGTCATTCGAAGTTGCTGCTGATGTCGTCTTCAGCTTGTGGAATATCTTTGCGTGTTGCTCAATCGTCAGGCCATTCCATAAGACATTTTGCTGTGGGCATAGCCCAATGCCTCCTGAGCCATCCACGGTAATTGATCCATCGGTGATGCTATTCAATCCCGCAATGGCATTCAGTGCAGACGTTTTCCCACAGCCATTTGCGCCAACAAGCGCCAGAATCTGACCTTGCAAGGCAGTCAAGCTGAGATCGTTGATAGCAATGACTGGAGTGAGCCTGATTCCGAACATACGCGCTGCAAAACGAACAATCCCGCTTTTTTGGTATATTTTCTTGAAGTTGGTCAGTCGGACTGGCGTGCTACTTTCGATTCCACCCCATGAAACGTTTCTCTTCGAACGCTGAGCTGCTGTCCCATACAACCAACGCTCGACATACATAGAAAGGATTGGATAGGCGATGATCTGCATCACCAGCAAAGCCCATAGAACTCCAATATGCAGTGTCCACGGAGTTCCAGGTGCAGATTCTCCCAGCTTGGCAGCCTCCTGATTAAAACCGAATCGCAATGCAGCGGACAAGAAGAAGACGAAGGTCATTGGGGTGAACAGCAGACCCAGTATGACTACGGTAGCCGAATCCAACGATTTGCTCTCGATCTGAGCGATGATACCTAGACAGAGAGCAAGTACAACAGTTGTGATACCACTGAGCTGTGCTTTTCGGAAGAATGAAGCTCCTAATATGCTGAAAGATATGAGAGCAAGACCGGACAGAATGAAAAAGATGACGACGATGCTTCCGGATGTCTTAAGAAACAGTCCATGTTTGGCAATTACACCCATGACTATCCATCCAGGTGCATACACGATGGAAAATGCGAGAAAGTGACCGATTAGTCGAGCAAATTGACACTCCCAGCGTCGTACATTCGGCATCATGGATTCGACGAGATCTGACATGCCGATTTCTCTCTCCTTGGCCATCAGACCAACCAGCTGGTACATGATGCCAACAAATCCAATGTACCAGACGACGGAGAGATGGTTGGTGGTTGCCCTTTGGATGTCCGTTGTAATTCGAGCAGTGCATGCCTTTTGTGTCACGGAAGTAAATGCTTCATAGGTCAGCTTCCATCATAGAGTTGGCGGCCAGAAAACATACGATATTCGTTCACGGTCGATGGAAGCGAGACTGCACCACCAGTACTGTTGACAGCAGCAATAGCGGCATCAACAGCACGCTGAAGAGGAAGTTAATAGACCTCAGGATCATTAGTCGTCTATCCCACGTTGATATTTGCACCAAATGCAGCATCAGCTCGTAGTGTATAATTCCAGACACCACCTGGCCCCTCCTGGGGCGAAGAGTTGAATACAACAGTCCCAAAGCATTTCGTAGTCCCCTGAAGCGTACTGGGACATACCTGAAGTAGATCCGATGGATCGTTGAGAACGATTGCATCTTTGCTGATGCTCGAATGGGAGTAGCAATGTTATTGATAACACGATCGATATCACCACCAAGTGAGACATTATTGACGAAGACCACAGTATCGCGTCCTCCCGTCGCAGTTTTCATTGCATATTGAAGAGACAGAAGCTGATGAAGATTCCCGACACCGTACTTTTCCTTTGGCCAGTACACTTTGATGATGACACTCATGTAGAGCGAGTAGATGATGGGGATCCAGAGTGCCCGTATAAGTGTGCTCAGCCTGCTCTTTGGACCACTGAACAGCAAGAGGAGGTCCTTGCGAACCAAGATGGCAATTTGGCGCAATAGAAGACCCATCGTGATTGACAGTCTGGTCGACCTTCTCAATTGAAGTTGTCATGACACAATATGGTGAGGAAATGCCTCAACAATCGCGACTCCCATATTTTGAGGTGAATCGAAGACGGCATGATCCTGACCGCGTTCTCGATGTCTTACTTGGAAGAACCGTATTCATTTGCGGTTGTGTCACTCCACACTTTTTGTGGCTTGAAGGCAGATGAAAAGAGCCCAATTACAGGTGGAGGTGCGCCTGAGGTGGCTCTGCCATCATCGGACGATAACTTCATCGCAACAGGCTTGAGCACTGCCATCGTCGACCGAGTGAAAGGAGCCGTGGGAGACATGAGACAGATTATTGCTGTGTTTGGATGCGTGAGTTGAAGGAGAGATGACATGAGGAGATGTACCGAGCTACTTCATCGAAATTTTGTAAAAGCGGCAACGAGGCGCTTTGGTACTCGAAATTGGATCAAGTCCCAACCTAAACAAAACAATCCGGTAAAATCAAATCGACAAATAAGCTAAGTATGTCCCCTCAGAGACTTTGCAAAATGCTGTCATGGTATATCCCAGGATCTAAAGGACAATGAAATCTTTAGTAGCTTTTGAACCTGTTTCAGATATCTCACTGGCCTTGAAACCCAAGGACATTCAAAGCGCCGTACAAAACCGGGGCACCCTGTAATCCCTTAATTGATACTAGAATTGGGGGAGATATTGATATAAAAGAATTGACTAGTTGTATTTGAAGTTATTGATCGCCAAACCCGCAGATTGCGCGAAACGCGCGGAATGCGCGGAATGTGCCTGGGCGAGAAATAAGATACCGTAGAAATTATGGCATGAGATGGCATTGTTCCAGAGCTTGTGGGACAATATAAGTAGGCATTGCACAATCTTTATCAAAATTTAATGTTAAGGATATTTAGAATGTCAACTTAAACCTCCGATTACAAGACCTATGATAGATCTCAGCTCTGCTAGATCTATATGAACCCAATGCAAAGTGTCGAACAATATGGTATGCACAAGAAAACAACCCTATCTGGACTCATTCTAATTCATACCTCACACTCCGTCCCCTCCTAATCCCATTTGTCTCCTCTCCACCCTCCATTTCCTGGGGTTGCGTAGACGCAACATTCTCACTCATCTTCTCCTGCACCGGCGTTCCATTTGCTCCCACGCCATCAATCCGACCTCCCGCTAATCTAGCACTCATCCCCTCCGCAGGCGAAACGTTCTTATACACTCCTCCTCCCGCCATCGCACCCGCAGTAAGCGGGCTAACACTGTTATACTCATAGCCTTGCGGACTTGCATATTGTGGAGCTGGTGTCTGGGGAGTATACGCTGACTGATAGCTCGGACTCGCATTTCCATATCCATTCATAGGGCCCACTCCTCCTCCGGCTTTGTAATCCGTGAAGGGGCCAGCTTTAGGAGCTTCGGAATGTCTTCCTGTGGTAGCTTCTCTCCGCTGTCTCCGACGACGCATGAGGAACCATACTATGAATCCTATAACCAGGAGTCCAGCAATAGCACATCCAACGCCAATTCCTGCTTCTGCACCATTGCTAAGCCCCCCACTTTTCGCAGCCGTGGTCGTTGAGCTCGGAGTAGATGTCGCTGAAGTGGCTGCTGTTGAGCTCGTAGATGTTACTGCCCCAGTAACAGCTGTAGCTGGAACGGTGTATGTAGTCGTCAGCGATCTCGGTGGGGGAGCCTTGAACGTTTCCTGGGTCGGAGAATCGCAATGTATGATCCCATTTGTGACTCCGCAGCAATGCCATGTTTTGGTTGTTTGGTTGTAGACGATATCTGTGAGATCGAGATCGTTGCAGGCGGGGTTACAAGCTTGTGCGGTGAGAGATTGATCGTTGCAGCCTCCGACGTAGTATGTTGATACTACATTTGGGGCTGCGGGTTTCGCGTGTGAGTATTGGCAGAGACCGTCTGCGAGACAGGTATCGCCTACTGCGCAGCACGATGAGAAGTTCTAAGAACCATTAGAGAGGATGGGAATAGAATTGGGGAAAGGAACATACCCCATTAGGCGTGACGATACCGCAAGGTCCACCAGTTGATGTCCGTTCTTGGTTGTCTGCTTTGTAGTAGCATTGTGTTGCAAACAATTGCTGCGCATAGGTGAAATGGGAAGTTGAGGCGATCAAGGCCACGATAGCCAGTATCGAGTGATGCATATTGAGTTACCCAAGCCTCCCTGACCCTCGAACTTATGATACTGTGAAAAGATAGAGATCAAGTTGCAAGATACAATCAATGCAGACAACTCAACAGCGCATTGATCTCATTCTTCCACGTTCTTCGATAGAGGTGAAGATAGAATAGTCTTCGAGCCCGAACCCGAGTCAGAAATCAAAAGAAAGAAACCCACCGGCTGGGCCACCTACGTCTTTATTGCATGCCGTTCATCCCAGTCCACGTATGTTGACATAAAATGGCTGACGGCTCGGGCTTTGGTCAATCAGTTGAAATGGAGTTGCAGGGACCAGAGAAAAGCACATAGAGCTACTCAAAGAACACAGCAATGATTGGTCAAAGAGAGAGGGCTGTGGGGTCTCACTTGGGGAAGGCGCTGCAACTAAAATCTCGCTAATTAACCTTATGTGAGCCCTGCCGCTCTTAGTGCCTGAAAGCTGGGAAAGACTTGAACCCATTACTTCACTCTAGGACTTACACTGAAGAGAGGACTATTCGGTTCTTATTTGAAGAGGACCAAATCCCCGAGCAATACTGTAACTTTTTTCGTTCCTGCTATGTTGCTTCATGGGCAACAAGATGTCAAAAAGAATTATGAAGTGACGTAGTAATTCTTGGCTAAGCCAGATCAGATTCGCTAAGATCTTCCCCTTTTACGAAGGACCCCTGACAGTCAGCTCGCAATCGTGCTCTTCTCGTCTTAGTTTCGAATATGGGAAGACAAGCAAAGGACTACTCAGTTTAGAACAGAAGGGGTATTTTGGGTTGGGTGCATTGCTAGAAGTTCTTCTGAAATCACTATTCAGCTCTCGATTCAACAATGCACACTAGACGGCATATTCAGCAATTCTACGAGAGGGTCATCCGCAGCACTTGCTGCATCGACATTTCGAACATACACACATTCTGTAGGAAGTAGCCAAGTGACTTTAAACAAACGGTGAGCACAATGTTGCCCAAACTCCCAACTTTTTATTCTACATAGCTGTACATATAACCGCCCTGGTATCCTTTATTTCTTCTTTCCATGAATGCCAACATCTAGACCTCCGATCGCCCACGCTGCGCAGAAAACACCAACGAAGGCCGTGAAGATGACAAGAGGCTTCCTGAAGCCCGCGAGGAAGGGATAATCATATGTGACGATGAGCTCCCGATCCCGGAAGTCATCGACAATGTTGATTGCAGTGAGGGTCAGTGCCGTACGGCCGGTTGTGTCCATGAATGTACGGTGTAATGTTACTTCAGCGCCGACGAGAGGTACGGTGGTGCTGTATTGTACGTTCCTGAGATTGTTAGTTGGAATTTCAATGCTGGCAAAGAATACTTACTCGGCTCCCTCTGGAAGGATGACGCGCAGCTCAATGTGCTCATATGACACACCTTCGGGCTGCTTGGGTCCTTCTAGAAATGGGACGTTCAACACATAGCCTTGTCCAGTCTTCAACTTGCGGAGAAACTTTTTCAGATCAGCATTCCATCCTACGCGGAATGGATAGTTCCAGCCCCCGAAGATAGGATATCTGGGCTTGATTTCGAGATTGGCTTCGCGCTTGTTGCTTCTAAATCTGGATGTCGAAACGTTTCCGATAACATCTGTGAAATATGGGTCCTGGCTGCCAACTCTCAGTGGGAACTTGAGCTCCTTAATTGCAGTACTAGGTGGGCTGTAGTACTGTTGAGAAGCCCATTGGACCCTGTCGAAGTTCTTGGAGAGATTCGCAGCATGATTGTGAAGTGTGAAACGGTCCTCGAATGCGATATTTCCTCCCCAATGACTGACTTCGATATCTCTCTCAAGTCGCGAAACGTGGATCACAGGCTTCGTGAATTCGTATCTGACCTTCACTGGCTCGACTGCACCAGCTGGAAGCTCTCCAAATGATCCATAGGTAAACTTCGCGCCTTGTTTCTGTGGCGACTCTGATTCTCCTTTGGATCCAGGGACAATGGTATATTCTGGCACATTTGTGCTTGGGAACTTGACTTCGGTTTTTTGCTTTAGGGTCACATAGGTTGAAGGACAGTAGGCCGAGAATGTGTAAACCAAGTATTGACTTTCTTGTTGTCCAACGTGTTTAGGGAGGGGCTCGAGCGCAGAGAGGTATGAATAAGAAATACCCAAAGTTTGTTGTGTTTTCGGGGCGAGAGGTTTAGGGAGACGAATGCGGTAGAATTGGGTATCACTTGCGGATAATTAGCTGGGTAAATTGCATTGCGTGTTGTAAGTCCAACATACCTCTCCGAGTCAAATTCGACAGCTTCCGCGTCGAACAGTCCAGCATCTGGGTCTTTTCTGTCTTTCACTTCCAAGCCCCCAATTGTTGCCATCTGCTGAGATGTGAATGGAATGAAGTATTCATCCTGGGCATCTTTGGCCGTGTTCTCTATCAGCACGTTGATCTGTTCCTTTGGATAGCTCTTTTCGAGATTGATGATATGCACAAGATTGACATTCTTGAAGTTTTGTGGCGGTTTGAAGTTCGAAGGTAAAATCAATCGCGATGTGAGTGGTTTCGTCAAGTTGCCCTTCTCTGCGCAGAGAACTGTCGAAGCAAAGGAGAGGACGGCAGCCGCAGTCGCCAACAACTTCATTTTGAGGGTAGCTGGCAGTCCAGCTCGAGAATCGAATTGGCCACGAAAAATGGTCCCCGCGAAGCTGGGACAATGTTGGCAGAAGCACAAGACACAAGATTAGTCGACTTGAAGCTTACGTTGCTTCCTCAAAGTGTCCTTACCGTGCCAAGTGATCGGAGGTATTGGCATGACTAGGATCATGACTAAGCCACGCCAAGGGTAATCGCTTTTTCGCTTAGCCCCGCCATGTTCTGAACTGACGGAGCTGAGCTATCAAAATCATTCTCAACATTCACCCTTTCGTCCCACCGCTCCTATATAAGTCTTAAGCACAGTAACGACTGTGCCCCTTTTTGTAACGCCAAACACAGAGCTCTCTCAATAAGAATCTGCCAAAATGGTTGGACTTGGCCCTGTAAGTTCTTTGAACCCCTCCTTCCTCTTTTCAATATCTGGGTCGCGTTCAAACAGACAATTGCTTCTGCACAATGGACCTCCGGATCTGTGGTTATGTGATAAAGTCTTTTGTAGACGTCAATGGCTAACATATTTCAAGAGAAAACCGCCGTCCCGAAAGGGTAAAATTGTCTTCATAATTGTGACTGTTCTGTGTGGTTGTTATTGCTGTTGTTGCTCAACGAATTTCCAATGTCCAAGTGGCCGCTGGACATTCACCGAACTTGTTATTCGCGAAGGCTTTCCAGCCTCGTTGTTGATAGTAAACCAAATCCGACAGCGGATGGCTGCTTTGGAAACCATCTCCGACCCATAATCATCCACGACCACTTCTACAATTGGATTCTTCAAGATGGCACACTCCCTACAACAAGAAGATTTGAGATCGAACATGCTTCCCGAAGGTTCATTGACCCCCATGCGCGTTTTTACCTCAGTCCTCAATATACCGTCATCGGCACACTGCGCTCCGGAGTTGTCTCACCTCAACCCGGCGGAAATGTCTCACGGAAAGATGGGGAATACAACTCTCCTCATGCTCGAGTGTTGTACGACATGCTTGGCGTTGCACAATTTTCCGCATCATAAGATTGAGAAAAAGCAATCTGTGGAACACACCGCCGTCACGTGGACACAGCCGTGTTCACCCTGCAAACACCCCTCATATCATATTCACTTTCAGTTCTTTGTTAATTCAGTTGAATATCTGTGAAAATGCTAACATACACTGCAGGCTCTATGGCCGATGTGCCAAAGGACTTGATGCAGGAAATCAAGCGCCTTGAGGAGTTATTTACTGTCGATACAACCAAGTTGAAAGCTATTACCGACCACTTTGTCAAGGAACTTGAGAAAGGTATCTATCACGCCACTTTTTAAAATATAGTACTAACAGGAACAGGCCTCAGCGTCGAGGGTGGAAGTATTGTAAGATTCCCTCGATAATTCAAACACTTCAAGCTAATAAGCTACAGCCAATGAACCCCACATGGTGCATGGCGTTCCCTACTGGTTATGAGACTGGAACATATCTTGCTCTGGATATGGGTGGCACCAACTTGCGAGTTTGCGAGATTGTCTTGACTGACGAGAAATCCGAATTCGACATCATCCAATCCAAATACCGCATGCCCGAGGAATTGAAGTCTGGTACCTCTGAGGAATTGTGGGAGTACATCGCCGATTGCCTCCAACAGTTCATTGAGTCCCACCATGCTGGCCAAAAGCTCGAGAGTCTTCCTCTTGGTTTCACTTTCTCTTACCCCGCCACCCAAGATTACATAGACCACGGTGTTTTGCAACGATGGACTAAGGGCTTCGACATTGATGGTGTTGAGGGCAAGAATGTTGTTCCCATGTTTGAGGCTGCTATTGCTAAGAGAGTGAGTCAAACCCCTTTTCTATCCTGTCTCTTCATTCTAACACGTGACAGGGAGCACCCATCAAGCTTACGGCCCTGATCAATGATACCACTGGTACTTTGATCGCTTCCGCCTACACTGATACCAAGATGAAGATTGGATGTATCTTCGGAACAGGTTGCAATGCAGCTTACATGGAGAATTGCGGGTCGATTCCCAAGCTTGCTCATATGAACCTGCCTCCCGACACTCCAATGGCCATCAACTGCGAATGGGGTGCTTTCGACAACGAGCACAAAGTCCTGCCACGTACTCCTTACGACATCATCATCGACAAGGATTCTCCACGTCCTGGTCAACAAGCTTTCGAGAAGATGATTGCTGGTCTCTACCTTGGCGAGCTTTTCCGTTTGGTTCTCGTTGACCTCCACGACAACAAGGAAGTCCACATCTTCGAAGGCCAAAACATTGATAAGCTCCGCAAAGCTTATACCCTTGACTCCTCCTTCCTTTCCCTGGTTGAAGAGGATCCCTTTGAGAACTTGTCCGAGACAGGTGATCTCTTCCAGAACAAGCTTGGAATCACTACAACCCACCCCGAGTTGGAGCTTATCCGCCGCCTTGCGGAGCTCATCGGTACCCGCGCCGCTCGCCTATCCTCTTGTGGTGTAGCTGCCATCTCCAAGAAGAAGGGCTACGAAACCTGTCACGTTGGAGCCGACGGATCCGTCTTCAACAAGTACCCCCACTTCAAGCAACGTGGCGCTCAAGCTCTGCGTGAGATCTTGGACTGGCCCGCTAAGAAGAGCTCCAAGGAGGAAGACCCCATTGAAATCTTGGCCGCTGAGGATGGTTCCGGTGTTGGTGCCGCATTGATTGCCGCACTCACACTTAAGCGTGTCAAGGAGGGCAACATGGCAGGTATCCTGCACCCAGAGAACTACAAGTAAATTACTTCTTGCAGGATTCTATGAATGACATATGGGTAGAGAAAAGGAATGACTCAAGATCGAAATTTGCTTCTACACTGAACTCTCGTTCTCGTACACGATTTTTAGACTCAAGTGTATTTAGCTTAGTCTTGCAAGCATGGCTTTACAACAGCTCCTGCTATCCTTTTTCTGTGAACGCCGTCTAATGCAGGGTATCATAATGTTTCGTTCTTCGTCTCGTTCATATTCACCATACGACTTCCGCTAGCCCCAGCTTTTTTATCCCAAGAATGTGCATATAGGTAGTCGATACTTGTCCAGTGTCCAGTATCTTCTCCTCACGCCCTTCCACTCACCCTCACCCTCCTTCTCCATACCTTCAACCGGAACCTCAACATCAGTCCAGTCGACATCCATGCCCGCATCACATAGATCCAACTCAGCAACCCTACAATAGACATCATAACAGACTCTCCTATCTGCACCCAGTCCATTGAAGAATCCAAACCTTCCGTCGCCATCAAGTAGCCCGGGCACAAGCTCCGTGAAGAAGTGTTTCAACTGCGAATAATCCTCTCCAAAGGTATCAAAGTATATCGCATCAAACACCTCTCCTTCCTCCAACAACTTCGGACAAACATCCTGCCACTTGCCCGCATGAACCGTATACTTCCCACCCTCCGGCGCACTCTCTTCCCACGCTTTCCCAAAGTCCGACCCCTCCTCAGATAATTTCTCCAACACAGCCGGATGCGCCTCGACGATATGATGGCTCTTCGGCTTCGTATCCCTGAACATCCTATCCACGATCCCCATCCCAAACCCAATATTCAGGACCCTAGCACCAGGCTTCAGATCCGGGATCAAGAGATCAACAGTCTTCCGCATGATACCCGTCTCCCACGCCATCATAACCCCATTCGCGTCCCCATCCAGCAATTTATCGTCCTCGAATTTCAGCTTGCTGTTCAGGTAGTCTTCAGAATTAACATCCCTCTTCTCTTCTCTCCCCAACTCAATCTCTTCCGCTGGTCCAACCGCCACTTCATGCTCCTGCATCTCTCCATTCGTCCCATTCTCCCCATTCTCTCCAACCTCCATCTCTACCTCATCCTCATCCTCACCCCCCTCACCCCCCTCACCCCCCTCACTCCCCTCACTCCCCAGCGCTTCCCACCCCCCCATCAACCCCAGCAGCACCTCCGCCCTCACCCCCGCATTAACAACACACTCATACAAGCCCCTCCCCCTCTCCCCCAGTCTCCACGCCACACACCCCGGCGTCTCATTCTCCTCATCCAAATCATTCCAAATCGCGCCCGCCAGGAACAATTCCCTAACAACCTCTTCCGCGGCCGCGATATCGGCGTCGGGCTCGAAGCAGGAGGCGATCGCGGCGTGGAGGGGCGTCGTGCCGGTTTCGGGGTCGCGGACGGAAGCAGCGCCGGCGGTGCGGAGGAGGGGGAGGAGGAGCGGGAGGTTGTGGGTTGAGGCGTGGAGGAGGATGGTTTGCGTTGTGAGGGAGAGGGTTGGGGTTGTGAAGGCTGGGTCGTCCATTTTTGTGGTTTGGGTGGGAGGTTTGAGAGAGCTTTGGGGGTTTTTTTTGGAGGGGTTGATGGATTGGGTTAGTGTGGGTTAAATGTGGGGAATTGAGCTGGGCAATGGTGTGGGTTTTCGATGTCAGGTCTAGGATTCCCATAATGGAAGCTCGAAAATTATGGAATTATATGGATGGTCGAGGAGTGTGGAATTAGGAAAGTGACTGGAGGAGTTCTGTGTACCGAGCATGGAAAAGGTGCATCTCATGCGAATGAAATCCAATCAACAGACATATCTCATAGATCCTCACTTTATCATTCATTACCAGCCCTATTCCTCGGAAAGTACAGAAACTAAGAGTGTACCACCTGTTCGCAAGGACTCAACACCTCTCCTCGCCATACTCAACATCCCAATCCAGCTTATTCATCCTCCGCCTCGCCTTCGCACACAACCTAATCCTACCCATCCTCGACACCTCGTCAATCTCCGTGGTATACATGATCCACCGCTTCGTAGCAAGAGCTCTCTCCAGCTCCGGCCCCGAATACGCAGCCATATTAGGACCAAGGACCTCCAACATCGCCCCCGCCAGATCAACAACAGCCCGGTACGAGTTCATAGACCTCTTCTTACGGAGAAGCTCGCAGTTATGCTGTGCGTCCATCCATGCGGTGTAAGTGCCTAGTATCCAGACCCCGAGAGCACACCACGTAACGAATGTCTACAGCGCAGACACGCCCCATTGATAGCTGTGATCCTGCGTATGCACGCAGAATGTCGGCGGCGCATAGACATCTGACAGGTTTCCGTGCAAGAGTTCCAACGCCTGCAATGTATCAATATTGAGGGTATATTTGATCAACGTATCGTCCGGGAAAGCGATGTACGGTTCTTGTTTGGGCACGTATCCGCTCATCAGATCCACTAGGGTTGGGATCGCGATCACGAATGCAGCTGAGAGGAAAGCCCATAGCATGATGAGTCGCGGGCGGAGGCCTGGCAAGTAGAAGAATGCCTGCATGGTGATCCAGAGAGTCTGGACGTCGCACGGTTGGATCGTTAATGTGGAGTAGAGCGCAAAGCTGACTGGCGTCCTTTCCATGGTTCGCATCAACATAGCAGTGATGCTCAAGTATGAAACGTATGCCATGATCGTCTGGACGACTCGTCCACCAACATTGAACCCTACGTCGAGGAATTTCGCTTGAGTCATGGTATAGTTACCAAGCACGACGCTGAATTGGAACACATTTGAAGGTTCCTCTGTACAGTCTACGACATGACCGAAATTAAAGGCCTCGTTGAACCCAAAGTATACTGCGCAACATATGGTAATTCCAAGGACGACCATAGCGATCTGGTTGAAAGCTCTATGACATTTCTTGCGCTTTGCGGCAGCGAAAGACTTCGGTGGCAAGTAGTCATTGTCGTCGCCGAGTAAACGTTCTTTCGACATGTCGAATCTAGACTGCATGGTGAGTAACGAGGCGTCGTCAACTGAATATAGCAACTCCGGCTTGCGGGTTGCTGTGGCTTCAGACATGTCGAATAGTGCAATCAGATATCGTGAGAAATCAGCCTATACTTCAAGAAGTAGAACGCGGAAAGAAAAATTGTCGAAGTAGAAAAAGACCTCCTGTCCTCATTTTACAATTTTTGTACTGTACTACCGCTGTACCAAAGTCGCGACGAGTATTGGATGAATCGGTTTTGATGTTTGCTACTTGTTTTGTGGCTGGTTCAACGGTTGCGGAAACGTACAGCAAAATTCAAATCCCGATTATCTCGAAGCTGTGTAACAACACTCAGATGCGAATCTAAGTGGCTACTCTCAATGACGCATCTCTAAACGGATTTTCTCGCGAACATCAGTTGTATAAACTCGTGCTGCAAGAACATCACATGCAGCCGAAGCTTGTCCACTGAGACATGTTCGCGAGATTCGATGTGCAGCAATCCGGAGCAAACATCACGAAAGCTACGAGAGGCTGATTCCGCATCCGATTGGGGCCAGATTACTGGCAGAGCTGTGCGGAATGCCCATTCTACCAACAAGGCTGGTAAAAAAGTTGAAAAGCTGAGAGAAGTGACTTCTATCATAAGCAAGACAAGGCAGACTTGCCAATTCCTTGTGTTACAATGGCGCACAGAAACAACTCAGGGCTGAACATAACTCAAAAAGCCTCCAAAAAAGGATTCAATAACCCAACTGCCAAAAAGAAAGGACCACAGTCTAGAAAGATCGAGGCACATATTCCTTCAAAGGAGCAGAGCTGCATACTAGACGATGGGATATTATCATGGTCCCCAGGTCTCTAGGACACTGGTCCATCATGCTGCATTGCTAGAAGCACTCAAAGTAATAGACGACTTTGCACCAAGGATTGACTTCCATGAGAAGGGAGCCGACGAAGGTTTTTTTTAGGAGAACATTGATCGGTGGCGGCTTCGTACTATGTGTCGTTGAAAAACAAGTCGAAGGTTGATCGAGGCGTCGAAATCTCCGATGAAACGCAGAAGAAATCTGCCTATTCTTTCTCGAAGCTGCGTCTTCACTTCAACTTCCTAAACTATATCCGAGCAACGAAGTGCTTCTTGGACCAATCTTTCAAGTCTTTTACTCGTATACACTTCTCAAAACTAAAGATTTCTCTCATAAAACGAAATTCAAGAACAAAGGCATAGACATGTAGCGGCGTTGGAGTTCTCGAGCACTGACTCGAGTATCACGCTTTCCTCAACTTACACACGATCAACACACTGGTGTCCAAACTCCTTGCATGAATTTATCATGAGACCGGAAGCCATTCTCTGCTCCTCTACTTGTCAAGGCATGATTATAAGTCTTCAAATAGCAGCGCCAAGGAGCCAAAGGAACCCATCACGTGATTCGGACCCCAATCCATCCAGACTCGGACCATTATTTTAGAGGCTCTCGTATCCTCCTGACGTAGAAGGATGTTTCACTCATCCTATCGGCCGCTTCAAGAGGCTCAATACCAGAATAGTCTGAGCCTAGCTAAGACGTGACATGGAAACTGATTTCGGACTGTTGCTGACTTATCAACTTGACAGCTGAATAGTGAGCCGTCTGGGTAGAATTGTTCTCGGCCGAAAAGCTCAGTGAGATAGTGGTCTTCCAGATCTTTCGATGAGTGGAGAATATTGGTGGATGTTATTCGGAAGCTACTAGGCTCCACGAAGAATCTTGGATAGACAGACAGGATGCTTAGAAGAGTTGAGCTCCCACGTGGTTCCCACAGCTCTAGATCCTTCTCTCTGAAGTCTCCACGTGGGAAATTCCTGAAATGTATTGACGAATGTAGGTTCTAGCTTGGGGAAAGCTGGATGAGTCAAGCTTGGACCAGATGTTGCTGCAGTGATCGGGTCCTTTGCTCCTGGAGTCGGCCGCTGGATCCTTCCTTTTTCAGCAAGACATGCTTGAGGAACGTCACGTGTGTAGCGGGAATGGCTTCAGCGTAGTATCGTTCTGGAAGCTGAACTTGCGTTCTTCGGACCGACATTGCGTGCTTGTGGCGTGCTATCGCCTTGTGCAACTTCTCTTCGAGAGCTCTGAAGGAATGAAAACTTGCTCTGGTTGTTGATAGAGGTATCCACTGTACTTTCATCCTTCGAATGAGTCCATGGGAATCCGGAGAGCCAAGAAGAGTTGGGGATACATAGCAACAGCTGTTCATGGCATAAATGTCTCCACACCGAGGTCGTCTTCCCAAATCCTACTCTCATACTGCTCCATATTCTGAAGGACGGGTCAGTGCTAACTCCAAGAAGCAATTTTCGAGACCAGTATCGTGGACTCAACATCCACCTGCCTGGAAAGCTTAAGCCTCTTATTTTCCCAAATAACGAGCCATGCTAAGCATAGTGATCCTTCGTCGAAGTGAAATATGCATCAATAATCACATTGGCGTGAGCGTGGAAATTGGTTCCCGGGCCAAGACGTCGAAAACGTGCTCTTGATATTGCTGTAGCTGCATTAGTCTCAAGATGAAATCTTCAGAACCCCTCCCAATCACTTACCAGACTTTTATCACCCCTCTGTAGAGCCCTGATAACGCTGGCCATGAGGATATATCTCCATATTTCGACCGGCATCACCGACTATCACAGTCTCCTCCCATTCTACCCACACGTGACAGTGACCGCAACATCTTCTCTTTCCAGCATCGTGAAGAATAAACACACCGGACGAAATCCTCCATCATGTGGAGACCCAGCTCGCTGGTTGTGACATGGCGCCGGCGTTCCCAGACTCCTTTTTCAGTCTGCCTTAGCACTCGTCCGTAGAGGTAGCTTGCCACTGGAATGGAAACCCACGCGATTCCCACGCCAGCTGGCATCACCCAAGCAGAGGAACGAAGCTATCACCGTCGGAGAGTTGTTGTCTTCCAGCGACGCTGTCTCGGTGTATTTCCACACGATCAGAAAAAGTCGAGCGGATTGAAGGATGGAGGTCACTTGGTACCTTATGAGGTCGATGCGGCTCTCAGGATCGTGACTTGGATCGCTTACGATAACCTACTCTCTTGGGACATGCTAAAAATGGGGGCAAACAATGCACCGGGCCTCGCTGGCCAATGAGCCTCCTCTCGCTGGGCTGGCCGGACATCCCCAAACCCCACAGCCTTCTTTCCCGCTTCAGTGCAGCATCGCATGCGTGAATGCTTCCATGCTTCACTCTTCAGCCCGCCGCGCTGGACGATCATCACAGATCAACCAGCTTAATGCGCCCTGTGCTATCCTGACAGGCTGCATCGTGGACACCATGACATATCTTCGGGTTCGTCCAACGTCAGTGGCTCTGTCCGTCAATTTGATGTTTCTGACGTGTCTCCATTGTTTCGAGTTGATCGCAGCAGCGAGACGTTGCGAGAGAGAAAGCGAGGAGGCTCGGGTTTGGTGAAGAGAGAGCCGTGAAACTCGAAGCAACTCGCAAAACCACCAAACATCTACTCTGAGAACGCGGGAGTTTCGCAATCAGGCCAATGGGTTGGATACAGTGCAGTATGGTCCAGTACAGTACACCCATTCGAGTGCAGTGCCGTATCAATGCCTAATTGCAGAGCATTACCATTGCTGGCTGGCAGCACGGTATTCACTCACGCCTCTCTGTCTATCCCCCACCACTCCATCAATGGTCACTCACATATCCCTGTTATTCCCTTGGATCCCTTCCCTTCTATGATTGTTCTTCCTCAGCCTGAACGAGCAAGCGCAGTCCTTGTCCTGTCCTTGTCCTGCCCTGCCCTCGATCCATATCCATTCCCGATTGCTCCGTCCCATCAGTGATGAGTGGTAAAGAGCCTAATCAGGAAGGATGATCTCGCAAGATCCCTTTAGGCGGCGCAGTCCACCCCAAGTACGATGCAGCCTGCCGAAGTTCAACCATGCCTCATTGCTTCTAGTCAGAAGTCAGAGATGACTACAAGGGCACTGCAGGCTTCGGCGTTCCATCAGATTGTCGTTCACCCATCCCTGTTCAGCCGTGCGAGCCTTAATATTCCCCCGAGGAACCTCTTCCTACTTCCCACACTTATCCACCGAATGGGGATTCTAATCCCATCTTCAAATACACCCTTCCCCTTCGAAACTGGACACCTTTTCCTCACACTCTGCTCTTCACCTTCAGCATTCATCATTGTGCTCGCGACCACCTCGACTTTTTTTTGCTGAGGTTTCTCGTTGTGTTGGGAATTTACGTTGGGACGATCAACTCGCCTCGGCCAAACGAGACTGGCGTCGACACGCACGTGATCATTCGGGGGTCCGTTGGGGTCTATCTGGTATCTTCCTGGAAGAGGTAAACCATCACCAACATGGACGACTACAGACCTCAAGACGAGTACTTCGAGTGGGATGATATTATGGTCTACAAAGGGCCAACGGGGGACTACGATAACCTTCACGACTCCAAGATCTCAGGATATCCCAAAACTCTCGGTCGTTCATTCGATGTGGACAGCTCGGACAGCGTTGGGGAAGACTTTGCTTGGAGTGATGTTAGCTCACTCAGCACGACACCCTCAAGTTTGTCTTCCACCGACAGCCTATCATTGTGCTCTTTGAAAGAGGACAAGACCGACGCCGAAATAGACTTTCCGTCCTACGATGATGCCACCACATGTCAATCCTGCGTCACCATCAGCATTGATGCTGCGCTCGCGCTCACGGCACCGCCTTCTCCAATCCTGGAGCCGGTGTCCGATCCTCTGACTGGGGCGTTGGAAGATGGAGAACCATTATCGAGGACCGTATCACGTGGCGAGATCCATGTGGGTGCCAGAGATGACTTTGCGCTGAACATTCAACCATTTAGGAATGTGAATTATCTCACCCATGACTGGTGTGAAGAGGACATTCCAAGTACCTGGAGGTACGTGGTATCGAGGAGATCGGACTGGGCGGAGACGGCTACGAGGAGGAAGTCAATCTGGAAACCATTCAACAATATTCCCAGGTATGAAAACGCCCTATGGAGATCTTGGGCTCAACGAAGATTTCAACTTAAGACCGTATCTCCAGATGTCATTAATTGGTAAGTGGTCACTTGTCCTCCTCTAGGTATTCTCCGCTTACACTCAATAGGATGAAGTCATCCGATGAAACAACTCTCTACGGTCCGTTCATGATGACGGCCGATGAGTTCGCACCAGCAACCTCAGTTCTTGCAGACTGTGGTCGAAAAACCAAACTCCGAAGCAAGAAAGCTTCTAAACCACTCCTTAAGCGACCAGCAATGTCCGAAATCTTGCTCCGAGGATCTATCCCAACTTTCCTATCCACTCGCCGCAGCAAAGGCGAAACTCACCAAACAGCTTTCCAAGCAAAGCCCAGCTATGACCCCTCAGTAGCATGCCCCGGCATTTCTGCTTCTCAATTCCAGGAAATGACCTCCGTGGCGCGCGGCAAACTCGGACTTCTCCGCGCCAAAAAATCCGTTCGCTTCCTAAATGAAGTCGAACAATACGAAATTATCAAAGTGCGCGTGAGTTCCAAGAACAGACGCACATTAAAGAAAGTCGCTTCCACGACTCTCGATAAGGCAGCTTATAACCTGCCTGCTCCGATCAAGACTGTCAACCACTGGAACCCGGACAGTCTCTGGTCTTATAACCCTGACAACTCTCCCGAAAAGGAGATCTCAGACGAACCATGGATGGGAATCATCGGCGAAGATGAAGATGCCACTCTATGCCCAGCTCCGATCCGTATCCACAAACAATTCCCCGCGGTCCCCGACCCACCGCCTCGCTCCAAGCACCACGCGCGTAAAGCGGCGATCTCGTCCATCGGCCACGGCTCGCTGGAGAAACATCTCAGCAACCTCAAATACGAAGAGGAAGTGGAAGATGAGCTCGACTACCTGATCGCGATCGCGTCGCCGCAAGGCTCGCTCAGTCCCCCGACGTCGGACTCCTCTTCGAGTAACAGCAGTAGTTCGGAAGAGAGTCTCGAGTTCGTGTCGGATGAGGATGAGTTCCCGTTCTTCGGGACGGGCGATATTGCGGATGAGAAGGCGAGGATGGGGATTAGGGGGATCGGGGTCAGGATTGTGAATGGGGAGGAGAATGAGGTGGAGAGGGAGTTGTATCGTGAGATGGAGGAGTATGATTTGGTGCTTGGTTGAAGGAGTGAAATTTGATACCCGGTGTGTGTGTGTGTGTTATTAGGTTATAACATGGATTACAATACAATACAATACAAGACATATTAGTTTACATTATTGCCTTTCCCATGTGTTTATCATTCCTCTGATGCGATGTCCCATCTCCTCCTTTCTCCACACCGTTTCCCTACCTACTCTTCACTTCTACAAAATCTATACAACAAAGTTTCCGTTGCGTTCCGCACACGTCGCTTAATTCCCACTAATGTGTTTACATAGCAAGCTTGAAGTTTTAAGTTTTCGTTGCACAACGACGTCGCTTGCCCCTATTTTTCACTACAAACAGTCTATTTATACTGCACTAAAAGATTTCGTTGCGTTACGTGTCGCTTGATTCACTTGACCGCGTGTAAAAAAGGGGCACGTTTTCAAAGGAGGTCAACCATGTGCTTTAAATGATCGCTAGCAACCCGGAAGTAACAGTGCATCTGCTGGAATGAACTAAGGTACCATCTTTCCTTTATTTTTGAAAAATAATAAGGAACCTTGTTCGTTTCTTACACGCATACGTCTGGGCGGTAATCGAGTCTACGTGTAAGAAGCGTCTATACATACAACGTGAACGGAGAAAGTACCTAGGTAGGTAGGTAGGTAGGTATTGCTCATTTTGCTTATTTCGGGATTTTCTAACGATAGGTAGTAGGGAACGGGTGCGTCGAAGCGAGGTATGCTGTTGGCGAAGATGCTGAGAGGCGAAGGAGGAGGGTATGTTGATCGATGGATGATGGAGAAGGTAGGTAGGTACAATAGTAAATAGCGCGGGAAAGTTGCGGTGTGACGGTACTCCTCAGGGCAGAAGATCTGTTGACTAACTGAGAAGGCAAGTGAGTGATGATAGGGTACGTAAGTATATTGTATACCTACTGTTTCAAAAAATGCCGAGAACTTGCAAAGTTCCAAATTATCAAGGAAAATGGGTTCTTACAGACAGACTATTTGAATTAGCTTTAACAGAAAGCACAAGGCTGATAAAATAAGCGAAAACGAAAGGCTGAGGAAAATCGCCGAAGAAGGGCTGTGTGTTATTGGTTGAGGGAGGAAATGGGGGATAAATCGCCGAAGAATATCTTTTTGTTTATTGGTACAGCGATGAAGCGAGCAGGTATATGAGGATTGAGTGAATGGAGGGATCAGTGGATGAGGAAGGGACGGGAAGGAGGGAGGAGGGAGGAGGGAGGTCAGGTGATAAGAACTCACGTGAGCTAGGTATGAATAATCGGGCCCCCTGGATTGTGATTCCTCTCCCTCAATTTGAGGTTCTCGTTATCTGTCATGTATGATTGAGATTAATTTCTCGTTCTGCTTTTGTATCGCTCATTTCTCAACCTGGAATAAAAGATTATTGTGGACTCACGTGCCGGAGATGTTCCGTCCTCTGCCCAGGTGGTAGATCCGGCTTTCAATCTCTTCACCGACCGCAAAGCCCAGCACGTTTTTCTATATATCTGGCATTAGAATAGCGAGTACCTGAATATGGCGTTGCCAAAGACATCGCGTCTCAGCCTCAAGATCTTGCTTTTCTTACGTGGCCACTGTGCCGGTAGAGGTGACATCTCGAAGGCGCAAGAGGAATTGTTCTTTTGTTTGGAGTTTATTCATTTGTTTCTTTCATTTCTATCGAGAATTTATATCGCTGCTGGATTCAGTCAAGTGATAAATTTTTCTTTTCGACAAAATGTTTGATGCCAATCTGTTCTTCACCAGCAAGCCACAGCCGCTTCTGTCCTGGCCACTCCACATGTTGAGGTTCACTGGCGACGACCAGCCCTGATTCACCTCGAGCTCGTCGAATCTCCACAAGGCGTGAAATGTTCCTTACTTTCAGCCTTGGGTTTTGCGATTCTTCAGACCAAAGGATGTCTCCAGTGGAAGTGGCTGGAAAGTGGTGTAAAAGAAGTTCATCCCCACTTGTTATCTCGTAAAGTCTCAGTCCAGCGTCGAGTTTCTGTCATCTATCACCTCTGCGTCGGAGAATGTTTCGGAATGCATTTATCGTCTACTTTATCTTTGGTTTTCATCCTTCCCTTGATTTATGCCTTCCCGTTCCGAACACAACAGATTGGAAGAGCAGCACAAGATGTACGACCAGGGAATTATATCCTACGATACCATGACTATGTTAGCGATGCAGATGTGCTGAAGCATGAAGCAATAATCCAGGCCAAGCTCGGCATAGGGTGTACGACGATCTACAACTTCAACACTTTCAAAGGCTGTCATCTGGAAACCGATCCCGCAGGGCTACAAGCTGTCGCATCTCCACTCGTCAGTCCACCTCTCTATCTTCCTTCTCCACCTAATCCACCACAGATCCTCTCCTCCGAACCCGACTCCCTCTTCTCCATCTCCCCCCGCCCAGCACCGCTCCCACCCGTCACCGTCCGCCCAAACTCCAGCATCTCGACCTCGTCCCATGACATGTCGACCGAGACAGGTGCGCCCTGGGGTCTAGGCCGCATCTCCCATAAGAAAGCCGGGAATAGTAGTTATGTGTTCGATGCGAGTGCTTGTGCGGGAACGACGATTTATGTGATTGATACTGGGATCAGGATAACACATGTTGAGTTTGGAGGACGCGCGAGGTACGGGGCGAGTTTTGTGACGGGGGTTGTGCTGGTATGTTTTATGTTTCTTAACTTGGAGATATGAAGTAGAGAGGGAGAGGAGAACTTTCTACTTGATATATATTAACAAGAATATGATAGCCAGCCGATGACCATGGACACGGGACTCACGTTTCTGGCACGGCAGCCGGATCCTCAGTCGGTGTGTGCCACGGGGCGGAAGTCGTTGCGGTGAAAGTCCTTGATAGCACGGGATTTGGGTACAATACTTGGATCATTGCTGGAATCCAATGGGGCGAGCAAACTCCTTTCTCTCTCGAATCTTCGTCGACTGACTGAATCGGTTATAGCCGTGAATGTTGCCCTCTCGAGATCAAACACAACTCGGCAGTCTGTGATCAGTATTTCGATCGGAGGTGGCTACTCACCAACTCTCAATGCTGCTGTGACGGCTGCTGTTGTTAGTGATTTCTTTCTCTCTCTCATCGAGGTTTGCGAACTAATTGTCTCGAAGGCAGCAGGACTTCCCGTCTCAGTAGCAGCGGGAAATAATGGAGAAGATAGCTCCCTCTTCTCACCATCCTCAGCCGTTAACGCGATGATCGTCGGCGCAACCGACATTTCGGACAACAAAGCCTACTTCTCGAATTATGACAAGGGAGTCAGTATCTGGGTTCCCGGAGTCGATGTGTTAAGTGCGTTCAATACCTGCGATCAATGTTACTTTTGGTATAGTGGGACTAGTCAGGGTATGTTCTCTTTTTTCTTTCTGGGACGGAGAAAAAGCTAATGAGAAATAGCAACGCCTCATGTTGCTGGTTTGGCTGCTTATCTCATGACGTTGGATGATTTGTCGACACCGAGTAAGATATTGAGTAAGATTCGAAGTTTGGCGACGAATAGGTTGATTGTTGGGTCATTGGGAGGGTCGTCTAATAAATTGGCTTATAATGGGAATGGTGCTTAAAATGGAGCTGGAGCTTCTCTAATGATATTGGTTTTCCTAACGAATGAGAAATGTACTCCACGGTGTGTGATCGTGATCCATGTTTGTTTCTTCGAGCTTCGTCCTGAGAGCGTGAGACTGATTGACACGTCAATGGCACCAATAGAACAGGTCTCGACATAACCAAATGATAGGCACCACTCAGTACCAGGAATTTACAAGCTTCAAACTTGGACTCGCCGAACATTCTTGATACGTAAGAATATCAATATCAAACCAAGCCAGAAAAGTAGAACATACAACTCTATCAACTCATAATCGCGGCATGGGTTGAATTCATGGAAACAATATTTCTACTTGGCGAGCTATATTGGTTTGATTTGGCAAGTCAAGCAGCTTCCATAATAGTCCACACTGTGATATATACCACGAAAAATTGGGGGAAGTTGCAAAAGCCATCACTAAAGATAAACTTTCGTTGTTGTACGACCCCGCCCGCGATTCGCGCATTCCGCGCAATTTGCGCGATATGCGCAATATCAAAATAAACCCAAACCTAGTCTTGAATCAGAAACTTCACCACCGGCCTTGATGCATACTCTCAAAAGCTCGAGGGCTACTTTGCCTTCATGCAGTCGCTAAATCTATCGATAATGACGATAACAGCTATGCTGAACAATATCAAAGGTGCTTCCGACAAATATCAGACAGTGACTTGTGAGTTCAAGGACGTTGGTCTGTGGTTGCGAATCGCAGTCTACAATGTTCATAGTAGAGACGGATTTGGGTGCCGACTGAGGCGCAACAGCGCCGTCTCGAAACGATGATCCAGCATGCTATTGGGGAGAAGTCAAAATTACTCTGTCGAGAGTTGTCGAAGAGAGCAGAGACAGCATGCTGCTGCGTTGCTCAGAAACATGGATCAAGGAACACGAGCCGTTATCTAAATAACTTGAGGAATGAGGCCGGCACGAGCCAGTAGATGCATTGCAGACGTTCTTAAACAGGAAGTATATGAGTAACAGGTTGCGGTCTAGCAGCGAGTTGCCGTCATTGCCAGACGAGGGATGTGCTTTGGCTTCGATAATCACTTGCTTGCAAATTTCCTGGTGTCAAGTTAATGATTATCACCATGAGCTTTGAAGAAGTGGTGATGTACTCGAAATTGTCAACGGAAGGCTACTCCCGCGTGGCGATTTTTGAGGAAAATGTAAAATGACGGGAGAGAATGTGCAGATGCATCACTACACTCGTAGATTGCTTTTTCTGTACGATTCGACTTGTCCCTGGTTTGCCATCATATGGGGGTTCTCAGCATATGGGGGACACGCAATCATGAGCGAAGGCTTATAATATTGCTCCAAGTTGCACTTCTTGGATAGCTACCCTGGCGTTGCGAAGCAGTCGACAATCGGATCACTGGCCGAGTTGGCGCGCGGAGAAGGGCGATGGTTCCTGGTCTAAGGAACTTTGTCGTCAAGGAGCCCTGCAATAATAAAATCAAGCTTTCCTTGAAGCTTGTTTCCCCAGCATTCGGAGCCCATCATTGGTGGCTTAATCAACGTTAGTGTCTTGTAGTCCGCGTTATTTGTACACAGGGCTGTCATACCTGGCAAACAGGAACAGTCTTGATGTCACCACTAATGATTCGTCTCGTGTTGAGTTGATAATTGTTGGAAGATTGAGCCAGCTAGGGAGAAGGTGGAGGAGTCGAGATGCGTATACTTAAGCTACGCATTACCATCTGTAGCAAGAAGTTGCTCAAATTTTCTCATCTGCATCGTGTACCTGCGTACTGACAACGATTTCCAATATGCGTACCAAAGAATTCCTTGCCGTTGCTGGCAGTCTCGGCCTAGCTGGAGCGCAAGCTCCACCCGTGTCGACACTCTCCACAACAATGAGTGGCGTTCTGCCATACCTCCCAGTATCCACAGGCTTCACGGGAGTCGAGACAATAGAGGGAGCAATCGTCTATGATGGTCCTATTGTTGATGGTTTCACCGGTACGTAGCTCGACCTCGTCCGCGATGTTAAGTTGCTAACTCGTCCTAGGACCCGGTGGAAACGCGACGATTCAGACCAATAATCCTGCAGCCACGTACATGGCTACGCTACCCATGACCCAATTCGACGATGCTACCTCGACGACAATAATGGGAACGGTAACCGGCATGGCGAACTCTAACGGCACTGGCGTTATGTTCTACATCGACTTCAGCGGCTTCCCCGCTGAATCTGAGTATGGACCTTTCGTCTACCATATTCACAACATGCCCGTACCAGCTGACGGGAACTGCACCGCGACTCTCGGACACTTGGACCCAACTGACCGCGGAGAGTACCACCCATGCGAGGACACTCAGCCAGAGACATGTCAGGCCGGTGACCTTGCAGGGAAGCATGGAAACATCACAAGCTCCACCTTCAATTCCAGCTACCTTGAGCTTTACCTTTCCACGACCCCAGGATCGCCTTATTTCTTCGGAGACAAAAGTGTGGTTATCCATACTAGCAATACGACTCGGCTGACTTGCGCAAATTTCGCCATGGTCTCGTCAACATCAGCAAATAGCACCAGTACCATGAGTGGAACGGCAACGTCAACTTCAGCGCCAGCAACGTACACTGGTGCGGCCGACAAGATCGTGGGATCAGGCGTACTCGGACTCATCTTTGCTGCACTTGGAGCCGTAATTTTATGATTTATATGACGAGGATATTGAATGACAGCAAGGCAGGGTTTGAACTTTCAATAGCCCGTATTCCGTATAAATCAAGCAATTGCCCTTGGCTTTTGAATATACGGGATAACGATAGCGTATTATAATAATATGATCTGGAAAATTCTCTTCCCGATCTATGTTGTGATACTAGAGGTTACATTCATATTTGCCATGTGACAGGATTGTCATAGAACGTATGAGATGATTGCAATAGGATTCCCAGTTTAGAACGAATCAATCAGTCTAGTTTGGAGAAGTGTATGGTAAACTTAACAGTGTCCGTAATTTCCTTCGGTAGAAGAAGTGGATATTTGAAAACCTGAAAAATGAAAAACAATGTAGAAACACTGAAGGTCGGAAGAGCAGACGCGTCGTCAATATATAAATAAACCTCGCTAAACCCCACAAATAAATGCCACCTGGTACGAGCACCATCAGATGCAGCTCTCTACCACGAAACACTCACCCATGCCTCCACCAACTCAATGCCTCCAAACGGCCTCCAAAATGGCAATCCTATATCTGCAACCTACGGCGAGACGCCCACAGCTTCAAATATCTTCGAATCCTCCTCCCTAGCGTCCATTCGCGCATCCCTCTCCGCCCTCCACTCCCGCGATGCAGCAATCACGTCCCGTCTGCAGACCCTCATATCCTCCCAGGCTGATCTGTCCCGAGAATTGGGAAGGCTAGATTTGCTGCGCGCACATCTAGGGACCCAGGTCATACATACGAGAGACATTAGCAATGGCATGCTTGATTCTGCCGCAGGGACAGCTTCCCATCTCTCTAGCAAGGTGAAAGAGCTTGACTTGGAGAAGAAACGAGTTGAAGAAACTCTTGGGGTAGTAGAGCAGGTTTCGGAACTCAAGGCATGCGTTCAAGGAGTTGTGGGCTCCATGGGCGCACCACAAGATTGGGAAGCTGCAGCAGGATACATTGCACGAGCATCTAAGATCCCCACACCTATTGTCGAGGGCAATTTCGCGGCGAGGATAGTCCCAAGTGTAGAAGTTCCAGATGCGCCTGGGATTACGATTGAGAATGCAAAGGAGAGTCTTTGTGGTCTATTTCTGAGGGAATTCGAAAAAGCCGCTGAAGATGGCGATGGGACCAAGGTCACAAGGTTCTTTAAGCTGTTTCCGCTTATTGGGAGAGAGGAGACTGGACTCGAAGTCTATGGCAGATATGTATGTCAGGGTGTAGCTGCAAGGGCGAGGACCAGTTTGCGAGAGGGAACGAAAGGCAGCGCGGGCAAGGACGGCTTCTTCTATGCGAATGCTCTAACGAGGTTATTCGAACACATCGCACAGATTGTGGAAGGGCATGGTGGACTTGTTGAGAGACATTATGGGGAAGGGAAGATGGTCAAGGTCATCGAACGATTGCAGGTCGAGGCAGATGTTCAGGGTGGAATCATATTGGATATGTGGGGAGATGAGAGACATGTGGATAGGAGATTGATGGATGTTAAGAGCTACCCTTTCTCCTTCCTAGTGCAAAGCTTCACTGCTGCGCCAAGAAGCACGGGTGTGTTGAGGACGAGTTCGCCTGCCGTTGGTGGAGGGACAAATGGGCGAGTTAGCGAAGATGAAGGCGTCGATATGAAGGAAATTGATGGGTTATTGAGCGAGACCGCCGTGATGTTGGGAAGATGGTCATTATATTCTCGATTCTTAGGGGGCAAGTGCAGAGTGAGTTCTCAACAGGACGTACTCCTGCAAGCTATCTCTAAGATATCGCAGGAAAAAGATCCGAAGCCCGAGGAGCCGCTGCTTATGCCTGAATTACTTGTCAAATCTGCTTTGGGGAGAAAGATTGCAGCTCGGCTCACCTCGCCTTTCAACGAGATGACCACTTTCTTCCTGCGGCGGTCTGTAGAAAAGGCATTTCAACTCGACGAGTCGCCATCAGGATTGTCACTCGATCCTCACAAACCCCTTGGAGGAAATCCTCCTTTCATCATATCTGCAGTTGACGATGTCATGTATATCGTGAATACTGTTCTCCAACGCTCGCTCTCAACATCATCACGAGATGTCGTGGCCTCGGTCATCCCCACCACTGGCCGCGTGCTCGGTTCAGAGTTCATAGGCATGATCCAGAGAAAGATGCGAGATGAATCCTACCCGAAAGCGATTGTCCAGGGAGGCCTCCCTCCTGAGAACAAGATCATAGAGTTCTTAGTTCTCATAAATTCCCTCGATGTTGCAAACGATTACGTATCGCGTATTGTCACTGCCCGCATCACCCCTCCGGAGCCACCTCACGGAGGGAAAGCTCCAAATTCCCTTGTCGAAATGTTCCCATTCAACAGCGATGCCACCTTTGTCACGCATGCGCTACAAAATCTCCAAATCAGTTTTGCATCAAAAACTTCGGAGCTATTATCAGACGGATTGCATGTTATGTTTGACCGGGTTATCAAGCTTCGGCTTCGACCAGTCATAGTCGAAATCTTCCGAGACGTTGACTATTCTCTCACGGAAGAAGACCTAGCTGAAATTGCAAGAAACAACGACACCGATGACGACCCTGAAACCTTGAATGACCTCGTTGAACGAAGATTCGAACATAGTTGGGAAGCACTCATGAAGCCCGTACAACGAATTATGACGGCCAAGACCTTCTCATCACTTCTCGACCAGACCGCGAAATATCTTTCGAGAAATTTCGAAAAGCGAGTTTGGAACTTTGCAGGGCGGCTGAATGGCCTTGGAGCCCAGAGAATGGAGCGAGATTTCTCGGGGATCATTGGTGTAATTGCCAGAGGCGGCAGATATGGCGTGAGAGATGCCTTCGCAAGAGTAGCGCAGATCTGCATGTTGGTCAACATGGAAGATGAGGAATGGGAAGCACTCAATGAAGCAGAGCAGGAGGGAGAAGAAGAAATGGCATGGGTGTTGAGTGAGGACGAAAGACGACGAGCAAGAGCATTGGTCAGAGGCTGAGAAAAGTTCTTACTTCAGGTCAGATCTCGGGTACATGATTTGGGCTGGGTACATTTCCAGGATGTACCTGGATGGGCAGGATTTTAATCACCCATATCCATATGAGAAGGGTAGACAAAATATTGAACAGGTTTTCTTTCGAGGCTCTTCGGCACGCAAAATCTTCCCAAACCCAAATACCACAGGATGCTATGTCTATGGATTGCTTACATCGAGGTAGTTTGTCCGTACCCTGCAGCGTCTTTCAGAAGTCCATAAGCTTCGACTTGGGAACAGAGATTCGAGCGCTGTCACGTGACCGGCTCCCCCTTTTCCTTCTTGACTTCCCTTGCATGTTCCTGAAGCGAACCGTGGTCCATTAGATTAAGATATCGACACTATTGCATTGTGCATATGCTGTACTCGTCCGGAAACGGCTTAATTACTTTACCCAGCGACCCGGTAAACGAGGTCTGATGTACAGCATCCGCAAGGATTCTGGATGGAGGTCAATTTGGCAAAGCAGAATCTTGTTACACCCTGTAATTGCATGTCAAGGAAGATTCTCCGAGACGCAGAGCATGTTATCCCATTTCTTATACCTCTGAACTTTTCGTATCTCGAGTCTGCTAGCTTAGTACGACCAGCGAGTTCTTGGCAACATTATACAATTGCTGTTCGATCATAACGTTTCTCTACGAATCTGTGACAGCTCTACTTCCTAAGATCTGTGTACGTCTCATGGCTTCTAGTATTCCAACAACTCTATGAGAGTTCCGCGTGATGCTCCTCTCCATCAAGCCTTCTCAATTCCGTCGTTGGAGCAAAGTCATCCTATTTCTCCTTGCGGCGATCTCTTTCTACACATTATATAAGGCTTACGAACATCTCATCGAGCTCCGCGCCCCGCGAGGTCCACCGACGGTGAACCTCGTCCTGGCAACACTCGCCGCCAAACCCCACCATTGGACCGAAAGCCTCACAATCCCAAGCCTCGCCATAATTCCCTACATAGCAGACGACCCAAACGCCCAATACCACCCTCCAGCAAACAAAGGGAACGAAGCAATATCTTACCTCACTTATCTCCACGATTTTTACGATATTCTCCCAGAGATATCAATCTTTATCCACGGCTCTGATTCCTCCTGGCACATCGATGGCGTCCTTGCCCATTCCACAAAAGAAGCGTTGAATACTCTGGACTTGGAGGAGGTGCGTAGAAGAGGGTATCTGAATCTGCGAACGAGTTGGGCAAATGCTTGTCCAGTATGGATCAACACCAGCATACAGATAGGGGACGAGAGGTATGATGAGAAGCTGAGGGAGGAGGAACCGTTTATGAGGGCAGCGATCGAGGCTATTTTCCCAAATAAGAAAGTACCAATGGCATTAGCAAGTCCTTGCTGTTCTCAATTCGCGGTGACGAAAGAAAGGATTCGGAGGATACCGAAAGAGCAATATAAGAGAGCGATCGACTGGTTGATGAGCACGGAACTAGAAAGTAAGGTGTCGGGAAGGATTTGGGAGCATTTGTGGCATTGGTTGTTCTTGGGTAAAGATATAGATTGTCCTAGTGAGTGGAGGGCATTGTGTGTTTGGTACCATTTATGTTTTGAGGATGAGAAAGATTGGGAGGGGTTCAAAGATATGGAAAACCAGAGGTATGAGTTTTGGAAGTTCAAGATCGCGAAGTTGAAGAATGGACTGCAGCCAGGTAATAGAGGAGTCGCTGGGTTGAAAGAAGGAATTGAGAAGATCGATAAGATTCTTGGGCCTTGGAGACTCAAGGCTGTTGAGAGAGGCAAGGATGAAGAATTCAGGACGCAAATTGGCAAGGAATTGTGACCAGGCAATTGTGCCTGGACGAGATCCGCAATAGGTTTCCATCGGAAATCAAATAAGCCTCAATCGTCACAGACACTTTGACATCGGATTTTTGAGTAGATTTTACCTGAGAAATAGGTATTGCGAGGTTTGTATCCGACAACGCCTTTAATCGGCTTCAATTTCCCGGAGGTGGCACTTGGAGGTTTCAAAGTGCGGGGTATTCAATTCAATGCAACCCCAACCTGCCAAATCATCGACATTAGCGAAACTGGCAAGTATTTTCCTTGCCCCTGATCACCGCTGTTTTATCTGCAATGCGTATTTCGGTACTTTTTGCAGTCCACGGGTGCATTGTCGTGGCATCAAGTGAAGGAAGTGGAAGTTTCCTCTTACAACAAAAGAGGAAATCCAAGCTGAAAATTAGCAATTGCCTTAGATCTCCCAAGCTTTGAATAGAGTTTTAGAATTACTTGTAATCGCTGACCAAGGGTCGGTAGTGTTTCTTCGGGAGGGTGGAGAAGTCAACTTCTCGGGATCATCATGCCGCCCTGCTCTGGTTCACGCAACGAATAATTTCATTGGCCAGTCCGACTTTGCATGCTCGGTAGTTCAGGCACTTCCATTTACCCCAGACTCTGCATTCTTATATGCACATAATCAAACATGTGCGAGTGCGAGAACTACATATACACAAGAACCCCTGCGTATCTTTGGCCCTGATTCCTGTTATCTAAAGTTTTGTTTCTAATCACTTGAATCTTTCAAGAACAATACTTCAAAGATGGAAGAAGGATATCAAGTTAGGAACGCTCGACTCACGACCTTTTGGGAGGAGAAGAGAGTCATCTTGATTTGCTTCTTCATCGGCTTCGCTCAATTTCAGTATGGATACGATTCCGCTGCCGTGGCGGGTTTCCAGAGCATGGCAGGCTTCTTGCGTATCTTCGGATATCCTGATGTAGGCTCAACCTCGAAGAAAAATCTCTATTCGATTGATTCTTCCTTTCAATTTTACCAAGCTATATTCTCCATATTTGAGACCAGTGTCTACTCGTTTGCTGATAGAGGTGTCACAGCCCGAAATCACGATCGGTTACAACATTACCACTAAAGTTCAGCGATTGATACAAAGCTTGATGAACCTAGGTGGTCTAACTGCTTCCATCGGAATTTATGCTCTCGGACCACGAGCCAGTCGTCGAGTAGGCTTATGGATTGCCTGTGCGATTGGAGTCATTGCCATCTCGATTCAAATCGGCCCCACGACTCTTGGCGCCCTGTATGCGGGAAGATTCTTACTCGGAATTTCAAACGGATTCTTTATGGTATTCTGCGTCACATACATGAGCGAAATTGCGCCTGCACATCTGAGAGGATCCGTCGTTGGCTTGGTCACTTTTCACACATCATTTGGAGCATTGATTGGTATCCTGATAGAGAACTACACCAGTACCTCCTTGGCACGGAAATCCTACCAGATCCCTTTGGCGATTATGTACGTGGTTCCGATATGCATGGCAATCATCCTCCTCTTTTTACCAGATACGCCTCGATATTACATCTCCCGTGGGAAGCATGATTCGGCCGTTGCGTCCATTCGCAAAACACGAGGCATCAATGACATGGATCGTATCCTTGCAGAGGTCGCCGATATACAGAATACTTGGGACCAGGAACAAGAGTTGCATAAGGATGCTCGAATAATGGACATGTTCCGTGGCTGTGATCTTCGTCGAACTTTGATCACTTTCGGATGTGCCGTGGGTCAGACAGCAACCGGCGTTACATTCTTGGCTGGCTATTCGGTTTACTTTTACGTGCAAGCACGTATTGGCAGTCCTTTCGTGTGGGTTATGGCTGGTCTCGCAATTGCTCTCTCTGGCAACTTGGCAGCATTCCCGGCTATGAGATTTTTTGGTCGACGACCCCTCCTCATAGGGTGCTCTATCTGGTCTTCGATTATGATGTTTGGCATGGCCATCGTTTATACCAAGGCCGCTAATGGCTCTCCAAATGCGGGAAAAGCACTAGTCGCCTTTTCCATCATTTTCACTTGGACCTATGGTCTGGGACAAGGCCCAGTTTTATGGGCCATCACTTCAGAAATACCTTCTCAACGACTGCGATCCCAAACCGTGGGTATCGCAAACGGAATCAACTTTATTTTTGGCTGGCTGGTCGCGTTTTGCACACCTTACTTCATCAATCCCACTTCCCTGAATTGGGGACCAAAGTACGGGTACATCTGGGGCGCAAGCAATCTGATTCTCGCTGTCTGGGTCTTTTTCTTTATCCCCGAGACTAAGGGCAGGAGTTTGGAACAGCTAGACGAGCTTTTTGAGAAGCGAGTGCCGACTTGGAAGTTCGCTAGTTATAAGACGGAGCATCATATTGTGGATGCAGACAAAGTTTTCGAAGATCCGAGTGGAGGAGAGGCAAAAGGTAATGCATTTCATGTGGAGAATAATAACTTGAGCACAAGCAAGTCCGAGTAGTCTATCTCAAGCAGTACTGGATCTTGTTTAGTTTGCGAGAAAAGCTTTGTAGTTTATGCACGTGCAGTTCAGTCAAGTCTGTCCTACCGACAGTTTCCCACTGTGATGATCACAAGCATCCCAAACATTGGGTGAGTGTAGTGTGTTGATTTTGAATTTGGTACAATTGGAAGGATATCATGCCTATTTCAATGAACCGCGACCAACATGAGAGGGTCGTTCCAGTGTGTCACATGTCATTTAATTTCTTCACGGGATGGGAGTTTGGATTTGTTGCAAAAATCATTTTTTTTTGTGATTGTTTTCTACTCTGTTTTGACCAGTTTTTGTACTTTTTGTACTTTTCTTAGCTCACACTTACTCTTACACTCTCTCACCTGTTATTGGCTCATACTTTAGCTTCTCTCTCGCCTCCAGATGATCAGCGATCATCAGGAGGGGTACGTGGACGAGGCTCAGGAGACGGAGCTCCCTCGCGGTCTCCACGACCGTAGTTGACGAAGCGGCATCGGTCGTCTGGCGGAGTGCACGGACGGGGTTCAGGAGACGGGGCTCCCTCACGGTCTCCTCGACCGTGGTTGACTAGTGAGTAGTTGGTTGAAGACGCCATTTTGTGGATGGTGCTGTTTGAGTTGGTTGGTTGGTGGTTGTAGTGGGCTGTTGGAGTTTGCTTTAGTGTATGTGTTTGAATGTGTGTGTTTTGATTGAGAGGGAAAGAGTTGATAGAAATTGAGGCTTATCTTATAGCCTAGTAAATATCTTGTTCTATTGTTTTGAACAGTACGATTAATTTGACAGAGAGGGGAAACAAAGTAGAACAATGGAAACAATAACGGTCTTGTTAACCAGTATACTGTACTTTGTTGCTCAAGTTCTTGAATTCTTTCGCCTCTTTGTTGCTTGGTATCTCCTTGACTATCCCCAATCGAACAAAGACAGCTTGTTTCGGTATGAACTAGCCCCCAATGATAAGAAATTCATCAAGAGACTCCAGGGTACTAACATATGACTTATTCCCGAACCCAAATGAAGCTATAGGAATCTAGTATATACATTAGAGCGGAAGTCATATTCATTAGAGGACAGTATTCGAACTTGCCCTTAACTTCCATTCTTGATACGCTGAAACATATTTCGCATAACTGGACTAAACTTTTCATCTTTTTTGGATGCTGTCATCGAGACAGTTGGCACCTTCAAGTCCTTTCCAAGACTGGACAAACTCATCAAATCGGCAGAGTCCGAGATCAGAGAAGCATCAATATCTGTAGCTGGAATCGTTCTTTGTAGAACAGGCAGCGCACCAGAAGCTGCGAAATTTTCTTTCCGAGGCTGAGAGATACGTTTTCCCTCCGTTTTCCTGGACGTAGCTATCTTATACAGAAGTTCGCTAGCCCTTGTAGCATTCCAAGGTCGATAGTGTAGGTTTATCAGCTCTGACAATGTCAGTTTATTCGGCTTTACTCGTGCATTTGCCCCATGATCTAGAAACAGCTCAATTATATCAGCCGATTGTGAGAAGATCAGCGTCTTAGAGCCTGGGGCGGGAAACAGTGAACCACGTGAGAGACAGAGTTCCCAGGTCGTCAAATGTCTCTATGGCTCACTACCTCTCCCATTGGGATCCGTTCCTAAGCTGAGTAGTAGTGCAACTCTCCGAACAGTCAGAGACTGAGTCGCTTCATACAAGAGAGAGCGAAACCTGACTTGTATGTCCGGAGAAGTTACCGTACGTAGCTTATGTTCAAGATACGTATACAGTGGGTACCTGATAGCAAAGTCTAGGAAATCTGTGAGTCTAATTGGTCTATTCTTTCCAAAAAATTCTACATAGCTATCGGTCCAGTGTGAAATTAGCGACCCTTGCTTTTGTTTCTCGAGCCAAATTGTGCCGTCATCTTCTGGACTTTCGAATGTGTGATCGCCAAGTCGTGACAGCTCATCGATGAGTGCAACATGAATCATTAGTTTACTTGTTTCAGATCGCTTAGCATCGACTGCACAGGATCTAAATCCATACGAAGATTCTATCAAAATGTCATGGACGGCCGCCCGGGATGTTTTTATTGTTCGAAGCCAGGCTGCGGACAACGCGACATCGGGATCAAAGGATGCATTTGTACCTGATGCGATAATTTTCCAGACCTTCTGCTCCCCGATGTAATCTTTGACTGTTCGGTGCAGATACTGGACTTTGGCTTGGTCCAGCTTCGACCTCAGCATGGGAGCTTCTAACAGGCCTTTACAACGACTGGTCAATCGACGTCTCATCCTCTCCACACGAAAAACCCGCGTCTCAAAATTTTCCGGTTTTATGCTGGCGGATATGGCGGCTTCGTAGCCTTCTTCGGCAAAAGAGAGCAAGAGAAGTGTGGGAGGTTCGATTGCTCTTTCAGCGAGCTGAAAATACGTCGAGGCTTGTTCAAAATGAGCTGGATCTAAACCTCGCAGTATTTTCTCGAAAAGTTCTTCGAGGCCGGAAGGTAGAGAAAGTAAGCGAGCGTGCAAGTCTGCGGTGGTGTCTCCGTCTGAGTCCTTCCAATAGTGAAAGAACCACCAACATGACCCAAAGGAATACTCCAAAAGCCTTTTCCGTTACTTCGCTAATTAGTCTAGTAGCTTCCGAGTTCTCCAGAGCATCGAGCCTGACAAACATATCGCTTTCCTTCAACTTCTCTGTAACGTAGAGTTGTATGTCTGGCGCAGTCAGGTCTTCCATTCGGAGTGATGGTCGGCACTTAAAAGCATCATCGAACACAAGCCAAGGCCTGCTCGCAATGCAAAACTTTACCGAGTCCAGTATGAACGTTACAAGATCCGCTCCATCTCCGTCGATTTCATCCAGCCCTACGGGAGCAACGGCTCGTTATAGAATGACTTGGTACGCTAAATAACGAGTAGTTCTAGTTAATTAATGAGTGATATCGTTAATTAATGCCTAGAAACACTGCAAAAACACTGGATCACTTCACTGCACTCGATATTTATAGACATATGCTCATTAATTTGAAATCTTATTACTTTTACTGCTCTCAATGTTGTCACTGCTGTCATGATCTCACTGCTGTCGTAATCTTAGAGTATATCCTCATTTTGAGTAGTGGTGAGTGATGCACCTGCACTTTTGGTACTGTACTGTACTGTACTGCACTTCATGATAGCTTCCTACTCAAAGTGAAGGAGTGAGAATCATAAAAGAAGTGCAGGTTTTGCAGTGGAGTGACCTCAAGAGCTCGGACAGTGGGTCAAACGCATCTCCCATTGGCTAAATTGAGGTTGTTTACATGCTCTATGCTCTCTTAGCACAATTCCCACTTCACTTCTATAACGTAACCTTTTACTTTAGAAGTTTTTTCATCCTCACCATCTCTATGTACTGCATCATCAACTACATTGCATCATCAGCTACACTGCATCATCATGATAAGTTGCATCCATCACTATAACTAATTGCATTGCTTTAGATCTTGACATTGGACTCCTGGCATTCTCTCCTGGCACTCTCTCCTGGCACTCTCTCCTGGCACTGGATTCATAGACTCCTGGACTCTCTGCAGGTACGTATATCAGCTCTTTTTGATGCCTTATCTAATTCAGTTTTTAGGGCTAGTGCAAAGCGAGTACGAACGGCTCATATGGAGAGGATGGAAGAGTGGGTGGAATGCGGTGGATATGCTAGAGTGCTGAAAGCTGGGAATGGTGGCATATTTGAGAAGAGGGCAAGTGAGTGAGATCTGGGCGCAGTGGCATATTTGGGAGGTGAAATAAGGGGGTACTCTAGAGTAGCCAGACTCGTTATTTACCCAAAAACTCGTTCTCTTAAGTGGTGGATTTTTGTATGGCATTAACGACTTCGAATCGTTAGTAATTTCAGTTCGAAATAACGAGTGTTTTATCGACTTTACGTCGTTCTATAACGAGCCGTTGCTCCCGTAGGGCAGTCCATCGATGAAGAAGAATTTTGTTGATTCGTCAGAGATTAAAATCCGGAAAGCTTCGAAGAGCTCACCCATGGACCATTCGTGAAGGTCCCCTCCAAATGATTGATACGACCTCCACCTATGTTGAAACATGACAGGAATGCGATCTGGACGCTTTTCCACTGCATGATACAAGAGCGTCTGCAGTAGTCCAAGTTTTGACATTTGTAACAAAACACCAGAGTTCCAGAAGAAAAACCCACCAATGATCAACGGGCTTTTCTTGATTTATGGCTTAAGATTGTCTAGAGTTCGATCATCACCCTGTAGATACTTCATGAGCGTCGATCTGCCGGATCCAGGCTTTCCGGTGATCCAATAGACACTTGATTCGCTCAATTTATCGCTTTCTAGCCATCTAATGAAACTATCCCACAACCAGGCTGGTAAAGCAGTCAGCTAGCTGATCAGTCGACTGATAAGTGATCAGTTAAAGCCAATCAGTTAGCGATTTTAAATGATGTCAGTCTATCAGTTAGCATGACAGTTGCTTATAAGCTGGGAGATATCTGAAAAAGTTTATTTTTAGTGTTAAAACACTATTTTTAGCTTAAAATCTAGTTTTTTCTTAGATTTTTGATATATTTAAATATTTGGAAGAAAAATATGAAAACTTAGTTTTTAAATGAATACTTCTAGATAATTATCTATATTAAGATAAATATAATCAAAATATTAAAAATTCATCTATATTATGCTTTATAAAAATAATAAAAATATTTACTAGTTAAAAGTCACGTTTCTTGACTGATCAGCGACTGATAAGTGGATATCAGTGAGTCAGTTGGATGCCTTCATTATAATCAGTCAATCAGTTGGAGAATCAGCTCGACTGATGACTGACTGACTGACTGATTTACCAGCCTGCCCACAACGGGTAGACAGCAGAACGAGCCGAAGAAGGCTGAGTCGTCCCCATATCGGAGGTAAGATTGCCAGAAACGTGACTAGCCAAATCATGTGAAGATTCGGGAGCATGGAAGATCCAGTCGAAAGTGTTTTGGTGTGCTTTTGGGATACGCTCGGCACGATCGTTGATGCTGTCGAAATGCAACCTTGCAAGAATTTGCTGCTTGATCAGATCGTCTCTATCTTTCATCGCGCTAGCTGACAGTCTAGTTGAGAATTGTATCATGCGCCTCTCTGCATGTAGATTCCAATCGCTCTGGTGCACTTTATTGAGTAGTTCCGATTGCCATTGTTTGACTCCATTCCCAGAATCAGGCGCAAAGGCGATTTGCTTACAGTCCCGCTCTGATTTTGATAGGCTATTGATACTTCTATCGATGCCCTCTCTGATCGATATCAATAGCGTGGTATCGATTTGGCGCCTGTAACGTTCAAGACGCTCTTCTAAAGTCTTTATCTTTTCTTCTTTCCATACACTTTTCAGGGCTTGACGAAAAGAGGTCCATGTGTTATGGAAGCCCCGTACTTTCAGAGACTGAACAGTAACTAGCAGCTCGTCCGACACTTCTTGACATCCTATGCAGAGCTCTCTGAGTTGTCGTTCCGTCTTTGCCGCTCGTACTCCACCACTGCCAGGGACAACAAGATCTTGGCTAAGTGTTCGAAGGTTGACAGTTATTGCTTCCAGCTCTAGTTGTTTGACCAACGACCCATCAACGTGATATTCTCGGCTCTTGGAGATGAGGTCACTTGTAAACTGGACGGTCTGGACGATGTTCGACGCAAGGCCCAAGGCTGTGAGAGGGTCGAGAATTTTATCTTCGAGACTCGATTCTCGCTTGGGGGCAGCTGTTCATAAAGTGAACGATAGTGAGAAGTACAAATTGGAACACCTTTCACTTTGCGAGCGTGTTGGGAACCGTTGATGACACCAAGATCAACTACTCTTAAGAAATTGAAACACAAGAGACAAGGCTTTGCATGCGGCTGGGGCTGCGCGGGGCTGACCACAAGGCTTCTCTCAGCGTTTAGCAACAATCGAATGAATGGTCGAAAATCGATACGAAGCGAGGATGCATTGAGCTGCAAGACGGACAACGGTACTAAGATTGGTCACATCATCACATGTTTTGGCCATGAGGATCTTGAAAAGTATATGAGGCATTGGAAGTGTTGTCCAACAACGTTGTGCATAATGGAATTGAAACTAAATATAACTTCAATGTTCTAGAAAGGAAACCCAGCAAAATTTGAGCAATTTGCAACGGATAGTTGCTGGTAATCGACCAGGTCCCCCCAGCCCCACATTGACACGAGCCCACAACACAGTATCCCAAGTAACCTGCATCGCACCTTATTTCTCCGTTCACGCATATCGTATTAGGATTGCAAAGTAGCGTTGTCGATGCCGCCACGCCAGAGGCAGGAGGGCAGTCACTTGTGGAAGGTGGAGTGGTTGGACAGCCGGTCGGGCCAGGACAAATAGAATACAGCCCGTCAAAGCTACAAGAGCCCTGAAATCCAGCACCGTACTGCGCAGCACATGCTTGGTTTGTGAAAATTGTAGAGCCTATCTCATCGTTGTCTGCTTGGAACGCACACTAACAAGATACAATTAGTCCTTAAGCCCTTCACTTTTGTCTGAAAGCTTCGGTTACCGTCGTTCCCACGCTGGTCCCGTTCGCTTGATTACAGAGATGAGCCGCTGAGAAAGTCTGACGCGTAGACGGATTATTGCAATTGCATGTCCATGTAAACCATCCTCTAGACAGAAGTAAGCATGGCCCAATTCTCCTAGGAACTTCTGTGCATACGTGTGTATAATAGGATTTATTTGGGGCTCGGCTCGTGGAGCTGCTCTGACGTCTGAGGAAAGTATTTGGAAGATGATAGCGAACGGTAAGTAAATATATTTGAACATTGCTTCTTGTTTCAGTTTCTGGCGTAAAATAATGTAGTGTGGGAATGTCGGAAAAGTAATGTTTAAGAGAATTGGTACTGTTAAGATAAGTATTATCAGGCTAAATATCCTTATGAGCGTAGTACAAGAATAAATAAATTTTGCAAATGAAGGGACGGCAGTTGCATTAGCAATAATATGTTTATCCGATTGAAGTTATAAAATAAACACCCCTACCTACAACGCTACGTGCGTGTCATCATCATTGCCGGGGTCGGGGTCGCTAACGCTCTACTTTGAACCAAAATTGGGGATAGTTCCATTTTAGCGATTGTATAAACCAACAATAGTGCCGTACTATAAGCGCGCTAGATGCTTTCAAGTATGGTAGCGAGTAGATTCCCTCGTAAATCTAAGTCCCAAAGGCTGAAAATCCCTCCTCTGAAATAAAAAGTAAAGGGAAAAGCGAAAAGCGAAAAGGAGAGACGATGTTAAGCGAGAACGAAACAGTAAGCTATATGCTAAGCTGCAGATAGTTTTGGGAGGAATGTACCCAAATACCGCAGACTACGCGGAAACAGACACTGTAAGCAGGTCAGACGAACTTTAACCATGTAAATATTGTCCGTGTAAGCGTTGCACTATAACATCTCTTCCAATGTCGAGACGCGAAGACCGCACTTAAATCAAGGAGCATCAGGATCAGGGTTATTTCCCCACAACCTGTTCACCACCCCGTTAACCGCCCCCATCTCCTCACTAGGCTCCAAATTCAAGACCACAATCTCATTTCCCTCTTTCTTCAAATAACAACCCGGCAGGTACAAGGTCTGCTGCGGCCCCACAGTCCAGTACCTCCCCAGATTCTCACCATTAACCCACACAACACCCTTCGTCCAATTCGCAAGATGCAAAAACGTATCTGCGATCTCACCTTCCACGTCAAACATTCCAGCATAGAACAACGGACCAGAATTCGAAAGTGATGAACTAGCGAGCTCGAGAGTCGACATGCTTGAGGAAGCAGAGGGAAGTTCTAGTGGCAGGTTATACATCTCCCATCCTTTCAGTATCGATTCTCCCATAGTGACGTTTCCCACAATGCCCTTGATCTGATCTGGGATTCTTGGACCGTAGTTCACTCGCCCCATATTCTCGACCAGGATATCGAGTACATCCCCCGCTTCTAGAGTCAGGTTCACCTTCGCTGGCGCTTGGTAGATGCTGTCAATGATACCAACTCTTGTCTGGTTGACGTAGACCAGAACTCGATCACGAGGATAGTCTCCCGGGACAAGAATTCCAGAAACTGAAGAAGTGACCGTGTGTCGATAAAGTATAAATCCATGACTCTGCCCCAGCTTCTCCATATTTGTCGGATAATCCGCGACCACTGGCTCAGGTAGGATATCAAACAGTTTGACCACAGGTTTCAACGCAATCTCCGGAATCGCAATGGGAGTCTCGTTCTTCGGTACAGCAGGCAAGGTCTCATTGCCCAAATAATCAACAATCATTTCTCTCAAAGCCAAATAAATGTCCGTAATCCCACCGCTTTCTGTCAGAGGGGCTCCATAGTCGTAAGAGGTGATAACAGGCGTCAAAGCTTTGGCCCAATCAGCACCATTCTGGAAGCCCCAATTCGTGCCTCCATGGAACATGTACAAGCTGAAACTACTCCCATTATTCAGCGTCCAACTCAAATCAGATACAATGCTCTCAATTGCGGTCGTATCTCCGGCATCAGTGTCATAAGTACTGTTTGAAGCCCATAAATCGAGCCACGTGATGTAATATTCTCCATCGAGTTGCGGACCAAGACTACTCGCGTAGGCATATTGATCTCGAGCCAGGAATCCAGATTGAGGACCTCCATCTGTTTCCGCGAGAATGCCTTCGATTTGTCCATTTAGGATATCTTCAGAGTATCCTCCGTCATTCGTGTAAAGCACCATATCATCGCCAAATGCCCCATAGAAAAGATCTCGTAACGCTTCCATGTAAACATGGTCAGCACCGTAAGAACCATATTCGTTCTCAATCTGAGCCATCAATATTGGTCCTCCATTCTGGACTAGCATAGGTCGGATTTCTTCGGCCAGACGATCGAGATACACTTTCGAGGCATTGAGAAAAGGAGCATTGTTTGAGCGAACAACCATTCCTGGGATGTTGGACAGCCAGTATGGATATCCGCCCCATTCGTGCTCTCCGCAAACATACGGACCCGCACGTAAAACGATATGCAAGCCGATTTCTTGTGCTAGTCGAAAGTATTCGGCGATGTTATTTCTCCCGGAGAAGTCCCAAGTGTCTTGCGAAGGCTGGACCTGGTCCCAGAAAATGTAACTGAAAATTGTGTTGAGACCCATGGCCCTCGCGGCGTACAATCGCTTTTCCCAGTATTGGTACGGAATGCGGTGGGGATCCATTTGACCACCAATCATCTGGTAAGATTCGCCATGAAGGAGGAAAGAAGTGCGATTGTACGTGAAAGCCACAGAAGCATTGGTATACGCACTGCTCACGAGGCGACCGAAGCCCAGGAGGCCTGACAGGACGATGGAAACCCGCATGCTTGAGATCGTTGGCGGCGATGGATCTCAAAATCAAATATCAATCTTCCATGGATTATATCTTATGTTGGACAAGGCCAGGAACAATAGATGAACATCGGAAGATGTACATGATAAGATTAATTACATTTCATGTAACCTATTCCCCGCAGTTCCCTTTTAGCCCCGCAGCGCACAATTGCCACGAGAATGAAAGCTTATCATGCATGACGCGCTTTCATGCGAAAGGAAGCTGCTCTGAGAATTTGGAAAATCATGAGCTTCAATTGAGTTGGTACAGTAACGTTACTGAAGGTTGTTTAGTTGCCGCCGAAAGTGGACCTGGTTAAGAAGATCTGCATTTTCTTGACGACGACCCCGCTTGGATCACGAGATACGTCGCTTTCGAAGAATGTACGTAGAAAGGAAAGATAACAAGCAAAGGAGAGAAAGTAGCAGGACTACTGCTCGGATATGGGGTTGGCGTTGATCGGCGCATTCAACATTCGGCAAGTTGATAATGAATTGAAGATTCTCCAATAAATGTATGCACTGGGGAATCTATGCCAATGCCAATATGTTTTATACAAATCTCCCATCCTTTTATTTCCATGCATTCACCTTGATACACGTTACACGACTTGACTATACCTAGTCCCTAACATCCTGGAGGTTTTCTCTCTGAACTTCCAATACTTCCTCGCCTCGTCCACCCAAAACACACTGCTTGCCAAGCCCACCAACCCGATCAAATCAAATGGTCCGAGTGCTTCTGTCTGGAAGACCTCTTGCAGCCATGGGAAATATATGACGAGAATCTGTCCACCTAGACTCAATGAGACTGCCCAGTTGAAGAGCGTGTTGCTGAAAAGTCCAACTTCGCCTCTAAGGACACTTTTAGATTCGGAACGGCAGTTTAATGCGTTGAACATGTCAAAAAGGACGAAACATGTAAATGTCATGGTTGTATCTCTCTTGGTGACTTCTCCATCGGTGAGCATTTCTTTGTAGTAGACGCCCATGGTGCCACACATGATGATGGTCGCGGAAGTGATCACTCGTCTAATTAATGGCCATGTAAGTACCGGTGCGTTGCGCTTTCGTGGTGGTCGTGTCATAACATCTGGGTCGACAGGCTCGACACCTAGAGATTGCGCAGGTGGACCATCCATGATGATGTCTAGAAATTCTTAATACCTCGCAAAGAAAAGGAATGTATGGGTGGGTGGCTTACTGATCCAGAGAATCTGCATCGCGTTCAAAGGATTCTTGAATCCTAGACACGTGCAGAAAAATACTAAAGTGAGTGCAGCTGCACTGGTGCTCAGCTGGAAAGTGAGGAAGTTTTGGATGTTGTTGAAGATGCCTTTGCCTTCCTCAATTGCACGAAGAATAGTCGAAAAGTCGTCGTCCGTCAGAATCATATCAGCAGCTTCTTTGGCCACGTCCGTTCCCTGTAGACCCATCGAAATTCCGATATCAGCCTTCTTCAAGGCTGGCGCATCATTGACACCGTCTCCAGTCATTGCTACAATGTCACCACGAGCTTGTAAGGCTCGGATGATCTTCATCTTATGATCCGGACTTGTCCTCGCGAAGATGGAAGTGTTGGCAATAGCTGCTTCGAGTTCCTCATCAGACATCTCCTCTATCTCGTGTCCGCTCAGCACAGGCTTCACAGCCACAGAGCTTGCAGTGTGTTCGCGAGGCGTAGCAATGGTCATGCCAAGCTTCTTCCCGATTGCTAATGCAGTTGTTTCTGCATCCCCTGTTATCATGATGACCTTCACGCCTCCACGCATGAGACGTCTGATTGATTTGGTGACGCCGGCTCTTGGAGGATCACTCATTCCAACTAAACCTGCAAAGGTCAAACCTCTATAAACGTCTTCGTTATGTGATACAAGGGGCTCGGCTGTCTTTGTGGTTGGTGTTCCACTCCGACTGATGGAGTGACCAAGAGATTTGGCATGTTTTGGAACGGCACCGCTGGCGAATCCAAGGACTCGAAGGCCCTCTTGAGCTAGATTGTCTGCGGCATCCAGAGCTTCCTTTCTTCGGGCCGCATCTAAGACAACTTCTCGGCCGTCCTTGGTCAAATAGGTGTCGCATCTTGATAAAATTCTGTCCACTGCTCCTTTGATATAAGCCACCTCTTTTGATGAAGAACTTCCATCGGAATTGAGGTCGCCAACTGAAACACCCATCCACTTCCGTTCCGAGCTGAAAGGAGTTTCTCCTAGACGATGCCCAAGTCTATCACGGACATCATGTTCTTTGAATCGATCCAAGAGATCCAGCATAGCCACGTCCGTAGGCTGCCCTACCCATCGGCTGCGAAGCGCATGATTGTCCGTCCCAGTGGAAGATAATACAGCCATTGACGAGGCAGTTTGAGTATGTGCGTACCGCCTATTTAAACGTGCATTATTTGCAATGTTACCAATTCGGAGAATGCGTAAAGTTACAGCGTCTGGCTTTCCTTCAGTCGCTTCGTCGTCCGAATCTACTGCTATAGGCGATTCTGCATCAAAATACCACAATTTAGTCGTTGTCATGTGGTTCATCGTCAAAGTTCCTTCACGGAATTAGCATTGAATTTAAAAACGGAAGCTGAACACTTTACCAGTTTTGTCGCTGCAGACAACGTTCACTGAACCTAGAGTCTCTACGCTCGGCATTTTGCGCACGATAGCATTATGTCTCGCCATACGATGGACTCCAAGCGCTAGGGTAACGGTCACAATGATTGGTAGACCTTCAGGAATTGCAGCTACTGCCAGAGATATGGATATGGTAAAAATCTCCAACAGAGCTTTGCCTTGATACCATCCCACCAGCGAAATAATTGCAATAATTACGAAAGACGCTTGACTGAGTTGTGATCCTAAAGCATCCATGGAAAGTTGAAGAGGAGTCCTAGGACTTTCTGTTTCCGTAACACTGGCAGCAATTGTACCAAAATGGGTGCTTCCTCCAGTCGCATACACAATCCCTTGACCGTGTCCAGATCTGACAAGTGTCCCCATAAATGCGATATTCGTCGTTCCATTTAGTCGTGTATCTGCACCCACGGTGCCACTGCCAGCAGAAGCATAAGATGGTGAGCCGGGTGGCTCGAGGCTGTTCGATGTAACTCTTGGCAGATAGGCAATTCGACTTATAGCATCTGCCGTTATCCTCACAGGTTCGTTCTCTCCAGTAAGATTAGATTCGTCAATGGACAAATCCGATGCTTTTGTCACTCGGATATCAGCTGGGATTCGGTCTCCTGTTGTAAACAGAACCAGATCTCCAGGTACGAGCTGCGCTGCCATAACCTTGCTTGAGGCAGCTTCCAGCTTTACTTCATCGTCTTCAGAGCTATTCGAATCCATAAGGGTCTCCCTCTCCGGTGCTTCTCCAGCGCTCGGGGGCCATGATGGCGTCCTGGGGTTGGCAGTCCTTGCCTGATCCCCACGAATCAAATGGGCGTGGTTCGGTACCAGATGGCTCAGAGCCTCGATTGACTTCTCAGATCTATATTCTTGTATGAACCCAACGGATACCACAATCGTGACAGCCACGGCAATACTGATCGCATCATCCTTGTTTCCGACTACTACTGAGGCTCCAGCAGAACACAGAAGGAGCAAAATCAAGGGTTCTTTGAACTGCTTCAAGAATCGCAACCATAATGGCTCGGGCTCCTCATGTGGCAATTCATTCGGGCCTTGGTCATGTAATCGAGCAAGGGCTTCCGCGGGAGAGAGGCCAGTGGTGAGGGACGTCTGCAGGCGCTCAGCAGTTTCGTTCGGAGTAAGGCTTGCGAACTCGTCTGCTACAGTCTATAAACCAATTAGTCTAAAGCCACAGCTCATATACCTCTACAAACCTTAGCAATGGACGAAGATGTCCGTGCATGTCTGCTTCTCGACCTCGACCTGTCTATTGATCTCCGCCTTGTGGATGGTTCTGAGTTGGGGGTATCGACGACTGGCAGATTGGTCATAGGCAATAAGGAGCCTCCTGGACTAGCAGACCGTGAAATGCGCGGCCAAGCCATATCCTCAAATCCTCCAGTCTGCTACGACGAGCAGCAACTGAAGCTGTCGTGACCACAATGTCTATCGCTGAGGCATACGATCTCGAAGGTGGGTTTGATGCTGACAGGTGGAATGGTAACGCTGAGGCGAGACTTGTACGACGAGAAGGTAACCGTTGCGATTCTAAATATGGAATTTGTTCATTGGCGATGAGAGACACAAAATAATTCTGATCCTAACAGGTACGTGTCCGCGACTGCTCTTTTGCCGTTTCACAGCTCCTCCGGCTGCACTGACGATTTTTGGCGTTCGCTGGTCAAATTAACCCCTGTTCAGTGTAGACTGCCCTGAGACTCTAGAACACTCAATTTTGGATAATTGATAGACCGGATTTGCTGAGATTTCCAACGTGCTCGGAGAGATAATTATTTACAGCAAAGGTTGAATATGCAATAGTAACACAATTGACCTTTGTTCAAACCAAGTAATCCCCTTTTCAACATTCGTGAGTGCTCACACGTGACAAATGGCTGCCTCAGTTTCGCGGCCGCATTTCCCCCAAGGCTCCAAGCTCTAGCGCATTTTTACCAGCCACTTCAAATCAATAACCACCACGATTGATGATTCTCCCCACCTCGATTTTGTCGCACAACAACACAACCTCCTTAATAATTGCTTCATCACTCGCTTCCTCGCTGCGTCTTTGCGTCGCGACACCGATACTCAATTCGAATTTCGCTTTTACAAGGTGCTTTTGATGCGATCTGCGACCGAAGTTGATTTTGCCCGACGCGCCGGTATCATAACAACATAACAAACGCGCTCCATATCCCATCTCTTCCTATTGCTTCGTACCAACCATACGTCGCCGACCGGCGCAAATCTTCGAGATCTCTTGTAATTAACCTTTATCGCCAACATGTTCTACTCGGAGACTCTATTGTCGAAGACGGGTCCTTTGGCCCGAGTGTGGTTGTCGGCCAATCTTGAACGCAAGCTTTCTAAGAACCACATCTTGCAAGCCAGCGTGAAAGACAGTGTCGATGCTATTGTTACACCAAACCAAGCGCCAATGGCGCTGCGGCTGAGCGGACAACTTCTGCTCGGTGTCGTAAGAATCTACAGTCGGAAAGCGCGTTATTTACTCGATGACTGCAATGAAGCACTTATCAAAATCAAGATGGTACGATAGTCTGTGTCCGACCTCCTTCTACAGATACTTACCCTATCTAGGCCTTCCGCCTGTCTGGCAATAACGACATTCCCGCCGGATTGCACATGCCTTCTCGAGATGCCCTTATGCTTCCGGATGTCCTCACGGAGGGTGACAACCTTGAGATGCCGCCTATGCCGGACGCGTCGTTCCTCTTCTCCCAACTAGAAGACGATTCACACCAACGTAAGCGAAGAGCCGGTAGTCGTGATATCAACCTACAAGAAGACTTCACAGGGAGCCAATTCTTGCAGAATAGCATCGAGAACCAAAACGACGATGATTTGGTTTTGGAGCCAATGGATGATCTTGACTTAGGCTTGGACTTTGGTCTTGATATTGACGATTTCAACCCAAAAGCGGATCGTACCATGGAAGTTGGACGAGACGCGCCAGCTGCCCGGCCTGCTGAGGAGGATCTGTTGAGTGAGCTGGACATTCAAATCCCAGCAAAGGACAACTATGACGCTGGTGACCGAGACACGTCTCTCAACCTCGATTTTGGAGGTGGTGATGACGATGGCATTCGAATGGCGGATGACGACGGAGACGTTGACATGTTCAACATGGGAGACCAGGATGTTACATTACCTCCAGCCCCGCTCGTGCGACCAGAAAGAATTTCTGAGTCTCCTCTGTCGGACATGGATGAAACGCTGGCAGCAGAAGTGGAAGCTGAGCATCAACGCAATCTCAATTCAGCACTCTACGAACCTGAAGATGAGACTGAACAATCTGTCTTCCGTAACCCAGCACAGCGAGCTCGGAGGCAAAGATTTCTACATGCAGATGCTGAAACCGTGATCGCTAATCACATCATCAAGGAGCAACAACAAAGCCACGATAAGATTCTCAAACCTCAATCATTCCTTCCCAGAGACCCAGAACTTCTTGCTCTCATGGAAATGCAGAAGAATGGTGGATTTGTTTCCAACATTATGGGTGACGGTCGAAGTCTAGGTTGGGCACCAGAACTCCGCGGAATGCTATCATTAGATGCAGTCCGAAGAACCGGAGAACTGAAGCGCAAGCGTGACAGTGGGATTGCAGACATGGAAAGTGGCGACGACCAAAATCCTAGCAAGTCTCCACGCCTCGATCTTGGCGAAGAGGATGATCTGGCAGCAGGTCTTGGCGATGTTGGCATAGATGCAAACACAACTGTTGGCCCCGACGGGACCATGATGGAAATGGCTGCTGATGACGGATTCATGATGAACAATGATGATGAGCATGATCCAAGCGCTGGCCTTGACGCCGTTAGTCCCGGCCCGAACTTTGATGAGACTACCGCACCTCTTGTTCATCCAGCGGACAGTGGGCCGGTATCATTGGGGACGAAGCACGCGGTTCATCTTCTTCGTGATCGTTTTGGTCCAGAGGCAGCAAATAGCCCTGACAAGCGCAAGAAAGCTAGCGTACTCTTCCAAGATCTGCTACCAGAAGCCACAACCACAAGAGCCGATGCTACCAAGATGTTTTTTGAAGTCTTGGTTCTTGCAACAAAAGACGCTGTAAAGGTTGAACAACAAGAAGCTTTGCTCGGTGGTCCAATCAGAGTCCGAGGCAAGCGAGGTCTTTGGGGCGATTGGGCTGAAAGAGAAGCCGGTGGGGAGATTGCGGAAGAGGAAGCAGGCCCAAGCTCGACCCTCGAGCGATCAGCCGTTGTGGCCGTCGCTGCTTAGACTTGGATGATTCATTGTACAATTATGGTATGCATAGGTGTATCAGAGCGGAAAGCCTGAGCATGGCGTTAGAGGCGTCACTTTTTCAACAGGCGGAGGATTGGATGGTTTTGCATGGAATGGCGTTCAATGATATCCTTCCTGTTATTACTCTGCTTTCTCAACGGGAAGGGGAGAGTGGTCTTGACTTTTAGTTAACCCTGCAAGTAAAAGCTTTTCAATGGACTTCCTCTTGTTTGTATAACTCTAGTCTGCTTTACATCCCGTGTTTGATGTTCAAATAGCATTGTTCAGCATTGCCCTCCTAATTTCCATTCGCATTGTGAGATTTTAGTGCATATATCGATTTGCGAGCTTGGAGCATGCCCGTGACAGGTTATGTGAATAGCTGAGAGCGTTTGAATATCTCCCAGAAGGTTAGATATCGCTTCTGTTATGCAATAAGCAGCCTAGAACTCTGCCGTCAAATATAGATAATGTTCCATATAATCGCAGTATTCAGCTTGCAGTTCAAGTGGTGGGTTGTCTTCGAATGCTTTCAGCTTTCAATGTCCTGCACTCCCACTTGGCATTTCAAAGACCTGATCGTTTCTCTCGAAGCCACAAGCACTTAGAGTCACTGACCCACTCGCTCCCTCTGTCAGACACCCCTTAGCACCTAAGCTCCAGATATTTCCTGTCACCATGTATCCCCACTTCTGTGTTGTCGAGCTTTTGCATGCTTCCATCGCAACGCTACCCTTCTCATCATTGACTGCCGTCAAACACTCCGAAGTATTTCCCAGACTGCTTACAGTCCTCCCGTCATTCACTTGCCAAACCTGCGCATCGGCTCCTGTGCAATTTGTCCAGCCCACCGCGCCTGCAGAACCCGCAGTCAAACAATGCAACGACTTGGTGTTGAACACCATTCCTGTGGGCACGAGACTTGATTCGCATCCCTCACTCGCTGAGATTATGAACACTTTCGTTCCGTGACTCGGTACCGTCACTTCGATCTCGTCCGTGACCGTACTCACATCTCCTGTCCAGAGATCTTTGACCTCAAACTCCTGTCCCTGGGAATCCGCATATCCAGCCCTCACCATCGAAACATTCAACGTCCCCTCCTCCGCACCCCTATTCAAAACAGTCAACAACCTGTCCCCATTAGCCAAACTCCTCGTCAAAACATCCCAAGTCCCATCCTGGCTAACGAGCGTAGCCTGCAACCCCAATGCATCCTGATCGACCTCAATCAAATTCTTATTCGTCAAATACTCAATCTCCTCTGCCTCCAATCCTGGAATCCACGCCGAGATGATCAACGGCGCACCAAAGCTGGCCCATAATGCAAAGTGACTCTTCTTCTCATCCAAAGTAAGGTTCCCATGATCCACTATCAAGAAATCGGGATCATTGAAATACCCCGCTGCCTGATGTCTCGCCAGCAAGACTTCGTACCCATAGTTCGTGAGAATCGAAGACCAAGCATCCGGATCATCAAACGTGGCAATATCGTCCGAATGTCTAGCCAATTCCCCGTACTTTGGCACCCAGTCCATGACCGTATACCAATCCGTCAGATTGTCCTCCCCAGAAAAATAAGCTGGCGCGGACTCGGAAAATATAAGCGGTTCCGACATCGCGGAGAGGATTTGGTGCCAATGGCCATAAATCTGCTTATACCGAGCTTCGGTGGATGGATCAACGTAACACCCATCTAATTTCAAGTAATCGATTCCCCAGCTCTTGAATGTTTCGGCGTCAATTTCTTCGTAGCCCAATGACCCCGGATATCCACCACAAGTCGAGTTCCCCGCATCGCTGTAGATCCCAAAATTGAAACCGCGGTCTTTCAAGTATTGGCCTAGCCAAGGCAATCCGTGGGGAAATTTCTCTGGATCCCATTGTAGACTGCCGTTGGAGGCACGGGAGTGCAAAGGCCAGCAATCGTCGATGTTTAGACGGTTGTAGCCAGCAGCGAGTAAACCTTTTGACACCATAGCATCGGCAGTAGCTGTGAAGAGGGACTCGTTGAGGGCACATTCGAAGCGTGCCCAGTTGTTGAAACCCATTGATGGGGTGGGGAGGACGGATTTTGAGGCTGATGAGAGGGCGAGGGAGGTGGTTAGTGTTAGGAGGGGAGTCTGGATATGCATCTTGAATTTCGAATGTCAAGATCTGAGAAATTGTAAAACTCAACGAATCTTTCTCATGGTAGCAAACACACAATTCTGGAGTCCTTGGTATACATTCATATATAAAAAGTTGATATACCATGATGACGACGAACAATGCTGCAGCAGCACTCGGTAGGCTAATTTGATCGACCACTAATTACCCAACCCAATCCCTCATGCATCTCAGGTACCGGTACTAAGACCACATGAACAGTAACGTTACTCACCCTCAATAGCGAAGTTTTGGTTCGGGATAGTGATTGAAATTATACTTTCCGAGTTTCGGGAGGTCTTTCACGTAAGGATAGCGGGGGACACCTGCCTATTCGACGGCAAGCCGATGCCGATCTTGAAGCCGTTCCCGCAGAACACCATAGGGTTTGATTGGTTGTTCTTAGAAGGAAAGTAGCTTTTTCCTAGTGTCGCAGTGTAAATGGATGTAGTATATGACCTTTCTCAAAACAGAATCTGCATCGATTCTGCCGCAAGAAACCGAGTAGCGACAGTTCAAGCAGGTGTTCGAATGGTGGCACTTGTGGCATGTTGTTCTCTCATCCCGAATTTCTGCAAGTGCCAAAAGATTATCCCGAGAGGATGAAATGTATCAAACATTCAGAATCGTTATGTCAATCGTGCCCAATCCACTCTAACCTCCGATCACATCATTTACGACTGCCCTTTCCGCTCTCCCTTCTTCCCGCTTCCAAAAATCAAATCAAGTCTCCGTCTTCGATCCCAAACGATTTCTCCTCCATTCTCATCCTTCCTCCTAATGTGCACCGCCCTATGCAAAGATATGAACTCTTCATCCATCTGTTCGAGCTTCCATTTTAGTAGCTCAACCTCTCTTGGCTTCTCCTCAAATCGATCTTCGTATCCAATGAGGAACTTCTCTGCAGAGAAATGTGCTGTATCATGTTTGATCCGATTGATAATGTCGTGTGGCATACGTAAAGGGGTCGTATTTGGTCTTCGAGGTTGTTCAGCGTTGGGTCGAGAGACAAAGTCAGGCGGCCCAACATTTTCCATATCTGTACCATGATCGTTGGAATCAGTGGAAATGGTATCTGTTCCAGTCTCGGCGCTCCAGTCTCGGTCATCGACAACCAAGTTCAGATCTCTGATTTTCTTGCCTGCCAAGAACTCCGTATTCAGCCAGCAGCTTCCACTTTCAAATTCTCTCGACACCTTCACAATGCTCTCAAAGTCTCTTACAACGCCGATGACCTTGCCTCTCAGAATTTTCTTTGCATCCAAATCTGCATGCTCGCCCGTCATTCGTACACCGATCAAATAATACCCTTTGAACTGTGTTCCATCACTTTCCAAAGACTTTTCTTCGTTGTTTCTGAATCTCGCAGGCCAAACTCGTGCATACATCCCGTCCAGTCTGCCTAATGCGAGCATCAGTCTCGGAAACTTGCTCTCAAGTGCACCCACAATCTCTCGGCCTTTTCCCCCGCCAATCTCATCCACACCCCAAACATCGAGAGATAAACAGATATAGGCGGGAAAGCTTTTCAAAAAATCATGCACGCCAACGCCCGGACGGAGAAGTAAAGACCACCCCTCGCGAGACAACCTTTCGGACGTTGCGTTGAACTCTTCCCTGAATATCTGGGCCCTTAGTGGAGTGCAACTACTGGCCACATTCGGACGTGCGGTGGGCACATGAATTGCGGGGATAAAAACAGCATCTCTTGGTGATCGTGCTGGTTGGCCTTCGTTCGTCAATGTGGGGTCGCTAACACTTTCTAAAGCCCAGTCAAAATTCGCGTAGTAGCTGAAGAATGTACGAACTATGGTAGCTGGAGAGCACCTGGGCTGGTCGCCAGATTCTGATGGGCGTGAGGCTTCCATGAGCTTGACTACACGATTGAGCATCAGGGAGAGATGGATGCCGCCAAGGTAGCCAAACTTTGCTGAGTATAGGCCGTGGCCCTTGAGGTACAGCGAAAGAAACCGGTGGGCCATTCGATAAGCTGTGATATCCGAGACTGTGTTCAGGATGTACGCGGTATCGCGATAGGTATTGAATGGTCGAAGCGACGAAGGAGAAAGCGAGGACACGAGTGTTTTGTCAAACGCAAGTTCGTTCAATGGGGTGCTTTGGCTCGCACTGTGACACCTATGTTGTGGGGAATTAGATCATACTCGTCAGCTCTTCACTGGCAACACTTTACCTTTCTAGTAATAATGGTGCTTGACAATACTGCAAGTCGAATTTGATACCAAGTACGGACAGTTCTGCAATGGATACCAAAGAGTTGACTAAGTGGACACCTTTCACTCCCTCTTGTCTCCCACTGTCAAGATGTTGAAGTCTAGAAGCTGCAAGCTCGAAGAAGACCTGAGGAGCCACAGCCCCTATTGCCAAAAGATCGACATCCGATTCTGGGAAATATGTATCTAAGAGATAGCTTCCGAGCGGAGCGAGGACAAGACCCGTAAGACCATTACCACTTGACAGACCTTCTTCGATGAGTCGAATGGCGTGTCGACGCTCTGCTCGGTCGTCTTCGGTTGGAAGTAAATGCTCCAGCAAGTGACCTAGATCTGTATTATCTTCAATAACTATGGTCTTCTCGACATTGGAAATCTCCAAATGTAGTGAATCGCGGACGGTATTTTGCATTGGGTCCAGGTGTAGCGTTGCAGAAAGGCCATAATGATCGCTGCCACAAATGCCTCTTTCATCTGCTAGACCGAACAATTGAACATACTCAGTCTTCAATCTCCCGTTTCTTCGATAAAGAACTCTATCATATCGTTGAGGGTGGTCGTTGATTGGCGAAGTTGACATTGCAGCCAGCGTGTTGCCGATTCGGTCAAAAGTTGCACCCGACTTGTCATCAATAACACCATCCGTTTGCATGTTCTCGGATGCAAGAAATGCATCTTCCCAAAGGTCTAGATTGATCATATTTCTAACCAATTGAGCTGTTTTGGTGCTGATCAGGTCAAGAGCCAAGGCCATATCGATCGTGCTGGAGGACGTTGTGAGATTGAAGTCCCCTGAAAGTACGACCTCTCTTGAAGTTATTATATTGGAACAAAATTCTGTCAGGTAGTCCATTTGACGCTTCTTCGCCGCAACTGCGTCGTCAGATAATCCAGCGCTGAGATGAACATTCACGACCTTGACATTTAGCTCCATCACCTCAATTACCAAAGCCAGTTTGTGACGTTCTGTGAATTGTATGGTATTGTGATGGAAGGGAACAGAGGCCATGGTGACCAGATTCCGATCACTCGGGAGCAGAGACGAGGGTAGGTGAGTCGAATAAGGATACAATCCGCAAATTTTCCGGTCAGCAAGGAGAAGTGGAAGCATTTCATCGTTGACCTCTTGGAGACATAAGATGCTAACATTTGAATGTTGAACTGTGGCAGATTCGATAGCATCAACGATGGCGGTGAGCCGTGTTGTAAATGCTGGAGCTCGAGAGTCGGTCATCAGATTGTAGGTCGCAATTGTGACTTTGGTCGAAGTAGTGTCACTCTGTCCTCTCGAGACCTTATCCTTCAATACTGGTTGCCACCCAACAGAAGAACTGTATTCATTACATGAATTCCAGTGGTATTCTGGAGGCCCACACTCCTCTGCTGACTCCTATCAGCTCTCTCTCGCATCTCCTTCAAAGGACCCTGGAGTTGCCAAATCTGCTTACTTCGATTCAGCACCTCTCTTCTTCCTCCTTGAAGCCATATGTCGTCCACTGGAACCATCTTCCCAGACGGTTGTCGCTTCAGCACCGTGAGGCTCCTGCACTCCCATTGCGATGGAGCCAGTTTTTCGACCTTTTCAACCAACCTCTCGAGTGTTGGTCCTATTAAGCCAGCCTGGCCAACAGTCATATGCGCTCTGAATATCCCGTCATGCGTACCTTCTTTGGGATCTCGTCCCAAAGCACTCACAAGATCCGCTCTGAGCAGACTGATCTTCTCCTCTGTCTCCAGATCTGGCTTAAGATGAACAGTGGCTGCTTTCTTTTGGACAAATTTGTCTGGTCTTGCCAATCCTAATCCAAAACTTCCGACATCTTTGTCCGCAATTCTCTGCCGTATCGCAGAAATGGCGTCTCCAAGTTGATCTGGATCTACGAAAGGATACAGGACATTGATGTGTGGGTCCCATCTTTCGTAGGCTTTGTCGTGTATCTTTCTCAAAGAGTCAATTTCGGTGCGGAATTGAGGGGGCGCAACTATTGCCAAAGCTGTTTGGTAGGACTTTAGTCGAAATGGTATTGAGCTTGAAGCCATTGTTCCTTGAATGCGTCTTCGATTGGTACGTCAATTATATGTGAGTGGAACTTGACTCAATGACAACAATCGTCGAGTTTTGAATAAGGAGCAATATCAAGTTGTTATCCAAAAAAAAAAAGGCAAGCGTACATTTTATAAAACTTTGGGTCCTGGCATGGCAGTGCAACCCGGCCGGCAAGGCATGATTCACACCGTGAATCGATGACTCAACATGTGAGAAAACGAGACATGAAAATAGACATCAATGTACAGTGCAAAGAAAGAAATAAAGCAGATGGTACAATGAAGGCTGCTTAGGCTTGACTTTGTCTTGACGAGCATTTGAGACGAGGAGGATAGGAGAATGCAAGTCGCAGGAAAACCCAACCCTTAGCGGAGGAGGCGATGCCCCTCGCTTAAGTTTGATAGAGGCACCCCACTATGGCATCATTTATAAACCCCCATCGAACCACCTTTCTCATCCACGTATCTCAAGAATCAAGCTCTCAGGTTCGAGCAAGATTTCGACATGAAGAGAATCTGACAATCTGTTCGTATTTTTATCCTTTTCCGCGTGCTGCGATTGCCAGAATGTAGGAGCAAAGTGCTTCACCGCTATCTGACATTTGCGCAAACGAATAGCTCCATTGCTGGTTCTACAAACTTGTGTAATTTAGATTCTGTATGTTCTACTTTTGTCATTCAAGCTCGACTTAAGTTAATGGTGCTTTGACGACCAAGTGGTCAGTGAGATTAGAATACCGTGTAACTCTACCAGCATGGTCACGAAGTTCATGTATACAGAGATCTCTGCAGCGGCACTGTTTTTTGATTTGCTATTCTCTCTCTCTACATTTATTACTGTGTGATCACAGATTTTACAATGTTTGAGAGAGCCCAGTTTTGAGATTATTGGTATTCTTCAAGACGCAAGGCCGTCCTTTGAAGTTTGGTGCTTCTCATAATGCATGTTGTAGGCCTTTTCAAATGATTTTAATGCTTAATTGGTATTATTTGACTAGTTCAGACCTGATATTTAGTCTCAGTCCCTTTTACTACAGTGGTCGATGCAATCTCGGCGTGTCGTCTCACTTCTCCGAGTAATGAGTCAAGTTAATACAATCAGCGTTCTCAATGGGTAGGTCGGACATTTTTTGGCCTTGACCCATCACTACCCGTACTGGTACGGATTTTGACGGATAGATGTCCGTCACTATTATGATTCTAGATGGGTCTAGACAGTTTTAACTGCCAAGATAAATATAAGCTATTAATAGTATATTCTCAACTTCAAGCCTTAGATCTTAAGCCTTAACCTCAAACTTCAACTTCAAACTTCAGGCTCTTGTCACATCCACCTCAAGCCTCCTATATTTTAAGGGTTTCAAGCTCTAATGCCTTATTTAAAGCACCCTAACCTCTTCTAATCTCTCTAATCCTTAGGGCTAGCTTCCACCCCTAAAGTAGACGGGTAGTCGGATATTAGCAGTTTTTTTGAGCTGATGTCCGTGTCCGCCAATAAGATGACGGATATTTAAAAAATTATGTCCGTAAGCAGCTTAGACGGACAGTCATTGTCGGACACGCTAAAACTGCCTGTCCATTGAGAACGCTGAATACAATGCCTAATTTGAACGTCACTGGCCTAAAAAAAAGTTGAGCTATTTGGAGTCTCACGGAGGTCTCATTTCTGCAACCATTTCTCAACACTGTCTGGTTGCGTCCTATGTATTCCTTTGTTCATCGAAAAGTTGTCCTTTGTGCACATTGAACCCGATACCTCTCATGATCCTCTTCCTTGTGACAAGTATGCGCTAGCTGAAACTGGGGTCTCTTTGTTCCGAGAATTATAGTCAGTGTCCACTTCCCTTCGCTGCTCGGTTTACTTTCGTCAGAGGCCAGATAAAGTACGCTAGTGCTGCCTTTCCCCAGCTTTCTCCCTCTGTCACACAAAAAATCCCTTCTCAAAGGCGTTACCACTACCGACGCACCCTAGAGACAAAAGTCACTGCCGAAGGATAGTCCTAAAGTGACTCAATCTGTAAGAAAGTTCTTCCTCGCTGAAAGGCGTAGGTACTAACGCGACTAGACTCGTCTTCATGACTCCTCAAATCCCTCAATTACGATTTAATGAGTTGAAATGAGGAGCTTAATTGTTGTATGTGGTGCGGCTGGGTGCGGAAAGTCTACAATTGGAGAGTTCCTAGCAAAGGAGAAGGGATTCGGTTCCTGGAAGGTGACGATGTAAGTACAACGCGTTTAGGAGCTATCATTCGGCTTCAGCATACCTCTACACTAAAATGATGTTTGTAGAACAACTTCTAACGCGTCCGGTAGTACCATACACCAGAAAACCGTGACAAGATGGCTGCTGGTGTGCCACTAACTGATGATGACCGCGCTGGATGGTTGGCAAACCTTGCGGCTGCTGGTATCGAAGCTCTATCTGAAAGCTCGCTGGTTGTTGTTGCATGCTCGGCTTTGAAGTACAAATATCGTGAGGTATTCAGAACTGCTGTGGATAAAGCCAACAATGTCGAGGATCGCTCCGTGGTCTTAGCTGATACCGGAAATATCCAAGTGCGTACAATATTACCTTTGAACAAGCCTATCAAGTTCATCGTCTAGCAGACACACACTAACTGTTTTATAGTTGGACTTCATCTTCCTCTACATGTCACAAAAAAAGGCAAAGAAGTTGGTTCGAGCTCGGGCTTTGAGCACTGGACACTTTATGCCAGCTAGCCTTGTCAGTAGCCAATTTGATATCCTAGAAATGCCGAACGAGAAAGAGCCGGATTGTCATATATTCGATTCGAACGTCGGTGTCGAGGAAGTGAAGGATGGCACACTGAGGATATTGGACGCTTTGCTTGCTCATGCATAAGTTGCCTACGTGTTTAATACATTGCAGGAAGGCATTGCTGAGAGGGGTGAGGAGAAGTGTCTGGCATAATGGGTTCAACTCCAATCTAATTCTAATAATTAATTGCACGAATTAACTCGAGACATTCGACTCGCTAGTACATGATACCTTCAGACTTTTGCGTCTAAGAAGTAGGTGGAGAAAAAGCGGCCACTACGTCGAAACACACCCGTTGACTCGATTTTCGAATTCATCAAAGCACCTCCAGTTGAAATGAGGTACTTATATCCCAAAGCGACCTCCCTTTAACCTCGTTTTCTCGAACCAACGCCAAGCGGATCGATCATCAAAGGGCCAAAGGCTCTGGAAATTTACGTAGTCGAAAATGTTGGAGTCGTTCTTGGAATATGCGTCATATACAATTGCAGCCATGAGGAGCATTTCAGTGAGACCTGAGTTGTCATGGCTGGTATGTCACAGGACAGCGATGACATTTTCTTGAAAGCCTCCCTCAGCATTCGTTTTCTATGATTTCGAACTACAATTAGGAATTATAGGATTAATGTAGAGACTTTAAGAAAGCTCATAATATCTTTTATGGAACTCTCACACTATAAAGCCCCCGACTTCGGGGCCGGATCCAGCGTATCTACCAAATTGTCTAGGGCGCGTACATCTCCAAGCTCAAAGAGAAACATGCAATGGTCAGCTCCGGAGACGATGTTGTGATCTTGAATACAATATTACGCTGAAGACGTATCAACGGAAAGGGCACAGCATGAAATCAACAATAAAAAGCGAAAGTGGTGCAGGTAATCAAGTCGGATTGTGCTTCTCGTGAAGAATATTCCCCTTGGAGAAGTCCGAACAACTAAGATGCACCGAATCAGAAGACCTGAAGACGATTGCTGTTTATCCTGCGACTAAGCAAAGCTGCTGCGAGAGCGCGCTGACTTTGATGCTCTCAGAGCCCATCCATCAAAATTCAAAATCAATAACTACACTGTAGGCCCATGTCGATAAGCTCCTGCTGTAAAGCAGCCATGTGCGCCAGTAATTGCCTCCTGCACCACGAATAACCCATGAATCCGATCAAGTACGAGCGTAAATGGCCGCTTCTACCTATAGAATCCTCGCACCTCGCCCTCGAGTGAGTCTTCGGGTAGTTGTCATGGTGGATAGCATAGAGCTTCTTGCAGGTCAAGCCCAAGCAAGCGGAATTGCCTTCGGGAAGGTAGGAGAAGATAAGAAGTTGTATTTCGGTGGGTATGTTGCCGATCTTCGATTTATCGATTGGGCGTTCCTGATCTCGATCTCGTTCTGACTGAATCTTTTTGGCTAACTCAATTGCGTCTGAAAGTGACCAGGCGCGTTGACCTAAAGGAAAGACCTTGCGTTAGAGATCGAAACCCTTCTTAGGTACTACGGAGTACTCACCCCCAGCAGACTTGTAAGTGTCGACTTCAGAGTCAGGAAGATCTGAATCGGCAGGCGCCATGTTTGGTGTTTGCGTCCCTGGTGTTTCTAAGGTGTTTGGTTGTTCTTGTAGAGTGCTGCGGGGAATGGCTTCTCGTCTTCCATAGTTTGACGCGTCTAGCGTCCTCTCGCTAGGTAGCAAAACTGCCCTCTTTATCGATAGCTAGAAGGTTGACCGCCTCATAACGACATACAGGGAGACATTGCTAGTTTGTACTCTGTGGAATGTTGAAAAACTCTAGGAGTCATTGTCGTCTACTAGTCTTATTCAAAACCAAGTCTCTTCCGCACAATCTCCTTCATAAAAGCAGACCTCTGAAATGAACAAATTGTTGCCAATACCAAATCTCTAGCTCTAACACTCGCAATCTAGTGAAGAAATTTTTAATTGACCTACTAGGAGTAGAATAGTAGTTCAGTTGAAATATTCTTCACTAGTCTATGTCTCCCATCACTTAAAGTAACGTTCTCCATCAACGCTCCGTCACTTAACTCCTCCAGGGCAAACCGCCTAAGTGACTTATGACCCATTGTCATCTATGAATTGCACAAGCGCTGCTGTGCAATGGAAGATCACTTGTTTTCCATGGACTGTGATGAATTCACGCTAAAGGATATCCATTCTCAGCATACCACCATGCCTCACGCGGCGCAAAAAAACCCCCAAGATAACAGTATCTGAATCCCCAATTTTGATCCATCCATTCTTTCAGTAGATCCGATAAATGAGGTGAAAGAGGGGTAGAATCCATAAAGAGTGGCATGAGTACTGCTTTATGAAGTTTCCAATGGAGTTTATAAAATCTGCGACATGTAATCCCAAGACAGACCGAAGCCACAGGATCAAGCTGCTTTATGATAAGCATCTGAAGCTCGTATGGGAGCGTTTGGATGGAAACGGCTGCAACAGAGTTTAGAAGTTTTGCAGGCTGGGGATAGAGAAAACATACTTTGATCAGCTGTGGTGACAGTGGTGACTGCTGGAAGGGTTTGCGACCAATGATTATCATCAGATGTGTTGTTATCTTGCATAGAGTTTTGCATAGAGTTTGCGCCTGTGGCTGCCGTTGCGTGTTGAAATGTATTAGGGAGTAGTAGTAGAGATGATAAAAATGCTTGTATTAAAAAATCTAATATCTAAGGGAATTTTATAGGCAATTTATAAATAAATCCTTCTTTTCTTCTAATTATAATTATTTATTTCCGGTAATATATGAATAATATAAAGAAATAATATATTAATCTTTATTTAATATTATAAAGATTTTATAAAAATAAAATAAAATCTTTATTATTTCTTTATTATTATTAAAATAAAGATTCTTTATTATAATATACTGCAAATAGCTTAGCTTAAATTAAATATATAATGAAATAAATATTATTTTCTTTATTTATAATAAAGAGAATAATGAAAATATCTATTAATTTTAACATTGCAGACATGATTTGTCCGGCCATTAGTGCTTGAGCCGATTGAAGGACTTGAACATATATTCAAGAGGCAAGGCAATCTTATAGAAGTTGCGCATCTATTTAAATATCCAAACACCTCTTTGTAGCTCCACTTAGTGTGCCCCTAAAAAAAACCCCGACACGAGAGCCCAACCATCTTCATCGCGTTGATTCTAGTCTAACAAGGATCCAGTATGGACTAGCTCGCTCCTTCTGCTACACTAGTTTGAGTCCATATTCAGCATTCAAAACAACCACCCGGTTACTAAGATCATTCGGAAATTATACGAGGCATGGGCTTTGACGGAGACACGACCACGAGCATTTTTAAATGAAGCATTGGATCATGGGAATTCGAAAATCTGACTTGATTGCGGAAAACTACGTTGTAAACCATCGCTGCTGCTCCTTGAAAGTGAACCATTGAAAGCCATCCCCATTTTCTGAAAGAAACCCGCTGTGAAACAAAACCAGCATGAAAGAGAAGCAAGGAAAATCATCCCCATCGTATGAAAGAAGGCAGTATGATGCAGTGAAAAACATAGGTGTAGAAACCTCTCAGTGCGTCCAGAGTTTCCGTAATCGTTCCTTCGTCGCCTGAATCTCGCTTCTTCTCCTCATTCGCATGAAATCATTTTGATGAACCTGAACGCCTGCATATGCACTCCTATCTAACCTTAAACACCACCTCTAAACTCCCTAGACTGTGCCATCAGACGCATTTTCCGTCCTTATCGTCTCGTGGATCCCACCAAGGTGGACGACTATTAGGACAGGGTCGCCACGGAGTAAACATTGTCGTCTTATACTGGAAACCATCCGGCTTGGTTGGAATCTTGACTTTCTCGTGGCACAGCTTGAATACCACAGTTTGGTAGGGTGCGTATGTGACCTCTTGACCTTCCTCCCAGATTCCGAAACAGCCTCGCTTGTCCTTTGGTTCAACTCCTTTGTTGTTTGCGATGACTTTGTCCATGCACTGCTTCTTCGTCAAGAACTTTCCAGAGACCTGATGATTGCCAATCGCAAAAGCAAAGTAGTACAGATCCTCTCCCATCCATTGCTTCAACATCTGGTAAAGGAAGATCGACTCAGATGATGGGAACCGAACGGACTTTTCGAGAAGACTGTTTTTGTGGGGATAACGGATCTTGTGAATTGCCCAGAGGGCTTTGCACGTGAGACCTAGTGTAGTCGCGGACGCCTCATCGAGGTTATCAAGAACGGCGAAGAAGATCTCCAGAGGAGTACTTTGGATAGCCTTTGTGGTTGAGTTTGGTAGAGAGCCCTCGAGGGTCAGCGAAGCGAAGGTGAGCTGAACTTCGATCTCCTCTGTGTAACAGTCAGTTGGTGACGCGATTGTTTGACGGTAGATAATATTGCTTACCAGCACTCGTAAAAGCAAGAGATTCGTGAGCGGAATCGGGCAGGTCTTTTTCGAGAAACTCTAGGAGCTTGGATGGCTGGCTGCCTTTAGCGCTTTGTAGGAGCTCGCGAACCATTGTGGTGATATGATGCGGAATCTTGTAAGCTTGAAATGAGGGTACTAGTTGAGGTGTTGAGACTTGGGCGTTGCTTCGTGATTCCTCGGATCCTTGAAAGCCTTCTGTTCTCTGAAGTCCCCGCTGGGGCGTGTTTGGCGGCGCTGGCGGGGGTGCTGGCGGGGATCTTCCACGTCTAGTGCGAGATCCAGAAGCGGAAGCTTCTGGTTCAACAAATCGCACCATCTTCATCTTTTACGGACGCTATACTTTGAGTGGAACGGTATCGGGTTGACTGTTCAGGCGTGCGGAGAGATTGTTGCTGTTTATGAGACTTTTCATACTCGAAGACGTGTGCGGATCGAAGCGAATATCCGCTGTCGTTAGCGCCTTTTTCATCAGGGTGAACTTGAATCGATGCAGTTGAAATCGAAATCGTAGCCTACAGTTTCCAAACAAGGTACTATATCTGTGATTGTTAACATCTGTAAATTGGGGCCGATGCCCGCTTTTCATCGCAACACAGAGAGCACCCAGGAGCCTTCTCTTTTGCAATCAATCATTATAGTCAAATCTCTACCTACACTTTTTATGTCATTTTGAAGAGAGTTTAGTGTTCAGGGGGAAGAATTCATACTGATTATGTCTCCTCAGTATGGGAAAACTACTTTCCAAAGAGATTTGTGGGACAATGATCGACATTGGCATCACCGGACTTGACATTCATGAACCACAAATGCCTGATCTGCTATATTTCAAAATCCCTTCCTTGTGCTCTCATAAGCAACAGCAGCTCCAAATTTATCAACCACTATCCTGATCCGTCTCCATGACTCTTTTTTCTTCCATTGCCTTTCAATTTCCTTCTCGTCACTAAGGTAATGTTTCTTCAGCAAGAATTTGCCCCATGCATGATCAAAACTGTACTTTGGTGCCATCCAGTCTGTCAAAAGATGGCCTAAGCATTTCTTATCTCTGGATCTCATGCTATGGAGCGGTTAGTGTGAGTTTCCAAGACGTAAGAATAGGGCACGGACGGTGGCAGGTTTGCAAGTGCATCAGAATGGACCAAAGTTCTTGGATCACTGATTGTTGGCATCTTGAGCTCGAAGATGATGCGAACAACGAGGGTCTGCCACACATCCTCTAAGATGTGCTTGCAAACATGCCGTCTTCGGAGGATTCTCAACACTTGAAGATAGCCACGGCAGAGAGCTCGGAAAGGGTTTGAATTCCTAGAGAACTGGAGATCTTAAGATGCTTAACTTACTGTAGGTTCACCTGCCAAGGATACAGATGCTCCGTGATCTCAAAGAAAGCTTTGCATGCCAGACCAAAACAGGTACACGTGACCGTATCAAGGTAATCGGTGCACTGCAAGAAGTTAGTACTTGCTTTCGTTTAAGAATAAGGACAATATTGGGGAGAGGAATAAAATATGTGCAAGAGCCTAAACGTAACAGATATAGAAGAAAACGGGAAGGAGGAATAAATGAAGAGAATGGTTACAAGAAGCTCCAGGATCTCAATCGGCAAGTCCAGAAGATGAATTCTGGACCGCTTCGTAGAACTTTGAGCAGTAATCGCAACAGCCGACGATGAGTTCGACTCGGATTGGGAATTCTTATTGGGCTGCGAGTGCGTCACGTGAAGTTGTGCCTCGTCATCATCTTGTAGGAACTCCTCTACATGCTCTAGAACCTAGTCAGTATATCAAGCAGACAGAAGATTGGGATCGGTAGCGCGGTTACCTATCATGGTATTTTGAGGTTTCAACATGGCGAGCTCGGCAGGCCCACACTTGAGTGAAGACATGGTGTTGTGATAAAGCTCATTCGGAGGCGGTAAGATCAAATAGAGTCCCTTATGACTAAATTTCGTTGAAAGGCTCAAAGATTTTCAGTGCAGAAGTATCTTTCTTGGAGTAACTGAAAGCAAATCCTGTACTGTACATCCAGAAAGAGCCAGTTGACTTCGACGAATCTCGTCTCGGAACCACAGTAGGTCAAGTTATCGAGTGGAAGACGTCTTCGTCGACAGAGCATCGAAAGCTCCATATGTAGAATGTAACTTTGTCTGCACCAAGGGAAGACGATCCTGAACGGAATGAGGCTCCCGAGGATGAAGTCGGTTGCCTGCATCGTCGTTGTATGCTGAGTCATCCTGACTTGTACCGTAGGGCTTAGCGAGGAAAGCTAGACTAGGCTAGATTTAAATTTGACTTCAACTCCCCAATTCTTCGGAAGTTTCCATTCATAGAGCAATACAGACCCTTCAATCAAGTCTCAATGACATTCGAACATCACCTTTGCAGTTGGTTTTACGCGATGCGGAGAAACTTACTCGCCATACGGCGTCGGGCTGCTTGACTGTGCCAGAGCCCCGCGCCGCAAAGCTAAGCTCTGGGCCGCAAAGTCTAACAATTGACTCCGCGGCGGTGAATCTTATGCCCACGCCTTGGCATTGACACTTGCTCGGACTAAAGATGATGCTACGTGAGGCTATCGCTCCTGCCTATCGGCTGCTCCGGTACCTTTGATTTTCGACTCCTGGTCCAGATTCCGCTGTCTTTTTCCGAGCATGCTCATTCCACATTACGCCATTACCTCTCAGTTTGCATTATGTTCTCTTACCTCATTATCCTAATGCTCGGAAGGCACGTTGTCACAGGACAGGCCTCGATACGGAGCTCGAGTTCTGCGTTCTCTGTTCCTAGGGCTTTATATTTCGACCCTAATGGCTCGCACTTCAGAAAGTCATGTTTTGCAGTCAAGATATGCTGATTCTTCGCTCTCGCAATACTCTCGATACAGTTGTGCAAACCTCCAGGAGAACAAATCTTGCTGGAGGCCACTAAAACGAACTTTCGAGGTCCGCCTCACGGCGTCTTATGGCTTGAAATTGGCAATGTCGATTGTATATTGGACGCTTTTAGTGACTCTGGCGAGCTGCCAGTTCAGAGCACTGTTGATCAATCGTGATGCGTTGCTGATTAATATCGGTCGTTTTGTGAAAGGGTCCGGAATGTCAGAGAGTCGATCAGCTTTCTCTTCGATGTCCTCCACTAGGACTTCGTGGCTATGTCACAGTTGTGCCGTAATGAGCTTATCTGATTCCAATTCAGCAGGTCAACTTTCTTACATCCTTAGCTCATGAGTATCTGAGGCTTAGTCTTTAACATGGTAGAGGGTAGGCGAAGCCACCCCTCGTGTCTCGCTTGACCCAAATGGGGAAGTTTATCCCTGAAAATGGGGCTCATCGAAACAGCTTTTTACGCAAGTTCCGAGAGTCCATTTTGTAAGCACTACTAGACTGCTCTAGGTATTTCGACACAAAGCATGGATCTCAATGGTAAAGCCCAGTCACGCATCTTTTCACTATTCTCTGTTGTTGCTGCCAAGGCCAGAAAGGCGCGCTGCGATCTTTGGCATGATGTCTCGCCAAAGAGACTCAGGCAGACAAGCTTTTGAGCATGAAGAAGGACCTCAATCAGTGTTCAGAGTCATGATCTCGAGCTATATAAGGACCATTCTTCCTCTTACTTGGATATGCTCAAGCAATTGTCACTCAAAGCAATTCTTCTCTGTGCTGAAGAATAACATCATTCCACTAAAGCTTCTCTTCACCTCGTTCTATTCTACTCTACGATAACCCATAAACGCCGCCTTAACCATTTTCATCCGACATGTATCTCTCATCGAGCTTTGTTCCGGGTCTTACCCTTATTCGCTTGTGTTCGAGTATCCCAACTGCGCCTCAGATCTCAAAGCCCACTCCTGGAGCAACTTGGCAGATACAAATCGACACCCAGGTGAACCCAAACCACGATGTCCAAGTTTTTGACATCGATTTGTTCGAGAACCAGGCAGCGGACGTCGCGAATCTTCACTCAATGGGCAAATATGTCATTTGCTACTTCAGCGCCGGCACTCGTGAATATCAGCGTTCAGACGACGCCGTCTTCGCCACCACTACCATCGGAAAGAATTACAGCGATTCGAATGGTCTAGACAAGGAAGAAACATGGTTCAATACGAAAGAAGATGCTGTTCGGCAAGGCATGATGGGTAGAATTAGGAGGGCAAAAGACATGGGCTGCGATGCTGTAGATCCCGACAACGTAGATACTTACGACAACGATACTGGATTCAATACTGGTGACCTCGAGACAGACAAGGCTAATGCGATCGACTACATGAACTTTCTCTACAACTACACTTCGACTTACAATGGAGGCATGGACATTGGTCTCAAGAACGGTGCCGCCATGATCAGTTCCCTGATCGATAAAGTCGCTTTCGAGGTCAATGAGAATTGCGCAAACCTCACGGAGTGCGCCAGTTTCCGTGACTTCATCAACAAGGGCAAACCAGTATTCGAGATCGAGTATCCTGTTTATCTGCAGAACAATGCTCCTGTTGACAACGCTGAGTGGACGAGGCTGTGTAGGGATAACTTAGAGAACGGGGCCAGTCAACAGAATGCACACTTCTCGACAGTCTTGAAGCGATTTGGCTTGGGAGATTTCACTGATCCTTGCGGGGCGAACCCAGTCACCCCAACAGGCACAACTTGAGGTGCACTAGACTTTTTCAGAGGAGCGTCATGTGGGCGCATATCGCAGGTGTCGTTCTAAATGGTGTTGACTACTCAGCAGCTCGTGTTTTACCTCATTGTTTATGGTTAGCAGGCTTCGAATATTTGCTTGATTGCATTGATTTCTTCTTGTTCATTTTGGTTCGACGTACTTTATATATCATAGTACTCACACACCGCAATGTCATCGGTCATGAGTTTTACGCTCCCTCCAGCAGGAAGCTGGAGGGAGCATAAAGCACGTGACTATTTTGGGCATTCTGCCACTTGCACTACAACCAAGTAAAAGGTAGCTTCAAGAGTGCGTGTAGGATTTCTACATCTACGAGAGTGTAATTCAAGCGAATTCAGCTTGTACAATATCACGCCTGATCATAGCGTGTCTGACACGTGACGAGTAAGGAGACCCGTATTGCTGCATTGCGTTAGCGAGATTCCATGCTGCATGAGCCTAGCTGAATTGGGCGGATTGGGGGCTTTTGATTCAGCTCCTGAGATGTCCGGAGGCTGAATTACTGCACAATAGGTCGTTGTCCTCCGACCGACATCTTGGTATCTTACAATCCTCCCCGACGCTTCAAAGTGTTTCAATTCTGTATATTCAAGCAAACAAGAAAGCGTCAACGATTCCAGTCTTTACCCACATCCCTCGATTGTGCTGATGCACCCAATCATTATACTCCCGTCAGGCTGAGACTCGCTTACCCTCCTTCTTGTAGACGAGGCTCTACCCCGCAAAGTGAGGTGCCTTATCTGCAGCCAGCTTCGTTCCGACATGCGTCTTCTCCATGCAAGTACAATTAGTCTGGAAGAGATTTCCGAGAACAAGATACCGCCTTATGCCATTCTTTCACATACATGGGAGAACGATGAAGTCTCCTTCCAGGATATGGAAGGCGGAAGCCCTACGGAGAAAGAAGGATACTCGAAAGTCAAATTCGCATGCCAACAGGCTCTATCTGAGAGTCTAGAATACGTTTGGGTCGATACCTGTTGTATAGATAAGAGCAGCAGTTCTGAGCTTTCCGAAGCAATCAACTCGATGTTCACATGGTATCGGAACGCCGAGTCGTGCTACGCTTATTTGGTCGATGTGCCATCAACCGATGATCCGAGGGCAATGAACTCGGCCTTTCGCGCAAGTCGGTGGTTTACACGAGGATGGACTCTTCAAGAGCTGATTGCGCCGCTCAATGTTCGCTTCTATTCGAAAGACTGGAGTTATCTCGGATCGAAAGGTGCTTTAAGTCCAGTGATTACTGAGATAACCGATATCGACAGTGTCAGTCTCAGCGGTGGTGACTTACGTCGCTCAAGTATCGCAAAACGAATGTCATGGGCGTCAAAAAGAGTCACGACAAGGAAGGAAGACATGGCATACTGCCTTCTCGGTATCTTTGACGTGAACATGTCCATGTTATACGGCGAAGGAGAGAAGGCCTTCATCAGGTTGCAGGAAGAAATCATCAAAGAGTCAGACGATCAATCGATCTTTGCTTGGGAGCTCGACAAGCCTCAAGCGAACCGCGATCTTGGAGTCTTAGCTCGAACACCCGCTTACTTTGCCTCGTCAGGCGATATCTTGCCTTGCAAACCGTGGAATACGGCATTTCCTCCATCAATGACCAGCAAGGGTCTGAGAATCGAGCTTCCTATCTACTACGAGAAGTCAGATCCGGAGCAAAATGAACCATACGGCATTCTCAGCTGTCATCTGGAGAACGACCTCTTCAGACTTATGGCATTACCACTTTGCAAAGCACAAACCTCGAATCACGAGTTCACGCGGTCCGGGTCAGGTAACCTGATACAAGTCCTAGAGAGAACCAGTAAAAGTCTCGAGCTAAACACAATCTATATCCACAAGCTGCCTCCTCGCTTCGAAGACAATCGACGAGATAGCTTCGTGATCAGAAGTCTGTCTGGCTTCGTCAGAGGCAACCGCTACCGTCTTGTCGAAGTCTATCCCCCACAGATCTGGAACGAATCGCGCAGAGTAATCTCCACTCGCTCAAGTTACGGCGATCTGATAGAAACATTTGCCCTGATGCATTTCTCATCCGACTCCGAGCCCGATTTCCTGGTTGTTGTTGAATACATGCCCCGAGAATACTACGGATCCATCGGTTCTGTGGACATCGAAGATCCAAGAGCGCATTGCCATCTGAAGTCTAAGCCTAAAGGTGTAACGTTGGCCCAGCTCCATAAATCGCAATTATTTTATGTTTCGAAAGACGGAGACGTTGAGCCTTTGATATCGACGAAGCTGCCAACGCCAGAAGTCGTCAAAGGGATCGGGTTGACGTTGAAGAAGGAAGAGGTGATGGGTGTAGAGATGTTTGTGCTTGATATTGAGTTGGAGAGTTCGTCTCGCACCTCATCGCGGGCGAATTCTGGGAATGTGCATACGTCGTGGCCGGTGTTGACAACAGATTAGTATTGGCCGACATTTGTTTAATTATGATTGTGACATAGGATCTCTTTTGGGGTAAGGCGCATGTATGGGTTTTCAGGTGTAAATGGCGGTGGTGGTAGGTTTCATGTCCTGGTGTGGCATTTTGATGTTAATAAGTTTCCAAATGAAAGACTCAAAGTAGATAACTGCTTCAACATAATGCTCTCTGACCTTGTCCAACCTGTCGTTGCATGCAAATCGAAGATCGCTGGTCCCTGCCTGCAGACGCTTGTCGTTGTGAGCCCGACCTCATTTACATATACCAAAACTGTCCCCGCGAAGATATCTTCTTCGCAAACTCTGCCTCAAATAATCAGTATCGTCCTCCTGAAGTGTGGTGCTTTGCAGGTATACTGAAGAATGAGAATAGAAAGTGAAAAACGTGACCTAAGTTAGTAGCTGCATCTCATCCTAGCTCGTTAGGAGCAAGTGGGGTAGTAAGCACTCTCCTCTTGACAGAGACGATGTCACGTTGTTGATGCGTTCGGGAGTTGGCCTGTTGAGAAAAGATTGCTTGCATATCATAAATATATAGATAGCAAGATCTTCAATCTCACTGCAATTCCAGTTCGCCGACTTTTGAGGGGATACCAAGCTAATAGGAGATGGCTACGAATATCATCACCTCGATTCGTCTTCTTCCAGGCCGCATTCGAGCCCTACTCTACAACTGATGTCGCCTTGAGCTGACCCATTTATCTATGCCCCCACTCTGAGACACTGCCAAATCCATCAAGTCTGGCAACAGCTCAGCCAAATTGGGACTGACGCTCTCCTTGCGCTTGAGTGTCATCACAGCTCCTCGTTGGGCAATGTGGATTAGCTTCTCGTCAAGCTTACATCCTTTCTCCAATCCAGCAACCAAAACACCAAGGAAGGTATCACCGACGCCATTCACGCTGACAATATCGTCAACGACTTCAACGGGTGGGAAGAGGCGTATATAAACACCGCCAACCTCTTTACTGCCATTTGCGGTCCGGGATAAGATGAAGGGAGCAGAATCTGGATCCGTAAGGCGAGGATCATCGGGCTCAAGAAGTTCCGTCAAGAGGACGCCTTCTGCTCCAAGTTTCGTTAGGATTTTAGGAATATAAGGTAAAAGCTGGATGGTTTGGAGAGGGATGCCTTCATCCGTCATTTTCGCATTCGTGATCGAGACGAAGCGATCTCGAGCGCCAGAGCTGGGAATACCGAGGGCGTCAATGATCTCCCACCATCTTTGAGTTTCGAAATACTCATTTTTCTTTGCGGTAGCATGCATAGCTGCAAGTTCATATTGATTCGGCGTCGATAAATAAATTTCATTGCCAGGAAATGTTTGAAGGGGCTGGCCGCTATCCTTTGGGCTCCCGAAGATTCGACCCGCTTTTGGTACTGAGACGGGCTCAAATATAAATCTGGAATTGGGAGGCCGGCTCTTAACCAAGGACTTCAGAATGGATGGAGACCAATTTGCGTCGACGACAATCCATAGATCTCGCGAGAAAGAGTCTTCGAGTAGGATCTTGCTCACACTCAGCGACGAAGCATCGGAGAATTCGTCGAATATGCTCATATCTGCCATGGCCATGACGAGATTTTTATTCGCATCATTTATCGCAATGTACTGAGCTGTGCGGCGCTCAGCTTGCAGCACACCGCGAACACGGCTTTTTGCAAGGGTCCCTATACGTTGATGAAACCCGCTTTGGTTAGCACGGGCTGTCTCGAGGGCAGATGTTATTGAAGAGCCAGCCCTAAGCAATATTAGTCACCTCATCCAATCACAGAAAAGACGGACCAACAAATCATCGCCTACAAAGCTGTGGAAAGACACTTTTGACTTTCCTGATGCGATATAGGCGGCAAGGGCAACATTGTAGCCAACGCCACCGATAGATGGAGTGATTGTTGCTATGTTGGAGGTATGCATCTCCGGCATAACGTTTAAGGCGGTATGATCCTTCTTCTGGGGAGCATAATTGCAAGAGAGATCTACAGCGACTGAACCGATCACGAGAATCCTTGGGCTAAAGTGGAAGAAAGAATCGTACGCCGGGTCAAACTGGGCAGAAGGAAGTCAGAAAAAGGCATTATTATTTCTTACAGCAAAGTAGAGAGGCAGGAACGGGCGGCAACCGATATTGGCGTGGACCAGCACTTACCACGTTATTTTCCATTTGTATTTCATTCTTCCCTTCTCGCGCAAACTTCGTGCCCTCCAGAAGGCGTGAAAGTTTCGCCATTCCAGCTGCTGACGCGGGGACAGATTCGTGACTTTTCTCGTCTGTGTCAAGGATCGGGTGATGACGAGTGCTAATACAATCAATTATGCTCCAAGAAGACTACTTGGTTACTTTACCGTATGCTAATCTTAGACAGCTCAACGGCTACTTGCGCAGCCATGGCGACGTTCGACTCTATAAGAGCTCGATTCGCTGGAATGCTGTTTCCTTTGGTAAGCTCTTTGATCTTAGAGAGGATAAAGGGAGTGTTGGCATGTCCGTGGAAACCCTGTTCAGTTGCTTCTCGAACTGCTTGGTTGATTGCTTCGTCTATTTCTAGTTTGGGTATTGAATACTCCTCTGGGATTGGGTTCGCGAACAGGAGTCCACAACGACTTGATTTTTGAGGTATTGTCAATTTTTGCGCCCCTGGAGTGATTCAGCATAAGCTACAAATGTGCGGACGTAGACCATACGAATGATAGCTGCAGCTTCTTGGGGACTCTGAATGACCATTGGACTCTGCACTCCACTTTCTCTGGTGTAGAAAGCTGGGAAATCAATCTTGCCGGTCCTTCCATCCGCAAATGTGCAGACAGTAACGCCTTGAGTTTCTAGATACTCCAATGTCTTTGGTATGTCCAGAAAACTTTTACACCCACTACTGATTACTGCAACAGGGGTCCTCCCCAATTCTGTGAGGTCAGCAGAGATATCCATAGTATTTTCTGCTCCACGGTGGACTCCGCCGAGACCACCAGTGCCAAACACTGCAATGCCGGCTCTGCTAGCAAGAAGCATCGTTGCTGCAACAGTTGTCCCTCCGTGCAGCTTCTTGCCAGCAAGTCCCTATGTTTGAATGAGCTCTTTCCTTCTGAAGGGTCTAGATGTAACTCACCATACCTAAAATGAACGGGAGATCACGACGGGATACTTTCATTGTCTCTGGATTTCCAGCTGCGGAGGCAAGAGTTCTGATCTCCTTCTCTGTAAGCCCGACGCACGCAACACCATCAATAACTCCAATGGTTGCAGGGAGGGCGCCATGGTCGCGCACAATCTTCTCTAGATCTAGAGCAAGCGAAATGTTGTCGGGATATGGAAATCCATGAGTGTATATAGTGGATTCCAGCGCAACGACTGGTTGCCCACTACGTGTGGCATTTTTTACATCATCTGATATGCGCAATGGGTACACAGAAGCGTCGTTTTTAGAGGGGAGCCTCCGGATTTGCGTTGTCCTTTTGGCGGTACTCGAGAAAGATCTCAAAGACCGACTGAACGGGTGAAGAAGCTTCATCTTAGAGCAAACATGACATCTCACGAGGGCCAGCAAGATCTCAGCCTGTTCGAAGGATGTGTTCAAAGAAGTGATTGTGTGATTGGTTGGATGATACCTAGTTGCAAACATGTTTGGAAAGATGGGATTGAGATCACGTGGATATAAGGTGAAGCATTCAAATGGCGCTTGTCCCGAAGAAGTTTGGTCTCCAATTCAATCTATTTGATACACGACCAGTTTGACAGCAATTACTCGATCGGATCAACCCGAGCAGACCACGGTCCCCTCTTCCGAATTATGCATAATTCCATCAGTAAGGATCGAGGTCCATCATACCATTCCGTTACGGAAGTTCTCCTTTCCCTGTTCGTCCGTTCTTATATTATCATGCCGTTATTGCTACTCACCCTGCCATGTCTGCCAACTTTCAATCTACATGACGTTCTTTCTGTCTCTCTTTCGTTTATCTTCCTCCTTCTGCCCCTCGATTGAGCCTTCATTGTTCAAATGATGGCAGTTCTGTTTCGATTCAGTCTTGTGCTTGCCGTCTTCGCGGGATGTCTAAATGCCCAGCAGATTGTCAACGGGCAGATTTACACGCCAGGGATTGCGCTGGTGGACTCGCCACAACCAAATACGCCTGAGGGTGGTGGTATGTTCTCTCTAGGGCTCCAAATGATTATCGCTGACCGAGAGCAGATTTTCTACAAGTGGCTCTTGATGTGACCTCTGACGGCCAGCTCGCACTTCCTCCTTACCCCACCAATCCCAACTCTGCCATTTGGAACATAACGATTTTCCTCTCAAGCTATACAACGGGCTACAACTTCACGATCTCGAATGGCACCGCGACTGCAAACAATGCAAGCTTAGGAGAAATCATGGCGCAGGAACCAAGCTCAACGGTGAAGCACGTAAATTGGGTATGGCCGGATTGCTTAGTGGGAGACGGAGCATCGTCCGACAATTCCTCTGCCCGCGGAGCTTACAATGTACATCTCCAAACCACATTTTGAGAGAGAGCGAAAGTGCTAACTAGAACAGATTTCAATCCGCCAAAATTTCCGACTGAATGGAACGAACATGTACACGATCTTCGACCTTCCCATCAAAGTCACGAACTCGATCCCAGCTGAAAGCAATCGACCAGCTTGCGACTCGCTCAATAATCCTCTGCTCGATCAGGCCACGTTGAACGCTTCTGCGAACAACTTCACGAGAATTGTTGGGACTGCGATACAAGGAAATAGCGGAAGCGGGAGTTCAAGCAACGGGCTGGGAGGTGCAGGAATGTTGGACTGGAAAACAAGCGTTCATGCGATCTGGATCTTGGCCTTCGTGTTTATGGTTTTGCTTTGAGTGTACAGTGATTGTTGGGAGTTTAGGTATACCTTCAGGAGCAGTTTTTGAGTGTGGCGTTTTGTGTATTTGTGGTTTTCTTCTTAGAGAGGTTATCAAGTATCACTTCGCTATAAGTTGTTATGGGTATAATTTTACATCTTGATTCTTGTTCACTGTTCACTGTTCATAATGGATGAAGAAATCCTTCAAGTTCACAGAAACCAGTTTTGATCGCCCTTTGAAAATGGCATCATAAATATCACTTGAGCTATAATATGTCAGCACATAATCATCACCGTTACCACGTTCTTTCACAGCATCTAGACAAGATCGCCTGCATTATCACACTTACTTAAAACATAAGTACTCTCGCAGGTCATGTGGCATGTTCTTAGCACGTAAATAAGCTCTAGGTTTCGAGCATGCTCTAGATGTTTTGGTAGCGAGCGTCATGCAATGCGCGAGGTTGAGTTCATGGCATGGCTATGAGGTCATTGTCAGAATTTGGTTCGGGATTCAGGTAGTGATCTGAATTTTAGGAGCCTCAGGGACAATTTTGGGTTCAGAATGCTCGTCATGAACTTGTTAAATTTTGCCAAGAGGCTGTCCCAGACGAGCTCAGACATTGACGATGGTTCTAAAAGCTGAGCTGGAGTGGGACATTAATCACAAAGGATTACTGGACAGATGATCTTGTGCATGGACTAGATTGTGGTATATCATACAGTGCAAAACAGAGTTTCGACCAATCTTGTTTGGGCGCAAAAGAAGAAATAGACCTTTCGATAAATTTCTCTTCATGCACAGACTCGTAGGAAGTAAATATTATCTGGAAAACATAGTCCCTCTCAGCCTTTTGTGGTATCCTCAATTTTAAGGTGTTTACTGCTCTGCTGGTGGTACCAGCACCGTCGACCTATATAATATTAGCCCTTATCCTACCAGTAGCTATTAGTAGAGAAGCAATACTCACGCGCTCTCACCGCCCTCCTTCTCCTTATCAGCTCCCTTCCATTTGTCAACATCAATAACCTGTCTCCCATGCCACTTCGTCATGATATTTTCTCCAGCCGCCCTCGTCCGAATTTGGTACCAATGCGGAAATCCTTTGAAAAACGTCAAGAGCGTTCCAAATCCAGGAGCAATGACTTGTCCGCTATGTCCTGATAAGACCTGCTTGACGATAGCTTCTGCTACTGTTTCAGGCTCTAGAGTCGGCATCAAGAATGGAGAGTCGTTTTGATAACCCTGGAAAAGAGGGGTCTTGGTATAACCTTGGTTCACAACCACGGTCCGGACTTTGGGGGCATTGTATTTCGTCTTTAACTCCGCAGTCAGACCTTCATGGAAGCTCAATGCAGCAGCCTTTGAGGCTGCATAATCCACCATACCCGGCACAGTGACATATGCAGCTAGTGAAGCTATAGTAACGACCATGCCATGATTCTTCTTAACCATTGAGGGTATGAATTCTTTCGCCATCCAATAGTGCGAGAGAGTGTTGACATCGAATGTGAAGCGGACGTCTTTCTCAGTTGCATCGAGAATCTGCTTTCCACGAGCAACGCCAGCGTTGTTGATAAGGACTGTGGGATCGCCGACATCCTTGCGGACTTCGGCTGCTACTGAGGAGATGGTAGATGGGGAGGTAATGTCGCAGTTGTAGTAGTAGACGTTGGATGCTAGAACCACATTAGCAACTCATGTTGGACAGAACTTGGGGATACCCACAAGTCTCGAATGTCATAGGAATAACATCCAATACCACAACTTTGATGCCCTTCTCAGCCAGCAACTTCACCACATGTCCACCAATTCCTCCAGCACCTCCAGTGATTAGGACAATCTCCTTGTCCCAATCATATGTATCTGCAGACCAATTGTCCAATACACCTCTATCGAAGTATCCAGACACCATGCGCGCGAGCCCAAGATAGAACAAGGTTTTGACTCTGCCAAAAGCTGTTTCGTGAAGGATCGAAAGGTCTGAACCCTTTTTGGTGTACCGTGCAAGAAGGATAACTGCAAGTGTGAGGGCTGGGTTCAGGGCAGTTCGTTTGATGAATCGGCCTATGGGATCACCCGTGAGACCTAAAATATTAGCAGACGGAAACCAAGCTGCAGATTGTCCTGCTACCTTCTCGTGGAAGCCAGCCATTATGCATTGGCATCTTGATGTCGTCTGTCTTTGTGGTTTGGTAGAGATGAATGCAAGATAGTGAGGGAAAGTTGACAGAAGAGCTCAATCAAATATGATCTCAGCCCATCTTCAGCTATCTCGCACCTTTCGGGAACCAGGTCCATCCCCGGGACGGCAAGGTTGGTATTCTGCCATGTGGATTGCATTGGACCGAGGTGCTAGCTGCCTTCGAAACGCGGGGTTGCAAGCGAAACAAATGGTAGGGGGCTTTCCCTCTAAACTGCTTTTGGATATCACGTGCAGCTTCCAACTTCATGGGCAAACGTCTTCGATAGTCAATGTCGCAACTCAACACACCAAATAAACAAAAGCCAGACTACCCTCCTCAGATGAACTTGCCAGGCTAAATTATGAATTAAGCAGATAAGAAAGTGTGACTGGGAACGTGGATTGGCAGAAGTGCCTCTTTTCGTCAAGGCTATATCAACGGTCAACCTGGCTTCCAAAGCACACAGGATTCTAGCGGCATGCTCTGAGGCTATTCTGGGCAACTGGCCGGAATTTATTTAGGAATGCTGTCTTTGCCGCCTTAGAAAGTCTGACATTTGGTTCGCTAAAGCAAGACCTCCTTCAAGTCCATCCACATCAGCAAATGTACAAAAGTTATTCAGCTCAGTAATTCCACTTTCTCGACTACATCATCGGTTACGTCTTTCCACGCCATCTTTCCTCCTTCCTTGACTAGGACATCCACAGTCACAATATCAAAAGCATGTCCTGCCCAAGCTCCTTCATGGAGACCCTCCAAGTGACCACCCCAAAGAGATGGCACGTTTGTCCAACAGATTTGCGACAGTAAAATATCAACGAGCCGTATCTTGGAGTCCCGATCACCCGCAGATACGAAGGACGCTGAGACATATTCATGAGTCGTTAGATTTCGAAGAATCCAGTCCCGATCAATTGGAAACAGATCCAACTCCCTGAACTGCTCTCTCAAATCCTCCCATCTCCAATCTGGGACCCCACTGTCTGGGAGATGCTTGTCGACGAGTTTCAACCAAACTTCCTGTCGACTCTTTGTAGTCTGCAGTGTAGCTCCTTCATCGAAAAACAAGCAGAAAAGACTCCTTGATGTGTGTCTATTGACGTGATAGTCTGCATCATCCACGAGTTTCAGGGCAAGATCATTGGCTTCAAGAGGAGGTGGCAGTGAGGTTGACCAGGATCCCAATAATGCAATCTTCTGCCCAGCCCACGGAGCCACATTGTCGATACATCTTCTCTGCACTCGATGGACAATCGAGTCCCAAAACCCTTGACACGTCAGTCCAAGAGCGATGAGATCATCGTCAGATGTTGATATGTTATCGATGACCATATCGATAAGTTCATTCGAGAGAAGATCGAACAAACCGAGAGAAATTCGCCAGGGGTAATCATCTGCATCATTCTTTGGGACAACCTTCTTGATTGGAAGCACAGGTCTAGCTAGAGCTCCCCAGATGTCGAAATCCATTTTCTCTGTGAAAAACGATTCCTCAAGCTCAAAGTCATAACGCTTGTTTTCATCATAATACATTACATGTTTTTCCAGCAGCTCCGGTGCCATGACCTGATAATGCTGCGGTGAACGCGTTGTTTGGTCGACTCCTTTGCCGCACATGGTTGCGATGTTGGTAAGGGTGTGTCAGCATTTATGAGGTGGGTTGATGCGAGACGAGGAGAGATGAGGGGAAGCGAGGGGAATGCTCCCCCTTTATAGTTTTTCGAGGGGCGTAAGCGACGGTCACGTGATACCCCTCCTTTCCACCTCCTTCGGCCTTTCGAAGTCTTGAGTGCCGAATAGAGAGGCCCAGGCAGCAATAATCTACCACTGTGACATACATGTGAGAATCTCAAGTCTAGTGAACATGCTGAACATCCAAATGTGTTCTAGAGCTACAAAATATGGAGTTCAATTTCTGTCCCGAGCTCGTGCCCCATATCTGGTACTTTCATGCAACCAGAGGCCTGCATCTTTGACATGGCCCATTCAACGAAATCATGTCCTAAGTGGAATCATCCCCTAGGTGCTTTGCATTCTTGATTACTTCAATCTCTGAAACTCCTTACTTTCTCTACAACTTTTCGATACCAATAATATGCTGCTCGTCGTGGGCATCAGCCTAATGCTATGTTCACTGTCACAACGCTAGGACGAATCCTTGAAATCTCACAACAGGAAGATGAAGCAAATCTGTGCATCTATTGCCAGCTTGAGAATTCAACGTCTCAATGTAAATAAAGTTCACCCATTTTGCAAACATTTCGATTGACAGCACTGGTAATTTGGCAACGACATTCGGCCTCTGAGATCAACAATTATTCATCAAATATCCAGATATGTACCTTAGGAGCTCTCGAGACAGCTTGAAAAGAAATGCGAGAGGTATGACAACCCAATGCCCCCGGTACGTTCACTTTTACAGCTGCTGATCGATTCGGAGTAAAGCTCTCCATCGGTGAAATTCCTGTCCGATTTTGATACGCGAGAACACTAAAATTTCTTCCACCAAATCTCGTATTTTATGCTACTACACACTCTAATTTTCAATTAAATTTGAGCCTTTACTTATTAAGAAGCTATTCTACTTTTTCATTAAAAAATCTTGTATATAAACTTAAGTCGTTGTGCGCAATACTTTACATATTCTCACATTTGGGCATTGTCGCAACATCGGCCACGAATTTCACCGATGGAGAGGTAAAGTAGGAGTGAAGGGAAAAGCGATCCTAGAGTTTATATTTCACCTTAATCTAAAGTTGTGTATGTATGAGTCAAACGTTGCTCTGACTGATTGGGTGAATAATGATTTCAGCCCAACACAATTGCGGGGGAGTACTGTGGCGGGGTATAAAATATCTCTTTCGAAGGCCTGCAATACCCCAGCAGACCATATAGATTCGATTGCTCCCGATAGGACGGTGAAGCCGGTTTGGTCACCTTCAGAGAACTGTTATCATTCAAGAAGAGCTCAACTCTCTAACACTTTTCTTAATCCTAAAAAGACAGTTCGCAGGAGAATTTCAGAAGTTGACAACCAAAAGATTATTGACAATAGTCTACGCTATCCTCTCTTTCCGCCCGAAAGCGAACCAGATGTAGGTACTGGACGTGATCCGGGTTCAGGAAGGCAAGAGGAGTCTGAGCGGAGCTTCCGGGGTTCTGACCGGGAAAGTAACTCGTTGTTTCTTGAACTTAGAGAGAAAGTGTCAATTTGAAGGTGATGGGGTTTATATATCCATCTGAGTCTCATTGAATTCTAGCAGACTCCTTCATCTCCCAAGTGAATATCTACCGCCAACGTCAGAGAGCGCAAAAGAATTCACCATCGCGCTAAACCGACGTCACTCGCTTCCATCTGATTCGCTAATCTAATATTTTCCCTTACACTGTTAATAGGTTCAAATAAGCATTTTTTTTTACCACTAAGTCCGGAAACCAAAGGTTGCTAATATACTATTCACTTAGTTGACAGCAACCGGATGGACTTAGGCACGCCATAACGAGAACACGCCATAATCGCGACTTTAAAAACTGCACCCGACACCGAGCAAGTTTTCTACGATCTCCCCTCTTCGACAGGTGAGATCTGAGTTTTTGCTACTTTTTTGCAATTTTTTTTGGGTTGGATGGTTGCGAAGTTTATTTACTTTTTAAGCGAGGCGGACTTTCGTTCCGCAAGAACATTCGGCCTACATAGGTAAGTCTTGCCTATGGCAATTTCCGAACCCCAGTTCCAAACTCGCAATTCAGGTAGCCGGTTCCTGTTGCTAAGATTGTGGGGAGGGTCCTCAAGAGTGACAAAGTTTGAATCTGCTGGAGATTTTTTAGGCGGTTCAATCTGGAAACGCCTAGTGAGCTACAAAATGAAAGCTTCATATTCTCATCTTAATATAGTAAAGGTATAAGATACGCCACCAAGATTTAATTTCAACTCGGGAAAATTCCTACTATGTGTGATGAGGTCTACAACCTAGCTTTTCCAGTGTCTTACCACCTGCTCGGCATTCATGGCTCGGCATTCTCTTCAGACTTCCCAACTTTACTCTTTTCCACCGATGGCACAGCTGCACGAAAATATAAACTGGCAACCATTTATGATCAACAACAGCTTATTTTCTTTCCCTCGTACGTCTACACCAGTCGTTCACATTCACAGTTCAGATCTCAAATAGCAGCCACAGGAAGCACATCTAATCGTTTCGATTTATTACAACCGTCCACTAATGAATACTACTTCCGGATTCACTCCCACAGGGACATGCTAGTACCATGCGTATGCTGAAGTATTCGTAGAGAATAGAATATTATATAAAAGAGAGTGGATAGTTTTATACTCCCACGGATGGGTGGGCGATTACATAGATACGTGTCTGAAGAAATTGAAATTCACCTCACCTGCACGCTATCTCTCGGTTTTTACGATGGTCAGGGAGGTGTCTTTACGGACTCATGGCTAGATTACAAGAATTTGAAAAAGGCTGAAAACTGTAGTGACTTGACCTTCTGCCTTCAATGTTTAGCTCAAATGCGTAGTGGGGTATAAAAAAATCGCCCTTCCCCAAGTCACTCGTAGCACAAGTTTACGACGATCTTATTACCAAAAATACACGGCGCTCGCCAGGGACCACGTGTGTTTAGTACTGTTTATTCTTCCGCGCCTGACCTCATGATTCTATGAATCAGGTTCACAGGAAGCAGGGAGCACCCGACTATACCTTGCTTGACTTTATTCCCCAGAGATTAGAAAAAGTGAAACTTAACAGTGATACATAAGAAGACAACAAGGTTCCGTGAATTAATTAGTGTAGTCTCCACGATCTTTCACAAAAAAGGGATGAACTCTAATACCACGCCTGAAAAGAATTGACTTGAGCACGTCTATTAAAATGAGTAACGAAAAGCGATGAAGAAAAATAAAGCAACTTGAGCCGGGTTGAGAGGTGCTGGTTCTCTTCGAGAGGACTAGAGAATCTAAGGATTGAGTGGTTTTTATACACCTTAACATAGCTGTCCTCTTCCTTACTTATTACTGCTAACCTCAGAGTGAATACTTTTGTTCAGCCTCGAGGATCGCCTCGACTTCCACCGCATTCACCTCGCACAACAATCCAATTGACGCATCAGCAGGCTGTAAGAACACCTTCTCAAGTCAATTGCTAACCAAAAATTTAAAACCGATGAAGTCCCTCCGCAACATTTCATTGAGGATATCTATGGAAGATCTTACCGTCGTCTCTCCGACACCAGGAAGCACAGACTCACTAGAGTAGAAAAGCTGGAATTTTCTCAAGTGAATACTTTGCACATCAAGGAAAGTAGTGCTTAAAAAGATTGACAACAGAATGAAACTCGACAACACTTCCCCACCGTATTCGCTGATACACATAATATTAGTAAAGACTCTATGAATATTTTCAGCAAGCAAGGATACTGACGAACATGATGAAATCTCGAAAGAAATCTCTCTCATGATCCGGGATAGACGACAGACTAGTCTCTGAAGACGTATAGTAGCAGGAATAAAAAGACTTTATATACTGTATTTACCCTTCCTAGAACCTATAAATCTCAGAGCGAATTTCCTGGGACAGTTTTAAGGGTGAATCATCATGTCCTAAATCGGATTTCTATTCACCTTCCGAAGATCTTACTCTCAACAATGACTCTGATAGTGCTATATATAAATACTCCCTTCCCCGCTGTTTAGTCTTCGGTAAACACACCGACGAAATGCGAGCTGATGAAGTTTCTCCACGAAAATAGGCCTCTATTGTATGACGATAGTTGAATTTTAATTTGAACAGAACGCTCCCCACTCTTATTATATTCGAAAGCCGAGAACTTGACAGCAACAAAAATTCTAACAATAACAAATAAATCCGATTTCAAGATTTCTGTTCCTCGGCTTTTGTCCCACATGCCTTCTTATCATAGCCCAAGACACGCGCATTTCTTTTATTTCTCCTTCATCCCATGCGCACATTACACCTTCTCACATCTTCGCAATTTTGGCACTAAGGCTCCTACTCCATACAGATTCAGATACTCATCTTCCCCTCACCAATTTCATATCAAGAAAGCTTGAAAAAGAATTTACGTCAAGTGAATGGTTCCACCTACACTTGTGTGAATATGGAGGCTTGCTAGGCTATAAAATTTCCCACCATCCCCAATTTCAAATAGCAATCAACCTCCCTCAGTGTTCTCAAAGATCGCCGAGACGAGTTCCTTTTTCATTGCTTTACCCTCTCATGTCTTAGGCAGTCCTGCTAAAGTTGAGATTACCTCAGCGAGAAAGTGTTGACCTTTAACCCCGCTTCTGTCCATTAATATAAATTTTGGCAACAATAACAAAAAGTTCGACAGTAGCACAAACTCTGAGGAATTACTGGTCTTCTGCTTCTTTCAAACCTTCCATTCCCAGGCCCGAGCCACAATCACCTCCCGCTCCATTTGTCCTCCTCTACCCGCACATGTTCTTGCATTGTCTATCTTTGTAGTCTTAGTCTCAAGACTCTTCCACCGGGGAGGCCAGGCTTATATAACCCACGTCGGTAAGCTCCACACCTAGACCTCTCTTTCAGCCTCGAATAAGTGAATCGTCCCCTCTCACTCCAAGTTTCCTATAAGTTTTCATTTTATCAGGGGCATATAACCCCCTTCTCCTCGTCTTAAACAACAAACTACATATCAACCGACTTACTAAGAAGTACAGAGATCGGTGTTCCTTTTTCCAATACTTATTGAGTTTACTGCGGAAATAGAAACATCGACAAAAACAAAATGTTGGCAACAAAATTTGCCTCAGGATACTCCTCACTTTTTTCCTTTGACTCTTTTCCTTATGCCCTTTCCGGACTCACCTTCACAGGAAGTCTGAGCATCTTGTCTAGCGACTATATTCCCAAGGCTCCTAGTTTCTGGCCCAACTCTGCTGACAGGGAAAGAAAAGCTCGGGAGACGTCTTTGATGAATAGATTGTAGACCCAATTCCTGAAAGCAAAAACAATTATATACCCTACGTTCTCCTGGCCCCCATGGCAAACTCCACAGTTGAACCCTTTTCTGGCTTTATCATAGTGAATCACTATGTCACCACCCGTTCTCACGATTCACCCACTGTGCAGCAGAGAGAAATCGTTGACAACAAAAATCCAGACAATCCGTAAAGTCTTACTCACAAGAACATCTACTCCCAAATCATCCGCCACACAACAGTAACCATCTCATGTAACACTAACTCAGAAACGTGACGTCCAGACAACAGCTAATATAACATTCGAACGTCTTTGCTCTCTGGGATTCTCAAAGTCGAAGGTGCAGCCGAGTATATATACACCCCAGTAGACTTTTTTCTGGAAGAAAAAATATGAAGTTAGATTTGAGAGTGAATAAAGAGTATTTCCGTAATGAAACAAAGCAAGCAATCAATGATTCACAATCCCTTGCTTCTCAAGAAACAAAAATTCACTACCTCACCCAAAACCCGCTCTGGTCCCGCGGCCGACAATGCCGCCTATAAATACTTCCAGCGGACACAGGAAGAACTCACATCAACGGCAAAAAGAAGGAAGAGCAATAAATGGGTTTGGATCTCCCCTTTCCAAATCCTTTGCGGGCAGCCTTCCGGTGCTGACAAATGCTTTTGGTGCATGAGGACACCACTTGGAAAGCAAAAAGAATAGAAAAATAGAAAAATTGACAATAGCTAGAAATTGGCAACCAAAATCTCACCACACCCATAGTATTAGCCCCCACACTTACACAATCTGACACATGCGCTTCTTTTTTCCCATCCTGCACACACCTCTCACCCCAGCCACAATGTTGCGCTCTAATTCTTGGGAACTCCTTTGTTGGCTTTCGGTTTTTGTCTTGAGAGAAGTTTATATACCATTTCACTGCCCCATTTTCACTACTCAACTTTTGCCGGTCTCAGTGAATCACCACCCCAGTTTTTTCCGCAATCTCGCACTCAACTTTTGCCGGTCTCAGTGAATCACCACCTCAGTTTCTTCCGTAACGCCGAAGGTATGGAATTGGGGAAGCTGTTGGGGTATATCAACCCCAGTCCTACCCTCCAAGTTCTCATTCACACCAGCAATTCAATCTCAACGCCCAGAACTGGTCTTCCAGGGCTCCCAAACCCGACTCCTCATTTCAGCTCCATGGCTCCCCGTTATGATATACCTCTTGAGCTTGTCTAGGCACATAATAAATTCCCATGATAGAAGTAATGGGGAACTTGACAATAGCAAAAGAATTGACAACCACTCTCTCACCTGTCCTAGTTCAACAACTTACCACAGTATCCACCCTCAATACTTCTTACCTCCCAAATCATACAGTCATAACCGCACAACGTTTCTCCAACTCCCATTCCCATTCCCATTAAATTCTCGCTCTTTGTGGTCGCTCACGATCTCTGTCATTTTCTTCTTTCCTCATTTGGGAAGAGTTTTATATACCCCTCTTCCTCCTCACTCGCATAGAAGGTTCCACAACTCAACTTTTTCCAGTTATTACTAGGTGAATAATCTCTCTTCCTCTTACCGCACACCTACAGCTCTTTCACTTCCCATTCAGTGACTCACCACACCCCTCATTCCTCTCGCTCATCCTCCAGTACTTGGGACACTTCTACTCTTAGATATAAAACCCTTACTCCGCACTCTCAACATCAACAAATCCTCCAGCCATCCTAGAAGAACATAAGAAAATAACCCCACACCTCGCCTACTTTCGTCTCCGTAACCTCTCACTCAACATTTCGCCATACATGAAGCAGAACCTCCTTCGACCTCAAAGTAGTACATGAAAATAGACAACAAAGAAAGAATCAACAACAGTGACGAAAAGATTGACAACAGTCGCCTTCCCCCCTTAAACCTATACTATTGATTTGTTTTCGCTAATTAGATACTTACATAATCTCTCTGACTTCCCGCAAGCATAGTGATTCTTGGACTGTAATGTCGGCCCTTATTTCTGCCGTCCGGTGACGGAGAAGGGGCTTATATACCCGTCCTCCACCGCCTCCTAATCCATGACTCAACCTTTCCAGCTTCGATTTAGTGAATCCCTTCCTTCCCCAACTCCCCACCTCCAACTTTCCACTTCCTACCAGTGAATCACCGTACTCCGTCTTTGTCTCTCTCCATCCCTGCACTCTCATTCTCCACTCTTAAGTATAAATACCCCCACCTCCCCCACCTGAACAACAATCCACCACAAAGCGCAGAGCCAAGGCCCAGAAGAAGAGCCCTGTCTTGGTCTCCGTGACGTGTCTCAGGAGTTTCTCATCAGTTACTCCACCTAGGTATCTAGGATTATCTCCTCTAATCTCAAAGTACTAAAATCCGAAAAAGTAGATTAGCCGAATCGACAGCAATCAAAACATTGACAATCAGCGATCCAACGGTGAAAAGATTGATAACAGCACCTCAACTAGTCTTTGACAACTCAACGCTTACGCAAGCCCTTTTTGGCCTCATCCCGTACCCGCCGACATGGGATATGACTCCTTTGGTGATCTTATTATTTTGTTCTGTTAAGAAAGAGGAAGAGAAAGACGAGGTTATATACTCCTCCTCTCCCTCCCTCCTCTTGATCCACAACTCAAACCCTTCGCCTTCAACCCAGTGAATCCTCGCTCCACATTCTGATCTCTCTGTCCTTCCAAATTCTATCCAGTGAATTACCACACCCTACCCCTCTTGGCCCTCCTTACTCTCGACACCCACGTATATAGACCCCCTCCTAGCCCACCTTTTTTTCCCAACACAAGCCCCCACTCGGACAATCCAATCTAGAAGCCCTTATCCGAGCTCTCACCCCCGGCTACAATGTGAAAGTTTTACGGGCGCTCAATGAATTTTAAGTTATTTATTATCAGCTATCTCCTGACATATCCAACCATCTTTCACTTTCCATTACCGTTGCCGTTATCAAGTTTGCATACCTCATCATCAACCTCCTCTCCATCTTTCTTTCTTTCTTTAACGCACTAATTCCATTCTGTTTGTGCTGGTCATAGCTTCTCGGTCTGCCATCGGTGGATTCTTCAAGCTCATAGCGGAAGGGCAGGGTGGGCTTTGAGTGCCATGGAATGGGTGGAGGTGGACGACAGCAGGAACTGGCGCAAACAAAGCACGTCTCGTTTATATACCCACTCCCCCTCATTACCTGCAGTCCTCCATACAAGCGTTTGATTATCTTACCAGTGAATCATCCGCCCCTCGTACCCTGAACCTCCTCCCTTTAGCTTGTGCAGTACTTAATCAGTGAATAACCACACCCTCCTCTCGTTTCTTGTTTGCACTCCAAACTCTCAAAGCTAGGGTATAAAGACCCCCTCTCCCTCATTTCGTGACCCAAACCCGAAACGGCACCAATATCAATTCCAACTTACGATGAGCACCAGCATGATACCGGGTCCTTAGCTACAGTTTTCAATTGTAAAGTAGTCTTACGAATCTAGACCCAGTTGATTTTGACTATCAGCGAGTTACTGCTGTCATCCACCAACCCGCTGTCGACCTTCCCACCTATTCATCTCTTCCCCACTCAACATACTAATTCCATTCTGAAAAAAATGTCTCCTTAAGAAAAGAGCCCGGTGAACCAACACCTTTCTTTACCAGGGAGATCTTTCTTTCATGGACATTGTTAAACTCGTTACCGTACTCCTTCTGCAAGGAAGGAGGGCTTATATACCCCTCTTGAACACCACAACTTTTGAAAACTCAACCTGTCCAGCTTCCACCCTACTGAGTGAATAATCCCCACCTCCTCCTACCCACACCTACAATTCAATTTTTCCCATTTTTTCTACCCATCTAGTGAATCCCCATCCCCATCACCCCTCCCTCCTCCTAACCCCCCACCCAGCCCAGCTATAAAAACCCCCTCTCCCACTCCTCCTCCCTTCTTTCTTCCACCCACATGCAGAACTGGCGTTGGGAGGGGGAGATGTTTTCGGAAGGCGTCTAGGAATGAATGGGGTTGGGGTTGGCGCGCTTTCGACCAGACCCCCGCCCACGTTTTCGTTTCCCACATCCAAACCCCAGCCCACTCCAGCCCCCAAACCTTTTCATTGCTGTCAAGATTTAGCTTTATTGTCAAGACCCAAAAAAAAACCCCATCACCAAATCCCCCAAAAATCCTCAGCAGCCCTATCTATCCTCTACCTAGAAAAAAAATAAAATAAAAAAATAAAATATAAAAAATAAAAAAATAAAAAAATAAAAGAAACTTCTTCTAACCCGTAACCCCAAGAGTACCCAACCCCTCTTAAGTTCATTCTGCATTCTTTCTCTAGGTTGATGCTGGGGTTCTTACTCCGAGGGAGGAGGAGGAGGAGGAGGGGGTTTATATACTCAGCTAGATGGGAGATTTGGCTGGGAGTCGCTGGGGAGGATGCGAGGCTGCGAGGTTTGTGGGGCTTGAGGAGTGAATTTTCATTTCTACACATACAGGAAAGAGGAGAAGGGGGGGTTAAGAGCGTGAGAAAGGTTCGCGATGGAGTAGGTGTGGTAGAACTAGTGGTAGTGTGGGAAGAAAGAAACCGAGATGAGAACCTCGACGAGAGAACGAGATGATGAGTAGAGACACTCTATGATGGTTCAGAGATACCTTCAACACCATGCATGTCAAGATCGCGGGCACAGATGAAAAAGGAGAGAAGTCACTCGACCTTCCCTCCTCACCTTCACGTACAAACGATTCACGAAAACACAGAGAAAGATGTTCGAAAAAGGTTCTTCAATACCACCCCGACACCACTAGCTACAGCTACAAAAACTGCCTGCTATTCTGTCTTCTCATCTCTGTATTCTCATCATCATCTCATCTCTCTCCACACCATCCATCAATCAATAACACAAATCTCTACAGCACATCCCAGCACCAATATACTCAAACAATCAATAGTTTGCACTGCATTTCATTTCCACCGCTGCTGTATCTCCGTATCTGCCTGTTCTTCCTTCCAATTCATTCACCAGCTTCAATTTTTCTCTTCTCATTCCCTCTCATCCTCCACTCCAAAGTGAAAGACGCAAGACCAAATTGTAATTTCAATGCGAAGGCAAGAAAGCAGAGAAACCCAAACGCGAGAAGAAGCCAGGGATTAAGAAGGAGGTGTATAGGTGGAAGCTCGTACAAGGAATCGAAGGTAGTAAGATTCGAAGAGTGCTGATATGCTGTGCAAACGCGGAATGCAATGATGATGCAGGGAGGTTTCTGATATGTACTGTTCTGTATTGGGATCGATTTTGCGGAGAAGGAGGTCGAGTCATTTATCGACATGACCTGAAAGAAAAAGGGTTTATTGTTGATAATTCTCTGATCGTGATATTCTCATATGCGATCGTCTCGTTGTATGTGTTTTCGTCTTGGCATCAGCCGTCCAGGTTCAAAAGAGTGTGGTCCAGGATTCCTGATCCAAGAAAAAAAAAAAAAAAGAAGAAGTCTTGCAATCGATCTCTTGCCACTCGAGGCAATCCGATCGAAGGGTAATGCGCGGATGCTAACTCAAAAGTATGCCGATGCAATATGCACGCCAACGCCAGGAGCAAATGGAAAATGTGCCGCTCGATGTTGGAAGATGCAGCGGACTGGAAGAAGTTGTTGATGGGTCAAGGTGACCTGCCGATAGATGAAAAACCCCAAACGCCAGAAAATGCCAGAACGCCATGCCAATGTAAAATATTAGTATGAAACCATACGTCGTGCTTGTGCTCGGTCGTATCCCAGCATTGGGGATGTCATTCCTGTCATCATCAGGTCACTACCAGTTGTCTTGGATCGATTAGGTGCAGTAGGGCTGTCGTCAATCTGGCCTTGGCCGAAAGCAAAAGTCTGGGCTCGGCTCAACTTATTTCGGTTGTGTCGAAGCTTTCCCATCTCCCGTTCACATGTGTATGCATGCTCCTTTGCGTCCATCTCAACGTAATTCTGAGGGAAGCAACGACCTCGGTGTTCAGCAAAGAAAGCACTGTATCCACCATCGAGGATATATACTTCTGGATAAGTAAGCTTTGGGTAGTGCTCAGCATTAGTAGTACGATCCTGTTTTCGTACATGTCGCGCCATGATTGGTGCTCGGTGGGCAGAGTATTCGCAGTGGAAGATTAGAAGGGTCTTGCCCGGAAGACTAGCTTCGAACAATTGACCCGCGAGTAGCTCTTTGTCATTATAGTTGACAGCTCCATCAATATGTCCACCTTCGAACTCGTACTCGAACCGACAGTCAATGACCATACGTTGATCGAATTGGTTGTCGAAGTTTCCATCCAAGACTTGAAGTAGTGTCTCTCGGGTGATCCGAGGAATGCTATCGGGTTGCCCTTCTTGGAAGAAATGTGGCAGCACAGGTTGGTGAAGTTCGTCGACATCCATGACAGTGTTCAAGGTACTGCATGGCTGCTCATCCTTCTTTCCCTTCATGACATCTCCAGGGTGTTCGAACATGCTCAATGATCGTCGAAATTGCTTCCTAGGCCGAATTAACGGATTGGAGGGTCTTCTGGTATGACTACCAATTGGTGAACCATTTCGCATCGAGACACCATTCATGCTTCCGAATGGTCTGCTTGGCTTGGGCGGTAGGTTGGACACCGAAGGACTGTTGGCAGATTGAGGTCTGCGCTCCTGTGGTGGGGATTCCATGAAACACTCTCCGAGAGACATTGAGGTCGATGTCGACAATTTGCTACTTCCAGCACCAAAGCGGAAGGGAGGCAATTGATCGGGATTTCGAGAGGGCAAGGTATTCGTGGAGTATCCCTTGGTTCGGCTGAGAGTTGGTCGAATTAATGTACTCTTCCGTCGCCTGGAAAATAAATTAGTAAATTAGCATGTCTGTGCATGGAATGCGTAATTTGACTTACTCTGCGCCGTAAGAGGGTTTTGGAGCCTCTAAAAAGGCCGGCCGAGGCGGTGATGATGGCATCACAATCTCTTCTGTTGGGGTGTGACCTGGTGTAGGTGATTGGATGTCAATCTGTGCAAAGAATGGTTGCTTGTGAGGCAACGGAGAGATATCCATCATTTCGTTCAATGGTCCTGGGGAAGATGACGGCAACGGAGGAGTTGTGACAGATTCTGTATCTTGTTAACATCTCCTGCATATTTCCTCAGCGTGCAATCCTTACCCCGAAGATCAATTGTTCCAAACAGGTTCGATGTGAAGAGCGATCGTCGAGGGGTGGGTAGTTGAGGGCTAGACCATTATCAGCAATGCATGCAAACAGACGAGAAGACTACCAACCTCATATCAATGTGAAAGTTCTGTGAAAGATCTGCCGCCAGACTAGCTGTGGGAGAAGATCCACGGACAGGCTTCATCTGGAAATAGTCTGGCTTGCTGGGTCTCTTCATACTGAGGTCCCGGAAATTGAATGCACCAGGACCAAACGCGCTGCCGGATAGATGTGCATGTGGATGCGAGGTATACATGTCGTTACGGCCCCAAGCTGGCATGAAAGAGGGTGCCTGCATGGCTGCCAGAGGTGATGATGCCTCCATAATGAATGTTGACGATAGTATCGTGGGTATTACTGTCGGAGCTTCGCAGTATATTCAATTGACTCTTGCTCGAGATGGATTCCGCTGCAGGGAATTGATTCCGAGGTCAATTGATCGCGATGCTCGAAGATAGCTGGACTCAGAGACGACGGCGATTGGGGGTGGCAAGTCCAATGGTCGTGCAATGCAACTGAGCGCAGAGTCCGACGTCGAGAGGTTCAGTTCTGACTGATCGTATACATCGAGGCTCTGCGGAAGTGAATGCTCTCCTTCTGTTCCTGTGCCTGTCTGTGCCCGCGCGGAGAATTGGTCGAGGCGTTATCCTGTGTGGTTAGTAAGGCTCGTTGTCGAGAATGTACATGGAAAGGCTGGGAGGCCTTTCTCGATGTCAATACTCGCAAGAGGAGTTGAGATGAAGATGGATGAGGTTGGCGGCGAGGGCGAGGGCGAGGGCGAGGAGAAGTGAGGTGAGGATAGAAGAGCAAACGGGGGATGGAATGGTTTTGTGTGGTTTCCCTGGCACTGGTGGTGGTTTGGGCCTGGGATGTGAGAGCAAGGGCATGCATGGATCTTTTGGTGGGTGGAGGGAAGAGTGGATAGTGGATTTTCAGCGCTTCAGCGCTGGGTGGTGAAGGTTTGTTGTCGGGGCGATTTCCTTGAGGTCGCTGCTGCTGCTGCTGCTGCTGTCGCCCGGTCGAACTTTAGCCTCGTTTACAACCAGGAAGAGCGGGGATTTGGCCTGGACGGGTACTGGACCAGACGGAGGAAGCGGAACCACTGCGGACGGCCAGCCAGCAGGTGCAGAGCAGAGCAGCGTATAAAAGCGGTGCGGAAGCGTGCAGAAAGCTGCAGCTGTGTTCCTGGCTGATGAGGATTATTATTCTGGGCCACCACCGACAAGGGCAGCTCGTGAGCGCCTCCAACCCTGGTCGAGAGCGGATGCGAGTGATGTGTGAGGTATTCGATGGTGAATTCTTGTGAATGATGAAAGAGAACGGTCTCCCCAAAGGTCACACTAAACGCACAAAAAGCAAGGCAATTGAACAACTTCGGATGGGAATTCCTTGTTTTATTGTGCATCTTTTCACTCACCACCTCTTCTCGTCTATATCGCATTTGCAGTTATATCGTCATGCAAGACACACCTCAGCCATATGTCTTGCTTGCTTGACGACTGGCATTTCCAGAAGAAGCTCGACCAAACCTTCCTTTCCAAAAGCAATTCTGCTGGACCTGACACGGCTTCCCAGCAGAGCCAAGAAAATGAATGTCTGGGATGGTCTCGGCTCGTACACGCTGACTTGCTGAGCGTTTGATGATTATAGACCGGGTTGGCAGCTGCTATAGAGTGTTCGTGAAGAGAATCGCCAGGAAGGAGAAGAAAGGACCACCCCCCCCCGCGATGTCTGTGAGCAGCGTCTGTGAGTCTTTTATCCGGTGCACTGCACAGCACAGCACACGAGCTCAAAGCACAGCGAAAAGGAGTACAGTACGAGTACCGAAGATACGGCAGACAGGTAAACGCTCGAGGTTTCGAGTCTCACGATGCCACCGGCTCCAGCTTTGAGCCTTTTCGCCATCCATCTCCAATCCGCCCGTTTCAGTCGGAGGAGGGAAGAGATGATGGCTGCTTGATCGCTCTCCAGGTTCCGTGTCGCATCCCATCTTTCGTCGATGTGCAGTCATGATTGCCCAAGTGGTGCTGATGTGAGGTGATGTGATGCACTGCACATCTCAAACCTCACCCCGCATAATTTTTCCTGCGCTGCAGCTTCTTGCCCCGGTGGACGCGATGTCAATATTTACAAACGCGTCTCCCATACTCCATCACAACGAAGCTTGACATCATCGCATCTCAACTCCAGCTTCCCTCTTCCAGCTTTCTCGCAACCGCATTCAAATCTGGGCAGCCAATAGTCTCACATTTATCCCTTTTCCAGAATAAAATAGTCATCGTCCAGCGTGTCGCCCTGGAAAGACAGACCGCGGGCCATCAATCATAATAATGGCAGCGGCAAAGTCAACTAAGGGCGGGGATCCCTTCACTTCACGTAAACTCGGTTACTGCCAGTGCCAACGAACAACTCGGCGAGCAAGCGCGGAAAGAAAAGAAACCACACTTTCAACCATCCACTCACAAACTTCAACCCAGAATGATGATCCCAAACTCAGGGCCGCCCTCTTAAAATAAAACTAAATTCGGAATTACAATCGATCAGCTGTCTTTCCCATCTCGTGGTTGTTGCTGCACGAAATAATCATCGTAACCGCCTTTCTCTCCAACACCACTGGAGCGGTGAAGGTGCCCCAGCCAACGACCCGACCTCACTGCACGCTTATCGGAAATACCGGTCCTCTCTCCATTTCCCCAGCCAATCTGCAGCTTCAGACACGCGCGGTCTCAGGAATCAGCTCAATCAGCTCAGCCTCAAGTACTGGGTCCTAGTTCTGGTCTGGTCAGCGAGCAAGCGGGTGGAAGAAGTTCTGGATCTCGATTCATAATCGAGCCAAACGGGGAGGACAACGATTCAGCTTGTAATTTGCCAACGATGGCGACGGCTTCCTTACCAGCAGAGCGGGAATGCTTCGCAAACCCATCCATCATACGATTGCCTCTTTCTCATTTGACAAACGGACAGACACGTTCATCTCATCCGCCATCCGCTGGCAAGCTTCAACCATGAATACACGCGCGAGCAAGCAACAAGCATCACCATGTCTAAATCCTCCTCCCCGTCCGTCCCAAACAAGCAAGCCATCTTTTCCTCCGCCTCCAAAAACAGCAATCCCTCCCATGCCACCATCCATCAGACCAAGGACCGGCCCCTGCTGATCATTATCCCGTCTCCGTTCATCTGCCCTATGAAACGCCCACGCCAGGATCCCGAGTCAACTCTCCGAGCACGCTGTGCGCGATCCCTCACTTTCTTCTCGATGCGTCTAATTCTTCTCTGACATCATGCTTAACTCTAGTTTGTTTCTTGAGTAAGTAGAGTGGAAAAGATGAATCGTGGGTTTGCCCCTCTCATGAATCCAAGAACTAGGAGTCAGGTTTGACGCGAGGTTTGTTTACATAACAACACGTCCCAGAAATCAAGAATCCGGATCTCATCTCATCTCATCTCACCAAGAAAAAAACGGGATCGAAATCACGATTGAGGAAAAAGAAAAATGGTCGAACGCACTCACGAACGCACTCAATCCAATGAGGAAGGAAATTTGACCCCGCTGCACTGTAAGCAACGTGAGCAGAGGGGTGGTACTGCTGTTCTTTCGGGAATTCTCGGTTCCTGCTGTGCTCTGTCCTCGGTGATGGATGGAGACGTGTTTGTTTACTTCTTGGCGAGCAAGGATTGCGCGATGTCACGGGATGGGTGATCGACGTTTGACAGCTCGAGTCGAGCTCGAATTTCGCCATCATCAGCTTCGATGGAACATCTCATTGTTCTATTCCAAGCTTGAACATTTGAAAGCTTCCTTTTTACATTCCTTCCATCTCCCAACTCACACTCTTTCTTCTCATTTCCATTTTCCATCTCTCATCATCTCATCTCCTTCTGACAGCAACCGTTGCCCAGCCATAACCCTCCCCGTCAAGTCCCCATTGCCCTGCATGCAGCAACAGTCACCTCGCCTCGTTTCAGCACCCAGCAAGCAGCTGCAGAAAAGAAACCCCGGAAGAAACCTCACCACTCACTCACTTCCCTTCAAATCCAGGCCAGGCCAGGGTAGCTTTTTTCCTCGTACCCCGCCAACGGAGCTCTACCAAAGAAGGTAGAGGACGTCAATGCGGCAGCTTACTCGAATCCGAATCCTTCACCACCAGGCCTGAGGATGAATGATGGTTCAAACACTGGCGTTAAACATCGACAGGCCGTGCGAGCGAGGCGGCATTATTTAGTACAGTAAAGTACAGTAGGGAAGGGGAAGAGCTCCCTGAAGCTGTTACCCCGCGAAGGGAGGAGCTGGCTGCAGGAACTGGTAGGGAGGAAAAGAGGTCTAGGTGAGGGGCGGATTTCATGCTTATGCTTTGCTGCGGATGGATGTATGCGGGCGGTACGGCGGATGTATGTGAGTGAGATAGGGAGTGCATGAAAGTTTCGTGCATAAGGCAGATAGGTAAGTAAGGTGTCTGTCAGCCTGTATCTGCTGCTGTTGTCAGCCTGAAGTAGGTAGCTCCCATCCGGTTCCAGTCAGTTTGTCCTCGGGCAAGGTGATGAAGCTTCAGAATATGTAGACCCCATTTCTGTACATTTCTCTGCACATCTAGCTATTGAGAAGAAAAACTCCTCACGTCTCCTGTCTATCTCTCTCTATCTCAGTGGAAAGAAACTTCACATTTCCTCTGACTCATCCCTCCTCCAGCTAACTAACTACTTCGAGACTTCAATGCGAAGCTCTCCCCACATCCATCCTCATTCCTGCGTTCCTGCAATGCAAGCTCACCCGATGTTTCGGCACCGGAGGTAGGCGTGTCCTGCACTCTGGATCCACTGTTTGTGGGGTGAGCAGGAACTTCGTGTGTTCGCTTGGTGAGTTTGTTTTGAGAGAGGTGAGAGAGAAGGATTTGTTTGCAGTTTTTCGAGCGAGGAGATGGATAGATGCTTGTGATGGGCGGAGAAGAGTGAGTAAGTAGGTAAGTATTGTTTGGGAGGAGATGTTGAGGGCACGTGATTTTGGAGAATCTCTTGGGCTGAGACTTTGATTACTTTGGAAGGGGAATGTGTTGGTTTGAGGAGGTTGGTCTTGCTGTTTAGTTCCTGCTACTTAACCTTGCCATCTCTTCCCCATATTTCCAAATGTTCTTTCCCAATCTAAATAATCCACGTGCTTTGATTCCCCCCCCCCCCCACCCTCAAGCATCCCATCACTTCACTGTCCCACTGTAGGTTTGTTTAATGTCACTGCACCATCCATACCTATAAACCCAATTAAACTAATTACATATCATTGCTCAATTATTTGCAGATTCCACCTTGCAGCTCGATAGTTCTGAGTGTCATTAAAGCGAATCTCAACAACGAAGCTTAAAGCACAGGTCTCCGGAGGTACTACATTCACTGACAAGGAACGAGATATATATATATACCCTCGCATTCCCTGCCCTAGAGTTTTACTATACTACAGTATGCTTGCGGATTTGATTCCAGTCACGGACGTTTTGTAAGGGGTTAGTGTCTATGTTCCGGGAGTTCGATGACTTGCTGTGATGCTACGAGATTTGGTTTGGTTGTTTTTTTGTGGTTAATTTTTTTTTTTTTTTTTTTTTTGGCGTTGTTATTTTCGAAGAATATGATGTTGTTCGGTCGTTGTTAACATTTCTGTAATGTTACTCGGTACTTATTGTTTCAATGGTGCTCATTGACTAATTTGATTTTGGACTTTGGGAAGTTGAAATACGAGGTGAATCGATCCTACCCCACACGGTGTCGGAGGTGTATTCACCACGTAAGTAAATCAGGTATACGTATATATAGATGGCTTAGTCTCTCGGGATTGCGTCCTGCTAGGAACAATAGGTTGCCTCTTATCTGTTCCACTGTTGGTGAGCCCGAGAATGTAGAAGCGCGCCGGTGTTGTTGGACCTTTGTTTTGAGTTCTAAACTTTCTAGAGGCTGCGAAAGCTTTGTTGTTTTACTGTCAACCTTTCTGCCTTGCTGTCATTCTGTCATGGGGGAAATCATCTAGTCTCTTCGTTTACTATCAATAACTCTACACCATCCGCTACATCTATCATCCCCCAGAAATAATCAAAGGCCTTAAACTTCTCCATTCATATTTTAACAGTCAGTGAACCGGCTATAGCGTCTTCTTGAGTCGAGAGAACAGGAATACTGCAGTGCTATTTGAAGGTGGTTCATGTTTAAATCGTGCGAGAAGAAGGCTGTTTTTATACCTGGGTTTCGAATTCGGTGGCGGATTAAGCAGGCCTTTTTTTTCACTGATCTTTTGCGGTGCGTTGAATAGTGAATCTTTTCTGGAAACGTGTATACTTTAAGATATCAAACCACAACGTTTATAGTCGTGTGAATATTGCTTTAAGGGAAAGTGCTATTACTATGATGCCTTTGATATTTTGCTGTCTATTTTTTTATGTTATTGATTCCGCCATTAGAGGAATTATGTCGTTTTTTTGGTTGTTGTGGCAAACTCTGCATGCAGTAATTACCGTATTTTATCACCTCCGAAAATAATCAAGAATTTCCAAGGTTAGATTTGTCCATCGACATGTTAGCAATCAGTGGACAAAGTCTAATACAAGAATTCGACAATAGCCAATAAGTTAATAAAAAAACACACTATTTAATATTTCCGCAACAAAGAACCCATCCGCAACGGCATCACATAGCCGTATTTAGCACCATATCCAGCGCGAAGCCTGGGCCCGGACGAAACGGGATCTAAGCTCATACTATACTATCTTTGGCTGCATCAAATGACGCAGAAGCTGGAGACGAGACGAGACGAGGATTAACATACGCGACTCGAACCGAGATCTAAGATAATCTGCTAGCTCTTTTCGAAAGGTGGTGTTTTTCGCTGATGTTTAGAATTGAAGAGGCGGGGTCAGAGTTTATGTAGATTCTGTGGATCGTGTTGGAGACTTAGGAAAAGGGTTCGAGAGAGAGAGCTTGTCTTTAGATTCACACTTGGCTCTGAGGTGTTTGCTCGCGTATTTTCGACTATTATTGAAACCATTTGAATAACCCCCAGAAACACGGACAGAACGACCAACACGGAATTCAAGTGTTTGGAGAGATAATGAACTCATGCGACTCAATAGGAAAGGAACACCAAAGCCGCATTTGGTCGGATGAGAGTGGGAATTAAATAGCACTTCTTGGAATATATGAGTTCCCGAGAATTGCTGGACACTGACAAGTACCAGGGGCGTCTGTCTGGCTTTGGGGAAATGTGTTGTGCTTGGCCGCGCGTGATTTATGAGTTGTGAACCATCATGAAATGAGAAGTGAGGGATCGGACGTTGATAGTGATGGTGGATGTTGGCAGTTGAACACGGGTGACAGCAGAATATTGTAGGATATCGGATGAAAGTATAAAATGCCTCCGTGCCTTGATGAAGAATCAAGGAACAGCTGAAAGTGGAAAATTCTACCCGACTAATTCCGCTGTACGATGTATGTTCACTAGACCAGACCTAGTCAAAGCATTGTGTCTGGTATGCTTTGGAAGTTCAAACTCTTTTTTCGATACCTTTAGCGACAATTATTTTTTCAAATTGTTGCCATTGTGCCATCCTGCGGTTTGGTTGGCTTGTGGTCCTGGTGATTTTGGGAGTTGGGCGTTGTCGGTCTGGATCTTTTGTCGTTAACGTTTATTTAACGTTGTTTGGAAGTTGTATTTCTTTTCATTCTTAATAGTTAGCGATCAAGCATTGCTGCAATGCATAGTAAGTTTTGAATTGCAAAAGATTATCCTCATTTGTCATTAGTGCCATGCTCACCAAAAGCCTCCACAGCGAAAAAAAAATAATTATCATGCTTTGTTCGTGATGAGTGCTCTAGGCGCTACTTGCGGCTGACGGTTGACACCGCAAAAATATTGGCCTTTTTGCAAAACATAGCATGAAAGTTCTACGAGATCGAGGATGGTCAACAAAACTACAAAAAGCAATGGAATTACGTTCAAGTGAAGGATATCGTCCTCACATTCTAAATGATGCTCAATATAGTATAATCTTTCAACACCACACTTTCACGTCCTCACCTTAATACACCTCCACACTAAACATCTACAACTACCACCCAGGCTTCTCTTCCTCCCCACTCACGTCATATCCACATCCTCACCACTATTCGAGCTCTCATAACTCGGCTCCGGCGTCACAGGCTCCTCACCCAAAAACCTCGGACTAGGAATCGGCTCCCCAGGGAAAGCAAGCGGATCAACAACCTCCCACACATCCCTCATCCCCATCCTATTAACCATCTCCCCCTCTCCCCCAACCTCACTAAAATAATTCCCCTGCACCGGCGGTCTCTGTCTCCGTCCCCTCCGGAACAACAACCCACCACTCCGCGGATCCGGACTCATGGCTGGAAAATCCTCATAATACTGATACGCCCTCAACTCCGGATCCCGCGCTCTCAACGTCGTGTTCGGCATTACGAATGCTTGCAGGGCATTGGGACCTGTCCCGCCTCCAGGTAACACATTCGGACCCAACAATGCCTCGCCGCCTGGACCCGGCGGCGGGATAGGTGGGATGGTGCCCGGAGGTGGTTTTGGGGTGGGCCCACGTGGAGGCACGGAGTTGAGGCCGTCGTAAAGATCAATCATCTGGTCGCAGATACCAGATAAAGTAGCAGCCCTCATTCGCTGGGCGGGATTCCAGATGAGGAGGGCGCAGAGTGTTGTGATGAATTTGGCGCTGTAGGGACATTGGATGGGGGATAAGAGGAGTTTGGGGTCTCCTACTACTTCTGATTTCTGTTAGTTGGATTTACAGAGAGAAGAGAAAGACGTACCGAGCGGTTTTCCATTGAAAGAGTGCAGGAATGTAGGCATATCTGGGTCGGGGGTGTTTTTTCTGCATATTAAGCGGTAGATGATGGATCCTATGCCCCACATGTTTAATTTTGCGCTCATATCTCTGTTTTGGTGTTCTGGGTACCGTTGTTCCTAATTTGCATCAGTAACCCTCCAAATACCCTTGAGAAGGCAACGCACGGGAGCAAACCATCCTGGCGTTGCTCTATCAACTGCATTTCCTATCCAAACATTCATTGCTCGTTGAGCCCTGGTAGAAGGTTCAAACTGCGACATCCCGAAATCCGTCAATTTGAGCATAGGAAATCGTTGATGATACGCCTGATCCTTTGGCCCCACCAAAACATTCTCCAACTTAAGATCAAAATGAATAATCTTCTTCCCTACACCGACCACAAATTAACTCCATCTCTCCTCCCAAAGAAGAGGAAACTCACCCCAACTAATATTCGGCACAGTAACAAACTCACTCCCGGTCTCCAACACCAAAACAGCCCTAACCAAACACCCCATCATCCTCCACAATACCTCCTCAGGAATAACCTTCCTCCTATTCTCATCCCCTTCCCTATATTTATCCTTCCACCCCGCCAAATCGCCTCCCTCCACATATTCAATATACATCCTCCCCACCATCCTCGCATCATCCACCTCCCCATCATCCTCATCAAACGGCAACGCATCAAACGTATCCTCGCCCGTAGCTCCCGTGCCCATAACCCTCTCAAATGCCTTATACAGCTTCACCACATGTTTCGTCCCAGTACCGGTCAACATGCGCAACAATCGCGATTCGTTGGCGAGTTCGTTGACACCCTCGGCGAATACTTGTTTCACGACCATATGGGAGGGCACCCGGGGGTTAGAGCCGACGTGTTTGAAGAGTCCGACGGCGCCGGAACCCGTTGCCGCGAGCACTTTGACGGGTGTCCATTGGGTCGCGGGCAGATCGGGCCAGGTGGAACTGCGGTCGAGCCAGGCGAATTGGCGGGGTTTGGTTAGGAAGGTTGATGTGTTGAAGGGGTAAGGGTCTGGAGGATTGGGGCCTGCCATTTTCGGAGAGTTGGTGATGTGTTGGAGACTGAAGTGTGGTATGGGAGAGTGTTTTTGAATTTGGAGGACGAATTGTGGAGTTGTGAAGGACAAAGAAAATTGATAATGTTGATTGTGTGAGACAAAGAGAGGAAGCAATGAGAGATCTGCAAACAATTAGTATATATTTCTAGTTGAGGAACAAAGAAAGCAACAATACGATGAAGGCAGACGGCACCAGGAACATTGTGAGAAATTGAGAATCACGTGTGTCTCCTTTCAAGCGTGTCCCAAAAAGGAAGTGTAAGCGAATAAAATACTAGTCTTGCTTTCATGAGAGAATAACGAACTATAGATGACAAAAGAAGATTGGACCTCCTGGGACTGGTACAGGAAATAACCAACATATATCGGAAACCTTGATAAGAACAACACATGAACGAGGAAGTCAGTCCGAATTCGATGTGCCACTTGGCGTCCAAAGGATCTAACGAGAAGGAAGAAGAACGGTGTCACAAATTGATCTTGACTGTATGATCATTTATGTCCGACATACTTGTCAGCTCTTAATCGATCATCAATAAATCCAAGGCCCATTCATCAACGTAGCCCTGAAATCTTCATCACCCGGCTGACTATACTTCGGCAACCCCACATACCCATTCAACCAATCAAGCACCGTCTTATGCCAGACCAAACTATTCTCCGCATTCAAAACCCAATGATTTTCATCCGGGAAGCTCAAGAATTTACTCGGAACACCCTTCGTTTGCAGAATATTAAAAGCTGCCAATCCCTCCGCAATCGGTAACCTGTAATCCAACTCATTATGTACGATCAGTTGAGGAGTAGCCCATTGATCGGTGTGATTTGCAGGATTCCAGCGCGCGTAGTTATCCCAGTTCTCCCAGAGCGTACCGTTGAAATCGTGTTGCATGAACCAGAGTTCTTCGGATGAGTATTGGGATAGCGTGTTGAAGGACCCATCATGGGCGAAGATGGCTTTCATTTTTCGACCCAAGTCGTGGCCTTGGATCCAGTACATCATGTAGCCTCCATACGAGGCCCCAAGAGCCATCGAGCGGTTGGTGTCTACATATGGAATATTTTCGGAGATGTAATCCCAGCCAAGGACGAGATCATTGTAAGGACGACCGCCCCACTGGTTCTGGATCCCATCGGTTAGGTTCTGGCCGAAGCCGAAAGAGCCGGTAGGGTTGAAGGCTGCAACGACATAGCCTTGTTCGGCGTAAACCATCATGTTCCAGCGGGTGGACCAGGCGTCGTCTGTTGAGCCTTGAGGTCCGCCGTGAACGTAGAAAGCGAGCGGGTAAGTTTCATTCTCGTTGAAGAAGGATGGTCGAATGATCCATGTGTGTACCAAGTAATCACCATCGCCTTTGTAGAAGGCTTCAGAAACTTGGCTCTTGGATAGACCGTAATTAGTACCGTTGCCGAGATTTGCAGACATTAAATTGATACCGGAAGAAGCATTCGTTGCAGCTGACGCAGTAGGGTCGACGGCGAAGTAAAGCGAGTTGTCAATGAAGCTCGTACTGCTGATGAGCAGTTTATCATTGCCTAAAAACCTCACATCTGAAACTGCGCCGTCCTTGAAGATTAAGTTTGGAAGCTCAGTTGCTTCTCTAGGATCAGCTGGAAGACTGAACAATCTCACACGAGCATAGTCCTCAGCTTCCGCATAGATCGTCTTCCCATCTTGACTCCAGAAGACTGCTCCTGGACTTCGATCCCAAGCTCCGAGCCCATCCTCTGAAGAATAGAACTCGGTTGCTGTAAGGTCCTTTGTGACGTCCGAAACTAAGAAGATTCGATTTTTGTCGCTCTCATACGAGATGCCTTTTTGACGGACGAAAGCAATGGACGGAGCACAAGGCGAGAACACAACTCCATCTGATGCACCCTCGATGCCAGGAGTGCTGACAATTTGGGGTTCAGGTGCTGGCTCTTGGAATGTGGTTAATGGAACAAAGTAGACATCCGACTTTGTGGTTGTGGCCTGGTTCAGGGTGATGTCCTTGGCGATGAAGGCAAGTCCATAAGTGGAGATGTCGTAACTTCTGCATTTTAGTATGTTGTCTAACGCGAGTGACGGCGATCTTACTCATCTGTGCCACCAAATGGCGGGGTAGGCGACTCCATACCAGTGCCATTGAGAGCATTGACTGGATCGCCAAGTGTATAGCCTGCAGTCCCGTTCGTTGTCGTGGCTGAAAGTGTGGTGTACCAGATGCTGTTTCTTTGGGGTGTGAGGTCTATCACGGGTCAATAAGCGTAATGGATTCTGGTGTAAGCTATACTCACAGGTATCCCAATGTCGGACGAAGATCTGGGTATACATTCTGCCCGTCGAGACCGGCGTCTCCGCCAGTGCCGAATTATATAATGTGCCATTCGGAGCAGCTGTGCCAGAAAATGCGACACCAAAAGTGCCGTTGCTGATCTCAACAAGTTTGATACCACTGATTGAACCTGGTACAGAACCAGCAGATATTGGTCTGAAATTGTCAGCTATGCTGTTAAACTTGAAGAGGTATCTTTTACTCAGCACTCGGTGCCGTTGCATCACCAACCAATAAACTCATGGTCCCGTCATCCTCAGATACAGTCCACAATATGGTATTTCCGTCACCTAACCAGGTAGCTTCACCAATGGCGCTGGAATTGGTGAAAAGCCAGGATGTGCCATTTAATATGTCCATGAGATAAAGACCATGAGCATTTTTATGAGTCTCGAAACTATGAGTGGAAAGTGTATACAGTGCCAGCGTCCCTTCAGAATTGGGTAATGCAGTGCCTCGCCGTGGGGCGCTGAGCATAGCTTCTGGCGTAAACTTTGTGGAATTTGTGGCATTGACAGCAAAGAGACCCGAAAGCAACAGAAAAACGATCGCCAGAGGCGACAATATGGAAACCGCCATTGGAACAAGATTCCGAGAGAAAATAGGAGAATTGTCGCACACTTGCACAACCAGGTACGAGGGAATAGAGCTTACTTATACCCCTCAATGTGAAAGTCCATTACCGGCAAACTTCGATGGCGGTGCCTGCTTGCCAAGAAGTCAACGAGCAAGGTTGGAGGCTTATTCGCAGATCCGGGTCGTATTTATTGATTGGCCGAACCTTGAACCTGCAGCGGCGAGCGATAGAGGCGAAATGGATATTATCCATCCAATATGCTCATTGGGTCCTCTTGTGGAACAAGCTCAATGGATATCCGCCAAGATGGTGCCAGCAGCGCTAGGAATCCAGTGGATATCTACTGATGAAAAGATGGAATGTGCGTAATACCCCACAATACATTCTTTGCGACCGTGAAGGTGCAATAGCAAAACCTCATTTTACAGTCCATGAGATCGAGCACCATTGAGCCGTCTTATGACGAATTCTACTGCGCCGCAAAGACTGTTTTGGACCTCGAAATTCCTGCTCATTGATTAGTGATGAGGGGAAAATTTTCGTCACGATACTTCACGATGCTCCGGCGTGATTCCTCTTGTGGCAGGTGAGTCTTTGCTTGGCTTCTTGGCTCTTGGCAGCTTGTGGATGGGTATCCTCGGTGCAGCAGGTAACAAGACTCCCAAGATATGCGTGTCAGTTAACAAGGCAGGCGTCAAGCATTGTGATCGGCTTCGTTGCGCTGAAGCACCTTATAACAAAGTCCAGGAGTGGGATAGAGGAACGAAGAAGATCAGCTCGACGGAGAAATGAAGATATGGTTTGGCTGACTAAGCTCGAGGCACTTGCCGGCACTCTTTGAGGGATTGTGTGGAAAGAGTAGAAATTAGACAGACAGCTCGTGGTCGTGTTGATGAATATCACTGGTATGAAATAAATGTCAGTAGCATGGTTCTGAAAGCGAGGTCCAGAAGCGGCGAAGCCCTTCATTGAAGTATAGAATACACGGCTTATCGCTCAAATACAGTGGAGAGTTCCTTTTTTCATTACCATCCCATTATTTTTTTGACTTGTCCTCGCTCGCCTCCGTAACATTCAGACCTAGACCTTCCGAGTCCAAGTACAGCTTGTTTCTGCCGCCAGCTTCTTGCAAGATTGTTGCAATAGCTCTTGCGTTCTCAATCCTCTTCAAGTCGACGTATGATCGACTCTTCTTGATGGCGTCTCCAATGAGCTCGGCAGATCTTGCCTCACCCTGTGCTCGTACAACCATAGCTTGCTTCTCCTGGCGTGCCTTGTCAACAACGAATGCTGCTCTTTGTGCTTCTTGTTGTGCGACTTGCTTGGCTTCGACTGCAGCTGTGAATTCGGGAGAGAATGCCAAGTGCTATTCAAAGTTAGTAGCTGGTAAGATGGTGGAGGATGCTAACATACGGTGAGAGAAACATCATCAAGCATGATATTAAATCTGGCCGCACGCTTTGACAAATTTTCTCTGACCAGTCTCGCGACCATCTCACGTTGGGTGATCAACTGACTTGCATTGAATTGTGCCACTACACTCTTCAAAACTTCGTTGACAATCGAAGGAAGGACTCTCTCATCATAATCAGTGCCTAATGTTCGATATATTTGTGGAAGCGCATCAATTCGCGGTCTCGACAGAACACGACAGGTGATATTGACCATCTGCAAATCCTTGGTTCCAGTGAGAGAAGCAACATTTCGTGGTTTGGCTCGCACATCGTAATCTATCGGTGTCTCGAACCAGGGGATCCGCAAATGTGTTCCTGTAAGAATTGAGTGTTAGCCAGGGCGAAGTAGAAAAGAGCATGAAGCTTACCTTCAGCGTAGATCTGATTGCCCACACCTCCTATTCTCGTATACTTGATAGCTCTATGACCACCATCAACGTTGAATAGAGAATTGTTCGCAAGAACCGCAGCTCCGCCGAGAAGTATTAGACCTCCTAAACCTGACACCATACGCGGGGATGGCCCACCTCCTCCACCTCTGCCAGCCGCAGTCATTTGCCGCTGGAGATTCTTCCATATCTGCTCAGGGTTTGACATTGTGCTGTCGGAATCAAGGGAGACAGCTTTTGGCGTGAATGTGAAGCTCGACTGTCGTGATGGAGAAGCTTGAAATCCTAGAGGCAAAGTCCGAGATGCCGAATGCTGACTAGTGCATTTTGCTAGCTCTCCGCATTTCTTAGCGGAATATCAAAACTCAACCTCCGACATCACTTTTCAGCGTTAATTAACGACTACAACGACAATTCGAAGTGAAAGCGAGCACGAGCCGAGCTGTGTGGGCATTTGGGGCAAGGTGAATGAGATTAGAATAGCCAGAAACACTTTTCCAAAGACTTCTGTGCCATTTCTTCCAGCGTGAAGGTGACAAGTGATCAAACCTTCACATTCCTGAAGACCTTGCAGTTGCAAGATCATTGTGATCTCCTCCAGAACCTTCTTGCAGAACTAGCCATCATATTATCATCGTCAGAATGTCCAAACCACCGTCGAAGTCTGTCTTCGTCGGCAATATCCCATACGGTATGCTTCCTTCGCCGAACAAAGTCGAGCGTCGCCCCGTTCTGACTGTATAATAGGCCTTACAGAAGAACAGATTATTCGCATATTCAGCAGTGCAGGAAAAGTTCTCAACTTCCGGCTTGTGTACGATCGCGAGACAGGCAAGCCGAAGGGGTTTGGATTTGTCGAGTTCCCAGATTCAGGTACGGTTCGCACGCTTGCATTTGCGCTTCTCGAAATCACGTCCGCAAAACTGACAAACTTCGCAATCATAGACTCTGCTGCATCTGCAGTACGAAACCTCAACGACTACGAAATCATGAATCGAAAATTGCGCGTCGATTTCTCAAACGATGGAGGGGAGGAAGAAACAGTAAGCAATTTGTTCCAGAAATGATAAACACATCTTGACGATTACAGCAACCTGCACCTACAAGCTACAGACCTCCACCTCCCTCGAATGGGGTTTCCAGCTCACTGCCGCCGATCAATCCGAACTCCTCCATCCCTCCTCTGCCTGCTGGAGCCGATCTACCTGCAGGTTTGACCTGTCCAGATGCCATTTCCCGAACTCTCAACACTCTGCCAGCTGAACAACTACTCGATGTCCTCTCGCAAATGAAGACTTTGGCCACCACAGACGCTGCGAAGGCGACGGAACTTCTACACCAAGCACCCCAACTCTCGTACGCCATATTCCAAGCATTGCTCCTCATGGGACTTGTCTCTACCGAAGCCCTTAGCTCAGTTGTCGAACAGGCTTCTGCACCGCCTCCTCTGCTGACTCCACAACAACAACAAGCCTACCAAGCCCCAACCCCAAGCAACTACCCACCAGGCTACCCCCCTCCACCTCCTCATATGAGCGGTCAGATGGGCATACAAATGGGCACACCACCAGTGCAAAACCAAGGATTATACCCCCCACCACCGCAACAACGTGCTCCTCCCCCTCAGCAGCAAGCCCCACAGCAAAATCTGGCAGATACGGACGCATTGATGCAACAGGTTCTTGCTATGCCACAAGAGGTCATTGACAGCTTGCCACCCGCGGACAGGGCGCAGCTTCTTGCGTTGAGAGCAAGCTTTGGAAGATAAACTTGGAACGTCCAACATCGTGTAAGAGGGTTCCTGGAGGTCTATTGCACAAAATGCGGGGAGTTCTGCGGTCTGCACAATCACGTGGAGTGAGTGCACTGAAATATCGTTTCTCCTGATGTACAATTAGAGGTTGCGTCTCGCAAGGCGTGCATTAGAACGAATGCAACTTCTGCCTCCTCTGGCCTTTACTTTACTTTCTCTATATTTGCAAATAATGACAGGTGAATTGTCGTGTCGCGCAGGGGTCCTTGGGCAATCCAGGTGGATTGTAGCGTCCCAGCCACATAACATCCAACATCGATTCTTCGTTCTGGCAATCCCCTACCCTACCTTCGTACTTCATACGGAATATCTCACCATAACTCACACCATCTCTCTCCAAATACCTTGGAATCAGTTCCACCGAAATATCCTCTTTTTCGAAACATTGCAATTCCGTACTGAAAATTTGGATCACCAGTCGCGGGGTCTTCTATCAGAATTTCGCGTCAACTCGAACATGCCAACGTTACCAGCACATCTCAGAGCGATTCGTGTCCCTCAGTCTCGTCTGGAGGCCTGGAAATTATGCAAAACACATGGCGGCAAGTGTCGGATAGGACTGCGCTTCGATGCTCATCAAGCAAACAGACTCACAGTCATTCGTGACAAGATGTCAGCTTCGTTTAGTTCCAATAAACCCCACCGGAAGTCGCCACAAATCACGATGCCCATGTTTTTTTGACTTCCCAGGATCCAGTCCAACCTTCTGCAGAGAGGTGCTCGAACAGTCTGCTAAATCTCAATCACCGTTCAAGATCTCTTTTCGAAGCAAATTGATTGATAGGACGGCATTTAACCTTCCATGTTCAATATTGTTGTCTCCTGAGGGCAAGGAGTTCAATGTCGCATTCGGACATCTGCGATCAGCTTTTCTATATACCAGATATAAGATACCAGACTTTATACAAGGCCAACACTCTTGGTAGAGTCCATATACCTCGAGTCAACATACTGATCGGCGTATCTAAAGAAACTTCTGAGACGGCTCTCGCCCTACTCAACAAAGAACTGGAAAAAAAGCCCTTGGTTGTCACGGCTGTTGGGCTTTGCACCCGCATTGAGTCAGTACTCTCTCTCTCGAAGAGTTGAGTCATCGTAAGCTTTCCGAAGCTAGAATCATCTCGAAATGGGAAGTCATTCCTTTCAAGGGGAACGGCAAAGTTAAGAGTGAGGATTGAGTTTGCGAAACCAAGCTTTCTACACTAAGGAGTTGTCGGATTCGGAGTAAGGGTACCATCTATAGGAGCCTCGAGGTCATGAGTAGGAGTATAGGTTGAGATTTGAGGCATATTTTCCTGTCGAGTGTTTTCAACTTCTCACAGGACAGAAGGGTTGTTCATCTTGAGCACTAAAGAGCCGGCCTGTCATAGTCTTGTGAGCTATCACGCTTGGAATATGATTAACCTCATGCTTTTGTGGAAGGTTCTCAGAATGGCGAAAATGCAATTTGAAAAGCAACAGCTCCCCATAATGTGGTCGCATTTTCATCTTCGTTTTCCTTCTTGTTTCTGCTACATCAGCAGGGGAAAGATGCAAGGCGGGATCACATTTTTCAGCCACACGACAACTTAAACGACAGGTCATTAATCCCAACCTCTAATTTCTCTCGACTCATCACCAAAATTGACTACCCTCATTCCTTGGATCAAGGAGCTCTGCATCAAACCTTTCGAATTCCAATAACGATATGTCCCCATCAAACGTGCTCAAAATTCCGGCGCATATTAAAAACATGCGAGTTCCTAACACCAGAGCAGGAGCAGCAAGACTGCAACAGAGAGAAGGAGGTACTTGGATGATTGGACTCCGTCTCGACCCTGCTTCGGCCGATCACGCACGAGTTCTTCTTTGAGTTTTTCTCGACATCCAGCTCTCCCATTCCGACTCTTCGAGATCCAACATTCCCCTCACATTAACAAATCTCTCTGCACTAGTTGTGTCAAGATTGTCAAAAAGAACCCCATCGAAGTTCTCGGGTGCATGCAAAATCTTCAACATCTCTCGACGTCTAGCTTTACGATCCTTGAGGTCCAATATCGTCTCTGCACCTGAACTAGCATCAATCAGGATAATCGGTCTTCTCCAATATCTACCAGAGTCGGATCCAGTATGTCAAAGCTACCAACGCATCTCAAAATGCTCCGCAGGCCTCGTTCTCCTCGAGAAGCATATGAGATGTGGCGCAAAGAGGGAGGTGGTTACCAAATTGGTGTTCGTCTTAACGACGCTTCATCCAAGATTATCACAGAATTCCGTCTCGGGATCTCGAAGGCTGCAGGATGTCCACCTGTTAAAGTAGCACAGCAAAACGTCGTCTTCTTGTTCGCCGAAGTTCCTGCGTCTGGTCTAGAGTTCTACGAAGATACTTTAGCTACCGTCGCAAAGCATCGCTCGCCCTTTCGAGTTATCTTTGAGGATCCTTTTGTATCAGGACAGGACAAGGAATCTCCCTCTGTTTTGGCGTTAGAGATTGTCGGCTTAGAGATACACTCAGTGTACGATGAGCTCTGGGAGCACCTTGGTGCTGTGCCGCGCATGAGAGCCCAGAAATCGGGAAAAAGACGCCTGAAAATGAACATCTTGAGCTCTGCACCGAGTGAGAAAGTCAAAAGTGGATTGTTGCTAGCAGGGGCTGAGCTCCGCAAAGCCAATCTTTCCGCTACAGCGATTGGCTTATGCCTCCGTTTTGTGCCAGTCTACGCACCTAGGGAACGATTCTACAGGGCAAACACCGTTCTTCCAGATTGGCAAGTCATCCCATTCCAAGGCAGCAAAAGGATCTCGGCGCTTGAAGACGGTGATCAACCCGACTCTTCATCTTAGAAGGTCGAGTATAGATTCGTTCCCAAATTCTCTCATGGTTTAAAACCAACATTGGGCAAGTTTATTGCTTTGGACGGCAGCAGGATCGAGCACAACTATGTCTTATTATTTGAAGTCCTAGGGACAGCTGTTGTTGCATGATACGGAGAGATATATTGAGAAATGTGGACTATCAGCATTGTCCATTACACAATCTATATGTCGAACCGTAAGCACGTCGCCGCGAATATGAGTGATGAAGCTTGTCAGAGATGCCGCGATTAAGAAAAGGGAAATTCCAAGTGAACAAGCGAGACGGGTCTGAAGTATGATTGTTGGTCTAACAAAGCATGTATATCTTACTTACGAAATGCTATTATCAAAAGCGTACAGCCGGATGCAAGAGAACGACTCCATGTGGAGACCCCGCTTTAGTACTCTGTGAATCCTACCTTCTCTAACCTCTCCGCCTTGCCAATAACTTCGTGCTCCATATCCTTCGCGTATTTCACTAGTCTCTCTTGAATCACGGGATCGCTTGTTCCCAAGATTCTTGCAGCTGTCAGAGCAGCATTTATCTGTCAAATGTCAGCATATTGAACGCTAGACTGGGATATGAGCAAAGACTCACGCTGTTGTTGATTGCCACACAAGAGACAGGTACACCTCTTGGCATCTGTACTATGCTAAGAAGACTGTCCATACCGTCGAGAGTGCTACCTTTTACAGGTACTCCGACAACTGGTAGAGGTGTAGCAGAGGCAATCATGCCAGGTAAGTGCTGTCGAAATGGTCAGTGTCTGAGATCCAATAGACCAAACACGACAGGGGAAACTTACTGCGGCCCCGCCAGCTGCTGCTATGATGACTTTGAACCCCTTCGATGCTGCTGTCGAAGCGAATTCATGCATTTTCATGGGTGTGCGATGAGCAGATGTGATTGTGACGAAGAATGGAATGTCGAGAGTGGTCAAGAGCGCAAGACCAGGTTTGAGGACGGGGAGGTCGGAATCTGATCCCATGGTCACGGCTACCAATGGTTGTCTCGATGCCGAAGGTTTGCTGGAGATGGCGGTGGAAGGCTTGGGTGTTGGAAGACCTTTTCTTTCCGCTCTCATGGCGTCGGTCATTGAAAGAAGTGGCTGCACTAACGACTCGCCTTGGGCCATTGAATCTGCTACTATAGTAATATGGCCAATCTTTCTCGCTGGTTTGGATTCTTTGCCATACATATGCAATGCCGCTCTTGGTATGCCAATTGCATGCTTCATGATCTCGTTATGAGCAGGTTTGGATGCGCCACCTAGACGAAGTCAGTACAACAAGCTCAAAGAAGAGTGAGATTGTTCCAAATTCAAGAACTTTTCAACACTTGCGGTTTTGAATAACTCCAAAAAGAAGAAGCCGAGACACTGGGACTATGAAAACCTACGTACCGAGAATATTCAACATTATTGTTGCTGGAAACATAGCAGGTATCCTTGAATCTGGGAAGGATGGCATGAGTCCCAAAATTGACAGGAGCTGTGACTTATACTGCGAGAATGTCGGGCATGCCTCGATGGTATAATGTCCTGAATTGTGGGGGCGAGGGGCAATTTCGTTCACAATGAGCTCGCCATCCTCCATCAGAAAGAGCTCAACACCGAAGACACCCTTACCCCAGAGACTGCCCACTGCTTTTTTTGCAAGTTCTTGAGCCTCTCGTTGGATCCGCTGTGAAACTCCTCGAGCAGGCGCGTATACTAGCTTGCATATGCTGTCCTCGTGGATTGTCTCCACGGCTGGGTATGCTACGGTCGCCGTCCCGTTGGTGGAAGTTCCATCTTCAGTCTTGACTACCATTACTGCAAGCTCCATTTTGAAATTCGCCCACTTCTCTGCATATAGACCTCTACCCTTAAGAGCCATGAGCGCATCCTTAATATCACTTGCAGACTTGACAGGATAGTTGCCGCGCCCATCGTATGCATCCTTTCTCGCCTTCAGCATGAAAGGATATCCCATTTCTCTGCCAAAAGCTTGCAGATCTTCCTCTGTTGACTGCACAGCTTTCGAGATCGCAGTTCGAACTCCATTCTCCGCCAAATGATCTTTCTGCAAGAACTTGTCCTGGATCGTCCGTATCGTCCTCCAGCTCGGCTGAACTTCCACCTTCTTGACGGTCTTCTTGCCATCCGCTCCAAGAATTTCGACACCCCTCTCTGCAATCTCTTCTAGAACAACAGTGTCGACGTGCTCGATTTCTACTGTGAGGATATCGACCTGTCGCGCTAATTCTCTGATCTTCTCAGCGTCGATGAATGAGCCATCGATATGGTCGTTCTTGGCATTGACTTGCTTTGCAGGGGACTTCTCAGCATCGAGGATCACGATCTTGATTCCGAGGGGATTCGCAGCTTCGCAGAGCATTTGACCAAGCTGGCCGCCCCCGAGGAGTCCAATTGTGCGTTCCATGGCGGGGTACTACAGAGGCTGTGTTAGTGATAATGACTAAGAAAGAAACGAATCGAGATATAACGTATGCTCTTCTTTCGGAATAGCAAGCGAGTACCTGGAAGAGAATGTATGTAGTATTTACCTAGAAGACAACTTACCTAACAATCGAGATCGTGGTCCATGAAGAAGGACGAAATGTGGAAAATTGTAAGTTATTCTGCCGCACTAAATTTAAGGTTTGGGCTTAGTTCGTTGCTTTCACCGCCTAAACAGCCAGTCTTCTGTCGTCTCTAGACAAGTATTCAGTCCAAGACCGCCATGATGAAGATTCCATGGAAAAGTGTTTCCAGACATATAGAAGCTGCCACACTTCATTCCGAAAAACGGAAGCCGAAACAAAATGTTCTATCACTACCATTCAAAGAAGACGAAGACTACAGAAGCTTGCATCGTCAGCACCATATCCCCAGATTCACGGCATGCCAATAGCAACTCAACATATTTGCTCCAGACTCACGTTCAAAGAGCTCCTGACTCATAGTTTGTTTTGCCATTCGAATGCACTTATGTGGCTCACGATTCGCGCATCCTTGTGAAACTCAATTGCTCAGGATTTTCGAGTTGTATATTTCAAATATAAAATACAAACAGACAAGCACGTGGTGAGTTACACGAGTCCTGACAATTGTGACTGACAGTGTTGGTTCAGGTTAACCAGGAATGTCGCAAAGTTCACGCACAATTGATCTTCTGGGCATCTGATGGTCGATTAGAAATTTACCTGGACTACGTTCTACAATCAATCAAGGCTTCTCGAAATCAATCACGACACGGCCAGCAATCTCCCCTCTCCTCAACTGCTGCACACTTTCAGGAAACGCGCTCAAACCTCGAACCTCACAAATCTGCTTTAACAACCCTCTTTGAGCATATTCCAATGCCATCGCAGTATCCTGCATCGTACCGATGAGTGACCCCATAATTTTGAGGTTTCGGAACGCGAAATATGAAGGGTCTGCTCCAATTGTCATCAGGTCCTTTGGCGCTATTTATATAATTAGCATTTCATCACTGCAACACGACGAAGAACTTACGCAAGCCAACGCAAACCACAACTCCACTAATTCTGTCGCCAATATAGCTAATGGCATCTTTGTATGCTTGGTAGGCGGTAACGATCACACCATGCGCTCCAACGCCACCAGCGACCTTCTTGACCTCCTCGGCGACGTTGGGTACCTCTTTGAAATCGATGAAAGCCTCGGCGCCCATTTCTAGGGAGAGCTTGCGTTTTGCGTCTCCCGTATCAATTACGATTGGACGCATACCCATTGCCTTCGCCAGTTGGACACCTTGGATGCCAACTCCACCACCGCCACCTACACACCATTAAACATTGAACGACGGCAGAAAAGAGCAAAGAGTAACGGAGCATACCAGGAAATACAACCCATTGTGTAACCTTCAACCCAGAATCGATCAACGCCCTGTGCATTGTACTCGCACTACACATAATCGGCCCCGCAATATAATCACTCACCCCGTCCGGGATCGGGCTTGTGTATTTCGCCGGACTCGTGATATACTGCTGGTATGTCCCTGTCGCCACAAGTCCGGTGTGTATACCCTTTTGGCAATAGTTCTCTCTTCCCTCCCAACACATCTCGCATTTTCCGCAGACGTCCCAAAGAGGTTTGACTCCACCACGGTCTCCAACCTTCCAGTTCTTTACATTAGCGCCGACCTTCACGACCACGCCGGCACCTTCGTGACCCGCGCATTGCACACCGAAGGTAGACATCTTCGGCATGGCCCAATCGTTCATCATGAAGTGGATATCAGACATACAGAGGCCTGTCGCATTGAGTTTGAGAAGAACTTCATCAGGTCCTACATTCGCTCTGTCAGTTGGGTCCAGAAACTTAATACAAAGCAAGCCAATACGGACCTGGCTCCGGAACAGGCACATCCTGAACCTCGACCCGAAAATCCGGTCCTGCTACACTTTAGCTTCTGAGTTAAGCTTGATTGCAGGAGACGACCTTCGTTCACCACCACGCCGGCCTTGCATGTCTTCGGGATCTCGAAATGGATTTCTCCGTTCTTGCTCTCGTTTGTAGCTGCCATAGCGATTTCTTACCAGCGATACCTTGATGGGTTCCTATCCCGATTCCTCGGGACCAATTCCTTCTTATAAGAGGAGGAGGGGTACAATGTTCTTGTCCTACGTGGGACCATGCGGGGTCGCGGTGGTGTTCCGCCATCTTGGTGCATTCGCTCCCTGAGCTTAGAGCGAAGAATGGTTGGGTGGTGGCATGATGGAGTCAAGAGTCTTGAGTCGGACATAGCTCAGCCTCGGGGCGGGGTAATGCGGGGTGTGGGTCCAGAGCCCGGTGTGTCCAGTGAACAGCTGCCAGAACTTGACTTGGAAGACTTGCAACCAATTGCAATAGAGAGTCAACAAATCTGTTTGTCCCGTTTGCCGAAGAACTGAGCCTCGCTACTGCAGGTCACGAATTGTCAAATAGCCATTTGCACTTAGATAAGCTGACAGCTTTCCATGATTTATGAAGGCAAAGAAGATCCTCAAGACTCATGAGAGATCGAGAAATAAGTTTGGTGGAAATTACGCACCACTGGTGCACATCTAATCCCATCGGAGTCTCAACCCTTTACCAACAATGCTACCAACAAAAGGTGGCTACAAAGGTCGGACATTACGGCCTTGGATAATCATCACCCGATAGCCCAACTACTCCTAAGATTGCCCACCATTCTAGCTTTCCTCAGCCTTCTTCTCCTCACTCTGTGCACCCTCATCGATCTGTGCACTCTCTCCACTACTCTCCTCGTCTCTCCTCTTATCCTGCGCAATGTCTGGAGCGGGTGCAAACGTACTCCTCCCCCTAATCTTCCTCCCATAATAGTAAAAGATAAACGGCAACGGCACCAACACAGCCGCCACAGCTCCAATCAACGTCTGTCCATAATTGATTCCAATCCCCTCATACATATATCTCGCGAACAGCGGGAAAATAGCACCAAACAAGGATCGCATGAATGTATTTCCCGCAATGGCAGATGCGGCAAACATGAGGTACGCATCGATGATATAGTTCAGGAGCTGGAGGAAAATAGCGAAGATTCCAAAACCGGTGAAGAGCCCAGAGAGCGTGGGCACGATCCAAGGAATCTTATCCGTGTAGCCCGTCCACCCGAACCAGAACAGACCCGCCGCGAAGACGGGACCGCCTATCATCACAATGGGGAGTCGCCATTCCGGGACGGGGATATTGTTATTAGCTTTCAGCTTCCGCACATAGGAAGAGTTCATCAAGATCACCATAACGAAGGCGATGAGTTCGCCGATGACGAGGCCGAAGTACGTTAACCCGCCTACGCCGGCGTTCATATGGTAGACACCTTGAAAGACGAGGGCGTAAGCCGTGAGGAAAGTGTACAGTAGGCCGTAGACGAAGGCCATGTAGATGGAGATGAGCAGGACGATGGGTTCGGTGAACAGGATTCTCAGGGGACGGCCCACGTTCTTGACGATGAGTTCTTTGACGTCCACTTCTATTTCTTCTTGCTTGGCATGAATACCCCAATTCTTGGTTCTCCGACGGAGCTCGGCTGCTTTGGTTACGAGGATGAGAGGCGGATATGTCTCTTCCAAGAAGAACAAGCTTAGGATGAAAGATGAGAAGCCCATGAAGGACGAGATGTACATTGTCCATCTCCATCCCAAGTACGATTCCGTTATAAAACCACCAACGAAAGGAGCAAGTAGCGGTCCCATGAACACCGTAGCGGAGAAACAAGCCACAGCCATACCGCGCGTCTCGTTGCTCCAGATATCCGCAAAGATAGCAGCAACCACAGCCAAAGGACAAGAGCCAAACAAGCCATCAAAAAATCGGCAGATCATCACCGTCTGGATGTTTGCAGCTGTAGCTGTACCGATAGCGAATATTCCAAATCCGAAAGAGGAAATGACAATTGGTAACCGTCGACCGTAAAGCTCGGACATGGGAGCCCAGATAATAGGTCCAAATGCATATCCGAGGACGAATAGAGATGTTCCGAGTGTGGCTACTTCTATCCCAACGTGGAATTCTCGCTCTACGCCGACGCTGGCTGCACTGAAAATACTGCTGCCGAACGTTGCTGCTAGAGAGGCCCAGATGGCGATCAGACTAATGATAAGTCTAACGAGAAATGTGAGTTCTTCAATCCAAGTAAATGCGACATGGGGCAGAGACGAACTTCTTCTTCAACGACCAATTCTGTGCATGCGTCGGATCATCATGCCCATCAAACTCCACCACATATTCCTCCTGCGCGGGCAGAGGCGGTGGATACGGCTTCCCACCCCCAAAGTTCGGCAGCGGTTTATCCTTCTTGGTCGAAGCTCGCGATCCTACCGTCCCGAAATGTTGCGATCGATGGGTATTGATCCGATCCAATGCCGTCGGATTCCGTACCAATTGCCCATTTATTCGATGGGTCTCTGATCGATGGAGATCCGTGTCGTGAGCATACGAGGAGCTTCGTGCGCGGGAGGTAGCGGGGCGGGCTCGAATGCCTTCGTACTGAGGTGAGTCTGCGCCGGAGGAGGATGTGGAGACTACCGTTGGGAGTCGTTCGATCTCGTTCTCGTCAAGGGGACTGTTGTTGCCATTTTCTGGTTTCTCGACTTGCTGGTTCTCGGGATGCAGACTCGCGTATTCTCTGCGGAATTGCCCTTGGGTGTCCCAGGAGCGATATCGTTCGGGCTCGGCGTCTGCTTCGGCTCGTAGGTTTTCGTAGTCTTCTTCCATTAACGGCATTGCAAGAGAGAGTTGTTTTGTGCTTGCAAGGCAGTTAATCGAAGAGACCTCGAGTCGATCAAGTGAGGCAAGTCCTAAAGAGAGAAAGACTCACGAGCCCACCTGCACGATGGATGGAGGATGGAAGCCATGTTGAGGGTTTTGTTACGACTGTTTCCCGAGAAGCCCGCAATTCGTCTAGTTCAATGTACGTCAGACTTGTGGGTGTGCGTCGATGGCTTGCTTTCCGCGCGGTTTGGGACCCCCTTTACCCAAAGTAGATAAACAAGCGAGATCTAGATCTCCGACAAGAGCATTTAAGCTTTTGCAGTAGCCGTTGTAGGGCAAGCTTGTACATTAGGTAATATATCTAATCATTGTATTGACGAATGAGGAGTGTTCAGTGGTTGCAGGCCTGTGATTTCTAACCGGAAAGCATGTAGTGCTGACAGGAATGAGATGCACGGTGCGTACATAATCAAGGGATTGGAAGGCTTATCTCGACGTATGAAGAGCCTTAAGTCCTGCAAATCAGGGGCACGTCTGAAAAAGATGCGAAGATCGTGGCCGTCCAATCACTTGATGGTGAACAATCGGGTGTTTCAGGTGTTCATTGCTCACTTTTAGAGGATTGACTACAGTAGCATCGAATTGCTCGCCTGCTTTTCAGAAAGTTGATTTCTTAGAGAAAGCGAAAATGATTGAAGTAACAAGACTATAATTCATCATACATCTCTGGGAATGCATTGGCAGTAGTCGTTGTCAATTGTGGAGGTTATGATGATAATCCTGTTGTTGCTGGATCTATTCCTAAGCGCATTGCGTCTCGCATTTCGCATATCGCACTCGATATACGGCATTTCGCAGATACTCTTGGGGAAGCAACCTCAGCTCCATATTTCTCTTAGAGTATTGGATGAACGGTATTGAATGTACTTTGTTCAAAGTTATGTCGTGTTCAGCACATCGCTGAGAATTCGACTGCTGTGCACAAGGCACTTGTCTCGCTGCGGCGAAATGGCCATAAACAGAACTTTTGACTCAATGGAGAAATAATGACTGAACAAATTCCGCGTCAAGACGACCAACGCGAATAAAGTCACTTCCTGAAGCCTAGGAAACCTTCTCCCCAGGCATCTATCGACACCCGAATGGCACCGAACAAGGCATCCTAGATCGCTGGTCTCCGAAATCTGTCGAGCGTGGCCAGTCTATCGAGGTGCTTCCGAGTGGCAGAATTATGGTGATGCCTGGGCAGACAGGAGCTCCTACTTGTGGAGAGGTAAGTCGACTTCGAACCACACCTAGAACACTACTGACGTGCCCCTCCAGTCTGGGCGAGAGCGTTGACATTGACTCTTCGAGATTAAAGTAGGCCTTGCCAACGGTGATATGATTATGCATCGTGAATTGGGACATTGGTCGATCTTATTCCGCGACCGGAGGAGCTGCCCGCAAGATGAAGGGGACCATTGCTCAACGTGCACGAACTCCTGCGATGTCAATCGCTTCATTTGGCCTTACACGAAGGGCCCAGGTGCCACTAGGAATGAGCCTGCTACATGGAAAGCGTAATATTTGAAGTTATTCTATGAAGGATAAAGTGTTAGCAAACATATAGGCAGAGATTGGGCAAAAGATTCATCAAATCTTGACAAATGCTCTCAAGAATACGGATGACCTGGTGCAATGCAAGAAATATCTAGTCGTACCATGCTGTAGGACATACTCGTGTTCAATACAATAGGCTTCTATGAGCAGTAACAAGCGATAGCGAAGTTGAACAGGAGCACAACACCAGACACCGACGTAGCCTCAACTTCAAGACCAGATCACGCTAAGATCCTCGACCAATCACAGCCTCAACCCTTTTTAACGTCGTATAAAGTTAAATAAGCAGATCTTGGTATCTTCTGAGACAGCAGCCTCCAGGATATAGACGCTTGCGACAGTGATCGTGCCTCTCTAATATTCTCGTGTGTGCTTGAAATACGAATGACTCAAAGAGACAGCGGCTTCCAGGGTTTAGATGCTTGCGACAGTGATCGTGCCTCTCTATATTCTCGGAATGCCTGAAATACGAATGTCTGAAGATGGTCTCTTTAAACCCCACACTTGGCTGTGGTGTTGGATACTCTCCTTCGGGAGAGTAGAGTTTTTGATTTTGATTTTGACGAATTTTAATATTTTGGTTTTTTTTGGGTAATCTCAGACGACAATTTTTCCATTTCGCTTCCAACGCGGCCAGTCAGCGCCGCCGCTCTACTCAGGCGCTACTCCCTCGCCTTACTCTCGCCTTACCATCTGCTCAGGTTACTCAGTCACGTTCCTACTTTCCCTTCCAAGGTCTAATCATAGTCTACTTGCTATTCGATTCTGTCGTGTAAAAGCTGTCAAATCTACATGACTATCTTCAAGGGTCGAAATCGGCTCCGAGGGAACCGAAACAGGACCCCTTTTAACTCAAAAATAGATCCTTCGATCTCTCTTGGCAAATTATTTGTACTAGTGCTCCGGGACGTGATTCGGTTTCTCCTCCTCCCAGACCCAAGCTGTCGAATTAATCTTCACCTTATACCGCTCAATCGGTCCCTTGCCCTTCCTGAGCACGCATGGTCAATATTTACTACCATTGTCAAAGCAACCATCACTCCTATCGCACACCCCAGTCTGTCCAATTACACTCAACCTAATGCGCCGAGACAGGATCGCATGGAAAGTTTCTGAATGGCGGAGACGTTGAAATATTTCTATCTTCTTTTTTCTAAGCCGGATTTAGCATGTTTGAATAAGTATTGAATATACAGGCGTATCTGCTAAAAAGACTAAGTTAAAGAGATTAGAAAATTAAAAATAAACGCGAATTTTAAATTCAAAAATAATTAAAATTATTAATTTTATTAAATATATATAATATATTAAAATTTTTCATTTATTATTCTCGGAAAAGAAAAGAAAAACTTAGTGATATTTAATTTATATACTTTCAAGATTTTAATTAAATAACTAATAGTATTATACTAGGTTTAGATTAAGCATGCGTAATCAAACCCCGTTGGTACTGCCCATATCCATCGTGCGTTTTGCCATATCCTACAAACAAGTTACCAGCTTCACTCCATTTCTGCTGGCGCTCAAAAGCCATTGACTTCATGGTATTTTGTGCACATTCAAAGCAACCAAAAACGACTAGTCCCCCTGTTGAAGTCTGAGCCGCCTGCCCAGCCAGGAAGACTGTCCAAAGAGGATGCCCGGCAACCGCGATATAGTTCGAAAACTTAACCTGGTCCGTTGGCTTCCTTACACGATGTTTTGACCATTGCGAGGCTTTGGTATGACGAACAATATGCGGTACCTGATGGCCTCCCTCTGGGCATGTCTCCGGGATTCTGAAACTTAGAGCCAATGTTTTGAGAATGCTTGTTATACCCGTTGCCCCTATTAGTTTACCGTCAACGCGGCCCGCGAGACAAATGAATGGTTTTGGTAGGGTGGGGTCTCTCTCAATGCTGATATATATGGGGATATCCGGCTCGGTAGTACTAGGGACACCGGTCGCAGCTTCATATGTTGATTTTATACCTGGATTTTCATCTTCTGGCCTATTCCAGGACTCTGGTGACCAACAATCTCCCTCATGGCTTCGAATAGTATTATCTTCTTGAACAGGCAGAGAATAGAATTCGTCAACGCAATAGATACCCAGAGCGTCGGGAGTCGGCGACAAATTGAATAGTAAAGCGGGAAGGACCGCATAGTCCCTTTCTCTGAAGCCGACAATACCTCGATCGGTGTAAGAATCACCGCAGAAAAGCTGTGTGTCTGCACAACTATGGAATACTGACACGAAGGCAACAGCTTTCCAATATGGAATCCCTGAGGCCAACACCGTCCCAAGACCACGACTGAGACCATCGAGCCCACTAAACCCGCGAAGATCTACTGATGTTATATGGCTCAGTTGTCCAAATAGTGGACCACTCAAGGTCTCCGCAACTGAAATCAGAATGGCAGTGGTTATGGCGCGAAATCTTAGGACTTCTGGATTGCTTGCCGCTTGGTTGGTGTTATTGTGCTTCTTGATTATAGACAAAGTCTGCTCATTTGATATGTCGCTATAACACCCAGCAAAATTGGTTGCTGAGGCTCCGAAGCAAATAGATGCCAAGGTAAGATTGATAGTATGTGGACGACCGCGAGTTGGCTTCCAGTGTGCAACGGCGCGCACATAATTATCGTTAATTTCCTGGCTTAATTCCCAGGTGAAGTGTAAATTCGTCTGTATGTAATGTCTTACGTTGTTGAAATCTGCTTGCAAGAGTTCAGGACCGGGTCCGTTTGGCAGTCGCATCAGGTTGAAGAGCATGGGGCCGACTGTATCAAAATGATAATGCTGGATAGGTGGAATAATCATGAGCATATCTTCTTCGTTCTCCGCCAACAGTGCATCAGTCTTGCAACTTCCCCCTGTCACCAAAGTCACTCCTTTCCAGGAGCTTGGAGGCTCGCCTTTACCGTTCCAGACGAGAATTGGTCCAATGGAGTACCCAATTTCCTTCAATCCCACGGCTACACGAGCTGTTGCTGCACTTCTCGTGAGATAGGATTTCTGGCCACCTTCGATCACCCATCGAAGCAAACCAACCACGAACATATAGTCTGTCTCATCGAAGCCTTCGCACGGCCCGAGGCTCGAGGGCAGATTGTGAGATCTTATGGCATTGGAAAAAGCCCTCTCCAATCCTCTTGCCGCACCCTCATTCACGATCTTTTTGAAGTTGTCAATGAGTTGAGAGTATAAAGCCTCTGATGCCCCTGCCTCTGCGTCTATGAGAATATTTGGAGCAAGATTCTCCATGAATGCCTTGATTGCTCGATATTCTCCCAGCTCAAAACTAAGAGCGCAGATGGTAAGACCAATGAGCTGTGTTGCGGGGTTCCCTCCAAATGCACTTTTCTTATCGAGGTCTTCAATCGTCTTTGTACCTTCGCTGGTGATGATATGCCAGCGGAGAGGATTGATCTTCATCTTGACTCCCATTTTAATGAGTTGCTTTTCACCGAATACTCGAGGTAGATGTGTTAGTATGTGCCGTATACCATCCAGGCCGCCAATCCATCCCCATGCTGACTTGGCAGCAGAGAGCGTGGCAACGAGATCGGCTGGGGCGATGCCTACTTGGACCTGCTGTATGTTCCCCCATTTTGGTGTATTGAGAACCAATGTAGCAGACGCCATGATTCTGGTGTCGAGACGAGGTGTAAGAGACAATTCGAACTATTGAAGTTTTACTTGCTTATAATAAGGTTCTCTTGAGATCAAAATAGAGCTCAGTTCCTAGCTAAAAGAAGTTTTTTATCTATCTAGACAACTGGCCGTTGAACAACTGGCCGTTGGACAACGCATCAAGAAAATGCCTCGCGGTTGCCTTGCTGCAGGATAAGGAAGTCGGGCGTTTGCATAGCCCATGGCAGGGGTGAGCCGCTCCCAATGAAAAACATTACCGAGCTCTTGCGAATCGATTCAATCCAAGATAATTATTCAATATTTGTATCTCTATCGAATATATTAGATTTAATTTAAATTTATTAAATACAATAATTTTAAAAATAAATATAAGAATATTTAAATATACTTTGCAAACAAACTAATTTTATTTAACATAGTCACGTGATGTTATCTAATCCTAACATTTGGATTTTAGTATTGGAAGGGGCGTCACCGCCTACCTTATCCCAGAACCCCTAGATTTCTATAGAGTCACCTATAAAATAAAACTTCTCAAACAACCCCTCCAACCCAGGCACTGACGCCGGCTTCGCCGGCTGTGCCCGGGTTGTCGGGGACTGAGGCTGAGAAATGACTCTGGGTGTACTTCCCGCCTGCAACTCTAATTCGCTCGGTTACAAGGCTACTCTAGTCTTGTGACGTGTTTTAAGCTTATATGTGAAAATCTTGGTGTACCTTTTCGTCGTGACCCCAAACCAAGGTTTGGGGAACAGATTTCTAGCTTGCTCTAATCTTTATTAGATTGAATTCGTGTATTATAAATTACAATAATCCGAATTGTATTATAATTCGGATCGTTTTGGCTTGAAGTATGAATAAAGTATACATGTGGTCCTGCATTATGATAAAGTAACTTACTTGAAACGCAATTACTTCGAGGTACAGTCTTTCAAACCGATGTGATCGCAATTATAGTACTCTGAACCTGAAAATAGTTTCGGGTAAGCTTACTTACCCACAGGTTGGTTTGTAGTACTGCATTTCGTGTGATTTGCGGGCTTGCCGTTAAGGAGATCATGCTTGTGGAACAAATGACGCGGGGTCGCATGGGGAGTTCTACAATGAGTGAGGTGCCGAAGTGAGTCCCAAGGCGCTGCTGTTTATAATGGACAAGGTTCAGCTCCCTGACGCTGGCGCTGGAAAGGGAGTAGAAACTGGCTCCTTGACGCTGCCGCATCCGTTTTCGAGAAGGAAGCAAGTTTCGGCTCCCCGCACCATCGCATCAGTTATGCTGGTGCTTGCCAAACGCTAGTATTGAGAATGAGTATTTAGCAAATCGATATATACTCGCATAACTTGTATATATTAAGATTTAATTCACGAAATTGGGTAAATAGGAGGAAGCTCAATTATTGTTTCGTGCGACTTTTGCTAGTAAGAATCTAAAATCGGCTCTGTGCGACATCCCTGTAAAATTTGGATAGTAAGCCGGAATCGATTCTTGCTCAATGTCACTATTAGTCTGATAGGTTGGGAGAGGTGGCTATGTTTAGGGCAGCAGGCATCGGCAAAATCTGAAAACAGATGATAGAGAAACAGTAATTGATTCGCGAGAGGGTCAAAAGAAGATCCCTTAAGCACCACTCAGCTAACTCATCAGCGTGTTCAGGGCTCAGGGCTCAGCTCAGGTTAAGGCAGCGACTACTCAAGTCCAAAGACGGAAATGAACTTTGGTGGGCTCACTTGTCGTCTGAGATTATAGTGGTAATCTCAGACGACATTTCTTCAGATTCGCTTCCAACGCGATTAATTAGCACCGCCGCTCTGCTCAGGCGCTACTCACCCTCGCCTCACCCTCGCCTCACCCTCTGCTTAGGCTACCTAGGCTATGCTACCTATACTCAGTCACGTTCTTGCTTTCCCTTTCGGCAACCAAGCATTCTTTGCTCTTATTCGGTTCTACCTTGCGAATGTTGTCAACTCTACACGACGATGTGGGAGACGGAATCGGCTCCTAGGGTTCCCAAACTGGAACCCCTAAAAAAAAATCATGTCATACCATCTCAATCCTCACCGGGTTGGTGGAGAGCGATTTTGAACCCCGAGAAGCGAGCACCTTGGTTTGTAGGACTACAGCTTGGAGTGATCGCGTCTAAAGTACTATACTTTAGTGTACCATAGGATATCCTACATGCCTTATTTATACTACCGGTCCGAGTACTCCCAATTGCAGTACTGCAGCTTGGACTATTCTAGCCTATAGTACACAGATTTGGACTAGTAAAAATCAAAACACATCGAAACCTCATACTAAAACTTGGAATAGTATTACTTGTAGTACAATAATCTATACTATAAGACGTTTAGCGGGCGCGGGTTCCAGCGCCAGTGTGCGTTGTGAGTTTAGAAGAGCTTGATCAGGCCGAGGCGCACTCGCTTCGTCGAGACTATTCACAAAAAAAGATGGGAGATGTCTAATAGTGATGCTACTAGACCAAGAAAAGTCTAACGATTTAGACGTTCTTGGGAAGCACTAGTCGAATACATCAAATTTGAAGGTACATTGCCTAGGCATCATAAGCAAGTATTCCTCAGCCAGGGACGAACTCGAAACTACACAAAATAACTGCCCGTAAAACACAGCATAATAATTGAGAATAAGTTGCGTGATAGCCCTGCACCTTGAGCAGAACGGTGATTGTGTTACAGCCACGCTGTTTCAGGTCTAACTGCAACTCTAATAACTCGATCGACAGGAAGTTAACAACTATCAAACCATTCCTTGCAGCTGAACTTCCCACCAGCGAGCACCCCATGGTCCGGGATGATCTGGGTTTTCCATACTTCCCTTCTTTCCTTTCCCAGCTAGAATGAAAAGAAAGGACCGTCCCGACTTTAGAACAGGAATATAAAGGAAGGCCGGAAAACGTCCAGGAAAGGGTGGTAAAGTAGTTGGCCTAGGAGTTTCGACAATGCATAGTGTAATGCACTGCTGTGGTTTGTATACGCCGTTGGAAAGTGCGAAATATAACCTGCATCAACATTAAACGTATTAGATCAAAGGACGAGCAATAAAAGATCAGAGCTCATATGCACAACTCGATCCTACCATCTGATCCTCAAAACACCCCACGAACCCCGCTAGAGATAACAATTCAAGGCATCCGTCCCGCCAGCGTCCTCGAAATCGTAGTAAAAAAAGAGTCCTGGCTTGCAGCAATAGCCCACATCCAGATGGACAGGTCATCTGGCCTCCTTTCGAGTAGCCAGATCTTGCTCGTCTGTCCATCAGAGCATTACGCAACACGTGCCCGTCTTCTCCTCCTGTGATTTGGACGCTTTCGCCCGGCGTCTTTCCAGCCGAGCGTGCCCAAGCAGGGTTCGCAACTCGGCCTCTTGTTGGGCGAAGGCCCTAGTGAAAACCTCTTCGGGTGACCATAGGCTATCGTTCGGAAACCTGCGATGTCCAATGTTGATATATCGCACGGGCTTTGGACACCCGGTATCTGGATCGGCTCCCTCCTCTAGAAGCATCTTGATAATTGGTACCCAGCGATTAAGGATGTGTTCCTTTTGCGGACCGGGTTCCATTTCCGACACGACGACGTTCAAATATGAGAGCGCGTTCTGCCAGGGACTTGTACCTGAGTTAGTCTCGCATTTGTTGGGTCTTGCCCCGTATTTCAGCAGCGTGGTTACCACCCCTACACTGATGAACGTCTCTGTTTCTGTGGGTGGAACTAGCGCATAATCTAACAATGACCTCTGATATTTCCAGCTGGATGCAATGCTGTAGAATTCGTCGAGCAGTTCTGGTTGACTTATCTGTGTATCCCGTTCTGCTCGACGGACCCAGGTTATGGCGTCTTCGATCAGTCCCCACGGCGGCCGTTCGGTGATCGTCATAGCATCTAGGGCTTTTAGTATAAGGAGGTGTGCCTTGAAAATGGCCTGGCTGGCATTGAATACATTGTTCTGTTGACTACCCGAGCGGTCTGCTAGTTTCTCGCGAGTCCCCCACAGCTCTAGATAGTCTTTGATCGTTCGGTGGATATACGCAACTGTCATATCAGGAGAGACTGTTGTTGTGTAGGGATCTTCATTTCCGTACTGTATCTCGAGAAGCCCTCCACATCGGGTTCTGAGGTGAATCTCCATGTTTTTGCACCGAGTAGTAATCTTCTCCTTGGTCATGAACCCGGATTTCGCCTCTAGTGCCAAAGTTGCATCTCTTTCTGAAGCGAATGAAAGTAACAAAACAGAAAGTTGTTTCGTTTCTCGCCAAGAGAAGAAGTCGTCGGTCTGATCTCGAAATGCAGTCCCGATGAGCTGAAATAACTGCGCAGTCTCTTTCTGGTAGACTTTGTCAACTTTGAAAACCATATGTTCGTAGAGATCATCTAATTCCGGAGGCAATTCTCGCAGTCGCATCTGCAGGTAGGATATATCATCGTGTTTACCAAGTCCACTTAGCAAGGATGAGACCACCAGTCTCACCCAAAGAAAGACCCCACTTGCTGCAGTTCCAATCTCTTCGATAAGTTCTTTAGTTGCTTCAGGCTCCTCTTCGCTAAGGTGCTGCATCCTAGCGTTCTTCTCCAGTCTGTCGTGAACATACTTCCTCATGTCCGGGATGGTCAAGTCCTGAAGTCTGAGTCCTGGTCGAGTTACAAAGGTATCTTCAAATGCTTGGTGGGGTCGGCTAGAGCAGCAGATCTTGACGTTGTCAGACATTGATGCTTTGCCAAATAGATCAGCAATTTCTTCGTCGTCTCCCTCGTACTCGTCTAGCCCGTCGATAAATAGACAGAGCTTCAATGGGACGGTTTTCTGCGCAATGAGTGTCTTGAAAGCCATTTTCAAAGTCGATAGTTGCCAGGACTCGAGCTACAGCCTCTTTAACTTGGATTCTATAAAGGAGAAAGGATATAAAAGGAAAAGCTCACTGGACACTGTCGAGCTTGGCATTTGGCGGAATATCTCGCGCCCCATTGCGCAGGCAGTACCGTAGGGATGAGCTCTGGATGTTGACCTAAAATTTCGTATAGCAATGATCGAAAAAGCCCCGCTTGAGAGCACTGTTGTTTCGAGCCACTATTCCAAAAGAAGAAGGCACTAGTACAGAGCTTCAGGTTCTCCGCCCAGCGTCTCAAGAGCGAGGAAGTCTTATTATGGTTCACGATGTACTTCATCAAGGTGGACTTTCCAGATCCGGCTTTGCCATTGATCCAGTAGAGTCCCGTGCCAGATTCAAGCCAAGCGCCGAAGTCGCCCCATCGCCTGCCCTCAGCGTATTGAACTGTATTTTGAAATGGTCGAAAGATCCAGTCGAATGTCGTTGCATGGGACTCGTCTACAGCTTCAAATCGCTCGCTCATTGATTGAAACCGCAGACTTCCCAGAGTCTCGGTCGGAATAAGATTTTGTATCTCCTGATCTGCCGTTCTGACTTGAGCCAAGAGCGGATTACTCTCTTCAACGCTTGAAGAATCTGCAAATCGTTGAAAAACATCGACAATAATCCTCTTATTCGCATCTTCCTGCGTTGCGATAACCACCTCGGCGCGATCCAGAAGTGTAGAAAGCGCGGATATCTGTGCTTGGAGTCCGCGATCGTCTGAGGCAGCATGATTGACGAGAGAGGTGACGAGTTCCTTGTTCGCAGCATCGAGACGGTCGAATCGTTCGGATTGTTTAAGAAACTGCGTGTCGATCTGTGTACTAGGAGTGGGGAGGAGGAGGTTAGTACTAGAAATGCAACGCTATATCTCACAGCACCTAGAAGAAAGCCGACCTGGAACTCGAAAACTTACCTCAAGGACCTAATGACGCGTGAGTCTATCTGCCTTCGATACTCCTTTAACTTGTCCTGGATAGTAAGTAGGTCCTCTCTCGTCTATATGCTCTGAAATGCCGTTGTGAGAGTCGGCCATATTATCGCCTTGTTTCGCTTGTTCTTTTGCGGAACCTTGAGCTTATTTAACTGTGCGAGCAGATCGTGAGCCAAACCGTCGCAACCTTTGCATATGCTCTCCAACAGGAGGTCGTCTTCGGTCAGGGTCGCAGATCCCCCAGGTGCAAGCAACGTTCGTCGCAATTTGATTGTATAATCGAGGATGTCGTTCGCAGCCGAGGCTGCTTGCCCATGAACGTCGAGCTCGCTCTTCGTATACAATTGCCGGCTTGCGGATATCAGCTTGCAACTGAAATCAACGAATTGCACGACAGTCCCAGCCACGGAGAGAGCTGTTAGGGGATCCATCGGAAATTAGCATCTCTCAAACGTAGAGATAATGAGATCTTCTATGGTCGAGGATTTGGTCGTTCGTGAACGGTGTGTTGCCAGCCTCGTTGGGGCCAAGCCACAGGACTACCCCTGTCGTCACTGTGGGATTGCCCATCTTGTATATCCCTTTCGAATTACAAGCGCATTTCTTTGCGAGCAAGCGCGTCCAAATTGAATGCGTACGGGGAAAGTAAATGTTATTTGATGTGTGTACGAGTAGCCCGTACCAAGAGCCTTTTTTTTTTTTCCAAAGAGTTCTTGCCAAGTCTAGCTCCCTGTCGCCTGCTCGCCCCTGTTTTACGAAGTACTGTCCTCCCAGCTGCATAGCCCCGCGCTGAGTCACGTGCGATTGGATCCAAATCGGCTCGGCAAGGACCCTTGATAAGTGTGGTAGGGGGAGCGAGAACGGATACCTTCACGACATCTTGATAGGTTTAAAGACTTGGCTGTGTTCCAGACAATAGGCATTTGCAAGATTTATATTTAGGCACCGCGGAAACTATAACCGATTCGCGAGGGGGCCAAAAGAAGATCCCCTGAGCATGATCCAGCTAACTCATCGGGGTGCTCAGGACTTAGGGCTCAGCTCTGATTAAAGCAGCGACTGCTCAGGTCCAAAGACAGGAATGGACTTTGGTGGGCTGAATTGTCGTCTGAGATTATAGTGGCAATTGAGGTTGCTGGTGATTGGTTTCGGTTATGTAAGAGAGGGGTTGATCAAAATGGCACTCGTTTCTACGAATAAAGCTACATGATACAATTTGGAGCTCAATGAAAAAGATGTTGTTAGAAGTCAAGATGCCGACCACGATATTTGAATGTAAGGAAAAGAAGAGGGAGGATCGGGAAGGCTGTTATGCTCGCTTACTAGCGTATGCTACGCATACCCCACTGTGAAGTTGTTTGCACCCCTTCGCGTCTTGCATGTCTTACTCCTTTTCATTTTACCAATCTACTGACCTAAGAAAAATTCTCTGATGTTTTCAATCACCACATCTGGCTTCTCTTCGGGGATATAATGACCACTGTCAACTACATGTCCACTGACTTCGCCCTCACACACGCTTCTCCATTCTGCAAGTGCATCGAAGCACTTCTCAATCACCCCTTTCTTTCCCCACAGCACTCTTAAATGGCACTGAATCTTTCTTCCGTCTTCAATGTCCTTTCTTGCTTCGTCTAGGTCCACACTTGCACTAGCACGATAGTCTTCGCACATAGAATGTACTGCTGCCGGGTCCTCGAGTGCCTTCACATATTCCTCCCACGCCTCGTCCAGGAAAGTCGACCGATCCGTTCGAGGGCCAGTAAACATTTCTAGAAATTTTCTTGGATTTCCAGAGATCAGTGTCTCTGGCAAAGGACTCTTCTGTATCAGGAAGAACCAGTGGAAATATGATTTTGCGAAATCGAAATCTGTCTTGGTGTACATGGCTAACGTGGGACATATGTCTAGGAAGATGGCTTTCCGGACCCGCTCAGGATAGTTGACACACAGTTTATGAGCAACTCTGGCACCTCGATCGTGAGCACATACGAAGTACGACAAGTGACCAAACATTGCCATTATTCGAGCGGCGTCACGTGCCATTGCACTTTTGGCGTAATGCTCGACACCAGAAGGCTTACTGGAAGCTCCATAGCCTCGGAGGTCGATTGCTATGATTGCAAAGTCGTTTTTGAGTTGCGCAGCTACTCTATCCCAGATGCGATGTGTTTGTGGGAAGCCGTGTAGTAGAAGAAGTGGTGGACCGGCTCCACCTCGGACGCCATGAATGGCAACTCCAGGGTCGATTGTGTAGGTAAATGAAACGAAGCCTTCCAACATATTGGCGAATTTGACTTCATCACACTTTTTCCAGCAAGATTTACTCACTATATATGCTTTTCAATCGTCAGTTTTCGGGACTCGCGGCAGCAATTCGATCGGCCATCTGCTGGTTAAGGTTAGTAAGCTTTTAATGTTACTCCGGGATCTTAGTGTGCATGCGGGAAACGTTTCTCCGTGTGGGGTCAAATCCGTAGTCGTCTGTAGACCTCATTTCTGACCTCACATGGAGACAAACTATAAAGTCCCATAGCATATTCTTTCCTGCTTTCAATCAATTTCAAGCATATTTCCTTGGAATCAACACCAACTCATCGCTTCCAATTATGTCGACAATAAACACTTCACTCGAGCAAGCGTCCGTTGTAGCGGCGCCGAGCAAAAGTCACAACTATCGTATTGCTTCTATCCCAGCAGATGGAATTGGTCCCGAGGTTGTGAGTGCAGCAATCGAAGTCGTGAATAAGCTTGCACAAACTATGAAGACTTTCAAGATTGAGTTTACGCACATTCCTTGGGGCACAGATTACTACAAGAAACATGGCCGGTATGTGGATGAGAATGTCTTGGATGTGCTCAGAGGCTATGATGCATCTCTCTTCGGCTCTGTTGGCGCTCCAGGTAAGTAGCTATAAAATCTCACCCGATTTACCCTTACACATTTTATCAGACGTCCCCGACCACATCTCACTTTGGGGTCTTCTTCTCGCCATTCGAGGCCCCTTGCAACTCTATGCCAATGTTCGACCTGTTCGTACATTTCCAGGCACTCAGTCACCTCTACGGTCCGCCAAAGCCTCAGACATCGACTGGCTCCTCGTCCGCGAGAATTCCGAAGGCGAAGTAAATCACATCCCCCTCCTTCCAACCCACTCGCTCACAAAATCCAGTACGCCGGTCATGGAGGACGAAGCCACGTCGGCCAACCCTGGGAAACAGCCACAGAAGTAGCAATCTTCACCCGCGTCGGCATCGAACGCATAATGCGCTTCGCATTCACAGCAGCCTCCACTCGCCCCAAGCGCCACCTCACAGTCGTGACCAAATCCAACAGTCTCCGCTACGGCCTCGTTCTCTGGGACGAGATCGCCCTCTCGGTCTCTAAAGATTTCCCGTCCGTCACCTGGGACAAGATGCTCGTAGATGCGATGACGATCCGCATGGTTCAGAATCCTGCTAGTTTAGATGTTATTGTGGGTACTAATCTACACATGGATATTCTTAGTGATCTGGCGGCGGCGCTGGCGGGTAGTATTGGGGTGGCGCCGAGTAGTAATTTGGATCCCACGAGGAAGAATCCGAGTCTGTTTGAGCCGGTGCATGGGAGTGCTTTTGATATTACTGGGAAGGGGGTTGCGAATCCGGTGGCTACGTTTTGGTCTGCTGCTGAGATGCTAGGGTAAGTAACTGGTCTCTTCATTTGTTTCATGGGATTGGATGATGATGCTTGGGACCCATATTAAATGTCTTCCGTCAGGACTTGAGATTATGCTAACTCCTTGCAGATGGTTAGGGGAGGAAGAGGCGAAGGAGAAGCTGATGAGGGCTGTTGAGAATGTTTGCGAAAAGGGGATTTTGACAAAGGATTTGGGAGGTACGGCCATGACTAAAGATGTCACAAAAGCTGTTTGTGACGAGATTGAAAGGCTGGGATAGGGGTATCACGTGAGCTGTCTATTGTACCAGTAGTTGTCAAATGAGAACGTTTGTCTGCATTGTACGATATACTTAGAGTCTATGTAGTCTTGAGAGTATATATCCGACTTGTGGGGATCCTTGTCGCAAGACTCATGCAAGCTCATCATTGCTACCGACATTACGTGTGTATGTTGCATCGCCCATGCTCGCTAAAGATATATTCTGGAAGATGAGCGATGAATTTACGAACTTGAGAGGAGAAAGAAACATTCACATTGCTCATGGAAAAGATGAGACTGGGGGTTGGAAAGAAAGAGGATAGACGATGAGACATAGATTGCGTTCTGCTGCAAAAGCCCTGCAGAAGATAATGACATCTCGAAATTGTGCTAATACATACACGATTTCTGATATATACTATATACCATCTCTTCAAATCCCTTACTCCATGCTCATCCCATATATAACACTGCCCCAAAATAATCTACAGCCAACTAGCAAACAGGCCAAAACCTCCCCTGAATATCTAACACCATCTCGAAAAATTCCTCTAACCCTTTGATATCATCCTCCCATCCTCCACCTCTCATTCTTCCCTTTTTCGCCTCCAGTAAATCTTTTCGCTCCAAGAATCGACTGTCCCTATCTCGCTTGATATACTTGTCTGCCCAAAGATCATCTACTAACTTGCCTAGCTCTTCTACATACGACACAGATTCGTCACTAGTGAACTCCGGGAGGAGATAGACTCTGATGGCGCCTCGATCTGGTTCTGATTTGCGTTTTTGAGAAATCGAGACTGATGCTGGACGGGTTTGCGGGCGAGTAGATAATGTAGCTTTAACTTCCAGCCAAGCATCAAGATGTGCCTATTCAAATCATCTCAGTCAGTAAACACTCCTCTTCACATCTAGGAGTAGAAACATACCTTCTCTCGTGCAAAAAGCATAACTAAACCCGCCAAAACACTCCTCTCCCTCTTCTCCACCGCCCCACCAATCTCCCCAAACAACCTCGTAAACATAGTCAGCGCCGTCATCTCCCCTCCCTCCCCATGCTCCGCTTCACTCCCATCCAAATCAATCCCCGAAATATCCTCACTAACCTCCTCAAACAAATCCAACGTCTTTCTCGTCCTCGCAATGCTCGCCACCAAGAAACCAACAGCTCGCTCCCCGACATCTCTATGCACATTCTCCACCACCTCCGAAATCCGCTCTTCTTCCTCTGGTGGATCCGTCGCCGAGTTCCCCAAGTTAGAAAGTCCCACGCCCGCGGATCCGGACGCGGTTTTCATCCCGACACCCGTTCCGATTCCGACGATGCCGCCGAGCACCATGCCCATCCCGAGATTCGCCACTCCGCTCGCGACTTCGACGCCAAGGTTGGCCCCCATTCCGGGCCCGAAATCTTTTTGCCCCTTTTGGGCTTGCGCTTTGCGTTCGCGTTCTGCTTTTTCAATTTCTTGGCGCATTTTATCGCGGATGCCGCCGCGGCGTCGGGAGACGAGTCCGGATGGTCTGGTGGGGAGAATGACGTTGGCGAGGAGGAGGGAGAGCAGGCGCAGGGTGGAGTGGAGGTATAGGCGTTCTCTGGCGAGGTATTGGGAGAGGAGGGCTGTGTTTGCTTTGCAGGTGCTGACGGAGCGGAGGAAGGGCGAGTGGGTGGCTAGGTAGAGCTTGCGGGGTGCGTTGCCGAGTGAGAGGAGGTGGGTTGATAGGGAGCGTGGAGCGAGCGATCCCAGAGATGATGGGTTGGATGTTTTGCGTCGGGATGGATCTGTGGTTGTTTGGGCCTTGAATTTGACGGAAAGGGCACGCTTGTGTGCTGGTTGCGTTGGTCTGGGCTCGGGTATGGGAGGTAAAGCAGTTTCTGGAGGCGGGCTTGGAGTTTTCGCTGGAGGTGTCAGTGCTGAAGGTTCTATGACTACAGTCTCTATGGTAGCTTGGGCTTTGAGGTTCAATGGCGCTGGTTGTAGACTTGGGCGGACCTCAATCAGAGGAGTGAGTGGTGTTTTAGGATCTGATTCATCTCCAGAGGATGGAGGACTTGCGTCCGCAGCACCGAGAGATTCTAGAAGGCCACCAGGCGTCATAGCGATCGGACTTGCGCTGAGAACGTTGTTTGCAACGTTCGTTGCCTCCAAACTATACCCCACTGGCATAGTGTCGCTTGATCTCTGTGATGATGGAATGTCGATAACACGAAGATACAAAGGTTCTTGTAATTGAGAATTTGGAGTAATTGCATTCAGAGGAGATTGAACTGGACTATCAACCGCTTGGGGAGCCCACGATTTGGGAGATTCGACATTTTTTGTTGGGCTGTTGTAGGAATCTTTTCGTACTGGCGATGGCACTTGGACTGGAGATGTTGCATCGTTCTGTGATTCGAGGGAATCTTTTCGAACTGGCAACGGTACCTTGACCGGAGATCTCACTGCTTCCTGCCATCCACGAGAGTCCCTTCGGACTGGTGATGGTAATTTGATTGGAGGCGGGCTGACGGGAGATTTGGTATTGAAACTTCTTGCTGCCTTCGGAGACTTCAATATAGAAGGACGGCGAACAGTTTCTACTCGAGCAGCGGTGCTAGCCGCCCGACTCGGTAGTGGTGCTTGAAAATCTTGAGGCGGGTCTCTGAGATCTTCTGATGGACGCCTCTTTGGTCGTGGATTACTGGGAAGTGCTGGGACGAATTTTCGAGGTGTCTTGGGAGGCAATATTGGGGACGTCGTTGGCTCTGGCGGCTTGGTGACCGTTTTTTCCACTTCTGGTGTTGACGGTGCCGTAATTTTCGGCGGAGTGATCCATTGTCTTTCGTATGGTGCCGCCATTGGAAATCATGTACTGTACTATACAAAGACAGAAAGACAAAGCTGAGAGCGAGAAATTGTCGGGAGGATGAGGAAGGGCGGCATACAATGACATATGAGAGCTTCAAAAATTATCAAACAAGGATGAGGACGGCACGGGTAATAGTGACATCCCTTGAGCCTCAGTGCGACAGTAGAAAGTGGGACGTGGGATTTAAGGTTCCTCGTATGATTCAGGCTTGACATCGGCTCAGTTGGAAGGATGCTGAAGCAGTTCGGAATCTGAAACGAAAGGTCAGAGCTTTCTGAGCTGATCGTCCGATGTGTAACTCGAGCTTGAACGAGTCGGAGAAGATTGCGAAGATTTGAGACCGCACGGAAGAACAGAATGGAAAGAGTTGTGACGGGCTCTACTGATAGAAGGGGACAATCTTTCGACTCTCTGGCGATAGTGAAAGAATGTTGGTTCTGATCCCTCTTCCTTTGGTTGGAAACATCATCCAGGACTGTGCCAGAAGGCATTTTTGAAGCGTAACGGAAAATGGTAGACGGCCATGAAGCGATATGCATCAACCTGATCCACAAAAGCTTGACTGTGCATCAGAAGAAGAAATTATGTGGAAACATCGCGGACGACGATCAAGAAGAGATGAGATTGAGATCTGGGAGAATTGAAGTTCCAGGAGACCCGGAAAAGGGCAGCCCGGTTTCTGGAAACGCCAATCATTTGGCGAGACCCCTGTAGGCTCACTAGTTCAGACACGCCCACGACGTCGGAATGCTTCATCAACAACTTCATTGCCGTCTGTACTGTAACTCTGCCGCGTCGACGTGATCGAATGTAAGAGCCCTTGATGTGCCAACAAGTATTGTCTGCCACTTGGCCAACAGCCATGACGAATTCCAATTCATTTTTCACACTGCAGCATGGGCCACTGCACAATGCTACGATGTCCACGATACTCTCCTCCCCAAGAAGATCCAGACCGGCAAGAAACGGTGCAGTCCCCGACTCTACCGGCGGTATCACACACGACTGAGAACAATCTGCACGGAGACATTCTATAGGATAGAGGGTTTGGGTGCAATTCAATTGCATACCAAGTTGCATTGTGACGTCTTGGATACTTCGTCCATGAATGTCTACAGACACGAAAGAAAACTGGCAGAGGCCTATTCGACGTCTTTCCGAATTCCATACTCGAGACTATCAATACCAGAATGCCTTCCATTAGAACGGACTCTGTAGAAAGTCTCGAATCTTCTCTGCAGCCTCCTCCTCCCACATCTCCGATATGTCTAGATTGAGGTGGAATATCTTCACATCAGGATACTCGTGAATCTTCTCGGCATCAATGTACTCGAAGTTTTGTCGGAGTCGGGCTAGAACATCGACATTGATCAAGTCTGTCTTGCCATACAACAACCAGCCCTTCGAGAGTCACTACACAATCTTCGTTTGTTGACCTCAGCATCGCAGTGTAGGTTGATTGTGAAAAGGGGGACATTCCTTGCACGAGCAATGTTGGCGTGCTCCTCGAAGCGTCTAAGTTCTCTGTTATCGTTTGATATGCAATCTGTCATGATTATCACCAACTCCTCCCCCTTAAGTCTCTTGAGTTCTTCGAACGCTGCGCGCCGGATCTTGTCTCGGACTTGAGAACATCCACGGTCGATTGCTTGAGACAATTCGACGATAAGACCTCTATTGAGAATGCGAGACTCCATGTTCGACGGTAGAATCTTTCGCAGGGCTTTGGCGATAGTGTGCTTCCCAACTCCCGGATAACCGTTCAGAAGAACAACGCATGATTTAATTTGATCTTTTCTTTGGAGCCACATTTCTCTCGATGATGCTTGTCAAATTCTCTCCTTCGAAGGTGGTCCGGGATTTTGAGAATGGGAGAACAAAAAAGATACGTTATGGGCCTCTTTCACACGGTTTCCGCTGGATTAAAAGTCGTAAGTATGTATGCGATCCGTTGATAATGTTACCGGAACTGAAGTGAGTCGAAGTTCGAGTCCACAAGTAGGTTCCAAAGGAGGATACCACGTATGGAAGCTGCGACCAAGACCACAATCGAACCTGCCTTTTCCATGCTAGTAAATTGCACAATTTTCAATCTCGGTCGTGGACTGTCTCTCTGATTCATTGCTTCTGAAAGATTTTCCAAACGATCCCAGAAAACGAAGTTAGCTTCTTTTTGATTATCTACATGTTCCGCGTTAGGAGAGGAATCCTCCACTGAATGTTATCCTTCACGACCTCTCAATCACATCTTGAAACCAATCCATGACCTTTTGGTTCATGAAAGCAAACGCACCCACATGACAATGTTCTCCTGCTCCGTCTTCTGCTGTTAATTCAGTCAACGTCGCCTGGTCACCAAACACCTCTTTCATCTTCTCTGGCTGACCGCCAAAAAAGATATCGTCCTTAGCCAAACCAACCCAGATTGGGCACTGGACCTTGCTCTCTATACCCTTCAGGGTCATCTTCTTCGTCCGTTCCAGGAAGTCCATTGCACTATCCGTCTGGAAAGACCACAGTCCATGTCCGACTCCCCATTTCACTGTTGACGGAACTCCTGGATCTTTCAACCACTCTCTAGCCGTCGAATCCACATCACCACCCTCATCCGCAACCTTTACCAACGGGCCCGCCATCTTCGTAAACGCCTCTCCAACATCATAAACCCCATCAACAGCCATCACCGCCGCAAACCTATGCTCAAATGCCGCCGCTCTCACACAGAGATACCCCGCCATCGAAAATCCCACCAATCCCACCTTCTTCACATCAACATCCTCTCGCGTCTCGAGATAATCCACAACTGGCGACACGACCTTCTCCCACTCATTAATAAACCCCAATCCCTGGTCTCTTACCACAGTACACTGGCCTGGTCCCTCATACGTACATACATTCCAGCCTCTCTCTAACGCTGCAAAGCCGCACGAATGCAACATCTCCTCTTGCGCGCCATCAAATCCGTTCCCTAAGATCAATGTCGGTTTCCGTCCTGCTCCTTCCGCCGCATAGAAGATCAGCGGAACATCAAATCCATCTGCTTTTAACAGCTTCCTCTCTCCAGGAGTAGGCAATAATCTAATTGCCTGATCGAACGCAAATGTTTGTTTCTTCCAAAGCTCATCGATTCTGGGGTCAGATTTATTCCCATGCAGATAGAAATCTGCGGAGCGGAAATAAGATGAGGCTGCGAAGAAGGCATCTCGTGCCGAGACCTGATATTTTTTCGAGTCAAGGGAAATGGCTCGATCAAGTGTGCGACTTGCAAGGGCAGTGAAAACTGAGGAGAAAGATTCGAAATCTCCTGGGGTAATTTTTGAGGCAGCGACGAGGACTTCGTTGATGTCTGTGCCATGGTAACGGGACAAGGCCAGAGCCCGCAAAAGCTCAAAATGGAACGATTCGTCGGAGGAGAGTGAGAACATCTTGATTTAAGTGGTCTAAGGGACTGACAGATGATGACTCAATTTGGCTCTCTGAATACGACGACGAGGCGATATACTTATAACAAGCAGTGGCGTGTCCATGAACTGACCTCTCCATCTCGATCTCCCCATCACGGCTATTACGGAGCCCGAGATTTTCGCACATATCTTCCTTCCCAGAATCATCATCCTCACGGACATACAATAGCTACAGCATTACCACTCACTTCACCACTACTCTGGAGTTCTGGTACACCGAACAATCCCGGAATGAAGATCACGGCCCAACTTTATTCCCGTATTGCCGCATCACCACTTCGGGTCTTTCTTCAGCCTCCGGGACTGAAACTCTTTATCATGCTTGATCTTATCTGATGGAAAATTCCAAATAGAAAAAACTCCCGGATCTTATTCAGAACCAGATTCCGAAGAAAGCCATACTAAAATTCTACTCTCTGCTGAACCCCTGGAAGTCGTGATGGTAACGTGAGTCATTTATAGAGTGCGTTGAGCCATATCTTCCAACACATTACCCTCTTCTCTGGCCTTGAGGTTTGACTGCTGATTTACTCAACTCAGGTGCTATGTAAGACATAATATCCTCCCGTTTGAAGTTATGCTGAATGTGTGCTTTTACAGCCAGGGATTTGTGTCTCGCATCTCAGAATACTTCTCCCAATCACAGGACGTAAATGTCGCTTGAGCTCGAGACGGAGAGGCATCCTTGTAAGGATAGACAGTGCACTTGCGCGGCGCAGGCCGTTCGGTCCGCCGGTTCACCACCAACTGCGTATGAGTAAGGATCAATCATACCTTTTGCTTGTCTTCATGGACTCAAGATCCGACAAGATACGCTTCAAGCGCCTCATCATTTGCAAGCCTGAGCTGGAATGACTAAACCCTTGTGTGAGAAATTCTCTCGATCATCACCAATGGAATGAATCTGGAGCATTGGAACATTGGAACATCGACAATTACCGTGCACAAAAAGAAATTTCGCCTACCGACTCCCAAGGCGGAAGTTGTGGCTGGCTGCGTTAATTGTCCATAGGCCGAGTTTCAGAACAGACAACAAAATTTTGCATCACGAAGATGGATACCGGCCTTCCGACGTCAACAAAAAGAGGGTCTTGCACCAATAAAGTTATTTGATCTCAAAGCGCCACATGAGGGGAAGTAAGAATGCGCTTAAGCAAATCTCACTCAACAACCACCCAACAAGACTCTTCGTAAGTTGACGTATGTCAACATGGATTGACTAATTTCCCCCCAAACATCACCATACTAATAGCTTCTTGCATTAACTCGTCGATGGCGTATCTGGTCAATGCATTTGAAAACTTTCTAAAACAAAGTCTCATTAGCACGGAGGAAACCCGAATGCGACCCCACCCCCACACCTTGCTGGGCTTTTCGTCCCGTTCTTGTCCCGCTGTACGCTTTCCTTCTTTTGTGCTAGACTTCCCTTGATCGCCTTTGCAGGGCCCTTCGGAAGCTAGCCGCAGATCACTTCACCAACTCGTCAACCTCATTTGAATTGTCACCAACCGACTCACTAATGCAGCTCATGAGAAATACAAATCTGATGCAGACGCCGCATGCACGTTTGTGAGCTGAATTGATCGAAAGCGTACGAAGCGCGGGCAGTACTGCGGGCGGAAGAATCGGCTGCCTCGGCGCTGGCATCAAGTACCAGTTTCTTTCGGACAAAGCCTTTGAGCTATTCTCGTGGATCAAAGGAGATTCTGATACCCGAAACTCTATGCAGCTCGGGCTCGCCGGCCAATGACACCCAATCGATCGATATGCGGCTAGTGCCGTGTCTCACTGTAGAGAGCGTCAGTAACGTTGTTGCTCTTCTTCAACTGGCCTTCTGTTTTAGGCGAATGCGTGTCTCAAAGAGTATGTTCTGTCATGACCATCCTATGACCTATGACAGCTGTGCTTCAAAGAAGGAAGTCTATTGGCGCCAAGCGGCAGAGCTTCGAGCTGTGCATGCAAGCTCTAGCAGCGACCAAAGCTCCTCTTCCTCCAACCTCAATTCACGCATGTTATATGCAGTTCTGGGTGCCCAATGCATTGCGTGTATAATTACGGGATAGCAAGTCCGCGGGCGTGCAAGTTGAGAGCTGAAAGTTCTAGCTACCAGGGAGATGCTCCACGTCAACACATGTTACTCGCAATTTCCGGCAAAAGCTGCCTTTTTGCCAGTACTTTGAGAAGGTTCATGATCTCTTGCATTGGCGGACAATCAAACGATGGCGTCCAACTGCCTATAGGAAAGATCTTCAACGTGAACTGGAAGTAGACAGCTGCAACGTTGATCATTCTATCACACTCTACCCCGAATTCGACAAGCCTACTGAAACAGCTTTCCGCAAAGGAGGATGCTAGATTCCGAAGCTTGAGATTGGTCGGTCTGAACAGATAGCACTGTGGATTGTCAATCATACCCCGCTTCTGCACACAATCATAGAAGTCCTCGAAATTAAGGAGGTTGGCATAGCTCCCCAGCTCGCCCCTTTGCCCAAATCAGCGCTTCCCTCATCTCTGCTATGTTGCAAGTATCAATGTGTATTTGAGCTCTATGTATGGTTTTCGTGGGCTCAAATGTGAGTCTCGAATTGTCTAAGCATCAGAATTGCTCCTCAGATTCATCCAGTTTTCAGCGACAGAGTCCTTCTAAGGACTGCAACACAAAGCCTTGACGAAAATCTTAATTCAACCAACTTTTCTACCACCCCAACGAGCATCACAATGCCTCCTTCAGCGCAGAAAAGCCATACGAACGGCGCCAGCACCCAAGTCACAAAGGAGATCTCAAAACCTGCTACTTCGACCGTCGAGACATTTGAAGTACAACGAAATGGCGCCTCTAATAGCGATGCACGCAAAATCACCATCTTGCGCGATGCTGTTCAACGAGTAGTTGCAAACTATCGCTCTAAGTTTCATAATTCAACCGATGAATTCCTCGGTAGCTGCACAACCATTGATAAGTTCTTCGACTATGTAGCTGGAATCCGTCTGCGACAAATCCCACATCATAGTAGTAGATGGGACAAAGTCTTGAAATGGGCAGAATTCTTCGCTGCTCAAGTGTATGGATACTCAGACGAGGTAGGGCACTTCCTCGCTTCGAGCGATCGTGCCGCTTCCATCATATGGGCCAGCTGCAGATCTCTTCTTGAGGTGAGTCTTTGAAATGAGATGCTTCTTGAATCTTATTGATACCTTTGCAGCTTGGACGAGAAAACATCGATGTACTTGAGAAAGTATTTGGTGTCTTCTACAGCTGTGGCTTGACCCTAGGCGTTTTTCTTCGCCAACATGAACTTTTCCACGAGACCGAGGAATTTCAACTCATCCTTGGTAATTGCTATGCAGAACTCTTGAAGCTTGTCACGGGAATCAATTTGTTCTACAGCCGCAAGGAATCAAGTAAGTAACGCCGCCCGCCAAATTCTCGAAATTTGTGGGTTAACAGTCTGCAGGTGGGAACTTTAGTGTTCGAATCTTCAGTGAGCGCTTCAGCAGGAGCATCAACTCTTTCTACTCGCACAGCGACAGCTTTACGGATGCGATTTGGAGTACAAAAATTGGGACTTCGTCCACATCTGGAGGTAAGCTTCAGCGAAATTTCCATAGAATTGATGCTCATGCTCATGTGCATACAGATATTTCTGTTGAATTGATACGCGAGTTCTTGATTCCTCATGACCGGGTCACCAGGTTACTCACGACGACACGAACCACTCGAACTACTCGCGCAGACTTCACCTGTGAATGGTTTGATCGATATTTGACTGATTTTATGCGAAGTGGAAAGGAAAGATTGATTGTTTCTGGCAAGCCACGTACCGGAAAATCCGTTCTTGCCGAGTGGACGATAGAGAGACTTCAGACTTTAAGTGGTCGACGTGCCTCTGAAGTGATATCTTACTCGATAGGTATGTCGACGAACCTCAATCGAAAGCGTTTCAACAACTGACAATAATTTTAGATCCTGATCTGAAGAACGAACTCACGACGTTGAGTGTGGTCAAAGCCCTACTTCTGCAAATGCTGCAACTGAATGTTGGCGACAACGATCTCTATAACTCTCTCGTTCAAGCCTATGAACTTTCGCGAAAAGGCAGTCCTAGCTCTCACGTCGAGAATGCTCTGTGGACAGCTTTACAAGCTGGATTTGCAAGCGGTCGCAATCACACCATCATAATTGATGGCATCGACCAATTGAAAAGCGGGGAGAGTGATGTGAATAAGCTTCTGGGTCGTTTGGATTCTATCGTCGCGAGACATAGCAAGACGAAAGTCATCCTGTTCTCTCGCCCTTTGAGCAACACTATCACGAACGCAACGCAGAAACATGCACACTTCGCGATCACGCCACAGCACACACGTCAAGATATTCGACACTTCGCCGAGTTCTTACTTTCATCGTCGACGTCTCATACGGTGCTGAACCAGGAGGACAGAGCGACTGCGATAACCAAGTTGGCTGATATCTCAGATGGCTCCTTTGGGTGGGTTGTGCAGGCTGTCGATATTCTCAAGACGGAAACCACTTCTGGAGGTACCTTGAAGAAGCTTGATTCTCTTCCCAAGACATTGGATGCCATTATTTCGCAGGTCATCTCTACTGTGGATCTGAAGCAGCGGGACGCCAAATCGCTTCTCGCCTGGTTGCTAGTTTCGCAACGACCATTCTTGCTCACCGAGACCAAGCAACTGTTTGAGATCGACCAAGCAAACTCAACTCGTGCACCACGGAATACGAGAGTTGAAGATGATGTGATCAAAGCATTGGGTCCCTTGATCGTCATCCGAGATGGATTTGTCAGATTTGCCAATCTGGTTATCAAACAAGAGTTGGTTCATCGAGCGGCAACTGTGACCGACTTCAAGAACACAGGCGCTTTTCCATTCCATATTCAAGAAGCTCATTATGATCTCACCATTCGCTCGTTGGCATACATCAAGATGTCTCTCACTCGGCCGGCACACCCGACCACATCTCCTCTGGGCGACTATGAGCTTGATGAGCTCTTCAATCAATACGACCTTTTACAATATGCCACCAGATACTGGGCATGGCATTTCGAGGCTTCGCCAATGCATGAGCCTACAGTTCAACATAAGATCACCCAAGGCTTCAAAACCGTCTTCCCACACACAACGATGCTTCCCATTATTGAAGGCTCTTGCTTTCAGTACCAGTCAACGTATCAAGATGCAGTTGATCACCACCTTCTCGGGTTATCTCTGCGAAGATTGGTGATCGGAGAAAACACAGAGTCTGTGCTTCAGACCTTGCTTAACTTGGCTGTCTTGAAAGAGCTCACACTTCAGTCTACCGAGGTCAACGAGTACTACTATGAGGCTTGGAAGATCGCATACACTCTAAAGCTCGCCTCAATTGCGACCACTTGCGCTCATCGCTACATTGAGAGAACTTCGACTATCAAGATCACGTCTAAGTCAACTACAGCCATCCGCAGATCTGAGATGTTGGAATATATCATCATGATCTACAGGGAGACCAAAGTATCTCAAACTGAGATCTTGACTTACCTCGAGATACTTGTCACTCTCTACGTGACGATCGGCGAGACTGAAAAAGTTTCGAAGCTTCGAAGAGAAATCTACGAACTTCACGTAAAAATCTATGGCCGATCTGCTCCTCAGACTCTCCGTGCACACGGTGTGCTGGTCACTACCATCTCAACGTCTAGCAAGGAAGAAGAAGTCCAAGAGATAACAGAATCGAATTACCGAGAAGTTTCCCGCACTCTCCCTGCCACGGATCCGAAACGTCTTGCTCTAACTTGGTCAATGATTGACATTTACACAAAACGCAAAGACACCAGACGCGTTGAGGAGCTTCTCGTATCTCTTTGGCAAAGCTGGACCCGTCATGCCCACACTCACAAGGACAGTAAGACTCAGCAGCAGAGAATCGACATTGCCCTTCGATATGTGGAATTCTTGAAAATTCATGATCGGAAAGCTGAGGCGGAGAACATCCTTCGTGGCGTTGCGACGGATCTGGAACAATCAGACACCGAGGATGAGGAAATCATCAAGCGCACTAGAGTCATTGGCAACGAGCTGACTGTGCTTGGGTCTGTTGCAGCTGCACGTGGAATCTTTCAAAGAATATGGGCATTCTATGTGAAGACAGGAAAGACGAACACCTCAGAAGCCAAGTCTGTCTCGACGCAGTTGGAGGAGACGACAAATCACAGCATCACGGAGACTACCACAGAGACAATCACTCTGCGGGAGATTTTCGATACTGTGATCACCAAGACGACTACCAAAACCATTGATACTCGCACTGTTCATACTTCGATAACTCTAATCGAGACCTATTGGAATGAACAGCGCTGGGAAGAGGTCATCAAAGTCAGCACTGTAACTCTTACCAGATTGTGGGCGGGGTGGACCAGCACAGAGCTCAGAACCCCCCTTCCCACGAACTACTTGTCCGAGACCGTTACGATCATCCGCCGTCTCTACACTTCGTATTGGAAGTTGCGCCAACTCGAGAACGCCGAGACAACTCTTAAGAGACTCTTCTACGCCGTGCTCTCTACTCCGAAATCATCTGATGATCTCTTGTTCTCAACCAAGAAAGATCTTATCGACTTCTACGAGACCAATGGCATGTTCGAGAAGTCAGTCATCATCTACAGAGATGTATATCCCGAGATTGAGAAGAGGAAGGGCAAAACCGACACGTTGACCATCAAGACTCTCTATGCTTTGGGCGACACCAGCAAGCGTGTCAACGACCTGAAGAATGCTGAGTTTGCTTACCGTACCATCCACACCAATCTTGGCTCGGAGGTTTGCCACCGAGATTCCATTCGGGCTGCTGAAGCTCTCATCGCCATCTACGAGCAGCATCGTCAATACTCAGATGCTCAGAAGATCTACCATTCGATCTGGCAGATGTTCCTAAAGCACGGCAAGGAATACGATTTCAAGCCAGACTGGTCTGAGAGTCTCTATGAAAAGTATGTTCGAAGCTTCAAGCAAGATCCGAAAGTGGAGTACACCACTCTTCGTCAACTCGCCATCGAATACCGCAAAGCTTTAGTCAGATTCTATGGACTGGACCATGAATCTACTATCAAAGCAACTCTTGGTCTAGCAGAGATTGACGAGGAAAAGCCAGAGCATCGTGAAGAATCTATTGCGATGTATGAGGATGCCGATAAGCACAGCCGAGAGGCTCCGAACGGCCAGATCTCCGAGTTCACTCTCAACAGAGTTGGCACCAATCGCAGGCGTCTGCCTCACTTGTACTCCATCTCACAGCTTTCGACTTCGCCTAAAGCTATTCCCTTGTACGAACAAGAATGGTACACTTATCATACCAAGCATGGTTATTCTCATGGCGATAGTCTGAAGTGGCTGAGTCTACTGGCTATTGCTTTTGCTAAGCAGAACAACGCGGAGTCGAAGACCAGAGCCACATCTTCTTTTCACACTTCTGTGACCGAGATCCTTAAGAAAGAGAAGAACTCTCAGCGGCTTTGGGACTCTGGCTCAGGACTCGCAAATGTGTACCTCAAAGCAGGCATGAAGTCCGAAGGAGAGCAACTTCTCCAACAAATTCGCAGCCAAGTCATCTTTGGGGATTCCAGCCTGGCTCAGAGTCTTGGTGTTACGTCCTCCAACAACTTAGACCGACGCACCTGGGTCTTCCTCGTTTCTTTCCAGACCACTCTGCATGGTACTCGACAAATGTATACAGCCATCATGGCCGATCTCATCAACGAAGTCTTCCTCTACGACTCTTACCGCCGCATCGTTTCTCAGAAGGCTCCATTCCTCGATTCCTTTGCTCATGGTGCTCGCTTATTGCAATTTATGCGCGACGTTCACGATGAGCCTAGCCATGCCCGCGTCGAGAAGGAACTGCTGGAGTACTTTTCGACGAACCTCTCCGCTCCCAAGACTATCAATTCCTCGGTCTTACGTGAGTTCTTCGAGATCGCTCTAGTAGAAATTCATCACCAAGATATGGACATCTCGCTGCTCAAAGCTGGCACCACTTCTGTCGTCAACTACTTTGACAAAGGGAAGTACGCTGAAGCGCATGACATGGCGTTCTTGGTCGATCGCTTCCAGCAGTTTGTTGGCGGATATGGCAGCGTGGAGAAGATTGATTATGGGCTGCAAATCGCGTTGGCCGTGGCTGGGTACAAGAATACCAAGGTCCCAGATGCGAAGTTGAAGACTGCTATGCTGGAGCTGTCAGGTAAGATCGTGAAGCAGCTTGTGCAAGAAACTCGAGCTGGCCATGTCTTGCTTGCCGATATCCCGCTCAAGGATCTCAATGCTGCGAGTGGACTGCTTGGCGAGTTGGGTTATTTGGATGAACTTGAGGTATGTATTGTCCCATTCACATGCATGGCCCCTCTTCTTTTAGTCCGTAGCTGAAATTATAAAGTATATCCTCACCGTCCTCTGGAAGGCCCGCACCTTCCAGCTACTATGGCCAGCCTCTACAATCGTCTCCCTCGGCCGCCGTCTCGTCGAAACAGAATTCGCCCGCTCCCACCACGCATCCGCCATACACCTCTGCGAAGACATGTGCTACAACCTGCGTCGCGTATGGGGAGCTCTCGACGCCACAACGCTCGACATGCACATCCTCCTCTCCGAATTTTACACCTCGTCTGAACAATACCGCAAAGCGATGCAAGTGCATGAAGACGTCCTCCGCGACACCGTCTCCGACAAAGGCGAGGAGATCAACCAAGCAGAAGCAGCTGCCATTGCAGTGCGCCACCTCGAGTTGCTGAGGAGAGCGTACCAGCGTCTCGGGGGCTGGGATAAAGATCCGCAGGTGTATGTGGATTTGTATCAGCAGCTAGCGCATGTCTTTGGGTCGGAGGAGAATTGGAAGAAAGCCCAGATCCAGGGCGTGGAGAAGTGGTCCACCAAGGGGGTCGATAGTGTGGGGGTTTGGGTGAGGCCGGTGAGCTTTGAGTGGATGGAGAGTGAGGGGATGAGGAAACATGCTAATTATTTGAGGAGGAGCTTGAGGAGTGGCGCGGAGTGGAAGATGGCTCACTCGAATGGGGGACGGTTGTTGAGGAGCTATAGTGGAAGGAGTTTGGTTGCTAAGTAGTTGTAGGTAGTTTGGTTTTTATTGGGTTAGTTTGAATTGTTTGTTTGTTCAAGTCGTTCAGAGATTGTGAAAGGTGACGAAACGGCTTCTAAATGCAGCTAAGTGCTTCTAATTCGTTCTTACATTGTCACTCTTCTTCTTCCAGCCCAATTCAAAGTGGGAATTGTATTTCACGCTTTGTGAAAAGGACCATAAGCGTTAGGTGAATCATCATTCGAAATGTAGAGTAGTTGAATTGTAGCTGGCCTGCCGAGACAACTATTGGGACCATATTTTACATTTGAGGAAAGCAACAAACCTCACACACTTTTCTAAATAAGCTTTATGGGCCGACTCGTATCGGAGAAGAGCGTTGAGCCACCCACAAAGTGAACCTGCCCCACCAAGTACGGTAAGGTTGCCATATGCTTGAGCAGATCAGGTAAGATCTTTAGTTGGCTGACTGTATCGTTAGTGCACGATCTACACTAGCTAGACGTCCACAAATCTACCCCCACTTAGAAGTACGACACAATAGACCAACATAGACCCTTCACATATTTCTAATTCTAAGTCCATACATATGCGACAACTTGGTGAAAATGACAACAGAATCATCGAAAGTTGACTGGAGCCTGGCAGATGGTCAAGGATACATCCTCGACCGCGATCGAAGTCGCAGTCACATCGCCGCCTGCCGTCTCAACCTCCAACACTACCTCTGGAAAGAAGCATTGAAATTCAACATCCACCCCTCCATTTTGCTCCCCAAGAACAACACTATTGCCGATGTCGCGACCGGCACAGCGATGTGGCCTATAGATGTCGCTCGACAGTTTCCAGACGCTCAGATCCACGGTTTTGACAACGATATTCGTCAGGCTCCTCATCGAGATTGGCTACCGTTGAACCTGAGTATCCGTTACTGGAACATTTTTGAGGAGCTACCTAATGATCTTGTTGGGAAATATGATTATGTTCATGTTAGATTGCTTGTCTTGGTGATTCAGGAAGGAAACCCTCGATCTGTGCTTCGAAAGCTTTGGAAGATGCTCAAGCCTGGAGGCTTTCTACAGTGGGACGAGCTCGACTGTGTGAACATGCATGTGAAAAAAGTGGATCCAAGTCTACAATCACCGGCTTTAGACGAGATCCGGGAGATGTCTTGGGCGAATGGTAGACATGACTGGACTATCGAACTTCCACGATTCATGACTGAAGAAGGATTCCAGGACGCAAAAATTGAGTATTTTGGAGATGGACCGGAGTTGAGCAGAGCGTTCAATGAGCAACATCTGCTCACGATGGAGGAGTTTGCTTCGAGCTTGATCAAGATTGGGAAGGTGGAGGCCGGTCTAAAATTTCATCGTCTTATTGAGGATGGGTACCAGGAATCAACGATTGGAGCGGCTCTATGTATCCCAAGAGTTGTATGTGTTGCTAAAAAGCCGCTTTAAAGTGTGGTAGCCAGCAGAAGCATGTTTTGGTCGAGTTGGGTGCTTTGGATGCATACCGTGCCCTGTGGGCTCACAGACTTAAGTCAGACAATTCAGGCACCTGCAAGCTCTCATGTCATGTTGTATAATCATCAAAAATGAATTTGTTTCACTATCAACAAAGCATTCATTGACGGAATCCAAGTACAAATTCCTTGAATAAAACATTGTCTGCTTCATCATTGCTACATTAGGATCGACCAAAGAGATTTCTTTGTACTCAAAGTCGAGACCTAGTCTCAGGCCAGAAGGAGAGCTGTTTCAAATAATTGAATTTGTAAGGACGGTTACGTTCACTTTAGAACAGGAGGAGCCTTTAGAATAGAGTACAATGTCCCAATTGAAATATGTCGACTTGCTTCACAATGCTCGCTATCAATCAAACATCAATACAACCAGCTTACAAAGCCCCAAACCCACCAAGTCAAACCCAGCCAACTTTAAAATCAAGCACAACCACTCTTTCAACATGGCAAAATATACTACCACATCCCAAGACCCCACCGAAGACCAGGTCTTCGATGCGGCCGACTACCCAGTAGTCGAAAATCGCAGCCGCAAGATCTCGGCTCGCCGCGACATGGTCCAAAAGGGCTGTGGCAGCGTCTCTGTCTCTGGCAACCAGCTTAGAAAGAAGAAGGGTGACTCAGATAGGGCGCCAAACTTCAACAAGCGCCGTCTTCAGGTGGCTGCCAGAAAGAAGGCGGAAGAACGACGTGAGACTGAGCTAGAAGATTCTAGTAATGGTGAGAATGAAGAGGAGAAGATGCGCTACAGAAAGTAGATGGGCAGTAGGAAAGCGATGTTGGGTGAGTTAAATTGTCAAGTGTCGTGAGTGATGAGATGAGATTGGATGAGATGAAGGAGAGTTGACAGTGAAAAAACGGAAGAGAGGTAGGTCTCTGGGCAAGTCCAGATGACTGTAAATAATCCTAAAAATGGAAAGCCTTCCGCATATATCTCTTGCGTATCAATCCATAGATTGAATACTGTGAGATTAACTGGGAGGTCGTTGAATGCAGCGCAAATGTCCAGAGAAATCAGTGTCTTTGTCGTCGTCACGATGTCCGTGATGTATTCCGTGACTCATGGTGGAATGCTTCTTGAAACATCTATATTTGCGTACTAGACTCCGGTGTCGAGTTCTTTTAAGGTTGCATCTGGCTCGTTTCAGAACATGCGTGCAAACTCGCCCATTTGAGGGTCCAGCCCTGATCTTCAGACAATGAGTTTCTACTCCAGCTCCATAATTCTATCGTCGTATTCATCAACTTTCAACAACAAAGCTTTTATCCCTAGTGCTAGTAGTCTTGTCCACAGCACGTGGGTCCCGACCCCTATTCCCTAAGCGAGACATCGGCTATCGAGAACAAAGAAGACATTGTATTCCCACGAGACTTTATTTATTGAGCTGACAGTGGAGAATTTAGGGATATGGTCAAAGTCCTAAAGCTTAAGCCTTATTCTCTCGATATCATTCACTGAAACACGCTCTCCACCTCTCCACATCTCCGATCATAGCCAAAATGGTCAAGGCAAACAGCACCACTCGCGCACACAAACATGCCTACAGACAAACAGCAGAGCGCGAACGTCTAAATCTGATCGCAGATAGACTCCTTCCATATAACCCCAAGGCCAGTGGTCACAATACATTTAGCAAGGGATGGGGACGCGATCAAGTGCGTGAGCAGTTTTTGGATTGGGATTCTGTCAATTCTAAGAAGTTGCGAAATGCTGAACACGTGCCTGAAAGGTAAGAGCAAGTAGGGTTTGTCTCTGCGCGAATAGAAGATGGGACGAGATGTGCTAGTGGAGGGGAGAAGTTGGATGTGCATGCACTCCCTGGCGATCAGGATCTATGCCATCATGGTATAGACTTCCTCACCCGTCTCTTCGATCTTGGTGGAGGCGTAGCATCATAGAGATCCTCATCCTCATTATCCTTGTCTTCCTTCACGACAGGAGAAGATCTTGTACCAACATGAATTGTTTCCCTATTACATTCTAAGGAAGGTGATCGCTCATGGCGAAGTTCAGCCACACGTTGAGGCAGAGATGCGCCTGTCTTCAGCTTTTGGCGCTTTGTTGACTCTGGAGTCGCTTTATCTTCAAAATGTTTTCGTTTAGGTGTTGACGGTAAACGTTGAGAGACATCCTTTCCGAGAACTTCTGTTGACAGTGCGTCTTCTTGCACATTTATGTTGATCGTTCGCTTCCCAGACATCATGGCATCATTTTCGCTCAAGAATATATCATAGACGATTTTGAGGACTTGAACCACATCTTCGGGACTTGAGGTTTCAGGAAGAGTAAAGCTCGAATTCAGCTCGAGAGTAAGTCCAGCAAGGTAACTTTTCAGTTTCTTGACTTCAGATGCCGTAATATACTGTTTGCCTGAGAATCCAGCAATCGTTGCTCGATTCATGACCAGATCCTCCAGACGCTGGTTCTCGTTTGGCCACTTAGTTGTAATGGCTTCCTGGATCGAAGAATTCGCAGCATGGGTGTTTATATCATTTTTCGGGTCCAGCCATGCCTGCAGCGCTTCTGGAAAATATTTCTGCAGAGCAGGCATCGAAGTGCCTCTCGGACTGAACGGAGCCGGCCGGGCAGTATGCTTGCTCATTCCAGTTGCAGCTCGTTGGATCTGAGGCTGCTTTCCATGCAGAGGCGAGGGCGCCCCATTGTGGCTTGCTGGTATCTGGGCAGTTGGCCGTGGTGTCTCTGCTGTTCTTAGACATCCAAGAGACTCTGAGGTTGCATTTGCACTAGACTCGGCAAGGCTGTTCAGGACATTTTCAATGTCGGTATTAGTTACAATCCGACGATTTTCCGATTGCGAGTCCTGACATCGTCGATTTATTTCTTCGACTAGAAGCTCACTGGCTTTGGCAGGGTCGAGCTTTTTGCTTAGCCTTGCTATAAGAGATAATGTTTTGTCGCCAGGAGTATGACCTTCAAGGAGCATGTAAGCAGGAAGCACGGTCTGAGGGATGTCGCCCCAGTTCTGTTGAATGGTTCTGAGTTCTCTGATCTACTTGGATTAGACACCGACAACGCCACTGATACAATCTACTTACTTTCCTATTCTTGTTCAGCCCGCTGTCATTTTTAACGAGGACGTTCACTCGGTTGCCTTCAGATAGAGCAAGTTCTTGATAGGCCGTCTCTCTCCCCTGGCGCCTTCCAAGCTCAAGTGTCGAAATTCGCTCTTCTTCAAATTCTTTCATTAGAGCCTGAATATCAACTGAGTTGCGATTACTTTGATTCAAGGCAGGTGAAGTGGGCCGGGAATCATCCGAGGTTCTAGGGAGCTTGTGGAGAGCGGCATTCTCGGTTGATGTGGTTTGAAGAGCAGCCTTTCGTCCCGCCTCAAATCCTTCTTTGTAGGACTCTGCTCTTACTTTGCTGATCTGTTCTAGGTTGCTACGCCGCAACGCCAGGAGATCACTTTCCATGGCAGTATTGACATCATCCATTGCCTTGCGTCTGCCTAGTTCCTCGCCAGCTTCCCTAGCCTTGTCCAACTTGATCGTGCTTTCATCATCCGTTTTCGAAAGTTGCTCCACAAGAGATGCCCTCTCTGAATCGAGTCGGGCAATTTCACGTTGAGCTTCTTCTACTTCCAATATCTTGGTCTCCAGCCGCGCATTGAGACTGTCGATTTCCGATCGTAGCTCTTGCTTCTTCGCAGTGTACCCTACTTTCCATTTCCACTTTAATTCCTCGGCATACTTCTTTAGTGCCATGTGAAGAGTATCTTCGTACATTCGATGATGGAAGTCAACCAGAAACCGTTTCAATCCGAATGTGTTTGTTGATTCGACATCGAAGTCCTCTAGTTCTTCTTTGAAGGGATTCCGGCTAAGGAGGAGACCGGGATCCACGTTCACATGATTTGTCGATTCTGCGGTATTGTTTGGAGGACATGGTAGGGTGTCATCGTCTAAGTCACTCTCTGGAAGCGCTTCATCGGATTCTTGAATTATTTCATTCGACTCGTCTCGCTCATGTTGTTGATCATGTTCTGCTTCCTCTTCCTCCTCTCCAATCTCAATCCTTTCGTCCAGATGCTCGTCTTGGCCGTGTTGTCTTTCATCTGTGTCACCACGCTTATTGAAGTTGTTTTGGTGAGAGGTAGATGGCTCTGCGAAGCATCAATCAAATGAGTCGAGCAGAGCAAGAGACTATGGACTTACTATCTTTTGCTGGATTCGTAGCAAGGTCAACAGCAACTAAGAAGCCTTTGTCTAGGGCTTCGTGACACTGTCTTATATGTTCTGCAGGCCAACGAGATATTCCTCCCTTGGTGGTTGGAAATGACGGGTATTGCTTGCTAAACTGCCATCTATAGGAATTCGGCGGACGAGGGTCAGACCTGCGTGGATCTGCAATCTTGGAAGATCGTGATGATATTATAGGTCGTCCTGTAGCTTTTTCTGTGGAATATTGTCAACTACATAGCGTTCGATCCTAAAGACACTTGTGTACCCACCGATGGTCTGGAGAAGACGGTCCCTGAGTATGTCATGCACCCGCGGGTTCTTGCCATTAGGAGCTAAGGAGCTATGTTTGGAAGAAGCACTGTCTTCTCTCAGAATTTCAACCTCGACTCGGCTGTCGGCAAGTCCACGATACAGTTTTTCCAAGACAGAGTCGTCCCATTTGTCTTCCGGAAGACCGCCATTGACACCATAGTCAGTAACCATTTGTGTGAGATTAAAAGAGTCCTCCTCGTTGTTGCTTCCGGGCTTACTATTCCATTTGAGGTACCGAGCTTTGTCTCCTAGACCGTTTATGGCTTAATTTCAGTAAGCTCAAGAAGCGTGGAAAAGAATATGAATATTACCATTATCCCGAAGCTCCCTGAACATCTCTCCAATCAGTCTTCTCAATGTTGCTTTGTCCATCATCGTAGACACGTTGCTTTGCTTGATATGCTGACTATGGGTCATTGTCTACCACTAGGAAAACACAAATGAAGCTGGAAACGCAAAACTATTAATCAAGACTTGAGCTTCAGTGCAAAGCGGTGGAGACAAGGGACTTGATAAACATGGAACAACTCGATAGAGTAGACTAAGTAATACGATCAAGCTTGTTACTGTTTAGAAGTAGGATTTTGATGCTGGAAGAAATAAAAACATTTTGCGTTGACCCGGTTTTGGTGCAAGCCACAGTTACACAAGCACTCAAGCCGCTTTTCGACAGGTCATAAACTATTCTGCAACTCGTGCTTTTTGGACAAGGCTGTCTTTCTAAGAGTTTCTGTTGCGAGCGAGGGCGCCAGAAAATAACAATGTCGAATAAATCATTCTTTATACTGCAAATACAGTCACATACTGCACTTGCTCTATGCTGTATCCACTCTTTTTCCTACCTAAGCGTTGGCATTGCTATGGAGCTATCCGCTGACCACATTCGAAGCTGCATTTCATACGATCTCGACTTATATCTGTGGCTTATTGACCAATAAACTTGATTTCAGTCCCTGTCTTCTGGGATTATTCTGTCCGAAGTGTTGGATTTCCATCTGAGTTGCCTAATGTGCTGAAAGCCTCTTTCAACTTGGGCAATTGCCATAGCTTTTTTTTTTAAAAAATATATATATATATATTATAAGGTTATCTGGAGACTGAGTTGGGCAACGTTATGTAATAATAGGTTGAATGAGCAAATATGCAGATGTACAAGAAGCTTCAGTGATGTCGATGAGCCGTAATTTAGGGGTCATGTACGCTAAGCCTAAACGATAAATACCCCGCGAGCTAAGTAAAGAAAATCTACAACCCCTCAACGGGTGCTTGTAACCATAAACAAATTGATTACGAACATGGCACCACCAAGCGCTCTCACGATCGCGACCTCATCAGTCCAACGACTGATGAAGGAAGAGGCTTCCTACCACAAAGAGTTGAAGAGTCAAGAATCGCGTCTGGAGAAATTGCTGGCAAGCAAGTCTGAGGACGAGAATGCGGAGTATTCTCTGAAGCAAGAGGTAGGTCACATCAAGACGACTTGGAGTTCACCGAAGCTAACGTGAGGATAGCGTACTGCCATCGAAGAAACTAAGGCTGTGTTCCCACCTTTGACTGAACGTCTCGAAGATGCCGTACACAAACTCGAGGATAAGCTCGATGCAGAGAGAGACAACGGTGCAAGCGCAGAAGAGGTCTCGAAGGCGGAGGGAGTCATTACAGATGCTAAGAAAGTAATTGCAGATGCGCGAGCGGCTGCTGAATCGAAGTAGACTTTGGTTAGGAGGAGTAATGATGTTACGAAGCACAAATAGATGGCATGATACCCGAAGTCAATGGTGGGAGTGTTCTGATGCGTTTTCACAAGCATCTGGGAAAATGGGACTGGTGTTTTGTGAATACAAATTAGAGGGTATCATGCTGCTTCCCCTATAGTACAATGTAATCTTACATGCGACCATGCCTCGTAATGACCTAGGTGGTATCCATTTTGTCCTCAGCTTCTCCTTCCTCGCCTTCCTCCTCCGATGGTTCAACTCCTTCGACTGCTACCATGGGGCTAGGCTCGTCCACAACAACTTGGGGAGTAGAGACAATAGCCATGTCAACAGTATCTGCTAACGGTGTCGCCGCCACAATATCACTCTCCTCAACCTTTGGTCCGTCATCCAAGATCATCGAGTCCTCTCCTTCAACCAGCTCTTCTCTTTCCCGTTCAGAACCAGCAGGGGAGGCAGCTCGACTTCCGGTCGTACTTCCAGGTCTTGAGAACGTGCCCGAGTTCAATGGTCTTGGCTTCAGTCCCGATCCCGACATGCTTTGTGATTCTCCGTCCGGTCTGGGTGTAGCATTTCCACTGAAACTGCTGTGCTTCGGTGTTTGACCTCCTCGACTGCCTTCACCAACCTCGCCATCCTCTTCTCCACCATCCATGCCCTCGCGCCTCTCGACCTCTTCTTTCTCATCTCTGATAAGTCTCCTCAATTGCATACCCTCCTCCACAATCTTGCCGAACTGCTCTCGTCTCTCCTTCCAAGTTTCGCCATATGTCAGACTCTCCTTCTCCAGCTCTCTGCACTCCTCCTCCAGCTTCCTCAGATTTACCTCTTGATCCTCGCGCGGCCTCAATAGTCTATTGCCGGTAATCTTCTCAGCTAGTTCGTCAAACTTCTTCCGTTGCTCTAATGTCTTCTTCGACTCCTCCAGCTGAATTCTCAATTGCGCCGTGCTAACTCGAACCTCTTGCATCGTATCTAAGATTCGCTGCTTGTCGGCCGTGTAACGATCTCGTTCGTTCTCGTTGCTGTTGCGGAGGAACTGAATGCGCGCGATGCTGCTATCGAAGGCATCGAAGTCGAAGATGATCTCTTGACGGAGCTGTTGTCGCTCTTCGGCTTGTTGCTTCAGGGTCGGATCATCTTCAGAGGTATCTTCAGCTGAGCCAGTCTCAGGTGGAGGAGTTGGCAGCTTGAGCGGATTGTTGAGGAGTGAGCCAGGTGCGAGAAGGCGTTTGGTGATGCGCTTGAAGGGCTTTTCTTCGACGTTCAAGAGGCGCGCCTTATGCAGCTCATCCTCTTCACCGAATTTGAGAAGCATGGTCATGTAGATACCAGAATCTTTAGACGTTGTTTTTGGTTCCCAACCTTCTGGCATTGGCCCTAACCACTGTTCCCAGATTGAGCGTTCAATGTAGAACTTCATATTTCCGATCTCAACGTGATTTGATGAGAGCTGCGGTCTATGCGGTCAAATGCGGAGATTGCGGCCGCTTCGATGGATCTGAATGTGGACGAAGGCTGGGCTGGAATTCATTCACTTCGCGACAGTCTTTATTCCACAACACAATGTCGAGAAAAGTTCATTTTCACTATCCAACCATGAGCTTGGCAATCTGCTAACATATTTTGCTCTCGCTCTTGAATCACGAAAATCTGTATCGCGACAAACTTACACACAACTTCACGACACATCACCGTTTCCACAACTGCATCTAGCCCTTTGTCCTCACCTCGGGAACGTGGGACAAAGAACGTCTTTCGGAGCGCACAAATTGCAATGAACGTTGCAAGCAAGATCCGGAAACTGCAGTCAAGATGCCAGCCCCATCACTGAACGACTCCTGCGTACGAGCCTGCATCAGGAATATCCGCAGTAAGTAAGATGTCTCCTCTCCACAAAAGAGTCGCTAACAGTCTCCAGGCCTCAATGATGTCGGATCCTTCGAGTATTGGAAAATTAAGCCCGTCCTTGCACGAATCACTTCCCCCGAACAGCTGCACACCATCGAATTGAACTCTCCTCAGATTCGAGGCGAAGATGCTGAACTATGGCAAGCATTCATTGCTCGGGACATTCCAAATTGGAAGCAGAAAGGTTATGTTCCTAAGAATCCGCTGAAGTGGTATGAGGTCTATTGCAAGTACAAGAAGGAACAGCGCATGGAGGTCCAGCGTGATGAGGAGTTATTGAAAGAGCGAATGATGGGACTACAGAAAGCGAGACAGAGTCATGTCTCGAAGGTCGTAGACTTGAGGACCCTTCCAAAGGTTCCCAAAGATCCGTATATGATGGCCAACAATGGAGGAGTACCACTAAAGAAAAATCCATGGGGGAAGAAAGAGCCTTCCGGCTTTTTGAACTTCAGTTCGGGCAGCAGGACGAAGTTGACGGATGCAAAGAGCGTGCTTACCCGCGCGAGGAGAGAAGCAAAAGAGATTGGCCAGATGAGCAAGTTGAGTAGGCCTACGCATCAGTTGTCGGGAAAAATTGGCCAAGTCAAGAAGGCGCCGGCAGGCATGTCGAAGGAGTACCAGATCGCTGCTCAGCCAGCATTGAGAATCCTGTCTCACAGACATGTTCAACTTAAGAACGAAAGTGCCACTAGAGGACCCAGTCTAGAAGAGAGGGAAGCGAGGCTAAAGGCTGCTATGTCGTCGGTTACCAGGGGATATGCTTCGAACGATGTCAGGGAGACTCTGGTCGGTTCCTCGGATGACGATCTCAACGACTATGATGAAGAGGATGGAGATGACTTGTTCGATGAACCAGCGGAAAAGATCAAGCCAACGCCACGACCAGTGTCTAACACCAGAATTCCCCCTCGAGATCATCACAGCAGTCCAGTTTCTTCGTCACCTGCCCGACCTAAGCAATCTTCTTCACCACCCTCATCCAGCATGAATTCTAGACCAAGGCCAAACGCATCCTCCCCGCCTATTCTTGATTCGGCTCCAGCCTCTTCCACTACATCAAAACCAATGAGTTCAGGTTCTGCAGCCCCCAGGCCCAAGATTGCTAGAAAGAGACCAGAAGTCGACGTCTTCAATCGTGGAGCGAAGAAGCCAAAGCTTAGGTGATTTTAGTTAGAGAAGACAAATGCTAGATATTGTACGGCGCATAGGATGTGTTTTGTTATCAGCGAGGCGTTGGAAGGACCGGGAGATCCCTGGGGTTGGGAGATGTCTGAACGAGTCACGAGTCACTCTGTATGGTCACAATGTAAATCTCCTGAAGAAACCCAGTGCTGCGTAGCAGTAAATTGGTCTACCTGCCTCAACTTATCCGCATGATCTTGACTAGGACCCGAGATCCGGTATTCAAGTAACATGCCCCCAGGAAAACAAAGAAAATAGAATAGAAAACGCCACCCATATCTCGTTCATTCGTCATGAATGCTGCATGCTTCCAAAGTTCAGTCGTTCCACTATGTCATGCCTATCGTGCTGTGTCGTAATGTGTATGCTAGAGAGAGATCAAAGAGAGAGTCGTCCATTCTATTCTACCAAGGATGCTCCATTCTGTCCGCTTGTGCCAAGGGAGCTGTGTACAGAGGTATCTCGTAGTTAGAATGGTGCGGAATCATGTAGGAGAGATTCAGAAAGAACCGCCACGAAGCGCAAGGACCAAATGTAGTGTAGCTCCGCCCTCGAGGGCATAGTCGGTTGCAGTCTTCTCGTCGGACCTGTATTAGAGGTTCAAGTCAGCGTTGAGATTTGGTGATGGCGGGGTAGGTGGGGCAGGCAACAGCGCATGCAAAGAGTTTTGGGCAAAGACAAGAGAACTTTCTCGAGTTTCAAGCGTATGCAAAAGCGGCAGGCTGATGGTGCAAAGAGTGTATAGGAAGGTGCTTGTATGCTTGTAGATAATGAACGTATAGACTCACATCTGCTTTCCGCCGTAGATTAAGCGTTGTTGCACTGGTGGGATGCCTTCTTTCTCCTCGACCTTTTCCTTAATCTGCGCAACCTGTAGATAGATGTGTCAGTACAGCGTAAGTAGATCAGTCTGTTGAGAGCTTACTCGATAGTCTGGCTCGATGTCGAGTTCGATCTCCTTCCCTGTCAGAGTTCGGACCTTGATCAACATTGTCACTGCGGTGTGTTGTAAAGAGGATGTGTTTTGTATGTGAGACAAGCTTTGCGAGGGTAGCTGTCTATCCTGAGTTTCGGTAGGTTGGCAAGTTGTGTATGGGTGGAGTCTAGAAAGTGTTGGTGAACATGCAAGGCAAGAAGAGGCAAGGCCTCGAATATAAAGCTCCCAAAATCTAGTACGCGATCACGATCACGTGGATTGGCATCAATTCATTTCCAGGTTCCCTTCCATTCCGCTGACATCTCGGACATTCACAGCAGCCATATTCATCAATCTCGCTACGGCGACTGGGAGTCTTTCGGTGTTGGAGCCTCGGGTTCGACCCCAAGGGCAGCATTACCTACACGTCCACGACGCCGAAATCTGATCGATAATCCTTCTCCCCTTCAGACGCGTTTCGTCGCGTCTCGAGGCTTCCCGGGATACACCAATACACCAATGTTCTAGGCTTGCCGGCAGATCTAGTACACTGGTCCCATCGCTGTGTGATGAAGGCTTTCTTTGTCCAGACTTTGGTCCGATCATTGTGATTCAACGACAGTCGGTTACTCGCACCGTAAGCTATCGAGCTTTGGAGCATGATCAGATTTTGTTTAAATGCGTTATGCAAATTATCTCATAAACAATCCGATGAATCCCGAACATCTTTAATATGCCTGTTTCCTCATATTACTTTCTCTCTCTGCGAATATGCGTGTTACTTCTTGTTGAGGAATCACCGAATAGCGCATGTCATACCGCATGATGATGGACACATTCATTATTAGCAGTCCTATATGAAAACTCTTAAAAACTCTCCCAGGGCCATTATGGCCATGGCTTGTCCATACGGCATACTCGTGCGATCAATGTCCATGTAGTGTTGCAACGTATGTCCCATGGCCGTGCCAAAGCTCACTTCGGTCAATTCTCCTTCCTTGGTCACCTTTGCTAACACCGCCTTGATAGCTTGGAGCGCTGAAGCTCGAAACTCCTCTCCTTTGATGTATCGCAAACGCAAGGCCTTCAACATACCAAACGCAAACCCAGCCGTAGCCGAACTCTCGACGTAAGATCCTTCATGAGATGGGTGGTTGATCAAGGTTCTCCACAGTCCTCCTGGCTCCTGGAACAAGATCAAAGCCCGACATTGAGCTTCAAGTGTGTCGATCAGATGGACGCGAAATGCATCATTTGGTGGCAAGTCGAGCAATTCCAACATCTCTGGAATTGCGATTGTAAGCCAGCTGTTGCCTCTCGCCCACAAAGCTTCAGCGAAATTATGGTTACCATCGAATGTCCAACCATGGTAAAACAACCCTGTCTTGGTATCAAACAGATACTTTATGTGCAAAAGGAATTGTCGCTTTGCCTCCTCGACATACTCTGGACGGTTCAGGAGCTTTCCAATCTTCGCTAATGGGAGCACCGTCATCATGAGGGTATCATCCCATAATTCTTGGGAGTTGAGAGAATTATATGTCATGTGGGACATGCCACCATACTTTGTTCGTGGAAGCTCGTTCATGGCCCAATCCGCCCAACTTTCCAGCCACGCTACACAAGGCTGGCTTCCAGTCTTCTCATACAGGTAGGCCAAGGTCAGCATCGCAGCCATGGTGTTGATATTTTTAGTTGTCCCGCCTTCTTCAAAGCGATCTGCGAACCATTGTTCGATGATGGCAAGCGCCTCAGGAGAGCCTGTGAGAGTATAGTAATTCCACTGTCCATAAAGACCAACTCCGTGCGTCCATTCCCAGCCGGCCCAGCCTAAACCAAAAGTCAATATATTTGTTTCATTTGCATCAGGGAGTATAGCTGCATTTCCCAAGAGAAAAGGAGCACGCATGCATGCATCTAGGAATAGTCTTCGGGACTAAATCTCGAGATGGAACAAAAGAGGCAACCTTCCTCCGAGACGACTTACCTTTCGTATCAATCACTCGACCATCCTCCAACCGCAGCAAGAACTCCCCTGTCTCGTCCTTGATGTTCACCAGCTGATTGATCAGAAGTTTGATTGTGCTGTGAACATCCTGAGCCGCTATACCACTGTAGACTTTTGGCATTGTAATTTGTATTTGTTTGCATTCAAATTGAGTATTTTGGATGTTTTTCTGCTCTTCAAGGAATTTTATTTTGTTGTGTTTGAGCAACGCGTGATGCTGGGGTGTTGTAGAAAGTCTTCAGATTCGTGGGATGATCCGGTTGACATTGCGCCGACCGAGCGAAGCCACGGCTCCACCCATTCTTGGCATAGCGGATTTATCTCCTCTTTTGCAAATTTCTGGGGTCTTCTGCAGAACACAACAAGCAAGCGACGACCAAAATGGTTCACATGACTCGCGCTTGGCCATTGGTTCTCAATCTGGGGCTATCTCCTACAGCTATCAAAGCTCTAGACTGCTAAAAGTTGGTATTGCATGGGCCACTTTTCGAATATGGACGATTAAAGTCCTCCACTACCCGGGAACACGTACCGATAATCTGGAGGATCCGCATGGATTTCTGCTTCCCCAATCCCAGCAATATGGGGTCTTTGGCGAAGGTCTCCGGGTTTATATATTCTTATGATGTCTGCTGTATGGCCTCGTGTCGCTTTTCAGCTGGTTCTTTGCACATCCCTTGAGAAAAATTCGTACGCTCGCAGACACAATGGAGGAACCTACAATAGCTCCTAGCCCTGAAGGTCATTTCAGCCATGGCAAAGAGAAGAAGAACGGCCTCGATCCGGAGATCGCTCCTGCCCAACATATTGAAGATGACGACGACCTGAAGAAAGACCACATGAATTATGACAGAGTCGACAAAGAAGTTGCCAAGTACGCCAGTGATGTTGCCATTAACATCAGCCCCGAAGAAAGTGACCGTTTGAAGAAACTCATCGACAGACGAGTGTTAGCTATCATGATATTCACCTACTTTCTTCAAGTCTTATATAAGGGAACCTTGTCCTTTTCAAGTATTATGGGCATCAGGACGGATACACATCTACACGGGCAACAATTTGCGTGGCTGACCACGTGCATCTATATTGCAATTCTGGTCGTTGAATACCCCACCAATTGGCTCATCCAACGGCTACCTATTGCAAAGTACCTTGGCGTTTCGATCATTCTATGGGGCACTACACTAGCACTACATGCCAAGGCCACCAAATTCATCCATCTCCTCGTTCTACGAACTCTTCTGGGCATCTTTGAGGCCGTCTGCCAGCCTTCCTTCGTCTATCTCAGCTCGATGTGGTATAAGCGCGAAGAGCAGGCGGTGACTGTGTCCTACTGGTATATGATGAATGGAGGGCAACATATTGTCGGAGGCCTTCTTGCCTACTGTTTCACGCTCATCAAGAGCCCGCCATCCTCTCTGAAAAGCTGGCAAGCTATCTTCGTAGCCTATGGAGGCTTCTCTGTTCTATGGGGTCTATTCGTCTTATGGTTCATGCCCGATAGTCCCATGCGCGCCAAATGTTTTACCGAGGAAGACAAGAAATTGATGATTGAGCGTGTCCGAAGCAACCAAACTGGTGTTCAGAATCGCCATCTCGGAAGGAACAACTTATTGAAGCTCTCAAAGACCCGCAAATGTATTGCTACTGCTTGATTGCTATCTGTACGACTTTACCAACATCCGGGCTCGGCGCGTTCGCAAATATCATCATTGCAGGCTTTCACTTTACCGTACTACAGACTCAGCTTTTGGCCATGGTTCTTGGAGTATATATTATCATAGTCTTGCTCAGCAGCATGTGGCTTGTGAGGAAGACGAAACAAAACTTGCTTGTAATGGGACTCTATGTCATACCGTACGTTCTCATCTCCTCAACTTCACCTTTGCTCATATTACTAGCTCTTTCATCGGGACCATCGTCCTCATGACAGTCCAAAACACCAACTCAGCCACCCAAAGCGGTCTCCTTTTCAGTTACTATATCGTTCTCTCATTCTGGGCAGCCCAAACTTTGAGCATGACCCTCATCACTCGGAACATTGCTGGTCAGACTAAGAAAACTGTGGTGATTGCCGCGAATTTCATTGCATGGGCCACTGGTAACGCTATTGGTTTGTCTCCTCTGAAGCTCTTTCCAAAATAGGTCAAACACTCAACAGAATCTAGGACCACAAGTTTTTCTGACATGGGATTCGCCTCGCTATCTCATCGCCTTTTCGATGCACATGGGCTGCTACGCTCTTCTTGTCTTCGTCATCATCTTTTTGCGCTGGTATCTGATGAGCCAGAACAAGAAGAAAGATAGACTACAAGCTGAGCTAGCCGCGGCAGGAGCCGGCGTCGTGGACGAAAGACTAACGCATGCTTTCGACGACCTAACAGATAAGGAGAATGCTAACTTTAGATACGTTTTTTAAGTGATATTGGAAGGCAAATGATCTTGGCAGCAGTGCAACTAGGGGCAAACTATTTTATATGCTGAATTGTCGCGATTTTCGCAATGTTAGACTCGCTTCGCGTGCTCGCATGGGAACAGCATCCGGAGTATCTACGTACTGCTTCGTATTCGTTCGTGACAGGAAATATCTATACCTACCAGCTAGGTATCGATTGCCCATTTGAAATGTGCTGATGGAGCCCATAAGTCTGCGAGGGAGTTCTCGCTGCTGATAGTATCACCATTAATTTCCGGTGGATAGCTGAGAGGCCAGTTGCTCTCGCCCAACGATTCTCTGTCCATGTTCCGTTTCCTTCTCCCTTTCAACTTGTACGTTCCCGTTATATACCTACCTATGTATGGAAAGGAAACACATACCTGTTATCGCATCTTCAACCATCCATTCACTTTTTGCGCGCATCGTCTCCCTCATACAACCAGAGGGTCCTATTATGCGTCTGCAGCCATTCAATGTCATTTCCGCCACCTTTCGTCCTTTCTCGCAACGCATCATATTATTGGTCCCCTGGTTTAGCGTTCTTGGCTGCATGGAGCTCAAGTGGCATCAACATACAAACTCCCCGCAAAGCTAGATCTGAAACGAGGCAAGTGTCACGACATACTTTCGCATCGCAAGGCGAGAGGTTACAACTTCACGATCATGGTTTGTTTGATTCGATTTCAGCAACTACTATGATAGGGCTGAGCCCGTTACTTTGGTTTCAAGGAAACGAATGCGGAACTTACCTGGGCGCTGAAGTCTTGGCGGATTTGTCCAGTCACCTTTTTACTCCTGGATCTGCATATCTGCTATTGGAATTTCGAGTTACTTGTCAACAGATTGTGAAAAGAAACAGAGTTGGCTATGGATTAAGCGTACGTGCTTCATTTCGTGTTACCCATTGCGACTTGTTTCTAGCATGGTTTCTGCTGCACTGCTTAATGACTCGCAATCATTCCTTTACCCCACAGCTGTCCACGCTGTACTATGCTGTGGAATACATGTATTAAGTGATAGTTATCTCGAGATCATAGATTGCGGCATCAGGTGCTTGGACTCCAATCAAATCCACGTCATTGTTCGTGGCGCAATGCTTGACTGAAATATCCACATGCGACGGTCAACACTCAAGTCAAACGAGCGACGAAAATCTTTCTTCGGTATCACGCTTTCAACCGCTTGAGTCCAACTCTAGGTACTGTTCAAAACATCAACGATCGGGAATTCACTATAGTATTGCCTTGGAAAAGGTTTTGATAGAGTTTACGGATCAGATTTCACGAAGCTCTCGGCGTGATGCGCCGGAAGTATAAGACTCACGCTTGCCTGCACATTCACGTCCCTCCCAAAATAAAATTCACTGCCTCTGTTTCGGCCATTGACCCTAGAGTGAAAGTTCATCTGATCTCCTAGCTTAGACATCTCTGGCACACTTCAAGCTGAGCGCAAATACATAGGATTGGTCGATCCGCACATTGGCACATTCTCAAACTCCGGGGTTGTCAACATTTCTTGGCCCAGATTTGAAACACTATAAATCGCAAACAGGATAATCAGACGATACGGTAAGCCCTATTAAGAAGAATCGACAAAGTTTCTGGCTGTGGTAGTGATCAATATCAAGCCTTCTCGATGCGTATACGAGACAGTATATTCCCAAATTCAGCGTGACTTACCATAGCATGAAGCCAAGACTTTGACTTTCGCAAAGATGAGGTTTGAAGATATGCTGCCAATACCCACAGAATAGCAAAGTTGGAGCATATTATTTCGATGTCACCACTAGGAAAGCATTTCGTGGGCCACAGGCATAGGATCTTCTCGTTCTCGATGCGAGAAAAACCGTTCATATCTACGAAAGCACTTCGCAAGACTCGATTTAGCACTGATGGCCCTCCATTGCTCTCCACCAAACCAAATTCACACTTTGAAATCTCCTTTGCGAGAATGTTTCAACGAGTAAAGTTGCTATTGCCTTTCAATATAAGAACGAGATTTCTACACACTCTTCCAGAATAAGCACCAAGATACATTCTCCTCTCCATTCCCAATCCTTACAATCCACACACTACTTTTCCATCAAGATGGCAATCCAAACAGAAACCACCACAATACAGTCTCCCAAATTCCCAATGTCTCCCACCAAAATGTCCCACAACAACACAGAATCAACTAAGAAGCTCGCAGAGCTCGCCTCCGAGACCCGCTTCGCAGGCCCCCTCTGGCTCCGCGAAGAAGTCGGCGCCCTCTACGCCAAAGGCGAAGTCCACACAGGCCCCTTCTCCATGCCTCTCCTCCGCATGGCCAACTTCGACAAACTCTCTCTCCCTTCCGAAAACCGCAACCTCCGCATGCTAGACCTCTGCTGCGGCTCCGGAGTCACGACTCACGAGCTGCAAGTCTTGCTTCAACAGCAAGGGCTAGAAGACAAAGTCGATCTGGTGTGTGGAGACTTTTCAGCGGGCCAGCTCGAGTACCTCGATAAGCGGATCCAGCGGATGGGCTGGCGGAATACGGTGACGAGGCAGATGAACGCGGAGAGGAATGGGGAGCCGGATATGAGTTTTGATCATGTGGTGTGCGCTCAGGGGTTGATGATTATCCCGGATTCGCAGGCTGCTTTGCAAGGTACCTATTTCTCTCCCTCTCTCCTATAAAGAAATGGAAAATTAATGGATGCATAGATTGTTACCGCGTCCTCAAACCAGGCGGTACATTCGCCCTCTCGGTCTGGTACACAGAGAACTGGATCCTCGACGTCCGCGACGCCGTCGCTCAACTGCCCGGCCTTCCCAACTGGCCGCAAACATCCCTCGAACTAACCAATTCCTGGGCTCAAGGCCCGTGGGAGGATCCCCATTACGTGAAATCGATGTTGCACCGAAGAGGCTTCGTCGATATTGATGTCCAGACGAAGATTATCATGATCCCGCTGAAAGATGCAGAGGATTTCTACGAGGTGTATGATGCGTTTATCGAGTGGGTGGCGGATCGGTATTGGACGGAAGGGGAGAGGAAGAGGTGTAAGCCGTTGCTGAGGGATGCGGTGGTGGGGTTTATGGAGAGGAAATACGGGAGGGGGAGGCCGTTTAGTATTGAGAAGGTTTGTATTTTGGGGACGGCGAGACGGCCGGGTGTGGGTGATGAGGAGGGTCATGATTCTGGGAAGGAGTTTTGATTGGGCAGGGGATAGGGGATAAAGGGGGTGGATGGACGTGCTGGTCATGTTTTGTCTTTACTGGGGTTTGTTGCTTTCCAATAGATTGTTTGTTTTGGTGAAGTCTCGCTGTCTCTGTGTATTCAGTGTCGTACGGAAAGAGCGTCAGCACTTAGCGACGCAGAATGTTCCCCAAAGGTTGAATTTGCAGACCAAAAATACGAGTATAAAATTTGGCAAATTGAGTATATCACATCAGTTGGACTCTAGAATATCATCTGATAAGCAAATGGAGGTAGGAAGTTCGTTGGGGACTATATCTAATCTCAAAACTACTAAAGTCCAAGTAGAGTCAGAAGCTGGACAACTCTATTAGGAGTTGATGTCTTCCCGAGAGACAGTATGGACGTCAGCATGAAAGCGTGGATAGAGGCGGATCCGCCGGTAATGAGGCAGGATGCTGCAGCTCCAGCTACCAGCCAGTTCTGCCGTTGTCGTAAAACGATGAATGTGAGCAAGAAGTAATATAGGGCTCTTGGAGCTCGTCCGTATTGTCCGCTCATAGGATAGGCGCACTCAGTATCTTGGAATGCCGTAAAGTTACCCATTATGGACCTACAACTGGCCATTAGAAAGGCATAAGGTATTCATTCGGCAGGAGATGATTAACAACTACCTGGTGTATTATTTTTCCCTCTTGGGGCTTTCTCTTTTTTAGGGTATATAGCCTTCCTCTTTCTTCGCTGATAGCAGACAAGCACCATGCAAATAATAGCAATCACAACGACGATACCGCCAACGGCCGCTCCGATTATAGCATTAGTTGGTAGAACAGGGCTCGCTCCCGAGTTGGAAAACGGCACTAAAATTGGCAGTCACTCTCAATCTTCGAGAACAGCTATTATGTTTGGCTTACCTGAACTGGACGAGAAGTTCGAGAGCTGTGTCCGAGTCGCGAATAATGTCGTGGTTCCGGATCCCGACAGCGACATTGTACGGCACTGCTGGCTTAGGCGCTCGGTTACCGTCTATCAGAGAACCATACTTAGCAGTTGATGACAAGAAAAATAGTCAGGCTGCGGACGAATATTAAAAGAAGAGGCGCGATATTCTTATACTTCGATTGCACGCCTCGCTTCATCCATCTGGGGCTAGGAGGCAGCCACGACCTCAGCCGCAAACCTGATTGCCAATGGCAACAGCCCAATATTAGTACCGGAACGGATCACATGTGAAGGACTTTAAAAAGCAATGAGTATGGATGGGATGGTGTGGTGGGAAATGTAGTAAATGTAGGGTGTTACTTTTTTCGCGTTGCCTTTTTTGGTTATTCACTGCGATCATGTTGGGTTATTGATGGTTTGCGGCCATAGGACGAAGAGTAGTTTTATGGTCTAAGCGTGATTGAGAATTTATGGGGAACTTGAATGTCGGTCATGGGAATAGAGTTGTGATATGTACTGGCAAAAGGAGGTTGGTTTTTTTGTAAGTCGTGTTTGTATTGTAGGGCTTATGCCATCTATATATATCGTATCCTGATGTCTTTCCTGCGAAAAGCAAAGTAGCTTTATCTTGAAGCTTTACTTTCCTTTATCAATCCATCATAAATCATCATACAGAACCCACCTGAAATAGTCTAAACACCACCCTAACGCCAAACCCGAAGTAAACAACCTAATCCCCCCTATAACTCGGAACGGACGCCCTAGCGGGCGCCATCGGTATGAACGGCGTCTCCATCTCAATATCATCCGAATACGACGGCGGGCCCGTGCTATACATCGACCGACCTGAGTACCCGGATAGTCGTCTCGCGTTGTATTCTGGCTGGAGCCGTGGATTGGAGTTGGAGTTTGTGCCTAGTAAGCCGGCTTGCGAGCTGAAGCTGGGTGTGCTGGGGGTAAAGGGGTAGCGGTCTTCGCTTGCGCTGGGAGGGTCCTCGGGTCGAGGGGATTCGGCATCCAGGTTTGCCCGGTGTTCTTTTGCTCGCTCGGTTTTGAAGTCTATGTGTTATTAGTTTAATTCCATTTTGATGGTAAGGGGTGAGAAGGGTAGAAGAGGGGACGGGACGAACCGCTCCAAGCCTCGAGTACGGATAGTGGGGCGGCTGCTAATAGCAATGTACTCAACAACTGTCCAAACGTCCACTGATTATCGTTTTGCAGATTAACACCGGTTAACCACCCACTATGTGTCATCCAGGACTTGAGCTCGTACATTTTGATCACGGCCCAGATGTACATGATCATAGCGCCGAGCAGGACCAGACCCCGTAAACTGCCCATCCACCACCACCACGACCCGGCCGCCGCGCGCTCCTCTTTCTGATGCTGTCTCTCCCACGTCCATTGCGGGAAACGGAGGTACGTGATTACGTGCGCGGCCGTGATGATCAGGTTGATGCCGTAGAAGACGAAGAGCATGATATACATCGTCAGGGCAGCCGAGTCCTTGGTGTGCGATTTGGGGATATCTTCGAGTGCTGAATAGGGCTCTGAGAATGGGTGCTCGAAACAGACGGCGGGGAGCACCATGGTGGTGTTGTGGCCGGAGTTGGGGCTGGGGATGCCGGTCGGGAAGGTGTTGGAGACGCGGCTGCTGTAGAGGTAGCCGGCGAAGATCATCTGTGCGGCGACGAGAACGAAACGCACGCAGGAGAGCACGATTTGGCCGTTGACGTAGCTTCGAAGGACGAGAACGGAGGACATGTGGGAGACGATGGCCATCATCAAGAGGTATGCTAGGACATTGTAGCGGTAGGCGTCGATGGTGCAGGCAGAGGAGAAGAAGAGGGTCGCGATAGAGAGCGAGAGACCACGCAAAAGTTGCTGGTCACCGAAGCTCACAACGAGAGGCTCGAGTAGTTTTCGCCATGAGTGATGCCGTAAACGATCGCACCAGACTTGGACGAGGAGGCATGTAATGAGGGAGAGTCCCGCCGTCAGGACGAAGGAGATATCGGTCTGCGGGTACAAACACCTTGGTCAGCACTTGCGCCTGTCTTGTGCAAACACAAACATTGTGGTGAGCAAACATACCCCAATCCCCGTAATCGAGGCATTTGAGCCGAACTGCCCAAAAGGTACCGAGTCCAGCGTACAGTTGATGGGTCCTAGCCACTCATACCGAGTCTGGCATTCCAAGACTGAGGTAGCGGTACCCATCGTGATCGGACCGCGACGGTGACTTTAATGGCATTGTTTGCTTGAGACTTGAGACTTCAAGGCTCGCTCATGATGGAGGAAATGTTCAGATGGATCAGAGGCAAGGCTGGCGGTTATGCATATGCGGCTCGTTGATCATCATCGTGATGCTGCCCACTGCTGGCATCAATATCTCAGACCAGGCTGCGGCTGCACGCTGGCACAGCCTCAAGCCATTAACCTTAAGCCCAAAAGCCCCCAAATGCAACGTCGGACCAAGAATAGGTCCATCACACCGACAGAGATGAGATGGCCCACAAAACACAAAGAATTTCATGTATAATTGCAACCAACTTGAATTGCATTGAATTCGCTGTGATATTCTCTTCACATGCTTCGATATAAAGTGCTGACTGATGGAGAAAGTTAGCACGATGACGGCGATCAGAATGAGGCTATGCTGGGTGGCCATTGAAACACTCGCGTCTGCTCGCGATCCTTCTGCCTCGCAATGTCTAAGGTTAAGGCTGCCGAGGCGCCGTCAACCAATCTCAATGCTGGTTTCAGGGAACAATATGCGGGCCACGTAAGGTGCAGCCGGTGCAGATTGAAAGGATGCTGAAGATCCAGTGGGGGGAAGGGGAGATCAGTTCATGGCTTCCCCAAGAGGCTCTCTTTGCTCCGCCCGGTCAGTGTAGTGGTGGTGTGGGTTGTCAAATAGGTTAAGCCTCCCTCCCTGCCGCCTCCTCAGGAACACTATGCTGCTCCCGACGTCGCCGCTATCAACCTTAAACTCTGATCTTCCTTATCTATGTATCAGAAGCTTCTCTCGGGCGCATCATTCATGGCAACTGCGTGAGATGTGACTTACATCGTCGAGTACAGATCACTAGACCCGAGATAACTTATACCGCACGTGGAGGGTGGCTTGAGGCTGAGACTGCCAGCCTTGTCTCACTTCCGATGGTCGCAATTTTCGGTATATGAACGAGCTGAAGCAATCCATACTCCTCGATTGATATCACGATGAGTCGTCAACCGGCCGCAAAGAGAGCGCAGCGGCTCCAAGACATCGCTCGGGAGGTCGGAGCGGTGCTCGACAACTTCGATGAGACCCCGCTACTGCCTCCTAACCAGCCGCCAACCTTCATGGTCCCGGATGATGAGAGGAAAGCCGATGCCATCTTGGGACAGTTGAGGATAGAAGAGAGTGCGAGTAGGCAGCAAGGTCGACGGATTACTTCGGCTTTGACGAGGAATTCCAGGCAAACAGCGTACAGCTATGGAGATTTGTACCATGCTATGGTCAGGGTGGTGGAAGAGAATGGTCAAGCAGGTGTCCTCGAGGTGCTTCTTAAGAGATTCAAAGCCATCGATGGTGATATCAATTTTTCGAAGAGAGGAAGTACCAGTGCGCTGAAGCGAGTTCGAGGGAAAGAGGGGCAGGATGAAAGGGGTCGCTTGCTATCTTGGGCCGCCGGAATCAGTCGGCAGGATCTTGTCCATCTCCTCGCGCCGCTTGCTGATGAGCAAAGCTTGAATGAGGGACTTGATGTTGCTCTGGGGAAGAGAGATATGGGTATAATCGAATTGCTGATCAGATATGGTATGTTGGTGCAGTTAAATTTTATCGTCGTCCAACTCGCTTATGTTTCAAAGGTGCAAATCCAGCAATGTTCGAGCCGGCATTCCTCAATGTTGTGAAGCACGGCGATTATCCGCTCCTTGAAATCTTATTACGGTCGAAGAAAAGAGTATCTCAACTGTGTCTCGACCAAGCTCTTCTCCCAGCCGCTTCAGCCCCTAGGGGAGCACTTTTTTGCCTATTGCTTCTTGCCTGGGCTGAGACCAATACAGATCATGATGGCGCATCAGCTCTCATGCGAGCAGTCGAGGCGGAGAAAGTAGATCTTGCTACAGCAATAATTTCCGCCAAAAAGCCTCCATCAGGACTATCCTTGAATAACGCACTAAAATCGTTATTTTCCCAACCATCGACCCCGGCTCCTTCGCCGGATGGACGATATCTCCTCATGGAAGCTTTATTATGTGGAGGACCTATGGGAGATGCTGCTAGTCAAGGTCTTATGAGAGCTACATTCCTTGCCAACACTGACATGATGTCGCTGCTCTTGTCACATCAGGTAGACATCAACTATGACAATGCATGTGCCGTCGGACACGCTATTCAACGGAATCGATCTGATCTCATGGGGACACTCCTTCAAGGTCAAGATTTGAAACCTGAGATAGCATCAGAACTTGTCCGTCACATTCCTGCCAAGATTCCCCCGATGGACAAGGTCGCCATTCTTTCAAAGCTACTGATCAATGGAGCCTCTGGTCCTTATTGCAGTGAGCAGCTGATACAAGCAGCTGATGCTAACGACCTCGATGTTGCACAACTCTTGATTACCCACGGCCACAACAATGGGGCTCCAGTTTGCTCGGTCAATTACAATGGAGGGCGCTGTTTGAAGGCAGCTGTCAGCCGAAACAATATTCAAATGGTCAAGCTTTTAGCACTGGAAGGAGACCCTTCCAAGTTCTCGCTTGCGCAAGCGTTCGCGGCTATTCCTCCAAACATTAGCGGAGATGATCATTTCTTGGTCGTGCAAACATTGCTCCGAGGTGGTGCTGCGGGCCCAGAGGTAGACGAAGCACTTCATGCGGCGGTTCTGTCTCATCGCAAAGCCCATCGTCTCATTGAAGTACTTGTCCAATTCGAAGCAAATGTCACCGAAGAAACGCTACTTGCGGCAATTTCTCAAGGCTCTACCAAAATCCTCGACATCTTACTTACCGGCAACATTCCAGCCTCAATATGCGCCAAGAGAATCACGACTGCCATGAAACTTCCAATGACTGCGGCAAGATTCAATATCATCAAAAGACTTCTTGGCCCTGCCACTATATCTAACCCGGAAGTTCCGGAAGTGTCTCAAGCAGTTATTGATATTCTGAAGAATTGTCCTGATGACATGGACCTACTAGACTTGCTTTGTCGACAAGGCAAGGCAAATCTCAACTTCGAAGACGGACTTGCAGTACTGCTAGCTACCAAGAATCCCAATTTCACTGTACTCCAGATTCTCTTGAATTCTGGAACTTTTCTCCCATCCTCGGCTACCATCGAAAAGGCTCTGGAATGTGCCATCAATCTTCCACTTACCGATGTCAATCGACATAAAAAGGTCAAAGCCCTTCTGTGGAAAGTACGACCTCAAGAAGCGATCAACAAAGCTCTCATCCAGGAAATTGATTCTGCCCTGAAATCGGGCCAATACTCGCCAGTCATAGCGATCCTCCTCGACGTAGGTGCCGACGTGAATGCAGAAGATGGCATGCCACTTCGCTTGGCTGTGAGCGACCCGAATCTCACCGACCTCTTGCTCTCAAAGAGACCAAGTGTCAAGTCTCTCTCACTCACGTTTCCGGTTGCTCTTGGTATGAAGGACCCGACAAGACTCCTGTTGTGCGAGAAATTGCTACGAGCTGGAGCTGTTGGGGAAGAAATCAATAAAGCACTCTGCGCGATTGTCGAAGAAGGACCTGCCGCTATTTCACTTCTACGATTGGTACTGCCACACGCTGATATCAATTATAATGACGGTGAGGCACTGAAATTAGCTGTTCAAAGTGGCTTCGTCGAAGCCGAAGATCTTCTACTCAATTCTCGCACATCGGCTGCATCTGCTGCGACGAGGGCAATCGCCTTCCAGGAGGCTATGAAGTCAGAGAATAGAGAAGAACGATGCAGTATGGCAAAGAGATTGTTGAAAGCAGGAATTGATCGAGACATCGTGTCGAATGCTCTCGTTGATGCGGTCAAGCTTGAAGACTTCCAACTGTCAGAAATTTTGCTCCAAAATGGTGGCTCGGTGGAGTACAAGGGTGGCGAAGCAGTGTGTTCGGCTGCAAGGGCTGGCAACGTTGAGCTCTTAAAACTGCTTGTTTCCTCGAAACCATCGCTACCAACCTTGTTTGTAGGTTTTGGCGGTGCTTTATCTTTGAGAGGGGAAACATACTTCCAGATTTTGCAGGTTCTTCTGGAAGCTGGCATGCGTGGAGAGGCTGTTGATGATGCGCTTATCGAGACTGTCAAGCAAGGAGACTCGAGCCTGAGAATGACTGAGCTATTGTGTAAGAATGGAGCTTCAGTTGAATGGAAAGAGGGCGAAGCGATTGTGACGGCGGCAGGTTCAGCTATGCTTCAGACTCTGGATTTACTCTTGGAGCGATCACTATCACAAGCAGTACTAGGACGAGCATATACAGCAGCTTCGACACTTTCGAAAGAACAGCACATCCAAGTCATCGAACGACTACTGAAAGCTGGAAAGGAGATCGATACCGACGTGACGAGGAGTCTCACTGTAGCGACAATGGAAGTCCCATCAGATCGACAAATGATCAAGATGCTTCTAGCTAGAGGTATCTTCGATGAGGGACAAGCACTGGCGCACGCAGCACAAGCTCTTGATCTCCGCACTTTGACAATGCTTGTGAACTCTCCCAAGGCTGCCGACTATATCTCGGTTGCTTTTGAAGCAGTTATCATCAACGACGAACTTTGGCGATCTGCGACCGGTCTTACTGTAGTAAAGCTTTTACTCGACAAAGGAGCGTCGGGTCCAGGGGTGGCCGAGGCACTTTACCAAGCAGTTGCTTCGCTTGAAAACATCACGGAAGAAACAGAGACGCTCGCAAACGATTTTATAGATGCCTGCCTGAAACATGGTGCCGATGTCAACTATCAACGTGGACTCGCATTACAACGAGCAACTCTGCAGGCAAACATGCCTCTCGTAACAAAATTGCTACCCAGAGCCAGTCCAGAGAGCAAAGCAATGGCACTACCATACATCTTCTCAGTTTGTGAAGATAAAGCTAATCTTCTGACAACCCTCGCAGCCTTCGTCGAATCTTTCGACGATGATGGAGAAAGCTTGGACGTCATGTTTAGACACCCTGACGAGAATCTGGAACCAGTTCTATTCTTAGCTTTACAGAGATTTCCTAGAGATACGCAAATTCTGAGTTACCTGCTTGAAATGGGGTATACGGCAAATCAGTGGCAATTCTGCGCAAGTGAGGAGGATCTCGGACCTGAGCGTTGGCCGATTCTTTGTTGGGCTCTTGAGCAGCCGGAGAAGAGGATATCGACTTCCGTGATTGAGATGCTGATTGATGCAGGAGGTAAGCAAAGTACTTCTGAGAAGTTTCGTTCATAAGCTAACTTTAATAGCCAATGTTAATTACACTTCCAAGACTGGAGTGAGCCCACTTTGGCTGGCAATCAGAAATCAGCGGGTGGAAATCGTCTCGAAACTTATCGACCGCGGTGTCAATGTTTCCATTGAAGACTCAGAAGGCATTACTCCACTTGCACTAGCAAGCTCGATGAACAACATAGCTCTCATGGAATGCCTACTCAAATCAGACGCCGAAGTGGACGACGGGAGTCTTCACGACGTCACACGAGAACTAAAAATGGACAAAATGCGCATCCTCGTCCAATACAGACACAAACCCAACTACCCCAGCGACCGCCACGACGGGCGCAGCGCCCTCGCCGAGCTCTGCCTGAAAGCCGTCGACCACGACCCCACCGTCAAACAACTCGAAAAAGCCATTCAATTCCTCATCATCAACAACGCCAAAATCACCCTCCGCAACGTCTCCGGCAAAACCATCTTCCACTACGCCCTCGACTCCTCGAACCCCGTCCTGATCCTCACCGCCATGCTGAAAATCCTCTGGGAGCACGTCAACGACGACGCGTTCCTCTACGTCGCCAAAGACTACACTTATTCGCTCACCAAATACGTCGAAAAGGACCTCTTCCTCGGGCCTCCCCATCAAAAACCCGAAATCCTGGCCCTGCTCCGCAAAAAGCAGGCCACGGACCGCTTCTGGGCCACCGATATCATGGCCGCGCAGCCGGACGACTACTGCAACGGGCCGCCACACATCGAAGAAGAAGTGATCCGGCAAAAAGCGCGCTTGAAGCGACAAGCCGAGATGCGCGAGGAGGCCGCCTACGCGCTGAGACTGAAGAAGATGGCCGCCGAAGGCGACGTCGAGGTCTTGCAGATCGCAGCAAGAGGCGAGTATGCGCGCATGCAAGAGAAAGCTCGCGTGGAGAAGGAATTGCTGGAAGCGGCTTCGATCACGCAACTTCAGATTAGCGAGGATGCGTGGAATCAGGCGGCACGCCTACAGGAGGAGGCCAGGGTGCAGGATATCCGACATCAGAGGCAGCTGGGCGACGTGCAGATTTCGGTTGCGCGACGCATCAAGGAGGAGGCGGCGGAGCAGGATCGCAGTCGGAATATGATGCAGATTGAGTATTTGGATAAGAAGATCGAGCTGGAGAATGGCGGGCTGAGAGGCAGGTTGATGATTGAGGAGCAGGGGGCCGAGAGTCTGAGTCGGGTGAATATGAAGGAGCATGAGAGGGAGGTGGCGCGGTTGAAGATGCAGAAACAGTTGTTGGGGCAGCAGCAGAGTTTTGCGAGTAGTATAAGAGGGAGTGTGAGTGGGCAAAGTGGTGGGTATCCCGGGCAGAGGCAGATTGGGTTTATTTCTGAGGTGCCGAATTAGGGGTTTGTACTGGTTGGGGAGTTGGGTTGCAGTGGATGGATGGGGAGAGGGAGTTTTCTGTTTATAAAGCAGGCAGGAGATGTAATGATATATTATAAATTCATTTTATGACTCTTCGAAAAACACTATTCATAACATGTATCCGCGAATTACAATAAAGAGAAGAGAGAATATGAACTCTTAATATCTTCAGATGTACCTGTTTTAGTCTACACTCAAACAATTACGATCTATAAACAAGATCTCCACTATTCACGAATAGCATATGTTCAGGAGCTATTTTGGGTATCTTCGAGGACTGATTTGGCTCCTTGGGGCCGCTCCGAGTACATTACTTCTTTTTATCCTCGGTAGTAAACTTTACAATATTGAAATAATAGCATTGGGAGCTTGAGAAATCCACTCGCACTTGACTTCCGCCATACCAATTCTCTGATATTGGCGTCCTTGGGCGCCAGCTGTGATAAGTATCAAGCAATAAGCTAATATGTGTGACTCTGGCGTTTCTTCATAGTCCAGCCCAACCCCTATCCCAGAAATCGCAGCGATCTGGTCAACCTGCCACGCATAATTTAACCGCGACAATGGGTTGGAGCCACGGTATGATTCGTCATGGATCGTGGCAACGCGGGCACACCAAAGCTGCGTTTCTGGAGGGACATCTGAAGTATCTAGCGAGAACAAACCAACAAGTTCTTTATTCTCGTCGAGGATCTCGAAACAATCATTCCATGAACATAATGGGATATGCTTGCTTGCGATGCCCTTGTGGTGACGAAAAGGGGACTTTGGAAGCGCTTCTTCGTGGCTGCGAGCTCTCTCCATCCTGCATATTCTGGATCCCACATTAGGTACCTTACACAATTTCAGGCGAGTGACTAGTGAGACCGGTTCCGACAACGGAAGCTGAATTGTTTCGTAAGGGCCTGTGAAGAGAAGAATCTCTAATTCTGGTACTGGCGCCGTTACCACTGTGGAGCGTTCTCGAAGAGATCTCCGGTCTTTCAAGAACACAATTGCGCCTTCATAACTAATCCAAGCCCACGATGGTAAACCCAGTGCCGACAAGGGCTTCAGCTCCGAAGTTTCTTGACGCACCCACAACAAATCCTCATGTATTGTACTTTCCCACATTCCCAGGAAGAACTTTGATTCATGATATAGAAAATTGCCTCGAATTTGTCGGTCCTTCATCAAAGCTGAGATGGCAATAAGCTTATCCGTTGCGTACGTTATATGGCATCTGGAGTATAGCTCAGCAATTCTCAGCCATGAATCACTGGTATCAGATGTTTCGTCGTAGTTTCTTCCACTCAAAATTCCACGTAATTGCATCAGCTTTTGACGACCAGCACCTGATCTATCGATGCAACTCAATGTGGAGAAATCTCCATCTTCCCCCTGAATTTCAGCGCCCTTTTCAAAGTAGATATGATTTCGACAGAAGTGAAGTGTTGTTGGAGCCAGCAATCGTTCCTGCAACACCCATGCACGCGAGTTAAGCCGAGCAGCATCCACATCGTGAACGTAGAGCTTTGGCAAGGTTAAAAAGCATTCTTGGTCCTGTTTCGACGAGAAGTCATAATCTTTGATATGTTTGGTGCGAACGGAAGTAACAATTAGTTTTAGAGGGTAGAAACTTTCGGTGGGATCCTTCGCAACCGTTGCTGCGATTCTGATTTGGCCATTTCGATAGATCTCTCCCATTTTCGCTGCCTCCTTTTGCCAATCTGCATCAGAGTCTTGAATGATGCATAAGCCATCGATCCAAAGGTACTTGATCCTCAATTTTCGGGTTACATATACTGCTTCTTGGAACAGTTTAGGAAGGTCAGCGAACTTGATGCATTCTGATCGATCCTTGTAGGACGCCTGCTCGGTGATACACCCCCGATATGAACCCCAACAATAGCTTAATGTGGCGTACTCTCCGTTCTCGCCTCTAGTTTCTATCAGACGGACATCTGCTTCGAGAGATAGAGATGTAGATTGTCCCCATTCTAAGTCTAGGACACGGCTAGGAAGAACTGTATGTTGAGTGTCGGTCTCTCTATGCCCCAAGATGTTATGCCTGATTCGCTCAAGATACCAATTAAATAAAGCTTCTTCATCTAGTCGGGGTAGAAGAGGAGGAGGAGACATGTGTCCATCTCGGTGGAGAATGAGATGACCTAGACTTCGGTCCATGGCAACTTTGGGCGAATCACCCGTTTCTTCGCTCTCACCAACGGTACCGTAATGCACACGGATATGACCAAGGGGACTTGAGTAAACCTTCAGCACAAGAGGGCAGGTCTTGCGTAGTATGATGCCCTGTTTCTCTGCCAGTGGTTTGAGTAACTCTAGAGCAGCTTCCATGTTGGAAACGTCTTCATTCGTACCGGAACCCTACAAAACCTCAGCGACGGACTCAGTACCACGCCCAAGCTAACTCAATTCGATTAGGTAGTAGCAGGGGACAAAATGGCACACCTTAAGCGAGTATAATGTGCCGGTTTGCCGTGCTCTCAAGAGATAAGATGTGGAGCATCTTTGCCTTCCCCTTTATCACCCTCTTCCATCATCTCTCTCTCTCTCTCCACGCCTGTTAACTTGAGGAATATGGCTATACCAAAAGTAAACTTTTAGTACTGATTCCAATGCTTTTGAGTGCACTTTTATGGTGTGGAAGTTCATCAAATGGCTCATATACCGAGCTTTGGAGAACATCAAAAGACTCGGTAATTAAGCTAACAAGGGAGAGAGACTAAGAGCTTTGACCTTAAGTCACCAAGTGGTCTCAAGCCCATGTCAAGTGCTGACGGCATTGACACCAGCCCCTGGCGAGTGGAGACTGGCTCCCTAGTAAGTGCTCTTAGCCCTGGTCAGGGGAGAAGACCATGAGACTGACCCCCTTACTAGCTCAGCTACTTAGCTTACTTAGCGTCTGAGCCTCATTCTCAGCTTATTTAGCTTCCTTTTCCCTTGCACCAGCTCTTAGAAACCCTGCATTAAAGTGGAATCCTCAAAACTCTCCTCATAATCCTTGTTTTTACCCCTGCTCTCACTCAAAAGTGCCTGGCATTTCCGAAGAAAAGTGCAAAAATAAGAGCTGGCGTGGTACTGAGTCCGTCGCTGAGGTTTTGTAGGGGAAGTAGCTGTCTCGAGAATTCCGAGTTTTAACAGGTTACAAATAGAGTACCAAGCAGACAGGCCTTGTAGTTCTCGAATATCTGCGACATGTGGATAGCCGTCATCACTTCTTAAAGCGTCTAAGGTCGGGTTTGCGCAGAGCTTGCAGAAGACAGCGTTTGAGGTAGGATCCTTTGATGAAGTATTCGAACCTTCTCCACCCTGGCCATTCTCGATAGGACTTGGGTGCTTGGTGCCACGCCTAGACCTGTGACTGAATTCTTTTGATAACAGCTCGAGAGCTTGACGCTTCATAATTGGCAGTAGAGTTTCGATAACTCTTAAGATAGGATGAAACAGGATCTTAGATATAGCTTGACTGCGGTGATAAAATGATGCTGATGAAGCAAAAAAAAGGCTGAGTACTATTGAAAAAGTCGTAAGCGCTGGTGCATGGAAATAACTTGGTTGCTTGGCCATTGCCCCTCAAGCTGGGCGCAGTATTACTAAGCCAACCTCCGTATTAATGGGAACCAATACACCCTCTGGGAAGGTTAATAGGCTGACTTAGCGCAGCCTTCCTCCACCAGTGACAGAGTTCCGTGCAAAGCCGAGAGTCAGGTGACGAGGTAGAATCGAGATTAGAGATTGGATCAAGTGTGATTGGCTAAACATTCGAGGCGTGAAAACATGTGAGGATGTGGTAAGTCTTGTTCTGGATGAGGCTGGCTTAAAGGGTGCTTGGGCTGCTGAGGTATTAATTAGGAAGCTGCTCAGGTTGTGAGCACCTGAGCGTATTCTTATTAGGCTAGAATAGCTTTAAGCCTTTGAGAATAAGATAATGCTCTTTCTTACTTCTTTTGCGTTTCATTTTTTATAGCGTTTCTGTGATTTGGTGCAGGAGAGCTGGTGTACACAAAGAGCTGAGAAATGAGAGTCAGTGTGTTTAGAGAGTCAGTGTGTTTAGAGAGTCAGTGTGTTTAGAGAGTCAGTGTGTTTAGAGAGTCAGTGTGTTTAGAGAGTC